ATAAACGCCTACTAAAAGGGAGAAGTCTAGTAATCTAGCGCGAGTAAGAGCTTTACCTTTAGCGGAAGCTTCGTAAGAAGATAGGTCTATCTCTCCTTTATAATCTCTCGCATACGACGCTGGATGCTTTTAGCGTAGGGAAAGGTAGGAAGCGAGGGTGCTAACTACGTTATACGAAGAAGCTTTTGAAACTGCGGGTGCTTAATTATTTAAAATAGCCGGCGAAGAGTGGTGATTATCCTAATAATCTCTTACTACTAAGCTTCCTCGGTAAAAGAGGATATAACTAGAGGGGAATCTCGAGCCTTATAGAAAAGGTAGTTAGCTCCCTTATAGCCTATTATCTTATTTTAGTAGGAGTTAATACCGCTTACTCTATTAACCGCTATATACTTAGCTATTTAACTACTTATCTCCCTTTCTGGTATGACTCTATTTTTAAATGCCTTCGAAGCGCGTTTATTCTATTTAAGGTATAGTTTAGATAATTAAGAATCTTTTTATATCTCTTATATATCACCTTTAGCTCTCTAGTAATATAATAGGCTACTTACTCGAAATAGACCTATATATCTAAATAATAGCCCCGTCTATCCTAATATATCTTCTTCTTCTTATCGTCCGCTACTCTAAACTATGTATTAAACTACTAGTTAAGAAATTTAGCACTTATTATCTCTATATAAAGTACCTAGGTTTTCCTCCGGTCGCTAATACGTTATAGAGTATAAGGGATCGAATCCGGTAAGGCGAGGCTAGGAGTACCCGTCGAGGGAAGAGTCTAATAGCTTCCGGAAGGCTCTGGTAAAGAACGAAGAGTATCGCTAGGTAGAAAAGAAGATAGTTAATCTAGATTATCACCCTAATAGAGAGATAAGGAATCCATATTAGATAACTAAGGCACTACGATAGATAATAGTATTTAGGAAGGGAGTAAGAGGAGACTTAGGAAAATATAGATACCTTTAGTATAGAGGAGTTAATAGTTAGAATCTATTTATTCGTCCCTAAAGACGGTTTTAGAGAGTAGTTAATATATCATCTTAAGCACTATAGTAGGGGTATGAGCAAGTAGTTAGCGTATAGGAAGCTAGGTGATTAGACAGACCTAATATATAGCTATATAGTATAGCTATATAGTGTAATGAAGTTTGGATGGTGAATAGTAGTAAGAGGGTAGTCAAGAATAAATTCAGAACTAAGATTCAAAACTGTTTAGCAGAGGATCGAGGGAGTATTTATCCCTAGATTTTCAGTGGCAATAGGTGGCAATAATAATAAGTGATGATCTCACTATAGAATCGTATAGACCTATATGATATCATATGGTTCTATAGTTCTATAGAGATTCTATAGAGATTCTATTTAAATATAGAATCTATTAATAGAATCTATTTATATAAAGATTCTTATATCTATTCTATTCTATATTCTATAGGGGTAAATGGCGCGGTTTTTTGATTTAATGGAGACCTCCAGAAACTAAAGGCCTATAAGGACTATCGATGCGCTAGTTTTCACAGAATAGATGACCCCTGTGGGGCATGACCATTTTGGGTATAGTTTAATTTAGGTTGGAAGAAAAGAATCCAGCTTGCTGACTGGACAATGGGTGCTTGTGAGTAAGCAGTGGCTGAGTGATTATAGACCGTTCACTGAGCGGTCACTGAGCAATCACTGAGCAGCAACCGATGATCACTGAGCATCCATGATTGGTCACTGAGCAATCACATGACTGCACTGATCAGATCACTGACTATGAGCCCGTGCTGATATTTACTCAGTGAGCCTGAGCCTGATCGCCATCATTAAAGCGGCGGCAGCCCAGATAGGAAAGTCCCACCCGGCGGACATTATCCTGTGTATATAGGTGCATATACAATCATGAGACTGTAGATTGACCGCCATCTGACCTACTGCTAGTCTTAATTCACTGACTGGGTACAAGTTTATGTAAGACTCTTATAGGGCAAATTCTGGCGAGTAAACGATCTGGGCTTAGATCCCAAATTTGGAAGAAGAGTGGCTTTTTGGGACGGACGGCCTGGAGAAAAAAACTTGGGCGCTCCTGACTGAGCCCACATTGGCAACCTTGCGTATTCTACAATCAGATAGCGGATAATAACTTTATGGCGAAGAAAATTTGGGACAAGGAATTGAAAAATCCCGCGATGCGGATAATAGCAATAGTACCTAGAGAGATCACTAGGTTCCACTAGACTAGTAGTAAGAGGTTTTCGGTGTATCATGCTATATGAATTAGAGCGAACGTTGAGTACTTATCTAGAACGCTTCTAAGCACTAAGAGTGAGCGCGTGCCGAGATTCACTCGCTAAGCCTAAGCCTGATCGCCTTCATAAAAGCGGCGGCGGCCCAGATAGGAAAGCCCCACCCGGCAGACAATATCCCGTATACAAGTGCATATACCTATTTTGGTAGGAGGAATAACAGCCCCCATTCAGCTTCAGCAAGTTGAACCCCGTATATATATAGACCATACTGATTTGGAGCCATCTCTCGCAACTCTTTTCAAAAGGGACAGAGTCAATTGATACCTCAGCATGAACGCTTCTACGAGCGGAAATGTCCAGTTTGCAGATGGAGCCAGTTTATTTGCATACATTTTTGTTGGAGTATGTTGCACCTCATGACATAGCGCTTTACGTAACTTGCTGAAAGTGATTAGGTTGTTTGCGCAATCGGCACCATTTTTTGCTATAACATTTATTTCCATCCTTTAGCCAGGTTTCCAGGTCCCAAATCATACGCTGCTTCTCCAATTCCCGTGGCACTTGCACAATTAGGAGGCAGATTCCATCGTTTCACACAGGCCGCTCATGAGAAATACGGGAGCGTCGTTCGAATCAGCCCCAATGAACTGTCAATTATTTCCGCTGCGGCATGGGATGACATCTACGGTCGAAGGCAGAAAGACCCTCCACTTGCCCGCGATCCGACCTTCTTTAATGATATGCTAGTGGACCCGAGGACATTGACTATGGCCGATGATACCAATCACATACGACTACGAAAATCTATGAATGGCGCATTTGCGCCCCGAGCACTCGCAGAGCAAGAGCCTATTCTAAAAGAAAATGTTGATCTTTTCATGGATAAATTGGAGGAGCGTGCTCAGCAACGGCTTGAAACGGACCTCCGATTGTGGTATAATTACGCAACATTCGATTTGATAGGCGACTTTGCATTTGGAGAATCGTTCAGATGTCTCGAATCATCAAAATATCACGAGTGGGTGCAATTCGTGCTGGACCACTTCTATGTGGCAACTTTACTACAAGTGGTTCATCGATTTCGGCCACTGAATAAGTTGCTCGCCATGCTGCTTCCTGCTTCCCTTATACAGAAGAAGGAAGCCCACCACCGGATGGCTCTTAACAAGGTCCGCCGTCGGGTTCAGAAGGACACCCAGCGGCCGGACTTTATCTCGCACATGCTGAAAGCTCTGGATACTGGCATGATCACCATAGACGAGTTGGAAAATCAAGCCAGCATTATTATGCTGGCCGGTAGTGAGACGACTGCAGTGGCCCTAACTTTCGCGACGTATTTCTTGCTTGTTAACCCTCACATAATGGATCGGCTTCTGGAAGAGCTTCGCTCAAACTTTGAAAATGAGAGTCAAATTGATGTGTTGTCTATCAACAAATTGAATTACTTACAGGCAGTGATTCAGGAGACTCTACGCCTTGCTCCGCCCATTACCAACGGGTTCCCAAGACAAGTTCCGCCAGAGGGGGCTATGGTTGACGGATATTTTATTCCTGGTGGAGTAAGTCTGACCTGTATCACCTTGTCAATTTGTTAGTAGCTCCGGCCCTCACCATACTTACATATTGTTGGATAGAGTGTCGTCAATATCAACCACTGGAGTGCCTATCACTCGTCCAAAAACTTTTTCAAACCAGATCAATTCTGTCCTGAACGATGGCTAGGAGACTCTCTCTTCGAAGGAGATACAAAGGATGCCTTTCAGCCGTTCTCCGTCGGACCACGAAATTGCATTGGCAAGAAGTAAGGTCTTATCAGGAATTTTTGGGGGACATTCCGTGGAGCTGACATGAGCCTCTAGATTCGCATATGACAGTATGAAAAGTATACTTGCAAGAACCGTTTGGCGGTTTCAGATAAATTTGGTAACAAAGCGTCAGGAATGGCTGACTGATATGCCATCTTACGTCTCATTTCACCAGCCTCCACTGCTGGTGAGCCTAGAGCCGAGAGCGCCCCCATCCTTTCATTGACACCTCTCTGGGCATGAAATTCAAGATATACGCCCCTTATTTATTTCAGAATAAAGATTTTGCATGCTACGAATACAAATTTTGATTTATATCTATATAACCCCTGGCTTTTTTAATGCTTTAGGTCTCTTTGATGTCAAAGAAACCCTAATAATTTGCCTGAATTTAAATAGAGAAGTGCCGGTGCCAGTACTGATTAGAAATTATTAAAAGGCCTCTTCGGGATACTCATGCGAGTAATTTGATTTTTACTAAAGATGAAGGCCACTATACAAGGAAGGCTCTCTATAAATTCTGAGTCGTCGACAATATTCAAGGCCTGCTTGTCGTTTCTCAAATACTTCGCGACTTCCATGAATTTCCAAGACGCTTCATCCAATGCAAACTATCATCGGTATTGCCGTTATGTTGTCTAACTATCAATCATGATATGCTAAATATATCAGCCATATTTAAACTACCCTCCTTTACTTTCACAGGCAAAACGATTAGCCTGATCGAAGCGGGGAAGTCCTCCGGATAGCCAACCTACCAAGTTTACCTCGGTTCATGACTCAGCGATATGTCGCAATCTCCCAAGCTAGAATGACTCTTTTGTGCATGGTCAACATATTTCATTTAACCAAATTCTACTGTGAAGAAAGCTGAGCTCAAGCTGGACAACCACAAGGATCCCGATCGCAGCTCTATTTCGTGGATCACCCCAGCCCAGCGCCCGTCAATTAGGTCAAAAGTACCCCCACCATGACCTCTACACCCAAAGCCTTCTTTTTCGATACCTTCGGTACAGTGGTCGAATGGCGATCATGCGTAACAAGCGACCTCCAAAATGCGGCTCAGAATGCACTCAACGACTCAAACAGGGACATCCCGGCCGATTTGCGAGCCCGCGCATCTGCCCTGACCGAGTCGGACTGGCTCGAGGTTGTCGAAGATTGGCGGCGCTCCTACATCGTATTCACCAGCACATTTGATGCATCGAAGCCTTTTGTCCCAGTCGACCAACACCACCATGCAGCGCTGCAGGATTTACTAAAGCAGCGTGGGGTCCGTGAGCTGTTCAATGAGAATGAGCTGTGGGAATTAACGCTTGCCTGGCACCGACTGAATCCGTGGCCGGATAGTGTGAGCGGACTGGAATTGCTGAACAGCCGGTTTGTTACATCGACGCTGTCGAATGGGAACGTCTCGCTGTTGCAGGACTTGAAAGAATTTGGATCCCTGCCTTTCCAGCATCTGATTAGCTCGGAGAACTTTGGCGCGTATAAGCCCTCGCCGAAAGTTTATCTTGGTGCGGCCAAGTTATTGGACTTAGAGCCGTCGCAGTGTGTTATGGTTGCGGCGCATCTTAAGGATTTGCAGGCTGCGAAGGGCTGTGGGTTTCAGACTGTTTATGTTGAACGAGAGAAGGAGGAGGGTTGGTCAGTCGACCAAGTGGTGCAGGCCCAGAAGGATGGCTTTGTAGATATCTGGGTGAAGTTGAATGATGGGGGTTTTGTTGAGGTCGCTAGGCGGTTCGGTATTCCGGTATAGCTCTAAATGGGACTGTATATCATCCATGTGACTCGCATACTTGGACTGGTAATCGCGACTTCCTTCATGTAGTTGGTACAGTAACTCCGTGCCAAATGTACCAGTACTAGGGGTGGTGGGGCCTCCATTCAATGCCATTGCTGGTAGACAGAAGCCATTGCTTTGAACGCTCGCATAGTCTGATGTAACCATGTCATATGTCGTGGGGAATCTACTTGAATATGTCAAAAGTCTACTTTTTATTGATAAAAACGTAATCTAGGTGACGGTAAAATTGCCGCCTCGGGAAATGATTGGCTCCCGGAGCACAGAATGAGTTAGATAGCTAATGGGGCGAAGCCTTTCGGGGCCACGCTGTCTCGCGAGCCACAAGAAGCTGGCAAAACAAGTGTCATTCTTCAATTATTGAGCGGCAGAAAAAAATCAATTCAAGGGCCAACAAATTGTTGATCATTCTAGAAAAATTTCCCGTGGTATGTCTGAACGCTCCCCTTTAGGGCCTTATTCATCACTGAGGCAGAGTTAAGTAATATGCATGGACCATTCAAAGCCTCAAGGAATTTCGATTTTACTCACCTTGAGAACAACAATATTTCAGGCCAGTGTGAGAATAGGAAAAGGCTTGTCTCTAGACAATGCCCTGTACTTCGAGTAGGTCAGTGATATAACCTTGGGGGAACCACAGACGCTAACCAACTCACAAGTTGACAGAAGGCAGGCTTTCATCCAAATGCTGACTTATACAGAGTCTTGTATCGTAGCTTTCCGAATGGGATCTCCGGTTGCAAGATTGTAGTGTGTTGCAGCATAGAGCCTTGCTGGACTGCTGTCGTTTTGGTCAGCGTAGGCTCGCTTGAGATAAGAGCCCTTTGCGAAAAGAGGTTCTTCATTGAGTGCTCTGCGATGAGCATCAAGGCCAATTAACGTGCCGATCGTGACTGCCAATGGGAGTAACAAAAGGCATGTATTGACAAGAATGCCGAAGAAGTACATAGTGAGGATTGTGGGTGTAATGAGCAGTGTATGAACAAGCAACGCAGGAGGAAAACCACAGTCTCCGTGCCAGCTAATCAGATCACGTTGATAGACAGAATCTTTCCACCGAGAGCTCTTCGTTCATGTCTTGACGCGGCAAGGATCAGTTTGCGTTTAAGTCTGGACAAGTGGGTTCATAAGTAAGGAGAAGGCTCTAGACCACCTCAGACAAGGGGGGGTGATAGCCGTAGTGGCTGGAGATCAAACGACGGCCTTCCCGTCTAGCCTCTGCTGGTATATACGTCATGTTTTACTGCTACCGTGGTGCTTAGTCTAGTGTCGGAGAAGTTGAAAAGTTGAAGATAGACTAATGTGGGTCGATGCCGCGTAAGAACAGTCGTAAGTCCACCTCATGGATACCCAAAAAACCCTCCCCAAATCAACAATTTCTACTGCTTTCGGCTCTCTGAGCTCCATGTTCAGAATTGCCCTTTTATGATTGGAAGCCAAATATAGACTCCAAAGATTGGCGCTGATGGTTTCCGCTCACCAGAGAAGTTGGTGTAAAGCTGCATTTGGCGTCAGCCCCGTCAAAGCGACTAGCGAGATTGTGGATTTGGGAATCACTGTCGATCGATCTCTTCTAGATCGAGTGTTTGGGGCCTGCGTACTGACCATGATCCATTTGGTTACCTTTCATTGGTTTTAGATATCCCGAGCTCGTTTTGAAGACTCTTCCATTTCGTTCGGCTTCGTCTTCAGTACCTGTCACCACCGTCAATTGGCGCAGTTTCTTTGTATATATACTGAGCGCACACCTCTTTCAAGTCTCTCTTTTGAAGCAGAAACTTTCTTGTCTATCATGACCGCAATTTCCCGCGACAGAGATACTTTAATCGAGAATAATGACAATCTCGACCATTCTCTCGCCCAGAATATCCCAAGCAGTCACGAACAAATAGTCCAACAACAAAAGGCACTTCATGCGAACATGGATAACCTAAGTCCAAGCCAGAGTCACATGGGCGTCATAGCTACTGTCAGGCCATTCAGTGCTACTCGAACATTCTCTGGCTTCTCTGAAGCAACCAGCCGTGTGCCATCGACAGCGCCAGGGACACCTTTCGATTCTCGATCTCCGTCGCCATCAAGCTACAACGTGAGTTAACTGCTGTCTCGCCCACTTTCAAATATTATACACAACATTTAAGGCTAACTTGGCCGTGTTCTGGAATACAGTGGCGGAGTCAACAGAGTTTGATACCTCTTGTGACTCAACCAGCTACACCCGGTTTCGCCAAAGAGTGGGTTAAGTCTGGATCCATTGCTCGTGTGGCCGATCGAGATGATGCAGAAATTTGGAACGGCTGGCGACGACGGGTTTACCAATTCGCTCCCTTTTTCATGGTCGCCAACTCATCTTTATACCTGTTCTATCTTGGGCTGCGTATCTACTGCATCATCATGGCCCAGAGAGCCGATGGAATGACATTCATCGCTGCCTGGGTCTTTGTTGCAATCGAACTCTCTGTGGCTCTGCCCTCACTCATGCAAAATGGCTGGAGCATGTTAGCATTGAAAAAAAGAGGCCGGGCCAAGCTCCGCTTGATTGGCCAAGATGTACCGACAGTAGATGTCTTTGTAACATGCTGTGGAGAAGATGATGACCTAGTCCTCGATACCGTCCGTGCGGCTTGTGATCAGGACTACCCAGCGGGCCAATTCCGCGTCATCGTGCTCGATGATGGAAAATCTACCGGCCTACAAAAAGAAGTTGAACGCTTGGCCTTCACGACTTTTCAGAACCTGTACTATGTCGCCCGTGAGAAAGTCCCCGGAAAGCCTCATCATTTCAAAGCTGGAAACTTGAATCATGGCCTTGAATACACAAATAATCTACCGGGTGGACCTGGAGAGTTTATGGCGGCATTAGACGCAGATATGGTACGTGTCTACTTTCTTTCCCTGTTCAAGCCGGATTCAGAAATTATGACTAATTCTAAACTTTCTTTACATAGATTCCGGAGCAAGAATGGCTTCGTGCTATAATGCCGCACCTACTGAACGACCCTAAGATGGCACTAGCGTGCCCGCCTCAATTATTCTACAATGTTCCTGCTAGTGACCCCCTTGCACAAAGTTTAGACTTTTTTGTTCATGTCATTGAACCTATTAAAGATACATTGGGTGTTGCCTGGTGCACAGGATCGGGCTATATCGTTCGGCGCCAAGCATTGGACGATATCGGCAACTTTCCCCTCGGTTCATTGGCTGAAGATGTGGCAACGTCGACCTTGATGCTTGGTAAGGGTTGGAAGACAGCCTATATCCACGAACAGCTACAATTTGGAACTATTCCAGAGGACTATGGTGGCCATCTGAAGCAACGCACTCGATGGGCTATCGGTACGGTCGATACTGCGTTTAAATTGAAATTTTGTATCTGGGGTGATGCTGTGCGCCAAATGACTTTTGCGCAACGCTTCTCCGGCTTTCTTTATGCTGTTTTGAGTTTATACACTCTCGTATTGACTGCCTCCCTATTCGCTGTTCCTGTCATCCTTCTGTGGGGGAAACAGCTTGTCGCTTACGCGACTGAGCAGGAACTCCGTTGGCTTATCTGGGCTTGTTTCGCATCAACTATGGCGAACCGACTCTGCGAATTTACTCTTTATACTCCATCTGGCTATCACACAGGTCAAAGGGGATCTCGGTTCCAATTGTGGATGTCGCCATATATTGCACTATGCATAATTCGCTCGTTTATCCTTCCTACTTGGCTAGGTGGTCAAACCCAAGCGTTTAAACCTACAGGTTCTCTTGGGTCTGCTCTGAATGAACGAGATCCGGCAAATAGGAAGGGTATGTTCATCCGGCTGAGGGTTATCCTATTTAACTTTCTAGGGCTCTTCCATTTTATGTTCGTTTATGCAACCCTTTGCGCTGTTGCGCTTTCTACGTACCGTTGCTTTGCCTCTGAGACTGGATTCAAATCTGTGGTAATTTGTCTCATCACCCATGCATTTTGGCCACCGGCTGTTTTCCTATTCATTTGTACATCCCTTTGGACGCCAATTTCTTATGCGATTGATCCTCCGACTATGCCGGACCGAGAAGAGCTGCTAGATCGTGATTCGAAGACTGGAATTGCACATCCAACTCGGAAGAGCAAAGAGATTGCGTTTGGTAGCCAGGCAGCCTGGTTTGAGCTTGAGCATAGCGTTTCAACCATTGCAACAGTCTTGGTCTTTTGCTTTTCCTTTTACATATGATTTTGGATGGAAAAAGGTTCTGGGAAGGCAAAGGACTTTTCTTTTCATGTTGGTCGCGACTGCTGAAAGAGTTAACACTTGTTGACATTTCGACTTTTCTTGTATGAAACATTATAATTCAATATGGGATCAATTGTGATTACCAACTTTTTTGCAAATTATGTTATAGAAAGTTAATATTTTGCAGAACGATGTGTACAAAATTAAAGTGTCGCTCGTGATTTAGATTCGTGCACGAATCGGGAGAGGAACAATAACGTGGTTAAAAAGGAATCGTGCCGTAAGTACTACTTTTAGTCTCGCAACATGCGGTTATTATGTGAAACGTTTCATGCGAGGATACCTCGGGTATACTACCAGCTCAAGCAGAATCTTTGATTCGCGTAGCCAACCATTCTGGAATAGCTGGCTGTTGCTCCCACATAGCACGCCAGTCATCGGTACTTTCTGGCAATGCGAATACAGCGGTCACAAACCATCTGTCCTGCCCAGGTAGCAAGTCCACGCTCAACGACGGCAAGAGTGTACGCCCATGAATAATGTTCGAGTTCGGATCAGCGAGAACAATCCTGCCATCTCGCAAACCCGAGGCATGAAGCTCGACAATACCCACGACTCCAGCCGACGAAGCAACGAGCGCGTTACCTGAACCACTGATCGTCCCTTCCTGCGAAGCGCCCTCCATTGGGCCCAGAGTGCGTCCATTATCGCTGCGACATCCATAGATTGCAAAGGCGCCCTCTGAGCTCTGGAGAGCCCGGCCAGTCCGCACATGGTGCACACGCATATGCCAATTTGGAGTCTCGGACATTGGAGGAATCAGAATTGTCTCGATCTCGACATCAGGCCAGGGCTTCCACTCGGAAACGAGAACAGGCAGGTCATCCTGGCCAGGCTCCTCAAAACGTGCATCTTCCACTAATCGCCGCGTCTTCCAAAACTCGCCATTGTCGGATAATGCGAGCATACTATCGGGGGCAAACTGTTCCAGCTGGTAACCACCAGTGGGAACGGAGTATCCAAATGCAGAGCTGTACGCGAACTTGCCGTACTTGGCATGTGTTGCTTTCATCGGGTAGTGGCACGCTTGTCCGGAGGATAGCAGGAAGGAGTGTCCTCCTCGACGGATGGCGATATGTTTGGGGTACTTCAGCGCTATAACCTCGGGGAGGGAGGCTGTCGGGTATGGTTCTTCCTCTGAAGCCCAGAAGGGGTGCGTCTCTGGCAGTGCCAGTGGAATGAAAGAGAGACAACACCAATATGGAGAACCGGGAGAGTTGTAATTCTCCGTCAGGTATGAGTTCGCATAACAGTATCCCAGGTTTAGAGTGCCGTCATTGTTGAAGATGTCTCGCTGGGTAGCCCACCAGCGGAAGTTGCGAAGTAGGATGCCTTTCACGACCCCCCAGGTCAAGGGCGCGGGTAGTTCGACATCTGCAAAACCCAAAGCACCCCAGAAACCCACCATGGCGAAACGATAGGTCATTGAACGGCCAAACGGAATAGCCCGACCTGCGTAAAATTCGACGTTCAGTTTCTCTCCGGGTGTCTTATTGCCGACGCACGAAATATATCAAAAGCAACATACCGTCAGGGTTGAAATAGTGAACAAAGTCCTTTGCGAACTCCTTGGCTCGCTGACGATATCTTTCAGCCCGCCCCGGATCAAAATCTCCCGCAAGCTTCGAATACAAAAGTTGCAAGAATTGTATTGCGAACGATCCAGAGTAGTAATCCATTTGATGATGGCTTTTTGGGCCATCATTACTCCACCCACCACCGACATGGAAAGTATCCAGGTGGTCCATGTCAGCTTCGATACGTGACAATGAATAGGACGCGCCGTTCTTTCTCAGTCCGAGGTTGGCGAAAACTCGGAACCATAGCCTGACACGTACATGTTAGCCGAATTTAGGTTGCTTACAACGGCAATTGAAGGGAATTTGCTCTAACCAATTAGTATTGGGCATCTCGCGTGCGTTTATACTATTCAGCCACTTTGCCACATTATCCTTTTGTTTATCAGTCAGCGGATCCCAGAAAACATGAGGCGCCACTGCGAGCGTGAAGCCGATCGGACACATTTCCACCATGCGCTGGTCAAGATCCTCAATATCACCAAAATATTCAGGACTTTCGGGATCAGTGCCATTGATCAGTCCCTCTCTCCACCGCGCCGCTTCTTGATAGTCATAATCTCCCGCAAGGAGAGATGCTAAGCCCCACAGTGGACGAGCATAACCCTCAATCTGGGCACCGCCCTCATCAAATCGAGTCGTGGACGAGCCGATCTTGACGCGACTGCAGCCCGGGGTAAAGAGAGGAAGCAAAGGGTTGAGAAGAGCACAGCATGCCTGTTGGAAATCGGCACGAGTGCGGAATGGCGAGTCGCTGAAGGGGTGCGAAGGAGTCTTCCCGTTTGCGTGGACAGACATTTTGATTTAGGGAGAACAGGATGATTTCCCTCCTTCAATATTGCCTTGTATAATAAGGCATGTGGCCTTATTAAATTGATTTTCTTCGGGCAATTCACCCGAAGACCGAACGACCTTCTTGCGAGGCCCTCCACCCCCACACCACTGATTTAGCCTAAGACGGGGGGAGAATGAGGGCGGGGTAGTGTTGGTGGGGGGCTCTCGTCGGCATTCGCTGGGAAAGCCGATCAATGGCCGATCGCCCTTTCTCCCAGCAAAACTAAGGAACCGGAATTTGCCTCTAAAATCAACGTTGATCCGATTTCGTCCATACAATTAGCCGATTTTCTTTTTCGCCCTTCATTCAGTGCTTTTTTACCGCTCCGTACATCACTACCGAAAAGTCTCATGCAGCGCATCGTAAAGGTGACTCCAAGCATGATCAGATCAAGTATCTTTCTGTGATTGCAATTAGCGGTTAGCATGTTAAAGTACAGCCTGAATTCGATTAAATGACTTGGAGGCCCAGCTCTGAGTGGGCTTGCTCACGAGTCAATATAAACGATGTCGATCATCATCCTGCTAGAATATTCTATGCTTTAGCTGTCAATCGCCTTTGTCAATTTAGGCTGCTCGGCAATGGTTTTGTAGTCGTGTACAAATCCCATTCCAGTCAAAGTTGACATACAGGCTTCGAACATAGTGTTCAAAGTTGGTGTGCTTGCGACTGGCCTGATCAGCACTGCCTTGAACTACAGCACAAATGCTATATAAAGAAAAGTTGCATCCTCTCCGCAAAGCCCTGGATCGCGTGGAGCCGTATCTAGGCCAACCTAGACATCAGCTCTTTCCCTGAGTTAAATGTTTCGCTGAAGCTGATATACATCTGTGCACTACCTTGGCTCACTTTGATTTGGCGGACTACTTGATCTTGAAGTGAAATCTGAAGACGAGTAGACGTGGCCCGGCTGAGCGCGCCCCTAATATTCTGCCATTCTGGTACCGAAGGAGCAGACAGCGTGTTTTTGGGTTAAAAGATCTACCTCTACAGGCGATTGCTACTGAAGTGACGATACATTTAGAAGGTTTCTTCTTCTCTTTGATCCTTTCTTCGCATCCAGATACACCTTTGCAACATACTACTTTACCGCTCCCTCTGCTCGCGCTTTTTATATGACGATACTACAAGATCGAACCACTCACTCATCGGACAATCAAAAAGAGCACGAAATATCATATCTTGCTTAGAATGTCTCTAGATTGGATTACTATTCACAGACCGCCTTGAGGGTAACTCCACCGCGGCGCGGCTTCGCCCGTTCCGGCCTGACAACCGACAGCCGACCGCTTATCTGATTCGGTCTTATCTGATCTGACGTGAAAGCTCGACTTTCAGTCTTCCACACTCCGTAAACTGCCACAGATCCCGCCAGCCAACCACGATGGAAATCAAAATACTTACCTCTCTAGCACGAGGTCAAGCTGGAATACTGCACCATATTGTATCAATCTCCGTACCCCTGTCCTATGTGACTCACGAGCGCTAATTCGTTCTCTCCTGACCAGACCTCTACCCTCGTCTCCTTCGAATACACCACTGGCAGTCCCAAAAAGCCACACTCTCTCATCTTTGTCGGTGGCCTAGGCGATGGTCTCGGCTCGGTCGAATACCTCGGCGACATCGTGCGAGCCCTCGAGTCTACCGAATGGACCGTGTTCAACCTAGTCCTCTCCTGCTCTTACGGTGGCTGGGGAATGGGAAGACTCGGTACTGATATCGATGAGATCGCGCAGACCGTGGAATATATCCGACAATATAAGGAGCCTCACTATGGCGCCGGTAAAGTAGTCATTATGGGCCACTCGACCGGTAGCCAGGATGTGATGCATTATATCAATTGCCCGAACCCTCGACCAGCGCATCCAGTGTTGGATAAGTGCTGGGAGCCTATTTTGCGAACACCGGTTGATGGGGCAATTATGCAGGCACCCGTTTCGGATCGCGAGGGAATCTTGTGGGTTGTCAAGTGTGGCACAGCCAGGGATAGTCCTGCAGCCATGCGGGAGCTATACGATAAAGCCGTGGCGGATGCGAAGCGGAACACATATGAGACGAAAGAGTCTGTGGACACTGTCGTCCCTCTTTCAGTGACCAGCCGCATTGGGTACCCATCAACAGCGCCGGTCAGCAGTCGACGATTCCTGAGTTTGGTCAGCCCCGACAGTCCTAAGAGGCCGTCCGAGGATGATTTATTCAGTTCGGATCTTAGTGACGAACGATTGAACCAGACGTTTGGGATGGTGGGATCACGGGGACTGCTGAAACAAAAGCTGTTGGTATTGTACTCTGGTCGTGACCAATCCGTTCCTGATTGGGTGGATAAAGAGGGCCTTCTTCGGCGATGGCAGAAGGCTATCGATGCTCGTGGGCGTGAATTCTGGGATCATCGGAGTATGGTTATTCCTGGTGCTTCCCATGCACTCAGTGATCCCGACCAGGCAGAGCCCAGGCGGATACTCGTGGAGAGGGTGACATCTTACCTAAGCGATATTCAAAAAGCATGAGCCAGACCTTAAAAAAAAAAAGCTCGTTGCCGACCCATCAGTATATATTATGGATGGCATTAACGACACGACAGAAAAGTTCATAGCACAAAAAGGCTAGTCCTAATGAGGAGCGCTACCCCTTCAATACAAAATTCTACATTGGAGATTTACAAAATACCAGTAGAGCCCTTATATATATATATAAGCCTATGTCTTGGAAAAGACATAGAAAAGACCTTAGGAAAAATTATGGAAAAGACCATTAAAAAGACCGTAAAAAAGGGTGATAGTAGGAGGGGAAGTAGAATAATGACTTAGTCTATTATAGGGATAAATAGATAGAGGTCGCGTATACAGTCGCTGAAGATATTAACGAGAACTATCAATATGAATTATACATAATGACTCGGTAGGTATTTTGTGAATCTCGAATGTAGCATTTTGTATTGAAAGGGGGGCTTTCCTCATTAGGACCAGCCTCGTCGTGCCATGAACTCTTCTGTCGTGTCGTTAATGTCACCCTATATCATCCAAGTCGCTAGGGAATGGTGCTGAATATCCGGGTTGCACGAGGGTGCGTTGGGACAAACGAGGAGATGGTTTTTAGTATCCTACTCGTGAAAAGGGTTTAGACACTTAGGGTCGTACTACTAGCGTCGCGCAGAGGTACTCCGTCTAGTATTAAATACTGGAAAGTACTTCTGACACTGTTGATCACATCAGCCCCACTGCAAAAAAAGAACACTAACAGAATAACCTCCACTCTGCACCTCCGTGATACCCCGCTTCATCCAACAAGACACGGGTTCACCATGGCCTCGTCAAACACAAGAAGCAGTCCAGCCATGTCGCACTCGAGCACTGGCGCAAAGTCTCCCGCAGCGCAAAAGTCTACACTACCCCTGGACTCGTCGCGCTACGCCTCGGCCATGACAGACTCGGACCAACCCATCGAGCTCTCCGGCCCCGATCACAAGCCCGCATTCCCTCCAAAATACACAAAACGACCCCCGTCTTATCCAAACTCGAGTTCGCAACCACCGTCCACCGAGACCTACCAAAGTCGGGACCTCGGGACGGGCCGCTTATACTATCACAACCAAGGACCCGACGATCATCGCCCGGCACCCCAGCAGCAGATGCTCTACACACAACCCCAACAAGACTATTATCGCGCACAACCGCCTCGACAACCCGTACAACCTGTCCCACACCAGCCCGCGCACTATGCTGTGCAGGATCAATACTATCATGGAGGACAGGCTCCCCAGGCTGCGGCCCCGAGAACGGATGACTACTACCATGCCCCGTCTCACGGCCACGCCCAGGCCCAGGCCCCGCAACAGCAATATTATCAAGAGCGACCTCAAGGCGAATACTATCAGCCGCGCCAGTCACTTGACCAGCAGCAGTATTACCATGCGCATGCGCGACAGGCGCCGCAAGGGGGGGCGCAGATTAAGATCGAGCCTGCTGATATTGATCAGTTGATATCGAGGGCGACGCCGGAGAGACAGAATATTGGTGGGAAGGGCAGTCGGGGGTGAAGGGGAATGAAAATGACGATGATGTACGCTGTAGATACTCTGGCGGGAGCGCTCTTTTTTTAACCTTGCATTAAGCAATATTGATGTGAAACGACTCGGAGACTTTGGAATGTCCGAGGAAAGAATGTATTTCTTGACCTGCTGCAAAAACACCTCTTCAATTTCAACACATCAATATGTAAACATCGTAGTGGTCTGATTTTCACCACTTCAGGAAATCCTGGAGAACAGAATCATTGACCGCCCCTGCACACTCATCATCTGGTGAATATATGCTCGGCGGCCAAACACTCGGCCCCTCCCTATAGGGCACAAGGAATCCAGCTTGAACCAAGGTGTGCTCTAGCTCACGAACCGTCGAATGTCTTGCATTTGATGAAATATGCCGCATTCTGGATTCAATATCGGGGATCTTAAGCTTTCCAGTCGACACATACACATCACGTTCAGTGATGTCCTCGAAAATATTGCCGGATAGGCCGTCAAGCACAAAGTCACTATCCTTCTTGGTATGAGGAATGAGTACCCTGGTTGTATTGGCCCACGCCATACGGTTGGAGTCATTTCTGCTCTCACTGGGCGTGTCACTATCGTGATTCTCGTCACCTTGGGATCCGTTTTCGCTATTGAATACTTCTTCCCTTACAAAGACCTGAGCTTCGGAAGGCTCGCTCTCTGAGTCGCCAGTCTTGCAACACTCATCCTTGCAATATTCGTCTTTGCGATACGTATCATCGGAGTCTGTATACTCTCGTCCAAGGGGAATGAACCCAAGAAGCCTTGCGAAAACTGGTGTAGCCAGTCGTTCAACCGTAGTCTTTAGACTTTCGAACATTGTGGGTGGGTTGACGAGGTGTGGGAAGAGTGACGATCGATCTGTCAATAACCGCATGTACATGGATATGCAAAATGAGGTATTGACTTCAATGAACAGCATTCCTTCGGGGACATATTTTTCATACTCGAAGCTACATCCGTTTCCGAAGAGGCAACGACAAGAAGGTGAAGCAGTGTCCAGCAGTATGACTGTCTTATTGGACAAATCATAGCTTATTTTGAGAAGCCGAATCACAAGTCCAATAATCCCAGGGACCGTACATTCGATGACGCTTAGCGTCTGTTCAAGTAAAATCGCAAGCAGATCATTGGTCAAATAGAAGGGTGGGTACTCGAAATTAGACCTAACTGAATGCTCAAAGTTGATAGGACCGTGATTGGCATACCTTGGAGATGATGTGTCGCTAAGTGTGCTGAAGAATTCGTAATCCGTCGCCGAAGCACTACATTGACGCTGTAGAAGTGTGTCGGAAGCGAGTTCGAAGATGTATAACTTGTAGAGGCGTGAAATCCTCATACCATAGGGAGCATCGGAGGTAAGTCAAGCAAGTTTGCAAAGAGCCTGTTCAAAAAAACCCGCTCCGGCTATAGCGCCAAGAAAATCCGGTCGTAGTCGGGAGCTACTATAGTACGTCCATTCTCCTGTTGAATAGAGCGCTTCCGCGAGACGGCGAAATTCGCTCGTCTTGTGTATCGAAAACCTTTTTTCAATAATACAAGTTGTGTAGAACGATGACAATACCCTTCTTGAATCTCTGGAGCCTCGGCCAAGTCTGAGGGATTTGCAAAGTTCGAGGGTACGAGATGGAAACTGCAGACGAGCAGGTCGACGCTGAATCTCGATCTCCAGTCTGATATAGCCAAGTAGTCCTCGTGCAAGATTGAACAGGCGACTTTCGCCGGAGGTATCGTCTGCTTGTCGAATTCGCTGACCTTCTGGCGTATTTACAAGAAATTCTTGTACTGATCGATGCATGAAGGTCACATTCCCGTCATTGGAAACCTCGAGTAAGCCAGCACACTGTATCGGCAAACGTTTAAATATCCTCTCAATTTCTGTGCCAAGATCCTCGGCCAATAATCTAATATCAGCCGTCAGAACTGCCGTTGCGAGCCTCGGATTGAGTGCTAGGGCCAAAATCATAAGGTTGCTTATTTGCAAAACACCTCGACTTTCTATACATTCCAGAACGAGGTTGAAGTATTGGGCAGCTGTTTTTCGATAAATCACCTCGCTATCATTTAGACGCCGCCACATTTGTTGATAGAGCGTGTTTAGATCGTTCGGTAATGCTTTAAGACGGGATTCAAGCTCGGCTGGGTCATCGTTATTGCAATAACCGATTTGAATACTTTTCAGGGCCAAGGTTACCCACAGAAATACTCCATCAGCCTTATAACAAACGTTGTAAGCGAGACGGCTGAGCCCCTCCGTATCATCAATTTTCAGCCCCTGTAGAGTGTCTATGGCATACTTTTCAATGTCGAATTGCGTCAGATCCTGTACTCGAAGCTGAGGGCAGCTGCTAAAGTATCGTTGGAACACAGGCTCTGGTCGACTCGAAACGCATACTTGGACATTCGGAAGGGCACATAACTCGTCAAGGAGACTTGTCAGCCTTGTTTGGCTATCTTGGGTCCCGGTTTCATCAAGTCCGTCGAGGAAAATGCAGATATGTTTTGCATATGCCGAGAAAATGCAGACAGTTACTGCAAGGAGTTCTTCGTTTGACCAATCCGCGGGGAATATTTTCTGCCCCTTATCAGGAAACCTTTCCAAGACTTTATCGGAGAGCTCAGGTTTCTTAAATAAGAGTTGATAAATCAACGAGCAAAGAGTGCCTTGTATGTTTCTCTCAAGTGGGTGCCCCGCAGCCCACAGGAAGTGGGATAAGATAATGGTGTTTCCGTTCAAATCAAGGATGGACTTGGTGTGTGAATGCTCGGCCAAGAACTTCATCAGTACGCTCTTTCCTGACCCTGCTTTGCCGTTGATCCAGTATGAACGTTGCTGAGCAGCTTGCAGCCATTCAATAAACCCAACCTGACCGGTTTTAGGGGGTAAATGAGATAATGACACCACCGAATCCTAGTAACACTTTTAGCTTATAATGTCATAAGACAAGGCTCCAGTGAGTTTTCCTATACCTGGCTATTAATGCCGTTGTCCGCGTTAACAGCGTCAAAGACCCAAGAGAAAGTATCATCGTGGTTGGTTGGAATTTGATTCCGGCGAGCATTCAGTGTTTCATATCTGAAGCTCCCTAACAGCCTTTCACGCTCCTCTTTGCTAGTCTGATAAAGTGTGAGATCCTGAATTTGAGACGAGATATTGTCCTGGACTTGGCTTGACTCGGAGGAAACAACGGCCTTGAATGACTGCGCGAGTCCTCTCGTTTTACCATCGATGTGCGCCTTTACTGCAGCAGACTCGCTATTGATGAGCTGTTCGAGGGCCGTTTGGTTGCGGGAACGGGCTTCAATAAAGCCTTGCAAAGTCGTATCGAGCTTGTCATAATTAGATAGCTGTTGGATAAGGATCGCGTCGTTCTTGTTGCTGTACGAGAATGGTCTTACTCAGATTCGCTATATCATTGGCAGGGGATCATTTCATACCAAATTCGAATTAATAGTCCGGTTTCCAAAATATGTTGTCGGTCACGCATCGCTTTCTCGAGCTTCTTGATCCTTTTGCTACCCCCTAATGTAGCCCTCAGCCATCCATTGAATGCAGCAGAGTGCTTTCCTTTGGCCATTCTGCTGGAGATCTTATCCAGCTCAGCCTTTAGCTCCGCTGCTGTGTCGAGACTACCCTGAGCAATTTCTAGTAGCTCCTGCTCTTCCTTACCAAATGGCAGCACATGCCCCAGTGATTCCCTCAACCGCTCTAAGCTCTCAGTTATGTATCTGGTTGTTTGAGCAAGTTGAGGGTCGAGGGATCTGTTTCGTAGATAGTCTTGCACATATGGGCTCCGTCCTGTACAAAACCAATAACCTGCATGACATTGCAGGCGAGACCAAATGCCACAAGCGCCTCGGCACCGGACATGATTAAATGATCGCACTCAAAGATGATTGCCGGTATATTGTAGAGGTGCGATGCGGGGTTAAACCTGTGCCGGTGTCTCGTGGGGCGTTTTCAGCCGCACTAGGCTTGGTCCTCCGGGCAAAAGTACGATAACAATGGCATTCTCACTTCGGTCTTCCTATGTCATGTCTTGGCTTTCCCCTTCCGAATTAGGGCTCAGACTCTCGCCGCTTTTGCTCACTGGGTAGATCTGGACGTGCTCAGATCTGGTCAGTGAGCTTTAGGTAAGCGCTCTGATCAGCTCACTGACCCCGTAGCCTAACCAGTACCTTGATAGAACGTACTACGCTAGTCGTATTCACCAAGATCCCCCCCCCGGAAGATTCCTCCCCTAGCCCCATTGGAAAGTATTGGCATCAACATTTTGACATCCCGTTTTGGTCACTTGCGGCTATTTATTACATTCATTACATCACAATGAAGCCTATTGAATGATCACCCTAATACTTTAGACTACATAATCCCAGGAACCCTTCATCTCCTGGCTCTATAACGGGTCTCTCGTAGTAATACTAGTCTTAGGATATCTATATAAGCCTACTCTAAACTAGAACAGCGTACCCTGTTAGTCGTCCGCTAGGAACGAATAGTATATAGATAAGGGTAAGTCTTTTTCCTTACCTTCAAGCGTACGTTTTAGAATCCCGTTCTGGCAACCACTATCTCTTTTGGGAAAACTATTCCGTTTTTCTACTCGTATTACTCCTAGAAACCTAGCTATTATGATATTCACGATGAGGCTATTCATATGTTGATATCAGTGCCTTAGGCGCGTAGGGACGAGGCCTCTGCTAAGGCAGTGGACTCGGCGGTTAGCCGGTAACCCCTTAGTAGCGATTCGAGATAGCCACGCTATATATAGGCCGCGCCCATAGTATATGCCACGCGTTAGCTATACGGTAGCCCTTCGGTATCATATCCCCCTTACTTCGTGTTTGTTTCCTGTTTGCATGAAAAAATGATGTATTTAAATTGGTGCTCAAGGAGCAGGATTTTAACTCCTTAACAAACAAAACAGTCTCTGACATACTTGGACTTAGTGCTTTGATCTCATACCTAGTTGACAGGCTTTCTACCCTACAAGTAGTATACTCTTAACACATCGTATATACATTCCCTTTTTGTTGTATCGGTGCATCATCCGAACTTCCGTGACCGGGCAGATCGAGGGCGAGGATGCGGTGCGTTTGGCGGAGGGGTGTTTTGCTTAGTAGTGGTGGCACATTCGGGTGTAGGAGCTGTTGCCGTGGATGAGGAGGAGTGTTGGTTTGGAGGACGGGGATTGGGAGAAAGAGGGATTGGAGGTGTTGGAGTCGAGCATGTTGATTTTGCAGGTTGGGGTGGGGAGGTGGTATGGTTTTATGTTTGGGGTTGGTGGGAATGTGAGGGTTGGGTTTTTGGCGGCTGGACTCATGGTTGTCGTGGGTTGGGGAGTGGTAACCTCCAGGTAATGTGTTGGCTTGTGTATGGGTGATGCGCTGGTGAATTGGCTTGTAAAGGCGAGGTAATAGTTGGAGTATCGATAATGGCGTTATCAATCGAAGCGGCGTAAACATTTTGGCGCGATATCTCTTGCTTAGCTTTATTTTGCTGTCTTCGACCTCATTACCGCGATACTTGCTTCCTCCATAGGGCGATGTTCGTTCTAGGTGCATGGCTCACTTCCGAGTACTACGAGAAGGCCATTGCCATACTCCAGGCTCAAGGTTATCCAACGGACACTAGCCTACGCCCTACGCTCTGTGGGAGGTGTATCGATAAGGTAAGACCACGTCGCTGCTATTCAAAGAAGCCTGTTTGCGCTAGCTGGTGACGGAAAGAATATTATTCTGACAATGCATTCTTATGGCGGAATCCCTGGAACAGAGGCCATCGAAGGATTAGCGAAGAGGACAAATAGGCGCCAGACGGACAATTATCGAGAAGAATAAGTAAGGTATGAAAACACTATTGACTGATTAAGCTTGAAGAGGACTCAACAAGTTGAATTCTCACACTAGCGAACCAGGGTCAAAAGACCGGGACGGTATGGCAGGAGGTTATAAGCGGCCGTCGAGCTAGGATCCCGTCCTTGATAAATCAACTGCAAGTTGCACGGATCAACGGGCATCGTTTGATCAGCGCTGCTGCGAATAAGATCACCACTGCTGATATCATTGGTCCAAGTAGCGCCACTGTTAGCCTTGCCGGCGAACGGAGCAGACTCGCTCGTGGCCTGCGGCGTCCACGAGCCGCCGAGATTGGTAGCCGTGAAGGAGCGGAAGAATCTGCCGTTTGCGCCAATGCACTCCACAATCATCAGGTACAGGTTCTGTCCTTGCACGCGATAGACCTGCACAGCTTCGAAGAGATTGTATGTTGAGTCGCTTAGGATCGTGGTGTAGGATGTGCCAAAGTTCGATGGGAAGTTGCCGATCGGCATAGAGGACCGGTAGATGTTGCCATTGTCTCCCGCGAAGAAGAGATACATTGTGGTGTCATCTGCGATGAGCGCCTGGTCGATAGGGCTGGCTCCTCCTGAGAGAGAGCCGCTGAAGAGCGACTGGGCAGAGGACCATCCATTCGCGTTTGTCGGGTCACTGGATGTCATGTACATGAACGGGCTGGGACCCCATTCATAGGCCATGACCCAGATGTTCTTGGGCGCGAAGTAGAATACTTGCGGGGCAACAGCACCGTGGCTCATGACGTTCTGGCTGGCGGAGGACATGGCATTCCAATCTGAGAACAGACCAAAGCCTAACGAGCCGTAGCTGCCCGCGGTGTTGACATCGGACGCATACACAAGGTGCTGGCCGTTGTATGGCACGGCAGTGAAATCCTTGAGAGAGACGAGACCCGACGCAGGGTTTGCCAGAGGGCCGGTAGATGTCCACTTATAGACTGAGGGAAGGCTACAGGTGGACGTGGACGTCGCCGTTGAAGTCGGGTGGACCGTCGAAGTAGTCGACGTTGACGACTTTGTAGTCGTCAAGGTTGTGCTGCATGGCAGACATTGAGAGTACCATGCATTGGAGTAAGTGCAGCAAGCCCCTGAGACACAGGTCGTGGCTCCAGTCCATCCAGTCCCGCCGCCTTCGTGGATTCAATTTTTAGTATTCTTCATCCGGTGGAGCCTATAGTTCGAGGGTGAGACTACTTACACTGACCATAAAGTGCTGCTTGACCTGCTACTACAGGCAGAATCAACGACAGGCTAGCAAGCGACCTCATTCTGACAGACACCAACGACGGCAGCAGAGTCTGCAATAGATCTGATGCTATCGAAGCTTATTGTAATAAGACCGCCGCCGGCGTCTGCGTGCTTTTTATAGGCATTGGCATAATCCAAGCATGACAACGGAACACTCCCTGGTAGGTCCGACATTTGACAAGGACCTCGTTCCGAACAGAGCTAGAATTAGGCTAATCGCGAAGATCAAATTTTCTCCAAAGCATCTTCTTCGGGCGTGATCCGATACCGCCAGCAAACTCAAAACCTCGGAGGGGGTCGCATTAACAAATGCGGAGAATTTGCGTGAACAATCCAATTAACCTAGTAATCCAAAGGGGGGGGGGGAGCTGAAACATCTTCGGCAGCTCTTTCTTCTGGAGATGCCGGTGTGCAGGGCGTGGATGTGGGGCGTTCTTCAGGGCCCTTGGAGATCCCGGGGATTATGGGGAACCTGAACCTTAACGGGGGACATTTGAAGTAGATCTTCGCCTTGATTGACCATTGTTTGGGGGGGATCTTTTTTTTCTTATTTTGGTGGCAAGACACACGCGGCATAGTTCACGCAATACTTCCTCGCCACAATACCTGCATGCTATTCCCTCTCCTCTTCTCCCCCATGAGGCGTCTGTGAGAGCAACTCCGGCGGGGTGATCCGGGGTCGTGGGATAAATCCGAAATAGTCACGGTGACCACGGCTTGTCGGGTAAGGAGGGTTGCGAGGTCCGGAATTAGCCAGAGTTGCACTCGGCACTCGATTATCGATAATCCTTGCTTGAAGGGGTTGATATGTACGCAAATCATATTTCTGTTAGAAGTCAGGCTAAACAGAACCCCTCAATGCAACAAAACACGATTTATCCAATTCATCGGGAATGTCTGACCATCATATCTTGATATGGGAAGTCTCGTGGAGAACTGCAGATGGTCAAACGCCCACCTGTCGTGCTATAAGTAGCAAAAGCCATTTGATCTGCTAATAGACAGTGATTCGTGGGCTTATTGACTGAGTAAATACCAAATCTTGTGCCTCACAATTCGCGATGAGAGCTTTTTCACTCCTAAGCCTTATTGCCGTTGCCGTTAGTGGCGCCACGTTCAACCAGCCCGTCCTCTGGGAGGACCTGGCGGACCTGGATGTCTTCCGTGTCGGAGACAAGTTTTACTACTCCGCATCTACTATGCACTACTCACCTGGTGCACCCATTCTTCAGTCTTCTGACCTTGTGAATTGGGAGTACATCGGCCATTCAGTACCCTCACTCGATTGGGGCTCCAATTATGATCTCCAAGGAGGTTCGGCGTACGTCAAGGGAATATGGGCCTCGACTATGAGATATCGCGCAAGCACTGGGACCTGGTACTGGATCGGCTGCATCGAGTTCAGCAAGTCCTACGTCTTCACTTCGTCTTCCGCTACAGGGCCATGGAAACAGAGTAGCGTCATCAACACATGCTACTATGACTGCGGCCTTCTCATAGACGACGACGACACCATGTACATAGCGTACGGGGGCACCCAAATTCACGTCGCTCAACTCTCTTCAGACGGCCTCAGCCAGGTGAAGACGCAGCAAGTGTTCTCATCGACCGTGGGATCAATCGAAGGATCGCGCTTCTACAAAATCAACGGGCAGTACTATATCTTCAACACTCTCCCTGCCAATGCGGAGTATGTCCTTAAATCCAGCAGCCCCTGGGGTCCATATACCCAGAAGCTGTTGGAAAGTAATATCGCGACACCGATTTCTGGGGGAGGAATTCCTCACCAGGGAGGCATTGTTGATACCCCCAACGGCGACTGGTACTACATGGCCTTCGTGGACAGCTACCCCGGAGGTCGTGTCCCCGTTTTGGCTCCCATTACCTTTGGGTCGGACGGATTCCCTGTCATCACTACTGTGAATGGAGGCTGGGGAACTTCCTACCCCTATCCGATGACGCCTCAAGTGCTCGCCAGTCCGACTGGAGCCGATACTTTCCAGGGAACCTCCCTTGGCCCTCAGTGGGAATGGAATCACAACCCTGACTCGTCATCATACTCGATAAACAACGGCCTCACGTTGCGCACAGCCACAGTGACGAACGACCTCTATGCAGCTCGAAACACTCTCACGCACCGCATCCTCGGTCCTCAGTCATACGCGACCATCCAGCTCACTATTGGAAACATGCATTCGGGCGACCGCAGCGGCCTGGCTATGCTTCGCGATTCCTCCGCTTATGTGGCTGTCATCAAAAACGGCAGTACTTTCCGAGTGAGCATGGTCGAGGGACTCACTATGGGTTCCGGCTGGACCACTCTTTCAACCGGGCATGAGGTATCCGGACTCAATCTTCCTAGTGGGACTTCGAAACTCTGGTTGCGCGCCGCTGCCAACATTCAGCCGGGTAGCGGCCGGACTGCGAGCTTTTCGTATAGCATCGATGGCTTGAACTTTGCAGGCATCGGCACCCCGTACGTCCTGAACAATACCTGGAATTTCTTCATGGGTTATCGATACGGCATTTTCAATTATGCCACTTCGGCACTCGGAGGGAGCGTGGTGGTCAACTCCTTCGATATGGAGAGTGGAGTTCCATCCACCACAACGGCTGCTTTTACTACGACTACGAAGGCCAGCACGACCAGCACCACATCGCAACCCAGTACTATCACAGCTGTCCCCACAACTACAGCTGGAGCCACTCAGACAAAATGGGGACAATGCGGGGGAAGTGGCTGGACAGGTCCAACCGCATGCGCCGCAGGGTCGACCTGTTCGGCCGGGAACCCGTACTATTCTCAGTGCGTGTAAGGCTGGGGGGTTTGCGGGGGTGAAGGACTTGGCAACGGGAGAGCCAGCCGCAACTGATGTGACGCGGGATTCAGCAAGCTAAGTCCGGTCAGGCTCGGCAAATGTGGGGGGTTTTTCCATTCAGAAGCTCCAAGCTCACGGCCTGGGGACTAGACATACTTGGGGATTTCGGACCGATGGCTAGCCACCATGTATATATGCTAGGTAGAATCCTACCAGACCTCAGTGCCCCACCTGGCATAGGAGGAATGTTACGTATAGTAACCTACCTAGACAGATATCCTCGTTTGATGACCCACGGGCCACTTTAGAAGCCAAAAGGCACTTAGAGAACGATTCGAGGAAGAGAAAAAATAACGCAGAGTGTATATATACCCTGGATACAAAGCTAGCAAAGTTGACGGTCTGCGCTTTACGTCCTGTAGATGGCCGTATGTATACACAACGACCGAAAATAAAGGTGATTTGATTTGAAGCAAAAGAAGAGATTGGAGTAAAGGCCAACACAGGGAATGGAGGTCAGCTTACATGGAACACTCAGGCCGGAGACTTAACCTATTTCTAAACTATGGATGTAACAGTGCTAGAGAAGGGACGAAGGCTCGATAATGTCAAATCTACATGCCGCGAAACTGTTCTGGACTTCGTGGTCAAAAATGAGTAACTTGATATCAAACCAGCAAAAGAATTGGGACGGAAACATTGAAAAAAGTCCAAACACCAGCTCATTAATGGTAATCCTAAATTAAAATGATCATTGCGCCATGTAACACGAAGATTGCTTCATCCTGCAGTCACCCAGTACCACCTGTCCTCATTTTGTCCAAACCCATAACCACATACCAAATCTCTTCACATTCTCAAACGAGAACACTGGATCAGATAACTCAAGCCTGCCCTTTCTCTTATCACTGGATACCTGAACACAATTCCGAAGATCCTTCGACCTCTCTGGACCCCATTGTGAGAATCTAAATCCATGTCTGCGGATCTTGTAACAGACGACAAGCAAGAAAAAGACCGGAATCTGAATTGTTAGCAATTTCTCTACACGACTGCTGCGAGGAACGACATACACTGATATATGAGGCAATGAATGTGCGAGCATCAAACGGAGTAGTTAGAAATGTATCGACACCGTTAAATAGAAGTAGAATGATGCAGGCTACCATTCCATAGCCCGCTTTCAGCCACTGTGCGTGGGATTTATAAGGGTATCGGACATGGTTTCGATCGTAAGTTGCAGCCTGGGTCTGACTAGTGTTGCCATATTGCTTTGCTTCGTCCAGTCTGTGATGATCAGCAGTCGGTTTTGAGGTGGGGGTGATTAGTGGGTCATGGGTTCTTACGCTCGGTAGAAGCATAGGTATGTCGCACAGATCGTAGCGTAGACAATCAGGAATGACACAGTACAGTTGGAAGACAACTCGTTGAGTCTCTGTTCAGGGCGTCAGATATGGAAAAAGCCTTCCCTTCACCTATTCTATACTTACAGAGCCAGTGGCCCCAGTAGGTCCCAGATATGCAACAAGCATCACGGCCGCAGATAATAGCACAGCTCTCATCGGCACGCCAGCACGACATTGCCTCAACCTCCGCGTGATGAATTCGGGTCCAGTCTGGTCTCGCAATGCAAGAGTATGCAGGACTCGCGATGCCACATATAGGTTGTCGGCTGCGCATGTGGCTGCTGAGAACAGGAACATCGCATTGAAAAACTGACCCAGCGCAGGTAGACCAGCTTCGACAGCGGCAATAATAAATATTGAGCGGGATCCAGTAGACTGTCCCTCGCCATTGATGAATGGGTGATCTGTCGGCACCAGGAACGATGCGGTCAGTACACATAGGATGTATAAGGTAATTATACGAAGAGAAATCTTCCGCGAAGCCATTTTCATTGCCTCGGAGTCTGCGAGTGCCTTGCTCTCGGCTGCTGTAATAGTGACCATATCCATGCCAGTATATGCAAAGAATGCACGAGTGCAAGCGGTCCTAGATAAAGTTGATAGGTTAATTGAACAAATTTTATGTCTTCTAGAGGCTTGACCAGACGCACCACACACCGAGGAATTGCCCCGTAGATCCTGTGATAGTTTGATCGAGGTTCCCGTATTCATCTTTGACCCTGTGGACCGAGTTGAAAAAGCCGTATGGAGGGTTCCAGTCTAGGTGAGAGTTTAGTTCAGCATTCTGTGTTGAATGGCAGGTAGGTACCTACATTTTGTCCCTACAGAATTGCTGTAATATGCATTTGACCGTGCTGTATGATTTTGTATCCATTAGCCTGGCAGCCCAAGCACAGCTTTGTTAGTGATACTCACGTTGCATGACGTTGAGAATGAACATTGTTAGAATCAACATTGTGATAAACACAATTTTGATGCATCCGACGAGGTATTCGAATTCTCCAAAGTACTAAAGATACGGTGTTGGATTATGGAAGAAGCGACAGCTTCACCTTGCGCAGACTCACCTTCACCGGGATCATATTCAAGATCACCACCGCAACGAGAAACACTGAAATCCATATGGCAGGATTAGTGTGCATGCCTGTTTCCCAGCTAATAAAAGTGTGATCATCGCCGTATTGAAATCGAATTGCAGATGCTACGGTGACTATTTGGTCGGCGCCCATGACTACGTACGAGAACCTTAACGTCGTTAGAATGATCCAAAGTGATAGTGGCCATAGCACATTACCAGTAAATCCACCCGACGGCGAAGCCAACACCTCGATCCAAGAATCGACGCGGGAATTCCATCATTGGAGCATTGACGGGCATCAAGGCAGTCATTTCACCGACAGAGGAAATCACCGCCGAAATAACGGTACCCATGATAGCGTAGGCGAGGACTGCACCACCAGGCCCGGCAGTAGCAAGAATTTTGCCACTACCAAGAAAGAGCCCTATTTGACACTGGTTATCACAAAGTCTCCCAAAAAAGGAAGTGGTCAAATAAGGTAATTGACCTACCATTGCCGATGGTTCTACGTCGAGGAGAAACATGATATCAATGTCAGTTCCTCGATGAGAAGGGAACACAACAACATACCCAGTAAAAGCAATCATCTACCCTCGTGGTAATAAGTACAGTTAGTATATGTAGTTACAAGGCTTTAATTCACTGACAATTAACTTACATTAATTTGTCTCTCATTCAGTACTCTCCTGGAGGATGCCGTTAGAACAAATCTGCTCTTAATTGGTAAATTGATGCTCACCATAAACTATCACTCTTGCGGTCACGATTACCCTCATCCTGAGATCCATCGTCAATGGACTCATGTTCTTCAGGATTAATTTCAGGCGGATGTAGGGCTGAGCTTTCATCCTTGACATCATGCGTTGGGGACTGCCATGCCGCCGCCATCTTTGTGAAGGACCAGGAGCAATTCAAAAGTTTGGCAAAGATGGTGGTCTTCACAATGGATCTCGAGTATAACGGACAGGACACTGCAATCTAGAGGAGAAAGGGGGAGTCAATAGAGTGGGAGAGGAAGGCTACATTGCAGAAGCCATGCATTATCACATGGACTCAGTCGCCTCAGCCTTCATTCAAGCAATACGAGGTGGACGTAGGCTCTACCAATGAAATAAAGCACTAAAAAGTTAGACTGGCTGTCAGGAGCGAACACGGGATATTCTGCGACTCGATCGGCGTTGACGAGTACAGCACTAGTCCTTATCTGCATCGTCACAGCCAGTCGATGTTCTAATTCCGGGGTGCCTACTCTTCTCCACCAATCACCACTCAACCCCAGATTATAGTTCTGCATACACCCCAGCAAGGGGAATACGAACAGCTCAGAGTACAGATTGGACGGAACCAAAGCTTTTGAGCCTAAGCACTCGTGCTCCAAGTCCGATCTGTTCTCGACCTAAAAAAGGACGTGCGTGAAAGTGTCAAGCAAACCTCGCATCCCACCAACACGTAGGAAATGGCGACGGCTCCACCATCCTCGTTATTAACGAGTTTAACGGGCGTCTGGAGCCTCTTAGCTCTAAGAAGCGATGTGGACGATATCATTATCGAACTACTCGGGCGCTTCGATTTGGAGAAGATCTACGCAGACTCAAACAAGGACAAGTACGCGGACTTGATTCTCTCTTTACTCGCTCAGCTTGACGTGATCTTCTTCATCCAGCGACTCACTTTACCAGCCCCAGCACGATCACCAGTTGGATGGTCTCTTGGATTTCTCGTCAGTTGGGAGGTGACTGTGCGTACCGTTGAATTTATTCTTCAGACCGTACTAGACGCTCGTGAAGTACTGTGGGATACCTCCTTTCGCGACGAATATCTAGCACGGCTGTTACTATCGACAGTGCGTATTCTCTTGCTTCACCCCAAACCTCCAGTGAATTCAAAGGCAAGAGACCGTCGAGACCGGTTCGCGCGCATCCAGCGGTCCTTGGAAAGAATATGCGACAGTTACCCCGATACAAATTCATCTCTACTAGCCGTTTGTAGAGCTATCGCAGACACACTATGCTCCGCACCCGATGCATTGACACTACCAACTAGACTAAAACAGGAGCTTCCATCTTTGACAGAGGATTTGGTGAGTGCCCTACGCTCATCTGGGCTACTCTACTCCTTTCTGGAGCAATGAACATCGATTTAACCGTTAGCCCCACCTGCTGTAGTATCCATTGCCCGACTGCCTTTCATCGTCCTCCATTGCAACTATTATACCTCAAAATGGCTCACCGCAGAATTGGTTATCACAGCTACTGGCTCTTTACGATGTCGCACACTTTGTTGTCGGCGCGAACGTCCAATTCGCGGTCAACAGTCAAAAGCTGGGCGACACGGAATTGGAAGCGGCCTCGAAGAAAACTCGCGACGCAGTCTTGTACGCAATCAATCGCATTAGGTCCCCGCCAAATCTTCCTCCAGCAAAGCTTGTACCGGTCATCAGTGAATCTTTTCGCATGATTCTACCCGATACCCCCGTGATGCAGCACGGAGCCGACAGCCAGGACCGGGATGGGAACATATCAGATGCTTGGGACATGCTGCGTGAAAAGCTCAGTTACCGTCAGATGATTCACCGCATCAGTGATCGAGCTGTAATGCATAATGTGTACCAGATCACGAGGTATATTGAGCTCCTGGATGATCCCAGTGACCAGTTGAAGTCGACCAGTCCACGATTATACGCGGTGAATTGCCAACAGTGCCATTTGATTGGATATTCCCAAGTCAAGAATATAGAGCACATGGGCCCGATCACAGTAAGTAATTTTCTACTCGTTGGTATAAAGTAGTAGTCATGATAATGATTTTGCAGGATGATACTGGTAAAGGACACGAAATCACTTTGCCACAGGACTCCACGTGCACCCTTTGTGGATCCAAAGTCACCATGTTACGTGAGGTACCACTTGCTCGATATACATGGGAGAGTCTCAAGTCAATTATCCCGAACGTGGAAGGAGTCAATATGGAACGGCATCTCCCTACACAATTTCAGCTATCACCACCCAAGGCCGATCAGCTACGCCGGGGCTCGGAAGGAACACAAGGGGGCTTGTCGTCCCCAGCACCGTTCAGCATCCCACAGAGACGATGGAACGGTAGTCGCACAGATTCTTCCGAGAATTTGTTCTCTCCCAGTAATCGAAAAATGAGCGACACTTCGCCGCCGCCGAGGACACCTAGGGCCGTAACCGGAGAACATCCCTTCTCAGCAGACGATGTAGGTGAGCCTTTCTCCAGGACAACATCGGTTGAACAATTCAGCAACAAAGGCGTCACGTTTACGACCAAAAGCTTGTCATCGAGTAGTGGGACTCGAACACTCTCGCCCCCTGATCGATCGAATAAATCTTCAAGGTGGAAATCACGGTTCAACATGGCTAGAAAGGATACAAAGGACTCAGCAGATACAAGCTCTCTATCTTCAGCTACATTAGAGTCGCAGAGACCGGAGGGGATTGATTTGAGAGCTTTAGTCAATCGAACGAAGGATGGCACGAAAGGGAAGTCCGGTCAGAATATCAACGTTTCTCTTTCGCAGGACTCGACCTACACGCTATTCTGGACGCATTCGAGTATCCAGATTTGGGATGTCAGCACATGTCCTGCCAGCTTCAAACATTCAGTCTCAACAGAAGGATTCTGCGTTCTAGCTACTGTCACTGGGCAGTACTTGGCGTACATGATTGGCGATAGAGATCAAAGGTTGACGGTAAGCGGTTTTCCTTTTCTACAATCGAGATGTTCTGTTTTACTGATGCTGAATATGGTATGGGTAGCTGCGAATCAAAAATCTTGGTCAAATGTCATTCAGCGCGATTGAGTATCGAATGAGGCCTTCACCCTGGTGTAGGTGCATGGCACTCTCCCCAACCGGAGGCTTTGTCGCCGTGGGATTCGAGAACGCAACTGTCGGCCTGTATAACTCTTTCGATTCCCAGTCTCCCCGGCCATATCGACTTCATGCTCGTCATCACCAGGATTGCAAAGACTGTCCTCCTGTCGACACGGTATCGTTTTCGAACGATGGGCTCGTTCTTGTTGCTAGTACCAGGAGCACAAAGAATGGAACCATTCAGGTGTACCGGTCACGATTCCCATTCTCGGAGTTCGAGGAGCTCGTACCATGCCGATATCGCGTTCCTCTTCACGAGTCAGAAGACAACGGGGTGTCATCCGTAACTTTCCAGCCTGGGACAGATGGGAGAGAAGACATTGTCTGTATTACAACATGGACACAGTCCGGCGTCCCTGTGCTCGTTCAGCCTAACGGCCACAAAACGGAAATCCAGTCACAAAGCTCGTCTTCCAACCGGCAGGGCAAATTGGGTCGTCGTATCCAGGCATCGGCTTTCGCCCCATCCGGACGAGAGCTGGCGTTAGTCAATGATCAAGGCTACGTCTATCGAATATCTGACCTAAGTTCAAGCCCAATGGATATTCGAAGGGTTGCAACATCTAAGGCCTTTCCAATCAAGTCAGATTCTTTTGCACTCGCGTTCGTGCCGCTTCAAGACGAGGAGACGATCATTATTTCGTGGTCTGATTCATCAAAAGCTCTGGGCTACGTGAAAAAGATACCAATAGTACCAACGGTATGTTTCACGTGGGTTTTATGAGCTCTACTGGTTCTATTCTAACTTCTTTTCTCTACCATAGGGTGAAATTTACCATTCTCCAAAGTCAAACTTCTTCGACGTCAATGTTAATCCTCACCCTGCCCAGTCGGAACTTCCAGAACGCGAATTCAAGGAGCCAGAAAAACCTCGCATTTTCCAGAAGCCTCCTGTAGAGCTTGAGGCGTCCGAGATTGATTTGAGCTCTAATAAGCGAGCTTCGAAGACGGGATTTTTAGGATCACTCTATGGCAAAAAATGAGCACCCCGACGATGGATTGAAATCTGTTTAAATGGTCTTCCCTCGTTCTTCGCTCGGCAGACGACCGGTCGAGTTGGTTTTTTGTCGTCTATTCTGGTATTTCAGTATCCTGGGGGATTTCTATGAGACGCTTCACAATACTCCCATAGCTACAACGGCCTGGCGCACCCAGCGTTTCTCAGACTCGCTACATGATTGACATAGCAATCTAATACAATTAATCTGATTATTAGAGATAGTAGGTTATCAATCGGGCGGCTCAAACTTCGTACAATGTACATCGAATGCTAGAAGAGCGAATTGTACCACATCTTGGTGTTTGGGATAGCATGCTACAAACTTTGCTGACTCGAGTGATGTTTATTTGATCTCCCTTGGGAGGGACTTCGCACTATTCGGTGAGCCTGACCCTGGGGACCCTCATAAAAGCGGCAATTGCCTAAACAGCCAAATCCACCAAGCAGAGACTATTACATTTATGTCTCTGCATACAAGAGGTCTCCATACTCCCGATTTTACATAGTTCATGCGCCGAGTCCAACCGACCCTTGCGCTAATGACTCTGTGAATAGAGTGCCATAAGATAGAGCGGGCACGTACGGTGTACAGTCTAGTAGAGTGGGGGCTGAGTCTGTGGGAACAATACCTCGTCGGTCTTAAGAGCGGCAGTCTAACGCCAGTGTTTACAATGGGGATAAGCAGTGGATATCGAGTTCCAGTGCCCCGGGTTGTATCCGGGAAAATACATATGGCCGTCGCGTAGGATCGAATTTGAATCATCCTGCCTGAATACCCTAGACCGACCGGATTTACAAGGACCTCGCAAAACATTATCGAAATAGTCCATGTTTAATCCCTAGCATCAAGATCAATAATACATATCAACCGAAGCCCCTCTACAACTCCGACGTAACATTCGAGAACTCGCCGCTCTCCAGCTTCGTCTTCCAGAAAATAGGGTTCATATCATCAAAGCCGTGGTGCACCCAGCCCTCTTCCTTGACGTGATACAGGTTGATGAAACCACCAGAGTATGCGTCACGGTGCATGGCAGCCAGAATGGCACGTCGGCCCAGGGCCAGCGCTTCCTCCTCACTCAAATCGTATCGGTAGTTGGCGTCCAGCACACCGTAGGCGAATGTCTGACCGGAACCGACACAGAACAGGTTGCCGGGCAGGCGGGTGCCGTCTGAATCGATGTAGTACAGGGCGGGGCCTTCTTGGGGGGTAACCTGTAAGTGGTCAATGTTAGTTTATGCCAGAATTGAAATCAGGGTATGAGACGGTGGGACGAACTCCTGCAAGCATAGTTCCCATGCTGAGACCGTAGCCCTTGTACGAGTAGGTCAAGTTGGCGAGGATCTTGGAGGCTGCTGCGACGGTAATTCGGCGCTTGTGTCGGATCTCTGAAAACCCATGTCGTCAGTAAATCATTCCACACGCCACGATAGAATTCGGTGCCTTCAAACTCACCATGCAGAGTGCACTGCTGACTCAAATACCGCAACCAATATTGACAATCCTACAAACCCATCTCGTCAGCACAAATTGCACCATCAAAGCTGTCTATTCTCCTCCTTCATTCGACAAGACTCACAGCAGCACCACCAGCCATCGTTCCCAGAAGACCCGGGGTAGGTTCATTCGTGGGCTTATCCTCGCCACGGCTCAACCGCGACACGGGGATAACCTTCTTCACTGTCTGGCTAGCAATCCAGTTTCCTGCTGTTGCTCGTGAATCGGTACACACAATCTATTCCTCCGAAAGGTATCGTTAGTATCTGGTCGTGTATTGTATGCGATGGTATCGAGGGGAGCTTACGATGCCGCCCTGGAACCGGAAAGCCAGGGTTGTTGTTCCGTGAGCAAGCTTGATCGGGCAGCTGGGGTTGGAGTGGTCATCGGTCATGGCACGGAGGAAAGCGGAGGGCTATAATAATGAAGTGAAGCGGTTAGTTAGATTTGTTTCTTTGATTAGGGGGGAAACTTGTTGTGCTGGGAGCTCCGCTCGCCGCATAGCTATGATGACGGGCTTCGGGGTCGGCCAAGGAACCGGTCAATCAACCCAGTCTCAGCCCAACCAGCTCCGAGTTGATGAATAGCTTCTTTGGTATTGGAGTGACTCACATTGGCGACGGGAGGAAGGGCAAACTTCAGGGACAACGGAGGAAGGCTCTCCGTGAGGTCCTGTTGCTCTTGCTCCGAGTAGAACTCATTCTGATGGGATGGGCGCGAGTATTGCGCGACGATCTTATCCATGTTGTGCGAATTAGAAGGAGAAACAAAGGGCTAAAAGTAAGATGATTCGGGGTAAAGTGAAAGGTTGGAAGGACAAGATGAAGCACGGGTTTGATGATGGAAGCAGCTCCGTTGGAGCTTGGGAGTTCCGCGTCACTTCTGGCGCCTATGGTCACGTGGTCCCGGACGGGTACGAAAAAACATCGAACATTGAAATTCAAGTCAAACAAGTACACTCTGCAACTGCTCTGCTACGTACACCGTGTCCGTATTTCAAAGATTTGAAGTCTTGGCCAATTTGATTTGGTCATCCTGTTCATTTTCATCGTGACCAGCATGAACAACCCATCCCCCAATCCTCCACATTAACAAGTACAGGAAGTGCAACATGGCTACAGTATATCATGGTAACAGAAGACAGACAGAAAATCACCTCGTCCTCCAGCGTAGCGGCATTCTAAGCAACAGGCTCTTCCAGCTGCTTGGAAGACGATGGGACCGCATTGCCAACTGCGACACCGCTTGGGCCAGCAGCCACGCTCTCCGTGTCCTGCTCCCGTTCATCCAGTCTACTGTCATTGACGTGAGTGGGGACATCCACAGCTGAGCTCGAGATGGGCTCCAAGGTCGGCTCCCAAGCACGGAGATCGGCTTCGGCATCCTCAAGGACCTGGCGTGCGTCGAACTCGTGATCATACGCCTGGCGCGTATCGCCGGGCACCACTGGGCTGTCGTCGATATAGTTCAGCAGACGACGGGCGTGGCGCGCCAGAATGATCTGCTTCTCTGCACGCTCGATAATTGCGGCAGTGTGGATATCAAAGGCCTCCTTGAGCTTTGTGCGAGTCTGTCATGCCTCACACATTAGCAAGAGTCTCACATCCTAACCCAGACTATCTCCACTTACAGTATTGGACAGCTGCGCCTCTGCAACTAGATTCTGCGCCTCCGCACGCACAAGCTCATGCTCCAGCGTGGTTAGACGCGTGCTTGTGGGGTCTTTGTACTTGAGCTTCGCAATCTCATCAGTCACCTTCTGGCGCTGATCCCGGGACGGCTGCACAGAAGCCTCCATGTTACGAATATGCTTCAGGACACCGCGATAATCCTCCAAGTTCTGCGCAAAGATGTCTTCCTGTTCTCCAATCTCAGACAGCATCACGCCCAGCTTATCAGAGATGTCGGAGACGGCATCGTCCTCGGTCGACTCGCCCCAATCCGAGAGAGCTGCGGCGATAGCAGCACGCTCCCGACCGGCGGTCTCGTGGGCACCGATGGCCGAGTTCTCGCTCTTGATAAGTCGGCTGAGCTTGCGGCTGAGCTCGGGCTGCTGCATGCCTCTGAAGGTGGACATAGTGAAGCGGTGGCGGCCGCCGCTGGGCTCTTTGCGAGAGCGGATAGACATGTTGCGGTTCCTATGGAAATGCGTCAGCAGACAAGAAGCTTGGTGAGTGGGCGAGTAAGTTAGCTTCGCACATCTTCGCTTTTTAGATTATAGTTATGGTGTGGGATGGTCGAATATATTCTGTAGTGTGTGCGGAATATGCAGCCTGTGCAAGATGTACCAGCCAGAAAATTTAGCAAGACGAGAGAGAGACAGGTTATAATGCACCTCTGGGGCAGCCAAGCAAGTGGGATGGCGCCTTCCCATAGATGACGATGCGCCCAACCCTAAATCGTGTCGTTGCTCTGCTGCGGGAAGCGCAATCCCGGGGACCGGGTGACGTCATGACGGGGAGGGGCGGATGCTGGATTCATGTACCATTCCGATTGCAGTCGAGTGCGTGAACTACGATCATTAGAGAGATCTAACTGGTTGAACAAGTATTTGTGATGAGCCGTGGAGCTCGGTTGAAGCTTGTTGTTCATGGATCTTTGGCCGCGGATCGTCGGTGCTCCACAGTTTGACGTCCTGGGCGTTTATCAGATGAGTGAGGTAATCCGGGCAGTCGAGACCGAAAGCTTCTTTCTGCCCGATCGAGTTAAACTCGTCAGGACTCGCGTTCACTCCGATCTCTTTCTTGAAGGTCTCTTCGAGTTGATCTTTCCCAGGGTTGGCTTGATATGACGACCGAGAGCTGCGTCTATACTCGATCGTTGCGATCGATATTTGGTCCACGTACAGCTTGCTACTCAAGGCTTAGGGCTAGTCATCTCTAGGAATTACATGAAGAGATAACCAAGCTATTGTAGATGTCCCCCGGGCTGGATACGTTCAGCCGGGTCAAAGATTTCTCTGTCAGTTTATCATACAACACAAAGAAGACATCCGGATGCAAAAGCAACCTTCCATCAATTCAAATCCCATACCACCCTACCCAACACACCGACAAACACCCAGAAGCAGACCGTAGCCCGCAGCGTGCTAAGCAGAATAAGAAAAGCAAAAGAGAAAACGCAAAATAGAACCGTAGCAAGCGCCTCCGTTAATTATATCTCAAAACCTCGTTTCAAGATTAGGACATCTCGTCCGCATCTGGATTGTGCGAGTGCTCGTTATCCGACGCATGGAAGGCATCGCCAAATGCAGAGTTGTCTAGGTCGGGCAAGTCCAGCCCATCGTTCTGCTCGGTGTATGCCGCTAGAGCGTCGCCGGCACTGTCGATGTTGGTGAAATCATCAAAGTTGGCGCTCTCGAGATTGCCCTCGCCAGCCCCGGCTACCGCATTGCCATCTTTATTCTCATTATTGACCATCACCCAGTCGCCAGTCTCGCCAGCGGTGCCGCCGCCTCCCAGCTGATTGCCCATATCCATGTCCACATCCCCAGAGATCTCGGCACCCGGCTGTGCAGGAGCTGCAGTACCGCCAACAGTGGAGCTACCGAACTGGTTGAGAAGATGGGAATCAGCCTGGTCAATCACCATGTCATTAGTGAAAGACTCAGGCTCTTCCTTCTGCTCCGGCTCGATCTTTTCTAGAAGACCGCCCTTCTCGACGCATGACACCTTGGGCTCGGGAACGATCTGTTTCTTCCAAACGGTTTCAACCTCGCGAACGACATCATTCACCTTGTACTTGGCCTTCTCTTCCAGGTAATCAGGCTGCGGGGTCTCGCCCTCCTCGTTGGGAACGATAATCCGGCCCTCCAATCGCCAAACTTCTGTGCCCGTCGCCGTGGGGTCAGCAGCGGCATCGCGAAGACGCAATTCGGCATCCTTGAACAGTGAACTGCGGTTGAAGCGTTCCATCCGACGGGCGTGTTGCTTCTTGAGCTTCTCAATCTCCGCAGTCATGTCGGCCACCTTCTTCGCGACGCGATCGGCAAACTCCTCTGCCTTGGCGGGTTCCAGCTTGGTAGCATCTGGAGCCTGGCCTTCTTGACCTTCGGCGCCAGCTGGTGCATCAAAGAATCCCGCTGTCAGCGATTCCAGCTCACCCTTGCGGCCGAGGCCGAGGGAGACTGGCGTGATTTGTGAAATTGCATAGTGGGATGCAAAGATCTCTTCCATCCATTCATGGTGCTGTACATATCGCATCTTGCTCACCTCGCGAGGAGTCAAGAGATCCATCACGTCACCACTTGCTACATCTTCGTCCTCAAGGGCGAAATCTGCCGCTGCCGCCGCCATCGCTGCCGACGGAGCACGGTGCGCACGTTGCGCCTTGCCCTGGGCTGGCGCAGGTGGTACTGCGCCTGGGTGAGCCTGGGGTGGGTAGAAACCGGGTCTTCCTGCCTGCGCATTCGCATAGGCAGCGGCCTGTGGTTGAGCAAAACCTTGGGGAGGTATCTGGGGAGGGAAGTTGATCGTAGGCCAATTGTTGCGGTCATGGAGGAGGAATTCTTTGCGAGCAAGTTGGCCCTGGCTCTGCAGATAGCGCCGCTGGCCCATCATGCTCTGCACTTGTGGTGTAACGGGGATACGGCTCGCGGGTATATGATCTTGCTGAGGCGCACGAGAATAATGAACGATCCACAATGACGGATCGGGCTGGGGAGCGTTCGGGATTTTGGAGGAGACGATGCGATAGCGCTTGCGACAGTGGCTGGCCATGTTTTCGTTGGGAGGGTGGTAACCGCTGCGGTGGAGGAACATTTCAACAGTCTGCGGTATGATAAATTAGTGATCGGGCTCTCATCCACAGTGTTGGCGCGCTCCCGGGGGATATCATACGTATCCTCGGGCTTCAAAGGTGAAAGCCTGCTCCGCATCGGCCCAGACGTATCCGTCGCTAGCGAAATTGTTGCCCAGGTGGGCAAGCGGTTGCCATGTGAGCATCACGGTGCCATCTTGTGGTCCATCCAGAAAGGTCCAATGCATGGGTTGGGTCTGGCAGACTCGGGGCGCGCTCAGCAGGTATTCCACAGCCGTCTCGGTCGGCATCATATGCATGTTAGGGTAGCGATTCCGCGAGACCAGGTGCATATGCGGGATCTATAATGAAACGGAAATGTCAGCTCTTGCGTTCCCAGTCATCTCATCTAATTCGGAAAGCACGTCGAACGTGTTTGATCGGGTTGGGGGTCGCCTACCAACTGTCCCGGGATACGGGACGCTGGGTCATCCATCTTGGCCACACCCGTTTGCGGGTACCGGTCTGAATCAATTGAATCGCGAGATGAGGTCAAAAGATTGTGGTGGATCAATCAGGATGTCACTGATGGGTGTAAAGTGTCTGCCCGGATCTGGTGAGGGCTGATGGAGCTCCTGGCAACGCGACGCGGAGGATTTTTGATGCGGTGCGGGAGGCGGTACATGCCAACTACACACGACACCTGAGGCATCAATATCCAATATCAGACCCGACCCTGGGCATAATGCGCTCATCATAGCTTGCACCGAAATCGCTCAAGTAATAGTGCAGATTGATCGAGAACGAACAATGTAGCTGTCTTGAATACTTGATCTGTAGTGGCCGATGTTGGCCTACTTAAGCTGGTTAGTCGGCATCATTCCGTCCTAAGAGGAAAGTACCGAATGCCTCAAGCTAAATCAAACGAATCGGGAATTGGACTTGCCGGTATTAATCGATCTTGAACTTCTTTCGAGTAACATAATATGCACATGATTTGAATTGTCATTATGGTATTTTTTGTCAGTGAAGTATATGTATAATTCTTGGCACTACTCATTAAGATGACTATCTAACCAATTCCTCCAAAAACGCGAGATGAAAGAGATAATAGCGCAATTCCAGTTGGTGGAACAGTTGATGGTCCGATCAAGATGTTTACGATGGCTTTGAAACTCTGTGCGCTCACATCGTCTTCACCAGTTAATCGGGTCGTCGTCGGACAAGACCCAAATATTCAGAAATGACTAAGATGTCCGATTCAGTCTGTCTGTCCCTACGGAGAGTGAGCATTTGCGAGACGAGCTGCAGGCGCATCCGAATAATAATTAGCTACTCCGTACCATTTATATAAAGTTTGAGGAAATAATTGGGATTTTGGCAGACTAGACCAGACCATACCCGAGAACAGGAGAGCGGTATACCACGTCGACTGCGCGAGTACTTGTGTATTTATGCCGGTTGTCTATTGGAGTAGTAATTTCATCTGCATTTCCATCGAGCGTTTCCCCATTTCCTTTCGCAGCCAATGCTCGGGCCAATCAATAGCGAACGTAGTAATGGCCCGGCCTTCGAATTGGCCGCCAAGGCCTCTCATCCCAACCCCCATCTCTCTCAGAAGAGTCACTAACAGTCTCGCTTGGGTCTCTTTGGCCGGGTAATAAGTCTTCAGACATAACTACCCCATGGGCCCATACCACCGTCTCCCTCGGCAAAGGTCCGCATCTCTTAACCGGAGTGTCGATCGCTGGCGGAGCTGACCGCGTGCACACACCAGTCGGTTGGCGATGAATGCGGGTAAGCATTTGGGGCAGCTCCACTCAAGCTTTTGCCATTTCCCCTTTTCTCCGCACAAACCACTCCATTGGAACCCCCACCGAGAGGGCGCCGCGGAGACTCGACGCCGCTCCGGCTTTGGGCTGTAAAATGTGGGGACGGCCCTGGTCGGCTGGGTCCTAGTGGCGCCAATGGTTGCGCCCCCCGACTCACCCTATCAGCCGAGTAGATGACGAGTCGCTGTAGCATCTGCGACCGTAACCCCCAGGGAGGGCCTTGTTTCCCCGCAGACTATAAGGGCCAATTCTTCCCCCGAGGGCCCGTCGAAGTCCGAGTTTTGCATCTTTTCTTTCTCTTCCCTGGTTAGTCTGGCCAACGTACCTGCCACCATGGGTTTCTTTGGCGACAAGAACCCATCAGAGGATGGAATTCAAAGAGCACCGTCGGATCAAGATGTCGAGAAGACTGTGCCTGCTCATCAGGAGAGTGGGCATGTCCAGCCTGCCACCATGACCACGACAGCTATTGACCCAGAATTGGAGCGGCGTGTGCTGAGGAAGCTGGATTTGCATGTGCCTACCTTGATGGCATTTTTCTGTAGGTTATGATCCCCTTTTTTCCATGGCCACGTATGAAAACAAGAAGGTTGCGTGCTGACAAGGTTTGTGTGACTAGATCTACTTGCTTTTCTCGACCGAAGTAACATTGGGTTCGTTAATACACCGCTCAAGTCGAAAGCGGGAGCTGCAACATTGACTAATGGGTACACAGCAATGCCAAAATTGCCGGCATGACAGAAGACCTCAATTTGACAGGCAATAAGTACTCGTGGCTACTGACGATTTTCTACATCTCGTATACTGTATTCGAGTTCCAGGCGTTGATGTGGAAGATCGTCAAGCCGCACCAATGGGCTGCCTTCGTTGTATTCTCCTGGTATGCACATCCTCCACGTGTAGATCTCCCGGATGCGTAAAGAATGCCGTCTAGATCATACTGACACGCTACATGGCAGGGGCCTGGTCGCAACGTGCCAAGCGGCTGTTCATAATTGGCAGGGCATGATGGCTCTGCGGTTCCTGATGGGCGTTTTTGAAGCCGGGTTTGGCCCCGGTGTGCCCTATCTGCTTTCTTTCTTCTATCGTCGCCATGAGCTGGGTCTCCGCTGCGGTCTTTTCTTATCGGCTGCTCCGCTGGCGAATACCTTTGCGGGCGCCCTGGCATACGGTATCACGTCGGGCCACGCAGCTATTGCAAATTGGCGACTACTCTTCCTTGTCGAGGGTCTGCCTGTCTGCGCTGCGGCAATCCTGGCCTGGTTCTTTGTTCCGGACAAGCCCTCATCGGCGAGATTCTTGAATGAGGAAGAGAAAGATGTTGCCCGGCGTCGCGCTCTGCAGCAGTCTGGTGAAGCGGAGCGGGAAGGCAAGATTCAATGGAAGGAGCTGCTCGAGACGCTATTGGACGCCAAGGCCTGGTTTACTGCGGTAAGCACTCTATCTGGAAAAAGATGATGAAAACATTGGGCTAATTTTCATCACTCCCAATCTGCAGTTGATGTACTTTAGCTGCAATGTTAGCTTCTCCTCCCTACCAGTCTTTTTGCCGACCATCCTCAAGGAAATGGGCTTCACGGCCATCAACGCGCAGGGCCTCACTGCACCCCCCTTCTTTGCCTCCTTCCTTTGCACTATTGCAACCACCTGGGTGGCGGACCGACTCCAGCAGCGTGGTTTGATGATCGCGGGCTTGTCAGCCATCGGCGGTGTGGGGTATATTCTCTGTGCCACCTGTGAGTCGGTGGGCGTGCGATACTTTGGCGTGTTTTTGGCCGCCTGTGGAGTCTTCCCGTCGATCGCCAATATTCTGCCATGGGTTCTGAGTGAGTTCACTCCCTATCTTGCGCCGATCCCAAATCCCAGATCGAAATTTCATTCAGTCACACGATCTTTTTACTAATCCACTTCGTGTACTAGATAACCAAGGCTCCGATACCCGCCGTGGTGGAGGTATCATCCTGCTGAACATCATCGGGCAGTGCGGTCCTTTCTTGGGCACCAACGTCTTCCCCGATACGCAAGCCCCACGATACATCAAGGGTATGTCGATCTGTGCGGCTTTTATGTTCTTCACTACACTGCTTGCATTGTGTCTTCGTTTCTTGTTGGCCTGGGAAAACCGCCAGCTTGATAAGAAGTATGGTCCCGTAGTCGAGGCCAATCCGACTAAAGGCGGCGAGGCTGCAGCAGAGGACAACTATGGCGCAAGCTTTAGATATGTGCTCTAGTATGTTCATTGGAAGGGTGGGGACGGTTCGCTGCTTTTTAGTAGAGTCGATGGGTGGGGCTCCACACAGTGAGCTTCCCGCTGCGATGACTTGGTATGATGTCAGGACCTTTATGATTCGATGTATGTAGGAGACTTTACGAAATAAGGGGAAATTTATACTCATAGATAATCACGTATTTCAGTTATAGGAGACGATGCTCTGGAAATTAAGCTTTACGTTAGACAGTGTTTAAGTTACATATTCGGTGCGTATTAGCCAATGATTCGAACCAGACAAGTCGACTACGCACCTTACCAGTTGGCCCCAGACTCGAAAGATTTCTAGAAGGCACTGAGCTAGAACTCCTTTTTGTTATGACCTTGAGTTTAATCATCTCACAATAGAGTACACAAATTTCTTATCCGACATCAAAGCCAGGGCACTCAAATAGGAATACCTCCTAACCATCTCGGGATTAGTGTGGAGCAGCCACGCCATGAACCAAAGGCGGTGGCAACCGGAGGGGCAGAAATGCCGCGGAGGTGGAGATGAAAGCGGATCTCTCGACCAGAAACATCGCAGCCTGATATCGATAAGAACGTTGTTGACGCTGCATGGTGGGATTTTCACTCTATTGTGGCGCTCAGGGGTTTCTCCCTTCTTAGTGTGAGTCTATTTTCACAAGCGAGGCCGAAATTGACTGATCGTTGATCTTGATCCCGGTAGTCGCGGCAAACCAGGCCGATATCGAACCCGCCTCACCCAGCAGACCTCGATATGCGCCCAGACACTCGCGATCAACAAGAGGAGCTCGAACCCTTCCTCATATCCCAGGAAACCGCGGAGGACGAAAGGCTTACCACAAGAGTCTTTGGGCAAATTTCACGAACATGGCGCAAGGCTCAAGTGCTCATCGCTTCGGAGCAGGCGGTCGGTATCTTCAAGTGCAGCCTTGCATATCTACTCGCGTCGCTGGCAGTTTTCATACCAGTTATTGGTAGTCTTCTGGGCAACCAATATGGGAAACATCTGGTCGCGACTATCACCATCTACTTCCACCCGGCTAGGTCGCAGGGTAGTATGTACAAAGCACTGATATGCGCCTTCGTCGCATTCCTTTTCGCGACGTTCCTCTCCTTATCGAGCATGTGGGTGACTATCACTATTGAAAGAAAACACGATTTGATTGAGTTAGGCCATGCTGTGGTGCTGATCGTCTTCGTGATGGGCGGATTCGGATTTATCGGTTGGATCAAGCAGAGATTACAAGACCCGCTCGCCAATGTCGCATGCTCTCTGGCTTCGTTAGCCTCTATTTTGGTTATCACAAAAGAGGGCGCTGTCCAGACAGGGGACCTCTCCTTTACCAAGATCTCCCAGATCCTTAGGATGCTTCTTTTGGGCATTGGCGTTTCAACGGCGGTGTCGTTATCGATATTGCCTGTCTCTGCCCGGAAGAAATTCCGTGGAGACCTTTCTACCTTGACCGGTACAGTGACAGCGATGTTGATGAGTACCACCGAGAGCTTTCTCCGCGGCACTGACCGTGAACTACAAACCGCCGACTTTACAAAATTATATGGACACCACGATAAAGTCTTCGGTCAGTTGAAGACGCTGCTGGGTGAGACTAAACTTGAACACTACGTGGCTGGAACGAAGCGAGAACATTCTATTGAGAAGCGCCTCGTGAGTCTCATGCAAGATATCACACACGGAATAGGTGGTCTACGCAGTGCAGTGACTTTGCAGTCTAAATTACTTGCGCCAACAAAATATACGAGAACATCACAATCCTTGGCCAGGCCAGCGGAATTACCCAATCCTGCTATTCCAGCCTCTTCATCGCTAGCTGGAGAGTCGCAAGCTGTTTCATGGGAAGACGCACAGCCATTTGGCAACGGGGATTCAATCCTAGTGCCCGGCGTGGGACAACAGTCCTCTTCAATTCACTCTCCTGCTGAGATCTTCGAAAAGCTAACATCTGGGCTCGAGGTTTCTATCGTATGTATTACCAAAATCTATCAGCGGTACCCGAATGACGAACTTACTAATGATTGATAGCTATCACTCGCTCATACCCTGCGAGAGACTTTTGCAGAAATTTCCTTTGGACCTGCGCCGGATTATCGACTTTCTATAAGCGACGGGGTTACCGATCGCATCAATGAAGCAGTAGATCTATACCGAGAAGCTCGACATGTTGCTTTTTCTTCCCTGCGTCGTGATTGGGAGATGATATCTCCTTCTCAGGTGGACAAGGCCAGCCTTGAGGAAATCTTCGCGAATTGCGAGTATTTCTCCGTCTCGTTACTTGAGCTTAGCGAGCGGCTGCGAGAGCTGTTGCTAAGCTTAGAGGAGCTGCAGGCTGAGGTTAATGAAAGGCCTGATGGAAGATCATGGGAGTGGCTGCGTCCTTCGTGGTGGCCGGCTCGCCGAGAACAAGCCCTAAATCTCAATGAAGGTAAGTTAAAAATAAGCTCAGCTAGTGTTAGGACCGTGTCACTGATATTTTCATCTTCAGCCTCATCGTTAAGGAATACCAGCGCTGCCGGCAATACGCGAAGCCCATTACGAATAGCGAATACGAGCGACCAGTCTGGAGGGGTGCATCGAGGGAGCACCCGAAACTATAGAGCTGGTCAAGATGTTGTAAGACTGTTCGATTTCTTGCGAAAGGACGAAATCAAGTTCGCTCTCAAAGTAGGCATTGGAGCAGCGCTATACGCCTTACCTTCCTTCATATCCGTGACCAGGCCATATTATCTGTCTTGGAGAGGAGAGTGGGGTCTTATTTCCTACATGCTTGTCTGCTCCATGATAATCGGCGCGTCGAATACCACGGGCTTTGCTCGTTTCCTCGGTACATGTCTTGGTGGTCTTTGCTCGATCGCTGCTTGGTACCTTGCTGGAGATGACGCTGTCAAGCTCGCGTTGACGGGCTTCGTCATGGCCATCGGGCCTTTCTACGTCATTCTTGTCAAGGGACAAGGCCCCATGGGGCGGTTTATCTTACTCACCTACAACCTCTCTGTTCTCTATGCCTTCTCCCATTCGCAAATCGATATGAATGATGCGAATGACGAAATTGAACACCTCGATATCACCTCCATCGTCCTCCGTCGAGTCATCTCCGTCATCACAGGCAATATTTGGGGAATCATTATCACGCGGGGCATCTGGCCTATTCGCGCACGGACGAAGCTTGATGAAACACTCCAGACGCTGTGGCTTCGACTGGCCCTGGTTTGGGAATCCGACCCGCTGAATACGATATCCAGGGGTGACGCAACCACACCAGTTCTCTACTTGGACCCCCGCGACAAGGCTGAGATAGAGCACCTCCTCTCGCAACTCGACCCCATGCAGGCTTCTGCACGCTCTGAGTTTGAGTTGAGAGATCCGTTCCCAGATGCTGCCTATAGCAATGTCATTCGCTGGACGAGAGACGTTGTGGACAACTTTCATTCCATGGACCTGGTTTTGTCTAATCTCGCTGCACCTTCTGAAGGGCAGATGTCGCTTTTGCGACATACGGCCGTTGCTAGACAGAGAATGTCTGAGTGCATCGGTAATTCGCTCATCAGTAAGTGTTGAAACTATAAAACTCTCTCTGCCAAGGAAGCACCCGATGGCTGTTCCTTGCTAACGCACGATTGTTACCCTAGCCATAGCGTCAGCTGTTGATCTTGGGCATAGTTTCGATACCCCTACGAATGTAGAGCGGTCTCGTGACGAACTTCTGGCACAGATTTCTCGATATCGTCAAGACAAGCGAGCGTCCCACGCGACGAATGATGAAGATTATGTGCTGCTCTACGCTTACAGTAAGTTTTCCGAAACCGTTTCCGAATCCGCATGATAGATGCGCCTGACTGACGAACAATAGTCATTGTGAGCCGCCAATTGTCGAATGAGATTGTCCAAATCACGACAGAACTGGGTCGCATCTTCCCGGCTTCGGATGAGGATTTAGTTGGTGCTGTTCGAGTGTAATTTATGTGACTGCCTACGATTTTCTCGATTATACCCCATTTCAAATAGATCTCATTTTTCTTCCATACCATCGTACTCTGCAGCAAATAGCTGGAAAAAAGATGACAGAATGATCGAAAGAGGTCTAGATCCGTCACCTACTCTTAACTCATGGCACCTCCGGAGTATCCGAGAAGCATGTGTGTAGGGCATAATCATATTCGAGTAGCAGCATCGATAGCTCGCTTATCCTGTGCTCTCACCTTCGAGCAATTGTCATTGGCTATTAGTCGTGTGTATGATACAATGCTACTTTATGTGGATGGCCGAAGTCGGGGTGGATTCTCCAAACAAACTTCGTGGAGCACAGTATTCCGAATTCCGATGCCATGCAGCTTAGCGCTTATTCACGGTCTTCACGAAAAAGCGAACCTTCATCTCCATATCATTGGGTTTCATAGTTAACAACGGCACAACAAGGGCACAACAAGAAAGTGAATTGGCTTATTGGCTTTCTCTGTAGGTAGCAATAAGCTATCTGAATGCCCTTTTATGGTCAAAGCGTCAAGCTTCTAGCGAGTTTTCCACGGGTAACACACCGAACGACCATGGGTAAGAGAACGAGATAGGTGGAGGAAACGAATCATAAACGTCATTATTGTCTCAGGATCAACAATAGACCCCCTCTCAGTTCACCGGTCGGAGAGAGTCGGAGGGTGATGACCACAGGGAATAGCAGTCTCATGGGAGGTGGGGTCGGTCGCATATAAGGTTGTCCTGCCCCTCACCTTCGACTTCTTTTCCTCTTCTTCTGTTAACAATTTTCACAAAAGTCTCAACCTTTATTTAAAGCTTTCAGCTACTACAGTAACTATGAACCCCCGGATCATAGCTTTCAGATCTAACCTGGTCCAGATCCCAATCGATCAAGTACATACAGCCCCTCCCATCCGATTGGGAAGCCATCGATATGCTTTGGCTGGGCACATTATCTCTCAGGGATCAAGGTATCTCAGGTAACTTCTGGGCGTGCACCGGTGTTCGTTCTTCACGTCGGTGGCATTTTCTTCTCTAGCTTTGGTAGCCAACTACCTCACTCGCTGGTGTTGAAACTGCCACCGACGTGGGTTCGTTCTGAGATTATACGGTCATAACTTGATTTCTGGATAATACCAGCGAAAGGATCATGCCTTCCCCCTCTTCTCCCCCCATGATGGAAGTAGAAAACTAACCAAGGCTCTCAAGTCACTTCCACGACTTGATCCCTGACCCACTATGTCTCCTCCCGCTGCCATCTATGAGCCCGCTGTTGCCCCCACCGGCATCAAGGGTAAGGTGATCGTCCCCGAGACGCTCTCCACTACCTTGACCGGTCAGGGCCAGAGCAAGCTTCTGGAGCAGTTTGGCGGCAAGTGGAATGAGTTCAAGTTCGCCCCAATCCGCGAGAGCCAGGTCTCTCGTGCCATGACCCGGCGCTACTACCAGGATCTGGACAACTACGCCGAGAGCGACGTTGTCATCGTCGGTGCTGGTTCCTGCGGTCTCAGCACTGCCTACGTGCTGGCCAAGGCCCGTCCGGACCTGAAGATTGCCATTCTTGAGGCATCCGTGTCCCCTGGTTAGTCAATTAGACACCATGCCAGATATTTAGATAGTAGTTATACTAATCGAACAACACAGGCGGTGGTGCCTGGCTCGGTGGCCAGCTCTTCTCCGCCATGGTCCTGCGCCGCCCCGCAGATGCCTTCCTGACTGAGCTGGGCGTGCCCTTCGAGGAGGAGCCCAACAACCCCAATTTCGTGGTTGTCAAGCACGCCGCCCTGTTCACTTCGACCCTGCTCTCGCGCGTTTTGGCTTTCCCCAACGTCAAGCTCTTCAACGCCACCTGTGTCGAGGACCTGATCACCCGTCCCGACGGCGACTCCGTCCGCATCGCCGGTGTCGTCGTCAACTGGACTCTGGTCACCCTGCACCACGACGACCACTCCTGCATGGACCCCAACACCATCAACGCCCCCATCATCATTAGTACCACTGGCCACGACGGCCCCTTCGGCGCCTTCTGCGCCAAGCGTCTCGTCTCCATGAACACCATCGAGAAGCTCGGTGGTATGCGTGGTCTGGACATGAACGCTGCCGAGGACGCTATCGTCAAGAACACCCGTGAGGTCACCAAGGGTCTTATCATTGGTGGCATGGAACTGTCTGAAATTGACGGCTTCAACCGTATGGGCCCTACTTTCGGCGCCATGGTCATGAGTGGTGTTAAGGCTGCCGAGGAGGCCTTGGCTGTCTTTGACGAGCGTCAGCGTGAGTGTGCCGAGTAAATTCGGTTTCGCTCCTACTTTTGATGATGATGACAGTCACCGTGATGGTCGGGGATATGAATACGGTCTAGTTAGCTTTTTGTTGCTCTTGATATGACAATGCACCCCACACTCATTATGTGCAGCTAAAATGATCCGGATCTCGTAGATTGGTCAACAAGTAAAAAGAATTGGTGTGGAAATTCGCAACTTGCGATAAACTCTACCTGTACTGTAAAAATGGTTCCCTTGCGCTGTAGCGATCCTGCATGAACGTCCGGTGGTCATCGTGCCTGGGTAGTGTCGGTGACGGCCGACAAATGGAAGCTTGTAGCTTTTTAATTTGGCTGACTGACATTCGATCAAGAAATTATGTATTAATTCAACCCATTCGCATAGAATAGGGCCTACTAAGTTATGTGTAGTACAATATTTGAAGTCATCAGGGATAACAATATACAACGTAGAAAGCCGGGAATCATCCAGTCTCCTACCCCTAGGAGCTTCCAGGACGGCCCTTTTCGGCCGCGAGAACGAGACTTCTCGCATTCCGCACCTCCCATTCAAACTCTTTCAGCGCACGGAGCTCACTCGAGACAAAGAGTCCACCGATCAATCCATCCAGAATACCAGCGCCGAAGTTCAGTGTACTAACCAGGATCAAGATGAACCCAATATACGTACGGCTGCCGACCCACCACACGCCAACCATGCATCCGATAGAGACGAATACAGATACGATGAAATGGATAAGTCGCCAGCGACGCTGTGATCGCTCGCGGCGAACGTATGTATGTATCATGTCGATAATCAGGTCGTATGTCTGCGGAGACAGAGCGGTGTTGGGTGCCAGCGAGGTTGAAGTCGTCTTTTCAAAGGTGGGCGAAGTAGGTGAGGGTGCTGATTCAATCTGAGTTGAGGGCAAAGGAGCTGCTCCGACTGGTGATCGAGTAATGACGGCCTCGACAGCGAAGTGGTCGCTCAATGAGCAACGGAGAGTAGGATGACGCTGGGTCATGCCGACCTGTGCAGACTCGACGGACCAGCGTGGTGGAGGGAAATCCGGGGCATAGCCACCGTCGCCGACAAAGATATAGTCCAGACGTTTGGCGCGAGCGTCTGGGGCGTCCTTGTCTACAGGTATATCATCGCCCTTGTCGAGCTTTTTCTGTAGAGCTTTTGACCAGCGCCATGTATTGAACGCGCCATCGCAAGTAGCACCATTCTCGATCAAATTGAATTCAGCCGATGGGATCGGTCGGTTTCGTGCCTTTTCGACGGCGTCAATGGCTGCGCCAACGGATGAGTCGGGATGTAGCTCGCGCCAGACATCACGGACAGGGCTCTGGGCAGATATCAAGTTGTGGGCAAACGAAGATGGTAGCATGTTAAAGTCCCCGAGGCCAATGACTAAATGTCCACGCTCAGCAGCGCCGCGCATGAGCTTGGAGATTTCCCAAGCTTGAGCAGTACGGTGGCAAAGATAGGAATCGTTCGGCTCGCGCTCATAAGGTGCATGCAGATGTGTACAAAAGACCTCGGCGACGTCAGCCACCCCAGGTCCGAATCGAACTTTGGCACAGGCGACTCCTTTTCCCACGAACCAGTCACCCCGGAAGAATGCCGTTGGTCGTCCATTCAGCGGGTACGCAAACATGCTGCTCTCTTCGATGGGCCATTTCGACAAAATGGCCAGTCCTGCACCAAAGATTCCTCCAAAATAAAACTTGCCGTATGGCAGTATGTGTCGAGCTTGGTCGCGAATGCTCTCGTAGTCCTGCTGCGTCCAGCACTCCTGCAGGCCCACTATTTCTGGCGGCGGGTTTGCCAGAGCCAGCTGCCGCCCAATCTCGGACAAACGTTCATGACGATACTTGGAGATGTACTTTAGACCCCAGCAATTGAGGGTCAGAATCCTAATGTGAGTCGGAGGCTCATTCGGAGGAAGGGAAGGGGCCATTTCAGCCAAGCTTTGCAAAGGTGGAAATCCAATCGGTAAGCGACGGTTGAGGGGAAGCTATTGACCGTCGATCGGTGATGTAAATGCACGGCAGTCATGCTCACCGCCTTCGGAGACGCGATTTCTTTTCGCGCAGCTGCGATCAAGCCGAATTGGCGCGTTTGTCTTGCGATTACTCGCTGCTGGTCTGCCTCGATCTTCTCATGGATAGTGCGCGCTCCCGAATCCGTCGGCGAGAGTCTCGTGACCGGTCTCCCGTGGAGTCGTCGTCGGACGAATTGGCTGCGGGCCCCGAAATTGACGAATCCAAGCTCCGGCGAGGGAGCTGGTCGAACCAGAAGACTTTCTCACCAAAACGACCGAAACACGAGGCGAAAGAGTATAGGGAGTCTGAGAGCTCTGATGAGCTGGCTGGCGTTGCAGAGAATTACTGGCGCGGCTCGCGAAACCGCCGAAGCCGTTCGCCTATCGACCGTCATGCCGATTCGAGCAGCAATGACCGATCTCACGGCGGGTCTGATGAGGACAGGATGAGCAACGGTGACGAGACGCTGGCTCCAGAGCGCGATGATACGTCAGATCGATCTCCCACACCAATGCCTTCGGTGGAAGCACCACTCAAACCCGAGCGACTCAATTACAAGGAAAAGTTCGTTCTTCGGGGTCACCTGCGCGGCGTCTCTGCTGTGCAGTTCTCGCCTGACTGCTCGATGATTGCAAGCGGAAGTATGTACTTTGCTACGCGATGACACTGAACACGGTGACTAATGACCATCTTCCTTCAAGGTGCCGATGCTACTATCAAGGTCTGGGATACGTCGACCGGCCGATTGATCTATACATTCGAGGGACACCTTGCAGGCATCTCCTCACTAGCTTGGAGCCCTGATGGGCAGTGGATCGCGTCTGGCTCCGATGATAAGACAATTAGGTTCTGGAACGTTAATACGGTGAGTCAATCACATTCATCCACGCTGCCGTGGACAACGCTAACGAGAGTTTGGTTACAGGGTCGAGCACACACGAAAACCTTCGAAGGCCACCACAACTACGTCTACCAGATTGCATTCGCACCCAAGGGCAATATCCTCGTTAGTGGATCTTATGACGAAGCTGTCTTCATATGGGATGTCCGTCGAGCACGTGTCATGCGCTCTCTTCCCGCACACTCCGATCCCGTGGCGGGCATTGACGTCGTGCACGATGGCACTCTCATTGTGTCCTGTGCTCTGGATGGATTGGTCCGTGTCTGGGATACCCACAGTGGCCAGTGCTTGAGGACTCTGGTCCATGAAGATAATCCTCCTGCCACTTGTGTCAAGTTCTCCCCAAACGGGAAATACATCCTGGCGTGGACTCTGGACGGCTGTGTGCGCATGTGGAACTACGTCGAGAGTCGCGTTATCAAAACATTCCAAGGCCACGTCAACAAAAAGTACAGTTTGAGCGGCGGTTTTGGCTATTATGGCTCACCCGACGTCAAGTGTAATCCACCCTTGGCTTTTGCCGTGAGCGGCAGCGAGGATGGCGCAATTCTTTGCTGGGACATTGTCAGCAAAAATATCCTCCAGCGAATTGAGGGCCACACCGATGTCGTTATAGGCGTCCACACGGGAAAGCTGAACGGGAAGCGCATGCTCGTTAGCTGTGGCCTTGATAAGACCGTGCGCGTGTGGGAGGAAGCTACTGAAGATCAAACCCATAATGGCACCGATCCGTCTCCGGTCGAAGTTGCTACCGAAACCGTGGTGCAAAATAATTTCGCCATCAACAACGATGAAGACGGTGACAATGAGATGGCTGACGCTCCTCCCGATCCCTCTACTGAGACGACTCCCGCGCTTACGGAGGACGTGACGATGACATGATCTCTGTCGTTTTCTTTTTCGCTTTTACGATATTCGCATCTGCATGGGCAGTTCATCTTCTTTTATTATGGGAATGGAGATACCCGGTGTTTGGAGTCTGCGTGGACCGAGGCATGAATAATGAGATGCATTAACCTGGGTTCTGGAATGGGGTTCTCTTGTCACAGCAAAAGCATACAACGGTGTCGGGTCTCATTCGAAGCTTATTCATATTCGAGATTTTCACGCTTTGGTCTTTGCCCATCCGGAGTTCATGGGACGAGGGCACAGCCTACTGCAATATTCTGAGCATTCAAGCTAGTGTCTTGTAGGTATTCGATCGGAGCTAGTTTGACTGAGAAGCTAGCACTAGCTAAAATAATTCATTCGCCCCTCAATTGAGTCCCCAGAGGTAGGCCCCGAATACATTCAAACTGTAAGGGCTTCTTTTCCAGTTCTTGATATCAAAGTTAGGCCGAATTAGCTTCTTGTCTTCCTTTCCCAATTCGAACCCTCGACAGCGATTGCAACAGCCACACTCTATCGTACAATGACCCCACCCTTTCAGTCGATTTTGCGCGGGTGGTCTGCTACAGCATTTGCAACTTCGACCGCAGCAGCCGCCTCTCCTGATGCAGTCATTTCGAAGCCACTCGCTGATTAGATGCCATCCATACTGCCTGTGTAGTGCCTGGTAGCCGTCCATCAAGATCGTCATTGGACATCTTCCCTCAAGGATATACGCCATTCTGTCGAGCCTCCAATACTTCTGCTTGAGTTTGCATGCCTCTTCGTGCAATTTCCGTATTCGCTTCTTCTCTTCCGACCCTTGGCTGGCCATCAATTGGTGGAGCTCCTCCTTGACACATTGCTCCCGTTGGACTATTTCAGCAAGGTCTATGTTGGCTTCTATGATGGTCTGGGACCATGAGTTAAGGCCCTTCACATTGTGCTTCCCTGCCTTATATTTCTTCTCGCGTTGAATTTGAGCGGCTCTCCATTTGTCCAAGCCTTTAGCCTCTGTTTCATCGGTGTCGTCGGTCGCGGTCTTCGTGGCCATTGCTGATTTCTCTGTATTGGCTGTATTGGTCTGGTTTGGTCCGTTTCGCGCGGAATCGTCTCACGGGTTGTTGAAGACAAAGTCTTCAAAATTTATTGCCCTTGCAAGGAGATTAGAATGCTTGCGGGGTTAGGAGTTTTCTTGCCTGGCTTGGGGAATCAATGGACCTTGGTGAAAATCCGGAGCTCCGAGCCAAATTCAGGATCGGGAAGGCTTGAGTTCCCAAATGAGGCTTGGTATAAGCTTCCTCATCGGATAAAAATGACGGAACTATGTTCATGGAACACTAAAGGAATGTTCTCAATACCAAGGAAGGAACGAATCCATGTCCAACGGCAAAAATTGGGTAAGTTAGCTGGGACCAATATGGCTGTATGGTAGATGCCGAGGCAAAAAGAAAATCAATCGCTGATGCGCATTTCTATCTCTGTCTAAATGAAATCTATTTCTATATACAAATATGCAATCTGAACGTCTCCTCTTCATCCTTTCCGCGCTGAGATGATCTCAGCGTATAATTTACTCTGCCTTCTTGGACGCCTTGGTCCGGAGCTTCATCAGACCAAACACAAGTGCATAGCCAGAGATAGCATAGATAACAGTGATACCCGCATCTCTCCATCCATAATAGTAATGGTTGATGTTGAGCGTCTGCAGGAAGTCACTTCCAGTTGTGTACTCACAGACCTTGCAGCTCGAGGTAGCGTCCGGGTTAAGCAGATTGACTCCGCTGCCCTTGCTACTCATGTAAGTCGCCAGATACTCGCCGCAAGTACCATTGAGCGGATCAAAGACTGCATACTCGCTCTCATTGCAGGTGACTTTCTGGTCCCAGAGACCGAACGTCAACATGCCGTTGACGACATAGTTGAATGGGTTGAGGTAATACATCCAGTACTTCCAAAATACGTTCAGCTGGTCGTATGGCACAAACACACCGCAGAAGAGAACGAGGACACTGATGATAAGTGGGTTGACAAGTGCCGCAAAGGTTGGGTTCGGTGCATACGCAGCAATGAACTGGCCGATACCAGTGTAGATGAACTCGTAGATCAACATCATGAAGAAGATGGCTCCAGAACGGTCAGAGTCATGAGGCAATCTCCAGACGGGCCAGTACCAGCAAACAAAGTAGAGAACTGCGCAGATGCAGAGATATGGGAACTCCGAAACGATGAGCCCAGTGACGAACGCTACCCAGGAATACATCTTGGACTTCTTTTCGCGAGCATCGTAGATATCGCGGCGCTGGATGAAGAGGGGTTGGAGTTGATTGATGACACCCGGAGCGACGAAAACAAAATTGAAGATGGTGAACATCTTCAGCTGCAATGCGCTCACACTGGGACCAGGTCGCCAGAAAGAGAATCCGTTCAACAATGCTGAGATGATATGAAGCGAGAACTTGTTGTTGACGTAGGCCGTATTACGGAAAAGCGAGACGTTCATTCGCTGAGTGACAATCTTGATCTGTTCCCAGAGAGGCATTGAAAACTCATAGCCATCATTGACAGTTCCCGGTGGCTTACTAGCGGCATCTTCGATCATTCTATTCAGTTCGGTGATCATCTGATGCTGCTCGGGAGAGTCAAGCCAGATCTGATGCCAATCCTTGTCCTTCACTTCTTGGATACCACCGGTAACGACGTCAATCATGAACTCTGCTGGATTTGCCTCTTGAGGGCAGATAGCCCCGTACTTGCCAAAGTACTGCTTAATCGTGGATCCATTGTCGCCGATGTCACCAAAATAGACGGTTTTGCCACCTCTCGCAAGGAGCAGAAGGGTATCGAACTGAGCGAAGAGCTGAGCTGAAGGCTGGTGAATTGTGACAAGAACTGCTTGGCCCACATCAGCTAGTTTCCGAAGGAATCTGACAGTGTTATACGCAGATTGACCATCGAGACCTGAAGTGGGCTCATCCAAGAAGATGAGAATACTAGGCTTCGACACGAGTTCCACACCAATTGTCACACGTTTGCGCTGTTCAACAGACAAGCCGTTACCCACGGAACCAATCAGAGTGTCGGCGAGATCATGCAGTTCCAAGAGGTCAATAATTGTGTCGACGTATTTAAGTTTCTCAGCCTTGGGAGTATCTCGAGACTGTCGCAGGAGAGCAGAAAACTCCAGGGCTTCTCTCACAGTGGCGTAAGACTCATGAACATCCAATTGCTCACAGTAACCGGCCATCCTTTGGAAAGAGACAGGCAATTCGCGACCGTCAACCAAAATGGAGCCTTTGATAGTACCTTCCGTCTTGCGCTGTGCGAGAACATCAAGTAGAGTTGTTTTGCCGGCTCCGGAAGATCCCATGAGTGCACCAAGCATACCAGGTTTGACCCATCCATTGATGTTGTCCAGGAGGACTCGGTCGCCGGTTGGTGTTTTGACTGTATAGGTGAGATTCTTCCATGTGAAGATAGACGTGTTGCGCACAAGATTGTCATCCTTGACTTGAACTGGCTCATCGGTGGTCGTCCGAGCGGCACGTTTCTCATTGTTTTGGGCTTCCTCATCACTACCAACTTGGTGTTTCTTGAGATTCTCGCGGGGAATGAGAAGCAAAGATCCAGATGCAGCACCAGATTTCCAGAAGCAAGTGAAGACGACCGTGAGAACAGCGAAGAAGCCCCACCAGGCCCAGACAACGCCGAAGTTTCGCCACAATTGAGAGTGCTTGTAGTGTAGAGAAGAAAGATACTGATCTCCAGTCACATAATCTGCACCAGGAAGAGCACCACCAACTCCAGCACATGCTTTATAGCCGGATCCAACATCCTCGTATCCAGGACCACTGGGAATAAGATTACCGCCAACGCAGTCGATATGCTGGTCGTGGAATTCGTTGGTCAAAGCAGCTTGGAATGCATAAGCAAACGGATTGGTGTAGTAGAACTCGAGGAACCAGTTCTTGATCTCTGGCTTTGGAATCATGTAACCTGCATACATGACGATTGCCTTAACAGCGGTGCCACTGATCTTGGATGCAGCTTCGAAGCTACTGAAAGCAGCTCCGATAAATCTGAATAACGCTGTGATGCACTATAAAAGAAATTAGCTCACATGCTACTATGAGATGTACGTAAGGAGTTCCTTACCAAGGTCGTAGTGAAAAGGATTGCCCAGAAAGTGAAAAATGCAGCCGCGGTATGCTTCAATCCAACCATCCAATAGATAACGACCGAGAAGATCGTGCATTGGAACAGCAACACCGGGAAATCCGCAGTAATTTGGGCCAGACAAAAAGCAGCCGGGTGATACATGGCAAAAGATTTGTGTTTCGTCAAAATAGGACGGCCTTTGAAAGATTCGGTGACCTCGGACATGGCCACAATGCAGTTGTAAAGCAACGAGAAGAAAACGGCACCACCCTTGGTGAAGAGACCTGCAGAGGTATCTGGAGAGTTGTAGAAGCAAGACCCGGCAATCAAGGCCATGACACAAGACAGAATCTGTTTGATCAAGAACGTGCTCTTCTCGCCCCAGAGGATCTGGTACTGTCTAGCCGTGCATGACATGAGCTGGGCCCAGAAACTAGTAGTCAGGTCACTACCCTTGGGTAAGTGTCTAGACTTTTCCCAGGCGACAGATTCCTTGAAGGCCTCAGTGCGTTCGGCAGCAAGGTCAGTGTCGGGATATCCGTATAGTGAGACTTCATTCTTATATGTCGCCGAGTTCTGGTACTCGGTCAAAATGGCGTCGGCCGTCCTGGGGAACCGATTTTCCCAACCAGGTCTGATCTTTCGCTCGGTCGGAACAGTCAACCCCGTGAGGAAATCACCTGAAAAAAATAAAAGTTAACACATGAAGACGAGTTTGAAGAAAGTAGATCTCATACCAATGTTGGCACCATCAGTGTAAACAAAGCCAAGGTTCTCCATGAAAGGTTTCGCTTCCGCGGCAGGGCCGTAATAGATCTGCTTTCCTTCGTCGAGGACGAGAACTTTGTCGAAAAGATTATAAATTCCATTTCCAGCTTGATAGAGCGTCACAATAGTCGAAAGACCTTGGACGTCGGTCATGGCGCGAAGGGCTTTGGCCCACTCTAAGGCCGTGGAAGCATCGAGTCCTCTCGTTGAGTTATCCCATGTAAAAACAGAGCCTCTTGTGGCAAGACACTCAATAATAGACACTCGCTTTCTTTCTCCACCACTGACACCTCGGACGAATTCATTGCCGACTTTTGTATCGGCAGTATGGGCGATTCCCATAGACTCGAGGAGGAATTGCTTCGTTTCGGCGGTATACTCAGCAACGCTCTTCCCTTCTCCAGGAAGGTGATATGGGACCTTGAGCTTGGTAGCAAAATCCATTGTCTGACCCACCGTCAAACGAGGGTAGAAAAGCTCCTCCTCGGTATTCATCACAATCTGGCCTTGATATCTTGATGCTTCTTCCGGAGTCATATTTCCGAATCTTACATCTCCGGTGATGTTCTGATATCCCTCACGACGGTTGGCAAGCATTTTGAGAAGGGTAGTGCATCCGGATCCGGGTCTTCCAAGAACGAGAAGCATTTCTCCAGGCTTAACACATCCATGGCTGTTGGACAAGATCGACTTGAGTGGTGGTTTGCGGCGGAAATCCTTGATGAGTTGAGGAACGTTGAATTGGGAAATCATGTTCTCTTTGACAGCCGCTTCAGCAGCGAGAACCTCGACCGACAGGTCTTGCCAAGTGACACCCAGCTCACGCCTTTTAAAACCAGCTGCTTCATCACGTTCGGCATTACGAATGACTTGTGGTGTCATATGCCATTCTGCGGCCTTTTTGGGAGGTTGGACGACGGAGGCGTGAGGAGTTAGGGTTTCGGCACTGCTGGCTTCTCGGAGGTTGATTTCAGGAACTGTGAGGGTATTGAAGTAATCTCCATTCCCTTCTTCCGTGGCCGTTCCGGGAGGTGAGGTACTATCGTATTCTTTTTCGTGGTCCTCCATGATGGAAGCGATGATAAGGAGTGGAGATTGGTCTTTCTTTGTGAATTATTTTATTAGAGGCATGGGTACCAGGGAATAATTATAAGATCTACGAGTACTTTCGGAGCGATAGAGTCGGCAGCCAGGAACCGTCTTCAAGGCCCGACGAGCCCTGAAGAAAGTGGAGTCGGGGGGCCATAATCGGCATTATGGCACTAGATGATAGCTGTCTCTCACAAGATTCCGTACAATATTCCGTCAGTCGGAACTGAATTAGGAATTTCTAGTGTATTATTGATATTTTCATCACAATGAATAGGTTCATGGGCATAATTGGAACGGCACGCCACCCGAGTTTCCGTCGATGTGGAGAACTTGGCATACAAAAATAGTCAAATGGGATGATTGACAGCTCAACTATATCGCTCGGACCGAATGCCGAGGTAGGGTTCTAACTTGAGCCGCCAGGTACCGCCAATCGGAGACTTGATGTGATTATTTGATCTGCTTTCTAGGTTTAGCGGTGTCTAGACAGAGGGGTCTTGGCCACGTTGGATCCGCGATACAAAGCCGATCTGCGCCATATTTGCGTTTAATTAATAATCAAATAAAGTGTCTAGGGCTGCAGATGATACTGGCAATTTGATTCAAAGATAAGGAAATGTTTCAACAAGTTTATTAGAATACTTGATGAATGAGCAAGGTCTTTCATCCATGAAATTGGGTTAGTTTCAGCGGCTTGCACGTTCTGATGCAAGGATCTCTAATAGCATCAGCACAGCAGCCCTGTGATTTTCCGTACCTCTTCAATGTCAAAACAGATCTCCCGAACATTGAACCGTGGGTCAGAGATGCCGTTGATGGCCGAATTACGTGGACGGGGGTGCTGGCCGGCTTGCCGGATAGCAACCGGCGGTTCTGCCGATCTACCCGGCTGAAGACGAAACAGGCAATATGTTCTCGTCCATATCAATTATTGTGGGGCCAGATCGAGACTAGGGATTTATGAGACTGATAAGTACGTGTCTTGCAATCTGAAGTCGGTGTTAGTGCTATCTTCTACTTTTCAGCGGAGAGCAGAAAATACAGATTATTCCATGGGTGGCGAAAGTTATGATCGTGACAGCTAAACTCAGTCTGAACACATCAATCTGTGCGTTTCCTGCCTAACGAACAGAATTAGGGCAAGATATCTTATTCCCATGCGGAGCATATAAATGAAGTCCTTCGGATAAAGAGAAAAGAAAGAGTGGAAATGGCTTCTAGAAAGATGAGGCAAAGCCAAATCATCGCTCCATTTATTTACATATTGCTGGTTAAAGACACTTGGGGATTCAAAGTCAAGATCTGAACTATCTCATATAGGTGAGGTAATTTTTAGTAACTCGGGGAGTTGTAGGGGTCCATTATGAACCCGCTCTTTCGTGTATATTCTGGGCCGCAACTTCGCAGTTATCACTTACAAGGGTTTGACTAGCCCCGTGAGATACTGGCGACATCCAAATCTCCCAGATTTACTAGAGCCTTGATCTGACCCTATCTAATAAAGCTCAGTAATTCTTCCCCAGCTACGGTATTATTGATGAATTGAACTCGACCATCGCTGAAGTCTTTTTGAAAATTGAAAAGAAGCAGAATGGGAATGGATAGGAAGAAAGAAACAGAAGACAACCAAGAAATCAAACAGACCTCGAAAACCACTTTGATGCAACAAGATACTCCAACAGAGACACAGGCCCTCATTGTCTCTATAACCAGCTCTGGTTACTACCGTTGGATGGACGCTTGATAAGCTATCCTCAAAGTCTCTGTAAACCGCTCATACCGGGTGAACCTGGTTGTCAGGTGCCCCACCATTCGTCAATTCTCTGGAAAGCGAGTCAATTTCCGGTGGGAAAATAATCTCACAAATCATGTATGAGCCCCGATCAGAAAGCACTACGAAAGCCACCACCTACGTGCCATACATCAAAGGAAGAACATTCTGAAGAACGCTGCGGTCGGTATCAGAGATCTGCATGTCAATCGGAAATGGTGAAGTTGTAAACGCATCGTAACTCGCATGAGCCTCGAACAACGAAGGAAGGGGCCGGTTCGGGAAACTAGGGACTGCGATGGAGGGCTTGGTAGAGCGATTTCCTGCGCCTCTTGGTTGTCGGCAATCTTGTTGCTGACCTCTATCTCGAAACATTCGATTCTTTGGGGCATCGCGATAAAGAGAACGGGGCAATTCTAAGGCAGTAAGCGCGTCAATTCAGGGGGAAAAAAGGCAAGTACGATGATATCGATGCTTATTTTGCTGTTCCTGTCACGTTTTCTGTGAATGACGATGGAGACGGAGATGGACCTGAGCCTGGGAAAATGGCTTCAATTCTTCGAGTCAGCGAACGAATCTAGGTCTTACTACATTTTGGAAGTGAACTTCTGTAGTTGCACTTTCCACAAGAAGTAACTTCGACATCGAAGTTTACTAGGAAGGTCCAGAAAGGACTTGGAAATCACGCGAGAGTCTTGGAACTCGGCAACTATGTACAACTCGAGAAGTCACTATAGATCGCCAAGATACTGCGGGCGAAGGGAGAAAAGGAGCGGATTTTGCGGGCGTTAGTCTCTTGAATGGATAATTCCTGGTAGAGCTTATTGATCTCAGCTCCTGATCATGGCGATCTGCCAAGTCCTCCGATTCAGGGCGGAACACGCTGTGTACCTAGCTCCCGTCGAGTTTCCACATGCTGGTATGCCCCGGGCAAGGTATCATCATCATTTTCGTATTAGATAGTGGCTTGCCACTACCTTCTTCTTGTGGTTCAGTGGAAGTTCTTTTAGAAATGACGCTGGCCATTTGGAAAATTCTGATGGTGTTCGTTAGTTATATATTTTGCACAAGTTGACTCAACAACTTCTGAGCTTTTGAGTATCATGTGTGGAGATGATTCGTGCTCTCAATGTCTGATGTTCTTTCAGATTCGTGGTCAAATTTATAAACAGCGAGTTTCAATCCTCCTTTCATTCTTTTTGTCGTGTGGTGTCTGGATTCTGTTTGATGAGTGCTTTAGGGGTTGACTACAGCATGACGGAATACGGACCATCCTACGCGCCCAATCGGCACGCAGCCAATCGGATTAGATAACGCCCAACAAAGTGGCCAGCAACCACGAACTTTTCAGCACTCGGCAAGTGAAACAGCCTCAAGCGTCAGAATATACATCATATTAATCGCCCCTTACAGCTTACTCGTGGTCTATTTGAGAATACCCGCTGACGTCTAGGAATGGCAATCTTAAGGGGGGGGGGGGGAAGTGGATTGAAGCAAAACAAATCAAATCAACCGTAAGCTACTTTTCCACCATATGTGAGAGAAGATATTTTTATCAACGCCAAGGGAATGAAATATGTGACAAAGAAAGAAGGAAATATAATCCCAACGAGATATTACCGTCTCATTGCGCCAGAGCAGAGACCAGGACATTCGGGGAATAAACAAATGAGCTCCTATACTTCAGACGCCAGATGACAGAGAAAAGTCCTTGATCTATTGGTAATGTCTCCCATTCAACCCCACTCATGTACAAGCGCCGCAGGCGTACAACATACACATCACACACCGTACTCTTAGGAGACATACGCCTGACCAGCCTGGTTCAGAGTGCTGTCGGAGAGAAGGTAGTTGTCGGCGCAATAGAAGTACGAGTAGCGGGTCACGTTAGTGTTGGCGTCGAGCCAGGGGAGGACCGTCTCGAGGAAGGCAGCGGTGGTAGCAGCATCAGAGACACCACCAGCATCAGCGTTGAGCGCAAACTCGGTAACCCAGACCTCGGAGAGACCGTAGGTGGAAGCAGTGCTCACGGCCTCGGTAACGAAGGACTTGAACTGATCGGCGGTCTCTCCGTACCAGTGGACAGCAAGTCCGCTGATCTCGCACGACGAGCAGTCAGTCATGAACTCCTCGAACCAGGACAGACCCAAACCACTGGTGGTGGACGAGGAGACGGCGGGAGAGATGAGCTTGGCCTTGCCGGAGTAGGGAGTGATGTAGGTCTTGTAATAGCTGGCGGCCTGGGAGGCAGACATGTCGGCCTGGGAAGTCATATCGGGCTCATTGAAACCCAGAATATAGCTGCTGCCGGAGGATAGAGCAGTCTCAACGGCGGTAAACCAGCCACCGAAGTCCTTGGCACCCCAGAGCATGGGCACGTATTCGACGTTGGAGGGCAGGCTGCCGGAGAGCGATAAGGCCCAGTTGTAGGCCCAGGAGATGGTACCAGCGGAGCTGAGTACGGGAACGGTGGAGATGTCATTGAAGGCGGCGCCACGCTTGGTACTGAGAGTACTGTTGCGCTTCTGCACCTCGACGGTCACCGGCTTAGCGACTGGGATGGCGAGGGCCGAGGTGGCGAGAAGGCCGGTGGTGAACAGCTTGGAGAAGGAAACCATCTTGATATGTTCAAAAGAGATAATGTACTTGTGTCTTATTCACAGAAAGGATGGAATGGACGAGGGATTCGAGAATACCTGTTCTCGAAAAGGAATGAATGTGTTTCGAAAGGAAGGACTCTAGACCGTGCACGGCACAGGCAACTAGAAGCTGGAAATGATCGAAGAATGATCTCAAGGATCGGAAAAGAAAGGAATAGTGAACCGACACGCGCAACTCTGGGAAAGGAGAAACAGAAACGCAGGACGAAGGGCCACGGGGGAGGTTAAATGTTAAATGTGCCGATGCATTGTGCGTCAAACTTTACTATCAATCAAGCCCGCCCTGGCTGGAACGTCTTTCTTCACGTCTTTCATCTCTTGCGCCGAGCACAGAGGGGCCAAGTGGAGTGTCGCAAGAAGTATCCAGGCTTCCATTGGGCCCCGAAGGCAAAATCCATGTAAAGCGGCCCCCTCATGGTGCTCAATTCCGCCATGTAGAGCTGCGTCACCCACGGAACAGAATCCCAAGAGCCCATTAGAACGGGGAAGCAGGGGGAGACAACGATTGGGTCTCGGTAGGTTTTGACAGGCCTAGTTTTAGGGCTGCTGAACTGGTGATTGGCCAGTCTGGGCCTGGCCATACATTTGGGCTTTCCGGAGAGTCATTTTCATCCTTTTTCAGTTAGTTCAGCTCCATTGCAAACTGTATGATGCATATCCACCACGACAGTGGGGCCGAAAGAGAGAAATCGCTCTGTCTACCGTGCTGTATCGAGCGGAGATGCATACCGCGGTGTACTCCACAGCCTAGATATCCGCGCACCCCCACAGTAGCCTAGACTGTCGGCGCAACGAAGCCTGAGGGAGACGTATTCAGGCCGTGCTCGGGGAATATAGTTCCGGTTTATTTTGGTCATTGAAAGAACATTGCACAGACTGGGAGCGGGTCATGGCCGCTTGGTGCCTGAAGGAAACAATGGCAAGGCGTCTCGAAGGTCAGCCACATGCATACAAAGGAGCGGACATGCGCTGACCCCTGGCAGACATCTCAGGAACAATGCAGGTGTGCGACAATGTGTGGAAGAAAAGAGGAGATGGTGGAGCCCAGGCTGGATGAGCCATGGAAGATGCTTGCGTAGGCCGCTCGGTAAGTTGCAAAGAATGCATTCGATTGGAGATCCAGTGGCGCTGAGCTGTGGTTCCCTGGCTGGCCACTCAAGCCGAATTTGACGGGGCTGGATAGAAGTAGCCAAGAATATGCATAGTCTCCTGACCGCCTTTCTGGCCTCCCGTCATTTAAGGTATCAGCATACGCGTTCTAGAGTCTAATTCCTCAGGCACTCAGGCACAAAGCTATTTCTGCCGGGACAAATGCAGCATAATTTATGCATATTCTCGGCGACAGCTAGTAGCCTCTGTAGCCATGTTATCTAAGTGGCTAGTGAGCTCTTTCTCGGCCAGGGGAAATATCTCCACTTGACCTATCACACACACTCGTGTCATGCGGGAGACTCCTCATTCGACTCGACATGGTCGAATGGCACTGCAGTCCCATAAGTAGGGCTACAATGGTTGTGGTTGCGGTTAGGATTAATCGTGGAATGTGTGGAATTGTGGGAGGTTGCCCGAAGTACAGAAGCACATGACAAGAACAAATAACCCTAATCAGTAAAAATCAACAATTCTCCTGATCCATACCTGTCTACCATATTATTATGTTGTAATAAATTCACTTACAATAATAGCCTCTTCCTCATCAGCCTTGTAGCCATCTTCTTTCCCCTTCCATCCACCCCACCGAACAAAAAATCGCACAAAAAGGGCGCCACCACCGATGATGGCAGCAGCCACTCATAGGCGCTCCGGCCCCAGCACCCGATCGACGCCAGTGTTTCAGCACAAATCCAGACTCCTTTCGCCAGAGCTTCTAGTGAACACACCGCGAACACCCCCAGGGGTGCCATGCCATCAGCGAGGGGAGACTCGTCATGCCTGAAACACCGCTAGTCACTCCCCCCTCTCTCTGACCATCTTGCCAAAGAGGCCTATCTAGTGTTCGCCAATGGTCGCAGGCGAAAAACTCAATACTTCACCTGCGGAGTTCCCCTAGAAAGGTACTCCGGCAGTTAATTCCCCACCGTGCGAGGCCAAGCCTTGCCGGACTGTGCGCCCGGTCAAATGGCAACGTGGCTCGTTATGGCTTTAGGCTTTTTCTTTTTCGCCTTCTCCGATGTCTGCCGGTAGTTGGTCGGCGTTGTCAGGTAGATTTAGGACGAGAAAAATATCTGCTTCTATAGTGTCGTGGCTGTTCCTGGGACGCACGTAGGACAATTTCTCCCTCGGTCGCAGTTTTCGATTGGGATTCTGACTGGGCTGGGGATTGGATATCAGAAAATTTGATAGGTATAATAGAAATGTCATTCAAGTAAAATAGGTGCCAGACCTCGGCGATGAAGGCGTTGGCATTAGCGGTTCCGGCCATTTTTCCAATGCCGATTGCCAATGCCATGCTAACGAATCCAATAAGTTTCTAATTCTGCGGATCCGTTCTCAATGCCGACTTTAGGCAATTGCAGAAAAAACGGTATATTGCGAATTGATACGTCATTCCCCGACTTTGATTTTGCTCACATTTACTGATCCTTCGGGGGCGGGCTTCGGGGGAACGTCTCGGTACATGCAACAAACGACCTGGGGCCAAGCATTCAAAGGTACAGGTTCTTCTGTACTCCGTACCTCCGCACCCTAATTGCCATAACAACTGTCCAATTCTGTTCATTGTCACTATTGACGCCTAATTTCATCCTCGACTTCCGACTGCCGATTCCCTCCCCATGCCTATGAGTCCAGACTTCCCCATTCAAAATTACAAAAAAAAAGCAATAATTTCATTAAGACGACTAGTTCAAATCTCTATATTGATTATTGTTATTCTTAGCCTCACATCATACAATAGTGTTCTCGCAAAGACCAAAAATTGGTCTATGCTGCGTCTAATTTTGACACCTCCCCACATCAGTCCAGCCCCCAATCACGAAGTCTCGGTACTAACGCGGACTGGCTGAGGCCCACGTCACCTTCGCAGTCAACACTGTCTAAGTCTGAATAATTTTTGATTTCGGAATAACCAATCAGTAGTCTGTTCAATATGGTGTAGATCGATATGGCAATCATTGGCGTGCGTTCAGTACTGTAGGTATGCGGCTTGTTGGGCCACCAGCAACGGTACGATGTGTTGGTGGCTGTGATCGGCGTTGTATTGGGCATAGAATGGAGTGTAAAGGAGGTGGCTATTTGCAAACGGAAGTATGCGGATTCTTCTGTTCCGTGTCTATGTACTTGTAATGGAGGGAAGACATAAGGGCTTGTGCCACTATATTGGAATACGTATGCATTCTTCAACGTGCTATTATCGGAGTGAGGACGCACTGCTAGCACCGCCCGGCTTAGCCGACTGTTATTGCACTGCAACTGGAACAGATGATGAAATTTATGGCTATGAATCGGACTTTTCTTTATCATTATTCTAGGGGTCCAGCCCCTGAAATGTGTAATTTCCATGTGCTACCAAGCATCGGTAGAACGTACACGATACCCCGTGGGCCTTCGTCGACTCTTCGTCGCAGATCGGGTGCTGCGTGGACTTCATGCGGTAAATCCTTCAAGCCATTACTTTCAGAGCATTGATATAGCCGAGGATCACAGTCAGCTAGCAATTTCTGCCCTTGGACGCTGACTTGCGGGATTCAAGGATGCCTCGATTTGCCAGGCCTTATCACCTAGGGCTAGCGCCTAGGATCCCAATGCTAGCCAGAACGGGGATGAAGAGGTTGATCATTATAGTAGCCGAGAGTTTGTTGGCAGCCTAAAGGCCAGCCGGAATTCTCCGTTTTTCAGACTCGAGCGAAGAACTTTCGGGAATACAGGCAACGGATTGCGACCACAAACAGCAGACCGACGATGGACATTCCGCCAGCGTAATACGCGGCCGGGCGGTAGGCAGCAGTACCGGTATCCTTGTCGGACAAGGAATAGATTCCAGCGGCTATGGGTGAGCCCTATGAAAAAATGGTTAGATAGAGCTTTCCAAGGACGAGGGTACATGATGCGCGATAGGGTTCTTACAAAGAAGTAGCCAAAGAACCATCCAGCCCACAGGATTGGCAAGACACCCATGGTATTTTTGGTGCCGAACATCGACCCAACGGCAGCAGGGATCAGGCTGAAAAAGGCACCGCATCCAAGGCCGTTGAGTATGATGAACACTGACAACACAGCGACGGAGTTGGCAAACGGCCAGATAGCGAGCGCGCTCACACCTGCCAAGAGCAGGGACAAACTGAGACTATTCAACGGTCCCAATATCGTATCCGCCAGAAAGCCTGCGAGCACACGTCCGACGGTCGATGCAACGTTCCACATCGCCAGAATGATGACGGCAACACGTTGCGATGCCACAGCTCGCGCGTATATCGGAATAAAGTAAGAGGGAATGAATAGTGGGAAGCAACCGAGTCCACTGCCGATGAAGAGGAGGATGAATGCCCTCTCTCTGAAGCGGTACCTGCAAGAATTTACCGTGTCAGCATGATATTTACATTGGATCGAGTCGCGAGACCATACCATTGTAATTGTGGCACAGCCGCAGCCGAGCTCTGAGGCTGCCGAATCATGCACGCCGCTGGCACGCAGACTGCCCATGCGAGCAGACCAAAGATTCGAAGAGTCCATTGCACACCCAGCTCCGCCACAAGCAGGTTTGTGGCAACGCTCATAGCTGCAGCTCCAAGACTGCCTCCTCCAAAGACTACACCGGTAGCAAGGCCCCGATACTTGCGGAACCATCGTAGAGGAGCGGTAGAACACGGCTGGATATTGTTAGAAGTGCAACGACAGATAGACCGAGAGATTGATGCCATTAACACACCATTATAGTTAATCCTCCACCCACGCCAAAGAGCACGCTATGACAGATGAACAGACCAGCCAGATGCCCTGTCACCCAACTGGCCAAGAACTCGCCCAGGCCCATGAGAATGGCACCAACAAAGGCTGTCTTCTGATATCCGAATCGCCGGATAGTCATTCCAACTAGGATACTCAGTGAGACCATGAACGAGGTAGCTAACGACCCGACGAATGTCAACGTCGTTAATGAAAATGAAGTCGTTTTCACCAGCTCGGAAGCCAGTACACCCCAGGAGTAAATAATTCCCAAATAAATGAATAAAGAACACGAAGCAGCAGCTACCACTAGCCATCCTCTCCAACCATCCATGTGTTGATCATCATCCTGATTTTTTTCCAAAGACGGCGGCTTGTTGTCGACATCAGAGTCCGAGTCGAAGACTTCCTTATTCTCTCCCATTTTCTCGATTGGATATGTGGTTGCACCAATTCTGCTGGAGAGTCGCGTTTTTTGAAGAAGAATGATTTTTCTTATTTACCTACGTGCCATCTCTTCTGCCTTCGCATTTCGTTAAGAAAATATCGACCGCGTTGAACCGCTTCGGGTTTCGGTTTTGAAATTTTGATGGCCGCGAGATCCGAAGCCGAGGGACCACAAAAGTGGAGAGACGCTCACTTTTTTCGACGGCGAGATGAGCGAATCTTATGTAAAAAGATCCATCAAGCTCTTCTATTGTAGTCTGATCGCTCATTTTCAATTGGAGCCATTGCAAAATCACGGCGCTCCATTGAACCGTATCGATTTCCTGCGAAAGTTTCTTCGACTTCAATTTTCTTTTTGGCAAAGAGACCGATACATCTCGCACTGACCATCAGTCCATTTTGAGTCAGCCTGAAGTAGATTGAGCCAAAATGTCGAGCGTGAGCTTCCAAACAGACTGTTCCTCGTTCGCATCTTTCACGGCTTCCTAGATTCGTGAGTATAGACCAGTATCGATAAGCGCCACTCGAGACAAGGTTCTGCAAAACTTCGATATTAGTAAATCTCCAAATTCATTCAAGTGGATGAAAATATTATCTACAAGGATCTACTGTTCGAAATCCCGAAGGAAGCGCCATCGGCAGCTCCTGCCCCAGCCCTTGACAAGCCAGTCATTCAATGTCGCCGGAAATTCAGGGACGACGGTCTTGAGGCTAGCATCATGCGCGAATATGATCATCACGTTGTCAAGCGCGTCGAATTGTTGTAAGCGGACGATAGTCTCTTCTGCCTCATCAGAGTTGTGACAGTAGGCAGCGAAGCGCGTATCCCGTTGGATGCGGAAGAAGGGCTGTGTCCTGTTGTTGGAGTGTTCTTCTAAGAAGCGCATGGCGCATGACGGCGCATTCGTTGGTAACGGTCGCCCAGGCGAAGGTCGTAGCTCGCCGCAGTGATGGCAGGCATCGCCTCCCAGCAGAACGAATGAATCTGGGCTTGCGGTGGTTCGGACCAACGCCGCCATGTGACCTACTGCGTGGCCAGGGGTGCTGAGTAGATACAGCGAACCGTCGCCGAAGTAGTCAAGAGCTGGGAGCCCTAAGACGAACAAGTCCGTGGAGGTAAAATCGATTTCACGGACAGTACGCCCTCTAAGCCATGCCACTCGCTCGGGTTAGAGCACCATTCGGGCTTCTAGTTGCGGCAGTGTTCAAGTTGACAAAGAGACTCACGAATAATCAGAGGCCAAAATCTCCGAGTTCTCCTGGTCTGGGTAGCCGGGCATAAGAGCCTCGCAGACCCCCGGGCCAACGACCAGCGCGGTCGACGAGGGAAAGCGCGAGGGGTCACCGATGTGGTCGAATTGATGGTGGCTGGCGAGTCAGACATTGAGCTCTCAATACTAAAAATCGGAGATAGGACGGAAGTCACGGGGCAAGTAACCTCAGGATTATCGCCTCGATATTGTCTATGCGGAAATCGTGACCTTCGAGAACATCGCGCACATCTTGTTCGCAATTGATACCCAGCTCGTCATTGTGAACCTCGGCCACTGCGATCGGTGCCAGCTTAGGCCAGTCCTTGCGGAGGCCCAAGTCAAATAGAACGCAACGACCTTGTTGGTTGGTGATGACAAACGAGAAGGCAGGCACTGTGACTCGTTGCAGTTGCGGCACGTTACAGTGGAAGTAAGGCTCGAGGGGCAGGTTACTAAGGCTGGCCGAGTCGATGACCGAGACCTCAGCCCATGCTCCAGTCGGCAGTCTATCTTTGGTTGCGAGTGCTGGGTCCATGTCGGTGACGGGAATGATGGTGAATCGGTGATGGAGTAGTGAAAAGAAAAAAATGTGAGAGTGGTCATTCAGCCCCTTTTTCCGATCCAACTTGGTCAGTTGCCGCGTGTTTTCAAGGGAAAAAATAGGTCGTCTGTGAATTTTAGTCTAGACATTAAGGTTTTTGGCCATGTTTACAGCGCGGGGATTTCCTAGAGGCGACGTCGGCCTTGCTACTATTGGAGGAGCGGGTGATCCTTATCTTAGGTACTATCATTTGTCGGTATGTCAGGCTTTGGCTTCATTTTGTAAAGTCGGTTGTCGGAGTGTGTTGCACTAGTCTGGGTCTTGCTCCATCATCGGGAATGCGAGCAAACCCGAACCGTCCAAAGCCGGGGGCGCAGACCCGGAGACCCACTGTATATACGGCACACTCCTAGTCGTCGTACGAAGGCAGTCTTCAAAACAATTCCTGTGCCCGTTGTAGAAATGATTAATACCTCCTTAACAAACAGACCAATCTCAAGTACATCGGAATATGCATTTGTTGAAGACGCTAGATTTGAATTATGGACTGCCTAGTAAACAGGGCAGTAATTAAGGTTATCACCACGTGTTTACCTTCTTCCCCGAGATCCACCTTGAGAACCGAGAATACCCAATTTTCCATCCACCCTCCGTTCACCGGCCTCCATTCTCTAATGGGACCAGTCTTTCGCTGTGCGCTTTGGTGCGAGAGATCTCAGTGACTATGGTCTGCTCAATAACCATCAGAAAAGAATATCCTTCGTAAATTCGTGGGAGAAAACGACATACTTTTCCGAAGGGTATCGAGCTCTATTAGTAAAAGTCGCTCCCTTCAATATCGACAAGCTGCACGACTTCAATCACGATTTGCTCGTAGGGGTGAACTTTTCGCAACGCTTTGACCGAATTACGCATCACATCCTCGCCGACACACAATGTCTCGACTCGATACTCGGCGACGCGTTCGAGCTGACCGGGTTTGCCAAGGAAGGGTGTTGATTTATCTGTTGGTCGGAACTGGTCCATCCCCAGCACCTCGAAGCAAACTTGGTCGTACATTCCTCCAGGGTAGGCACCTGCTCCAGCGGCGAAGACTGCTTGTTTGCAGGGCTCCAGGTGCGAGGGGGGCACCCGGAAGACAAGTTTGTATTGAGAGGGAACCATGGCGAGTTGTGGAAGCGGTATTTATGCAAAGATTTGGCAGACGGGGACGGGAGAGGAATATAGAAGGATGCAGGGACCGTTTAGCTTATTATGGGGAATTATATTAAAGTTTTTACTAACCACTTCATGGCGGGTGTTTGTAACTAATGTTTATTCTTGGTACCAGATTTCAGACGCAACGATCATTGGTTCTATACGTAATGGGTTGTACTATCCTAGGGCTGATGGGAGATTGTGGCGTCCCGCTCCTCGACGGATATCGGCTTAGGATTGATACCGGCAATACAGAAACAGCCTATCAAGTGCTGTTGTAGAGCCATATCCTAGCAATTGACTAGGCACATTCTCATATTTCGCGTCCCGAAGTCCCCTTTAGCTCTTACGCGACAGCATCCACAGCATTGACTACAACCACGGCGATGTCATATTCGGGCCATTCATATAGACATTGATCTGCATGGCCTGGAGCTCGCCATTGTAATACTGAAGCACTTCGAGCGTATCACCAGTCGCTTCGGTAGGGGAAAGCAAAGTAATGGTACCAAGCGCTTCCATCTCCTTGATCCACACCTCCTGCGCTTCCTGTGCCGCAGTCATGGCGTCCGGGATGAATGCCGAGATGTTCCCATATGGATAGACCTTACCAGGAATAACGCCACTGGTCACAACGAAGCCTAATTCCTCATCGATAACTAGACCAACACGTGCCTTCGTGTCCGTGGGATGATCAGAGGGCCATGTACAGTCTAGTGGTGTTGTCGAACCAGTCCCGTTTGTGCCCGGATCAACAACCTTCCAGCCGAGCTCGGTGAATTGACAGTTGTCACCAACGGTGACGGAAAAATTACTAGAGGTCGCGAAGAGAGACTCGCTTAACGCCTCTAGTGTTGCTCGACTCGCTTTCGTCCGATTGGCCGGCGGCAACATCAACGCTTCGTAATTCGCCGGGAGCTCTGCGGCAGAGAAGGAAAAGCCATGATCACCACGGTAGCGATTGATGAATAGCTCTAGCTCGGTGATTTTCTGATGAACCACCTTAATCCGACCTCGAAGAACTGATTCAGTTGCTTCGTTGCCTTCACTGACATCCAGAGCGAAGTACGCCGTTCCATTCGTGGTATCGATTGCCAGAAGACTGGGCGGGCCTGCTTTGACAATAGTGCGCCACGAAGTCATCATACCAATTGCCGCCGGATGCGAATTTTCGGTTGCTTTGTACGTTGGTGCCATTGGCACAGCATAAGGGTCATGGGCCACCATAGAATCTAGGAGCTGGGTGACGATCTTTGACATGCACGTCCGGCTGCAGTGGCCGTTCGAAGTACTTGCTGGGCTTCTACCAACTAGAGCGGCAGCAAGAGGTAAAACTGCGAGGCCTATTGATAGACGTAGCATATTGAATGTTTTTGGTAGGCGCATTTTGAGAGGCTGTGGAATGGTTCTGCGATGCTGCCGATTTATGAGTCTTTGCTGTGTTGGAGCTCAAGGTCTTAGGAAAAAAACCTACTGGGACCCAACACGCTTTATATTCCATCCTTCTCAGATGAGGTTGTGTGTAATTTTTGATATACATCTTCCATTTAACGACTTCATCCTTTAGTTCGGTCCATCAATGCCGGCTCCACCCTCGGCTCCACTTATACAGTCGCATGGGAAATGCTGATCATAGCTTGTTATGATAGATCAAAGGCGTAAAAATCTAGTCTACAGCGCTAATTTAGTCCCTTTCGGCTCGGGACCTCTTCAAAACCAAATTTAGCTCAAACATTGTGATATGGAGTCCCCATATCAAACCGAAAATGTGGGGTAGCTTGCTCCAAAAGACCGGGGGCCAGGTCACAACGTTCCCTTGGCTCAATCTCGGCTCGGCACCTCCAAACTTGGTAAGAAGAGATCCTTGTGGTCATATGTAAACTCAAAGCGTGTATATCGAGTAGTGCAATGTCACTTCCTTTTCAAAAGGATGTAAACGACATCCAGAATTCTTGCCTTGCTGGCTGATGAGGGCAAGTTTGAAGCTTCAAATTCAAGCTAGACACTTGTGCCCGTTCTGGAGAAGGACCGAGAGCAGGGCGGGGGAATATTGTGCATGTACGTTTCGAAATGGTATTTACAAGCAATGGAATCTTCCTTTTATCATCTGCAATGCTTACATGAATTGCTTGGCTGTTCAAAAGCCTCTGGGTCGTGTCTCCTCTTGACATCACAGTTTTTACTTGCTCAATCGCTTGCCTTTTGCAATCGAAGATAACGCGGACTGTTGCTCGAAACAAATTCCCGTGCTGATGCAAGACACAGCCCTAAGGCGGGTATCGGGAATCTTGGGGACCTGGCATTTTCGACCAGGAATGGCTCCCCCGGACAATTTCGATGCTACAGAGGGAGAGGGCGGCTGAGGCTCGAAGCCGGTTTCTCAGCTGAGATTTATTTCATGGGAAGTGGGGGTGAGGTTGATTTGCATAAGGATACGCAAGAGAGACTGAAAGTTTGGTGCTGGGATTTCCAGCCCCAGAGGACGAAGAGGGTATAGGATAGCAGTCGGTATGCGGTCCCGATCAGGATGAGGAACCTGTATGGATGTCAGTTCCACGTCTCAAATCAGGTTCTAGGGAAGAGAGTTGAAGGGGCAGATTCATACCCAATATCCATCGCCGTCCTCCCCGCTCTATACCCGGTAAACGCAAACGCGTCCCCGACATCATAGAGATACGCCAGGGGATCTATATTTCCCTGCAAAAAAGCTTCTGAGAACCAAGTCTATACGGCACCGACCGTGATATTAGTTTGGAATTAGACCTCATGTTCGGGCGTATACCCTGTACATGAAAACAGTTCACAGAAGAGGAACTTACCGCTGGCCACGCATACCAGAACCATCCCAGATGCCAATCGCGTACGGTAGATAGCCGCGGTGCACTTCCACTCAGAGCCGAGGTGATGAGGCTTAGGAGCATACAGAGGAGGGGGCCGTCCTCACGGCTGACGAGGGCTGATACAATAAAGCCGAGGCCATATATACCTGCAGGAAAGAAATGTTAGAAACGGCGAGCGCTGTAGGAAGGAATCTTAACAGAGACTACGACGAGACCTATGTCTACTTACAATAGTAGTGTAGAAAGACAAGTGCGAGCTGGAGGCGCAGCGAGATCATAGGGACTGCAAGGAGGAGGTAGAATGCGGTGAAGTGCAGGGAGGATAGAAGGATTCGGAAGCACACTGCGAGGTTATTTCCCAGGAAGTAGGCGCTGCGCGAGTGACCGGATTGTGATTCTCGATGAAAGATTGCCTTCCCTTCCCCGAAAACTTTGACACCGGCTGGGCCGGCTGCGCAGGCTATATGGAGTAAGCTGAAACTTTCTATGATACAAGGGACAAAAGAAGACTTACAAATCGCGATGCAACACAAGAGAGCCTGCTCAACCACCGTCCGATAATCAACCGCACTCGAAAGCAGGTCAAATGGATCGTGATACAGACCCTGAAAGAGGTGTCCTCTGGACTCGAAGGCCGACAACCCAACCAAGAGACCGACGATGGAACTCGATCCAATCTCTAATACGAGGCCTGATGTCTGTCGACTCTGCTGGATAATGCTTCGCTGGAAAGCGAGCGAAAGTTGACGCAGCCAGGATGCTTTTCGTTCCTTGAGAGTCTGCAGGAGCGTGATTACGTCGTCATCTGCAACGGCAATATCGAGACTCTGAATGACTTCTAAAGAGCCCTTCAGACCCCCGTCCCCGATCTCAGGCTTATTGATGAATATGTCAAGAATGACATCCGCCGGATTCGAGCCCAAAGGAAATTTGTGTCCCAACTTTTCGAAAACTGACTGCGCCTCAGCTGCCTGTCCCAAGTACATCTGCTTCCCGGCATTCAGAACAAGAAGATCATCCAGAAGATCAAAGATTTCCACGCGCGGCTGATGGATCACGCAAATGACTATTATCCCCCTTCGCGAAATAAAATGCAGCAACTTCATTAACGAATGCGCAGCTGTCGCATCAAGACCAGAGGTCGGCTCATCAAGGACCAACGCTGCAGGAGCCCCAGCTAAAGCGAGGGCAATACTCGCCCGCTTATACTCGCCCCCGGATATACCGCGGCTGCCTTGCTTCACGAGAGACCCGACTTGCTGATGGCGGATATGCTGCAGACCCAATGAGGAGATTAGAGAGTCGACGTACCCTTCGATCTCGTGGGCGAGCATCCGTCCGCCCAGGAGCACGCGGCCGGGGTAGAGAATATTCTCGCGGACCGTGAGGTCGGTCGGAACGATATCGTGCTGGGGGACGAAACCGATCATGCTCCGTAGACTAAATCAGTTAAAGAAATGCTCTACTATTTTGCCTCCCACGTGTGGTACTGATGGGCAACTTACTCGTCTAGTTGACTTGGGCGGCCATTTATCGCAATTTCTCCTTGTGTTTGGCGTGATCTCCCGGACAGTATGTTTACGAGACTTGCTGTGGTTTGGGAGACATAAGTACTTTCCTAAGAAGAAAAGAAGAGAAAAACTCACATTTTCCAGACCCAGACGCTCCTATAATACCAAAAACCGTACCTGACCTGATGGCTCCGTCCACATCAGACAAAATGTCGCGCGCTGGGCGCCCCAGACGTAGTTTGATCCCGGTGAAGGTGAGATCTAGGGATAATCCAGTGGTATTATACGGAAACAAGCCATCAAGTCGCTGCAAACATACCGCACCGTTGCTGTATTCACCCTCATCGACCGGTAGACTCGGCGGAGACTGATTGAAGCAAAGATATCGCAACACCTTCTGCGAAGGTGACGAAGATCGAAAAAGGATGCATATTCCACAAACCAGAATGTCAAGTAGCACACACAGCACCAATGCGAGTAGAGGAGTCTGGTGGGAGCTGCCCTCGCCGCAGATTGACAACGCGGTGCATTTGAACGGCGTCACCGTTCCCAAAGGGCAGAAGTATCCTCTTAAGCACTTGAGCTGTTGTGTACCAGGAGGTGGACAGTAATAGCCTGGTGGGCATATTACTGGCTCGAAATCGCCCTGAGGTGCAAGGCATATGTTTGTACTGCTTTGGAGTCGTCTTAGGAGACAGTCGGGCGATGGAGGGCAAAACACCGGCCGGTGTTCATTGTCCCAAGGGCCTAATAACTTGTTAAGAGGCATTTCAAAAATGAGGACTGATGAAGAGAATAGCCATACAGTAGAATCCCTCTGGACACGAAAACCCCGAACCCAGCGGTACTGCCTCTCCACCTGAGAGACAAGTGCCGTTCGACGCGTGCTCCATGAAAATACTCTTGATTCTCACCCTCTCCAAACTGCGCGCACTCGTTTTTTAAACATCATTTGTAGCGAACGAGATCTACGTACCGAGTGGCAATCACCATGCAGGAGTCGCATCCCTTGCTGCGGGCTGAGTGACATTCCGCTGCCCATAGTGAGGGAAAAAAAGCAAAACGAGCGTCGATCGAGCAATAATGAAGCTCTTATAGAGATACAGCGCTCTGTCTGGTAGACTTAAGAGTACTAGACAATCTTCACAGCATTCCAAGCTATAATGTCGTGTCTCCCGGAATTGGCGGCCACTATGGCGGCAGAGTACTTGGTCGCCTCGCTCACTCTCGCCTTCACCACGAAAAAGTCAAGCTCACGACAACTAGGCTTGCTCTCCCTCTCTGCTCTAGTAGTCCTCGAGACGGTGCTCCTGTCTGCTTGGTCGGGTCTGGAGCTGCTGCGAGGAGTCGTCGCATTCTTCTGTTTCGTCAAGACGCTCCATCTCGTTAGTCTCTTCCTCATCCTCCGCGTGGAAATCAGTCAACTACTTCCACAAACCCGCAAGCCATCTCCCCGTTTTCTGGCTGCCTTGAATTGTGTTACTGGTACTCGCGGTATCGGAACACCCTGGGAGGTGAAGACCTGGACACATCGTGACCATGCCTCACCGCCGAACCGAACCCCCAAAACAAAAGGGGCGTACATCGCCAGAACCCTTCTTTCACTCATCTGGCAATTCATAGTCCTCGACCTTTTAAACTTCGGCGCAGTCCGCTACTTCCAGCGAGAATGGCCCGGCGCCCTGGCCGCAGATGCTGAGTTTCTCGGGCCAGCCTCGAGCAAGGAGCAGCTAATAGCGCGCTTTCCGCTCGCGCTTCTGCTATTAGTCAATCTGCGCATGCTGATCTCAATTATATACAAGGTTGTTGCACTGGTGTCGATTGTGTTCTTCTCGGGATGTCCGCAATCCTGGCCGCCGCTATTTGGGAGGGTGTGGGATCTCAGGTACTTTAGAGTGAGGGATTGTTGGGCGTAAGTCTTCTCCTTTTTGATTGATGTTGTCGTACTTGACAGCTAGATACTTATTCATTGCGCATGCGTAGCGTATACTGGCACAGCCTTCTCCGCTGGCCTCTCGTAACAATTAGCAATGCCATCCAACACCGCCTACTCCCCGGCTCAGGCAAAGCCCAGCAAATGATCCAACATTTGCTGATATTCTCCATCTCTGGAATTTTACACGTGTTATGCGCAATATACGCCGGATTGCCCGACAACCTCGGTGCCATAATGCTCTTCTTCGTGGGCCAATCTGCTGCAATCGTCGTCCAGGAGCTCGTCAGTCCTCGACCTCGAGCAGGTAAGGACTCCGACACGCCATGGACGCGTTTTCTGAATTTCTTGAGTCTGCTCACGTGGTTTTACGTGTCTATGCCATTGCTTGCGTACACTGCGTTGAGAATGCCCGTTGAGACGAACGAGTTTATGCCGCTTAGTTTTGTAGAGGAGGTCGGGTGGCAGGCAATGGCGGGAGTTATTTCTGCGGGGTGGGCTGGTTGGACCTTGATTAGGGGATGAACCGTGTGATTTGATGCTGGACGGTTAGATAAGCGGAGGAAGTGGAAAGACTCGCAAAGACATTAATCAGAGATACGGTTGTGTTGCAGTTGAGTCCCGTGTATACTGGGGCGCTATTTTTTTCTTCATTTTTACAATAATCACGCAGAGCAGTGTACGGATTCTACTTCAATTGATATGGACGTATAAAGGGCATGAGATTTCTGTCCCCTTCTTTTTGTCTATGATATTCGCCTATTCAGGAACTATGAAGCGACGCGTCTCCATAGAGGAGACTAAGGCGATCAACCTGGGCGGGCTATATATGAATGAGGCACTATATCTATCAGCTTTGCGAAATATATGGCACTTAATTTGAAGGTAAAAATGCTAGCTGTTTGTGGCTCTCCAGATTTGACCCATTGGTATGATTATAGATGATGTAGAAGTCTAGTAGATGAAGGCGAAGAAAGGGAATGGATTATGGTGTTGGCTTGTCCGTGTGCTTATTAGGGCACCGTGTTGAGAGCATAATTATTATAATCAGAACATAGCGACATGTGAAGACGACGCCGAAAATGACAGTCTCTGGTGCCAGAAACGGCCGGTTTTCACCCGTGACGTTGGACAGGTAGCCGCCACTTGACCAACCACTGACTTGTAAATTGGGCGCCTGTGGTGCAAGCCTACTATAGCAAGAATGATATTGAGCATCAGGAGATCGATCACCATGAATGAGGTGTATCCTGTATTGCCCAAATTTCTCAATGAAGACGTGGTCTGAATCTCTTACTCCCTCGGCCCCAGCTCAAAAGTGAATCGCTTCGAAACAGGTGATACCCTCCAGCGTGCAAAGAGCTGCACATTCTCCACCAGAATCCGCCGCAGTATCTTGCCCTTCTCTTCTGTACTAGGCCATATATCCTGCCATTCACGCACATACGGTTCCATGATCGCCAATGCCTCCCTGACCCCACCTCCCTGCCCTCTCCGTGCCAATTCTTCCCTCCTGCACCATCCGCCTTGCAAGCTCCCCCGGGAACTGCTCCCTCTCCTGCCTGTCTTTCACTGAGACCTGCATGATTGCCAGTAGTATATGTGACCGTATTGATAAGTCCAACTCATCCATCTCGATACCTCGGAATTGTCTCTTCTACTGCAACAGCGGCTAGAAACTCTACCTCCTCCTCACTTCCGACCTCTTCCTCCCACCCCTCCACCACGCCTGCCCTCCAATCCCTCCCTCTGGCCACCCGCACCCTATCACCTGCCCAGACTGGCTATCTCCCTCGTCAACCTTTGTGCCCGATACCTGCCTGTGCTTGGTACTCTGCTTCCGACCCTTGTATATCATACATTCCCTGCGCGACCAATATCCCAAAATTGTTAGGCACCCATGCTTTCCGGGAAGTTACCTTAGCCACGCGAGATGGAGATAAATCAGGAGTAAAATAGTCAAGCCAAAAGCGCGCGTGTGATTCGGAATACACTGGGGTAGGCCGTGTGCAGGCGTATCATGGTTGCCTCAAGTGTGCTAAGCGCTACTGCAGTAAGAGTCGCAAATGGCAGAAAAGGCTGCCTACGGTGTGAACGCCCGACAGCTTAGGTCCAGCGTGGGAGTTTCAGAACCTGTACGAATGTCTGACTATAGTGCGGCTATACTATGGTTTATGATAGATCTTTTTGGCGAATCAATGTCATAGCCTAACTTTCTCTTCCACAATGATAAAGACTTGACTCTCAATAAATCTCGCTAACAGTGTGTATCGCAAAGTGTGTATCCGTGCTAATTGCCGATCTGAGACTTGCATGACGGGTGAAATTGACAGGTCGTCAGTGCAACACCGCCCGCTTCATCGGGCTGGGATCATCCATGCCTTGCATGGTCACACCAATTCTATCGTGACACCATTCCTAAAGTGAAGTTTATGGTCGGTCAGAATTTAGATAGCCTCCTGCCCAGTTGATGAACCTTCTGTCTGGAGGTGCATATGCATCACCGCTCCGCCTAGGGTTTTCTGTTCATGAAGATGAACTGTCACATCACACGAACACGAAGTGTTGTAAGATAAATCATTTTCTCTCCTTTCTGATACGTCGGCCTCCAAAAAAATCATGCATCAGTCCCTCAGCGTCAATCTCACGAAAAGAGGCCCTTTCTCCCAAATCAGAAACGCCCGCTGATCATCCCACCCATGACACCCTGGCGCAAAATGCAGATCAAAGCTCCACAGGATGCGCGCAAGGATCAGCCCTGCTTCCATGTACGCCATGCTATGATCACGTCAGTTTCGTCAAGTCATTCCTTTCGATATGGACGTAGAGATTATGGGAACGGAACACAGACCTCTTGCCAGGACAGCCTCTTTGGCCTAAAGAGAAAGGCTGGATCGCGGCCTTCCTATCGTTGTTCGTACATGGCGGATCGTTCAGCCATCGCTCTGGAATGAATTGGTCTGGGTTAGAGAAGTTTGCTGGTGATCGCGACGTAGCCCATGACGGGACGGCGACGATTGTCTGCGAATGTGTTAGCTTATATCCTATGAAAGGCACAGGTGTAATATGCAGTACCTTCTCCGGAACATATCGCCCGGCAATCATCGCGCCACCCGCCGGGATTATACGCGGCATGCCCAGTGGCACTGGCGGATACAACCGCAATGTCTCTGTAATGACGCTGTGAAGATATGGAAGCGCTGCTAGCGATGGAAAGATTATCTCAGTGGGCGCTGAAAAGTGTTGTCGCACTTCGGAGGTAAGCCGTTGGTATGAATGTGGGTGCTTTAGGAGGTAGAACGTGCACCCGGACAACAGTGTAGCAGTCGTTTCGCTCCCGGCCATCATCAGAAAGCTGTAATTTGGTAGCATTTCGTCCGGCAATAAGACTGTTCCGGAGTCATTGTGACTGCTGTTCTGAACATGACTCATAAAGACCGGTTTCTTCTGCTCGTTCCCATTAGGTATGTGCACGGAGAGAGCACGAACCTTCGTATCGCGATGTCCCAGCGAGTCCCGACATAGGAAGAGCACGAGAGGCTTAAGTAGCATCGCAGCAGATGAAAAGTACTTCGGGATGGCAAGAAACGCCCAAGCCTTGACCGTGCCAAAGAGCATTTCCACCCATGGATGATAGCTAGCTTCCTCAAGACACCCAAGTGGCTTCCCGAACAGCTCGTGCGCCATGAAATCAAATATAACGTAATTGAACCATTTCGCCAGATCCACATACCCATTCCCCTCCCCGTTCCCGACGCACTCCTGCCCCAACTTTTCAATCAGCGCATCAATATAAGGCTGCAGAACCCGTTCATGATCTCTCAACGCCGAATCCGAGAACGCACGCAGAATAGCCTTCTTTTGCCGTCGGTGGATTACCTCAGGCGCGACAGCAATACTCGCCGCTTTCTTCGATGACTGGTAGAAGCGCATGTCCTTGGCGAAATTGCTCGAGCGGCCGTAGATGTCCTTCCAGGCCTGCTCGTCACGATAGCTCAGCTCATCAGGGGCAATGCGGACGACGTCACCGTATCGGTCGTGAAGGTTGCGCACATAGAGATGGAGGCGACCCTGTGTGTAGGCGATCATGTATGGGATTCGAGAGATTGTTGAGAGAAGGGGGCCTGGGTAGTTGCTCAATGGGTGGAGGTAGCGGTTCCAAGTTATTGTCCATCCCGCGTAGAAGAGTGTCTTTTCGGGTGGGCAAGTTACCTATCATAGCGTCAAGGTAGACTGGAGAACATACGGCCAGAAGGCAAATTTGCGCAGCATATCCAACGAATACTGCTGGAGACATCGTGCTATCCGGCAATTTTCTTCTCAGTGTCTTCTCGAGATTAGACTCGGCGGCACAAAACAACCTTTTCCAAGAAGAGTGAAATCACCCAACAAGCATGATGTCTTGGAAGGAAATCAGGGCAGACCAAAGAATTAAGTGGTTCATGTATGCATGGAGTAACTCATTATCTTTCGCGGTGTAGCTGGAAACCTTTTAGATGCGATCTACAGATTGCGTGTGATGGTAACGAATGAGACGTGCTGAATGCTGTTTTTTGACCCCCTTGCAGATCTTGACATGCTCCATTTTTTAGCCTTCAGCAGCCTATCCTCCAATAGTAGTTGGATTCTGAGGTCTGTGTCTGTCATTCGATCATCGTGAATAAAGCTAAAATTCAGGATCGTCGTTCTGTCCAGCAGGGATGCGCCGCGCCACAATACCCGAAACTCCCAAAAAAAAAAAGGTGTTCTCTTTGTGTTATGACATTTTGTCCATATAAATTGGCCTGTTTTTTTTTACCTCTACTTTTACGTCTTCATCTGCATCCCAACTCGCTGTCCTCGGATATTGCTCAAGAGACTGGTTTACTCTTCATTCGACAATATGACTATCACCAATGGCCACAAACCATATAGAACCACGATCCTTGTGGACCTTGGGGGCGTCCTTTTTCACCCCCCAGTGGACCGCACACTAGCCACGGCCGACTCGCCTGTCACATTAGGTAGAATCATGTCAACCTCAACCTGGATGAACTATGAGATTGGCAAAGTCGACGATGAGCAATGCTTCAACCAGCTCGCCGAGCAGTTCGGCTTCAAAGCAAGTGACCTCACAGCCATAATCCACAATCTCCGCGAAAAAACCACTTACGACAAGGACATGCTCTTCACATTCAAATCCCTGAAACAAACACCCGGGGTAGAGATCGCCCTCGTCTCCAATATCTCAGCAATGGATTATCAGGCCCTGCGCAAGATATTTGACAATGAATTCTGGTCTATATTCGACCACATCTTCACCTCGTCGATGCTGGGTGTCCGCAAGCCCAGTCCCCACTTCTACCGCCATGTCCTGCGAGCTCTCCGTGCCACACCGCAGAGTACTTTTCTCGTGGATGATCGACAGGAGAACGTCCTCTCGGCTCGATCAATTGGCATGCGCGGAACAGCTGACCTCATTGGTCTGCCCCGTAGACTCACTAATCTCGTCGGCGACCCCATTGAGCGGGGGATGACCTTTTTGCGACGGCAAGCGGGGGAGTTCCCTTCCGTGACGCAGGAGGGAGTTGTGATTGAGGAGAATTACGCGCCGCTCCTGATACTGGAGGTGTTAAATGATCGGTGAGTAGTGCATGATGATCTGTTGACATAAAATGACTCCATGCTAACTTCGCCTAGGAGCCTGGTTAATCTGAAAAACCCGCCGCGTCTGTGGAATTTCTTCTCAGGAACGCCTAAGTATACCACGAAGGTGTATCCTGATGACCTAGACACGACCTCGCTTGCAATGAGCACACTAGAATACGACCATGATCTCGCACACTCAATCCTCGACGAGATGCTTGACTACGTGGATGAGGATGGTTTTGTCCAGGTATAGACTTCCTCGTATTTGAAATCCAAAGAAAGGAGAAACAAGCAACTTACGCGAAAATTAGGCCTACACCGATAGATCTCGACCCCGCGTCGACGCAGTGAAAGCCCTAAATGTTCTCGTCGCATTCCACATCTATGGCCGCGGCTACGAGCTGCCGCAAACCCTCGACTGGATGCACAGCATCCTCACGCACCGCGCATACATCGACGGAACGCGCTACTACCCAACCGCTGAGTGGTTCCTGTACTACCTCAGTCGCCTCCTTGCCAGGTGCAACGATCCACTCTTACGCCAAAGACTAGAGCCTCTTTTGCGGACCCGTGTGACCGAGCGGATTGGAGTGAACGGCGACGCTTTTTGTCTTGGGATGCGGCTCTTGACATGCAATTTTCTGGACATCGAGAATTTTCAGGATAGAGAACGCCTGGCTGAGATGCAGTGCGAGGATGGCGGGTGGGAGGCGTCGTGCATGTATCTTTTCCCGTCGGAGGGGAAGGATATTAGGAATCGCGGGGTGACGACGGCTTTTGCGGTTGCTGCGCTGAGGGGTGGGGTGTAGGTGCACAGCAGATGTGGATGTGGATGTGGCAGTATGATGGAAGTTGGTGAAGCGGCGTGGATCTATCTCATCATGATTGGCGTTTTTGTGCATGCTTCTGGTATGGTTAAGGGATGAGAGGAATGTTTTTGCACTGATTTATTACAGTTGGAGGGAGGCTTTCTATAAGTATCTGCTGCCGGGGGTTAGACTTTTGCTTTATACCTGGGTTGTCTCTAGCTTCCGAATCGAGTATATATCCAACGCATGTTCCATTGAAGAAGTGATTTTTAGTACCATATATCAAGAAGGTGAAGAGAAGAAGGTGAAGAGAAGGAGGTGAAGAGTAGAAGGGCTCTTTTAGGCCCAAAAAAGGCCCGTTGGCCACACTGCTGCCCTGGAGCTATGAGAATGAACATTAGTCAATGTACCACAGTGGTCAGGTGGGATCGTTACTGAGGGGACTGAGGAATAACGGATAAAGAGCCAGATTGAAGTTTTGGTTTTTCAACAATAAGATAACAGGGTCAAAACGATTGCGGCTTGTGCATTGGAAAAGATGCTGATGAACAATCGGTTTAAATGATTGGCAACACAGTACACGTCCAAACCTATAGCGAAGAGACCTCAGAACCATTGCAAATTTCTACTTTACATACCTTCGATGTAATGGAATGAATGCCACAATTACAGTAAGCAAAACTCCTCCGGAGACGTCACCTTCCCTTTCTCTATGGAAAATGACGGCAGACATCGATGTTGAGGAGGCGGCGAATATTTCAGTAGAAACTAAGCTAGTGACCCTTAGGAGCTTAGCCGTGACTCTTCTATCATATCGGTTCCTCGCCTCAGGCGGGTAGGCAATAAAGCCAATACATGCGACGCGCTAAGCATAACAATACATGGCTGGCTAGCGCACGATTGGAAACCCCTATAAAACAGCCATCCTCCCACTTTCTGCATCTTCATCTTCATCCATTTTTTCAAGACGAGCAAACGATTATACGATTTCATCATCACTTTCTGCCTCGTTCAGAAGCCTTTCGAAGATCCCGACATATCAAGTCCTAGCCCCGAGCAGGACCTTCTCGGGCATGGCATCTTCATCCTCAATTCAACACCCCATCTTCAATTACGTCACAACACAGTAGCCACACTACCAGGGATTAATTAAAAGCTCCAAAAGGCTCTTCCACTTCAACTCCAGCTCCTCGCCCGCTTATTTTCGTCTACGTCACCAAGAGTCATGGAAGACTCTATGAGAACCCCATGGATCCTTTTCTCACACAAAAAAGCCGATTTCATCGACAGAAATATGCAGGAGACCGGATTTTAGTACTGGGATATTACCCACTACCGAGCCACCTACAAAAGTGACTCCGCTTGGGAGGAATTCCTCAGTCGTGTTCCTGGACCGTGTCCGCCATGACCTAGCGCTCTACGATCGTCTCGACAGGTGGGATTCGTTCTGGCCGACAGTATTCGAGTACAAGAGCCGGTTTGACGGCGCGACACGCGCTCTAAAACAGGAGGCTTTCAGGGAGTGGGCAGTAATGACCTGTGAGAAGGAGGAAGAGGTGACATGAGCGCGTCGAGTGGGCGTATATGGCCCGCTATTGGCTTTGTATCATGGTCGACGAGGAAGCGTTACATTTTATATTGAATATTCCGAGGGAGAGCCTGGATGAGTATAATGCTACTGGATTTGTGGTTCTGATCGATGGGTGGTGGGTGTCGGAGCTGGACCCCTCCGAACTGGTTGAAGGGGAAGAAGATGATGAGGGCGAGCCATTATACGGCTGTACCTTGCAAGATGTGGGCTGGATGACGGTTCGCTATGATGGAGCGCAGATTGTACCCTCTTCTAGGATGCGCTTTGGGTCGGATTGGGACCTTACTTATTGACGTCCTCCGGTCATTTGTCTTTGAGGCTAAAGAAAACAAAAGTGAATCCCAATCTGGAGAATACATGATTCATGATCGAGTACGATAGGAAACAAGGTATATTCCCTTGCATATCATACATTTCATCTCGTAGTTACTAAAATGATATTTGCCGCGTTCCCAGTTCTTGTTCATTGTTATGAGACACCATCGAAAATGGCATGCACAACATCTTAATACTGACAGTCTGACTCGATCACCGGATTCCACTTACTTGAAAACTCTACAAGGGAATCAAGATAGGGTCCAAACTTGAAGAAAGACTGGCCCAGCTTGGGGGCCTCTACCTTCGGATCCATACGTTGGTGGACACCTACATAACGTACAATTCAGGGCTGAGCGGAACCAGCTATCACGATTCTTCAACAGCGTTTTGCAAATGCTCATACGTATAGAACAAACATTCTAGCATCTTACTCCGCGCGACAGATAGACCCTTTATCAGTGCCAGATAACCCACCAATTGTCCTACAAGAAGAGTTAATTTTGCGAACACAAAAATCGCGATTGGTAAACACGCACATATCATACCCAAAACTCAGACTCAGTATTAGTACTGGCCAGATATCAGGAGCTCTTCTCCTGCTCGAAGACGGTGTTCTCTGTGTTGATAGCGTCCAGTCATTTATCAACTAGATAACATATAGGATCGATTGCGTTCTTATCGTACCTTCTGAAGATCGGAGACCGAGGAAATTCTGTCGGTCTTTCAGAGTTAAGCAGATCTTTGCTCCAAGTTCGTGATATCCCAACTAATCCTCACCCGGATTTTTGGATGTGACCACCAGTCATGCTATATACAGTGGTAGTTTCCCTACAGCAAAGTTATGGCCCGCTTGATTCCCACGGGGTTTACGATCATGCTTCGGCCAACATTTCCTTTACCGTACCAGCATCTATTCAGCAGCTATCTAGCAGCAAAAATACATATCTTAACAATACCGATATCAGTCAAGAAAATCCTGTTATTCAGTGTCGCCGTATAGCTACCTTTTAGCTCAATATAGAGAGAGGCCAGCCCAGAGATTGTCCGAAGCTGGTCTTATAGCTATCTCGTCAACTTTGCTTAATAGAAAAATGAACCTACCTCTCGGCACATTGTTACAAGGTGTATATCCTTGATGTTGTTCAGGCGCACAAGTTTCCCAGCAAGAAATGCATACGATTATACGTTCCACTTTCGTAATACGTCTCTTTGAGCTTCACAATGTCAACATGGCTTATTTTTACCATTCCGCAAAGTGGACTGGTGTCCGAAACCCTCTACTTCTTTACAATAAGACAATCCCTTAGGGTAGGCTGCCGAACTTCGACAATAAAGCCGGAGGCTCTGAATCCTGAGGCAACCTATCAGGACGGCGGTAACATTTTGACTCCATAAATAGAGAAGGTTTTGGGAAACTTTGTGCCTCATCGCCGCATTGCTCGAGATCTTTTTTCTTCCTATGCACCCTAATAAGGCAGCCAAATCCGCTTGTGCTCCTCGCGATCCGTGCTTAAGAGATCGGCCAGGCCGAGCCAAGGATCATCAACCAAAATTGCCTACCGCTATCTAGTAGAGTTTCACCCAGACCTCTCCGTCTCGCTCTGCTTAGCCAATTTAGCGCTCTATTCTCTGCATACAACGTGGCAGTGTTATTCTGGACCAGTGAGTTTTGCTTCAACCGATCCCTTCTAAATATTACTATATATTCTGGACCCTCGTGTTATTTATGAAAATGGACCGGTTACAATCGGAATCTGGAGACCTGTCGATGAACGCCGAAAATGACCACTTTTGACGCTGACCGACCGCCTTTCCACTTGTAACTTTAGGCACAAAAATGTTGTGGAGCAAGCGTAAAGCAGCATGGAATTGTATGAAAAGATTAGCGCTATTCTATCAAGGGGAATCGATCCAAAAGGTGAGTTGAATCGAATTTGTTGAAGAGTATCAAAAGAGCGGACGGTGCGAGGACGGCTCGGTGTTTCCTCAATTACCTGGTAGAGACGAAATCCCCGATTCTCGTATTGTGAAGAATCCCCTAGTATAAACAAAGAAATCACGACAGAAAGAAATTAAAATGTTCCGGGTGTATTTTACATCCCACTTAGCTCGATATCCGTGCCCTGGGCGCACCCAATCGCTTTTAAGAAAAAGCGATTGGGTGCGACCGCCTGCACGGATAGACGTCAATGCAGAGGGTATTTTTAGGCTACTAAATGATGTAGGGCCGGTCACGGAACTACGAGGCAGCCCATCTTTACCCTAATTAGGTCCTAGGTTAAACCTAAAGTTGTAGGCCTAGCGAATCCTATCCCTTGCGGATGAGCAATTAAATGGGGTCCATAGCACGAGTGGCCGCAATTTCTTTTCTGTTACACTTCGTTCCTCACCATCTGTTTTCCATACTATCCGCGAACAACCCCTGCTAGACCATATCTAGCAACTCACCATATTTTATGGTGAGACCAATGCCAATGCTTTACAAGGCACGAAATCGAGTCACATCAGTCAAAAGTATATTAGATTAGCCGAGTCCCTGCTCGAGGTCGCAGTTATTGTTGGAACCATTATTATAATAAGGCCAAGGTGGTGTAATGGTAACACACGTAAGTCACTATATTAGGAGCGAGATCCGGGTTCGAATCCTGGCCTTGACTTTTTTTGGATCGCTTGCCCTAAGTTGTGTATTCCATTCATCCATGGCCTTTGTAGGACTATATACTCCGTACCAAGTAGTGTAGTAGAAAGTCTAGGGACGGTTATCAAAGGGACTCATTTTCATACTCGTGCGGATTTTTGCCTAATTTGCATGTGTCATCGTGATGTTCTTCATATTGTCCAGCAAGAATACAGGATATGCAGAAGGGACGACACATAAGCACAGCAAGAAAAGTAAACAAGAGAACACGTAGGCATAAGAAAGAGCATAGAATCGATACAACACACATTCTGTTGACCTACTATCTCTTTATTTGCGTTGTACGATTATAATCGAGTTTTTATCTACCTTTTCTGCTTTGAATTTTATCCGATACAGGCTTGATATAAGAATGATGTAGATATCTTGAGCCGTCCCTGCAGGTCCGTGACTAGATGGTACTAAAATATTAGGGATGTTGATGGGTTGAGGGCATATTCTCCCCCTTTTTATTTCACATTCACTCTTCTCATTCCTGGTAAGCTCTAAGGCCTCTAAAGGATATATTCTATCTTGACATTAAAACTAGCACATACAACCATAGGGTGTGGATAATAGGGCTTGCTGTCCGCTCATCCTACGTAGGCCTATCATAGTCCGCAGATAATACTCAATGCGCTTTAAGCTCTAAAATGGCGTCAGATTTGATCCTAGGGTGGGTGTGAATAATATAGGTGAGGACTTGAGAGACTGAAGTGAAAGAGGTGAGAACGGGTGAGAATGGGTGAGAAGGGAGTAAGGATTATCACCTGGATTACCCCGTTCTCACCCACTTTCACTTTTACGCCTGATACTGTTCCATAAACGAACCGTCACCTCTGAAGAGAGGTAGAGAAGACGTTTTCCCATTTACAGAGACGACAATCCACTTACCATAGTATAGGGATAAATCTTTATGAAGTAGTGTGTCATTCATTACAACCAGATAGTTAACCTATCTCACTGAGCAAGAGCCCGTTCATTGGGTTGTATGTGATGCTGCCTTGTTTCCGTTATCGTATGACCAGCTACAGACATGAAGGTCTTGGATGTCGTAGTATTCTGTAGCGAATTCTCGTCCACGGTATGGGACAGACTGGGCATCAGTGTTTATAATCAAGAGAACACAAGCTGCCGTGAAAGAGACAGAGGTTTTATGGTTGTGTAGAGCTGAAAGAGCTTGCTATACTATGAGTGTCCATATAATTCATGACCAGGCACCTTGAAAGAATTTTGAGGTTTAAAAGCTAGAGTATCAAGACAATACTGTGTTTGAAATGTTATATGATCGATCAACTAGATGAGTGCGAAAGGTGCTTGGACGTGAGAATCCTTACACACTCACCAGTGTTAGCGACCTTAGCGGTGTGCGTGACGGCCAAGGGAAATATGGAGAGGGAGAGGGCATCTACGGGCACTAGAATGATTTGTCGGGTTATTTAGACGTCTCCAAGTGGTCACTACTCTCGATATTTCTAGACTTGCTGGATCCAGACTTGAAACGTGGAGCAGGCTCATCACCCTAGACCTGATCATGAAGCACTTTGCCCTCATAAAGAAAGTATAAGTAAAGATATATTATCTATAGTTAGGATTTTCTTTAACACTATTATATACCCTTATTTTTTTGATACAGCCCCAAAGTGAATTATTTCTCGTAGAGTTTATTTCCAAAACAGGCCATTTACTACTTATGGATAGGGTTAGGAGGCGGCCATTCCATTTACTGGCGCTAGTAATTTCCATACACCCCATTACTGTACCAGATTGGTCCCAAGGCGCAAATTGATCTCATCAGCACTTTAATTTTATGGACTTTTTTACTGCCAAGATTTCCACCAAAATTGCCTTAATTTAATAGGTAAGATAATTATAATAAAATTAAAAAAACCTTTCAAGGTGCATAATGAGACTGGCTAGATGATGCGACTGTGTCTTTTCATCCATCTGAAGGTGGTTTTATGGAGGAATTCGGCGTTGTGGTAATAAAAAGCATATTTCTCGTAGTGCATACCGTACTATAATTGACCAATCTAACACTCTGTAATCTTGTGTTTAATCGTTCAATTAAAATTCGAGATAATTATTTTGCTACTCTCAGGTATTGTTCAATACAAGGACTAGCAGTGGAAAGTGCAGGTGTACCTGGTGGGCGCTTCGCCACACCCAGGTCACCGGGAGCGTGGGCTCAGCCACCGGTACGCGGATCATTCGCCATTCACGTGACCCAGTACCTCCCGGAGGCTACCAGGCTTCCTAAGCGATTGGTGCTTTGAAGCATCTGCTAAGGTATTTGAAATGCTTGCCTGTTTCCTGTGTACGCTACTTGAGCTCGCTCCTCTTGGCAAACTTTCCGCTCTCGCTCTTTCCTCTTCAGCTTCGATACGAGCTTTTATCAGTAGGCACCGAATTAATCCGGTCCTTTCGCTCCGCCCGTAACACTGTTTTCACAGGTTGTCCAAATCTTGGTATAATTAATCTTAAGGTGAAGAAGCCGACCCAGGGAATGAGACTATTCATATAGCAATTTAGATTCCATGATTCATTCTTCCTCTTATGCTTGAGAGCAAAGTCCTATAGCCACTGCCAAACAATGTGTTGATAGCTGTTATTATATAATTTATAGATATGGTCTTCCGGATGACTGCATGAATTGTCGTCTTCAAACTACTCCGTACAGAACGTGCACAAAAATTCTTTGTGAGGTTGAGCGTCGCCAAGAGTGAGCTAAAAAGTAATAGATCTCCTTAGGTTTGTGGGGTCAGACAAATCTGCATGATAATTCGCCTCGGCGACCCGTCTTGTCGCGTGATTGAGTGTGGATAGACTTTTTTTTCGCGTGGGCAGGAACGCGTGTGGAGAGGAAACTGCCAGTGGGGCTGTTTACTTTGAAGCCGAAACCTTATCCCGCCACTTTCAAGCAACGGGGGTTATCACAGCCGATAGACACGGTCGGTTCTAGCCGCTAAAATGGCTTCGCGTGCCGGCGAAGGGGATTAATTAAAGAGGGTCGTCGGCTTGGAAAAGAAAAGTTTGCAGTTGCATATAGCTCCAATCCTTTTTTGAGCCCTCTTTCTGTGATGCGGAGCGCTTACATTCGATCAGCGACTCTGCTGTCCGGGCTGGCTTGGACAGGTACGAAACTCTTTCGTCAATAGTAATGAAGTTTTGGCTTTTCTGACCCCAGCGGTAGTGGCTGCCGACTGCGAATGTGGCTATTCCGTCAATTCCACCTCGTCCTCGCAACACGAAGTTTTTACCGACCTGATCGAATCGGATTTCCTCACTATCCAAAACATCTCGGTCGACACGGATTGGAAGATTCAGAGATATTGGACATCCTACGATCCCAGTTCTGGATATTACGGGGAGAATTTCACCAATGCCAACGTGGTTTCCAACCCGCTCAAATATAATTACTCTCTTGAACACCCGACCGAAAGTCAGCTGGGCGGCGATGCCGGTCTGCAACTCTGGGTTCGCAGTCAGATCCAGTCCAACGGACTGGTCCCCTGCGGCCAGGTCAAAACGACCCGCGATGATATTCAATACGGTTCATTTCGCACTTCGATGAAGTTAACTGCGGTCAATGGAACCTGCAGTGCCTTTTTCTCCGTAAGTTGCTTTGACTTGCCCACTTACCCTCGTGGAAGTACGTGACTCTAATGACTTCTAGTATTATAACGATACACAAGAAATTGACATGGAGCTTCTTTCTCGGCAATATACCAACTATACCCTCTCGGGCTCAGATAGCGCGTCGTCTCCCATCAACTTGGTATTTCACTCGGTCCAATCCATCATTGATGGTTATCAGTTACCCAACACATCCACATACGGCCGTCCAGTCATTCCAGCCGCCCTCACTGACGAGTATCACGAATACCGCTTTGATTGGATGCCCAACCGTGTTTCATTCTATTTTGACGGCAAATGGCTCTGGGACCTCGTCACCGATGTCCCATCCTGGCGCACTGCGATCCTTCTCAGCCACTGGAGTAATGGTGCTTCCGGCTGGACCCAAGGCCCCCCGGATGAAAACGCCGTCATGACGGTCAGCTACTTCAAAGCCTACTTCAACAGCAGCGACTCGCAGCGCCATTCTGACTACAAGAATCGCTGCAAAGATCCCTCGGCTGCGAACGCTATCTGCGTTATTCCAGACCAAACGGTCGCACCGGGTGCGGCAGCCGCGCAGAATGGGTCGGCCTCGACGTATTTCTTTTCGCAGCATACCAACATGACTTCCAATCAGACAGTATACACTGGAGTCAACAGTGGTGCCATTATTTCACATGCGACGGTGGCTGGGTTTCCGTTGTCGATTGTGGGTATTTTGATCATTGCAGTCGCTGGAAACTGGTTCGGCTTATGAAATTGCCTCAGAGAGCCTGTACATTTACACGGCACTTGTCGCAGGATATTATATAATAGTTAATATAGATCTGGTCAACATTTTATTTGAATTGTACTTTAGCTCAGCTTTTGATGATCTTCTTCGTCACTTGCGTACTTCCAGCCCCTCATGACCCGGCGTATTCACATGATCTGGACCTGGAGTCGTGTCGTTCAACGTCTCAGAATCTTAGATTGCAAGGGCTGCCCATCCTAGCCTGTCAAATTTGAGATCCTGCGATGGTTGGTTGGGGCTAGAGCAGAGTAATTTCACTTTTCGCATCAATTCACGGGAGCGCTGGCTTACGAAGAGTATCGCTTAAACGGACTAGGGAGGCAGTCGACCCAGAGATAGGCATTCAATCTGCGTACTACACCTTGATTTTACAGCAAGGACCCCGAATCAAGTGACTACACATGAATTTTGTCAGGTTACGAAGGGGCTTAGCGGTAATATAGCAACCTTGATGCCAAACTGAGAGTCAGGCTCTTTTTTTTTATGGTATTATGAAATTCTAAGTTTGTCTATGTATCTTCATTTCCCATATATAATTTTAGCGAAACAGAACCATTAGAGATAAAAGGCAGGGGTATTCAACGAAAGAGATTTCGAACTCGGTACATCCAACGATAAGAATGAACTTCCGAGAGGGAATGAAGACAAGGAGGTAACCGGGTGCAGAAAAAATAATTATTAAAGAGCAATCAAAGGGGGTCCGATATTGCTTCTGATATCAAGAAAATATTCAGGCTCTAGGAGTGGCAACGGCAACCGGCTGAACGGCAACAGGCTGAGGGATCTGGATAGGCGTCGACTTAGGCGTCGACTGTGCTTGCTCCAAAGCAGGTACCTGGTTTGGGTTCTGGTTTGGGTTCTGGGCTTCCTCTTCACCTTCCGCGATGACCTTTCGGGTCTTTCCCCAACCGAAGGAGTCCATATACCAACAGGCATACAGTAGGACAGAGATGTTGAGGAATGGACCACAGAACATGTACATCAAACATCCGAGCCAGAACTGAACCCGGTCTAGCCATCTTTTGCACAGCCACAAGGGGATGCACAGATAGTAGACGACAGGAACAAGCATAACAGATACGAAGGCCATAAGGACGCCAACAGGGACAGCTGATCTAGAGTTAGCACCATGATTAAAGATCCTGAGGGGAGGGACAACGTACTCATAGCCGCCACAATGAAACTTGCCACACTGGCAAAAATAAACAAGTTCAAGAACCAAGTGATGACGTTCACCGCTGCGAGAATGCGTTCGAACCATTGTACACCAGGTGCAGTTACAAGAAGCAGATCATTGGACGTGGCACCAAGAGTCCACCGCCGGCGTTGAGACAGGAATACCGACCATGACCCAGGAACATCAGTATATGCCTTTGCTTTCAGTGCCTGGCGAGTCTGGACCTTGGGTCTAGCGGAGAGCATGTGGCAAACATGATTGCGATCTTCACTGGCGGTGGCGCGAATTTGAGTGAGCATGCCGTCGGTGAGAGTTGGGCAGTAACCGAATTTCTCGATGAGGACCTCCGGGCCACAAGTCTCTTCACAGATTTTGAGTAGTTGACAGCAGCCTGGGAGACAGGATACCTTATGCGTTGCCACGGACTGATGGAGACGGCGCAGACCCTGTGCAATCGTGTATTCGGCAGACTGGTACAGGCGCCATGGGTTGAAGTTGCCATCTTTCCAGTCCACAGCCACATAGCCACAAACACCGACGACGTGGTCAAAGCGAGATTGCAACAGAAGCTCGTTGATACAGTCGTCATCAAAAACAGTGTCGGCATCCATTCCAATGAGGTGGTCAACACGGTCGATGCCTGAGTCGTTGATGAAAGAAGCCATGTGAGCAAAGAAGGTCGAGGTGAAGATGGTTTCTGGTCGCTCGGCACGGACATTGAAGTTATACAAGAATGAACGGATCACAATGAGACTGTCACGCTTTCCCTGGTTTTGTTGCTTGACGATGCAAAAGTAGGGAATTCCGTTGTACGTCCCTTTCTGTACCTCGATGTCCATGAACTGCTGGTCCCAGGCGAGGTAGGCTGCAGGAATGCGGATGCGATAATCTTTCTGGACCAGAATATCCTCGAATAGATAGTCAGCGGTGGTTTTGTCCATGCCTGGGCCGCGGACTTTGCCGTCGCAGATGATCATGACCGCGCGCGGGTGTTGATCGATATTCTTTTGGGAAACGAGCGAATTCAAGGACTTGAGCAACTCCTCTTTGGTTTCGTTGTAGCATGGAATGACGAGAACGAGAGACTCTGGTTTCTCTGGAATTGTTTGCTTCTCTGGGGATATGCGGCGCCTGACAACGTTGAAGACGATGGAAACAATCATGAAGATGTTCAGGGCAACTGTAGCGGTAATGAATGGCAGCAGGATATAGTAATATCTAGACCACCACCATGTACTGAAGATGCAGAGACCGCTAACAACACAGTTGGTTAGCAGTGAAGACTTTGTGTTTTCATCTTGGGAAGGGGGGAGGGTCTATTACTTTAAGCCAATGATGGCAGCTTGCATCAGATACTTTTGTACCACAATAGTGCGTCTCCCTCTTCTCCGATTCTTGGGTGAGTCCTCGGGTCTTGCCTTTGGCGTGGCTGTGGTGATACTGTCCATCCACTCCTCAATTGCTGGGCCAGAGTGAGCCCGCTCAGAAGGAAGGGTCCGAGATGCGCTGTGCTCCGCAACATGCGTTTGGTCCACATGAGTTGCCGAGGTTTGATCAATCTCATCGTCCGACAGCTCATCCCGCCCTGAGGCCTTTGGGGGAGAATTATGGAGCCAAGGCTTCGGCGCAATCAACTCACGACCCTTTTTCGACTTGGGAGCAAAGACCGCACCAGCGTCGGTACGTGTAAAGTAGTCAGAGTCGTCGCCACTGGCGTATTGCAACACAGCAGCATCTTGGGAGCTCAAAGACTCTGGACGCGAGGCTGCATTGCTATCTGTCGTACATGGGACACTGTACGATGCACCGCTCTGAGATCCATCGCTAGGAGAGGAGGAACGAGTGTGAAGTTCGGATCCAGCAGACGACTCAGGGCCAGGGACAGCACTAATCTTGTGGATGGTGTTTGACAAAATAGAGGCGTCGGGAAGGCGATCTTGAGGAGTGTCATGGGCACGGAGCAAGGCCTTAGGGGGGAGCTCTATTGACTGAGCTTCCACGTCCAGGTCTTCTATGGACATGACATGCTCCGCATTGGTAGCCTGAATGGCGTACATGTTGGATATTTCAAAACGAAGGACGATGGTGAGACTTGCTTCTCCTAGCAATTAGAAAAAAAAACCCTTGCTGCCACAAACTATAGAAGAGCAGCGCAGAAAAGTTAAATAGCCATGGAATGGGGGCGACTACGGTCGGGTAACAGACACTAATGGCGACAATAATTTTGCTCTGGGATAGAATGGCCGATGTTAGTGTCAGGAGTAGCGGCGATACCCGAGAGCGAAGAGGCTCGCTATACGAGATCCACATCGTCTGCTTCGGGGTATTTTAGCAGAATATTTTGATTGAGTTGTCACGATGTTATTGATTGGCGCCATCAGGAGTAGATGTTGTTGACATCGGTCCGACTCGCCCAAAAAGCATGGCGCGGCCCGGTCGAGACCGCCACCCCAAACTATACCCTACGCTAAGGCTGAGCTAAGTCAAATCGAGCGTAAACTGACGAACCGTTCGGCATAATACACACGGGTCGCCTAGAGGCAAACCAGACCCCGAACTAGATCTAAAACTCCACAGTGGGCCACTTCAAAAGTTGACTGAGCAAGTTTATGCGTCTCGTTTAACTAACTCTCAAGTAAATGATCGTATATGCGCGCCGTTCGGTCAACACTGAATTACCCTGGTCTTATTCTCCATACAGTGGTATTTCATTAGTCTCCGATGAAGACTTAATATTCTGCCGTCCAAAATCTTTCTCTATTTTCTGCATCATACATACATTTCTTTGGTGTTTTTCTTTGTATTTTTTTGAGCTGATTAATGGAGCCTTATCTACATTTCACATACAACATATCCAGAAGGTGGTCTTAAAACACTTTTTTGGCGCGATACAGACTAGTCAAGTTCTTACTGACGGTAGAGCGGAGGTGATCGAATATTAATGAAACACCACTGTACATACGTGCTGGCATGTACATGCATTACAGTAACGAAACAAAGTGAAATACAATCGCTTAAATAGGCATCTTCGCCCTGGCCATGTGCCATCCTTGGAGTGGCGCAAGCGCCATCAAGCTAAATTTTAGGTTTGCCTTTTCAGTATACACCACATTCACATACTAAAACGAAAAAAAGAAATGGATCAGGGGGCGTTCGTACCTACGCCTCATCTGAACTGGGTAAAAGGTGGGGAAATATGTTCCTGAGGTTTTTTCTAGCCGCCAGCCCATTCCTCGAATTTTGCGCGTAAAAGGCACTCAGGGGAAAATTAGAAATCGGCGTCAAGAATTGAATTCCCTTGGCTGTACTGGAACTTTCATTTTTACCAAATTACATTAATTTTTAACCACATGGTAAATGCAAGATTTGGGTTCCTGGATGTGTCTTCGATTGCGTTCCGTACCTTCATACTCTGCTGCCCCCATTTGAGTAAGAAGATTATCGAAGGGACCTGAAGAAATGAGTATAAAATGGAATAAATTCGCGGAGGCGAGCTCCGAGCGCCCTCGGGCTAGAACATGAGTACTACAACCAATGATATGACCTTCTGGTAGCAGGGCGTTCTCTCTTTGTGCCTTATTGCCCTGCGATGGAGCTAGCATCAGCTGCTTGGCACCGCTGTTAGCATCGGCTTGGCATGGCTTGATCACGGATTGTGCCTTGAAATAGGTCTCGGAAGCGAACGGGTGGAATACCTACGCATACGGCCGTGATCAAAGGGCTCGCAGTGCCGACCATCGCGCGATACGAAGCGGGACCGAGAGTGGATGCAAGACCAGCTAGCTCAGGGTATTGGCTTTGACCTGGCGCATGGAGCTGAGGCGAGACTCTCGAGATAAAACTGGCGAGGTAGTTTCTGGAGAAGGACCTCCATGGGGTGTCGATGGCGAAGTCCCGTCGGTATATAAGAGGTATAAGCCCAGGGAATCTCGTAATAGGGATTGATGATCATCACGTCTTTGTGAACATTCTTCAAGAGATTTCTGTTCTAAATCATGACTTTCACTCTCGTACCCTTCCCTCCTTCGCCTGACGGCTCTGTTGATGAGAATCCATCAGCAGGCTTCTTCAAGGCTCCATCCACCGCGCATGCAGCTTTCAACAATGGATCAGTTACTCCTCCTCAGGACGAAAAGTTTCTAAAAGCTCATACTCGCCTGTCCCAATCATCGGTTCCTCACGTCCGCGGGCCACACGTCTTGAAATCTGTTGTGGCAGTGATCGGCGTCGGTTACGTGGGCCATGAACTTGTCACGGCCTTTTCCCAAGTCTACCCCGTCGTGGCCTATGATGTTGATCGGCGCCGTCTCGACCATCTCAAAGAGACGGCCGCTCATCCAAACATCCGATACACCAGCAACCCAAGTGATATTGCAGAGGCAACCCACTTCCTAATCTCCGTTCCCACGCGGCTGCACCATGACAACACCGTCGACACACAACATCTCGAGAGTGCCATCTCCCTCGTCGCTGAACATGCCAGGATAGGCTCAACGGTGATCATTGAGAGCTCGGTCGCAGTGGGCATGACTCGCCAGCTCATCCAAGATGTGATGCGTTCCAAGGGTCTGAAGGCGGGCATGTCCCCCGAACGTGTAGATCCCGGTCGGGTAATCCCTACCTTCGAGACGATTCCCAAGGTCATCTCAGGCCTCGACGATATCACCCCTGGTTCCTTGGCCAGCATCCACGAGTTGTACCAGGAAGTCTTCCAACATCTGGTCCATGTGTCCTCGCCCGAGGTAGCCGAAATGACCAAATTATACGAAAATTGTCAGCGTATGGTCTGTATTGCCTATGCAAACGAGATGGCCGACGCATGTCACGCCATCGGGATCAACGCTTTGGAGGTCTCCGCGGCTGCCGCCACCAAACCATTCGGGTACCAGCCCTATTCGCCCGGCCTTGGTGTTGGCGGACACTGTATCCCGGTCAACCCATACTATCTCCTCACGAATTCACAATTTCCTCTGCTCCAGGCAGCCGCAGAGAAAATGGCTGACAGACCAGCCAGAATGGGTGACCGGGTGATGCGAAAGTACCTCAAACAGAGTAAAGCTACCAACGGAGGGGATCGTGCTCGCATTTTGGTGGTGGGCGTGGGTTTCAAGCGTGGACAATCTGTGCTGAGCAACTCTCCAGGACTCTCACTCATCCGCCACTTGCTTTCGGAGTGGGAGGCCTATGTTGCTTTTGCAGACCCCTTGGTGTCAGCTGACGCTGTGCCTTTTGTTCCCAGACTGGACGATACAACGCGATGGAACAAGAAGGGTCTAGAAGAGTTCGATATCGTCATTGTCGCAGTGGATCAAGTGGGTTTAGATCTGGCAGTCCTGGACGGGCTCGAAGGTGTAATGGTGGAGAACTTTGTCACTTCTTGTTAAAAAGCGTTTATTAATCTTTTTGGGGTGTGTTTCTTTTACATTATGCAGGGATCGTTGGTTAGCAGCTATTGCATTCATTAATATACGATTGATTCTCCTACGCCTTAATAATCTACACAGTTCGAATAATATCACAAGCGGTAGTCTGTAGGGATGGAGCTGCTTGTGCACATACATATACACAGAGAACTGAGGGACGGAGGAGAATTTACAGAACAACACATATAATTTGGCCACTTATGGAGGTTAGAGTATACAACTTACACAACTAACAGATCATATGTCAAAAATTCCGAAAGACAGAGGATATTAAAAAATGGAGACCTGCAAGACTCTTAACAACTAAGCACTTTATACCCGGCATTTACCAGACTCCTGGGACCATCTGCATCAGCAACACCCGTCCAATAGAAAAGGCCCCCGAGATTGTTTGCCTTGACATATTCGGCCTTGATCTGCACCGTGTGCGGCGTATCATAGCTGACAAAGCCCCCTTCGCCGCCAGAAGAACCTGCTGCGCCCAGCCTTTCATCCATGAATTCCTGCGCACCAGGCAATGGCAAGTCACGATAGTCGTGAACAGATCCTTCACCGGGCTGGGCGCTAAACCGCTGGCCAACGCAATCCGCGCCCAAAAACGAGCGTCCGTACACGGGGACTCCGAGGATTATTTTCCTGCTAGGGACGCCTCGCGCTAAAAAATAATGGACAGCGCCGTGGCCAGACCGCTTGGAAAAGGCGTCATGCGGGCATGCCGGAGCGTAAAGTTGACTCTGGTGTCCGGACAGCTCAGTCCAAGGACCCGCAAAATCATAACACATCAGGTTAATAAAATCGACCCGTTCGGCTGCTTTTTCCAAGTCAATGTGCTTCAGGCACCAGTCGCCCACCGGAAGGGCGGTCGTGAGTAAATATTGTGGAGCCGGGAGGCTCCTGCGCAGCTCCTCCAAAAGCAAAACATAGTTCCGCCCCTCTTCAGAGTTGGAGGGATGTTCCCAGTCCACTTGTGTCAAGTCAGATTGTACTGTACAGTGATTCCATTTTTACCAATCTCTCAGGGGCAAAGGGCTGAAAACTCACGGTCCACTCCATTCAGCTCGAAGCGATCCACGAACTTGCGGAGGTTCTGGGCTAGCCGAATACGACGATCAGCGCGACACGCTATGTTTTTGAATGGTTGGCTTCCACTCCCGCCCCCAACGGAGACGATCAGTTTGAGATGGCGGAATTGCTGGCGCTTTAGCGAATTGAGTGCGTTAATACATCCGTGCACTCCGTCGGCTGGGTACTCCAGATCCGCTTTAGCATCCAGATGCTGAGTCCAATTTTGGGTTAAAAAAACGACATTGACAGTTGAAATGTGTTTCAACTAGTAATAGGAGTGACTCACAACAAGGCTGCCATCGTCTTGGACTCTATTGCCATCAAGAGCACGTTAGTTCAACACATTCTCCAACAATCAAATGCTGCGAAAGCTCAGGTAGCCACCGAAGCGGTAACGGGCTTGGTGGACTGAATTATTACCTGAGAAAAGCATAAAACACATGTGTTGTTTTTTCGAGGTCCATTGATGACGGACTCTTTCCCCGGTAAATCCGCCAACTGGGATAATAGGATGCATTGATATAGTGAGTGAGCTCCATTCTAATTTCCAATGTAGGCGAATGCGGTAGTGAATGAATGCTCCTCAAGAAAAAGAGAACGTAAGGGGTTAATTGGATTGCAGGAAAATATCTTTGTCGTCTATCAGAATCTGACTTCCCCGGCAAGTTTTATACTATACACGGTAGCACTGGGTACCAGTCGAAATGAGAACTATCGACCTGCGTGCAAGTAGTGGCAATTTTCCGCGAGCTGGAGCTTCAGATGGTATCTAAAACCGGTGGCTGCTGACTTTTCCAGGCAACGTGTTCAGCAAGCTGATACAGTATGGTATTGTATGAAATATTGGGGCTAATCTGCAGGGCATCCAATCCAAGCAATTAAGTGGAGTTCGTCAGAAGTTAAATTAAATGTAGCTTGTGGGTCATGTGACTTTGCCACATGTTACAGGGGTGCGTGTATATAAGAAGAAGGAGGTGGTTGGATACGCCATGATGGGCTTGGCAGAAATCAGGCCGCGAGCAGTACGAGCAGAAATCCCTTGTATTGCGAGCAGCCGCGCCCTCAAGAAGCGGAACTAGGTCTCTATGTGTGCGTACGCGGATATATATAAATATATAGTGGCACTATGCTGCAAATCGCTTTCGAGGGAGGGGTCAGCGTGAATAAATTTAGTAACCCATCCAACTAAAAAGGAAACAGTTGTATCCGCAAAAAAAAACACGGTCATAAAATTGTATATCCATCCGTATGTGCCCACCATTGTTTCTAGGTGATCCTCAAGGAGTATTCACAAAAGCTCCAAGACCCGAATGCCCCCGGAAATAGAAGACTGGACTAGGGGCACTCAGCTCAGCGGTACCCCAAAAAAGTTCAGCGGTAATTACCCAAAACGTTCTGACTAATTCTGGGTACCGCTGAGGTACCAGACTCAGGGCTCAAAATCACATTATATTGTTCAATACAACAACCTTGAGGATTTTGGATTTGACATATAGTAATATCTGATATAATCACGATACTTACAGACGATAGTAGGGTTTATAACTTTTTAAGACCCACAATATTTTGGGTACCGCTGAGATCTCGCAGTTCAGCGCAGGAAACTTTTGGGTACCGCTGAGCTGGAACCCGCTGGACTAGTATTGAAAAGAAAATAAGGCTGACAGGTGAATAAGTGTTCATTGAATATACCTTGGCTGTTATCCAATCACCTTCTCTATACCATCGCCTATTAGGTCTCATACTGTATTATGTAGCAAAAGGGAAATGGAGACTTAAGTTTACGAGTAAAAGGGGTATTCATACCCTCCATAAATACAACTATTGTATCAGCCATAAAATAATAAAAGAGTATATTACCAACGGTCATTAAGGGTGGATCTTTGAAAAAGTTCCATAGATGTAAACGACTTCGACGAACAATGACCCGGAGAATTCAAAGGCTGTTATCGATTCTTAATTCTCAACGCTCTAAGGCCACTTCTGTCCGTTTTGAAGTTTCTTGAATCCTATCAGCAGATAGGACTTCAATGCAGTGCAGTCTAAGGTATAGTTAAGCATTTACAGAATATAGTACTTTGACCTAGTTCTGAAGGCTTTGAAGCTCCGCTTTGCTACCCTTCAAGGTATTTACTATTATAGGCTACCTTATCCAGGCGGAAAAAGTTTTCCAATCCGAACATAAGATTTTTAACGGTGCTAAACGAAGCCGTTAATATCTATCACTCTTATGGAATTTCCAACACCGCAGATACCAGGATATAGACGCCTAGATCATTCATGTAACGTAAAGCATAAAACCTGGAGATCTATCGACCCTAAATTATAACACATTTTGTAAGCGATAATCGATTGCTAGGTATGGAAATCTATTAGCAGCAATTTAAGGCTCGCGGTAAAGATCGATGTTTGCCACCATACGAGGTTGAGCTAACGTAGATAATATTCGGCACTTAGAGATCCGACTACCGAATCCTGTAATAAGGACGCCGTTGTCTCAATTTGATAATACGCTTTTTTTATTATCAAATCGCTTAACCTACTTGCTCATTTTAAAGTTTTTTATCTCTACTGGCGGCACTCCCTTTAACCGGTGTGAACGCGCGGTGTTAACTGCCCAGATGGAGTCCACCCTCGCATGAGTTAGATCCTTAGCTGAAGGAGGGCAAAACATCACCAACACACAACCAGAGAACTTAAAAGAAAAAGTCTCGGTATAAGATTCTGGCTCACAATCTGGGCGATCGCTTTCACAAACCTTACCGCCTCTCCTAATTTAACGACACTATCTGTTGCCCTCCCGGCATTCATAACCTCCATACCCGATATTTATAAATCTATACCGTGATTAATCGAAGCCAACGAGATATCTCTACTATATTACCGCCGCTAGTTTGGGCGGGTCAACGACCGAAGCCTTCTGCGTCAGAACGTCCTACATACTCGCCCGCACCATGTTGAATGTACCACGAGTAACGCTCAGCGATGCATTCGGCCAGTGACCAATTATTCTTCATCGTGTTGCTCTCGTTCACCGTCGGAGCTATCTTCTGCGCCGTGTCACAAAATTGGCTGATCATGCTCGCTGGTCGGGCAACCCAAGGTCTCGTTAGAGGAGGTCTCATTGCTTTGACAACTGTTTTGAACACCATCTTGGCACTACTACGTGATCGAGCTCGCCTTCATGCTCTTATTAGTGTAATGTGGGCGTTTGGGAGTGCCACGGGACCAAGAATTGGAGGTACGCTGACACAATGAAGGCCGTGGCGCTGGATCTGACGGACTCAACTCCCAATTGTCGCTATAGGGGTTGTTGGGATTGGGTTTTTCTTACGATTCAGCCGTCTATTTGGTTCATTCTCGGGAAATCTTCGCTTTTTTGACTATACAGGGGCATTCTTGTTACTGCTTCAATCACTGCCTTTTTGACTGCTGTGGCTTTTGGCGGTGTGCAAAATGCCTAGTCCAGCTGGCATACCTATTGTGCCGCTGATACTCGGCGCTAGCGCTACCCTCGCTTTCTTTCTCTATGAGGTTTGGACTACACGATCAGCCGCGGTCACCAGGCGGGCCTCTTCTTATACCGCCTGAAGTCCTGCCCAACTGGACGGTGGGGTATTCTTTACGCAGGCAGCACATTCAAGGGCCTCATTATGTACGGTTTGGTCTACTATATGCCCGAATATTTACAGCCGACCAAGGGCTACAGCCCTGTAATTCCCGGCGTTGCTCACCTCCCACAGACAGTGATCATCGTTCTCTATGATATAATAGTAGGGCTAGTAGTCGGTTTCACAGGACGGTACCGCTGGGCCACTTGGGTAGGCTGGGCTCCTGACCTGCCTCGGTGTGGGCTTGCTCGTTTTGGTCGAGTCCAACACCACTGTTGTGCAGTGGGTTTTCCTGGAGGCTCCGGTCAAGGAACTGGGCTGCTCGTTCCATCAATCTCCCTCGGGATCCAATCCCCTGTGCTGCAGCGCCAAGTCAGCATGGCGGCAACACCGGTCTCGTTCTTTAAATCCCTGGGACAAGTAATTGGCGTTGCTATCGGATGGGTGATTCTCGATAACCAGTTCCAAAAGCGTATGTTTGATGCGGTGGCGAATGGAGCTGCCAATGAATCGCAGGCACAATCGTTGAATTCCATTACACTGGTAAAAAATATTGAAAAAGCTCGGCCGACTCTTCCTAGGCGATCATTATCCGGCAGACTCTAGTACAATCTTTCTGAGTGATCCGAATGGTAATATGTGCCTTTGCAGGCCTCAGTTTTATCATAGGAATTTTCATCAAAGAGTCTGACATGAACCAGAATCATGAAAGGGAGCAAGGCTTTATGCACAAGGTCCCAGAAAATAAACTCAGTATAAAATCAGATGGTGATCGATCGATGTTTCATAATGTTCTCCAAATCTAGCAGTATGAAAGCGTCGATGATTGTTTTTTTCGGCTGGATACAACAAGTAAAAACTGTTGTATGCAATCCGAATATTGTAGAATAAGCTGCTTGCTCTAAGCATATTCACATTTCTTGTCAGAGCAGAACGAATATGTATTGCTGCTATATCTAAATACCCAGCTGACGGGCAAAGCTATTCCGTTCCGATCTGAGTATATATGGCGTATGATGATCTTTCCTGCTCATATCGACTGTAATATGAACGGTGCGGGCTTGTTCTGAGCGACAGCTAGATCCGTATTCTCGAAGGATGGTTATATTGAGAGGAGCACCATCAGTAGCCGCTATTGGAGTGATGAGAAGCGCCTAATGCGGGACCTCGTTTTGAGCATATCCACGTGAAAAGGCCCACCCTCTTTGAGTCGGCCAAGGCGCTGTCGCTTTTTCGTGGAGGCAGCGAGTAAGCGCTTGAGGCGCAGTCTTTCGCGCTTTCGACCAATCTCTTCTGAATCTAACGAGAGTTGAGGTTGTTGTAACGTCAACCCCCAGGGGACATGTTTCGTATAATCCCCACTGGGGGGCAGCGAGGGCCAATTCCGTAGGGCGACAAGCAGCATAGGCCGACGGCCGAGTCATGTCAACATGTACCCGAAGAGCATGTTGCAAGAGACATCGCAGCAGCTTGGGAGACATTCCAACGTGATGTCCTGTGACGTTGATCTCAAGAGTAAACATGAAGCCAATGGTCAGGTCTATTTCTTAATTCGCCAGAAACCTGGCAGCTTGGACCTGTCCCCCCATCTTCCCGGCAGCCCGTCTATCTGAGGCGGTCTCAGATAAAAATAATACCACATATCAAGATGTGACCACTCGCACTTATCATAAACCTCCACAAAGTAACCGGTCCTCATATACATCCATCCGACATCCTCTTCATCCATCTCCGTGGTTCCATCATGCCAGTCAGGGTGGATCTCATAGTTTCTCTCCTCGGGAGTCAAATTACCCCACTGTTTGTACAATACCTTAACCACGGGCGACGTCATATGTTCAAGAGACTCCAAACAGATATCATCCACAAAGAGGGCATAGTTGAAGCGCGCCCCAAATGTGTATTCTGGGGGCTTTCCCAAGTCCTGTAGTTTTTCGGGAGAGCTCGCCACCAGCGATAACTGCTCCTCAACCCAGACGTCAAAGTGATCGCGAACCTCATGTGAGGTTGCACCGTTGAACTTTGTAACATCATCATTAATGACTAGCTGGTGGTGGGGAATCAGCTCAGGGGCGTTCTCCCGAAGGTCTTCCTGAACTGAATCCTGGAGTAGCTGGAGTACTCGCTCCCACGCTTTATCGTCCTTGTACGTGCAGCGGTAGATAGAAAACCCCCATGGGAGATTGGGTTTTTTGAAGTGGGTGTTGGCGCGGGACATGTGAATGCCTTCCCAGGGGACCTTCCCTGTTGGGGAAAAGGGGACGCATCCATCAGAAAAGTGCGTCCTACGCCCTCCAGACTGGATGCACGTGGGCTTATTGAGAATTCGTGGCAGCGAACATGATCTCACCGGGAAGTTGAGGTTGAGACGCCCGATAGTGTGGAGAGCCTTCATGAGGACAAGTATTCCTTGCCAGTGTGACTGCTGGTACTAGCGGGGATAGTGGTGAAAATCAAGATGGTATGGAAATATCAAGGTTTAACAAGCTTGAGAGTAGAGGTTGCATGTCAGTCAACAAATGACAGGAAGGCTCGGTTGTAATTTGTACACAACCTTACTCTGGCGTGTAGTCGAAATGGAGCAGGAAAGGGGGGATCCCCGGGGTGAGCACATGGATGGGCTTACCGCCTGCTACAAGTGTATATCGAAACGAGTGGCTAGCTTCGATGTAAACAAACACCGATGAACAGTCTCCCATAGCTTGAACACATGAGGCATCCCACTACCAATTAGAATGGCTGCCTTTTGATTTATCGCGAATGGCCCGCGGTTTCTAACATAATCAGTGTTTAGAGGAATCTCACTGGATAAGGGGATTTTCCCTCTCGCGGGATTTGAGCTCACTGGCTCGGAGATTCTGGCTAAGAGATTACCAAACAAGGGACTATTGGTAACGGAGATGGATATGGGCGCATTAGAGATTGGCTGACTTTCTCGATTCACTCGCTGAGTATTATTATTGTACCAAAGTTGATGAGAAATATTCTCTCTCGAATATATATCGTTATCGAGCGCATACTAGCTCCATTTCAATGTCAACATACAAGTCGGCTCACATTTGAATAAAACTGGTGTCGTTTAGGGCCAGCTAGCATTTCCGTAAGATGTCGTCATCTAAGCCACTGTCGCATCTCAATTCGTAATTGGTGAAATCCTATTTTTGCGTGGGTTTTGAACCAAAGAGAAAATCAACAAAAGCGGAAGTTAAACAAGAACATTGGCTTCATAGAGCTAGTTTACAGCGCTACAGCCCTGAGGGCCATTTGGCTAGATCTGAACCGGGCTTTTTGGTTGATGTCATGATGGTTGGCTATAATATAAAAGACAGGATATTGTGGCAGGAATCAATTTCATTTCGTCACTCTTCATCCTCTCATGATTATTCTTTCATCTCACTTGATACTGTCTTTTCTAATCAGAAGAACTGAAGTAATGTAATTCTCCGACATTCGCTATCTATTTCCATGTATTTTGTTCCTAACATTCGTTTGTTTCTTCATCCACTTTAGCCTTATCATATCATTGAGCCGTGATGCGTCCCAAGTCTTGGCGGCTATGGCGGTTACTTTGCTGGTCACTCATTCAGCTAGTCGCAGAAACATAGCATCATAGCTATGGTGGGGATACCTGTAAATATAGCCATACGCTGCATAGCTACCAATGGGTCAGTTGGATCAGTCTACGAATGAAAATCATGTAGTTTCTTTAGGGCCAGTATTCCTCCAGAGCTGCTAGGAGATCATGGAGCTAGGAGACGGAGGATTCCCAGGCGCCTGTACGGAGTACTTCAGGTCCTCATATTGATTGGGCGATCACCGAGCAGGCTCCAAATTGCAAGTGGACCAAACTGAACGGTCGCATTTTTTTATGCCGCGGCAACCTCAAGGTGGATTGGGCTAGCTGGTTGCGTTCTATCGAGATACCTTTTAACCGCTGGTCACCCTTCGGTCAGGCTGTGCTCAATGAGCGGATTAGAATGGCTCACACTTGTTCAGTAAGTAACTTGAATCGGAGAGCTTTTTATCATTTCAGGACCTAGTTACATTGCGCCTAGACTTTAAAGCTTTGTATCACAGTACTGGATGAAAGGCCCACCCGTGCTTTAGCTTTCTATCTTTAGATGGACTCTTCCAGCAAATCTTCGTCTTCTCCCTTCATGTGCTCGGCACCATCTCACGATTAATGTAACATCTGTGGGTCATTTGTATTATTTTGAGAGTTTTTGAAGATTCCAAAAGCCTCTAGGACGCCAAAAAATTCTCCTTGTCCTTCAAGTGTATCAATCGTACTCGCTCTCTTTCTTCCTTTGGTTCGGTCTTAATCAAACTCATTCCGCATAAATGGACAACGATGATGGGAGATCATTGACCTCGCAAGCCTTGTTGTAGTCACCAAATGAGCCCCCTCTTTCTTCGACGAAATCGTGGAACTTGTCCTTGGAACAACTTCCACCAGGCCCATCCCGACATCCCACCAATGGCTGGGGACTAGCGTTATTCAGTACTCGATAATACTCTCCTTCCTCATAGCCATAGCTCTGACAAGACATCTTCTCAATAGCAATGTTGGTGAGGAATGAAAGAATCTCACTACTCTTCCATGCACGATTGTAGTTGATGGTATTGTTGGGCATTGTCTCATTGACTTGATTCACTCCCGTGTGGGCGCTATTGTTATATAGGCCCAGCGCGGCAATGACAGTTGGCGGGACTTCGCGATGGGTGAAGGAAAAGTAAAGCTCTTGTGAGGAGGACTTGTCATCCAACGCCGCAACGCTGGCATTGACCCATGGGAATCCGAGGACGGGAGAAAGATCCCGACCATACCCCGTGTTATGGAAGTACATCAAGTCATTTGCGTACTCGAATCCCAGCCACTCATCTGAGCTGAACAGAGTGGGAGAGCAGAAAGGTGAAGAGCCGCGGATGACGGTTTCGTAACCGCATAGCTCGAACATCCCGGTGATATCATCTTGAGTGAAATTGAAGTGAGGTGCTTCGGCACTAAGCCGGGCGATGATCGGCTTTGTGTAGATTTTGCCGAACGCCTATACGTAGTCAGCATCGGGTAGACAGAAGGGGAAGTAGATCGAGGTCATACCGAAGACTGATCGCTGCCATAAGAAGAACTGTATGCCTCGCAGCTTTTGTACGGAGTCAATGAGTCGGCTCCCGCCTTCCTACTTTCTTGGATTTGGGTCAAGTTGATGAGACCCGTGTGATTATCCGTAAAGCCAGTGATAAACGCCTGCGCGCTCTTCGCCGTCCGATCCGCAGTCGAGGACCATATCCTCTCCGGTGTCTTGAGATCTTTGTATCTTTGACGAACACTGGCTCCCAGCGACCGAGCCTCTTGCAGTCCAACGCGAGTAAGCTTCTCCACGTGTTCTTGGTCAATCGGTGCACTCCAATTGGACAAAAACTTGAGTGTCTTTGTGGAAGACCAGTCCTGCGAGGTATTTTGCAGCTTCTTCACCAGCGGTTCAAGATAGGTCTCATAGTCAAAGTCGTTGGCGTAAATGGCGGCATGACGGATGAGATAAGCAGCTCGAGTGACATTGCAGCCCTGTGGAGGGGAGGATTGAAGAGGAGGATCGTGAGGTGTAAAGTAAGGTGCGATGCCGGCAGAGTGTTCAAGGGGGTTGAAGTGGTATGAAGAAGCTAGTATAGGGGCGGCAGTGAGTGCCAACAAGAATGACGGGAGCTGCATGTTCTTACTAGCTTGGGAGGTTGCTTTGGTGAAGGAAACTTGAAAATTTCCCACAGCAGAGCTGTTCAATTTATAGCTATGCTACAATTGAAGAGTTTGCCTTGGTAGTGCGGAATATGATGTCCATATATTAGCTTGTTGCTCTAGGTTCGCGGTGTGACTGCAAGCAAGGAAATAGCAGTGACGTAGTGGTCAACTGGAGGGCGTTATTGTGGAGCCCCACGCTTCACCATCAATTTACAGTGATGATGTATAAGTTATGACCGTAAGCGATTCAGCCCTATTTTTAATGATAGTGATCTAGTTCATGTTTAGTAAGTTTAGATAGCTAACTATTTCACAGCCATGGCGCTGCTAGCAAACAAGCTCATCAGAGCATCCCCATTAGGCTTAGTTCTCGGGAAAAGTGACTTGTTACTGAGCATGCTTGGCATGATTCTAGGACTAATAGAAGAGTCATACAAGATAGAGATAGGAACTTCCTTCAAGAATTATTGTTCAAAGATCATTCAAGATATGATATCACTTATTACTTGAGACAATCCTACTTCAAATTTTTAACCCGTCACCCAACTATAGACCTAAAATACCAATCATACTCCCCAAGCTATCCACTATAGGAAGGCGGTATGGAACTAGCGCAGCGATGATGTAGGCGGACGCACCTTCTCCGCAACTCGAGCTTCACTAACCTTCCGAGGTTTCCAACATCCTTTGAGATCCTCAAACTTGCTCGATATCCCACAATGCTTTCCCGCAGTGCGCCCCGTCTTCTCCGTGCCGGCTCGGTCATCCGAGCCTCCTCGCGCACCTGCACTCCTGCCCGCCAAGCTGTTGCTCCCCTCTGCCGCAGCTACCCATCGCATCCGCGGGCATTCACCTCTTCCGCATTCTTCTCAAAGGGCCTCCAGCCTGACTCAGAGGACCCAAAGCCATCCAATCCCCAGAGCACACCCATCGCTGGTTTGAATGCACATGCTACCGAGCCGTCTCCTCTGACCCCGGAAGAATACCACGAGTACTCAGAACATTACTTCAATGTTCTCCTCGGAGAGTTGGAGAAAGCCCAAGAGGAGGGGTCGGATGTAGAAGCAGAGTACAGTGTGAGTTACTCCATTACAAGTCCTTCCTATATTTACCCTTTCTATCCTCCTTAAAAACTATCACCGGATATCGAAACTTTGCGACCAGTCAATCTCAAGTACTAACCAATTCCCAGGCCGGCGTCCTCAACATCACCGTTCCCGCAATCGGCACCTTCGTCCTGAATAAGCAACCCCCCAATAAGCAGATCTGGCTCAGCTCGCCCATCTCCGGTCCCAAGCGGTACGACTGGATTGTTGAGGGTGATAGCATGTTCGAGAAGCAGGACTCGCGTCCGTTTGTGCATGGCCAGTGGATCTACCTCCGGGACGGGTCAAACCTGACGGAGCTGCTGAACTCGGAATTGACGCTTCAGCTGCCGAAGGATATCTATGGTGATGAAGTGGATGCGTAAGGTGACTTTCTGTCGGGTGGAGTTTATGAGGCGATGTATCACAGAAGAGTCGGTGTCCCGTCCGTCATCACTTTTTCTTTGATGGGGAGATTCGGTCCCGGGGGGCTCGTTTCCTTTTCCAGGGCAGATGTGGTAGATTTTGTATTCTAGTTTCATGAGAGTTCAATTCCAAGATTTGGACGTCTTATCATGATGGTCTCCGGAACATAACTCTCCCGTGTTATTTCATGTCGACTGTTCATCTTATATTGTTGGTTCGGCACCTCTTGCATCATTGGTGTCTCGTTCAGACAACCCTGGCCAGGTAATGTCATCCCCAATGGACCCAGTCCGGCCCGTCCATACATTCCCTTCATTCTCTGAGCCATTTTGCGATGTATAGCGTCCATCTCGAAGCTCTGCTTGACCTCTCTCCGGTTTGACATCCAACCCTCTGTACGAATCTTCGCAAGATACAAGTCAGCGATAGATCACATCATGCTACTGTATCTTGTGACATCCAGGAAACTTAAATATATGGTTTCGGAGACCAATGACTGAGCTGGATCTTAGCGTTTCCCCTTCGGATACTATCCGAACTCATGGAACCAAGTCATCCACACATTCTCGCAATCCAGCCACAGTCGGAAAAGGCCAATTATTTCCTGTCAGTCATAGCAATGGGGTAGGTTTCTCGGAAGCTAAAATTGTTAATCGCCATACACAATGCTGGCTAGGGGCTTCGGATTGTGGGCCCCGGAGGGAAGCGGCGAATCATCTACATCTCGGCTTTGTTTTACTTTGGAAAACGACGGCGAGTATACAGTATGTTGACAATTTTGCCGATGAGGAGGGATAATAATAACAATGAATCATCCACGTCAGATCTTCTCTGAATATTCATCGTACACCTGAATCCATGGGATAACCATGTTACCACCATCGTCCAAAACCCTCGCCGTCCTTGGGCTTCTAGCTCATGCTTCCTTCGTCCAGTGCAAAGACAAGACCATCATTCGCGATGTCGCTATCATAGGTGGTGGTGCTTCAGGGACATTTGCTGCGGTCAGACTTCGCGATCAAGGCAAATCTGTCGTTCTCATTGAGAAAGAAAGCATCCTGGGTGGCCATACCAACACTTATCAAGACCCGGTCACCAAAGTAACCGTGGACTACGGTGTGGAGGTCTTTCACAATCAACAGATAGTCAAGGACTATTTCAATCGCCTGAATGTATCATGGACCATTGCACCGCCGGGCTTTGGCGCAGGGGGGGCACCGGTATACTTGGACGCCAACTCCGCCGAACAAGTTGATTATACCAGTCCTGATCCTCGGGCCGCGATATTCACGTATGCGACTCAACTAGCTCAATATGCGCAGCTGGAGCTGGGGTTCTTTCTCCCGGACCCTGTTCCAGATGACCTGCTACTACCATTTGGAGACTTTCTCGCTAAATACCCGGACATTGGCAATGCAACTATGACGATCTTCGAATTCGGACAGGGCTTGGGCGATTTCCTTGCACAGCCGACGCTGTACGTATTCAAGAATTTCGGTCTGGATATTATACAAGATATCTCGACTGGATTCCTGGTCACAACGAGTCAAAATAACCAGGAGATATACGACCACGCCACCGAGCTTCTCGGGTCTGACGTGTTGCGAAGTAGCATCGTGAAATCCGCGCACCACCGAGATGACAACGGAGTCCAACTAGAGGTGCAAACCCCATCCGGTCGCCGGATCGTGAAAGCAAAGAAACTCTTGATTGCCATTCCCCAGAAACTGGACAACTTACGAGCCTTTGACCTGGATGACCGCGAGGCCGACCTCTTCGGCGAGTTCTCGAACACGGGCTACTACACGGCCCTGTTGAACAATACCGGCTTGCCAGCGAACTTTAGCTCTGTCTCTGTCGGCGCTGGTACCCCATATAACGTCCCCACGTTACCGGGCGTTTACACGGTGAGCGCAACGGCGATAGAGGGTATCTTCGATATCAAATACGGCAGCCCGCGCGGTCTACCGGAACATCATGTGCGAAGTGAAATCCTCTCGTATGTCAAGAAATTACAGGACAATGGGTTCGCCGCGAAGGCATCTGGCGGGCTGAAGTTTGTGCGGTTCAACAGCCATACTCCATTTGAGTTGACGGTGTCGCCGGACCGGATTTCGGATGGATTTTATAAGCAGTTGTATGCTCTGCAGGGTTATCGGAATACGTGGTATACAGGTGCGGCATTCCATACGCAGGATTCGTCGATGCTGTGGAATTTCACAGAGTCATATGTGCTGCCTAGTTTGCTGGGATAGCTTTGGAAGGCAGTAGTCCTTTGTACATGCGCGCGTCAGGGGACAAGTAGGAGAATGAGGTTACTGAATGTTGCAATGTATTCAAATTTGGGGATCATGAATTTATTCCAGTATCAAATATTTCCAAATTGTTGCACGAGTCAATCCCAAAGAAAAGCTCAGAGGCAGTCTTCAACCAAGATTGCTATTGACTGGGAGCCCATCACTGAGCAAAAATAATGGTTTGTGTAAACTTGTCCTTGTCGCAGAAATTAGATGAATTAATTCTGTGCTGAGAGCAGGAATTAGTCAAGCCGCCGGTGGCTAATATCATTTGGGTCGAAATCCTGTATGATGAGCACTTCTCCCGATTGAATTGGAGAATTCAGACGACCTTGGACTTTTTTGCTCTTAGCCGCAGACAAGAGAATGGCAAAGTGCTTATCATCTAGGATTGCGACGCACAGGACGTGACGGGCGGATGATATCGCCATTTCCTGCCCTCCGCCCAAAGGAAACTGATCTATTCCTTATGACAATGACAACCTTCCACAAAAACACCTCTTGCGTACGATCCTTGAGCTAATTTTCCTCCGCAGATGTTCTTGCTGAGGAACCTCATTGCAAGTTCCTCGAGAGGAGCAGCGTCTCCGAGAAGTGTCCTCAGGATTGGATCCCAAATATTTGAACGAGTCGTACATGCACACTTTCGCGACAGAGACTCAAGACGCGCATATTGCTGGATGGTTGAAGAGATCTGCAGTATACGGTGCAAAATAATGCATAGGTTCGAATGGTAAGCCAAACTCGAGGAAAAGATCTTGAGGGCGACTCGGAAAGCGTGGAGTATAGTCTGGTGGTTGTGAGGCACCCACAAAGGGCTAACACAACCCATAGTTTGATGGGGTCACCGTTAAGTGAGCACCAACAAACCACAAAAGATCCGAGGCCCGATGCAGCAGCGAGGGCCCCATCTTCCTTGAAAAAGCCCTCCGATCGAGGCACCTCCCGGTGTTTGAACATTATCCGTATCGTGTTCCCTTCATGCCTGCACAGCAACAGTACCCGCCTGCGTATTATCCGCCTTGGGTAGATCCGCCTACACAGAATATGTTAGCACCATCCACAGTCCAATCAACCCGCTCACAAACAACCCCGCAATAGGACGGGAACGGAGAATAACATAGACGTACCAGATCAAAGATTACCCGAATCATAAGACTGCAGCTCGGACAGACGGCAATTTCCTCGCCATCGCGGAGATCATCGATTGCGATCTCGAAGCGGTCACCGCATGGGCAGGGGAATGTGTAGATTTGGAGGGCCGGGTCGAAGGTCATGTCTTCGATTTCGATCTCATCGTAGATGGAGAGGGCGTCGTCGGCCATGGTGGGCAGGTTAGGTTTTTGTTTAAATACTCGTGGGATTTGATGGGTTGAATGCGGTTCTTTGGTCTTTGCAAGAGGAAATATAAGCGTCCACTCAATGTTGACTGGATTTGATAACTTTTGGGTGGCGGACAAAAATTATGGTGGAGGAGTCATGTGACTGTGGTGATCCGGGCACGTGAACGTTATCTTATCGCGCGGTCCGCAGGCTTGTTCAAGAAGGTCCGGGGATCAGAGGGTATACTTTCTGTGTTTGCGGCCCAGTTAGGGTGGAGAATGGAGGCAGGACAAGATCAAGAAAGGACTCGAAATAGGAGCCTGCATATCATTTCTGCATCGTGAACTAGCGCTCACTTTGAGTTCCTAAAATCGGAGACGAAGCAGAGCCGCCTTGCACCCTCGAATACAATCCAGTTAAATTATCAACTGCTTGTTTCCCTCAGAAAGGGTCAAAGATTGGGTATTCATTCGCAATTATATCGCTCGTCATTCATGTCGATATACATTCATAGACTTCACAGCCGAAAATTTTGAACGAGCAGTAAAAGCATTGACCAGCAGAGGTATTGCGTTCTCATGGACTGGATATCTCACCAACTAACCACAAGCAAGCTTCACTTACTCGCCCAACCTCGCAATCTCCATACGTACATTCTCAACCTCCCTCAGCAAATCTCCATACCGACTCGCAATCTCCACCAACGCCCCTCCATCCCCATCAACACCCGATTCTTCAATATGATACTGCTTCAACTCCTCAACCGCCACAGCCTGCCGCTCATCAAGCCGAGCGGTCGTATCCCTCAAATGCACTCTATACTTTTCCAACGCATCCAGAGTCTCGGGCGTATACAGCGCCGCCGCAGTCTCAAGCTTAAGCACCCTGTAACAAAGTCAGCGCCACGCTTACAATAATCAACATCGTAGAAGTGGTTGAGAGGAGAGATTACGTACTCAACTTTCCCTTCGATTCCCTGAGCGACGACGGCTAGATGCTCAGCTCGCGCTCTAACAGCCCTCGCGAGGGCTCCGTGCTTTGCCCTCTCTAGTACAACGACCATGCGCTCTAGCACTTCGGCCCGCACACTCATCAGCTGCGCTGCTGTCGCGGCCAATTCCCTGCGTGCAGCCGGGAGCTCCGAGAGTTGTAGATTGCGCAGGGCATCGACCCGTTTACGAAGCTGTGCCGCTAGAGGCGGAATAGGGGCTAGCGAGGTACGAACGCGACGATCCCGAGCTCTGGCGCGGGATTGGTGGTTCGTTGTGGGAAAGGCGGGGAGTGTTTGCGTTGGATCTGTGTCTGCTGTTGCGGATAGGGCGCGCAGAGTCGTAAGTGTACTTGAGAGGATCGTTGAGAAGGGTGTTATTAGGGCCGGGATGTGGGTGTAGAATAAGGAGATTGTGGGTGCGAGGAGGGTGAGCGTGTCATCGGGGGCGTGTGGTGATGATTGGGCATCTTGAGGTGTATCAGGGTCTATTACGAAGCGCGGTGTTTCGAGGTATATCGCTATAAGGATGAGGGCATCGCGACACTGGGTTTCTGGTGTGAGCAATGGCGACTGGAGGAGAAAAGGAGGTGTTTGTGTGTACTTGGGACGTACCTCGTCGGAGAGTCCGTTGTCCGATGTAAACGCAACTTGCTTGAGGGTGTGCTCTTTGATTCTCTTCTTTGCGCTTCGGAGTTGACATTGTTTCAAATCCTATAGAGGAAAGTCATTAGATTTTGTATCTATGATCAATCATTATGGTGGGGAGCTAGCTCCACGCGTCGCGACGTACGTCCACGACAGCCCGACGCGCTGGATCAGCGGCGTGGGCGCGAGTCGAGCCATCTGGGTCCAGTAGGTTCTTCGTTATATTCTGATAGAGGCGTTTGAATTGAGGGTTTTGTTCTAGAATGGAGGGATCACAAGGGGGTATCATGGCGAGAGAGTGGGAGGTTAAAAGAAGGTCAGTAGGTGAGGTTCACCGCCAATAGGCTGGGAGTGGGGATCTGCAACACCCTCGAGCTAAAAGAGCTAAAATCCTAGTCTAAAACTACATGTCTAAGAAGCTTACAAAAGTGAATACGAACTTCATGGGAATGGAAAATTTTTCTAAAATTACTCAATACATGACACCAGATACCTAAGTACTAGAGTACATTTTGGCATTTGCGCGTTTCGTTCGTAATCATACATGTGAAGCCTGGCCAGCTCCATTTCGATTGTGATCGCCCTTTTCCTATCCTCAACCCTCATCCTTGGGAAACGCAGAATCTGGTCCATCCTGACTGGGTTGATGCCCTAGTAATGGAAGAAAGAGAGCAAACGTACACCTCGGGTAGGAGAGGGAAGTTGGGAACATTGCAAATCAAATCAGATCAGATCACATGGCCAGCACGAATCCCGTCTTGTCGTGTCCGGTAGTGAGTCTCGGGGCTTGGTTGGGGGGAAATTGGAAAGAATATGTACAGGAAGGGTTTTGGCCCAGAAAGCTTGACAGTGGGGTTTGCGCAAAACATAGAGCAATCGCAAACCCGAAGCATCGCGTGAGCTCAGGAATGCGGGGGGCCAAGACCGTGGGGTGGTAGGAGAGAGCAAAGAAAGGGAGAATAAACGCTCAGAACGCAAATTACACAGACAAAGTGGGTCATTGTCACGAGTCGGAATGACCGCACGGGCTTATCACCAGAGAAGTTACTCCTCCTCGCTCTCCTCCGAATCATCATCCGACTCATCGTCGCTAGACTCGTTGGCCTCGACCGAGGGCATCGGCGCCGGGGAACCGCTGCCGCCCTGGAAGCGGGAGAGGTTGCTCTCGAGCATGTTGATCTGAGCCTCTTGTTCGTACTTGCTCATCGGCTTGTTCTTCTTTGGCTTGGGAGCAGCGGGGGCCACGTTGCCACCCACAGAGAGGGGCTCCTCGTCATCCATAATGTGGGGGACATTCTTCTTCACGAACTTGAGCAGCATGAGCAGGACTTCGTTAGGCAACTCGTCAATGTCCAATTCAATCTCGGCCTCTTGAGTACCCTGTAAAAGTCAAGTTAGCAACCAGGCCAAACATGTGGGGGATGGGCGCAATGCGGGTAAAGCTTACCTTCAGTGCAGGAACGTTCTGCTGAATGATTCCGAGCGCCTCCTGCATCTTTTTGTCGGGCAGGCTACTGATGCCATTGGAGATGATCTGCTTCTCATAGTAGGTGATGTTGCGAGACTTCTCAACCTTGGAAAGGCTCTTGCTCTTCTTGTCCTTCTTGCTGCCACTCTTCTTGGCGTCCTTCTTGACGACACCAGGCTTTCCAGACTTGGACCCCTTCTTCGCAGGGGGGGTCTTCTTCTTCTTCTGGATCAACTCGACCTGGCGGGACATCTCGGCAATTTGTCGCTGCAACAGGCTGAGCTTTTCCATGTCCTCGTCGCTCTCTTCGGCCTCTTCGTCGCTTTCTTCCTCCGAAGACTCCGAGTTGTGCTCCTGAGGAGGCTCATGCTTGGCAAGATACTCCTGCTTGCCATTCCACTTCTTATCAAAAATCTCTTCCAAGGCCTTGCCCGCAAGGTAGGTCGGATCACCTTCCAGGTTGAAACGGTAGCAATTCTTGAACATCAGCTTGACATCCGAGTGGAACTCCTTGGCGTTTTCGTACTGGCCAGTGGTGAGCTTAACCTTGATGGTCGACATGTCCATGGGGTGCTTGATCACGCTGTGGTATGTAGGAATGTTAAGCGCAACAGGGTCGACGGGATAGTAGAAGGCGATGGCGATAGCCTGGTGCTTGGGTTTGTACAGCTCCTCAAGAACTTCCTGACAGAAGCGAAGCTCCCATTGGTACTTCTTCTTCTTAGGCTTGGTCGAGTAGGGCAGGTCTCGCTTTGGGGGGTGGATGGAACGCTTGGGACGTCCATCTGCATTGGCAGAGTCCCGACGAATGACAGGAAGACCCTCTGGACCCAGCGCAAAAGTAGCGCTCTGGGGAGAAGTCGCCTTAGGAGCCGCCACAACCGGGGCTGGGATGGTTGGGGTCGGAGCCGCAACTTGACCACCAGTAGAGGTGCGAGGCTCACGTCGAGCAGCCGAGGTCTTCTCTGTCGCCTTCTTGGGCTTCTTTTTCTCCTCCACTTCATCGGCCTTGGGGAGATTGTTCAGCATTTTCTGGAAAGTGGCGAGCAATTTGGCGCCCTCCTGAGAGACTAGGTGCTCCGGACCGTTGAAGGTGTGCGCGTTCTGAACCATCAGAGCAAAGTCATCCAGGACCGCCTGGGAAGTGGAGTACTGATTGGCCTTGAGTTTCTTCTCGATAGTGCCCAGATCCATGGGGCGAGTGATGACACTTGGATAGTTCGGAACGTTTAAGGCAATGGGGTCCACAGGGACTCGGTAGAAGCGCGAGTCATGCATGCGCTTCAAAGTGGAGATTTGCTTGATGAGGAACTTGTGCTGCATTTTGGTCATAGGAGAGTCACCACCGGTGAAGACTGGACCGGGAGTCTCAGTGGCAGGGGTAGGTAGAGCAGGAGCCTTGTTGTTCACGGGCACGCCATTCTCATTCTCCACCTTGGTCCGCTTTGCAGCTGGCTCCTCAGCTGGATCAATCTCACGCTCCCGCGACACTTTGGAGGGGGACATTGGGGCACTTGGGGCATCCTTCATTTCTTGGTCGGTTTGGAAAGGAGGCAAGCTGGGGGTGGCAGATTCGGTAGTGGGGTGATGGGGAAGTTCAGTCTTCACTGGGGCAGCAGACGCTTTCTCTGGCGCATCAACAGCCATCGCGTCCGAAGGCGCATCAGCAGGACTGTCGAAATCTCCAGGAGGCATGGTGCCAGTAGAGGGGAATGCAGAGGTTTGAGGTGTATTGGCACCGCTTTTCTCAGCGGAGCCGTTGGTTGCAGCTGAGGTAACAGAATCGGCAGTCTGGGGTTGGGGAAGATGAGGAGTAAGAGATGGAGTGGCTGTCTCTTCTGGCGCCCTTGTTTCCTGTGGTGCAGGGAGGGCAGAAGAAGGTGGGGTATCGGTGGAAGTTGGTGCAGTCGGGACAGCAGCCTCGGAGGCGTCTGGCACAGGTGACTTGGGAGGAGAAGCCGCAGATCCCGTGCTGTTGGCAGTTGCAGGAGAGTGGGGAGCGTTGCCGTTCGTGGTGGGTGTGTGATTCTCCGTCGGGGCTGGGCCATCAGCTTTGATATCTGGGGTGGCGACCGGCGCACTTCAAGGTAAAAGGTCAGCCCATCTGTCTGCACATGCGGCGCAAAAAAAACCATTGCATATCAAAAGAGTCAACCGGTCAATGGCCCACGGCAAACGTGTCAACCGGTCAATCTATCAAAATTGTATGAGCTCACCTGTTTGGCGCAACCTCAGGTGCAGAGCCAACCGTCGGAGACGGCGGCAGCTGAGGCTTATCCTCCTTCATCACCGTAGGAGCCTCTGGAGGCGGGGTCGCCATGAGGTGCGTTTGTACTGAATTCTAGAAAAGGTCCAGAATATACAGCTTATAGGTGTGGGGGGGATAGGTGAGACAAAGTGAGAGGGTATGCGGGAGAGCGGAGCGATCGCGCGACTGGTTCGGAGAGAGAAATTCAACTGTATACACACTCCGTCCTAGCACGGTAGAAATCTGAAGGATGCGAAGGGGTGGGAAGAAAGGGAAGCGGGATGAGAGTAAAGTGGTGGAGACAGAGAGGAAGCTCGGAGAGCTCGGGAGATTCGTGAGATATAAAGAGTGGAGAATGCGATCGGGGGCGAAAGTATTTATACCGCCAAGAAGGCCGTAGGGTGATCACGTGAGCGGTGAGTCAAGGGCAGCCGACGAGGGAAGGTGAATATGTTAAGGTCACGGGACTCTAGTGAGGAGATTGCGAGGAAGGGGAGAGTTTTGTTGAAGATCGAATGCCTGGTGGATGCCTTAGTGGTGGGGATGGGGATGGGGGGAGACAAAAGGCAGAATAAAGAATAAAAGAATAAAAAGGCGGGTAGAAAGGCCAGTTCAAGTTATAGCGACGAGTGAGAGAAGGGGAGAGCGCGCGACGCGACGCGTTGTTTAGGGGCAGATATAACCAATGGCCAATAGACCAAGAGGATGGAGAGAAAGGGGGGCGGTCAGGGCAAGAAAGGACGGAAGCAGAGGATTTTTCGGAGGCGGGAGCCATTTGGCTTAAGTACGGCCATGGGCAAGTCCCCGTCGAACGGCAGGACCACCGGAGGGTCCTGATGGCTGGCGGTCACTGCCACTGCCCACTCCACCGCCCGTGGTTTGCCCCTGCTGATTGGTTGTTCAACCTCTGGTTCCCTCGGTTTCCCTCGACATCCCTTTGATTGGTTCGTCCGACATCCGTACCATACCGTATCGTGCAAAAGAAGAATTTTGCTTTTCTTTTTTTTTGTTCCCTTCAAAACCTGGCCTCGATCTCGCCTTCGAGTCCTTTCAACCCTCCAGCGCTCTAGCTCGGACCGGATCATTATGGATGTTCAAGTAGGAATCATCCATCCTTGTCCATGCAAGTGGAGACTCCTTTGATCAGCGAGGGATAGGATAATGTCATCACTCTGGGACGGTTGGGTTCTGTGTCATCGACTTTTTCCCCCTGTCTCCTCTCGGAAGCCCTAGGGTTATCCCCGAACGCGGCTTAGCGTAAGCACCCGGTCCGCGACGTCACATCACGTGATGCTATTCCCTCCACTGAGGCTGGCCGGATAAGTAGAGCAGTTGGTTACCTCGTAGTTCACAGGGACGAGCGCAATTTGTATATGTTTGGCGCAAGGTTCTCAGTAAAACTAGCGAGGAGTCTGCAGCTGTCAGCTAAAGAAACATGCCAGGGAGAAAGTGCTGAGTGATGGAGGAAGCGCCAAGCGGCTGACGGAATTTGTGGTTTGCAGGGGCGCGGGCCAATCATGGAGAACACCGCTGGGCCCTTGCAGATTAGGCAGATAACTCAACGACTCCGGAGTTATCGTCACATGGTCTGGGTCCGGGTCCGGGTCTGGGGCCTGGGCTGGTTTCAGTTTCCAACGATGAAGTATACACCCGGTGACAGATTAGAAGACTATGCTCCGGGCATCCACAATTTCTGTTGCTCTCCAATGGTATATTCGCTTTGCGAACTTTGAAACACATTGTAGGAAACATAGAGAGAAATGGTCCCGAAAATGCGCATCGATTTTTCAGGCGATGATAACCCTATCATTACTGATAAACCGCGATTGTAGGTCATGCTGACTCGCTAATATATTGGATAAGTTAGCATATGGACATGGACGTAACGCAAAATTCATCTGCCAATTTCCGGCTGCTTGAACTCGCGCGCTTTAGGTGATAAGCTAGATAGCTCAGTAGAGATCAAATGTACCGTCCATATCGACATTTGTGAGGTAAACAGCGAATGATTGACAGGGCCGAGATGATGGTGGCTATCGAAAGTACTTCTTGCTGTAGCTCTGGGGGACATGGAAGAGAGTTTAACTTTCCAAATTCTGAACCGATTGAGTGTCACATACTCAACATTGTTTGAACTATATATTCAGCACGGCTTCCAATCGTCCAGGCTGCCATAACACCCCTCACTCAAGCTATATCTTCTAGGAAGTCCCCCATGTTTCCTAACAATTGAACATTATACATGTTATAAGAGATTACAAATCAAAATACACCAACAATTACCCCAAACCTACAAAGAGAACGTCCATCACTGCCAATTCAAGTAGTTCAGGCCAAGGCGTGCTGATTAGATAAGGCCAACCAACCGCCCTATACCCAAAGGGGATTAGCGCCCAGCCCGAGAGTCTACAGAACATTTTTTTCCTTTCCGCAACTGCAAGACTACCAGTCCCAGAATCCCCCACCCAACACTCCCCCGGGATTACTGCAAATTGATCGTGGAAATTATCTGATTTTCCTGGGGACTCGGTACTTCACGATTGTATTAACGACTCACCCGCGAGCCGAGGAACGAGAAACTGCGAAGAGAGAAGGACAGAGAAAAAAAAGCTTCCGGTAGCAAGAAGAAAAAAAATGGGCAAGAAGACGTCTCGCCCTTCGACCAAGGTCGGTACGGCTGCATCGCCAGCCGGCGGCCTCGCTGGTTCTAGCAGCAAATCGTCTATTCTGCGAGCTGCTTTCTCCCCGTCGGAATACCAATTGGCCTTGTTCGCATCGGTCATCCAGGGTCTGGATGCGCAGCACCTCCGAATCCACGACGTCAACACCGGCCGCCTGCAATGCGAACATGCGCTAGGTCCTAAGGAGACGGTCACGTCGCTGGACTGGGGATATTTCGGAGGCAAGAACCGCGACCCGTCGAAGAAGAAGCGCAAGCGTGGGTCTGATGTGAACGGCGCGGTGGAAGGATTGGATCAGGGCGACGTTGTGGTTGCGATTGGCACTAGCAGCTCCGATATCCGGATGTTTTCTCCATCAGAGGACAAGATTGTCGGTACTCTTACCGGCGCGCATGACAAGGGTATCAAGGACTTCAAGTTTACTGCAGAGAAGCCGGCCCAAGAGGCTTGGAGTATTGGTGGTGATAATAAGCTTGTTCAGTGGGATCTGCGCACTGGGCAGAGCGTAAGGTATGGTCGACACGTTCTCTCCTGAAGAGCGATTCTTTATTTCCTTTCCCATGATTTATCTTACTGACGATTCATTGAATAGGACAATTCATTTGCCCGCCTCCTCTACCTTCTCTGCTATTTCTCGCCCCGTCTCCTCCAGCACACCCGTCGTTTGCGCATCTCAAACCCCCTTCCTGATCAACGTGGAGAACTCCGAAGAGCAACCGGTCAAGTTCCCTGCGATGCGCAACCAGATTCACAGCGTCATTTCATCATCGGGCTCATTCCTCGCAGCCGACGGCGAGCGCTTTATCAACGTTTTCGAGACCTCCAGCCAAAAACTCGTACGGAATCTTGTCGCCGACCAGGATGTTTCTTCCGTGTCGCTTCTTGACAACGCTACTCCCGAAAAGCAGATTCTTGCCGCTGTCACCGATGACGGCACCATCGAGCTCTTCACGAAACCCTTTGCCTCGGCTCCCGCCGCTACTGCCAGCGCCAAGGCCAACCGGAAACAGATGACCCAGAAGGCGAATGCGTCTCTCAAGATTCTGCGCACTGGTGACTCAGATGTATGCGTTCCCGTGGTATCAACCTCGTTCGTTGGTCCTGAGATCATTGTTGCCTACGCCGAGGGTGGCGTGATCCCCGTTTTCCAGCGTGTGAAGCTGCTCGATGAGACTACTGAGGAGCTTTCCTTCACAGGACTTAAGGCCGTTGTCAAGACCAAGTCCAGCTCTGCCGTGTCTGCAACTTTGAATGGTGCCAAGAATGTCAGCGAGGGTCGGGTGGATGAGAGCCACGTGGTCGTTGAAGCCGGTAATTTTGTGGATAACGATGTTGAAATGAATGATGACGAGGCTGCTTCCGTTGAAGGCAGCGACGTGGACTCTGATGTCGAGGACTCCGCCAAGCCCACCAGCGAGAAGAAGACTAAGTCTACCAAGCAGGCTGCTCCCGCCGACGAGGACGTCGAGATGGAGAACGCCGCGTCAGATGACGAGGAAGAGGAGGAAGAAGAGGAGGGTGCCGAGCCCTCATTCGGCGAGATCATGCGCGCCAACGCTGGTCAAGAAGTCGATGTCGAGGCTGAGATGGACGAGGACAATCTGATGGGTGCCCTCGTTCCCGGAAAGCCCACAGCTGCCGTCCAACAGATCCCCACTGGCGTGTCTCTCGCCACCGTGCTCACCCAGTCCCTGAAGACTAACGACAAGGACATGCTCGAGTCTTGCTTCCACACCCCCGACACTTCCATCATCCGCACCACCATCCAGCGCCTCGAGTCCCCACTGGCAGCTACTCTTCTCCAGAAGCTCGCCGAGCGTCTTTCCTCTCGACCTGGTCGCTATGGCCATCTCCTTGTCTGGGTGCAGTGGACTTGCGTTGCACACGGCGGCGCATTGGCCGGCCACCCTGAGCTCTTGAACCGCATGGCCACGCTCTACAAGGTGATGGACCAGCGCTCGTCAAGCCTGCCCTCTTTGCTTCTGCTTAAGGGTAAGCTGGACATGCTGGACGCACAGCTGGGTCTGCGCCAGTCAATTCGCGGCGGCGACGAGATGGACAGCGAGGACGAGGACAATGTTATCTACGTTGAGGGCGAAGACGAAGAAGACGACGAGGCGAAGCCACGGACCAAGTCGATCCGTGACTCGGCCTTTGAGGAAGACGAGGACGAGTCCCTGATGAACGGTATCGCAGACGAGTCCGACGACGACGAGGACGAAGATGATGAGGACGACGAGGATGGTTACGAGGGTGTCCTTGACATCGAAGCCGAGGAGTCTGCCGGCTCTTCCGATGCCGAGGAGTCACTGGAGGAGAACGAGGACGACGAGGACGAGGATAGCGAGGGCTCGTTGGTGGACTTTGTTGCCGATACTGAAGATGAGGAGTCTGACGAGGAGATGGTCGAGGCACCTCCCCCTTCGAAGAAGGCCAAGACTCTTGCGGGAAGGAAGAAGGGTGGAAAGAAATAAGTTGGGCCTGAACTGGTCTTTTGCTTTGTATGAATTGTGGAGGGGGTTTTCGTCTTGGGATTTGAAAAATTTCTGTTTTCTTGATAAAAAGATTTACCTATATACTCGGATGCATCAGATGCCTGCATTTTCTTTTTTTTTTTTTTTCTGTGATCAAACTATTCTCTTTTATTTTTATTTTTCCACTTTTTGTACTAGCATGGATGTCTATCGTGTCCGAGCACTCGCTCCGTATATACAAGATTTTATCATTCCAGTTTGTTGATATCCTCATACTACGGGATACTGAGATTCTCGGGAATACAGCTCGCAGTTATTTGAACACTGGAAAGTAGCCAAGTTTGAATTAAGTATCTTGTGTTCCACTACACTAATCAACCCCCATAGCTCCACTACACTAATCCACCCTCCACTTGATCCCTCCGCGAACCTAAACGGAACCATCCACACCCTCTAAACACAAAACCTAGTGAGCCCATCATTCCATAAACAATTGCCTCTCTCACTACCCCCTTCCAACAGATAGGTCTCACTCAGAAATCTCTTCCCCAACACAGCCTCCCTCATACAAAACCTCATGCCCGGGTACTACACCAGCTTCACCAAGTGGAATCTGTACGGCAACCGTCTCCCCCGTCGAGGGGTATCTAGTGATATGGCCCAATCCACTAACATCCACCGTATCCAGAGCAAGGATAGCCCCGTACCTGCCACCGGTGATCCAGGCTTCGGTTGTTGAGTTGGGGAGGGTGATATGTGCCAGCCCAGAGAGAAATATTACCCATCTATGAGGGGGGAGGCATTAGTATGCGTGAACACCGTATGATGTATTGCGGTGTAGGTCAGATACGGTGATCAACCGGTGTTGTTTTCGTATTTAGTAGAGAAAGAGGATTACATGATTGAAAGTACAGGAGAGAATGTATACGTACTGCTTCGCGGGAGCATTGTGTCTCCCCCCGTCAAAGCCTGCCGGAAGGACGGTATACGTCGCATTGACACCCGCGCCTCCGATGGGACCTAGATTCAATGCCTGAGTGCCTGATGTGCCAGCTTGTGAGGAAGTCTGGAATCCTGGCTCGAGGGCCCAGCATTCGAGGGTGGAGCTGTTGTTTTGGGCGTTGATGACGGTAATGTTTAGAGTAGTGGCGGCGCCGAAGGCGAGAGAGAGAAAGAAGAAGATGAAGAGTGTTGGGCGCATATTGAATTAGAATGAGCAGGTAGTTGTACAGAATAATGTTATATCAAAGCTTTTATGAATTGAAAGAAGGTAAGCACGGGATTAGCACAGGCATTAGTGGTACCAGACAAAGTCCGAGCTGATCAGCAATGCCAAGGGGGTTATGCAGAAGAATGGGGAGGGGTCAACATTCAATTCTGCGATAAACGATAGTCTTCAAGCTTGTGTTCCTCTTCGAATCCATAATAATGAGCTTACAACCCGCTGAAAATTCTCTTCGTCTCGTGAATGGACGAAACCTGAGCAAACCTTTGAGCCGAAAGCGAAATTTACTTACAACCCTCCTTCAGCGAGAGTAGAAACACACGCAGGGCAAACGGAACAGGGATAACAGATACAAGCACAGACAACGGCTTGCTGTGTCTAGCGAATGACTTCATTGCCCATCTTCTCAATTCCCTCCATGCCATCCAAAATATCACTACCTCCGAAGAGCCCACACGCCGCAGACCCGGTACTCGTGCGACGACCCGTCCAGACTTCGTGAAACTTGACGGTTTGATCGCTGGAAGCGACGATAATACAGCCTTCTTCCCCGGTACGCGAGCACCACATTCCACCCTCTTTTTCCTTGGGCCGGACAGCGCGCGAATCTCTCTCGCGTCTGGTGGATGATTCGCTTCCGCGCTCTGGAGGTTGTGATCTAGTGGGCGAAGGAGTCGGCGACCGCGACACGGGGGGAGTGAGTATGTCCAAGTGCTCCGGCGTGATGGTCGGTGGTCGAGGGGCTCGCCCCGGGTAGCTGACTGCCCAAAGAGCGCGTCCACAGTCGTATCTAGGTTCAGGATCCGGCCCGTCCCAGCTGGTTCCGTAAGGCCCCCAGGGAATGACTGAAACCTGAGCACAGCTGGGCCACGCAAACACGGCGATGCGGATGGGGTGATCGGGTTGAGCATATCCAAAGGTTGCGACAATCTCTCGCCGGGTCTGGCTCCAAATTAAACTGGTCACTTGCGCAAAACAATTGATTGTCGCGAGACACACCCCGGTACGGGTGTGCCAAAAACGAATCGCCCGGTCGTTGGATCCTCCCCCAGTCGCCAGCAGCGATGGCTGCCACGGCGCAAATGTAAGTGCCTTGACGGCAGCCGAATGCAGCAAGCGGTGCTTCTGGCGGTTAGAGGGAATCAACACGGTTCTACCCCTCCCGGAGATGAGAGTGCCTCTGTGGCTGAGAAGAGGAGCTGCCATAGAGGGTCGGACGGGCGGCGGTTGGAACCATGATGGCAGTAGATTGCTCACGATACGTTGCCTACTGAGCGACCGTCGTGGCATTGTACCCATATCGAGGCCTGAAGGGGTCTGTACGCTCGCACCACCAGACCAGTCTGTAGATACGGGCGACGCGACAGCGTCGCTGAACGACGGAGGAAAAATTGCCCGCAGTTCAAACAGTATGCAGACGTTGTCGTTGCCGCCAGTGGCAAGTATTCGCTCGTCAGGAGACCACGCCATTCCGCATATTTGCTGAGAGTGCGCCGAGATCTTCGCAAGTAGTGTCAAGGAGCCCGCCCAACCCCACTTGCTGTTAATCTCCGGCCACTCAACCGAGTAATACCAGATGCTGCCTAGTTCATCCCCGACAGCTAGGTCTTCCGTGTTGACCACCAAGTCGGTGTATCTCTCTGATGCTCTCCGTGTGGTTTTGGGTTTGAATGACACGCAAGTAACGCTGTGAGGATGGCTGATCTCGAAGCGAAATTTGGGCTCAAAGGCACCCCAAAGAGATAATTGACCGGACTGACGTCCGATGGCAAGAATATTCCGCCCTCCATCTTCCGAAGAGAAGGATAGAGACGTCACGTAATTTGACGGATGAACATCCCCGAAAGGTGGATGATCTAGAGCGGAGCCCTCGGACCAGAGGTAGACATATTGGCCGAGGCCCACAGCTAATACACCAACCGTGTATGAGTAGGCCAGAGTCGAACAATAGAAATCGTCTCGTAGAAGAGGAGCGTCCAAGATTCGGAAAGGTTTGGATGGAACGACTTCTCCTTTGGCATGCTTCGTCAGCCCTGAGGAGCCTGCCCGTGGTCAGCTTATCATGCGGACAACACTGCAAGCGCCGTCTTTCTCGCCCTATAAGTAAGTCTCTGTAGATGTCATATAGATGGTCACCAGTCCGGTGATAGATTATGAACAGCGTACCCGCTGTGAACTTCGGCCTTGAGACACGAAAGGCAAAGACCGGGATGTGTAACGAGGAAGCAAACCAGTCCTGTGATAGAACTTACAATGTCCCATTTCCCCCTTTTTCCAGGCACTGTCCTTCCACAGAAATGGCGAGTAGCGTTCAAAATCTCTAGATGCCGGGCTGGGGGACTTTTCTTCACGGGCTGTACAGGTACCTATAAGTCGAGTTGTCGGGTCAATGTCCAAAGCAAGTGCAAGTCTTGACTCATGCTTATTCAAGTCATCATAATGTGTAATTCTGGGCAAAAATCTTGCCACAAAATCTGGAGACGCTCCGCCTTGACCAGAGGTGCTTCGTGTGCCGTTTGAAATGGCCGCTGGAGGCTGTCCGAGAACTGCAGAAGCCCCGCCAACACCCCAGACGGCTCCTACACTAACTCTCCTCAGAGATTCATTGGGAGTAGAACGACCCAGCGCAATGAAGTCAGCGACAAGATGAGGTCGGTGGTGTGGTCCCTGGGGAGGCCGGCTTGGGGTTGCCCTTCGCCCGGGAGAGATCGGAGACAGGCGAGGTGTCGGGAGGAACGGATCTTCACCAAGTGACCGTCGTCTGAAGATTCTCTCTCGAGGGGACAGTTGGAACGGATGCTTATTCACACGATAAGAAGTTGTCGAATGATTGCCAAATTCCCGCTTTGGGATAAACCTGTCCGGCGAGATTGGACTGAGATAAGCCGCTCGTGATGAATTGCCATTCGGAGGACCCCTTGATAGCCTGCGGCCCCGTTCAGGAGAGCCAGGTGCAGAAGAGGTTTCTTCTCCTTTCTCTTGTGAGTGCGTTATAATATTGACAGCGTTTGAAGTGGGTCTGAGGAGCACTGAATTTTGAGAACTGGCTGGTGAGTCGGTCGATCGTAGGTTGATTGTTGCAAAGTCAGTGATTCGGAGGGATCCACTCCCTTGAGAGGACTCAGATTGGGACAAAGAGGTTAGTGACTGGTTGGGATTGCTGGTGGAAGAAGTATTCAAAGAGTGGCATCGCGAATCCACCATGGTTAATATCGTTAATGCTGGACACGATAAGTGTAGCAAAGACCAATTCAATTCTGGCAGTAGTCTCAATAAAAAGGAGTGTATAAAAGACCTCTGGATCGAGGCAGCAGGATTGTCGAGTTGTTGGTTCCAGAGTTGGTGTCGTGTGTTGTAAATCCATTCGTCGAGCAGCTGCCTTCCAATCGGACCGTTGATTACGTGATGCGGATCGTGGGATGGCGGCGGTTGCTGTTTCTTTCCAACACTTCCCCGACTGGGCAGGCAGATATTCGTTCAAAATGGCAAGCGTGAGTCGAAAGCAATTCGACATATTGGACATGTATATTGACTGTCATGCAGCATGGCGTTCGACGTTTCAAACCGGTGGAAAAGACACCGGAAGAGCGGCAGCAAGAGCTACAGAAGATTGATGAATACAAATCCTTAGAACGCCTAGTGTCGGAGAAGGTAAGAGTGATTCTTCGATTTACCCCCTGTCATAGCGGATTTTTCAAGTTTCGACATGTAATAACTCTGCTCAGGTGGCCCAACAAGAATACACGGTTGAGACACTGAAGGAGATTTCCGACTTGCTGAGTCGCAACCCAGAGTACTACACCGTGTGGAATTACCGGCGACAAGTCCTTAGGCATCAATTTTCTGATGCCGAGGACTCTACCAACGAAGAATCGAGCAAACAAGTTGCTGAGCTGATCAAAAATGATCTGATTTTTCTCATGCCACTCTTGCGCAGCTTCCCCAAATGCTACTGGATCTGGAATTATCGCCTATGGCTATTGGATGAAGCCTGCCGGCTACTCCCATTGACTATGTCTCGCCAGTTCTGGCAAGAAGAGCTAGTTCTCGTGGGGAAAATGTTGACGTTGGACAGTCGGAACTTCCATGGCTGGGGATACCGACGCCTAGTGGTGGAGACCTTGAAGCAACTTGGAACCCCCGCCGAGTCTGCCAACATGACCCAGAAAGAATTCGAGTATGCGAAGAAGATGATCGGCGCCAATCTATCCAATTTCTCCGCGTGGCACTACCGCACAAAGCTTATCCAGCGACTACTCGAAGAACAGGCGGCCAGTGACGAGGAGCGAAAGAAGATGTTGGACGATGGTGAGTTTGTGTTGCTTCGGAGGGTTTCTTCGATGGTCTGATGGCTAATTTCCTATGATTTTTTTCTCGGTAGAACTGGTACTCATTCATCAAGCCCTGATTGACCCTTATGATCAGTCGCTGTGGTTTTATCATCAGAATCTGATGTGCGTATTTGACCCGGCAATGGCCTCCCGGACTATGGCTCCGAACTTGAGCATGACAGAGCGACTTCAATATCTACGACATGAAATTGAAGCTGTCCAGGAGATGCTCGATGGGGCCGAAGACTGCAAGTATATCTATCAGGCACTCATTGAGTGTACCTTGCTGGTCTCGAAGGTGGCCGGCCAATTATCTGCAGAAGATCGCGAACAGATTCTGAGCTGGCTCTCAGAATTGAAGCAACTCGATCCGCTGCGAAAACAACGGTGGCTGGATTTTGAGAAGGCGTTACCTAGTGCATAGGCGTGGCCAGGAATGAAATATCGGTACCGAGCATAAATCCTGATCTGATCTAATTCTCCGAACTCTACTTGCTTTTTCTTTCCCGCGGTACATCCATTGGCCCCCTTTTTGGGGAGGACGAATGGCCGCATCATTACCCCGTAGAGAATACTGGCAGAGGCTGAACTGAGAAGACTGTATCTACCGTCATAGACGATCTTCAAACGGATTTCGAGCGGTATCCAGTGTCTTACCGAAGGAATCTTGCATTCTATCCCGGAATGCTAGAAAAGCATAAGCGCCCCAGCCCAAGCACAAGCCGATCGACGCCCCTCAAGTGCACATCTTACGGCAAAAGGGGCCCCACCCACCAAAAGGCAGTCCAATCAACGCCGGACGTGCCTGGCTCTCCATCGATTCCCCAAACTGACATCCCCGAATTCCTTCCACGCTGGCTCATTCCACTCTTGCCCTCCCCATCCCCTATTCTCGCGTGATCTCTTCTGTGACCTGAGCTTCACAAGCTTGTTCGGGTCTTATGGAGTGTTGCACTCTCTAATAGCCCGAGTTCCCCTCTCCCGAGAACCGAAATGTCGAATCGAAACAGCAGTGACTACGCAGGGGTGAGTACTGTCGTGTGTTTGCGTGTTTCACTATCTGCCCACCACGCCGCTAATGATCTTTTCGCATTAGGAGTCCTTCGACGATGCCCCTGAAGCCCCCGAGCACTTGAATGTCACTATTCCCAAATCTACCTCTACGAGGTCCTTGACCGATAGCCCGCCCGTCGGCTCAGGAGCTTCCCCCGAAATCACTGATAAGCCGTCGTTCCCTTCTGCATCGCAGGACGAGCAAGGGGACGAGACGACGGACGGAGGTGGATCGGCAGGAAAGAAGAAAAATAAGAGGAAGAACAAGAAAAAGGCTAAGCAGGATGAGGCTGAAGCTATGGCCAATGTCGATGCCGATGCCGAATTTGAAGCTGTGGACACGCCCATTGAGGATGTGAAGCTGGACACCACGGAGAAGACGAAGGAAGAGGACAAGCAGGATCACATACTCACTCCGGTGGAAGCTGACGACGCAGGCGAGGGAGAGGAGACCCCGAGGAGAAACGTGGCGCAGAAATCCCCCTTGCTCACCTCCCACCGGTTGTCTACTGCATCTTCGCTGGACGAGGTGAATCTGACAACCAGCAAGGACGATGAGCTTCCTCCCCATCAGATCGCAACTCCCAAGCTCAATTTGGGGTCGCCTCCAGTGCCTCCTAAAGATGATGTGGCGACTCCTCCGAGTTCTGGCTTGATCGGGTTGTCTGGCAGCCTGCCCTCTTTACCATGGGGACCTCCTCCGGTCAACAAGAACCCTGCCCCAGCAGCACCTCCACCTCCTCCGAGCCGCAAGCCCAGTGGTCCCTTCGCATGGTTCTCCCGCAGCTCAACCAGTGGAAAAGACATCAAATCCCCGCCTCAGAACGGCCGAAGAAACACCTCTACCTCAGTATCGACCGTTGCTAGTGGGCTGGACTTGGTGGACGGAGATACCTCCAGTGTTCACTCTAGGAGACCGAGACGGAACAGTCTGAAGGATCAGTTCAAAATCCTGCGAATGCGGGAGGAGTCTGCTCTTCCTGAGAATGACGAAGGCAGTGTTAGATCGGGCCATGCAAGCATCAGCCATGCCGGTGCTAGCCCACCAATCATCCCGGAAGAGAATGAAGACGGGATTTTGGTCGCGCCTGCTGCTCCGGCTTCTGGGGCAACATCCCCTGGAGGCGTCCCCCCATCGACCATCAATCCAGGCCTGGCTCCCGGTACCGTGTCTGGGTTCTCTCAATCTGCAACCGACGCAGCCGCACCAGTAGACTGGGATCTCTGGCAACAGCTGGTCAACAATGGTCCGCAAGCCCTAGCCAGCTCAGAGGAACTGAATGCGGCTATCAAGCGAGGAATCCCGCAGACTATCCGTGGAGTCATCTGGCAGATTTTGGCCGATTGCAAGATTGGTGAATTGGAGGAAATCTACCGCGAGCTGCTTGCCCGAGGCACAGACAAAGACCACCGAACGCCGAGCGTCCAGATCAACGGCTTGAACGAGAAAGAGTCTATCCCGTCATCACGCTCTTCCATTCGATCCAACAACTCAGGCTCCGGAACACAATCGACCAGTGTCATTCCTAGTCCCTCCCAGGAGACGGATCCCGAGAAAATGGCGCGAGAGCAGGCTGTTAGTGAAGCTGCTCGCCTGAAGAAGGCCAAGGATGAAGCTTCTGCACTGTCGAAGCTGGAGAAAACTATCCGACGGGACTTGGGTGCCCGGACGAGCTATTCAAAGTACTTTGTCTCGCAAGGTAGCCAAGAAAGCTTGTTCGGACTGTGCAAAGCCTATGCGCTGTACGATGAGGCCGTGGGGTATGCTCAAGGCATGAACTTTATCGTCATGCCTCTGTTGTTCAACGTAAGTTTGTCTTGAAACTTTCGACTCCTTGTGACCGTCTTTTGTTTTGATCCCATAGATTAACCAATTTACAGATGGACGAGGCGGATGCTTTTGAGCTACTTGTCAAACTCATGAACAAGTATCGACTCCGTGAGATGTTCATTGCGGAGATGCCCGGTCTTCACCGCAGCCTCTACCAGTTCGAGCGACTACTGGAAGATCTGGAGCCCGCGCTCTACTGCCACCTCCGGCGACGTGGTGTACCCCCGCAATTGTACGCAACTCAATGGTTCTTGACTCTCTTCGCCTACCGCTTCCCTCTACAGCTGGTTCTCCGGATCTACGATCTGATCTTTGAGGAAGGTCTGGAGGTCACGATTCTCAAGTTCTCTATTGCCATCATGCGTCGCAACGCCGAGGCACTACTGGAGATGAAGGATATGAGTGTCTTGACTACTTTCCTGAAGGAGCGTCTTTTCGATGCATATATCGACAAGCAACCTTCCGCCTCATCCATTCTAGAGTCTGGCTTCTTTGGAAGCTCTGGCGCGGCTGACAAGGAGACTTACCGTGCGGACCTTATGGTGCAAGATGCCTGTGCCGTGCCTCTCACACAAGAGACGATCAACTCGTATACTGCCGAGTGGGAAGAAAAGGTTCGCACCGAGAGAGAGCGCGAAGCTGAGCTGGAGGGGCTGCGCCACACTGTGAGCACACAAGCCGCCCGGCTACGACTATTGGAGGAGCGTTCTGAGGCGTCGGATAAGGAGCATGTCCAGCTGGCCTCGGAATTGGTTCACGCTAAGGTGGAGAATGAAGAACTGCGGGACTTGACCGATGCGCTGAAACTGCAGGTTGAACAGTTGAAGAATGTGGTCGATAAGCAGCCTGGTGAGGTGGAAGAGAAGCTTCGGCTTGAAATGGACCGCATCATGAAGCGAAATATCGAGGTACAGAACGAGAACCGCGCGATGGAGGACTCGATGGCGGAGATGGAGAAGGAGTTGGTGGCTACTAAGATGAAGTGGGCCGAGGTATGTACAAAGACTTGACGGCTGTGTGATCTTTTGGACCTTAACTGACACACAAATCAAAGATCTCCGAAGAACACGAGACTCTTCGCCAGAAATGGAGCGACCTCCGCCGGGCCCTCGACTAAAATCCTTGGCATCTACCACCCTCCTCTATATCAAGGTCGGACCTCCTGTGGTCCAGGCTTTTCTCAACTGTATATTTCTCCTGCACAGCCAGGTGGGTCGGATCTGGGATCCCCCTCCTTCAGGCTGAATAAGATCCCCTACGTCCGTGGGACCGGATTTTTTGTTACTACGCTTCTCGATGCTGCGTGCGGGTTCGCCGCCCCTGCCATGATTTCTTCTGGCCGACTCCCTGTACTCACATACTCATACATTACCTATGTAACCCGTTACGAATGAATCTTCTACGGTCGTGATAGTTTCGGTTGCCTTTTGCTTGGGCCGGTTTCATCGTGTCACCTACCAATGTTGGTGCTTTTTGTTTTGGCTCTTGGCTTGGCCTTTGTACTCTATTCGCTCGTGTGTGACTATCCCGCTTATCTTGCTGTGGGTAGCAGGCTCGGCCGAGACCATATCCAGAATACTGAAAGAAATGCAGTGTACATCCCATGAATTGAGAATTCGACATGACTCTTTTTCTTTTCATTTCATCATATCTGGTACTTTAGTAGACCTATCCAAGGTCCACCCAGTGTATCTCTATACAAAAGTCCAATTCCAATCCGATCCATCATCACATAATTCGTGAATCCCCCACCTTCCATCCTAATTTTCCCCGCTCATTCAAGCAAATTTACAGAATGTTCTCATAGTAGGTAGTAAGGACATCCTCCTTGACCGGTCCCGCAACAGCCTTCAACGCCTTGTGGGCCTCGCACTCGGTATCGTAGTACTTCATATCGTCGAGCGAAGCGAACGTCGTCTTGACGGAGATGTTGTATCCCTTGTTACGAGGGTCGTCGAAGGATTCACCCACGGCAGCGGAGACGATGTATGGCTTTCCGTCCTGTTGAGAAAGAGAGCGGGTGATTAACTATATGACACAGATGGGCAAAGAGAAGGAGGGGATATGATGGCTAATATGGTTGTTGTTTGGCATTCTCACCTTAGTAGCGGTCTTAGCGAGGACCTTGTACTGCTCCAGAAGACGGACGCGATCCTCCTTCTTGGGGACCTTGAAGAGGGTGATGCGCTCGATGGGGGCCATTTTGGTGGTGAAGGGTGATGAGGTTGTGAAGGTAGTGATAGATCTGGAGGAACCGGAGAAGAGGAAGAAGCGAAGTGTCTTTTCTAAGCCGGCGGGCATCGGAGAGGAGATGTCGGACACTCTTTATATTCCGTCGGTATTGCGGCTTTCTTGCGGGGTTTCCAATGCGGATCGGAGGGGTGCCGACGGGGGAGGGAAGGCGGGTCCGGATAATTAGTTACCTACGGACCGTTGACTACGGATTATTGACGGATCGGGAGGAATTGGGGGTTTCTAGGTTACTAGGGTGGTATTGTTATGAGGGACAATTTTCTTAATTTTCTATCTTGTTGCTCTGCTATTTTCAGCTTTTTGCATGGATTTTGGTCTATGGGATCGTTGGTATTCGAAGGGGATAATAAGTGACGTGTGCGGAAGAAGTTGAGCCCGGAGCGCGTTAATTCCGCACTAGGCAAAACGCGAATACCCGGGCGGAATGCGAATATTCTATAGGCTGGATGTGACAGGGGATAGGAGATAGCGATGCTCTGTATAGTCAGTACGGGGTACATCTTGCTAGTTAGATAGGTTGCTTTTCGATATGAGTAGAGGTAGGAAGGTAGCCCTTGTTACCTGTACTTGATCATCTCAATGGGCGGGCTGCATTCTTGTCGCAAAGTGGAGATGCGAATGGATATTCTGTAGAGATATGGTCACCGTGCACCCTGCATGAATTTAGAGTTAAGACCCTGGAGTAATGAGAAGTGTGGCTGAGAAAGTACCTTGCATAAATAGGACAGTACCATAGAAGTACAGAGGCTGAAAGGTGTCCTGGGTATGCTAGGGTATGTGTGGGGTCCCTCAAAATCGATCAATCTTTCTTGAGGGCTTCGGAGGCTGCTTGTTGATCACATAGGGCTAGTACCTGCCCATCATCTTCTGCAGGGGAGAGTTCTAAATCAGACAATCCATGTAAGCATAAGTAGGGGGATGATTCACATAACAATATCTAACTATACAATTACTTATACCTTCTAGGTTGTAATAATGCCATTGTCTTTTTTCACGTGAAAATGTGTGCCCTCAATGATAGACTGAAAACCCAGCATGCAGAAGGGTCCGGCGAGTCTCATGTCAAATCTCATTAACGGGAACTCTGTTGTCTCGGAGATATTCCCCACACGATCTTATCATTATTTTAACCTCCGAATTATCCTCCGGCCTTGCTGCATAAAACAGGAACCATGTCGGAGTATGCCCTCAAAGAGGCTAATCTGATTATCAATTTAGGTACTGATCATCCTTGATCACACAGTTCACTCACGCTAGCTATGGGATGTCCTTCATCAAGGCTGTCAGATATTACGATCGCCGCTCCCATTATCCCGTTAAGGCCAAGCGAATTCCTCCCCCCTTCTCCTACGAATTGGCGTATTCCCATCGTATCCCGTTGCCGAGTTTATCGTATTGCTATCGTATACAAGTACCGAGGGATCACCCTCGTCTTTCCTTTGCATACCGATATACAGCTCTTTCCTCATGTGAAGATACAGCAGTCCTCCATATCCCATCCACTACGGAATCTGGACTATATGAAGTCCTGACGCGCCCCTTTGCGGAGTCAGTATCCTTAATGCCAATCCTATGGTGTCGGGCATTATCACCATGAGACCCTTCTACCTGCCCCTGCTAGCAGGCGCCCTCATCCATGAAACTATAGCCTCAACGGCGACCGGCCCTGCAGCCTGTACCAATCTGACCACCCAATTGGGCACCTCAAAGGTAGTCCGTAGCCAGCTCAACCTCCACTATATCGAAAGTCTGGAGTACTGGAACACCCTCCAAGACGCCTACAAACCGTCCTGCGTGGTCTACCCAACCTCTGCGCAAGATGTCTCCACAGCGCTCCAAGCCATCCGCACAGCAGACTCTCGCTTCGCCATCAAAGCTGGCGGCCACAATCCAAACACGTTCTTCTCCTCCGTCGATGCAGGCGTCCTCCTCGACATGAGCCGAATGACGGCCAAATCCTACGATCCCGAAACGACTCTCGCCACCTACGAGCCCGGCGGTGTCTTCGGCGATCTATACGACTACTTCGTCCAGTATAACCGCACCGTCGTCGGCGCCCGTCTCGCAGGTGTAGGTACCGGACTCGCTCTCGGCGGCGGCATGAGCTATCTCTCGCCGCAATACGGTCTGGCCTGTGACTCCTTCCGCGAGCTGGAAATCGTCCTGCCAAGCGGCGAAATCGTCACTGCATCCAACATCTCCCATCCAGACCTCTTCTTCGCGTCCCGCGGCGGCGGCGGAAATGCCTACGGCGTCGTCACAAAGTACACCGTGCAAAGCCGGCCTATCGGCGAACTATACGCTGGAAACGTCATCTACGCGTTCCCCCAGAAAGACACCGTCATCGAGGCGATTGGCAACTTTATCAAATACAACACCGATCCCAAAGCCGCCATCATCGGGACCTACGAGAAACTACCCACGCCCGATTTGACTCTCAACCTCGACGAGGCAATCATCATGTTCCTCGTCTACGATGGTCCGGATCCGGGAGACGCCTTTGCCAATTTCACTGCCATCCCACACCTGCTCAACACTTTGAGTCTGAAAACTTATCCCGAGGTGGTCAATATGCCCATCCCGCTCGCGACAGAACTCTCCCGCGGCGCAAACATCTTCCGCGTTGGCGTCCATCGTCCAGACAATAATTCTTACTCCGACGCCCTTGATAGATGGCGCTCGTGGGCGGAATCGAATAAAGGCAAATACGTCCTGCTTTCGCTGGATTTCCAGCCCGTCCCGCGCAGTTTGACGGATGCGAGTAAAAGCCAAGGTGGGAATGCGATGCAGATGCCGGATGGACCGTGGTTTTGGTTGAATTATCTGATCACCACCCCGGCCGGTATGAGTGAGCCGGATTACAAGGCGGTGCAGGAGAGTTATCGGGATTTGGTGGCGGAGTCGGGCAATGCGGAGGGGTTACCGCTGTTCATCAATGATGCGAATGTGGATCAGGATCCGTTGAGGTCGTTTAGCACTTTTGAGAGGCTGAAGGAGATCAAGAAGGTGTATGATCCGGATAACTTTTTTGTGGAGAAGACGGGTGGTTGGTCGTTTGAGTGAGAGGGAGTCAATGGAGGTCGAGACCCGAGAGGGTCGTTCTATAAGAGGGTGTGTGACAGTGAAGATGGAAGAAGGTAATTCACCATCAGCCCTTGTGCAGTAGATGGTACTCGAAGTCCTTCGGAGAACCTGGCATCCAACGTCAACTGGACTGCTTCATTTCTATTAATCTCTTAGGGTCAAACATATAATGAGAGGGGGAAATAATCCAGCCCTCAAGCCAACTGGCTATGACTGGGACTGGCAAGTCTAAAAGAAGAAAATGCAACGATATACCAAATCTCAGTCACCATGACGGATCACAGATTCCCTCTCAAGGCCTGCTCCCTCTCAAAAGCCTCAAACAGACTCTTGAAATTACCCGCTCCGAATCCATCAAACCCATGGCGTTGAATCACCTCCACAAACACTGTCGGCCGGTCTCCGACATGCTTGGCAAAGATCTGCAGTAGATATCCACGCTCGTCAAAGTCGACGAGGATATTCAGTTTCTCCAGGACATCAACGTCCGCGCTGAGGGTCCAGGAGACCTGGGAGAGACGCCGGCGGAGGTCGGCATAGTATGTACTGGGGACTTTGAGGAACTGGACGCCCCGGGCTTGGAGGTTGGTGACCGCGGAGACAATGTCTTCGGAGCGGAAGGCGATGTGCTGGACACCGGCGCCGTGGTAGTAGTCAACGAATCTGGAGTTGTCGTTAGTCCTTGATGCAATCTAGAGCCCCTGGTAGGATATCCATTGTGGGGCAAACCGTACTCCTCAATTTGAGACTTCTTTTTGCCCTTGGCAGGCTCATTCATGGGCATTTTGATCGCCTCATTGGGCGATGCCACAACGATGGACCGCATAGCAGAGTAATCGCTGCACATATCTTTATCATCGACCGTCCAGTAGCGGTGGAAATCCAGACATTCCTCGTAGCTGTCCCGCATCTCATTAGTACTCCTCTCATTCTCCAATGGGCACTCCAACGTACAATTGCACAACCCGATCCACTCCACCCCATGTCTGATTCCCCACACAGTGATCAATCTCCAAGAACTGGACAGGTGGCAGGATCAAGTTGATAGGATCTTCATCCCCGTCAACAATCCGATACCCCGGCAAAAACGGTGCATTGTCCTTGTAATGCTCCCGATTCACCAGCGAGTGCACGGTATCCCCATAGGTCCCCACCGTCGCCGTCGTAATATATCCATCTCCTTCAGAGTCCGCCTTCACACTCTTCGGCTCCGCCACAGCGACAGCCCCGTTATCAACGGCGCGTTTCCACACTGCGCCCACGTCGCCGGTTACCCGGAACGCGACGTCCTTGACTCCGTCTCCGTGTGTGGTAAGATGCTCGTGGATCGCGGCTAGCACCGCCCGGTCCTCGTCCGTCGCTCGTTGCAAGGCATTGTTGCCCTCCGTTTCGGATTCGGTTCGTGCAGGCCCGCAGACCGGTCCCGTGAGAACGAAGACCGCGTCACCGTTGGCGATCACGTAGCTGGCCAGATAAGGCGAACCCGTTTCTGGACCTCGGTACGCGATGGCTCGGAAGCCCATGCGGGTGATGTAGAAGGAGGCGGCTTGTTTGGCATTGCCGACGTACCAAAGGATATGGTCAAAGCCGACATACTCGGGGCCCAGGTTCGTTGGGAAGATTGTTTCGTCTCCGGCGGGGATGGTCATGGTGGGCTGTCCTCGATGCGGGTCGCTGGGGTCGCGTTAAGGAAGGGATTCCGATGGCGAGGAATTGTTTTTTTCCTCGCCGTCGATAGTTGTTGATTGTGTCAATTGACGTTGTTAGAGAAGATATGGGCGTTGAAAAGGAGGGAAGAACTCGGAAAGCTGGATGGCTGACAGGGACAAAGCTTATTTTTCCAAGGTCGGTTTCGGAATCGTCTCCATAAAGTTTCACGTCACACATTCTTGGCCTTCCCGCGGGTGGACTCTTGCTTTGGCGATAAGATATACGAGGCAATGCTGATATCTTGGGTGAGTTGGTGTTTTCATTTCCCTTTGTGATTCCGGAGATTTTCGCTGGAGATAACGGAGCTGCAAAGTCAACTCAAAAGTCTTTGTCCTGCTGTATTTCATCCCATCGTCGCCCCAACGGTCGTCCGAACGAGACGGAGCAGATCGTAGTCCTTGGGGAATTATCATAAAGAATCCCAGGACATAGGAAAAGCATTGCAGATCTGGTGTTTCATGATCCGGGCAACTTTGTATCTGTCCGTGGTTGCGTCCACGAGGGCCGATGGGCTCAGCATGTCTCATAGCCAAGTTGTAGTCTCTCAAAGACGCCCACCCCATAGACCTGTACCAGTACCAGCACTAGTAGAAAATAGCTCCCCGGTGCCTCGATTCTATCGTATCCGATCCATCAATCGATCTCTCGTATAAATCTCTTCACATTCCCCTATCAAACATCGTTCACCGGCTCCGGTCGATTCTTGAAAAACACCTTGTACCGCACAATCTCCACCACCTCCAACTCCTCTATCCCAACTATCCCAGCCCTCTTCTGTAGCACCGCAATTGGTCGCGGGAGCTTTTTGACTTCTCCGGTCATCCGCTGATACCGTCCAACGTACAGATATACCCGTTTCATCCACTGGGTGTCGTCCGGGTTGTGGATCGAGTAGTCCGGGAACATGAGTTTGCCGACGGGGGTTTCGTAGGAGGTAGATTCTGCTAGGTCATTATCTTCGCTAGAACCATCTTGCTGGGCTTCGGAGGATGGCACGTTGATTGTGCCTTGGAGTTCGAGGAGGGCGAGGCCTGAGGGCGTTTGGAGGAGCTGGGGGAGGGGGTTGTGGACTGGGTGGGAAGGGGCGTTTGCGGGAGTTCTTTGGGCCATCCCGGAGGATTGCGGGTGCAGTGGAATTGAAGGCATGACTGCGAGCTTGAAAGGTCTTTTGTAATGTTCTCGGAGGGTGTTGATCAAATCCGGTCGAGGTTATGCGAAAGCTGAAGCTGGTCAAATTGAGAGACGCGACCCGCGTCGCGTCCCGTCGATCGACCCCACCCGGAAACTGTGGGGAGGATCATCTACAGATGGGAAAGACTAGGTTGGAGAATAAAAAAAGGAATGATAGCACCGACGAGATGATACTTGGATTTACAAATAAGGAGCCGATGACGAGATCGTGGCAAATTTAATTTGCATTATGATAGGATAGTGTACTATCGGAGGCTAGCCCTGCTTTTTGTCTCTTATGAGGCCCCCCTATGCCACATGCCACTCGAGGACGTCTTCTCGGCGAGGCAATAGTTCGTATATCGCAAGACAGATACTGATATCTTCTGTTCTTAGACCACATCTGTGCAGTCAGAGGAGACACTCTTCCATGCGGCTGCCATAGGAAACAAGTCTCGAGGAGCTCTAGGCATTTCCCTTCCGGGATTGGTCCGATATTCCAGAGCATTCTGGTCCTAAGCATGAGTTCCTTCGAAATTCTCAATGAGCAATTTCAGCAGCGTGACAAGAGGTTCACATTGGCGATCTTTCTTATGCAGGGCAACAGCATCTGCAAAATCAGCCATTCGCTTCTGTTTAGACATGACCAAGGGAGTCACTCACCCTAGACGATCAAGATATTCAAATCAAGTTCGGCCAGATAGATTGAACAGATCAACCGGAGCAGTTTATATTCCATGGTCAAAGCTTTTGCCAAATCACGAAGGACCAAAGCCCATACTCTTGTAACAGGCCTCTTCGAGATTTTGCAGGCCTTGAATGGTCTCGCTAGCCAGCGTATTAGCAGTGCCAGCTGGTCCCTGCAATTTACCGTAGCGAAGATCACTCAAATCGCCAACCGTCGTATTGAGTTCTTTCAGTAGGGTCGCAGCCTCCCGATCAATATCGGCTATCTCGCGCTCAATGTTGGCACTGGCAGTCTCCATCGACGCCAGAAGACTATCCACCGAATGATAATCATCTGGACCGGTGGTCAAATTCTGGCCAAACAGATGCAGATCCACGTCCATCTCCCGCTGCTCCTCATCATTGGCAGCTTCGACGCCTGTGGCCCGTCTGGCCTTGCGGAGTTCGGCTTTCTGTCGCTCGCCTTGACGGATCTCCTGGTCAATGTTCTCATTGACCCGGTCCATGTCATGTTCTCGGACTTGCTGCAACTCCCGGTACAAGGTCCTAATAAGGGGATGACCTCGTAGTCGCCTGGGAAATAGCTCTGTGAATTTCTGTAGGGAGATGACTGTCGGCAGTGGCGCCGGCGAGAGCAGAAAGTTACTTAGAATGGATTCCTCCGAAGGTGCCATGATTCAAGAGAAACGGCTTTTTCTTTGACTTCCCTCAATCAATGTAGTCTGGTCGAGTAAATCGCAAGTTCGAATATTTCCCGAATAAGAAGTGGCCGCGTCGCGTCTCCCGTCGAGGCGCGTATCACGTGTCTGCCGTTGAGATGGAGACGATCACCAGGAAACTCCTACTGCACTCCGAGTACTTCACAGAAACGCTGTGCAACAGAACTTGTTGTGTGTTAATCAAAGTTTTTTCCACGTCGGGGACGGAGTTGTGGACAATCTTCTATTCTCTGTCTACAAAGAATACTTGCTTTGCACCCGATTTCTCCCAAGGGGCCACTTCCGCCTTTTTTTGGAATTGCGCTCATTCACCATCTTCCGTGCTCCAACAGCCATACACGCGTCACGACATCCACGCTAGAGGCTGCCATTGTTTCAAATCCCAGTGTTGCTCTATTGAGGACTAGGCAGGGCTTGATTTGAACTTAAATCAGGCAACATACCGACTTATTCCAGTGGTGCTTGGGCAAATTGTCTGTAGGCAAGACTGAGATATCAACCTCCTCAGAACTTGTCAGGCGCTGCCTATCCAAAGCAACACCATCCTTCACGGTATACCGCCTACAGCATCTCCCATTTAAGGACTGTGAATGCCCTCTTGAAGTTTGTTCTTGCAAGTTCCGTCCAACCTTTCGACAGTGCCAGTTCTGTGCCGCTTACTACTGCTGTTCTACCCTGTTCTCTTTGTCGACATTATCATCATCGTCGTCTTCTCCTCTGAACCCTACTATTCTCTTCTACGTCCACCTTTCTTTGTCTCCCATTTCCAGTCATGCCTGCCTCCTCCATGTACAGCAAGGACGAGAAAGTCCTCTGCTTCCATCACGACATCCTCTACGATGCAAAGATCTTAGAGGTGCGGCACAAGGACGCCGCCGACAAGAAGAGCGTCCTTGAGTACCTAGTCCACTATAAGGGCTGGAAGAACACGTAAGTTTGCTCTTTCCCTCTGCATCTTCACACTTTCCGTCTTCACACTTCTCTCTACACTCCCAAACCCCCACCTGCACCATGGATCGTGTCTTCGTTCGCATGAGCCGTCATCAGAACCGCTCTCGTCTGTTAGTGCCTCTCTTCACTCCGATTCCCACATAAGCGACTGTTGATCGTTGTTCTCACGATGAACTGGCCTCTGTTACCAACGATATTGAAGAGACCATGTGCTGACTTTTCTTTCACAGCTGGGACGACTGGGTACTCGAGGACCGCCTTCGCAAGGCCACGGAGGAGAACCGTGAGCTGGCTGCCAACTTGCGCCGGGAGGTCGAGGCTGCTGCTCGCCAGAAGAATGCGAAGCCCACGGCGAAGAAGCGTGCCATGTCCGATCGCAGCTCCGTTCGTGACAGTGAGGAGCGCGGCAACTCAGTGCCTGGCCGCGCCAGCAAGCGGGCTCGTGGTGAGACCGACATCGAGAAGGTACGTTACCGTTCTCGCCCTACATCTGTTCCCCACGTCAACACCTCTCTTGACATCTCAATCTCCTTCCTTCCACTCCTTCCAAGCACATATCTTCCAATATCCACCTGGCCAACTCCATCTTCATCGTGCGCGCACAATCATTATGCCTCGCAAGAAGATTCCCCCCACTCCCCGCTCTTTCTTCAACCAGCAATACCCCCGTCGAATTAACAAAACACCCATTCGTCCCGATCCTTCTATCAGCCGAACTACGTCTCAAGAGCATCGAACTAATGTATTCCAATCTGAACTCGAACAGGAGGAAGCCTTCCATGCCCGCCCTTCCATCCGCATCGTGATGCCAGACAACCTGAAGGCCCTGATCGTCGACGACTGGGAGCGCGTTACCAAGAATGGCGCCGTCATCCGCCTGCCTGCTCCCAAGCCCGTCCGCCAGATTCTCCAAGAGTGGCGCGACGAGGAGGCTCCCAAGCGCGTGGAGAGCCGCATCGATGTCGACGTTCTCGACGAGGTGATTGCCGGCATTCTGGAGTACTTCGATACCATGCTCGATAAGCTCCTGCTCTACCGCTATGAGCGCCCTCAGTATCGCATTTTCCGCAAGAAGTTTGCCAACACCCCAGGCGGCAAGGGCCCCGTTGATATCTATGGTGCCGAGCACCTCATCCGTCTCTTCAGTAAGTGATTACTCGTTCCTATTGATCCTGTCTCTTCTGGATTGATTTTAATTCTCGTGGTATAGGCCTCCTTCCCGAGCTGCTTGCCCAGACCAACATGGACCTTCAGGCTACTCAGCGCCTGCGCGAGGAGCTCTCCAAGTTCTCGCTGTGGCTGTCCAAGAACTCTGAGAAGTACTTCCGCACTGATTACATCTCCGCCGAAGATCATTACGTCAAGCAGTCGCTCAAGGACGTCAACTAAACCTTTTCGTCTTCATTCACATTCTCGCCCTTTCGCCATCTCTCATTCTCACCCATACACACACCATCAACTGAGGAGGACTCTCGACGACACGAGGCCTTCCGATCTTCTCCCAGGACACACTGTCCCTTCTCTACGCACTGTCATCCTGCGCCGCTACAATTCTGTGCCTTGCTTTTTCTCATCGGGTTTCTTGATGCTTCGGCGATGGTTGTTTTCTTTTTCTTCGTTCTGCCTCTACAGAGGCCTATGGGTTGGGTTTTTCTGTTTATTCTTGCGTCAATCGCAACACGGTGATATCCTTTAGCATTGCTCCTACTAGAGGAGCTAATGGGAATATGAAATTGAACTTTCACTCAAAGCCCTAGAAAGTATCAATCTAGTTCTCACAGTTCCTCGACCATCTAGTCTCAAGTACAAATCAACAAATGCTGTATTCTTCACTGGATATCGAAAGAAACACTACCCCAACTCAAACACAACACGGTCCCATCAACCACCCACCTCCTCACGCTACCAACTGCCTCGCATCATCAACCGCACACCTCGCCGCCCTCTTCAACTCACTCTTCCACTCCGTCTCTCTCCACCGTGACCACGTCGTCAACCCCTCCGGCGGCTGGATACTCAACGTATCATACCCCTGCTTAATAATGCGATGCACCTCCCGCGGACTAAGATTCTTCTTCTTGATAGACGGCAGCGCTACGGGCGTAGGTTCCCCATCACCCTTCGGACTTGCAGCCGCAGCCGCAGCCGCACCAGCCCGGTCCTTCCCATCCGACTGGAAGAGAAGAGTATAGAAATGCGTTGAGACGGATAACAAGGTATCAACCGCTGCGGCGTGGATATCCTTTGAGGAGGTGGGATCTACAGAAGAACCGGCGGCTGAGCGTGAGCCGGTGTTCGCAAACCCATACACGTCCCTAAACTTCGAAATCACCGGCCCTGTCTCGACGAGCTTATAGAAGAGATCATCGTAGGAGGACGGGTCCGGGAGGAAAGTGTCTCCCGCAGAGACGCAAAAGGCCATTAGATCAGCGAGGGAGGAGGTGAGGGTATTGATGTTGGGATGTGAGGAGAGGTCGGTGGCGTAGGTTGTTAGGAAGCGCATTAGGGAGAGGAGGGTGCGCCAGAGTTCGGACCAGTGGTATGTTAGGCGGATTTTGTTCATGGAGAGGTATGTTAGGAGCCGGAGGGTTATTGCGATTGTGTGGCTGAGTGGGTATGTCAGAATATGGATTTTGGGATGGGTGCGAGGTATTGCAGTTTTTAGGGGAACGGAATAGCTTTACCTGTAGATGTTGACGTCCAGTCGTCGGCGGAGGTTATGCGTGATAGTATCGATCATGGCGTCAAATATGACCGTTGTGAGAACGCGGTCCCCGTTTACGAGAGGGAGGTATGGCTGGCGCTGTCGGCATAGCCGGACGCGACGTTTGCCATCTTCGCTGCAGATATGTTTGCAGAGTGTTGGGTCCTCGACGAGAATGCGGAGGGTGAAGAGGCTCAGTTCGGCGTAGTGCGCCACGCGTGGGGAGCGATATGCGTGCTGGAAGAGGTACGAGGATAGAGAGATGAAGCTGGAGAATGGGGACTCTTCGTTTTTCTCGGGAGTCATGTGTACCAAGTGATAGCCGAAGAGCTTGTTTGAGTTTGCGAAGTCGTAGGTGGCCATTAGAATGGCGGCTTCTTGTGCAGGGCTGGAGATGTGTTAGCATATATATGAGAAATGCAGTATCCTAGTAGGGAGCATAGCATCGTACAGATCGGCGAACATCGCCTTTGCTTCGTCTGCGGTAGGCGGGTTCGCCTTGTCCCTTGCACCTGGTGCGAGAGCCCGCAGCCCGAAGAAAATGAGAGTATTGGTCAAGGTCCAACCTTCGGGGATATCGTCCTGAACGGCAATGTAGCCATTGCGCAGACCACTGCAGGCCTGACCAACCCCCTTGACGATCTTTTGGATACTTGCCTCATTGACAAAGTCGTCGAGTCGGAGCTGGTAGGGGTTTTGAAACTCGAACTTGTTGTAGTTTGCCAACAGACCTATCAATAAGAAGGGAGCGAAGACCTCCAAGGGGTTCTCGGAATCATTCACATACTATTTTGATTATATCAGCGACTGGGTGCCCAACCTGTGAGCTTTAGAGATGGATACCTTCATCAACGAGGGGAAGAGATCCCGATGGGTGAAATAGGAGACTAGGCTGGTTTTGTAGGCTCCACTGGTCATGGCAATAGCCACCCTAATTGCTTTCCGGCGGAGCTCAACTTGATTCAAAAGATACGTTAGTCTCAGTCATGGATCGGATGGGTATTAGGTTGGGGCGTTACGCACGACTGCTACCATTGCGCACAATACCATCCAGGACGGCCACAAACTCAGAGATGACATGGTCCACCTCGTCGAGGCCTGCGAGAACTGTGATGACATCTGAGCTGGGGTTGGTGTACTTTTTGCTCAAGATACTGGTCAAGAAGACCGCCAGGGTCTAGAGGGTGGGGTGAGTTAATGACTTTATTGATTCGAGAGCGTGGATACTCACATCTAATGCATAAGAGGCGGCCGCGGTTGCTCCAGAGGAAGCTTCGTGGATAGCACGGGCAAATAGATGCTTCGTTTGTGTCTGTATCATGGATGGTCAGCTTCTCGCCTTTGGAGACAGTCCTCGCTGAATAACACACCTGCAAATGCAATGTCTCGTCGGGAGTCAACCCATCCAGCAGAGAATGTAAACGGGCCCGATCTGGGGGCAGGAGAAAGAACTCTCTCCAGAAGCCCTCGGAGGGCTCCACATAGACATCTTCGGAGGCCTAGAAGCGAATATCAGAATGTGTCGGGCCGCGCAGTATGGAGTTAGAGGGGCATACTTTGAAGAGGGTCTCGTAGAGCTGGACGATCTTCGGCGTAAAAGTCTCGGGCCTGCTCTGTTGGGTGAGGGGAGACGCCTCCATTATTCAGGTGCACGATTTACAAGCGATCCCTGAAGCCTGTAACATACAACACGCAGCAAGCGATGAGCGGTTGGTTCTCTGACGCTTCAACGAGGCCGACAGCTTGGCACTAGCCACTTTGTAAGCGGGTCCAGCCACATGTCCTCATCTACGCAGAGTTCTAGGCCGCGGTTCATTTTACGAGGTATTTAGAGAGATGAATGAAGGATATCATCGATCTGAAGTGGGAGATTTGATCAATCAGATAGGTTTCCTTCAAGAAAGTCAGTTGTCTTACATTTCACTATACCTCATCGCCCTGATGATGGACTTGTTCATGCGATCTCCGCAAATCGGCCCAGACCAATCCGGCTTGTTGTGCCTCAGGCCACCAAGTCAGGCCGGTTTGGCTGACTCATCTACCGATAAACGCAAATGGCAGAATTGAGACAAAAGATTCGAGGATGAGACACACGATAACCTTGGGTGACTTGTAAAGTTGAACTACTTTATATTCATATTAACCTCCATTGAAGACAAGATACAACTCTGCTTATACACTCCGTAGTATGCTGCGGCTAGCGGTAACCGTTAACAGTAGCTGCAGTGGCGCCACCGTGTGTAGAAACACCTTATCTCTGATTGGCCAGAGCATGATCATGCAACTGGGTTAGCTAATCCGCCGCCGGGGAAATGACAAACACAGAGAGATTCTTCTCTCCTGCCACCCTCAATCAATTCACAACTCACAACACCACCACCCTCGTCCTCGCACACTCATCTTATGCGTGTATAGCCCTCTCTTCGCGCTCTCTAGTCACATTCGTGTTCCCTCGCAGCCATGAGTTTCTGCACCGCCATGCAGCGTCCGGTGACATCATCCGCCACACTTCTCCGATGGGTGAAGCCCTCGGCCGGCCAACACTACACTCAGTCGCTGCGCTGTTTCTCTTCATCCGGAAGTGCCTATATGTCTTCTAAGCGCGATATGCAAACGGCCACTGCCTACCGCCCACACACTCTCCCTTCATCGTTCCCGATGCCCCGTGGCAGCGGTGGCCTCGATACCTCGATTACCGCCGACTTCCCCCTCCCCGGAGAATCATCAAAACCCATCTCGAACACACAGTCCTCGACTATTTCTCTAAGAGAAGGCGAGGCCCAGAAGTCTAAGCCGGTTGCCACCTCGACCACCTCGACCACCTCGACCGCTGCCCCGAAGACTTCCCCGAAGCCCCGTCGGCCATTGCGAGCACGCAAGGCGGCGATGAAATTGACACCGCTGGCTACGGAGCAACTTCGCAAGTTGATGGCACAGCCCGAACCCAAGTTCATCCGAGTCGGAGTCAAGAACCGCGGCTGCTCGGGTTTGGCGTACCACCTCGAGTACGTGGAGAAGCCGGGCAAGTTCGACGAAATCGTTGAGCAGGATGGTGTGAAGGTTTTGATCGATAGCAAGGCTCTGTTCAGTATCATTGGCAGTGAAATGGACTGGCATGAGGATCCGCTAAGCAGACGCTTTGTTTTCCGCAACCCCAATATCAGTGAGTTTCCCCGTATTACAAATCAACTTCCGCCCAACTCTCGGTCTTTTTACTGACTTCTGGCAATAGAGGAAGAATGTGGTTGTGGTGAATCGTTCATGGTTTAAGCCCTCGTTTCGATATATTTCCTTGATTGCCGGTTTTTTGGCGTTAGTCGATCACGGTGCATCGGACGGCGTTTTCATCGTTTTCTTTACTCGGTTCCTGTTTTTGGGACTACGACCGCTCTTTGGGTCGGGTACATACGCTTGATATCCAGTCGATACAGATTCTCCTCTTTCTTTTGATCCTCGTTTTTCACCATCATGCTTCCATCGCTCTCTCGTCGGGAAGGTCTTGGCAAAGGACCAAATCGAGCTTTGCTGATAGATCCGTCTAGGCCGTAGAGGTCTAGCTGGCTTGCCACTTGTCCCCATCATTATGAATTTTCTATAATTGTATCTCAGCACTAAATTATGTGACAGTATCTATAGATCAGTTCAATGGATATGGATATGATGATTCGAGGAACTCCGACAAATCCTTTTGAGTATGAGCCGGTACTTATATAAAAATCTAGGACAAGTAATATGAATGCCGAGTTTGTAATATTGTCGAACTTGTTACGAAGAAATAACCGCGGTAAGATGATGCTAGCACGCTAGTTGATTGATTCAATCGCAACGGAGTTCTAGTAACTTGGAAGGTCGATTATCCGCTACTTCAAATAGCCATGATGCCCTGTGCAGTTTGAGAACGTCGCGTGCCAGTGACTGGTGAAGTTGCCCTCACTCGCTGGTGCGAGCGGGCGCTTAGTTATGAACCTGATGTGGTTAAATAGTTAACTAACTAACTGAAAAACTAACTAGTTAACGAATTAACTAGTTTAGTATCTAGTTAGGCTGATGGCAAGGCGTCCCCGTGGTCGCAATCACTCCTCGTTACCCCTTCCCCGGTTCTTCGGCATGAATGAGGCTATATAGCCAATCGACACATCGAGAGCCAAGATTTGCGATTCTATCCAACCATCTAAGTATTCACAGCGGCAGCAGCGGAAGCTTACAGGAACTCCATTGCGAGCATGGCGTCCGCGATATCATTTGAGCATTCCAATTCGGGGTCCCAAGTGGCTGTGAACCACGGCTCGGTCACCAACTACTTCCACATGCCTATTGAAGGGACAGAGGAGACAGATACTATGCCTTGTAAGTCAATCAAAAATCCTAACAACTTATTCAGACCCACTAACTCTTTTATTAGGTGACCCCTCTCAAGCCCACTATATCATCCCGTCCATGGAAAATCGTCATTTCACAGGCCGCGAGCCTATGCTGGATGAGCTTAAACAGAAGCTGTTTATACAAGGGGATACTGAGAGATTAGCTATATTCGGGCTAGGTGGCATCGGCAAGACCCAGGTTGCTCTTCAGCTGGCCCGCTGGGTGAAAGCGCATGTACCAGACTGCTCCATTTTCTGGGCCTCTGCAATAACTCTCGAGAGTTTTGAGCAGGCATGTGCGAAAATCGTAAAGGAGCTTCGAATCCGTCGGAAAACAGATGACGAAAGTGCGATGGAAATGGTGCACCGACAGCTGAGCTCTGATGATGCCGGAAAGTGGCTTTTCATTGTCGACAATGCCGATGATGAGGATTTACTTTTTGATGAGCTTCACCAGTATTTCCCCGCTAGTAAGAGCGGCGTAATTTTGCTCACTACTCGTTTGAGTGAGATAGTGATTTCTTTCGCCGGAAGGGATATCATTGACCTCCAAAAAATGACAGAAGAGGAAGGTATCGCTTTCCTTAGTAAGATTATAGGAGAAGAGTCGACTTCTGGCGAAGAATCCATGAAACAGTTATTGGAGGAGCTGAACTTCCTACCTCTAGCCATCTCGCAGGCTGCTCACTATATTTGTCGAAATAATGGAACGACCATACGGTACCTCGAGATTATGCAGAAAAGTGAGAAAGACCGGATGCGTCTAGCGAGCAGAAACTTCCACGATAGTACTCGCTACCCGAAAATTCCCAACGCGGTGACTACTACATGGCTCATCTCATTCAATCAGATAAGAGGCTCTGACCCGTCTGCTATTGATTTGTTGGAATTTATGTCTTTCCTTGAGCCAAAGGCAATCCCGCGATCTATTCTCCCAACACTTGATTCGGAAGAAGAGATGGACTTTGCAATCGGTACGCTGTGCAGCTATGGATTTCTGACTGGAAGAGGCAATGAGGATATGTTTGATATGCATAGCCTCGTACAGCTATCAACACAAATGTGGATAGCAGATGCACAGAAGACGAAACAGATCATCACGACGGTAACGGAGCATATAGAAAGTTGTTTCCCATCTGATGAATACACGAATCGTGAGAAGTGGAGAGTTTACCTGCCATACGCCATGAAAATTTTCGGGAGAAAGGAAATCAGAGATGTGAGGAAGAGTTCTAGCTTACATCTTAAGGTCGCAAGATGCGTCCTAGCCGATGGCCGAGCAAGAGAAGCTGACAACCTTCTTGGAGACGTGGATGCATGGACTTTGAGCCACTATGATGAAGACCATCCCGATCGACCGGTGTCTCAAGACGAACTCGTAGGGGCAGATCAATCGCCGGCCTTGGAGCTACTCGATCTAATCGCGCCTCTGAATGATCTCGCACGGGAATATCTTTCCAACAGGCAATTTGAGCAGGGCATGGACTTTCTCAAATACGTGGTCGTGTTACGAGAGAAAACACTTAATGATGAACGTCTCGGTAGAGTGGCGTCTCAGCACGGACTTACGGAGGTATATCAAATTCTGGGACTTGCTGAGCAGGTATTGGAGCTTTCTAAACACGCGGACCAAGCCAATGTTGAACACCCTGCTTCACTGGCTTTCGAGCACGAACTTGGACGATTGGGTCATTCCGCTGGGCAGATCAAGCAGGCATTGGAGCTACTTGAACACGGAATCGCGGTAGAAGAGAACACGCTCGATGAAAAGCATCCTGATCGACTGGCCTCTCAGCACGAACTCGCACGGGCATATCAATCCGACGGGCAGATCAAAAAGGCCGTGGAGCTACTTGAACATGTGGTTGTAATAAAAGAGAGAACGTTTCATGAAGAACATCCCGATCGATTGGCCTCTCAGCACGAACTCGCATGGGCATACAAAGCCGACGGACAGATCAAGCAGGCCGTGGAGCTACTTGAACATATGGTCGCAGTACAAGAGAGAACGCTCAATGAAGAACATCCCGATCAACTGGCGTCTCGGCGCGCTCTCCGAGTCGTACAGTCGATTCAGACTGCAGAACGCGAACAGGATGCTCTCGTCATCTCCCACTAATACTTGGTCAACCGTATACGGTTAACTATCTCGCCCTCTAGAATGGAAAAAGAAAGACTCAATGGACACACGGAACGCGATTTTGCAAGTTAATGACTATCTACGTATCTCTAATATCGGTCCATACCCCTGGAAACTTTTCATGCCAGGTACCACGATTAGAGTTCCGGCCGATCTACAGATCATGGGATGTGCAAGTCTCACAACACAAATGAATGTCTTCCTCGGCTCATGACTCAATCTATGTAGGGAGACAAATTGCCATCAATGGCTACTGTTATTGTAATCCGACTGCATAGTAACGGCATAGTAACCGAATTCTTGGCATTATGACATGATGCTTGTAGGTCTACTTCCGAGCTTCCGCGGCTTCGACGGTGGCGATTTGGACGGCTACATTGCCGGGTAACCGCTTCATTGCCGAGTAAAAGATTCAATCGGCGCGTGACTATTCAGTATTTCAACATTTTCATACAGTAGTTATATCCACTCTATTATTATCAATTATCATACTAGTGAAGTGTTCAGCCCGTGCAAGGCTGGTAGGTAGCGGACACGTCAGATGATCGAGGCTTCGATCTTGGCGCGCCACATTATTGAGGCACGGATTGTATTTTGAGATGAAACGAGGAAAATAGAGTGGCGGTGTATCTACGGGGTAAGTGGATATTGAATCCATTGTGGACATGCAATGGTCAAGTAAATGTGCAGCACAGTCGAAGTACCATCCGGGTGTTGAAGGTCTCATCGTAGGAACCGGCCCGGGTGAACAACAGACAGTGCCGGATGTTCGCCCTCGAAAGGGGACATCTGTGACCATCGAAACCTACCAAAGTGGCCACTCCAAACAAGGGCGGCCACGCCTCCCAAGGCTCAAGGGTCTATTTCCATCTCGAATCCTGAATCAGTGAAGATGCTCGAACTATCGCGTGATTACTCGATGCCACTCATTGCCCAATCAACGAATGCTCACGCCACACACCCCCAGCAAACCAGAATAATAATCCCTCAGACATTCTGGGGCCCTTACTTCATTTGCTGCACAATTGTGAGGAGAGGCAACCTATAGAACCAGAGAAACGTAAATGATTCCGCGGGTCACTTGACCCATTTGCGCGATATTACCTAATTGCTCGGTTTGCTTCGGGGATGTACTTACCCATTCCAGCGATGCCTTCCGTTTGGGATCATTCCAGGGTTCTAGAACCCCATACTTTTACGTGATTGCGTGAGGATCCTATGGGGCTGCCCAGCATTGGCATCGCATCATTTGGCGACCGAAATGTTGGGGTTTGTCACGGCTGGTGGACTCGTGGTCTGGAAATAGCGTCATAGTGATCGCCCTCTTCCCCCGCAAAATTGAAAAATCTTTATAAAGCCTCGTTTTTGCCCCGGATTTGACTGCCGAGTATCCAGATCATTCTCAGGCTATTCTCAAGGCTTCTTTCTTCTCTATAACGCATCTCTTTTCCGTGTTCAAGTCATACTTGATGTAAGTTTTACCGACTATCGTTCTACGTTTTGCTGGACAGTCACTCATACCAATCTTTCTAGTCAATCTTTTTCTTCACACAGAGTCAATACTCTCATATAATGACCATGCAGTCACTCGAGCGCCCATCCCAAGGCTGGCGATGCCAACAATGTGGACTCCCTGGAGTTCGCGTCTCCGATAATTCCTCCAGCCGCGCATACTTCAAGTGCGTCCCTTGCAACCGCTCTCTGGGCCTTTGCCCCTGCACTACACCCGGGGCCAGGACGACTTCTACATGCCCATGTGGTGCAGCTGCTGAACGCAGAGGTTCCGAGTCATCGGGTGACGAGGACGAAGTGCCTCGCGGCGTCTCCATGATCTCGATGGGGAGGAAGAACAGCCTCAACCCACACAACCCGGACGAAGGCTTCGACGAGGACTGGGAGGCGAATTGTAGCCCCGGTTTCATGGTCAAGAGGTTTAAGGCTTCGGGCAGGGAGTTCCTTCCTCATTGAGGATGCTGCATTTTGATTTGGATTCTGGAATAGCGATATCGTTGGACTCATATGGTGTCTTTTTGTCTTTACTTGATTGTTTGCCCGATGAGGCGACGTGTGATATTTGAAAAGTTAGTACCTATAGGTCAATAATTAGCATGGTGTCAGGAACGCCATGTGTGAGAACTGAAGCATGGATCTGAAATATATACCTCTTCTGACATATATATTATACCTTCAACCTCAAGTATATACCACAAAGTAGAATCGCACAATCTTGAACCTTAGTGCCGTCTGAAGACAGACGCTGAAAAAAGATCTATCTTGGTTTACATTGTAAGCCCCGTACGCTCTGTCCTCGTGTTTAAAAAAGAAAGTAAAAAAATGGAGGATTAAGATTGCTCTCGATTGATGAATTCAGGAATACTAGCAAAAATAGTCGCGCCCGGGATCGAACCGGGAACCTTCTGAGTAACAGAGATCCACTTATTACAGGCGAATTTAACCCATGTGAATCAGAAATCATGACCATTAGACCACGCGACTTTTTTTTATTTATGTTTTTTATTTTTCTATTTTTTTTTTTTTTTTTTTTTTTTATTTTATTTTTTTCTTTTTTTCTTTAATGTTTTTTTTTTTTTTTTTTTTATATTTTTTTTTTATTTTTTTTTTTTTTCTATTTTTCTTCTTTTATTTTTTTTGTATTTCTTTGTTTTTCTTTTTTTTTTTATGTTGTTTTATTGTTTTTTATTATTATTTTTTTTTTTTTATTTTTTTTTTTTTATTTTTTTCTTTTTTGATTTTTTGTTTTTTTTTATTTTTTTTTTATTTTTTTATTTTTTTTTTGTTTAATTTTTTTCTTATTTTTTTTTAAGTCGCGTGGTCTAATGGTCATGATTTCTGATTCACATGGGTTAAATTCGCCTGTAATAAGTGGATCTCTGTTACTCAGAAGGTTCCCGGTTCGATCCCGGGCGCGACTATTTTTGTTGATCTAGCTTACGTGATTTGCATACCTCGGAGTCTATATTCGAGTTCAATTACCTTTGTCCCCTGCTTATACCACATACAACAGGCCTCATTGATCTCATATTCTGGCGCCTAATTGGTTTATCCTCATCACCTTCAGCTCATCTCTCTCAGGCTGAGAAGCTGCCCAAAGCTTTCAACCTACACAAGTCTAACAGTCGTTCGGACTACGCCTCACCCAGCAACATGGCTTCGTCATCTTTCCTCTCCCCGCATATTGACGACGTCCCCCTTGTGGAAGACCTCCTCGTCACCGTTCGCTTCTCCGCGTCCATTCCCGACCTCCACCTCGATGTCCCAGATGCAGAGACAACGACAGGCGCAGGCCTCAAGCAATTAATCCGCGCCAAATTACCACCCTCACTATCCTCCCATCGTCTTCGCCTTATCTACGCTGGTCGTGGACTAGAAGACACAGCCGCCCTTGCTACATCCCTCAAGCTCCCGCCCTCGCCATCCCGTTCTCCACGCCCCGCAGACGATGACGACCTCCCCGCCGCAGAGAATGGCTCCGCAAAGGCCAAAGCCAAGGGCAAGCAGCCTATGCGCGACCCACGCCCACGCCTCTACATCCACTGCTCCATCGGCGACATCGCTCTGTCCGAGTCGGACCTAGCAGCCGAGGCATCCGTGGCCTCGACCATTCTTCTACAAAAGAAGAAAGATGGCTCTCGTTCTACGTCGCTCCTCGCATCTGCCGGTGACCATCCCTCCCAATCGCAATCCCAATCACAACAGCAACAGACAACCTCAACGACCCCCGCCCCACGCGGCTTCGACCGTCTGCTATCCGCCGGCTTCACACCCGCAGAAGTCACCGCTCTTCGATCCCAATTCCTCGCCGTCCAGTCCGTCTCCAGGACGCCGGATACGATGCCCACGGGTGAGGAACTGCGTGATCTGGAGGACCGGTGGATGGATGAGGGGTCGACGGTTGCGCAGGCGCAGGACGGTGGGGAGGGCGGTGCGATTGGTGATGATGACAATGCATTGGGTTCTGGATCGAGGACGGCGATGGATGATATGCTGTGGGGTGCGGTGATGGGCTTCTTTTGGCCTGTGGGTTGTGCGATGTGGTTGAGGAGGGAGGAGGGGATTTGGAGTTGGAGGAAGGGTGTGGCGGTTTTTGTGGGGGTTGTGGTTAATGCCGGTTTTGGGGCTATGAGGATTATGAGTTGAGAAGTCGTTGGGTGGATGGGCTTTATTTGTATATGGCTGGGTCTGTGGCAAGGTTCGTGTGCTCTCGGCGTTGTTTGGTTTATGCATTAGATACCCCCTTTGCCATAGCACATGCTTCAAGGTTCTGCTTGTGTAGGATAGAGACTGTTATTGGTGATAATGGATTACTGAAGATTCTCGATGTAGATGTGATAGTACTTTGACTATGAGCTTACTTCGCCTGAAGTGACCTGGTATATATACTCAACCCTCACTAAGCTTAGCATACCCTGTGTTTGAAATTGGAAAATTGAAATATGGTCAATGTTCAATTATCACCGCAAGCTGCTATGGACCAAACCAGTCGTACAGCCCTGGCCGACATCACTGGTCATGATGATGCTAGCTAGGCTTGCAGCGGTTCATAGAGAGATACAACAAAAGAGCCTCCAACATCAGAGAAAACGCCATCGATAAGAAACAAACCCCCGCTACGCTAATGGAACTTGCTGAAAATAACGGCAACAATCAAAAGAACAAGGACCGTAATGATAGCAATCGTAATTATCCGATTCGTAGCCATCCTGCAAGATATCATTAGCCAAAGATTCATCCATCAACGGTCTGGCCAGAACCAAGAGAAAAAAAAGCCAGGTTGTATCGGGGCGCAGTACCTACGGGCCATGCCCCTCAAAGTCTTTATACTCGTGTCAACATATCCTTCGCTTTGCTGCAGATTGTCACGAGTATGCTGGATCGTCTGTCGTTGTCCGTACAGATCAGCGAGTACGTTCCGCCCCACATCCTCAGTTTCCAGCGCCGTGCGCTGAGCACCCTGTAGCCGTGCAGAGCTGCGCTCGAGCCGCTCAGTGCCGGACAGTAGCTGCTGGCGCTGCTCGAGATGCTCGTCGACCGGATCGTCGGTGTACCGGTCGCCAAAGAGGGCTTTGCGGTCGTCGGAAAGGGACTTGAGCTTGCGCTTGATGTCGTCGATGTCGGTGGAGTAATTCCGGAAGCGCATGTTGACTTTGGAGCGGGAGGCAGAAGGGATGTTTTGCTTCTCCATGCGCATTTGGTCAAGCTGGTAAGGAGAGGAGTGAGCAGGTAATCATGACTGGAGTGATGGCGTGGAGTCTGGTGCGTAGGGGCTATAGCATGTTAAAGATATGCGTACCAGTTCAGTTGCTTCGTCGAGAACCTGCTCCGCTTGTCGGATTGCGGACTTGCGCTGCTCGCCGCTTGCTTCGGCGATCTGGTCCAGCTTCTGGTTCAAGTCCGCCTGGACGAGCTTCAGCTCGTTCTCGTAGCTGGCAAACATCTCCGAGCCGGCGTCTGTGTCTAGAGGGTTTGACATCGTGGTAGTTGATTGGAGGTAAAGACCTGTATAGACGGAGAGTAGAGAAAGGTAACGGCGGTGTCGGTCTGGTGAGCGTGGTGTTGGTCCGGGCCGCAGGCTCCACTGTTATCTGGGGAGGTACGGATGCGTTGCTCTGGATTCGATAAGCCTGTTGATGCAAAGGATATTTCCAAGACTGGCACCTTGGATGAGGAGAATTGTGGTCGTAGGATATTCAGCCTCAACGGTGCAGTAATGCAGCAACTGACTTTGATATCGGTCAATGAAATGATCGGGTGGAATGGAGGCTGGGGGGCTTGACGGATGACGATGTCCTTCCCACGTGATCTTGACCGAGGCCTGGGTTAGTTGAGGATTGAATTAGACCTACGGTGCCTACATCAAGGAAAATTCCAGAAGATGATTACCAAAGAGAACCGTTCGTTCTTCTAAATCTACCGCGGAGCTCTTCAAAAGTCGAAGACCAGCCGAAGTGGAAACAACATCTTGACTGCATCCTGCGAGCGCCCGGATGGTCAGCAGACCGAAGCCGGTACCTGGCAGGTCTACACGAAAATCCAAGATTGGGTGACATCCGATAGCATTAGCGTAAAAAAAGCCAGACCGACAAAGCGCAATTCGCCTTTTCAATAATAGACACAAAAGATACCCCCATGGTATACATGACCCCTCCTTTTACATTGTCACCTCGGGACTTCCTCTATAGGAGGAATTTGCTGCTGTCCTGGTTGACAATCATAGCACTTCGTTTGGCATCTAAGAACAGGTCCTCACACTCAGCAACATCAGCAACCTCAATACCACCGGGACGACCGTTGACACGAGCAAGAATGCTCGCGGGGGTCAGCAGCTGCAGAGCATATCGCAGGCTGACCTTGGTACCGTGCTCGGCAACCTTGTCCAATGCGGGCTCAGTAATGTTGAGGCCCTCCGTCTTCGCGCGAAGTCGGATGATAGTCTTGATCTCGTCGGACGAATAGGGGGTGGTGGGAATGATGAGGAGACGAGCCAGCAAGTCGGGCGGGATACCGTGAGCAGCGGAAATGCCGTCGGTGCCACGAATGACGGTGTGGCCGCGGTTAGAGGCAAGGATCACAATCGGTGAGATGGTGGACTCGAGAGCGCGGTTCAGATAAGTGAAGCATTCGATGTCCAGCATGTGAACTTCATCGATGAACAGCACACCAGGAACCAGCTCCGCAACGCCCTGGTCAATATACCGGTTGACCACCTTGTTAATCTCTTGGCGCAGCTTCTCTGTAATCTCGGTCTTTTTGGGCTTCATCAATTGGCCCATCATGCTCATCACATCCTGTCCACCCTGCGGCCGGGCGTTGGCCATATCGAGATCGTGCAGCGTTACGTCTTGGACGATCTCTTTCTTCTTGTGCACCTCGCCCTTGGGAACGGGCACGTACTCTTCGGCCTCCAGATCGAACTCGGTCGCGTAAGCATCGGACCGTCCCACACGCTTGCAAGCGCCCGTGTTGGCTTCAATGTAGATGACGTCTCCGACTGTGACGCGCTCCTTCTGAATGGCCTCGTAGATGCTGGGGTCGAGACGAAGCTTCTTGGTACCCTTGGCTGACTTCAATCCGATGATCAGATGGCTGATCGTGCGTCCGTAACCACCCAGGGGGTTCTCGGTCTCCTCTGGAGTCAATTCTGTCACTTCACCCTCGTACACCTCCTTTGTTTCCCGAACTCGCAGGCCTAGTGTCGAGGTCAGTCTCCATAATCTAATGGCGGGTTCTTGACTCCCTTCAGTCTGTGATCTTCGTACCAATTGCTCGTCGGAAGTTCTCCATCAAAGCCTCTGTCTTCTTGACCTCTGCGGAGTAGATCTCGCTGCCGACGATGGGGCAGAAGGGCACCTTGGTTCCCAATTCCTGTGATACTGCAAGGGCGAGCGCAGTCTTTCCGGTGCCGGGGCCACCAGCAAGCAGGACAGCCCGTCCAGCCATTTTCTTCGCCTTGATCAAATCGACGACGACACCGCATGCCTATTAATGAAAGGAGTTTGTTAGCCACGGCGGAGCCAGAACAAGAGCGACGATTCGCCCGTTGTCATCTCTGGAAAAGAGCTGCCACTCACCTCGCGGGCAGCAGCCTGACCGACGAAGCCATCGCCGGTGACCTCTGACGTTCCATCGGAGCGCAGACCAAGACCCTTGATGTGCGTGTGCGCGGCGGTCCTGTTTTCGCGCGAGTTGCCTTTCACTTCGCTGATCTGGACCATGATTGGAGAGTGTGGCTTCGGAGAGCCAGAGGATATTGCGGGAATAGGGTCAATGAGGATTTGGGGCGAGAGAATGAGTCAAATAAAAGCTTGCCAAAGGTCAAGCAGATAGAAAAACAACCGTAATGCGATGGTTCTCCCAGGTATGTCTCTTGGCCGAAATTCGCGAGCAAGGGATCTGCGCCAGTCACGGAGCCGCGCCAAAGGCGGTCAGCAACCCCCAAATTCTTCCCGCTGCATCTCCAACTGCATCGGCCGGACCTTTTTCTTTTGTGTTGCTCAATTTCCCCAATCTATCCTCAATGGCGAGCCTACAGTCCAGGTCGGCTATGGCCGCTCCCTTTTCGCTTACTGCGGCCTTCCGTGCCCTCTCCGTTTCGATTCCCAAGCGTGCATTCTCTACGACTCTGGCACCGCAATCCGACAAGAAACTCCCAGAGGACGTCCCTGCCTACCCCTACGGGCCTCGACAATGGTACAAGCAAGCCGACACCGGTCTGTACGGAGGTGCCATGATTCGCTTCGGTAACAAGATCTCCAAGGGTCGCAACGAGGGCAAGACGCGACGAAGCTGGAAGCCCAATGTCCGCCGCAAGAAGATGTGGAGCGAGGCGCTCCAAGAACACCTCTTTATCAAGCTCACTCGCCGGGCGTTACGAACAATTTTGAACGAGGGTGGTCTCGACAATTACCTCTTGTCTGATCGGCCGGCTCGTCTGAAGGAGCTTGGTGTGTTCGGATGGCACCTGCGGTACCAGGTCATGCAGAGCCCGACCATCAAGGAGCAATTCCGACAACAACGAGAGAAGATGGGTCTTCCGGAGCCTCTGTCTTTCGAAGAATGGATCAAGACCAAGGAGGAAGAAATCGAGGCAAAGGTTGAAGAGCGAATCAACATCAAGCCCATCACAAGGCCTCGTCCTAAGGGTCAGGGTGATAGCCAGAACGATGTCCGGAAAATTGCGGCCGCGGAAGCGTTGCCTTGAATGCTCTCGTTCAAACCAAAACCGACTAGATGAGGATATGATCCTCTTGGTGATGCCTTGCTCCCGGCCGAGGTATACACGAAGACCGGCGCTCGATTTTGTACTATTACCGCGACGAAACAGCTGACGCTGATTGAGCACCACGTCCTGTTGTCTTTTCGATCATCCCCACGCAGTGATATCCCGGCAATTTCTCCGGTAATGTGGTAGTGATGATAATTTTTTCGCATGGATGCGATCCTGCCAGGCGTGCATATTGGATTTCTCTTTTCTGTGTATTTATACTCCAATGTCATCAACATTTGTACTGTTTAAATCATGGCCTTACCAGAACATTGTCCAGCTCATTCTCTATTCTTCTGCATAGAGGATGCAGTCCTTGGATTGGGTTTCTCTCTTACTTCCAGATACGAGGGAGGTCTGCTTACGCGCGAGATGGTATAGTTATTACACTTGCCTATGATTCAATCGTAGACTAGATACGAGGGTACCATGTGTAACCAGCCCATATATGTATGAATGAACAATATCATACTGACTATTAGCAGTGCCTTACCCAGTGAGTCTGCGATTAATGTACGGGGCTAGGTACCTAGTAGACCACGACGACGCCCCTAGATGACGGCATCATCGTATATATATAACGCAAACAATCCCCGGCAAAGGGCTCCGAAATGATAGTTCACTAGGGCATGAAACATCTGAGCAAATGATCCAATCTGATTTGCTCCCTAGCTATCCCTTATCACCCAAGATCAGAGCTAACTCAAAACGGGAAATGTTGGTGAAGATGGAAAGGTTGCTGGAATGCGCGCGCAAGAAGGGGACCCGCCCACCGGATTCGGATGGCCGTCCGGAACCCGTGCAACACATTCGAACTTCGAGATTAGAACTGTCAACCTTCAACACCTCATCCTAGCGGCTCTTGTCCCTCTGCAACAGTCATCGGTGAATATATCGATGCTATGACTTGATTTACCTCGAAGTATTGCGTCACTGCGTCCCTGTCCCGCAATTTGTAGGTCCAGAGCTGGGGACCGTCATCCTTCAGCATGCAGTTCGCATTGCCTCCGCGGAGGAGCCCTCATCCTCTCCCCGGCGCTCATTCCACACGACTACCGCTGTACCGAAAAAAGCAGCTCAAGACGATCGCTGTATTTGCATTTGCTATCCTAACGCTACTCTACCTCCTCTCGTACCTCTTCAGTTCAAGCTCGACTTCTATTGCCTCGCCGGCTGGTACGGCGGGTGTGGTGATCGTGACGGTGCTGGATCGTCAAAGTCTCAGTGAGAGCTATATCAATAAGATCGTCGCCAACAGAGAAGACTACGCTAAGCGCCATGGTAAGCATGGCCCCCGTACTATCTGATCGTGCCCCAATTGGACGCCCTTGAGATTGTCACTAATCTATTGCTTCAAACAGGGTACACGAACTTCTTCGCAAGCGCCTCCGACTACGAAGAAGCCATAGGCGATGCCCCTCGGAGCTGGGCCCTCATCCCGGCAGTGCGCCATGCGATGGCAACACATCCCAAATCCAAATACTTCTTTCATCTGAGCCCTCACGCACTCATCATGAATCCCTCCATATCCCTCAAATCGCACCTCCTCGACCGAAGCCGCCTTGAATCGCTCATGTTGAAGGACTTCCCGGTCGTGCCACCAGACAGCATTATCAAGACATTTGCGCTTAAAGAGAAAAACGTCGATCTCATCATTACGCAGGATAGCGAGGACTTGAATCCTTCGAGCTTTGTTCTTAAGAACGGGGACTTTGCGCGCTTCTTTTTGGATCTTTGGTTTGATCCGTTGTATCGGAGTTATAGCTTTGCGAAGGCCGAGACACATGGATTGGTGAGATTTCTCTTCCTTCGGAGATATTAAGCGACTGCTAATCTTATGGGGCTTCCAATTTCTAGGATCACATTATGCAGTGGCATCCAACGGTGCTGGCTCGAACGGCTTTGGTGCCTCAGCGAGTCCTGAATGCGTATAGCAAGGACTCGTCGGGGGCCTCACCGGACGGTACTTACAAGGATGGTGACTTTGTCATTCGCTTCCCTGCGTGTGATGAGGAGAAGAGCCGTGACTGCGATGAATTGGACCCATACTACACGATGTGGTGGAAGAAATTCAAGGGTACCTGACCTCCTAGTGCCTGGGCATTGAATGCCCGAGTCCCACTGAGTAGCTCTTGTATGAATTCGTTTCCGTGTTTGGAGGGTTGTTGCTATGCAGTATCTACCATCCTTGTCCATTATGCAATCTGGGTTGGGTGGTTTCTCGGCGTTATAGATTATTCTTTTTTTTTTTTTTTACATCCAGCGGTGTGGCTCTTTTGCTATTATCAGTGGCGTGCATGTTGTTAGGATGGACACACGGGCATCAGGTTTTTGATTTCTATATCCAGTCATAAAATGCATATTGCATTATTCGCGAATTTTCAAGTGCCTCCTGCGCTTCATAAAATGCATATTAGAACGAAAAAAATAGTACAGGTCAAGAGCATGGCGCTTCGACGCAGAAAGAGGAGGGGCTGTAGGGCCCAGAGGCATTGATTATCCCTCACCACTTGCTACTGAGCGCAGGTCTAGATGACCGAGCTCAATAACTTTTTAGTCCGTAGAGCCGCAAGGATCTACCGCTTAGAACAGACCGGCCATGAGGACAGTGCGCTTCTTCTTGTACTTGTCGCCAAAGTCCTTGCGGTAGCGGATCTCCTTCTTCCAGGCCCAGCTCCACATCTGAAGACCACCGACAAGAGTGAAGAACAGGACGCTCCAGCTCAGCTGGCTAACTAGGTAGACACCAATCCAAGCCAGAATCTCGAACATATAGTTGGGGCAAGTGACCCAGTTGAAGCCAAAGCCGGAAGGAATGCCGCGCTCGGTCGTACCGGGACGACGAAGGTCACGTAGCACCAAGTGCGCATTGAAGTTGGCCAACTCACTGAAAATGAACAGGGCGACACCGGCGTACACGAGAATGGGGTTGTACTCCGCAGAGGCAGCTGCCGCGTCCGGGCGGAACACCCAGTAGGCGATGTTGAAGCCAGCGAGAGCCCAGTAGTGGGCGCTGTTCTTGAAGATGTTACGGGCGGGCATGGTGGCGTTGCTGAAGCGGTGCACGAAGAGGGTCTCATACTCGCGCTTCAGGAAGTGCAGGGACAGGAGGAGGCAGACCAGGAGTTGAATGTCAGATGGCTCGGGGAGGGGCTTGTCGAAGTTGAAGTAGATCAGATTGCGGAGAGGGAAGAGGAAGAGAGCCGGGATGAGAAGAGGTCCGAGGTATTCAATGATGAAGACGGTGCGCCATGCGATCTGGGGGCCTGTTCATTGTAGAAAAAGGGAAAATTAGTTGGTCATTCTTGAAGCTGCGGGGCCTTGTGTGCTTTTTTTCCCTCCCTTCTAGCGATTCTATCTGCACTTGCTTGATGGATTGACGATGCAGGTACGTACCAAGGTCCTTCACATGGATGATACTCGACTCCTTCAAGCCGGTATCTTTGATAGTGGTGTTCTTCGCATTGGGGACCACGCTGCGGTCACTTCCCTTGGTGATGCGAAGACGGTAAATTGAGGCGCCGGAAGCTTGAGCAATAGCCGTGTATAGCTCCTCGCCGGAAGAGGTGAGGGCAACGGTAATCTCCTTGGGGAGCTTGCGAATGGGCTTGCCTGATGAGCTGTTAGTCTCTCATTTCGTGGAGTAATGGCCCGTCTGCATGTGCCTGACATGTAGACAGGAGCTTAGGAAGCATACCCCGGGGCTGGACGACGAGAGTAATTTGAGACGCCATGGTGTGTTCTGACTGAGTGTCAACTCCAATTGATGGTCTCTGGAGATTTCAGACAGACGGGGCTAGCTGGATGCGCCGAGGGAAATTCCACTGAAGGTGACGTGAAATCGCGACTGTTGGGGCTCGACGAGTTCCTCAACGAGAAACCGACCTCGGTTGATCCCACGTGATGTGGACACCTGAGGCGATAAATTGCATGGTCATTGATTCTGAGACAAAAGCACTTGTGATGATGGAGAAATTGTTCGATTGGAACTTGAATTTGGGATCAGCTTAGTTAAGGCTGTTCTATGAGAATAACACTGAATCCACAATAATGTCATATTATCTTTTCCAGCAGTGTGAATAACGGTTTTGCAGATACTAGTAGCACCGGATAGCGTGCGGGCCGGTTGACGCCATAACGGCCTGACCTCTCAGCAATTGTCTCCTTTCTATTTGTCGTTGTCACGATGAAGATTTCTCTGGAACCTCAGGGCCCGGTTTCCGATAGTGCGGCTGCACAATGGCTGAGCTGAACAGCCCCGCCCCCAAGGATTACTATCCGTACGAGAGGGCAGTATGTTACTACTACAGTACTGACTTACGGTATATCAGGCGTTCCACTGACCCAGGACAATAACAAACTGCGCCAACCAAAGGTTCAGTCTGGGTAACATCAACCTCACTATCCAGTGCGGTCCGCTACGTTGTCTACATGCTTCATCTCATGATATATGATTCATTAACCCTGGTTAGGGTCCACCAGTCTCAGCTCGGGCGAACCTGCTCCAACGGTTAGTCTGGCCGAATAGAGTCGCCAATCAGCACGTTCCAATGACAATGCCGACACTTCGTCTGGCTAGGCCCCCCAAACATAGCGCTATCTTACCCGAGCCGAATTGAGGGCGGCTCCCTATCGTTCAGCCTGCATATGCATACCCGACGGTGGATTATCTGGACAATATGTTCATCGCAGGGGGGTCCGTACCAAATACGGTGTTCAGCCAGCGAAACACGAGGCTCCACCCCGCCAATCATGACCGGTGGGGCCAAACTGTCAGACATTCTTACGGCGAAGCCCGGGCCTATTCACCAGGCTGCAAGCGGCGCAACCCCAGGAGATCTCAGCCGACGTGCTCTGGCACAAAGAGGCTTCGTATTGCTGGCCTGAGCACGAGGACTGCGACCGAATCACTCGGCTTGCAAGTGCAATGAAGAACATTCTCACGACGTGATGTTTTCTCGGATTATGGCCAGACTATACACTCCACACATGGAATTCGACGTACGAATTAGAGAAACTTCATTATTCACACTGCTGGGTGGGGCATCGTCTGTCTTTACCCACTTTACCCACGCTGCGCCCGAACCGCAGCTGGGTTCCTTAGGGTTGTGGCGCTAAAGTGAATGACCAGCACCGATCCAGCAAAGCCCGTAAGAACTATGGAGACACTAATCATCTCCCGGGCTGGTTGTTCAGCCGTACAGTACCATGTGTTGGGTCTCCCCCTCAGCCAGACTTAGCGTAGAATCCAAGGGCGTCATCATATAATACATTGTGTTTGCCCCCCAAATATCCTCCGAAATTTCCGGCGTGTGCGTGCGTTGCGTTTCTTGTCACAATTCACCCTGCGTACCTGCCTCGATATTTTGCTATCTTGATTCTTAATCTAGTTCGCGGCGCATCTTATTAGCTACGTGAACATCGACCTTGACTTGCCGACACCGGAGTGCACGTCTATTTTAGCTGCTGTATATTTCAAACGGTATGTGGATTTCCTCTACCCTGAAGCAAATTGATTATCGCAATTGCTATAGCCTTCCATCTCGACCCCCACGCACCGCAGGGCAAACGGTCTGGGGCGTCGGCTATCAATTGTTTTCGAGCAATTGTTTTCGAGATAAAATCCACATTGAAGGACTAACACCTGGTTGTACAGTTGAATGCCAAAGTGCGAGTTTGTAAAATCCTGAAATCTGTATCATTACCCCTCGAGTGTTTCGTTATTCCATCATGTTTGGACACAATGGCCACGCCAATGACGCGGAGAGCCCTCTCGCCCAGGTTGAACAGGTTGTAAAGGCATCGCTGCGACCCTTGCCCACCGAGACCGGCGATGGCACTTATGTCAAGGGTAACACGGTCACTGGCTTGGCCAAGGATCTGAGCCATGTCGACCTTAAGGATGTCAAGACACTGGCCGAAGTCGCCAAGGCCGCGATTACTGGCGACCCCACCAACGATCGCGAGTACATTATGGAGGGAGTGATTCAGGTGAGTGATCGTCGGCTTATTCAATGCGATTCCATTTTCTAACATTTGACCAGCTCGCGGCAGGCTTGCCTTCTACTTCCAAGAACGGGAAAGACTTGACCAATACTTTCCTGAGTACCCTCTGGAATGATCTACAGCACCCACCTACTTCGTGAGTCCAGCTTATCCTCCGATCTCACCGGGTAGAATGAAGCTGACCAAATGTATAGGTATCTTGGACGGGACTCTGCATATCGGAAAGCAGATGGATCGGGCAATGTATGTGCTTCATGTGCTGGAGTTACTTGAAAAGCTATTAACATCAACCAGAACCCTTTCTGGCCCAACATTGGCGCCGCTGGTACCCCTTATGCACGATCTGTCAGACCACAGACCATGCAGCCCGGTGCTCTCCCCGAGCCAGAGACCCTTTTTGATAGTCTTCTAGCTCGGAAGGAGTTCAAGGAGCATCCCAACAAAATTTCCAGTGTACTTTTCTATCTTGCATCTATTATCATTCATGGTACGTGGCGTACAACTCGAGTCCGATTCATTGGATGCGACTAACAATCAGTAGATCTTTTCCAAACGGATCCCAGAGACCAAACGGTTTCTTTGACCTCATCTTATCTGGACCTTGCTCCACTCTACGGAAACAACCAAGATGAGCAGAATGCTGTGAGGACGTTCAAGGATGGGAAGCTTAAGCCGGATTGCTTCTCTACCAAGCGAATCCTGGGATTCCCACCTGGCGTTGGTGTCCTGCTGATTATGTTCAATCGTTTCCACAACTACGTCGCCGAGCAACTCGCACAGATCAACGAGGGTGGTCGTTTTACGAAGCCAAACGAGTCGAATACCAAAGCTTATGCCACCTGGGATAACGATCTTTTCCAAACGGCACGCCTGGTTACTTGCGGTCTCTATGTCAACATTATCTTGAAAGACTACGTTCGGACCATCCTGAACCTCAACAGAACTGATAGCACTTGGAGCTTGGATCCTCGTGCAGAGATGAAGAATGGTCTCCTCAGTGAAGCCGCCAAGCAGGCCACAGGAAACCAGGTCTCGGCTGAATTCAACCTCGTCTACCGCTGGCACTCGTGCATCTCTGCCCGTGACCAGAAATGGTCCGAGGACTTGTATAGGGAGCTATTCGTGGGTCAGGATCCAAACACGATGACACTCCAGCAATTCACTATGGGTCTTGGAAAATGGGAAGCGACCCTGCCCGCGGATCCTGTGGAACGTCCATTTGCCAAGTTACAGCGCGAGGCCGATGGTCGCTTCAATGACGATGATCTGGTTAGGATCTTTGAAGAGAGCGTGGAAGATGTTGCTGGAGCCTTTGGCGCCTCGAACGTGCCAACAGTCTTCCGTACGATTGAGGTCCTTGGCATCAAGCAGGCGCGGTCTTGGAACCTGGCTACGCTCAACGAGTTCCGGTCGTTCTTCAGCTTGCAGCCCTACAAGACCTTTGAAGAGATCAACTCGGACCCCTATATTGCCGATCAGCTGAGACATCTCTATGACCATCCGGATCTCGTTGAGCTCTATCCTGGCCTGATCGTTGAAGATGCCAAAGATCCAGTGCTTCCAGGAAGCGGATTGTGCACAAACTACACCACTTCGAGAGCCATTCTTTCGGATGCGGTTACCCTTGTTCGCGGGGACCGATTTTATACTGTTGACTACACTCCCAAGCACCTGACGAACTGGGCCTATAACGAAATCAACTATGATGTGAATGTCGATCAGGGTGCAGTCTTCTATAAGCTGGTCCTGAGGGCATTCCCCAACCACTTCCGCGGCGACTCGGTCTATGCACACTTCCCAATGGTTGTGCCTCATGAGAACAAGAAGATCCTGACCAGCCTCGGCAGAGGCGATGTCTACAGCTTCGATCGGCCGACGTACACACCTCCGCCCACAATGATCAACTCCCACGCCGCTTGCATGTCAATCCTCGCAGACAAGGAGGCCTTCAGTGTAGTTTGGGGCAAGAAGCTCGAGTTTATCTTGAGCCGTGATGGCCACAAGTATGGTCGGGACTTTATGCTGTCCGGCGATCGCCCACCACATACCCAGTCCCGCAAGATGATTGGCAATGCTCTATACCGGGACAAGTGGAAGTCGGAGGTTCGCTCGTTCTACGAGGAGATTACCTTGCAACTCCTGCAGAGGAAGTCCTACAAGATTGCCGGCGTGAACCAGGTCGACATTGTCCGCGATGTGTCCAACTTGGCTCAGGTCCACTTCTGTGCACACATTTTCTCCCTCTCGTTGAAGACGGAGGCGAATCCTCGCGGTGTATTTACTGAGCAGGAGTTATACCAGATCATGGCCTTGGTCTTTACCTGCATCTTCTACGATGTCGAGGTGACCAAGTCCTTCCAGCTAGAACAGGCCTCTCGCAAGGTTGCCCAACAACTGGGTGAGTTGGTCATGGCTAATGTTGAGCTCGTTAACAAGGGTGGTTTCATCGCCGATATTGTTAATCGCCTTCACCGTCACGATTCCCTGACCGATTATGGTGTCCACATGATCCAGCGCTTGCTGGAAAGCGGGCTTCCAGCGAAGGAAATCGTCTGGACTCATATTCTCCCATCGGCTAGTTCCATGGTCGCGAATCAGGCTCAGCTGTTCATCCAGTGTCTGGACTTCTACCTGGAGCCGGAGAATGCTCATCACCTTGCTGAGATTCAACGCCTGTCGAAGGAAGATACCCCGGAATCAGAGGAGCTGCTGTTGCGATAGTAAGTAGTTAAAATCTTGGTATCTCATTTCTCTTTTGGTAGTTGATACTTACTTCTGACAGCTTCATGGAAGGTGGCCGTATTCGATCATCCGTCGCGCTGCCACGCGAAGTCGCCAAGCCAACCGTCATCGATGACAATGGCGAGAAGGTTACCCTGAAAGCCGGCCAGAACATCTTCGTCAACCTGGTACGTCTACTTAATTGTCACAATCAGGAAGAGCTTCACTTCTAACGCATTCCTCTCATTATCTAGGTCTCTGCAAGCCACGATCCCAAGGCATGGCCCGATCCGGAACAGGTCCGTTTGGATCGTGACTTGAGTCAATACTCCCACTTTGGCTTTGGTCCGCACCAATGCCTCGGCCTCGGCGTGTGCCAGGTCGCACTGCCGACTATGCTGCGGGTTGTTGGACAGCTGGAGAATCTCCGTCGTGCGCCTGGACCACAGGGTCAACTGAAGAAGTTGCCTGCCATTGGAGGTCTGACTATGTATATGGACGCTGATTATAGTTCGATCACGCCGTACCCCTCGACTATGAAGATTCAGTGGGATGGAGAGCTTCCCAAGGCGGCCGGCAAATAAGTGGGTTAAAGTTCTTATGTAGATCATGATGAATGAAAGCTCTGATTATTATCAATAATATCTCTTGGCATTGCACCGGGTGTTTCTCTACGGGGGTTAATGACAGGCAGCAGATCCCTCTTGTGGCTAGTTTCCTTAAATGACTACTTAACGATATTGCATATTTAGTCATCATGCCATAAACTGTAAGAAATCGACGGTACCCTAACAGTACCCAAAGATTGCTCGGCGTTGGCCTTTGTAGCTATGGAATAGATACGTTCAATGCCTTGATGTCTCAATACCTTAATGCCTCATTATGCCTAAGGCTCACATCTTGGCACTTGACCGCCTTGGCGGGGAACCGGCCAGGGCCACTCCGCCCAGCTTGTCGGTGTACTTCTGCCGGCAGGTCGAGCTTTGACGCTGGGCTCTGGCCCTTGTGGTTCTGGCTCAGGCTCGCTTCACGCTCTTCTCTTCCAGCTTCCGGCCTTTGGAAACCACCATCTTTCCTCCTCCCGCCTCTCCCTCACCATCATCCTGCTCCTTTTACGTCATTTCTCATACCTTGAATCCTTCCAGCTTTCCTTGTCAACACCGTCCGGGTGAACGTCCTGCACCGTTTTCCCCGATCGTTTGACTTCTCTCTACCCGCCGTGATCTTACCCATCCTGCGTCGATCGTCGAGCTGTTGGAAACCTCAGCTCTCAGCACCCATCAAGTGGATGATCGATTTCCGTGGTTGATTCCTTACTTTTGAAGATCGCCGGTGATAACCAACGACTTCTTTCCAAATTCCTTTCTTTCCCGTGCGAGACTCGATTTTCGTGAGGCAGGAGAGGAGACCCTAAAACGTCATAAGGCATCCTCGCGCCTTCTCCGCGAACCCGGTCGTCGCGACCTCCCCACATCACCCTGTAGGAGACTTCTCTCTCCTGAAATTCTTCAACATCCTCATGGTTGGCTGTTTGCCCGATCGCCAACATGGGGAGAATTAAGAAGGTGGCTAGCCAAAAGCATGAGGCTACTATTGTAAGTTCCCCTCGGCATCCATATCGGCCACACTCATACCATACTGACTGAAAATTTTTCTTTCTTGCTATAGTCACCTTTCTTGGGCGAATTCATCGGCCGTGCGACTAGTCTCCCCGTTGCAGAGCTTCCTTCGCACCTAAACACGTTCCCTCGGCTATGGCCTTTCCCTCGCGGCGATCTATACCACTGGATCAATGTCTTGGATCGCTTCGATGAGATTCTGGCCTCCGTAATCGAGAAATACTTCCTCAACATCGGCCCTCAAACACAATCATTCGGTCGAAGCGTTTTGGAAGAATCATATGCGGCTGCGACTGACCCGGCCAAGACTCCGGCAGAAGGCATCGATGCCAAGTTGAATACTTTGGGATATGGGCCCGATGGAGACCGACAATTGGTGGAGGCGATTCTAGACTTCTCGCGTCTGCTCCTTGAGAAGTGCGGTAATCGCAGCCTGTACAGCAGCAGTGAACGTCTGGGCGACCTTTTGAACACTACATCCCTGTCCCTCCTCCAAGCGACCCTACGCCTGTCCCTTTGCCTGGCCCAGAGATATCACTCTCGCCAACGCGGATCCCACCAACAGACTTTGTTGGCAAACCATTACAACATCGACCTGGAGAAACTTCATAAGATTGCTGCAGTATTCCCGCGCCCATTTGTTGTGAGCAAAACGCCATTTGCTGCTACCCCTACTGCTTCGGGCAAGGGCACAGACAATGCCGTCCAAACCAAGCTCAATGCTAATGAATTCGCCTCGATCGTTCGTGATGATGATGGCTGGGAAGAATGGGGTAGCGTTCGTGTTCTCTACTATCCTTCTGGCTCCTCTGAGCAGACTCGGACAACCTCCGAATTTGGACAGGCAGACACCACCCCTCACGCGCCAACCACACCGACCCCTCTCCGGCGTAGTGCCACACATCCTGCACCGCGATCAAGCCGTGCATCTAACGTGGAAGAATCTCCTACAGTCGCGCCGAATACTGTGGGGAAACTGGATGAGCCATCTCGCAGCGGGAAAGTTCTAGAGCTGCCGTTCCAGAAGGTTTCCTCAGCCAAGGCCGAGGATCTCCTTGCCACATACCTCCCGAATCTGCCCCTGGAGTCGAAGTATGAGCTGCTACATAAGGTTCGTGTCGCGCAGGCTTTGACCGAGTCGCGTGCCACTCGTGAACAGATCCTCGCTATTCGGATCCTGGCCGTGACGAACCTCGCCTACGTCAATACAGAATCCACATTCCAACAAAAGGTCCTCCAATATGACATGGAAGAATCAAAGCGTCTTCAATTGACCTACCAGTTGGCTGAACTCGTACATCTAGGCGCTAGTGGTGACTTAGAAGTATCGAGAACGTTGCAGGCCTTGGCTCTTCAAGCCCTCGATGCGCTCGCCAAACACAAAGCCCGCGCCAATGACGTCTGTGCTGCTCTGAGTGTTAACGTCAATCACGGCGTCTTGATGTTCCTGACCCGCAAAGTTGTCAATGAACTTGGTGCCGAGGAGGATGAAACGAATGATCCTTGCTGTGATGAATGGAGGGATGCTCTCCTTGCTCTTTTGCGCACCCTTCCGAGCTCTAGCTCCCGGACTCCGGAGACGCTCGTCGCCGCCGGTCTCATCCCCATGTTCGTGGATATTCTTAACCTTCGAACAGAGAAAGCTCGGCGGGTTTACTCGCGGGTCATGGAGTTCCTTGACACTTTTGTTCACGCCGTTCGTGATGCATTGGCTACTTTGACTACGGCCAAGGGCTTTGATGCTATCTCTGATCTGATCGACTACGAGACCAAGACTGCATTTGAGAAGGTCTCTCGTGGAGATGGATTCCCTGCCAAGTACAAGAACCCGTCGATCGATTACCAGATCCCCTACTTCCAACAGCAGACGTTGCGATGGATGTTCCGTTTTGTCAACCACATCATGCAGCACAATGGCGGTGGCTTTGACCGTGTGCTGCGAAATCTTATCGACTCCCCTCAGCTGCTGACGTCTTTGCGGCTTGTCTTTGAGAATGCGCGCATCTTCGGCTCGCACGTCTGGAGCAACGCTGTGAACATTTTGAGCAGCTTCATTCACAATGAGCCAACGAGCTATGCCGTCATCGCTGAAGCTGGTCTCAGTCGAAGTCTGCTGGCCGCTGTCATGGGTCGAGAGCTTCAAGCCAAAGAGAAACCGCCTGCTGTGGAACCTCAGGATGCTGAACCCCAGGAAGGCGAGTCCTCTGCTCAATTGCCTGCCCCAGTGTCTCCTCTGTCTGCTCGTCCCGTAGAGGAAAAGAAGGATCGCGAATATATTCTTGCCAGGCCCAAGGATTCCACTCTCGCGCCAGGAATCATCGCAGCCGCCGATGCCCTTGCCTGTATTCCCTCGGCATTCGGCGCTATTTGTTTGAACTCATCGGGCTTGGATCTCTTCCAGTCATCTGATGCTCTCGAGAGCTTCTTTGAAATTTTCGAGAACCCCGAGCATGTCAAGTGCTTGAAAGACGATCCCAACTTGGTTCGTTCTCTTGGCACAACCTTTGATGAACTTGTTCGTCATCACCCAGCCTTGAAGACCTCTATCATGACTGCCGTTCTTGTAATGGCTGCTCGCGTCAACCTCCTTGCCAGGGTCAAGGCCTGGGAGTTGGGAATGGGTACGAAACTCTGGCAAGAGAACTCCGATGGTCAAGTGGTTCTCTCAGGAGATGTCTCTTCTCTTTTCCGTGAGATTGGCGCTCCCAGCGATGCGTCGATAGAAGATCCGACAGTTGTTGGCGCTCCCAAGCTAAATGCTCATTCTCTTCCCAACGGTGGAAAGCTTATCCTTGGTGATGTCGACCAGCTGCTTCCGTCGCCGCAGGCTGACTTCGAGCCGAAAGATAAGGATGAGCATGGTCTCACCGTCACAGACTATCTCTTCCCCGCTATTCGATTCTTGGGTGCCTTCTTCGAGAACCAGCCGAATTGCTCTGCTTTCATTTTGGCTGGTGGAGCGGAATTCATCCTGGACTATGCTACGCTTCAAAGCTTGTCATTTGATTTCCACAACACGGACGCTAATCAAGAGCTTACAGTCCTGGTGCATATGCTTGCTGAGACGAAACCACACCTGATTATACCTTCTCTCATGCAACGTGCTCAGTCAGCAGTCAACAACCTCGAGGCCTTTTGGACCGCACCCAAAGAGTCTGGATTCTTTACACCGCTGATCACGCCCGCTGACTCGAAAGCGCCAGCACCAGAGCCCACCCCAGCTGTCAATCAGGGCACCTTCTACGTCAAGCACATGAATGCTGTCCTCGTGCTCACAGATCTACTTCGCGAGATCTATGCGATGCCTTTGTACCAAACTCGGTCGGCGACCCAAAGCTATCCTTTCAGTCAGGTTGTTCTTGCAGACAAGTATGCCGCCCTAGTTGCTTCTCTCGGCAATCTTCATGCAGCTTGCGTGTGGGAAGAGATCATGCTCGAGAAGAACATTCCCGAGAAATGGTTGCAAGCTATCAAAAATACGACAGAGAAGTCTGGCTCCAATTCCACGGCCGCGACTACCCAGGCCACCTCGTCAGAGACCCCTGCTACGACTGGGCCCCAGGCCGAAGGCTCGGATGCAGCCGCCGCTTCGAAGGTGCCAGCCGCAGAAGCGCCTGAAAGCGAGGAGAGCAAGGCGGCGACAGAGCGCAGTGCTGCCTTCAAGAATGTCCAAACCCTACGTTATCTATTGAGCTCCCTGCCAACTTCAATTACCGGCTTCTTCCACAACCTTGGACTTGGTCTCATTACTCGAAAGAGGATGGAGAACAACCAAACCGCGAGGCAAAACTCCAATATGGTAGCCGATGCTATCGCTGACGCTGTGCTTCGCGAGCTCCAATTTGGTCCTGCCAATTCATGTGACAGCTCAAAGCATCGTTTTGCTTACCTCATTGTCATTCTGTCCTCATTCTCGCATCTTCTCTATGAAGTCACCCACGACCGTCCCTCAAACAACTATCTCACCCTCGTTCTCCTTGCATTCAAGCGGAACAATGGACTGAAAGTCTTGAAGGACATTTGTGATGTCTTCATGCGTGAAGTCAAGGCTCTCGAGCCAATCCAAAACGACCCCGAAAAGGCTGGGAAAGAATTGACCGATCGGCTCACGTCTGCCTACGGTGGAATCAAGATCATCCTTGCGCTTTTCTCTGAACTCGCTGCCGGAAAGAGCATAATGGAGTCCAACCAGACACAGGCCCTCTCAAGCCACCATGATCGTGACCGTGATCGCCATGATTACTTCCAGGCTGGCCAATTCATCGTGGATCTTCGCATGGAAATTCTTCCCATGGCCCAGGACATGTGGAACTCAGAATTCGCGACTCAGTCTTCAAGCCAGATTGTCAAATGCTTGGTTGATATCCTTCGATCATCCCTGGACGGAGAACATGAGCAAGGTGCCGCACACAAGTCGGATGTTGCTCCTGCTGTCACAGAACCTGTCAAGAAGCCCTTCACGATCAACAAGGACAGGCTAGCGATCCTAACCGGAAAGGGCTTCGAAGACTCTGAGCTGATCCACGAGGCCTTGTACCGCTGCAACAACAATGCCAACTACGCAGAGGAATACTGCAACGCCCGCAACTTCCTCCGAGCCCCTCCCAGAGCCCCTCCTAGTCCCGGTGATGTTCAGACTGGACCGCCCGAGGCTGCCTCTGGCAACGAGGGTCCTGAAGATGGCGCTCTCGGGGACGTTACGCCTCTCGATCGTGGTCTCTTGGAGCAAGGTGGTCTTGCCATGATCTTGGCTCAGGCTGGACGTCCTGTGCACGACTCCATGAATGATGACGATGACTCTAATGTCATGCGTGATGGCCTAGCTCGTGCAATTTCCAACGTTCTGAATGACGAAGAGGGTATGCTTCGAGGAGAAGATGGGCCACTGTTCCTCACGGAGCGTGAGCGTGAGCGTCAGCGCCGTCGAACCCAGGCAACCGCCGACTCCACCGACCAGCAGAGAGCCAACCAATCCCAGAGAGGAGAGCAGAGAGAAGAGCCCGTCGAACGGCGCCAGCTGGTTACCGTCGAAGACCTGAATGAGGAGAGAGAAAAGGTCCGAGCCAATCTTATTGAGCGATCCCTGGATGTTTTGAATGAGCACCATGACGTCTCTTTCGAGCTTGCCGACTTGATTAACTCTGCCATCAAGAATCATCCTGAGCCCGACAGCTTCCGTCGAGATATCGGCGAGACTCTTGTTCAGTCACTCGTTTCTCTGCAGATGGAGAATTTCCAGACCGCTGGCAAAAAGGTCGCTGCCTATGCGCACATTCTTGCCCTCGTACTCCAGGATTCGAAGATGTACACAGCCACTCTTGAAGAGCTGAAGGATTGCTTCTCGACATTCCTCAGCTTCATCAAGCTTCCCACCCCCGAGAAGGCCGCCGCTGAATCTTTTCCGTGGATCGGGCATGTCTTGCTCATTCTGGAGAAGTTGCTATCTGATGATTGTCAACCGCCGCAAATCACATGGTCTCCGCCCAGCCTTGATGATCCCAACGGCGGCAGTTCGGGACCTGCTCATCTCGCAGAGCCCCTTGTCTCTCTTGAGCAGAAGACCCAGTTGTTTGAGGCCTTGGTAGAAATTCTTCCTCGCATTGGCAAGGATGACAGTCTCGCGCTTTCTGTCTGCCGAATTTTGGTCATTCTCACTCGCCAACGCAGCATCGCCGTCCGTTTCGCGCCCAAGAGAAACTTGCAGCGTCTCTTCCTCATGGTCAAGCAATTGGCTAACGCAACCAACGACAAGCTTCAGAGTGCCTTCATGTTGATCCTACGACACATCGTCGAGGATGAAGCTACGATCCGACAGATCATGACCTCGGAGATTGTAGGAAATTTCGAGAGCAAGCCCTCTCGCCAGATTGACGCTGCTGGCTATGTGCGACAGATGTATCATCTTGTCCTCAGGAACCCCGAAATCTTTGTCGAAGTTTCCAACGAGAAGCTGCGTTTGGTACGGTACGACGCTAGCCATCGCACACAAGCCCTCGCATTGAAGGAAGACCGGAGCGCCCGCCAACGCCAGGACAAGGAGGACAAGACCAACGAGGCATCCGCTGCCGAAGCGTCGTCGACCGCAGAGGACAAGGAGAAGGAGAAGGCTGCCGAGATGAAGCCTCCCGTTGTGGAAAACCCAGATGGTGTTATTCACTATTTGCTCTCTGAACTCTTGTCTTACAAGGACGTGGATGACAAGGAGCCTCCAACGGCCGAAGCTGAACAAGCTGCTCAAGATCAGAATGAAGCTCCAACTGATGTTGAGATGTCCATGGACGAGCCCACTCCTTCGGTGACCAGCAGTGCCGATGCCCAGACGAGTCGTGCTGCCCCTAAGAAAGGTGAGAAGCCGTCATTCGAGGCCGAGCATCACCCGATTTACATTTACCGCTGCTTCCTCCTTCAATGCTTGACCGAGCTCCTCGGCTCCTATACCCGCACTAAGGTCGAGTTTATCAACTTCTCGCGCAAAGCCGATCCGCTCGCTAGCACTCCCTCCAAGCCTCGATCAGGCATTCTCAACTACATGTTGAACGCGTTGGTTCCTATCGGTACCATGGAGCATGATGAGTCCTTGGCTTTTAAGAAGCGCAGCATCACTTCTACCTGGACCATGCAGGCCCTCGTGGCCCTTTGCACCAAAACGTATGAATTGCCTGGTTCCAGACGCCGCAATGAACCGAAACCAACGGAAGATGATGAGCCCGAGGTGGCCTTTGTTCGCCGCTTTGTCCTGGAGCATGCCCTCCGTTCCTTCAAAGAAGCTAATGCATCGACGGAGCCCCTGGATGTCAAGTATTCTAAGCTAATGTCCTTGGCCGACCTCTTCGATAAGATGCTTAGTGGGTATTCCTTCTCTCAGGATGCGGGCTTCCCCAACTCAGCAAGACAAATTGCCAAAGCCATGTTCGAGAAACATTTCATTCCTGCGTTGACCGCCTCAGTGGCTGAGATTGACTTGAACTTCCCTTCATCTAAGCGGGTTATTAAGTATATCCTGCGCCCAATCAACAAGCTTACGCAAACTGCCGTGATGCTGAGTGATAACGGGGAGATCTCCACGGCCAGCTCTGGTGAAACCGAAGATGATGAAATCTCATCCGCCACTTCCGTCTCGGACATGGAAGACGAGCGAGAGGAAACTCCCGATCTCTTCCGCCATTCCACTCTTGGCATGCTGGAGCCTCGCCACGAGGAAGAGACCAGTTCCGAGGAATCCGAGGGTGAAGACGATGAAATGTTGTACGACGACGAATATGACGATGAGATGGACTACGATGAGGATGTCCCTGAGGATGACGGTGAAGTCGTCAGCGACGAGGAAGACGACGTGGACGGCATGGGCCCAATCGAAGGTCTCCCCGGTGATGCAGTCGAAGTCATCATCGATGATGAGGACGATGAGGACGACGACGACGAGGACGATGACGACGATGACCTCGACGACCACTCAGACATGGATGAAGATGATGATGACATCTATGCTGGCGAAATCACAGGCGATCGTGACAACGAGAGCCTCGACGACGGGGAAGATGATGAGTGGGAGAGCGACGAAATCACCGAAGATGAAGAAGAGGCCGAGATGATGAATCAGTTCCAAGATGAGCTGGCTGACATGCGTCAAGCCAATCGCTCCGGCGATGCCCATAATCGCATTGACGAGCTTTTCCGGGCCCTTAACCAAGCTACCGGTGACGATGACTTGCACGACCATGGTCTGGGAGGCGATATCCACGATGAAATTCTTGATGACTTGAACGAAGATGGTGGTGCGTCATTACCCCCGTTTCTCTCCTATACCTTTGCAGACCTCTTTCCTGACCAACAACGTACAGAAGAGGACGAGATGGACGAGCTTGAGGAGGAAGCTGATGATTATGATGAGTACGACATGGATCAAGGGTCCGAAGGGGACATGGAAGGTGAGTCCAAAGAAGGCTTTTGGCTTGTGCGCAATCTATTGATAGGAGCTAACTGATACCGTTTTACTAGATGACGACCTTCTTGAGCCATGGGGCTGGGAGGGCGACGAGGGCCCGCCACCTCGACACCATCACCACCGCATGCGTGGTGGGCCACCTTCCGCCTGGGCTGCTGTTACTGAAATCATGCCTGGTCGTCATGGGGGCCTTGTTCCGATCCAGCCATTCCATCGGGTTCACAGAAACCAAGTGCCATCTCGCGGTAACGACGATGGAACCAACCCTCTACTTGTCCGAAACGATCGTGGTACCGATCCTAATGCTCATATTCGGGTGCCCGGTACTGATATGTTTGCTGACTGGGCTCAACTAGAGAGCGGCGGTAATCGTTTCGTTCAATTGGACAGCCCTATGAGCTTCATGAACGCTATCATGGCTGCCATTGGTGGAGGACCACAAGCCCCTGGATTGGGTGTCGTCACTCGCCCAGATGGTATCCACGTTCATGTAGACCGACGAACAATCCTTCCTAACCGTCTCAACGACTTGTTCGCCGGCACCCAGCAACAGACGTCGCAATCTCGCCGCAATGATCCCCATAATGCGGTCAAGTTCAATCTGTCGACGACTAGAAACCGTTGGCAGGAAGAGGCTCGCATTCTTTTCAGTGGCACCTATTCAGAGAAGTGCTTGCGTGTGATCAACTCGTTGCTGAAGGTCATGGTCCCTCCTGCCATTGAGGAGGAGAAACTACGCAAGAAGCAGCTGGAAGAAGACAGGAAGCGTGCTGATCAGGAACGGGCCGAGAAAGAACGCAAGGAAAAGGCTGCCCGTGAAGAAGAAGAGCGCGAGCGCAAGCGCAAGGAAGAAGAGGAAAATGCCCGCCGCCAGGCCGAGAGAGAACAGCAGGAAGCGGAGCGCCAAACTGCTGGGGTTGCTGAGCCCATGGAAGATATCCAGCAAACCGATAGTGCAGCTGAAGCTGCCAGCGCAGCCCAGCCAGAAGCTGCCCCTGCTGAGCCAGCTCAACGTGTTCACACGACCATTCGGGGTCGTCAGCTTGATATTACTGGCCTTGAGATCGACCCAGAGTACCTGGAGGCACTCCCTGAGGAGCTCCGGGAAGAAGTGATCATGCAGCAACTTGCTGAACAGCGATCTCAAGCTGCTGCTGCTGGCGAGGAGCCCACTGAGATCAACCAGGAGTTCCTGGAGGCCCTGCCCGCAGAGATCCGTGAAGAATTGCTGCAACAAGAAGCGGCCGATCGACGCCGACGGGAACGTGAAACTGCTCGCCGGCAGGCCAATACTGGCAGTGCCCCGCCACGCGCCGAGGACATGGATGCTGCTAGCTTCCTTGCCACCCTTGACCCCTCGTTGCGCCAAGCTGTTCTGGCGGACCAGCCCGAGGATGTACTTGCAACCTTAGGTCCGGAGTACCTGTCTGAAGCTCGGGCCCTAGGTGGCCGCCGTATTGCCCAATTCGGCGACATTACTGCAGCCGGAATGGACCACCGCCCTAGAGGCGAGGCTGCTGGAGACCTGGAGGGTAAGAAAAACCAGAGACGTCCAGTGGTTCAAATGCTAGACAAGGCCGGCGTCGCAACGCTACTTCGCCTGATGTTCATGCCTCTTCAGGGTAACGCACGTCATTTGTTGAACGATATTCTTCACAATGTTTGTGAGAACCGACAGAATAGAAGTGAGGTTATCAGCCTGATTCTGTCCGTCTTGCAAGATGGCAGTGTTGATTCCTCCGCCATCGAGCGAAGTTTCTCGCACCTCTCTCTCCGCGCGAAGGCTCCTGGTGCTCAGAAGACTCCCCAGTCCGTCAAGCGTAACATTGCTCTGCAACCGTCTTCTAGTATCAGCAGCGAGGTTACTCCGATCATGGTGGTGCAGCAATGCTTGGCAACGCTCTCTTTCCTCTCCCAGTTCAATCCCCACATCCCCTGGTTCTTCCTGACTGAACATGATTCCGCTTCGTCCCTCAAGCTAAAGGCCCTCCGCAAGGGCAAGGGCAAGGATAATCGTTCCAACAAGTTCGCACTAAATGCTTTGCTTTCTCTCCTGGATCGCAAGTTGATCATGGACAGCCCGAACTGTATGGAACAGCTGTCCAATCTCCTGAGCACCATCACCCAGCCGCTCACTGTTCTCCTCCGTCGCGAGAAGGACAAGCAAGATGAACAAGAGAAGGGCAAGAAGCCTGAGGGTGCGCCAGCTGAGGCGGCTGAACAACAACCTACTGAAACTAATGAATCCGGTGCGGATACTGCCATGACCGACGCTCCTCTGCCAACCGTTGAGAATGCCGAGGATCAAGGCACCACTGCTGAAGGCGAAGCGGCCAAGGATGACAAGAAGACTGGTGATGAGCAGCCTACTGAAGAGAAGCGCAAGCGCCGATCCATTGAGCCTCCAGTCATTCCCGACCACAACTTCCGATCAGTTGTGCACATTCTTGCTGCTCGTGAATGCAATGGAAAGACTTTCCGTGACACCCTGTCCACCATCAACAACTTGTCAATTATCCCTGGAGCCCGTGACGTTATTGGCGAAGAGCTTGTTGCTCAAGCGCAGACACTCAGCGATACCATACTGGCTGATCTTGGAGAGCTTCTTCCCCATATTCACCAGGCCAAGACTGGTACCGATATGCAAGGTCTGGCTCTGGCCAAGTTCTCCCCCGCCAGCTCTGATCAGGCCAAGCTACTTCGGATTCTCACAGCCCTTGACTATCTCTTCGATCCTGCCCGCATCGACAAGTCCAAGGCCCCAGAACCCGAATCTGCGCCCAAGGAGGATGTGCTCAAGAGACTCTATGAGAGTGCCACTTTCGGTCCCCTGTGGACCAAATTGAGCGATTGCTTGACACTCATTCGCCAGAAGGAGAACATGCTGAACGTGGCCACTATTCTTCTGCCATTGATTGAAGCATTAATGGTTGTGTGCAAGAACACTACTCTCAAGGATCAGCCGCTCTCTCGTGGTAGTCGCGAGCTCTCTGTCAACAGTGCATCGGCCGACGCTGGCCTAAGCATGGAGAATCTCTTCTTCAAGTTCACCGAAGAGCACCGCAAGATTCTCAATGAGCTCGTCCGTCAGAACCCTAGGCTGATGAGTGGTACTTTCTCCCTGCTTGTGAAGAATCCCAAGGTCCTGGAGTTTGACAACAAACGGAACTACTTCACACGTCGTGTACACTCTCGTGGAGCAGAGCCTCGCCACACCCATGCTCCTCTTCAACTCTCCGTTCGCCGTGATCAGGTTTTCCTTGACTCGTTCAAGTCCCTGTACTTCAAGAGTGCAGATGAGCTCAAGTATGGCAAGCTGAACGTACGTTTCCATGGAGAAGAAGGTGTGGACGCCGGCGGTGTGACCCGTGAATGGTTCCAGGTCCTCGCTCGTGGCATGTTCAACCCCAACTACGCACTCTTCATCCCCGTTGCTGCCGATCGGACCACATTCCACCCCAACCGTCTCAGTGGTGTCAATTCCGAGCATTTGATGTTCTTCAAATTCATTGGACGGATCATCGGCAAGGCCTTGTACGAGGGCCGCGTCTTGGACTGCCACTTCTCTCGTGCTGTCTACAAATGCATTCTTGGACGCACCGTGTCTATCAAGGACATGGAGACTCTTGACCTGGACTACTATAAGTCCCTGCTTTGGATGCTGGAAAATGACATTACCGATATCATCACCGAGAACTTTGCCATCGAGACCGATGCCTTTGGCGAGAAGCAGGTGATCGACCTGATTCCCGATGGTCGAAACATCCCAGTCACCCAAGAGAACAAGGAGGAGTACATCCAACGCGTTGTCGAGTACCGCCTGGTGGAGTCTGTGCGGGAGCAGCTTGACAATTTCTTGAAGGGTTTCCATGAGATTATTCCTCCAGACTTGATTTCCATTTTCAACGAGCAGGAACTCGAGCTCCTGATCTCGGGTCTGCCCGACATTGACGTGGACGAGTGGAAGAACAATACCGAGTACCACAATTATTCCGCCTCCTCACCGCAGATCCAATGGTTCTGGCGTGCTGTCCGCTCCTTTGACAAGGAAGAGCGAGCCAAGCTGCTTCAGTTCGTCACGGGTACCTCCAAGGTCCCTCTCAACGGCTTCAAGGAGCTTGAGGGCATGAACGGTGTGAGCAAGTTCAACATCCACCGCGACTATGGCAACAAAGATCGCCTTCCCAGCGCACACACATGCTTTAACCGTGAGTTTTACTTCCTTCTCCAAGTATTGTGTACATGATGTGGATTACTAACGTTTATTTTGCAGAGCTTGATCTTCCTGAATATGAAAGCTATGAAGACCTCCGCCAGCGCCTCTACACCGGAATCATGGCTGGTGGCGAGTACTTCGGTTTCGCATAGACGGGGTTATTTCTACATGCTTAATTTTATGCGCAAGCATTGGATGGCGTTTTCTCTGGGAATGTAAGTGGAGGAAGCGAAGTGGAAGGGAAGCGATGAGAGTTAATGAAAATTGTGGCTCCGAGCCTTCGGTTGAAGTGCAGGTCAACCGGTTACTTGGAGCCCTTTCTTTCTTTATTTGTATTTAGTTTAGATTGCTGTATGCTTTTACGGGAATATCCATGTTACTTTCAGTTGAGTTGTTCGTCCGTTCCTAGGGATGTACTTCGTTCGGAGTATTTAGGTTTCGACAAGGCTGACTACGTAAGCCAACCGCATTCGGGCCCTCCACTCATCGGCGCCGAAGGCGGTGAACAGTCACGGGATGCGAAAAAAATGCGGGGCCCAAAGTGGCAGGTGCGGGATTCGATTTTTTAAAAAAGCTCCGGCTTCACAACCGCTCAGTCCTACGAGAATCCCTCTCGTTCTACACTCATCATGTCCTCCTCCAACTCCATCAAGCTGCTGACTGGCAACAGTCACCCCGAGCTGTCCCAGCTCGTGGCTGACCGGTGAGCCCTCTACCTCTTCTACATGCACTGGCTTGATCCCCCGAGGCCCGCCGCGGTTTCTCTCGCTCGGGAAGTCGATCGTGCGACTTGGAGGCTAATTGAGATGAATACAGCCTCGGCATTGAGATGACCAAGATCATGGTCCTTCAGTACTCCAACCAGGAGACTAGCGTCACTATCGGTGAAAGTGTCCGAGACGAAGATGGTACGCTCACACTATGACTCCCTTCGGATCTGGCCGTGGAAAGCAGACACTCCGAGGAAAAGATCCAAGGTGATAGAGCTGGTGCTGATGGTTCTCTTTGCCTTATCCAGTCTTCATTCTGCAATCAACACGGCCGAATGACATCAACGACGGTCTCATGGAGCTTCTGATCATGATCAACGCCTGCAAGACCGCTTCGGCCCGACGCATTACTGCCGTCATCCCCAACTTCCCTTACGCCCGCCAGGACAAGAAGGATAAGAGCCGTGCTCCCATCACTGCGAAGCTCATGGCCAATATGCTCCAGACTGCTGGCTGCAATCACGTCATCACCATGGATCTGCATGCCAGCCAGATCCAGGGCTTCTTCAACGTCCCCGTGGACAACCTTTATGCCGAACCTAGCATGCTCAAGTGGATTCGCGAGAACCTTGACGTGAGCAACTGCGTTATCGTTAGTCCTGATGCCGGTGGTGCCAAGCGGTGAGTACCTTTCTTTTACAACTTTCCAGTCTAAGTCTATAGGGCGTGCGCAATCTAACAGTCTTTCCTTCTACCAGTGCTACCGCCATTGCCGATCGCCTCGATTTGCAATTCGCCCTGATCCACAAGGAGCGTGCCCGCCCCAACGAGGTCTCTCGCATGGTTCTCGTCGGTAACGTCAAGGATAAGATCGCCATCATCGTTGACGATATGGCCGATACCTGCGGTACCCTTGTCAAGGCCGCCGATACCGTTATGCAACACGGCGCCAAGGAAGTCAATGCCATCGTTGTCCACGGCATCCTGTCCGGCAAGGCTATTGAGAACCTGAACGGCAGCCGTCTGAACCGTCTGGTGGTTACCAACACCGTCCCGCACGCCGAGAAGAAAGAGCTGTGCGACAAGATCGAGACTATTGATATCTCTCCCACACTGGCTGAGGCCTGCCGCCGCACACACAACGGCGAGTCTGTGAGCTTCCTCTTCTCGCACGCCGTCGCGTAAATGACCTCCCCTTTATCATCTACTTGTCCTACGACTTGCCCCCAACCAATACCCCCCGCCCTTGTGACTCCCCAGAGATCGAGGGGATTATTTTTCATGCGTGTATGTGTATCTTTGGTTCAATGCGAACAAAGCGAAGGGTGTGCGCAGGAGAAAAACAAAATACGATTGTTATGACCATTTTTCTCTCCTTCTTACATTGCCAAACGAGGATTCGTTACTGGGAATTGCTTTCATTCTACTTGCTTCGTTGGCTGCTACTTCTTTTTGAGAAGAGCAAGTCCACTCGCTATGTGACTACAGCGAGATGACTTGGCAATGGGTTGTTTCTATGCCTTTTCCTTGCCTCGGGGCTCAATTGCATTCTGCATTTTCTGGATCTGTTCCTGTTTTTCGTGTGTTACCGTATTGTCGTTGTCGGTGCCGTGTTGTCCTCTTTATTTAGATTATCGCAAGCCTCGACGGCTATTGAGTTACCTCTTGTTCGCCGTTTCCGATTTTGACCGGTGTACTTTTACGTGTCGGACTAAGTTGCCGCTGTGGGTGTTCCATAGAAAAATAGATTTTGTGAAACCAACTCAATTGTGTCTATTCATTTTATCCTTCATTGTTTGGATACTTGCAGTAGTGGTCTTTTGTTGTCTGGTCGGGTTCTAAGTGGGTCGCTCTCAGACTTGCATGTTCTATCTACCCTCAGACATGTCTCGAGACATGGGTACTTTGCTCTTGAGTTTATCATCCAGGCGCTCCTTATAGCTGTTTCATGTACTCGGTCAGCTTTATAATCTAGTGTCTGTGTACGTTGAGACGGTGACTTTGGTTGATCTTGGCATTTATTCCGAGACATCTCCTAGATATATCACCTCTCGGGCTAGTAGAACCCCATCGTTGGGGGGTCTTGATTCGCTCTGGGAATAAGTACATTTCTGGAAATGTTCCGTACCTTTTATTCGCTGCCGTGGGCGTTGCGTAGGTGCTACTATGGTATTGCAAGATACCGGGAAGCATATGAATCTCTTTCTCTGTCCCGACGATGCTATCGCCTGGCAGATACCCCGAAGACGAAATGCTGTACTTAAACACCCACCATGGATGACACATGGCACTTCAAAATTACAACTCTATATTCGCTAGGTCTGTGGAGATGAATATATAAGACTGCTGTTTACCGGGGAGATTGGGAGGTTTGACGGTTGGTCGGTGAAAAATATTGTGATCGTTCTGGCAAAGAGAGACTCTGACCTTCTTGTTATTGAAGTTTGGATTTTTGTTATGCGCAGCAATATGCAAATTGGGGGTCGATTTGTTAAAACAAGAAAGTACACGATCTAGTTCTCGAAGTGGGCACGTGAGATAGGGCAGATCATATCACCGTAGCCCCGGGAGAAAAAGACACCCCCACATTCGAGTCCTGCAATTGATCAAGTCTAGAGCAATAGATTAGAGTAGGAAGTAGAGTTGGGGCCTGTGCGTTGATGCATAGTTAAATCAAGACTTCTACAAGCGCATATGGTGGTTTTATCCAAATCCAAAAACCCGATGAAAACCTTTTTTAACGCCGATAGCTTCACCCTTCCAGGAGGCTCTACACTACGCCAGAGACAGATAAGGTAAGAAACAATGAAATTTGCATGCACTCCATTGAAAAAAAAGGGGTTGTCAAAAGGTAGATTCAACACAGAATGCATCACCCAGGTGTCCGAATCACCAGCACACCCGGGGTGAAAGGGGTGGTCCACCAATCCCCCCTCCTGGTTCAAGTCTTCTTTTTTTTTGAGCCTTGCATCCATTCCCCGCCTTTTTTTTCCGTTTTTATCAGACATATTTCCGCCGTCTGCTGGGAATGATATTACCCCTCCTTTTCCCGGTTGAGGAAGGAGAAATCCCGAAAATAAATCATTGTCCCAGAAAACGTGAAGCTCACTCTCGCCTTCCCCACTCGTCAACCTATCCATTAAACCCCGTCCCGCAGAAATGAATCATAACACTGTGGGGGAGATTTACTTCCGCATGGAAGAGGCGCGACGCTTGCGGAGCTCATCACGCTTGGCCTTCTCCTCGTGGACACGGTTGGCCAGGAGCTTGGCGTAGTCGTTACTGTAGAAGGAATCGTTGTTAGAGATGGAGATCAAAGAGAATCTTGGGCATGGAAGAAGAAACTTACGCAGCCTCGCGGGCAGCCTCAGCACGGCGGCGCTTGATGGCGACCTGGTGGCGCTTGCGCTGCAGGCGCTGGGGAGTAACCAGACGCTGGATCTTGGGGGCCTTGGTGTACTCGGGCTTGCCCTCCTTGGCGACAGTGCGGCGGACAACGAACTTGCGGACATCATCGTCCTTGGACAGGGCGAAGAAGCGGCGGATCTTGGTGGCACGCTTGGGGCCGAGGCGCTTGGGGACGACGGTGTCGGTCAGACCGGGGAGATCGTTCTCACCCTGCTTGACGATGGACAGAGCGAGGACGGAGAGGTCCAGACCGGTGATGGCTGAAAAGGGAGTGTCAATGCTGGTTGTTCGTTTGAAGAAGGCGGATTTTTTGAACAAGGGCACACATACCACCACGGATGGACTTGCGCTTGCGCTCACCGGAGCGGCGAGGGCGGTAGCAGCTGTGGCCGTCGGCGAGGAGCAGACGGGTACGGATGGGGAGGAGAACTAGAATCTCGATGAGTATGATGCGTTGCGTTGGGTTGAAAGGGCGGCTTCTGGATTTTTTTTTTTTCGTATTGAGGCCAGAAAACCGACCGATTTAGAACGTACCACCCTGCTTCATGGGGAAACCTGGAATATCAATTCAGTCAGCCATAATGTTCTCCTTTGCGTTTGTCCGTCGACTGTATATTCATATAGGAGAAGGGGGAAAGTCGTACCCTGCTTGTCGTTACCACCGGTGATCTTGAACAGGTAGCCCTTGAACTCATCGCCGAGGGAGTCGCCGGTAACCTAATCGTGAAAAACCCAATCAGCCCATTCGTTCTTCGTAATTGCATTTGTGTGTTTGAGTCATATGTGTATGTGTAGGTGGGAAAACGTCGAGAGAATTTCGGATTTGTGGAAAATGTGTGTATGCTTGAATTCGGGGGAGACGGGGATGGCTGACTTCGGTGCCCATGCGCTTCTCCATGAAGGGGCGGAGCTTGCGCTCATCATCGATCTCGATAATCTTTTGCGACCCATTGGCCGGGTAGGAGATGTTGAGCTTCATCTTGACGGAGGTTGCGCGGTCAAGACGGTAGCGCGGGAATTGTCGACAGGTGAGGTTGAAGGGTACGGCTTTGTGGATTTTTCGGATTGCTGAGGGTTGGTGTAGCGAGTGTGTGTGTGGCTTACTCAGCGGGCACTAGCCGATTTAGGAAGGGAGGTTACTCAGCGTCGCTAACCCCATCATGTGACCAGAGAGTGCCAGGAACGGTCACCTGATATGGAGATCACGGGACTAGATCTTCCGACTGCCTCAGGCCGGGTGGTAAACCTAAGGTGTCGATGGCTTTCGCCGCATTCGATCTCTTGGCAGCATCGACTTGGATGTTATACCTGGTCTTTTGATGGGACCAGCTGGATCTCTTCCATACCAAAGATAAAAATCTTCGATACCATACTCATCATGACTTTTTTGTATGGCTTGTATATTCGGGCGCTGTCAATATGTAAAGAAGACACGGCTGTCCTTGGACTTTGTTCCTTATCCGGCACGAGCGGACGAGCTTCACAGGAGCTAGATCATACGGATGACATTCTTTCCACTTCAACCAAGATCAATCCGAGATGATATAGCGAAAGGGAGCATGTACAACTCGATACTAGACCCCGCTATCTCAACCGTAATATGTCTGTAATATGGACTTCGTACTTCCACTCGCTAACCCCGATTGATCCAAGTCGGACTCAGACCTTCGGAGTAATTCAATCAAAGACACCACCTACCCTGTCTACTCCGTACTCACCAATATAACGTACTCATGACCCTCACCACATGACCATCTTTAAATTCGCCTTGTAAGAAACAAGGCACACGAGCATCAGACTTGCCCGATAAGACTGAAGAGGCATCAGATCTAAATCCACCGATGTGCAGCACGATTCGTCTTGGCACCGCCATCCCGTCCCTCATAGTCTCGTACACCGTACAGCTTACCCCTTCAGGGGAGGACTCAAGCGCCCGGTCGACCTACCGCCGCCCACTCACTACAGCCATCAGAGACAGCGCCAAACTCTGTACGGAGTACAATGTCAGCAGTGACGTTTCTCCAGCCCGCCTAGGCGTGGTGGCGCCGGCGCCGTCATGCTTGTCTACGGCATTTATAGTCTGAATGATACCATTGTATTCTCTCCATGCGACCGGATAGAATATGGCCACACCCAACTATACAATACAAGTCTATGTGGATAGAGAGAATATTGATTGACTCTATGTACTCCATACTCATTTCCAATCAATCCATCTCTCCGTCCCCCCGGGTATCCGTGAGGGCGCGATGATCTCTTCGGGCACGCGATGCCCTTCCACGTTAAGCGGGCCCCGCTGGCCACGCGGCCGCAGGCTTGGTTGGCGCAGGAATGAAATCCTGGGAATTGGAGCAGTTGGCTACGGCGATGGTCTTATTATCTTTGGGATTTCTAGTTGTATTAGTTCGTTCGTATTTATGCCCTCTTTCATATAAGATTCCTGTCGCCCGGCATTTACATGTTGCCCCCCTGGATCTGGAATCCATCCTCCCCATTTCCAAAAGTCAAGTGGTCATCCATCTTCGGCACCACTTTTTAACGGCTGTGACGGTGTGGTTTGCCCACTTTTTTTTTTTTTTTTTTTTTACGGACTAAAGGCGATCCATAGTCTCCGACTCGCATTCGGGTTTTTCGACTCCTGATTTCTTGATTTATCATTTACCGCCCCGTCTTTGGCTAAGGGTCCCCGCTGGGATTCTCCGGCTCTCCCGGTCACTTCTTTTGCGCGCAGCAGACCTTCACTGATCTACTCCTTTTTATTCTTGACTTATTTCGGGATATACAGGAAATAGAGACCTGGTCGCTATTGTCTGAAGAACATTGTGACGGACGATTGAAGCGCAACTCACCCGCTCACATTCAAATCGAGGACTCTCCACTCCCGGATAGCCCGAGTCGGTCCCCGTCGCAGCGTTCGACAAGCTAACCAGGCTGTACCTGGTGATCTCAACGCCCATCCCGACTCGAGTCAACGCCGACGACTCCCCCAATCGCTGCACAACGAATGCGCTGAATCCAGCTCCCCCACGATTGGGCCCTCGACTCCCTCCATCCTCTCCGTCCCTGAAATCCTTATCTCCGCCGCCCACCTACCTACCTCCGCGATAATATATACATACCCTCACCATGATACGCCTATTCAACCGCTTATACGCGCTATGCGCCGTAGCGGCTTGCACAATTCTATACTCGGCTTGGTTTCTGACCTCCCGCAACCTCGGGGACATTGTGCCTCTGGCGGCGGAACAGTTCCGGACGGCATCTTCGTTTGATCAGCGATTGGTGGTGTTTGGGGATTCATGGAGTGATAATGAGACAGACGAAGAGCAAGGGAGAATCTGGACGGATTGGCTTTGCGGGATGGTAAGAATGGTTCTATTTCACAACCGTCTCTGTGATAATGAAACACGAAGAAATAAAGACTAATATTTGCTTTCTTGATGATGCAGTTCTCGTGTCACCAGGAGAATCTTGCTCAGACAGCAAAGTACTCTCTCAGGGGCAAATACACCGGCTCGGTGGTTGATAATGCCGAGCTCGACTTATTCGGCCGTCTGTCTCAGACCAAGTTGGCCGATTTCAAGACCCAGCTTAAACAATGGCTGGACGCGGAATCTGCCGCGTTGGTCGGCCTTTCCGAAGATCAGGTTCGTTCCCGCCAGGACCGTACTATCTTCGTCGTCTCGTTTGGCATCTGGGACGTTTGGAGTCTCGTGACGAAGGATTACGATCAAGCGGCCGGTTCGATCGAGCGTCGTATTGATAAGCTCATGCAACAGTTGAACCATCTGGCCGAGCATTGGGGCTCGGGATCGGAGAACCTCAAGGTCATCCTGACGCAGACGGTCGATGTGACCTTTTTGCCCGGGTTTACGGCTACGGGGGGTGACGAGTATAAGGATGCGGTGCGGATTCTGGACGTGTGGAATAGGAAGCTGCGCGAGGCGGCCAAGAAGTGGGATCGGGGCACGATTTACTTGTTCGATACGAATGCTTTTGTGATGGATCGGATTCGGGATTGGCAGTTGTATGCGGCTGGGATTGAGGAGGAGAATGGATTGGGGACGAATCAGGATCCGGGTTGGGAGAATGTTGGCGATGCTTGTGTTGAGAGTGAGAGTGGCATTCAAGTCATGATGTCAAAGGACAAGTCCAAGGCGAAGAAGCCGTGTGAACATCCAGACAAGTACCTGTTCTGGTAAGTTTGTTGTTCCCCCTTTCCTGATCTCCTCGTGTTGGAGGAAAAGCTGTCTCGCTTCGTGGATCGACGGGTTGAAATTGCCAACTTTTTGCTGACCGGAGTCTCCCCCTTTCTACCACCAGGAACGATATGCATCTGGGACCCAGTGCGCACCGTCTCATGGCGACGGAGATCTACCATGGGATCGACGGGGTTCTCTTGAACCCGAAGGACTCAGAGAGCAGTGCCACTGCTGGTACCAAGTCCGGGTCCGGGTCCACCAGCACGACCAACTCGGATGAGTCCATACCCAAGACAGGCGCATCCAAGCGCCACAACCGACGGGCCTCTGCAGCTTAGACATTGTCATGAATCAAAGACCAAGACCCAGCCCACGCTGTTTTCCATGTTTCCACGGCCCGTCTTGCATTTTGGGCCTCCGTAGAAAAAGGGAGGAGGAAAGGGATTGTCGCTACCCGCGTCGATACCAAACGGAGCTTCTCATATCCCATGTTCATGCCCGTGTCCATGCCGATGCTCCGTGCCCAGGCCTCTCGCCAGCGAGAGTGTATCAGACCAGAACCGAGTGGACCTCGCATAGAGCCGGACAGAGATGATCGTTGCCTCTTGACCCCGTCTCCGTGATTCTCGGTCCTCACCTCATGTCTCGGTCTCGACGCAAAGACCTGTCTCAACGGCTCTTGGTCTTGATTTTCCCAAAGCGGCGCAAATGAATATGTTCCAGTCGGTCGGGACGAACAGATAAGGTAGCATGAAAGAGGAACCTCCGTCCGAAACCCATGGATACCAGAATATGCATCTGCAATGACGAAACGAGAGAGAGCGAAGAAAGGGGGAACTCTGACAAACCACACTCCCCCCCGGTTCTTTGGGCTCCATCGACGCAATGCTTAATGTCGTGCTTCGCTACGGTGATGGACTTGGATCGGGAATTGGGTTTGCTAGGTGGTATCGGTCCAGCGACGGTGGTGGTCCACCCCATCATGATTTCCGATCGTTGCAACGGCGGGTGGAGCGATCGACGGGAGATGATCTCATCTCCGATGCGGTTCTGTCCAAGTGGAGTCGATGGTTGATTCCCGCCCAGTAGGAATGGAGGGAGCGAGAGAAAGACAGAGAAAGAGCTTGTTAATGTTCACTTGTACGCTTGCTGCTCTGTCCGTCTTCTTTTTTCTTTTTGTGACCTGGGACCTGGTCCTTGGCCATGAGGTTCCACTGTGATTACCCGATGATATTTGCGTGGCCCTGGCGTGGTCTCTCTACTGGATCAGCTTAGAAAGGGGGAGAAACGGGATGGTTGCTTTTTTGGTCTCCTCTGCATGTTTGTGTCGTGAGTCGAGAGGGAGTCCTTGCTGGTTGGATCATTTTCCAGGATCTTTTCGATGCCGTTCAATTTCTAGCGTCTTTTTTCTTTGTTCGAATTTGCCGGGGAACCGACGAGGCAGAAGGCTGCTCCAAGTTGGCCGGCCAATCCGATCGTTGCAGGGGGCCAGGGCCTTGCCGCATGCGGAGAGATGGGCCAGAGCGAGAGAGAGACGAGACAAAGAAAACAATGATTCTTCTTCGTTTGCTTCGATGATGCGCTGGACGGCACGGAGTGACCCTGTCCCCTGGTTCCTGTCTCCTGTCTCTCCTGACATTGTGGTATTGTTGTAGTTGTAGACTTGTAGACGTACCGTAGTAGTATGTTCCCATGTCCCATGTCCCATACTACAGTACTATCCCCGATCCCGAGATCTCAGTACAGTTCCATAAACTCTTCCGATTTTCCTTTCTTTTTTTCCATTTGGTACTTTTTTCTCTCCTCTGATTGTCCCCCTCCAAGAGATTAGAGAGCCGCCAGGATCTGGACACTAGGGCATTCTCGTTCCCCGCTTCGGACTTCTCCCAACGCCAACGCCAACGCCAACGCCATCTGCATGTCAAAGAAACCTCGCAAAAATAGGGCCCCGGCTGAGCTTCTTTGTCGTCCTGACACGGTCCTTTTCTTTATTTTGGGATCTGATCTTTTTTGATCGGCTTTTTTTCTAATTGTTTCTTGTTGACTTCTTTTTCTTTGATCTTCCTTTTTTCTGATTTTCCCGTTTTCCCCGTCGTGGCATTCCTATCATTATCGATCGTATTTTCCTATAGATTGAGTTCCCTTTGTTCTCCCCGGTCATTCACAGATTCCTCCTTATTTCTCGCTCTTCTAATTCAATAACTTCCGTCCCCTCCTCCTGGCTACCTTTGCCCCATTGGCTTGATTCACTCTTCCTTTCATTCCTCTCCCCCCCCCTTGAAGTTGACGTGCCACTGTGTTTCCCGCTTCTTGCCCTCCATTATCCCGGAGGCTTATACTTGCTGTGCCCACTTCGCCTCCCGACGTATACCGAACTATACCGAACCAGCATTTCCCTCTCGTTCTTCGACTTCTTTCTTTCACGCCCCCCTCCCCTTGTGGCCCAATACCCTATTTTGTTCCCCCTCCCTTTCTTTCTTTGATCTTTCCCCTCGTGGCCCTCGACCTTGATTTTTTGCGTTTTATGTTTTATTTTTGTTCCTATTTGATCGCCACGGCCCGAGAGATAAATGTCTTACGACCGAGTCCTCCCCAACCCGGCTTCTCTTCGCTATGAGTCTGCTCCAGTGTCCACGCTGCCCAGACCCAGCGATTTACTCGACCATAAAATCATGAATGACCATCGGCCAAACTCCTTCGTCACTCTGCCGCACCGCCCAGCTCTACCTCCAACTCCTGGCACACCTGCGGGCAATGACATGACGAGATATGCCTCCGACATGCTCCCGAATGGTGTGGCTCGGACACACCAGCAATTCGCTGCATATCAACGACCACGAGCCTCGATGAAGAATGGACCCGGTCTTTCACCCGTGCAACAGCATGTCCAGCCCGGCCCCATGATCTCCACGCATGATCTGGCGACGGATCGGAGTGCTTCTTCTTCTGGGAGCTCGAGCCCAACCAAATCGGTCAAGAATGAGGGTGTGCAGTTTTGTCTCTGCCAGCCCGACCCGAAGATCCCGAGACCTCGTAATGGTGAGTTGATGCTGCCCGAGCCGTCGTCGTATAGGAATGGCAAGTCTTTTCTGTTATTGAAGGTCGATGGGTTTTCTGATACCGCAGTTGATTTGATACTGCGGCGAGAACCGTCGGCTGTAAATAGAAAAGAGAATTTCCTTCTTCTTTCTATCTTGAATGGTGACATTGATGCTAACGAGTTTCCTTTTTTGGTCAGCTTTTATTCTGTATCGTCAGCATTACCAGGCCAGTGTCGTGAGTCAGAATCCTGGTATGGCCAATCCGGAGATTTCCAAGATCATTGGAGAACAGTGGAGGCAGCTTTCGGAGGACGAAAAGGCTAAATGGAAGGCTCTAGCGGAGGTTAGTATTTCACGGACAGCTCTGTGACCGCCATCTTATACTAATGTCATTCTTTAGGAAGAGAAAGTTCGCCATGCCCAGCAGTATCCTTCGTACCGCTACCAGCCAAGAAGAGTTGGCCGCGATGGTTCCGCTCGCAACGCTGCCTCGGGCATCAGTCACAATCCCTCTGGCGGATCAGCCTGCAATCGATGTGGTGGCCGCATCATGAATGCCCCTTCCTCTCCAATGACTCCATTCACCCCGATGAACAGCCAGGGCCACCGCGGGAGTTTCTCGGGCCCATCATCACGTCCGCATACTATCACCACCACCGTGATGACGGCCAGTAGCTCACAATGCCGCGACAAGTCCGATCGCGTTCCCAAACCCATCCGCATTGATCAGATTGAACGGCCCCGACAAAGAAAAATGGACGATGACGACATCTTGTCTCCCGAGCTGAAGCGCCGTCGTCTTTCGCAGACCTCGCTGAAGCCACACATGCATGCTCATCGAGACCGCGGCCCTGAATCGCCGTATCCGGTTACGCCGTACAGCGCCACTGCCAACGCCCATCACTCTCGCGGCATGCTGCCCCTGGGATTGCACTCGCAGCGAGCATGTGCAGGCGCACCAGGACAGTCTCAACATCAGTCTCATCCTCACGGCCAAGCACAACCGGTCCTTGATCCAAGCTTGAAGCTCCCGCCTCTGCAAACCGCCATCCCATCCACGCCAGTGACGCCCTTCTCACCGGCAGAGTCCAGTGTCGAAGCCGCCGTCATGACAATCCCATTCCTGAACAAGATCAAACTTCTCGCCAAGATCTCCCCTCCCCTCGTTCCATCTTTCCGTGAGACTCCCTCGCGTGGACCCGTCATTGCCGTCGACGGCCAGGACCCAGGCCTCGTCCGCACAACTGTCGAGTATTTGCAACGCCTCCTGCAAAAGGAAGAAAAATTCAGCGTCCGCATCTTCGAAGGCCCGGATGTCCAAGCCCCACGCTCCTCAGATACGGGTGGACCCATGGGCGATGCCACAGTGGATTACCTGAACACCATCTCCGCCTGGCACCGCATCTCAGACGATATCATCAACTTTGTCAAACCGAGTGTCCCCGCAACCCCAGAAAAAGAACTACCGAAATCGGTCAACCCCAACGAAAAGGACTGCACGACCCCAGACGGCTCCGCCTCCCCACGGACAATCATCCCCGAAACGGCCTCTCTCCAGATTCACTCCCCCAAATCCTTTTCTGCAGACGCCGACACCCCCATCACAACACCTAGCACGACACCCCCAACGCTTACTCACGCGCCCAGTCATAGTCCTGCCTCGGTACGCACACCTTCACATTCCTCCGCTTCTACCTCCACCTCCACCTCCAGCTCTATGCCTACACCTATCGCCCTTGTTCCACGCTACCAACTCACGACCGCGGATACGTTCGCTTGCAACGTTCCCATTCACGACTCGTACGCACCGCTGGATCACTGGCAGTGGATGGCGAGTCTATGGCGGGCGTGTGTGGGCCCCGACATCACGGTATACGTGAGAGAGTGCTCGAGGGAGGAAGTTGAGAGGGTCGGGGCTGTGGAGGTTAGACTTGGGGATGGCAGGACGGTAGTTTTGAGGAGGGCCTTTGGTGAGAATGGTCATAGCGGTTCGGGGATTGAAGAGAAGGGATTGAGGAGGTTGGGCTTTGAGATTGAGGATTATTTGATGCAGTAAGCTTTTGCGGGGTGGAAGAGATGGATGGAATAAGTAATGAAATTTGGGATGGTGGTCTGTTGACGGTGGATGTGGTAAGGTTGAAGGTTGAAGGATGGAATTTGGTTCAGGTTGGGATAGATCTATTGCATGGTGGCTCTTTGTTTCTACTTCTGGTGGAGGTTCGAGCTTTAAAATGGCATGATATATTTGGTATGGGAGGGGTAGTTTGTCATTGTCGCGTCAGCATGGATGGAACTGTCTTGTTAATTTGAAGAATGGAGAATGGAATGTCTGGTAGCTCAGCTTTCTATTTCTTCTTCTATTCTGCAAAAGAATAAATCGTCTTTGTATCTCTTTAAACACCATCTTCAAAATTACCGTTGTTACGCTCCGGCGTTGGACAGACCAGACCATACAGTCAGTACATAACGAAACGCCCATACCCCAGATTTTGAAATGAGATTACCCCCTCAGAGCCTGACAGTCTGTCAGGCCGTACCCGAGATTACGGCTAATCTAGATTAAATAAGGTATATTATAAGTAATCAGTCCCTAAAAATAGACCATTGTACAGTTCCACAACAACCACTCACGAGAAATTTATCACCCATTTAGGAGCTGCGTTCCCAAACAACTCGACTCGTCGAAGGAGCTTGACAAGGGCGTGGACACCCCATCCCGGACAACCGACATGCTGGCGCGCCAGGCACCGCTGTGGGCTGTGGGACTGCAATGGGTTTCCAGGGGTTGACGTAGGTATTCCTCGTCGGAGAGCTTTGTAGAAAGCCGAGGAATTGATAAGACACCCTTACAGTACAATTGATGTTTGAAAAGTCTTATTTCCAGGAAGAAGGTTCTCCGGAAAAGAGTATTCGCCTCCTTGAATTGAACACTTGCTCGCTGCGTTCCCATACAAACTCGCCATGCGATACCGAGTAACCTCATCCTAATGCCCATACGTAACAAAAACTATCATTTTTATAACCACCAACAACCTTGAAAGGTTAAATTAAATAGATAGTAATATTGTATTCAATAAGAAGATTCTAATAGTATAAATTTTGAACTAAAAAAAGCACGGATAATTGACTGGAAGAAGTAATATAAAATCTCGCGGGCATAAAAAGGAAGAACCCCCACGTCGGATCTACCGGAGCGTGGTACATTTCTGCATTGCTCATCGTCCCCGGATTATGCGGGTAGATACCTCAGTTCCAGGTCTAAGCCGCTAAGCCAACAGAACGCGGGGTTGATTTTTTTGAGGTAGAAGTCAATGATAACCCTCGTTCAGGGGAACTTTATGGTTATATTTTGCTTCTACTCAAAAGACCCGAAAGAAATCAGAGGGCAGCACTACAGTGTTATGGCCTACTATCGGATTATGTGAACAGCATGCTTCCCCGGCAGCGTATAGTAAGGCTGTTTATGAGATCCTAAACGAGTTACTTTAGCTACCTACGTGAGATACGGGAAATGAGTTGATTGAATTCGAATTGTATGTATCGTCCTTGGGAATTTTGAGCCAGATCCTAACGCCATGCTATCGTAATATCGTTTATGAATCAAACAATGACACCTGCCACTGACCCACGTCTTCTTCGTTGTAGGATAATGCCGGCTGGGGGTTTGACAGTCCAGAAGGAGTCGTCAACCCCGGTGTTTCATCATCATCAGAAATGTCCACATTGGCAGCGAAGCCGATACGTCGTCCTTTTGCAGGAGTCTTAATCGTATCAGTAGATGTACCCGGTTCGGCGAAAAGGGTACGCTTCGTTTGCGATTGGCTCGGGCTAGCATGCTCCCCATTTCGAGTTGAGATCTCCTCACTAGAAGCAAAGCCGACGCGCAGCTTCTTCCGTAATGGCATTGATAGCCCTTCCACAGCCGCGTCGTCATCCGCATCAGAGTCTTTCGCACGAGAGGCACGCTTGCTCTTGTTTGTTGGGCTGACCATATCAGGATTCTCGTCATCCGGAATGGGCAGGCGATGCCGATCAAAGAAGCCCGTCGGCGTTTCCAAGAACGCAACGGCCGTGTCTTCTTCCAGGCCCATAGCCAAGAATGGTTCTCTCTGCACGATTCCACTCATCGTTCCATCATCCAGTAAACTTTTCTCCGCATGTTGGATCTCCGCTTCCGACATTTCTTTGCGCCGCTTCAACATCCGGTCCTCGAGCGTATCCGATAGAACTAGCGTTTCCACGTATACAGGTCTGGTCTGTCCGATACGATGTGCACGCTTGATAGCCTGACTTTCCACGTTTGGCTGCCAAATTGGGTTCACGATGTAGATCCGTGATGCTTGTGCGATGTGTAGACCGTGTGACGCCTGGCGGAGGTCCATGAGCAGTACGCGCACGTCCTCCGCTTCACGGAATAGCTTGAGATACTCTGTCCTCAGCTCTGGTTTCAAGGTGCTGGCGTAGATGCGAAACTCGACTCCGAGAAGTTCAAGGCCTTCGGCGATCCAGAAGGCGGTATTGTTGTTGTCGTAGAAGATGATGATTTTCTCAGTAGTCTGGAACTCGAGCACTTTGTTCAGGAGGTACGTCAATTTGGCCGAAGCGGTGCCGACAAATCGAGTTTCTTGGAGAGGGGAGGTTGCTGGAAGTGAGCGGAAGAGATTGCGCGTAAAGGTTTTCTTTGGCGACTTGTTGCTTTGTGGCTTCGTAGAATGGTGCAATGAGCCCGAAGTAGCATTGCCAGCCGATTCCGGGGCACCCCTTGGCGGGTTGTGCTGGTCACGACGCTCAAGTTCGTGACGGGCTTTGATGCCGGCGCCGGCAAGGCCTTGCGTTGGATCGGATGATTTCAGATGCTGGGTGACGTACTGCTGGGCTCGGCGGGATTGCGTGATGCCGATGAGCATGGGCTCCTCTTCTGCATTACTTTGATCGAGCGCCCAGTGGGCACGATGGTCTTTGGGAAAGTCCCCGAGGAAGATGCCAAGTTCATGGAGGTGTTTGAACTCGCGCCAGCTGTCAGAATTGAGTGCCCTAGATGCAATCTCTATTCCACGAGTCAATTTTTCAATATCCTCGGCTGTCATCTTTTCCCGCTTCTTTTCCATATACTTCAGGGCATGCTCGATCGAATCCTGTGGATTGACGTCGGAACCGGCCCACCAGAATCCTGCCTGTCGCAAGTTGTTTATCGTCTGATTCAAATGCTTCCGATTGCTAGGGTCAAAGATGTAATCGGGCCCTTGACGTTCGGAAGTGATGGCATTGACGGCAATACCGAAGAGGAACAAATTGATGGACAGCCGGTCGTGGAAAGTCGGTGTGAGATAGACCACGGTGTTGTACAGTTTTGGAATGTAGATTTCCCTGTTCACCACATCCAACTGATGCCGCACCACCAAACCCTGCAAAGTGGCTCTGATTGCCGGAGTCTTACGACGCTGACCATCTTCCCCGATGGGCTTGATGTACTTGGACCAATCTGCATAGTCATCGGCACGGGAGTTAGACCAAGGCTTCAAATCCAGAAAATTAATCACGACGAGCCTAAGCTTGTCCAGATCCTTCATTTCATTATTCACCGCGTTGCCCGTCTTCTTTCGGCTTCGCAGAGCAGCAGCGGTGATCTCCGCAGGAGACTCGGTATCGCTGGTATTTGCTTCCTGTGACGCAAGACTGACTTCGACGCCGTAGAGTCCCGTCGATGGAGTTCCCGAGATGACCCAACGACGCTCAAAATGCAGCTGGCTGAGCATGTGAATCATATTTGAGCCATGCCCAGCGACGTTATGGCCCTCGTCTACGATGACTCGCAGCCAGTGGAGTTCTGTCAGAGGTGAGTTGACTGGCACGAACTTGGCAGTCCGATTATGAACGGCCGTGCCAGCCTCCCGCTCAAAGCGTGTCTTGGCGAATAATATGATATCGTAACCGAGCAGATCATCGGCCGGCGGTGTCTGACCAGATCCTTGGCCCAAGACTAGAACCTTCAGCCATTTGGTATGTGTGTTGATCTCGCGTTGCCAGTGGTCCAGCAAGTTGTTTGGTACGACAATGATAGTTCCAGAGCAGATGCGAACACGTTTGGCCGGAGGTCGGACATACGACCGGCTGTGTCTACCCTCATACCTGGTCTGGTGTTGAGGGATTTCATAGGACCCTCGGTTTGCCTCGCATGCCTTGACACACCGCTCGTAATGTCGACCCTCTCGTTGCAGACCGCGGAAGAAATTTCTCCACGGCTCATGATGACGCTCTGCAGCGGCGGCTGCCATATCCATCAGAGAACCTGTTTTCTCCCTAACCGGTACCAGATCTCGCTTTCCCGACGTCGACACGTATTCCGGGGGGATCTTAGGAGAGTGACCAAGAGTGGCACATATGACGGCAAGACAGATGAGGGTCTTACCACAGCCCATGGTCTCTGCAAGAATGCCTAATATTAAGAAATTAACATTCGGGCTTTTGGGACGATGGGGAAGGGGGGGGGGGGGGGATTTGAATTTACCACCACAGGCCTCAGAGTAATACCCTGCATCAAGAGTAATGTATGCGTCCTCCTTGTCATAATAATACTCACGCTCAGTCAGAGTTCGATACGCTTGTAGTCTTGGATCGAGCATGCGCGCTGGTTGCGCCTCCCGTTGAATCATTGTTGCAGCTGAGCGTTGCTGATATGGGTAAAGGTTAGTCTTGAGACCCAAATCGGCAAAATGATCCTCTGACAACAGTTGCTCCATGGCATGCCGTGCCCAGTGGTCATGTATGTTCTCCACTTGGGGGCAAGGGTCCTGCAAGGTATTGAAAATATACCAAAGAGAGTCATCCTCGGTACTAATCGATTTGTTTTCATAGAAGCTGTTTTCGACGCGATGACCGTACCATGCATGACGTGACCTGTCAATCTTGGACATGACGACTTTCAATGCTGTTCGTAGCTTTGTGATCGACCGCTGAGTATTGCTCCGACTAGTCATTTTGTAGTCAACATAGACTTGAACATGATTACTCTCATCAAAACCCTGTGTAAAGACCCAGCGATAGGTTTCCAAGAGGGCAATCTCCGCCTGTGGATATGTTACTTCTGGGTCAAAGTTCTTCCATAGCACACCAATAGGAAGGTGTGAGTCGGGGCCTTTAAATTGCCCGTTGGACTGGATCGCCTGTGTTTGGCTGTCTGAGGGAGTGGGAGCTGGACTCAAAGGATTCGGATCTTCGGATTTCATCAATAGACTGTCTGGCTCCGATGGTCGTCCTGGCGTGGCAATGGGCGAGGGGACTGATAAGATGGGGCCCGCCGGAGGAACGGCGGCTGATGGGAGTGACCAGCCATCATCTTGCCGGTCCGACTCATCCAGCTTATTCTCAGGCAATGGAGCTGGAAGCTGAGTCTCGCTGGACTCCCACATACTCATGTCGATGAAAAATGGGTGAATAATCCAGACAATCCAAGGCGAAGTCCAAGGCAAAGAGATACGGAGGCGTGGCAGAATGTTCACCGCCTAGACAGACCTTTTGATGGGGATGCACTAAGACGCTTGACAAACGCACATGCTTCAAAAGCTATTTCAGGGCGACTGGCCCTGAAATATGCGACCTCTCCTAGGACAGAAATTGGGACAAACATTGGGACATATCTTGTGTGCACAATTTCTCATGATAACTAATCACTTAGCCTGCATTCTCTTAGGAACTTCGTACTTTTTGCCTCATTCCCTCCTATGATTCTGCTCTTGGCTAAATATGACTCCAGCATTCATATTCATATAGACTTGTGCAAACAATATATCATAATGATGATACAAATAATGCTGTTGAGCCAGAATTCTCCATGGGTATAATCACACTATTTTTAAATGTGGTGCTGTCTCACACAGTTCGAGGACCCGTTTTCTTGTAGGCCCTGCTTCTGATTGGCCAGGACTATAGCCATCGGTATAGACGACAACTAATCGATCTCTCACGACACACGATGTCATGTTCAAGTAGAAGGCAATTGCAGGACCAGAATGCGCAGCGATTCAAGGCTGTTCTTATATCTGCCTAATTCCTGCGGCCTCCGCAGAATTCAACCAGTATCCAAGCCACGATCTCTTCGCTTCTTACATCTACCGTCTTCTCCAAGACCAACCCACCTTGCTCAATCGCATCAGTCGAACTGACCAAGCCTCCTTCTCTCTGAACCAAAAACCATAAATTATTTGATCCTGGGTACACAGCTACATACCAATATGGATGGTCTTCAGTGGTATCCCTGCGAGACATGCCATGAGGCATTTCCTAGTGTATCTCTCGTTGAAAGACATATGCGTGAATTGCGTCACTACCGCACTCGTTGTGAGCAATGTTACCAGCGATTCGGAAGCGTGGATGCCCTCGAAAATGTAAGTTGAGTTTGGGCCATACGATCCGCGGAAGATGGCTAACATGTATTCAAACAGCACCTGTCCTCCGGGGCCCATCGAGAATATGACGTCCTGTGCCCATTCTGCGGTAGCCTTTTCCATAAAGCGAGTATCCTGATATCACACTTTGAAGACGCAAAGTGTACTCATGCCCCGGGCTTGAACCACCACAGTGTTCTCTGGCTGATCCGAAACTGCGACACTGCTGGAGTCATGACCAACCCCCAGGTAAAATGGCTCCACAGCGACTACCTTATCACTGGACGCTTAGATTCTCGTGCTGAACACAAATGCTTCACCTGCCATCGAAACTTCTACACGCATCAAGAGCTTGAATCGCACCTCCAGTCCCCTTTAACCCGCCCCGAAGCGAATGGTCCCAGGTTTTACCGTTGTCCTGACAAAAGTGGCAGGTGTGAGAAAGGGTTTGTCTGCTTGGCCGCTATGATCAAACACTTGGAGGCCCAGACTTGCGGTACAATGTCTTTTGATCAAGTACAATATATGTTTCAGGAATTGACCGAGAGAAGTTGGGGACATGGAATAGGTGCCCCAAAGAGACTTCACCGGCCATCTTAGGGCAGAAAGCCCCTAATCATGTCTTATCGCTTCTCGAATCAAAAAGCTGCATGGTTGCCTTATGCTGCCGGAATGCTCTAATTCAAATGCAAAAAAAGCAGTCTAATACCAAACCTCAAGGTTCATAAGATAAGCATCGTAATGAATCGTAGTAAGCTCCACAGAATAGTCGGCACGAATCCCTCTGAAAACAACCTGCCAAATCAGCAGATACGCTCGTGGAAGATAGTAGAGGACCTGTACAGGGTTTACAACTCCAATTATACGAAATGAAGAGGCAGTACTAAAAGTCAAACAGCTGAAAAATTATGAAGCAATCATCGGGAAGTGATAAAACCACTCAAGTCTCAAAGATTCTGGCGAGTTGCCAGAGTCACATACAGGCGCACACAGTCCAGCCAACAGATTACTCATTTGGGAAGGCATCAAGTGCGACTCTGGAATTTGCAATCTTCATCCACCGTCCTCTTCTTTCGTTCTCACCCATCTTCCTTGACTCTTTGCATTCCTGCCTTTTCCCTTGTCTAAGTCCTCTGACTTGATCTATCCTTCGCCCACGCTGCTTATCCGGTTACGTTCCATGACTCTCCATGTTTCTGTTAATGTTCTACCTTGTAACTGTGATACTCATTTCCTTATGAATATATATATATCTGTAAAGAGCTGAGAGGATTGATGATCCGTAACAGTCATAACCTGACGAGCTTGATCAGGACTATTGAAGTAGCTTATAGTTCGGATTCAGCATTCTAAATGAGGGTGGATAATATAATACGGTTGATATTAAGGACACGACAGAAAAGTTCATGGCACGACAAGCAGTCTGCTTGCCCATTGTAAACAAGAATTGCCGGAGATTCCCATTTAGACGAGTAGCAAACGGGCACACAAACAGCGGCCAGCGGCCTCCAGTCATCCTGCACAACCTCCATCTTCTCTCATCTACCTTCTCGCTTTCATCATCTCCCACTAGGATATTACCTACACAATTTTCCTGGTGGATCAAGCCCTTCATCCTCTCCCAACCGTCTCCTCCGAGGCATTTGACATTTTCCACCATCACTTTCCTGCTCATTGAATGTGGCTACAGTAAGCTCGTTCTTAGCTTCGATACACCTCTGCTACCCCCTTTAATTCATCAAGATGTACGAATGTGACTATTGCGATGTGGAATTCTCTGACAGGGACGAGCTCGATGAACACCTTGACGATTATGATCACTGGGCCGAATGTGAGACCTGTGACAGAGAGTTCCGGAGTATTCGAGCATCCCACCAGCATATGGATGCTTTGGGCCACTGGAAGCCGAGAATCCCTTGTGAAACCTGTGACAAGGTCTTCCTTTCTCAGGCTGCGGCTGATCAGCATATGAATGCCTTGGGTCATTACAGGAACTACTGCAAAGACTGCGATCGTCATTTCGACAACGAAAACAACTTGCGTATGGTAGGTAATCTTGATGATTCGTATATCAAGGACAACGTTTTCTGATTCACCGGTACAGCATCGAAACTCGAAGATTCACCGTGGAACCAACGTACTCTGCCCCTTCTGCAAGACTGCTTTCGTCACCGCGAGCGGGTTGGTCCACCACATCGAGAGCGGCGCCTGCCCCCAGACCCCTGTCCTCGACCGAGCTACGATTCTCCGTATGGTACAGCAGTCTGACCCACATGGAATCATCACGAACAAGGCCATTGAAGCTCCCGAGCAGACAGGTGTGCAGTATCAAGCCACCTCACGTGCCTATAACGGTACCTACTGGGAGTGCTACATCTGCCACAAGTTCTTCAATACCAGTCAGGCGCTCAATCAGCATTTGAACTCGCCCGTACACCGGCAGAAGATGTACCATTGTCCCAACAAGAGAAGCTGTGGCAAAGAATTCGTCACTTTAGCCGCGCTTTTCAATCACCTCGAAAGCGAGTCGTGTGGGTTGATGCGCTTCGAGCGAGTTCAGAATATCCAGCAAGGGGTTATCGATGCTGTAATCAATCGACGGGTCATCACAAACTTCTGATTGTTCTGCTTGTGGGGGTCTGAATTCGAATTTCAGAATTACCCGGCTTTTTTAGCTACAATCTCTCACCACAAGCGTGGCAGTCTCTTGTTTCGGTGTTAAGTTTCCTTTGGGGTTTTATTTTCGATGGTGAAGGCTAATGTTGACTTATTGAAGACATATCTTCAGCCCTTTGACTAGCTAGATACTTAGACATTCTCCATGGATAATATCTGTTCCAAGGGGTCATGGAATACTTTACATTTAACGACAATCCAAAATCCTTGTCTTTTATTAGTTTATACATGAATAATCCATAATCATTGATATTCGTACCTTCATATTGGTTTCTTATATTGAGCAGCTCTGACTTGCGGTATTTGAATGCCACGAATTGTAGATAGTGATACACTGTCAATTGATGCTGGGTGGCGGATATCAATTCAGTAGATCTTTTAAAATTGAGGAGATCCTACAAGAACTCCATTATCATACTAAAACTCTCTCTACACAACTGGATTCATACATTGTCTTGGCGCTGTGCCACGCAGATCTCCAAGATACCAGATAAGATAAACACCACACCGATAACGATAGCACGGTCAGCACAACCCCACCATGAATCTCGTCCCCTCTACACTCCCCGGCTCAAACCACCGACCTACCGCACAGAAATGGCCTCAGCAGAACTAAAGGAGCCCGAAAAGGCTCTGATAGTCGGTATCTCGGGCCCTTCGTCCAGCGGGAAGACCACCCTAGCTCGACTCCTGCAGCGCATCTTCAACGGGGTCTCTCTGGATTCGTCCTTGCCCTCAAGCTCAAGCTTAAGCTCAAGCTCAGCGCAAGACGATACCAATGGCGACGACAACGGCGACAAGCTAAACACGTTCATTATCCATGAAGATGACTTTTACTATCCAGATGATCAGTATGTATACCACCAAGGGAACCTGTTCTACAGTAACCATCCATTCTAAGACACGACCCCCACAGAATCCCATACACAACGACCCCCTCGGGCAAGACGGTCCAAGATTGGGATACCTCCGCCGCAATAGATACTTCCTTCCTCGCCCAGGCACTCTCCTACGTCCGTGTACACGGACATCTCCCACCGCGACTACAAAGCAAAGAAGATCAGAACGAGGATGCGGGACCCTGCGTGCCGGATCTACTAGTTACGGAGCTTCGAAGGGAAGTCGAACGACGGATTGCATCTGCAGCTGCAGCAGCAGCAGAACAGGGATCTAAACGGGAGACTTTGGTCTTTATGGAGGGGTTTTTGTTGTATGCCCCGCCGGAGGGATTCGAGTATAAAACCACGACCAAGACCAAGGCCGAGGATGTGGATGTGGAACAGGGGGTTGATGACCATTATCCGACGGACCATAATATCTTAAGACCAGTTCATGCGCATATCGGACTGCCTCTTTTCTTGCCCGCGCCCTATTCAACCGTCAAGGCGCGGCGGGAGGGAAGGAGTGGATACGTTACTATCGGACCCGCGCCGGAACCGCCCACGACGGCAGTGAACTCGCCGCACGAGAAGAAAGAGCAGGGGGAAGAGAGGGAGGTTGATTTGGAGGGTGAAGATGACCGACCGCCGCAGAATTTCTGGACAGATCCGCCCGGGTATGTGGATGATATTGTGTGGCCGAGGTATGTGCGTGATCATGCTTGGTTGTTGATTGATGGGGATGGCCAGGGGGAGAAGGAGCAGGAGGGAGACATCGTCCAGCGTGTCGGCGAAGGTGTTGATGTTAGGCATGATGTTGGTGTTAAGGTTGCGCCGGGCAAGGGGGCGGTTAGCATGGAGGTTGTGTTGAGGTGGGCTGTAGAGGAGGTAATGGCTTTTTATTTGGGAAGAGAGTAGTGGTGTGTTGCATAGAGTGTATATAGGATATTTTATAAAGCTTCCGCCCCATGGTACTATGTTTTGTTGTCTCTGATAGAATGGGGTTGAAGAAAATACGGAGATAACTAGAGACAGACTCCCGTATAGTATCGCACATATCAAAGCAATACTCAACATCTCATCCTTTTCAAACACCCCAACAATAAAGATAAAAACAAACCGATCATCTCGGACTTGAACCTTCAACCTCTCTCTACCATACAATATCGCTCCTTCGCACGGTTGAAGCTCAACGTCCATGTGAAAATGCCCGTCCCCTCAACCCGTGTACCACACCCAGCACATCCAACCCCAATCACAACCAACCCCTTACTAAATTATTAAAATGAACAGTACCAGAATATCTAGAGCACACTGATTGATACGAAATAAAAAAAGCTCAAAATAGCCACGAAGGTAGAAAGACTGGTAGATCTATCAAAAAAACATTCTCCCCAAAAAAAGACGCCGCGGCACCGCCACCCGGAGGAACTCCACATAAGCTTCGTCGTATCAACCGGACAGCCGCCCACCACCGAAGTGGAAGCTGCAGGACTCTAGGGTCATTCAGACCGCTAGACTACTGGCACTTTGGCTGGAAGATTCGCCATTATTCTCAATTGTAACTTGACGTTGAAGGGATCCGTCGATAATGATAAGGGGGGGTTTCTACTTAGCGGCTCGACGGGGCTTGATATTGGACTTTACGGAAGACAAATGCTGAGACATCCTACAATCGTGCATTGCTTAAAGTGCTTCTGATCAGGATTGATGAGGATACAATGTATTCATACAAGACAAGGCTTGAACCAACCCAACTCCTGGCTTGACAACTATCCAATCTCCAACGGCTCATACTCCAGCAACGCGGAGAGGACCTTTCCATCCAAGGAAATAGTCCACTCGATCTCGCAACGAAGTAGGAATGATATGAACAGGTTCCTGGGTCTGCACTTCGAGATCTTCCAACGCGGGACTTGAAACAGATTCAGTAGTCTCCATGGGAACCACAACCTCTGCCAGATCTGGAGTATCTGGAACGAGGGGGTTCACCTCCGTATGATTCCCACCAAACGGTTCCAACGATCCGTTCTCTCCACAAAAGATCAACTTCTCACAAAGAATGTCCCGAATCTCAAGACCCGACTTGCCGCTCAAGACACCGTCATAAAGCCCGACAGAGTAGGCCACAGGCTGGAACAGCAAAAAGAGGGCCACCAGCCAGCATAAAACTCTCATTACCAAAGAAATGAATCCCTCGCCGTTGCGCAGTCTTCTCGGCGCAACAATTTTCGACTTGGGTTCACCACGGACAATCTCCTGCTCATCATATTCAGCATCAAGATACCGATCCTGCAACTCCTCCTCGATCTGGTACCCATCCGGCAGAGCCGTGATGCGCGGCATCCAGCTGCCAACTTCCCCACGGGGCACTCGCATCTCCCACGTAACGGTGAACATCGCCAAGTTCAGTGGGGAGCAGATAACCTGCAACTGCGTAATCCCAGGCTCAGACTCGGGATTCGAATCAAGCTGGATAGTCTGGAAATCGGTCTTTGGTTTCTCAAGGTGGCAGGCAAATTCACCCTCTGGCCCACCGTGTATGTAAATGTAAAACGCGCACTTCTCGGCCAAAAAGTCACGTTGAATGAGCTCCAGCGAACAGACAGCGGTGTACTCGATAGTGCCCGTAGCCGAGCCGCGCTTATCCCCTGTCACTCTCGCGAGGATGATCTGATTGACCTTGAAGTCACGCAGGAACCCGTAGAAGCGGAAATCGCAGGGACGTAGAGGGATGACCAAATCTGGCTGGATCACTGGGAACTGTGCGATGAGACAGTTATCGACGATATCATGTCTCTTAAATTGCATAGTACGGTATTCCATTCCCTGCCCGTCCGGTATATTGAGGTACACGTAACCATGGTCACTAGAATCTAGACGAGGCAGACCCGGAACGACAAGCTCGTACCAACCGCGCGGTCGACCAGGTTGGAGGCGAAGAGCAAGAGTCACGAAGGCCTTGTACCAGGCAGACTCAAAGTTCGATGGGCATTGAATTTGAACCACCTGATCAACAAGGCAAATGTGAGGTCTGCTGAAGGCCCGCGGTGGAGTTGGGGGTTGCACAAGACAAGTCCCCTGGGTCGGAAATTCCCCAAACGATGCATCGACCAAGTCCGACATCAAGGTCGTGTCACACGGGCTCCCAGCGGATGCCACGGTAGACAGTTTCTCCACGTCTGATCCCTCTTCTGAGGACTTGCCAGCTTCGCCGGGACTCACACCTAGACTCACACCCAGACTCACACTCAGACTAGTGATAGTCGTGGGGCTGGCCAGAGGTGTCAAGGTATCCCCAGAAAATGTCTCTGCAACGCTCTCGTCTTGAACCTGAACATGATTTCCCGGAGACCTTCTCTCCACTGGCGAGATGTTCTCGAACCGTTGAAAATCCACATCCAAAACGGGCACCGGGTCCGTTGGCAAGGGAATACTCGCAGAATCGGGACAAACTTGGTTGGTAACACTCACGGGTCTAGGGATTAGACTTCGTGTACGCGAATGCATCGAGCTAGAAGAACTGGAAGACATCGGCAACTGTCTGGGCATAGCAAGCACCCGACTTTTATTCTTGAGCTTTTCACCTCCATACGATCTCTCCGAGTCAGTCACCGAGTCCGGCAGGGAAGCAGCCTTTGCGTTTCTCTTGCGCGGATTGCTGGGTGATTGTCCAACCTCGCTGAGGAACTCGGAGGAAGACCCATCCTGGTAGAACTTGGCATAAAAAGCGTCGAGACTCTCCCCGGGGGATCCGTCTGGGGTATGTCCAGCTCGATGTACACTGTCCGAGCCCGAGGGTTTGTGAGTATTGCAACGTAAATTTGGGTATCCAGGATGCAGGATTGCACGAGGCGTATTGTTCTCAGGCGTCATAGGGTCTGTCTGCTTCCGGGGCGTGATGGGTACATTAACGTGTTGACCCAATATCGGAGAAGGTTGTGGACTGGTGCTTGTGCTTGTGCTTGTTTCTGAATCAAATTCCGAATTCTGGGGAAATAGCCTGACATCCTCGGTGCTATTGAATTGGACCATCGATTTAAGCCTGTAATCGACGATCTCGGCGACGCATGGATGAGAAGCGTCTAGCAGGGTAATTTGAGAATTTGGCGAACACCAGACCTAGTCACGAAGAAAGAATAAGTACGGGACGAGGAGTCTGGACGTGAGACGCGTTTTTTGTTGTCTGTCAACGTACATCGACCCTCACCCAGACTTGAATGGTATCGGTTAGGTCGCCAGACCAGTCACACCAGACGTCGAGATTGTTGAAGGGGCTCTCAGATGAATCCATTGCTGCGAACATCAAAGATGTAAATGATATGAAGCGAGAGAGGTAGTTGAACGGAATTGGGATTGCGGGTGTGAGGGGAAGAGGAAGTCAGCGTGGGAAGGAGGATCGAGAAAGGAAGGCACAAGGTGGAAAGTGAAGCAAATAAGACGCCACTGGGAAACCGCAGCAAATCGAAGACACTAAAACGAGGCGAAGGTATAAACAGACAAAACGGGATCCACGAGTACGAAGAACTTTTCTCAAGATAAGCCATTGAATTCCAGTCGTCATCAAATTAGAAAAAAAAAAAAAAAAACCACAGCGATGAACTGCTACAGAGAGACGCCAGTATATACAACAGAAGGGGAGAACAACCACAAACCATAAGAATGACAACTTCACTTTTTTGTAGAAGGCGAAGGAAAAAACAAGGAATCAAGCCTCCACCCCTCCGATTCTACCCAGTCCCTCAAGCGCCGATAACATGAACAAATAACAGAAAACAACCGAAAACGGACAGACAGCACCGAACGAGAATCCCGAAGCCACCCAGTATGAGGAACATCACAAGCGTAATATCTAGCAAAGTGCCCCGTCTATCCAGACAGACAGGAGAGTTAAAAAGAAGACAAGAGAATAAAAGAAAGGATATAGGTGGTAAACAGCCAGGAGGGATCCGTCAAGGGTCGACAACCCCCGGCCAAAGCATAAACGAGCGAAGAGAATGGCAAATTTTTGAAGGAATTCCAGACCTATCCCCCTTCCCACACCTCCCCAAGAAGCCCCGAGGTCCAGTCCCGGTCATGGTCCCGAGTTATGCGGTTGATGATTTATAACAAGAAGAAACACGAGTCGATACGGTTCACTGAGGAGGCTCGTTCGTAGAGCCATAGCGATTACCTTCGGGAGCCATCTGGGAAGGGAGAATCGAGGTAGCCGTCGGAGGCGCCTGGTCAAAGTACCCGCGTGCAGCAGCAGCTCCGTTGGTGGGCTGGTTATAACTGCGCTGCAAAGGAGGGAGAATGGTCGAAGTCGAAGTTTCGGGCGTCTGGTATCCGGATCGGGGGTATCCTTGAGCCATCATCGCTCCGGTCGAGTCCGGGGTCTGTTGTCGGATCCAAAGAGAAACGAAATCCTTAGCCAGGGGCCTTTTTACAACTAAAACTCACTTTTGGGATGCCGTACAGGAGTGCCAGGCTGATTCATCGCCATCAATTGTCCCACTGCGGCTTGCTGGCTGGGTCGAGTCTGCCCAGAGGGATCGGTCATTTGAGACATGGGCGCTGCTGATGGATGAAGGCCGTAAGACATCTGGGAAGAACGGAAGACGGTTAGTTAGACGGGTGCTCGTCTGACCAAAGATCAAGACAGATGCGCTTGTAAAGAAAATAATGGACGAACCCCATAGTCCGGCACCACCTGGCTCGTTTGGTATGGCTGCATGCCCGGTGTTTGGTATGCAGTTTGCTGGCTATACATCGTCGTCGGCTGACTATAGGGATCCATGGGGCGAGCAGCCATCCGGCTATCTTGGTCATAGATGCTCTGTCGACCATAATCCATAGAGGTACGATGGCGTTTGACGGGAGGAGCTCCATAATACTGACTGTAGTCTCGACTCGTCGCCGGTGCCGGGTAGCCCGTGAATCCCGTTGCAGCGGGCGGGATCTGAACGGGCTGACGATCAGGCGATCGAGGAGGAATCGCCTGTGGGAACTCGTCTGGACGAGGTGCAGATCGTTTCCTGTACGCGCCGGTCAGTAATCAAGATTCAGTCTTCCCACTCTTCCACGACTGCGACGGCTTGCCGAGGCAGTCGAGGAATGTCCACCAACTTACATCATAGTTCGAGGCTCCTTGCGTATGCGCAACTTGACTCCCTGGTCTGCAAAAGACCGCGAGAGAAAAGTGGATTCCATCATACCTGGGAAATTCTTTGGAGGCGACACCTTGAATCGATCCGAAATCTCGGTTTTCAGATAGGTCACGACATCCCTGATTCATCGGTCAGCTCTGACTGAATTCGAGTACTGGAGCTCTCCGACCGGAGAGACGGGGAGAAAGAGGGCACGCGACTCACTTGCGCATCTCAAAGAGGGTAAACTTGAGGCGAAATTCGCCCTCGATCTTTACCGACAGGTCACCAAACACGAAGAACCCTCCATCTAGGAATCATTTGTCAGCCATTGATCTCCCAATTCTCACATTCAACCTCCCGACTGGGGTGCAGCCCGTGGCTGTTAACCCAGGGCACGGGGGGCACTTACCGCTATTGTCCACGTCTTTCAACCGGTGAAGAGACGAGACTAGAGTTCCTGCTAGCGCTGTCGATGGCGCAACGGGCACTGGACGATCTTCTGTGGCATCGTACAAGCTGCAGCACATGAAATAGTAGGGGCTTTGCAGGTAGTGTCTTGAGCGGCGGACGTCAGCATCCTCATCAACCAAGCCACCCCATTCGGATTGCGATGCAATTCACTTACTGCGCCAGGTAAGAACCCTCCTCGCGCACCCGGAGCTGGACGATCGGGGGCGGATCGATGGGTTTGCGCTCTGTCAACTCGAGTCAGTGACCCGCACGCCAGATCTTCCCCGCGGCTCCGAACCGCAACCCCTCCCCCTCACGAAGAGTAGAGACGAGGAGCGTCCAGAGACCAGAGACGGTCGAGAGAATCAAGAAAATGGGATGAGGGAGTAAATAGAACGTTACCTTTCTCCTTGCCCCCAGCCACGCGCGCCCGGTCGGGCTGCTGGCGAATGGTCAGGTCAAAGTCAGAACTGGTGTTGGACAACATGGTCAGTGGGATTCCCTGGACGACCGAGTAAGAGTTGCGACCCAGTCAGGCACAGATACCAATAGGACGATGAGAAATGGATGGAACGGATAGAATGGAATGAAAACAAAAAAGATATAGGCACAGCGTACGAGACAAAATAGATGGAAAAGATTGCAGATGGGGTGTTTTCCGCATGTATTTTTTTGTTCTGTAGCTACGTACCTTTGGGCTTCGCGCGAGAGAGAGGCGTCGGCGTACGTCGATGCACTCATCAAGACGGAGAGGTGGAACCAGACCCAAGGTGTGGGCTATTTGATAAGAAAGGAATTTAAAGATTCAAAGGTTCAGGCAAGAAAGCCGGGGGATGAAGAGCCGAGGAAAGGTAGCTCGAGGGTTAGTGGAGGTTGGTTCGGGAGGAGCAGCAGCGGCAGCTTTGTCCACGGGTGCACGGGTAGTGGGAAAGGGAAAAAAAATAGGTAACGGAGGGAAAAGAGAGAAGAGAAGAGAAAGATTGGGTCCGGGAGGGGAAGAAAGAGAGCACAGCACGAGTCACGATGTCGTTGGTGGGTGTGCCGGTGGTTGATGGTCGATGGGTTGATGGGTTTGATGGTCGGTGGTTGATGGGGATGGATGGATGAGTTGGGTGGTGGAGGGAGAGGATTAGCTGTAGTGGGGGGAGCGCGAAGGAAGAATGGAAGGCGAATCCAGACTTTTGGATGGAGCGCGCCGGGAGCAGTACCAGCGTTGAACGGTCCCCGACAGGCGAGTTCCCATGGATTCGTACCGAGGGAGAGGAAAAACGGATGGGAGCGATTAGGAGAACAAAAAGAGGGAGGATGGATGAACCGGACGAGGAAAGGGCCGAGAAGAAAAATGGACGAATGAACCAGTTCGGCAGTGGAAAGATGGATTGGGGATGGTTGGAGAATGAAGAAAATGAAAAAGTTGGAAAAACGGTGGTGGACTGGTAAATGCGGTGCCGCAAACGGATGCTGCGAACGGAAAGCGCAACAGCAAAAGAAGGCGGAGAGGATCAGTAAAGTTGACCAGAATCGAGACACCGGCAGTGCAGGCGCTAAGCAGAGAGTAAATAATGGTGGTATAGTGATGTGCAGCCAGAGTTGAGGTAGAATGCTCCTATAGATGATGTCCCCGTTGCCAGTTGCCAGACGAACCAGATAGCAGATCTGAAAAGATCCTCAATGGCCGATAAAACTCGATAGCACCAGTCCGGACTCTTACTAGTCTTTTCCGACCGCAAGAGGTTTAATGATTTAATGCTGCAGCTGCAAATATGCAGGTCCCGGGGAGCCCCTCCTCTCCAACAGTCGATTAAAACGCAAAGTTCCAATTGGGCGTTCGAATTTCAAGCGCGAGCGAATCAAAGTCCCGAATCGACTTGTCGCCTGGTCCTCCGACTAACGGAAAAATGGACCTGAAAATTCTATGCACCGCGGAGCCAATAGAGTTGACGATGGGAAGAGGGGGAAAGAAATTCGGAAAAGAGTCCTCCAGGGCTCTCGTTCGTCCGTGTCTGCCTGGTTTAATGTGCCAACGGAAGGTAGTAATGACTCGTGTCAAGGCCTGCGTAATTGTATAACCTCGAGCCCACACAAGAGGCAAAAAAATAGGGCTCCAAAATTCAACGAGACAAGAAAAATCGGATTTTCAAACTGTTTTCGCCGCAAGGTGTACAGTATAAGCTGAAGAGTGGAGCCCGAACAGACTCGTTGACCGTTGGAAAACCAGAGGGTCACCCGCCGTCCAAGACCGTAGACGGCTAAGGACGGAAATCGAAGTGGAGGGATGGAACCGGCAGAATAGGGGGGGGGAAAAAAAGAGAAAAAAGGCCAAAAAGAGACAAAGAGGGTTCAGCTGCGGTCGACTGGGCCTGGGTCGACTGAGTCAACCACGGTTGGTGGGCACGGTGGCACTAACGCTGGCGACGATCGGGATGATGCGCACATTCGATCGGCCGAAGGGCCTTGCGCGTTGATGATACCTCTCGTGTCAAGGAGATGGAAGGGATCTGGATGAAAGAGAAGAAAAGAGAGTCCCTCCAGTTTCCGCACGTTCCAAAGAGCACCTCTTTTGTTAATTCCCAATCAGAGCAGGTCAGTCGTTATCGACCCTGGTGATCGACCACCGGTCCGCTAAATGAGCCCTGGTCTGCGACGGAACCAACTGGGAAGCGCGAAAACGGTCCTCGCCGGCTATGCACGTAATGGGGGTGTGAGGCCCAAACGGAACAAATGAGCTCCTGTCGAACCGCCAAAGAGTGGACTCGGGCCTGGCTCCGGCGTCTAAGCATTCCAGTCAGAGTGGATTCCCGGATATGCGAGATCCAAGCCGCATGGCCCTGCGTTGCTGGACCAGGATCTGGGAGACGCCCGAAACTAGGAAAACTAGCGGACGGGCTTTTGCTAGCTCTTTTAGCTTGGGGAAGAATGGGGTGTGGGTGCACTCGAATGTGCTGCTGCCCTCAGTTTTAGCCTTTCGAGCTGAGCCGTGACGTCCAGTCAAAGTCACCGTGTGGGTGGCTTTTTCCCCCCAGCTGATCGCAGGGAGGCTCTGGGCGGAGACAAAAAGACGGAGCGCTGCACCCCACACAAGTCAGTCTGACTGGAAAGCACGGGGACCGTAATCCTTTTGGCTTTCAAAAAGTCTCAAGACAGCCTGATTAGCAGGTTTAGTTTCAAATCGGAGTACAGCCAACAAAGCTAAAATCAATAGAACAAAAACGGGGCACCAGAATGAGGCCTGATGATTAGGTAGCTCCAAGAACTTTCTTATGTCATCGGTCCCGTTGACCGAAAGGGAAGCGATTGCTCAGTGCCAATCCGCGACTAGACCAGCGAACTGACCACTTTGACCTCCCCCTCACAAACTCAGACTCCAACGAGCTTATCACAGGGATTTGTCTTACCGGTTTGTTGTTTCCGGGTCTCGTTTTCTCTCGAGGCTTCTCGGCCTTTGTCCTTTGTGCCCTCTCTTGGACTTTCTCCACGCGTTCGTGGCACGAGATTCCGCAAGCTCCCGTCTCGCTTCTGCCTCGTCTTTCCACGGCAATTATGTGCCCCTGAATGGCAACCGGGGGTCCCCGGTAATCACGATGCTTGTTGATTTGAAAGCCGTTTCTCTCGTGCGATGCGGCGCTCTCTCTCCCGTCGTCAGAGACGCACCCAGTGATGACAACGACCTCTCGTCAACCTCGTGACCTCGCGAACGCTAAAACCAGGTGCAATGACAATTCGAAGGCGCGCGAACCGAACACGAGAACATTAAGTCGACAAGAAATGCTCAAGCGAGGCATACCGGGTCATAATGCGACGAGGTGGGAAAGAAAAATCCAGATCGAAGGGCGTTGGCTTTGCGACGGGGGGCGCGGAGACGAAAAAAAGTGAGCCAAGACGCGAGCCTTATGGGGTAAAGGTGAAAAGGCAATTGCAAATAAAATGCCACAAAAGGACACGAACCCTTCTGCATCAATGTGCGATTTGATGCATCACATCGTCCGTGTGTCATACAGGCTTCAACAGCGAAAGCGCGAGCGCGAAGGGAGATTAGTTCCGGTACCCGAGTGTATGGGATGCACTGGTTGGGCAGCTCTGGGAGCAAAGGACTCGAAGATACCCTCTTTGATCTAGCCGGGCGGGGGAAGCAGAATAGAGAGTTGGTCGCTGAAGTCATCCTGCGGGTAGGGAGTGGACTTGGATGGTCCGCGCGATCGGGCATCCTGCATCGGCTTGGAGACGAATCACCGATGGGGTTGGCCTGTGGGCTGTGGGCTGCGGCCTGCCCGGTTTGCAGATCGCGTTCTTCCCTTGGCTTCATAAAGGAAATTTACGCCACACTTGCCATTCGCTGGTCTTTGCTGCGGCTGAGGGGGGGGGGTGAGAGAGGGGACTGGCACAGAAAAAAAAGAGTGCATGGCACTTTGGTGAAAGTCACCATCCTGGTATTCCCCCTGGCTGCATGCACAGTACCTTTTCGAGCGTACTATACTTGACAAGGAAAGATTACTTGTGATGAGACCGAGCGGCAGATGGACCTCGGAAAACAAACTCTTCATCTGGAGTAAATCGGGCATGAAGAGAGGGAGGGGGCAAAAAGCATGGCGTGCACTGGCGCTGCCGCTGCATCTGGATATGACAACCGGCCCAGTTCCGAGGACAAGTGCATCACAAAAGCTGCCGATAGTGCGGTGATCAATGCAAGGGTTGGCTTTTGGGAGACTGCAGACGGTCCGGAGGTCCAGCTGGAGTTTCGAGTCTATCGGACAACGGCATTATTTGGCCAAGAACTCGAACTGGATGATCCGCTCGATCACCGGCGCTCAACCAGTACAGACCGTACTTCGTAGCTCGCGAGAGGCTTTAATGAACCGGTGCCGAATTGGCGGACTCGGTGGCCCCGCCAGGAGGGGATCCGCTCGAGAGGACCGGGTCAACAACAATAGGGAACATGTTCCTCTGTAGATCGCCCTGAAGAAGAAGAAAACAAAACCAAAAAATAACACCATCCCCTAACGGTCAGTAAATGGTCTGGCTCAGATGCAGCCTCAGCCCAAACTGTGGTCTGATTTCCACTGGCTGTCACTCCTGCATCGGTCCGTTAGTTCCTGGACAGCCCGCAGGGAATGGCGCAAACGTTGGAAAGCCACAGTTCCTGGAAAGGTACAATGATGCAACGGTGCCTCGGCCTGTCCGTTCACGGAGAGGGGGAAGAGATGAGATGGAGAGAATAGATGTGAAAGAGCCGAGCGGGCCCGATTGGACTGGCTGAAAGTGCATGAGCGTGGGTTTCCCGCGCAGTGGCCAGAGAGGAGAGAAGGGGGGGAAAGGCGACGAAAAAAGGACGAGAAAAGAGATCAAAGTAAGAGGAAGAAATGAAATGGTGTCGAGAAAAAAAGAAAGACAGAGAAAAAGGGAAACCGGAAAACCCTGCTCAGACTAATAAGAATGAACAACACATCAGCCTCCACCGAAAGCCTCCAAAATAGAAAATCAAAAAGAGAAAGAGACCCTCCGCAAAACCCACGCAAACCCGCGTGGTGGAAAAGTGGACATGGGGGACCTAATGTCAGTCTGCCTCCGACGCACGATGAAGTCGCACCGCCGGAGATTTATTGGTAGCATTAATTTGTGGCATTGCAGTAGTTGTATTTATTATCAGTGGGATGGGGACTCCCGCCGGATGCCCCCTCCCCGTCGGAAATAAGAGTCGGTCGAGAACTAATGAGAATCAGGCTGTTGGGGTGCTCGTCGGTAGAACTCCGCAGTTTAGAGGAGACGATGGAGGAGCATGGAATCACAATAGCATTGTCTTGGAAGTTAGGAGTACAGAAGTTAGGAGTACACAAGAAGTCCTTCTCGACTAGATCATACTTTTCCAAAGGGCAATACGGGAAAATATGAAATTGAACATATGATATCAATAATCCATGAGATAATTGTACAGTATGCCCCAAATTGAATACGAATCTGACAGCGGCCCCGACCCAGACACCGCCATCTTCTGGAACGCTATGCGGTTATGCTTAAAGTGAGGCCCGCGGGTTGGCCCCAAGCCCGGCGTCGCCGGTTCCATGGATGCTCGCTCCCTGAAACACCCAAACACCCCCTCCTGACAGCTGGCTTTAGCTCTTCCCGGTTACTTCGTAAATCAGCCGTACAAGAGCGAATCGAACGCTCTGACCCGCCGATCTTGCCGATCGAAGCGTTCCATGGACTGATCATTGATTTACCGTTTGGCAGAAGTACTATCATTGGACTCGAATACTGTAGTTTTGATACATACTTGCTAATCCTTATCGTGGTAATATCTGCATATGCGAGGGGGCGCCCCCCCCCTAGTCAGTATCATATCATATTCGACGGGGTATTCCCTCTTTTTCTTTTCTTGTTTTTTAATCTCCGAGGTTCCGGTTTGCCGGGTCGACCCTTTGAGTCCACTCAACCACACTGCACACTGTAAAGGGGGCGTTAACGGAGGTCCTCGGTATTAACAACAAAAATTACGATTATCTCAATATTTGCCTGATCGCATACTTTCACATCATACCCCAATATCTGCCCCAGGCTACAAACGCCAACATTACCTAACATCATCACTAACAAGCTCTGGGCCAGTTCAGCCCCGTGCTCTGGCCCCTAAAGTTAAAGCTACTTACATGCTGAGGCTACGGTAAGACTCCCTTTGCCCTTCCTCTCTGACTAGCCACGGAGAGGCCTAAAATAACCCCGCGGTCGCGCAAATTGAGTTTCTGCTCCATCGATCATGTCACCGTTTTGTTCTGCAAGTGGGAGCATTGGGCGTCGACGCGACTCGATTACGGGTAGACCTGTCTAACGTGGCTGGTGCGTGGATCAATGGCTCGCTGCACGTTGTCGATCGGGTGTCAGGGTCACATTTGTATTCGGAGTTGGGTGTAACGCGATATGGCCAGTCTATGCGTTGAGTAATGGATACGAAGCGCTGTGACTATAGGGGGTGAGCAGTGAACACCGAGATGAGCATACTGTACTACATAACTGCAGGCATGTAGATCTTGGTTTGATTGTCGGGGTACTGTAGATGGATAGGCTACACGCGACACTAAATCACGGGACAACCGGGCACATGCGCACCGCTTACCCATTGAGAAGACATGAAATAGCCATGGGCATGACTAGGAATATTGAACATGGAGAATGGTGATGAAATTAAACGAGGAGGAAAAGAATAGATTTCCATGGAAGACCCAAAAATTAACGCCTTGCTCCAGACCCGCGCTCCTGGCTGGACAGAGGAAGAAAAAAAAGAGGACAAAGAGAATGCCCGAGCAACGAAGAGAAAGCAGTGACAAGTCAATTGATACGTCGTGCGACAAATCGATTGAGTCTTGATCACCCGTTCCCCAGATGGAGAACTAAAAGAAAGATCCCTAACAATACGTAGAGATGGAGAAGATCAAAAGTTCAAGAAACGATAATAACGCCCTGTCCATATGCGTTGCGATGTTGCGGGTACCCCGGCCGAAGTGGCACCTGTAATGCATGCTCATGGATGTACACTTCACCGTAATGAAGCTCATGTCTCCATTATCACGTCGCCATCCATTTCATACTCCCCGTCAATGTCGTCTTCTCCCTCGGCATCGACGTCCGAGTCGATACCGTTGGTATCGGTGGTGGAAATCTTGCTGTTCCGTCGCCTGCCCGATTCGGGATCAGCAGAGACCACCACTTGTATTTTCTCCACCAAAGCCTTGCGGTTGACGGATCGAGGGGTCTTAGCATGATGATCTGAATGCTTCCCTTTCGTTTTTTGAGATGTGGCTGTCGGGGATTTAGATGCCGAGTTCCGTTTCTTTTCAGGTGTGTGAGGAGGTTCGGGCTCAGACTCGGCGTCGCCGTCAGCATCCGACTCGTCGTGGTTGATGCCGTTGGTTTTCACGACATCCTCTTCGTCACCATTGACTTCGGCTTGTTCACTCTCTTCGATCTCCATGCCTTCGCCGCCGGGTTCCGGTGTTGCCGCTTCGTCTACCAACAGGCCCAGATCTTCGGGACTGGGGTCGAGAACTGCCTCCTCGTCAGCGAGCTCGCTTTCGTCCACACCATTGGTCTGGGCGGGAGTCGCATCCGTCGATGGAGAGTCTATTGTCATGGCGCTTCGTCCGCGACGCATACTAGGAGTGCCAGCGTTGGGTGTGAACAGCGGAAGCCCTGAGGCTCGTCGCGGCGTGTTGCGGCCACTTGTCCGAGTAGCAGTAGGTGTCCGAGAGTGGTTCTTGAGACTACCAAAAGGACGGCCAGGTTTGCGTTTGGGTGGGGCAGGAACATGTACTGGAGGCCAAAGCTCAAACCGAGAGGGTGGAATTCCGGCCGCTGGGTTGGGAAGTGGTTCGGGCTCTGCCAGCTCCGGCTCATGAAGGCCGTTGGTTCGCCTAAGGCCAACGGTTGAGGGTGGACCAGCGGTTTCTCCCAGCCCATCTGTGTCCGTTCCATTCGCCATTGTATCTTCATCGGCGTCTTCTCGGGAATCCAGCTCCTCGTCGTCCTCGTCCGGGTCGTCGCGGGGTGCGACCGCATGTAGAGGTGCTCGATCGAAATGCGACTGGTTATTGCGGCCCATGACGTATGGAGTCCACGTCAAGGCACCTGGATTGAGCTGGACATAGCCCTTACTCTCCCACTTGGCAATCACCTCTTCGAAATAGTCTTTGTCGAGGCGGAGTGCATAGGTCTTTGTGACGGGGTCTCGCACCAGAGCGCGAAGTCCTTCCAGGGCAGACACAAGATCGTCTGCAGTCATGCCTGTCCGATCGGACAAATCGGCAATGCTGACAGGGGTCTTGAGGTCACGAAGTTGGTATGACAGAATCAATCTCCAGTAATTGCGATAAGACACCAGACCCATGTCAGAGAGCGGCTTTTCGGGTGAGCCACTTTTACCCTCGATGCGGGTGAGAAGGTAGGAGAAATCAATGAGGAGGTTGCCATAGCCTTTGCGTTGGTGGATAGGTAGGGTGAGAATGCAGGATACGTTGTTCGCCGAGCTCGGCCGTTTCTCTTTGCTGAAATACCCAACGAAATGGCATCCTAAGTCGTCGTACTCGGCCATGACGTAAAACAAGAATGGTTCCACGTCGTAGTACAGAGTCTTCGATCCTAGGAACAGCTTGGCGAGGAGGCACAGATTTTGGCAGTAAACTGGGTTCTTCCGACCGTCCACCTCAAAGATTGAGATCGACCCATCGCGGTAAATCTCATCGCCGGGCGGGTGTTTTGCGGGGCATTTGAGCTTATGCCGCCAAGCGACATAGTCCGAGTTCATATACTTTAGACAGAACTCGCAAATGTAAAGTACGCGATTGCGACTGTACTCCTCCGGATAAGGTGCAGCGTACCAAGTCTCAATCTCATAGCCACCAAAGTTGATGTACTTGATTTTCGAAGGAGGGCCCGATACCTTCTGTGAGGCAGTAGGAGTTGCTTCGCCATTTAGTTCTGCTTCGCGGACTTTGCGCTGCCACTCATCTTCGGCTCGTTGGCGGGCTTGTTCAAACCTGTCTCGATCCGCTTGCAAGGGCAAGGTCTTGGATGTGTCTGCCTCCGCTTCGGACAGAATGCCACCGTATGGCTTGGATTTTGATTCATCAATTTCCCGATCGTGGAAATGATGGTATTGATGGACGTGAGGAGCAGGAGGGATGGGAGCGAAATGGGCTTGGGTTTCTTGAGGTGCCGACGGTGGCTTGTGGGCTTTCTTCTTCTTTCGCAGTGGTCGACTCTGTGTGCTGATAATTTTTGTCACCTTCCCTTCTTCTAAACGGAAACCGATGACAAGTTTCCCCAATTGTTTTGTAACGATTCGACAATGTCCGCGCTCGACTGCTCGCGTCCGTCGAGGGCGCATGGGTCGTGCTGGAGATGCTGCCCCGTCAGCGCGTTGATCAGCACTGCCGTCAAGCCCAATATCATGGGAATCGGAAAGGTCGGTTTGTCGCCGCCGCTTCCGTAGCACCGGTACGTGCTCTTCTGCTTCCACTGTCGATGCTTTCCTTTTCCGTAGGGACCGTGAGCTGTTCAACAGCTCTTCACTGATGTTGTTATCGAAGATGGAATGGAACCCATCCTCTTGATTTCCCGAGTGTGCAGGCAAAAGCTCTTTGGTCAAATGACCAGCGCCATTTTTCGGTTGCACTGGCGACTCTGGTTCGGGTTCAAGGTTGTTTTGGACACAAGTGGGACATCTCCAAGGGTCTGTAGATCAGATGTTAGCCAAAGGATCTTGGAAATTTTTCCAAATCGAGCACGAGTTTAAATGCAGCCATACCTTCAGAATCGTCAAAGGCTTCTTGCTCACGGGCGCATTGCCGATGGGCTATCGGGATGCCGAGTTAACGATTATTCAAAAAGGGGAAGGGGGAGGCTTAAGCTTTTAGCCCCGGCCCCGCAAAAGCATAACATACAATGATCGCCGCAAACTGCGCAAGTCAACCACTCCTCAAAGTCCTCACTCGGATCGTGTTCCTCGTCTTGGGTGCAAAACCTATTATCTGCTGTCAGCATTTAATTTCCTGCGAATGAAACCAACCCGGGCGATCACCCATATCGTATCTGCACTTACATGCACAACGCCCCAACGCGATTATCAACGTCTGCATCCTCGCGACCATTGCTCTCGGCCTCCCAGTCTTCGTCGGCTTCAGATTCTGATTCGCTCGATTCGGAGGCTGCTTGGTCGTTGTCTTCTTCAAATGCGGGGTCGACATCGCCGTCGGCCGTCCCAGACTCGGCATCGTCATTCTCGGAGGCAGCATCGTCATCGTTATCGTCGTTGTCAACCGGGACCTTGACAGCCCCAACTGGTTCAGTCTCGTCGTTGTCGCCACCATTCAGTCCACCGTTTGTGGCAGCGCTCAGGCCTCCACCGTTTACTCTGTGATGGCCGTCCTCTTCGTCCACTTCTCCCGAGTATGACTGGTGGACCGCATTCTGTAGCTGCTGATCCATTTCGTACAGATCTGTTTCCTCCTCCCCCTCCGCATCCAAGTCACTATCTGCCTGGTCGGCCCGGGGGTCCAGATTGTCCGGATCATCGTTCACTGGCGGCACCGTCGCCGCCATGGTGAGTGTCGCGACGGTCGCCAGGTCTTTTGTGGGCAGGTCGCCGAGATGGTATGCGCCTGGGTGTAGATCTCTCTTTGTTAAATGTAAGGCCGGGCCAAGTCAAGCTACAGAGCCACCCCGCTCGCGTCGGTGGCGGTCCGGCGGTGCATCTGGAGACTATGCGAGCCTGACAGGGAAAAAGTTGATTGCGCCAGGCGCTCAGAATATGAACAGAGTGATTTGAATTGAAGGCAAGATTCGCTGGCGCAAAGCGGCTGTTGAACAGGTAGGTGGTGGTCAGTAGGCTGTGACAGGTCGCAAGCACGTGTCGCTGAAGGAGAGGGAGTCACACCTGAGGTGAAATCAATCGTTTCAGTGAAGTAAACAGGTACAAGACGCGTCGATGAGCTATCCAAGCGCTGGCAACGGACTCTCTAGCGTTCAAGCTGCGATCCGCTGCCCCCTTGGCCCTGGGAGTGTCGTTGCAGGCGGCTGAGTAAGGCGCACTAAACCGTTTTGGGTCACGCAGACCTCGCCTTTGGAAACGCCCGCCCAGTGACTGGCTCCCCTCCACCTTCCCTTCTCCGCGATTTGATCCTTGCTGCGCGGCGACGAGCTGGGTCCCTTGCAATTGTCAATTGATACCTTCGGTCCTTGACCTTGAACATTTACGCCGTCATTCGAAATGGGTGTTCCCTTCGAGGCCCTCCTTCCTTATGCGATCATCACGGGCGTGCGTCTCATCCGCCGGTCCCCCTTCGAGCTCTAACTGACTGGCCACCACAGATGTTCGGCGTCACTGGCGCTGGCCTGTACGTTGTGAAGCGCTTCGCTAATGAGGGCAAGAAGCCCCGCTGGAACCGGGACCTTTGGGATAGGGTAAGTGACTCCTTTCAAATCATCGGCTGCGGTCGGGAACTCGTTCGGCAGAATGTGTCGGCTAACTCTCACGCAGCAAAGTAAGTCACGACCTTTCTATTCGACGGAGCCAGGCTTTACGAGGTCAATCGGGTGGGTGACTAACGAGACATTCTCAATCTACAGTGATGGAGCGCGACCTGCGCATTACCGGCACCATGCGTGGACAGTCAAGCAACCACCAGGCACCCCCAGGATTCGATGTCAGCAAGCCGTGGAAGGTATGGACAAGAACGGACTCGCGACTGCTTTGCAGCATAATGATCTCGTGCTAATCAATTCGATACAGATCGAGAAGCGGATTTTCTAGACCAAAAATTGCAACGTTTCTTTCTCTTTTATGCATGCGCCTCTGTTTGTTCCTCGATCACTATACATACCTTCCGCCGCAATATTCCTCTAGAAACATCGATGTACCATACCATTGAGCTTCGCTCTTCCCTTTTCTCCCGGTAATTTCCGACTCAGACATCTACTTCAGTTGGGAGGTCAAGCCTCGAATGCCCTCAGTCTCGCTCTCTCGCAAGTGCATGTCAAAGTACTTGGCCAAGGCTTTGACCCGATCTTCCTCGTTTTTGAGGACTTGCAAAACCTCTGTCTGTCCCTTGATTCGTCGCTTGACCTCCTTACCCGAAATAATGCACTGCCCAACAATCTCCTTCCCCGTAAGGTCCAAAATCATTCGCATGCACACAAATGTCTGAGTGAACCAGCTGGATGGCTCTTGGCTCACCGAGAAGTTCATACCGCGGAAATCCTGAGGCAAGAATTCTGCCTCGGAGAAGGCGATGTTGGGCAACCAAGGGCTCTCCGGGTTATGTCTTGTCTGAAAAATCCAGACTTTCTGGGATTTATCAGTAAACTCGACCAGGGTCTCCTTGATTAGACGCATCTCGGAGGGTGCAATGCATGTAGCCGTAGCGCCTTCTTGGAGAGGCAATGGTGCGGTAGCACAGTTGTTGCCAAATCCAACATCCACCTTGGAAACTGTTAGTCCGAGCGTTGACGTAGATATGGTCTAGGCGGTGATACTGACCATATATTTCGCTCCGCCAATGATCGCGATCAGTACCATGTGACTTCTGAAATACCCACCTATATTAGCGTATCTGGTCGGAGCAATCTACAGATTTGTAACGGGAAGAATGGGAAGAGACCACTTACAATGACAGATATAATCCATTGTCCACCCCCGTAGCAGCAGCATGGCTCACCCTGCCTCCGGTGGCATACACGTGGTATCCCAAAGACCGCAAGACAATCAAGAAGATTCCTGTACTCTCCATACAATACCCATCCAAGCGCCGCTCTACGATCTTCTCATGCAAGCTATCTGGATGCAAGGAGATGGTGTGATGCTGCGAATAGTGGAGTGCCGAGTTTCCCCACGGAACAGCACCGAGATGGCGTCTCTGGAGTTCAGAGAGTATACCTAACGCGTCACTTTGGACGCGCTGGCGGACATCCTCAAGTAGAGTATTTGCGTCGCTTGCTGCGGGCGTATATGCAATTCGTTTGAGATATGCTTCGACCTGGGTGTCGGTGTATGTTGGTTGATTGAGCGCCATGTTCGCTGCTTGGCTTCTTCTTTCTGTTGATGACGTGGAGCTTGGGGTATTGTGCAAGGTATAAAGAAAAGTCTTCGAGGCTGGCAGCGATCGATCAAGGTGTTTTACTTGGAATCGAGTCACCACTTGTCCGTCTGGGCTTGTGGTTGTTCGGCATTGTTTCTTGACCAATTACTGCTGGGCTGGTCGTGGACACCCCCACCCCGCAGTCCTCTCGGCTGGTCCGATATGCCGGCTGAGTAATTGCAGTCTACAATGGGCACTAACTTATGGCTCTGGGAAGGTACTTGCTACGAAACAAATCCTGGTGGTAGCTAAGGAGGAGGTCGAATGAGACCATTGAATCATTATCATAAAGAGCTCATGCCTGCCGGTCTAGCAATTCGTATCTATAAAGTAAGTAGGAAGACGCCCCGCCTAAGGCCAAGCAACGAATATATCACCAGAACCAAATTGAGGAAATCCAAGCAGCCAGTCACATGTTAACGGCATGTTCAGGGCGAATAGGGCAACTCCATCTTATTTGTAGGAGCGGACGAGCTTCGTAATATTCGTACCGTCATCCAGCGTTTCCACGCTCTCTTCCAATGTATACCCTCCGCGCCGAGGAAGAAATACAGTCCATATATACCAGTAAAGCACCCCGAACAAAATCCTACACCGTCAAATTAGCAAAGACACTTTGGTTCAATGGGGGAACACTTACACGCTAACCCCCACAATAGCATAGGTTGCGTAGAAAAAGTCGACATCACCTTTCCAGTTCGGAGGTGGGATGAATGGTGCCGCCAGCAACGCCAGACAAACCACAATGCGGATCCAAATAGCTGGTAGCCACGCTTTGAATGGTCGGGGCCGATTCGGCTCCCTGTACCGCAGGATTAAGAGGCCGACAGTAATCGCAAGTGCAAAGAGTTGTCCTGGATACCCCTCCACATCTAGGATGAAGTTGTATACGTCGCCTTGGGGAGGAATGGAGATTACCAATACTGATGGTATATAGTGCACAAGAAGGCCGCCAAGGGGAGTTCCGAATGGACGGGAGGAGGAAAGGAGATTTTGCCAGGGCAGGAAGCCCTGACGAGCAATTTCTTGATTGACTCGAGCCTATCGTATGTATGTTAGCAGGGAGAAGTGAATTGACTGCAGGAATACATACGTGAGCAAAGGTCACAACCATCACGTTGCCTGCAGCTGAAATTGCAATCGCAAGTGGAAGCAGTGTTCTCCCAATATGGTCGCCAAATAAGCGCTGGAACAGCAGTGCAGCAACTAATTCGCCGCTGTTCTTGATGTCGTCAATTGGCACGACCAGGAGATAGGAAGTATTGGCCAAAAAGTAAAGACCGCCAGCAGTCAGTAGTGCCGATGGACAGACCGTCTTGACTGTCTGTACCGGGTTATGTACTTCGTTCAGCACATTGTTGATGTTGCTTAGTCCGGCATAGGAGTACATGACTTTGAAAATTGCCGTTGACAACAGGGCCCAGCTCCAATTTGAGCCTTCCCATAAGTAGTCCCACGAAAGACTAGTGATGGCACTCTCTTGGGGAACGATACGATGGGAGTTGCCAAAAAATTGAAGAAGCAAGACCCAAATGCCCGTTAGCGACATGGCACCGATCAAAAAGATCTTCAACCAGCCCAGGGCATTCTGAATCACGATTCCTGCCTTCAAGAAACGCCCATGAATTAACATAATCGTAGTCAAAAGCCCGACCGCAAGAGCCTTGTGCTGGAGATCAGTTGGCTCAAGGTTGAACGCGAAAAGGGTATATTTGGCGAAAATGATGCAGTTACTAGCAGTAAATCCTAGCAACACTGCTTGCACGGCGATCAGAGTAGAGGCGAGGAATCTCGGTCGGGAATAGGTATATTCCAAGTACACCTACAAAGGGAAGTGAAATCTTAGCGGATGCTCTCCTCGGCAAGCCGGTGGGAAATCTGTATCTACCTTGTCCCCTCCCGACCGAGGCAACATGCAGCCATATTCCATCGAGATGGACATTCCACATGCTGCGAGAATCGTGCCGAAGAGCCATACCAGCACGGTTAGTCCGATACTTCCGGTAGATTTCACGATGGATCCCGGCGTCGCGAAAATACCGCTGCCGATAACGCGTGAAACCACAAGTATGTAGGCGCTGGTCCAGGAGAGGGTTTTCCGCGGACTCGAGCCTGGAAGGCTCTCTGGGAAGTCGGTGGGTATTTCAACGCGTGGATCGCCCAGCAATAACGGTTGGGAGTCATTGTTTTGGCTAGGTGAGGGTAGCAAGGGCTGTCGCTCACTTTGCTCCATGATGCTAACTTGGCAGCTAACCGTGGGGCATTTACAGTGACCTCTTATGGCTGATTTGAAGGATTTAAGAAGATGGCATTGAATAAAAGCAGTCGGTCGGGTATTTGATATTTGTAAAACATAGTTGACTGATCATGTTGCTTGGAAATCACCACTGGCACGTCATCCGGGCTGAATGTTGTGTCTTCATTCCTTGCGTGACGGACAGCTGACGGGATTGCGAAGAACGCGTTCGCATTGCGATAGATGGTCATGTAGGGCCAAATCTCGAAAGTCATTGGGTGATAGTTAATACTGTAATTTCAGGTATGAGATAACCGTTTGATAGACACAACCTCTTTACATGTTTGTGATCTCGGTGGCTCGTAATCTACGTACTTTAAAAGCTTGTATGCGCCCACTTGTTGGGGCGTGTATCAAATCTACATCTAGAAAACCCATGCATTATCTACCATGCGGAAATTAGAATTCCATAAGCAGAGAGTATGAGTATCATCGGATGTCAGATGACAGACTCCTCTTCTCGAGTGGCCCGATGCCTTGCTAGCCCCAGGGTGTCGCCGATGAGCACTTCCGATCAAACCAAAGGAGGCTAATAGCTGGCCGTACTGTTAGAACTTTCATTCCACCCAATAGAAATGGGGGTTTCATGGTCGAGTACATATGATAGCCGCTATTTCCAAGCTGCGCATGACGGTCGCAAATGCCCGTGAGGAGGATACCCAAGTCACTTGTTGACTTTTGTAAGACACTCTGCATATGACGTGCCCTGTCATTATGCAGATGTACATATGAGCTTATCGGCCCCGTCCAACAAGCCTTTTCAAACGGCTGAAACCTCCGAGGTCCTATAATTTCAAGGTCCCTTTACTCTATTACATATAGTCTCCCCTGATTACACCAAGTAAGGAGACTAATAATCGCGAGACATGAGCTGGAAGCCTTCATATGAACTCAAATTTGAGATTTTCAGCTGGTTCAGCCTTGATTTGATCGTGTCCACTATATATAGTATTGAAACCGACCCGGTGTCATCGGCCTCCATCCTTGCGATTCTCCTCCTCTTGAAGAATTCATGACGCATCATATCAGTGTTAGGTCATGATTGCCGCTCCGGATCCATTTCCGAATCGATTCGCCGAACCACTCTGGCAGGATTGCCGGCGACAAAGTGGAATGGAGGTACATCCTACAGCAATCAGTTGAAGTCCCTCGGGCAGACCGAATCGAATCATACCTTGGTGACAACCGATCCAGCTCCGACAGTACTGCCTCTGCCAACTCGGACACCAGCAAGGATCAGTGCACTACCACCAATCCAGACATCGTCCTCAATGTGGATCTCCTTTCCAGCCTCGGGACCTTTCAAGCCACGCCGCACGGCAGGGTCCATTGGGTGAGTTGCTCCGTACAAGCAGACATTCGGTCCAAAGAGCACGTTCTCTCCAATCGTGATTATGCATGTATCGAGGACTAGAAGATTGAAATTGAGAAAAGTTCCCTTGCCAACTTTAAAGTTCAGTCCATGATCAACTGAGATGGGTCCATCAACGAATGGATCTGTCTCTTCAAAAAGGCCTTCGTCTTCTTTTGGATCTGGGTTGACTGGCGGCAAAGGTCGTGTATCACCCACGATACTAAAAAATTTAATATTAGCATGCCTTGCGATGAACCTGTAAACACTCCCCTTGCCTTCAAGAGTAACCATGGTGGAGCCCTGGTGGGTGGATTACTTACTTTCGCCATAGCTCTACTTTGCGACGTCGTGAAGCACCACCCGCGGCATTGTATTCCTCACAAGCTTTCTTGCACCGTGTCCGATTTGCCTGAAGCTCTTCATCCCAGGCCCAATAAAGCTCGCCCCGCAGCATCTTTTGCCATTCCTTTGACTGCGCCATGGTGGTGAGTGCGAAGTCTTAGCCCACTATTTCCGGTATGCGGGATTAAAGAGATTAGTCTGCAAGACGGGGAAGCCGGAAGGTAAACTATCTTATATATGTCCAATCGTGACAAGTGGATTATCACTAGCAGTTGACGGGCGTGCCAAGTGTTGGTGTTGCTGGTTGGTTTGCCTAAAACGGCAGTTCAGGCAACGGTGGAACAGTGCCACGACCCGCTTAAAGTGCCGTCATTGGTGGGGTCCCTCAAGGCATTGGAACTGTCTTTCAAGTATTGGGAAGAGTTAAGAGCAAATATTTATAAAAGAATCACAACGCGGTATCATTCAGCAATCCGTAATGCCGAAACCGGGAAACATAGGAGAGCTGCGTTGCCTGTTAAGCCCTATTTTCAATGAGCTCCTGGATAGTACTGATAGTGACGAGGAAAAGGCACCAGCACGGTTATACCAACGCGCGATGAAGAAAATGCTCAAATCTTCCGACGGCTGACTTGAGAATTTCAAGATTAGAGGGAACTTTCATGGATAGGTCAAGCAAGCAGAAAACACGGTTTTATCTCTTCCCCCGCCCATTTCCACAATCTGCAAATCTCCTTTCTCACCTCGTACTTCTTCCATCCTTGTATTCTTCTACGAGCCACGCCGAAGCCAACTAAAACAACACACTTACCGATACGACGCTAAACTGACCACTCCTTGACCTCCATCATGTCGAGCCAGTCGAGTGGAGCTGCGGATACCTCCCTTGAAGACTCGGTACTTATCCTCGAGGGACACTGGAACTACACCCCGTGGCTTTACTTCCTCCTTCGCTACCTAGGTCCCGAGTACTGGAGATTTCTCCTAACAGACGAGTGTACTTCGTTGCCATCTAGCAGGGTCGTGGCCACAGCACAAGTGGGATCAAGTGAAGGCAGTCGCACCCTGTCTACCCCCGTACAAGATCAAGAGGCATCCGAATCCCGCAGCATTTCTCCCAACCAGCGTGACAATGGCGAAAAGAACAAACCGTCCAAGGCGCTCTCTTATCTCCGCTCTACACTCAATCACGAGGCTAAGTATTTGATCCGCAATATCGACAGCTTCTCGGAAGCGTTCAGAAAGATCAAATTGTTCTACGGCAAGCCGAGACACCAGACCATAGCCTTACGATGGTCGAAATGGGTGAGCCTTCGCTATTTTCGAGGACATGGAGCGTCGGAGTTTGTGCGCAAATTTAAAGAAAGACTCCAGGAACTCGAAGAAATCATCGGCATCGTCGACCACAGAGTGGTCTTTGCTCAATTTGTTCACGCCATCTCAGCTAGTGGGAACTACCCCGGTTTTCTCCTGAAGCTACCCCCGGATTTAGACGACCCGAACTTGATGGAATCCGTGTACGCCGCATTTCTACACCGCGAAACCTCGTTCTTCAACTCTATCCACTCAACCGTCGACTCTGCGTTTGTCCCTCGACCACATGATATCATGGCACCGGATTTTTGGCACCCGCTATATTGCCCTTATCATAGGCGTGTCGTGCATCACTCTCATCAACAATGCCGCCTGGGCCGGAGTTTCGGATTGGACTTGAGAAACGAGATTTTAAGGCAGTTCGAAAAAGACAGACAGCGCCACAATGACAAGAAACGCCGTCTGGACCCTCGTGAGGGCTCATCATTGATGATCTCCACCGATTGATTCTTTCGGAGATCCTCGGCAAGTCATTGTCATGCAGAAAATGGTAAGAGGTAGTAAAATGCGGCTCATGTTTACATGCTGAAGGGAGTCTTTGCTTAGGCACGGTTGCTTGTGTTCTCCGGTTTCCTGATGAGGAAGACGATTATCTTGCGCTACATAAATTGTATTATTTTTGACTATGGCTGATGCCAAGACAGTTGCCCTTGGTTCACCCGGAACATTCAATCTTCTATGAGTATCGACGTAGAGGTGATAGATCCTTGAGTATGTAGGTACTGAGAAAAGTCAAGCACCACAATGCTACATTGGAAGTAGTAGATATACAGCACCAGTCGACCCTGGTAAAGCAAGGTGTCTACTTTCTTCCTTTATTTTCTTCTATAAAAGGCTCGCTGAACGTTTGGTGATTTCATGAAGAGCACTGCCAAGTTTGCTTTGAACACTGGATAGCGACTCGATTCTGCGCAAGCTTGTTTCCGGACGTAGCATTTATGTTCCATGTGTTGACCGGTGTCTATGCGTTCACGATGCAAGTTAGCCGCTTCGCCGACCTTTTGCCATCTTCAGCGACCTCTGATGGTGAGATTGATTTCTCAGGTCTGTCCTCCAGTTGGAGGCAGAGTGAATGGACTGGCCCGGATTCTAGAAGCCCTACGAAACTTATGCAGGAGGGGGAAGCCCACCCGAGACCGTTCAAATTCCAGTAATGCGGGCGCTAGTGAGGCAAAAGAAGAGTATAACAATTCAGTCCAAGGAAGGAATGGATGTTCGAGGTTTTCTTGGTTAATATTGTTGCGAAGGCGATATACGCTGTAGTAAATGTTCAAAATCGCACATTTAGGCGTAGGGCTTGGAGATAACTAGCACTCTTCTTATACTCGCTATGCCAGGACCCATTTATTGGTTGTCTAAAGCGGAAATGTTACAGGTGTACAAAAAAGATTTGGTTGGGAAATAAGTATGTGAGACTCAAAATGACCAATTGCAAGTTCCCATTCAATTCCATATCGTATCCATCATGAATTCCGTTCGTTATGTACAAGCATTTCCCAATTTCCAAGCAGTTCCATACTTCTACACGTTGTAGACGCTTAAACCCATAAATCCCATATTCCTTGTGCAGCAAATACTAATATCAACCAATCGAGTAATGTTCGTCAAGTTGTAACAGAGAAAGAAAGAAAAAAAAAAGACAAACGTCGAGCAAGATTACTCATCAACATCACTATCACTTAGACTGTCACGACGGCGGCGACCGTGGCCATCACGGCGGTAGCCCTTGGTCAAGCCTGGGATTGGGTGGTGATAGCTCTTGGTGCCGTTTGAATCCTCGGTATCAACATTGGAATATTGGTACTCCGAGCGAGAGCCGGCGGATGCAAAATCAAGAGGCTCGGTGTATCCACCCGGCATGGAGCGAGGATCCTTCTTGCGAGGGCTGCTGGTGCGAGATGACGGGGCAGATGGAGGAGCGGCACTTTGGCGGCGCTCACGGTCACGTCGGCGAGTAGGGCGACGAGTGGAGGGATCGCGAAGATGGTGTTCCTCGGTGGTCTGACTCAAGACGTCTTCACTGCCAGCAGTGAAGGAGAAGCCCGAGGGGTCGCGGCGGCGAGAGCGACGCGGCTTTTCATAGGCGTAGTCACGGACTTCGCTCATGTCGCTGCGGTTGTAGTGTGTGGGAGGAGCGGAAGAATCATAATCACTGCCATGGTAGGTACCATCCGCTTCCCGATTCATACCACCAATGCGCGCAGGCTTCTCCTCGCGATAAGCGCGCATGTCATCGTCTGCCTCGCCTTCCCATCGCTCGTCCTTGTGGCGGCGGAGTAGCTTCTCCCGGAAATTACGCTTCTTCTTCTGCGGCTTCTCGTCACTGATTGTCGTGGCAGTCTCGGTGTAGGTGGCAGTCTCATCGTAAGTGTACCCACTATCGCTGTAGCCGACAACACTACCGCCGCCCAGCTTGGTACTCTTAGTGGCGTTACTGAGCGTTCGTCCATCAGGTCCTTTTCGTCGTAGCACGGTCGATTTGTAATCTTCCCAATCACCCTTGCGCCAGACGAATCCACCATTCTTGGCCCAGAAAAAGAACCAAATTCCACCCAGCACGAATGCGGCACCGATAAGCGCAAACAAAGCCATTAGGCCTTGCATCTTAATGCTTTTCGGATCAACTGTGCCTTGGCCATAGTTTATCTTCGTAGTTGCTGCGGAGGAGGAGTCGGCTCGAGTGATAAGGGAGTTCAAATTGATAGATGATGAAGCTTGGGCTGGAATGTTCTGAGCTGCATCTCGAACCTCAACTGACATGACGGGGATGTCGGGGAACCCCCCCACTGGCTGGACGGGAGCCATTATGGGTGATCGGAGCGGTCAAGAGCACGCGGCTCAAGACAAGTTCCTGAGAAGAATGTTAAGGTCCGTTTGTCACATTCTGAGTGTCCAAAGTGGAGGCTTACCTCGACTCAAGTGAAGGTCAAGCTAATCTAGATGGCTGACAGAAGGAATAGGTGAGGGAAGAAGATGTGGGAGTAGGGTGACAAAGGTCGTAGTGTCTGGCTGGTGGATTATTAGTAGCCTTTGAATGAAGTGATAATGGGAGAATACAAAACCAGAGTCAGACCAAAGAGTGATCAGGTCTATCGAGAAATGGGGAGGTTGGAGGAGGCTGGGGACGTGTTTACATTTGGGGGTTGGTGGGCCAACCTGTGGGTGCGCGCCCCACTCTTACAGCCTGAGGCATGATCCCCATGTCGGCCCTACTCACGTGATAACTGGCCTGTATTGTTACCGCTGTACCGTAATGTGACCGAAACGGGTAATTTATTTGCTTGCTAGATATTTATACTTACAGTTACATGCCTTGCATAACTGGCTGCCCCTTTGCAAACCCTCTCATTTTCCTTCTTCACCTGTCTCATACCACAAACTCCTACGAATTTTCTTCGAGACTTCATCGTAAACTCCATCAGATTTCTAGAATTTCCCTAGATTTGGTCGAAATGCCTCGAGTAAAGGATGAGGTAAATGATATTACCCGATTCCTGACTCAAAAATAAATAACTTGCGGAGAAAAAGGGAGAGTAGTACTCATATGAAGAAAAGTCAGTCTGGCAGTGGTACGCGTCCTTTGATGACAAGTCTGAGCTTGATCTGCCTGATATTCAGGTCGAGGTAAGTGAATCAGATTCTTCTATATACGGAATGAGGGTTTTGAGGAGTCTTCTCCTCAATGGATTCACTAGTTTAGTTGATAATGGATTCACTGGTACGACTCTTGCCAGGGAGCATGAGAGTCCCCTACATCCTTTTCACTACCCTATTTCACTATTAAGTAAAATGTATCTATGTGGTGTGAAGGGTACGTTGTATGGTAGACACTGTATCTTACCAGCACACTGGCTTAAATCAATGAATTTGGAGTTCCTTATAATCAGATGATCAAAAGTACTACTCAGCGCTCGGTATAGACCGACCTAACTGCGTTATGGTAGCAGGATTGGTGGATATCTAGAGAAAGAAGTTACTGACTATCCGGCAAAATTCATCATGTAAGTCACCCATCCAAAGTGCCAATTAGGGGCTTCATAGTAATTCAGACCCAGACTTGGATGCATCATCCCATTTTCCTTAAGTGAATGACCGAATTCCAATCAACTACTCCATCCGAGGCTTCACTTCTCCAAACCCCGACCGGAACAACATTACATCTTCCAACATCGCCACTTATCAAGAGCCAGAAACAGCCCGATTGTTTTATTCGTCCAATCGGTACCTCCTCTCTACCTCCAATTGTGCTCGAAGCTGGATGGTCCGAAAGCGCACCCCAGCTTTCAAATGGATATGGAGCTTCTTCGGAAAGGAGGTGGAGGCGAGATCAAGGTGGTTGTTCTCCTAAAAAGGCGTTTATTATGCAACAAAACCATTGTTGCTGGGTCAGCAGAGCTTTGGAGACTAGACCAGAATGATCAGCCATCTTTGGAAGAGTCTGAGGTATGTCGGAAGTTCAAGAATATATTCCAGGCATTCTGACCTAACATCTCCAGGCTATCTTCCCCGTTCCCAGCCCACCACAACAACAGCGACTGGAAGTAACCCGCGGCGAGGTATTCCAGTCACAGCTACCTACTGGTCGAAGCACTGTGAATGCTTTCAAGGTAGTTATTGCACCTAAATGGCTTACTCATCCTTGTTCCGTCACCACATCTAGTGACATCATGTGACTTTGCATCTATATATCCACCAGGTCAAGAACTGCTGCGAAAACACCATTCAGGCAATTTTGATTCATATAGCTACTCCATATTGGTTTTTTTAGGTAGGCTTTAATAAAGCTTACTTAAGAAGACATATTTTCATGCTTGTGGAGGTCTAGCTTGCTCAGAATATAATTGCGGAATGCCTCTGTGACCTGTATAGTGCCCCAAACTTGCAAAATACATGCATCAACCACAAAACAGTTTTAATAGTGGATGTATCGTCTCCGTCTTTTATATCAGCTTGCTGAAGAGCTTCGTCCATTGCAGCTAGTCTGGAAATCATTCTCTAGACATACGGACGATCATGTTTTACGAAATCTACGGAATACTGGAAACTCTGGGCACGTCGTCGGCATCACGTCATCGGCTGTCACTTTACCACCAGCCACGGAGGCAAATGTGAGAAGCAGGGAAATAACCAGTTTCGCTACACAACTACGCAAATATATATAGTTAAAGACAGGTTACAAGCATTTCTACTTCATAACACTATCCTCTCTACTATTATTCTACCACCACACAACGAGCTTTTCCCTACAAAGATCATGTCGTCAATCGTCACTTCCATCAAAGACCTCATCGCCTCTGTCTTCGAGGTTGTATTCTCGGTATTCAATGGCGCGATTAATTTGGTGACCGGTCTTATCACGGGTCTTGTGAACTCTGTTATCGGGATCGTCAAGATGGCCCTCCATACTGTGGGAAGTACCTTGGAAGCTGCAGGAGGTGTAGGCAAATTTATTGCCAGTAAGTACACCCCATGTCTTTTCTCGTTAAATATTGGTAGTACTGACACGGAATGCGCAAAGGCAATATCGTTATCATCGCACTCATTGCGGCTGGGGCATACGGTTACCTGCAGTATCAAAGTCGCCAAGGCCGTCCTGTCAGAGCGGGAAATAAGAAATTGAACTAAGACACGAAGTGGGATGGATCAATTATCGACTTCGGAGAGGTTTCGAATGGTGACGGCTCAATGTTATAAGACCACGACTTGCGATTCCTCGTTGTTTGATACCAATAAGTGGCCTCGACCCACTCTTGCAAATCTATGTGAATAATTTTCAGTACTCAGTCATTGATCGCTTCTCGGAAAATCTCCGAAGTCGCCCTCCTAGGTAAACTCGCTAAATATTGTAGTTATGTAAATTGTAGTGGATCGAGAGTCTATTGTATCTACCCCGTACCCTGGTTTTCAATGCCAAGGAAGTGGTGTATTCTGCATCTCTGTGATACTAGTCCTCTTACGGACTGATTGTGAGATGATAATGGTTACCATAGGAAAAGAAATTTACTGCAACAATTCACTGCACCTTTTTAAGACTAGAACATAAAATACTGAAATGGCAAATGTTAGGGCAAAAAGACAAGGTTGAGGAAGAGCACCCCACGCCCTATACAGGCCTCAACTACGCCACGCATAATAAGCTCCATGGAGAATTGGCGCTCGAGTTGCTTGTAGAAGTGCACGGTCAAACTACTCGTGAAGCATAATTTACGCTGAATCATTCAAGCGCAACGTTTCTTCGGCTAGCTAGAGACATTCACTAATGAAACTGTTGTTTTCTCAATGAGGAAAGTGGACAAGTTTTTGTCGGGTGAGGAGCTTGAACACCCTTCGAGCCTCTGATCTGATTTATCTGTTGCCAGAGAGGAGGGTCATTTGTATCTCTCTGTTGGTCGATTTGCGGCTAGCAGATTTTGCTGTGGCATCCCGGACTCGTAAGTCAACTTTTGTGTTTGGCCCAACGGGTCTGTCTTTCGAAGATGTCCCTTTCCTCGCCTTTCAAATGCTCTAGGCCCCGGTTTCTCAGTTCCGCGAAGAACCCAAAGGCAGCATCGAACGATTCATGACTTGTCCAGCCATCCCTTTGGACAAGCCCATCATAACTGTCAAAAAAATCCTGAACCTCATTCCATCCATCGGCATCAACTGAGTGATTATGCAGTTCAGCCTGCGTGAAGTGGTAGGGACAAACGCCTTCAATGCCAAGTTCATGCCAGTACCTGAAAAAGAAGTTAAATGCTGACCAGGGAACGATGAAGTATCGAGAAACATACCTTTCAACATTAATGAGTGACTCGCGAAAGGAGACTACGTCGTCATCCCACGTATTCCCCATAAGGATGTATTCCGAGCCAGCCGGATTATCAGCTGTGGCGTTCCAACCCAACACTCGGGGTACGGGAGTATGGAGGAAATCTCGAGCCTTGCAAGTAGATCAGCAGCCGCCTCTTGCGCATCATTATGGAATGCTTGACTCACGAATTCCATTGTAGCAACCTCAGACGCAGTCGTATGAAACGAGGGGCCGGCATTTGGGTTTGGAATACGGGCAAGCACTGATTTACCGTCATTCATATCCAAACGGAATACCTTATTAAATCCTCCCTCCGCTAACTTCGTCATCGAGACGCAGCTGCCTGAGCCGATGGCTTTGGCTGCCAAGTCTTGAAGTCCAGCAACATTGAAGGCCCGATACCTGTCCTGGAGCTGCTGTTCTTCGTCCCAAAGCCATCTCCCACTTGTGTAACGAAAATTTTTTCAAATTCTGAGTTGGCTGCTGTAATTTGCTTGGAGAGAGTCGTCATCGTGCGAATGGCGATGCTTTTGCGACAGCGAGGAAGCGTAGCAGTCGCTAGGAGTGATTGTAACGATACTTGAAAAAAGGGGTTGCGGTCGTAAATGATTATCAGAAGAATTACCAGATTTAAGCCCGCGGAAAACTTGAGAGAAAGCGACGTCCGATACCGACTTTCACCGCTGGTCGTTGCTTAGTGAGTGATGGGTCCAGGTGCGGTTGGGGTGGGTTGATAACACAGATAATTGAGGCTCCAGCCTTGTGGGGCCGAAATCGGTAACTTTGAGCTTGATTGGACCGAGACGAGCTGGAGCCGCACACCGAGTATTGCCAAGGGGCAGTTCCCCAGATGAAGGTCAGAGGTCCCTGGTCGACCTTTATTCGGGCAGTTCCTTAAATGACAGCTCTCCACCAAAATTTTACATAAGTGAATCTTATGTCCCGTCGTATGCACGGTAGCACGGAGCAAGGTACCCCAAACGCTTTGTTATTGTTTCAACGCCCTAACTTTAATTTTGGGTTACTAGAAACGCCTCCTACGACGTATCTCGGATCATCTTTCTACAGTCCACTGCGTAGATGTTATCTTCCTTTATATCCTCGAAACATCAAGAGCAGAACTTACACGTGAAGTTTCGGGAGGGTTTCAGCATTTCCATGTGTACATAGTCAATACCTTGTTGGGGTATTACAATTACATTACCAATCCGTATGTAGTCCTGGGGACATCCTGCGGGAAACAGCCCTTTTGTGACGGCAATTCGTAAGGAGAGAGAATGAATTCGCAGGTGGACGATAGCTTGTCAGGGGCCAAGGGCCTAATTATGTGACTAGATACTAGAGCCGGTTATGTGCGGAGGAATTCACGGCAAGATCCGGAAGTAAATCGGGCTGACGCGATGTTTTCGATTCACCGGTGAGATCTCCGGTAGCCTCGTAGACCCGAAGTTATTCCGATTCCCGACTCAACTAGATCCTGCTTCGTTATTAATTAGAGCTGTATCCCTGCTATGAATATTCGATATATTCGGATTTTCCACCGTGCCAATTGCTCTCCGCGGCTCGTGAAACTGAATACAGGCTTGGCATCCTATCCACTGCGCTCACAAATATGACTTCCGATACCATTTATACTATTCCTCAAGGGTCCAAAATTCTGGTGACTGGGAGTAATGGCTTCATCGGGTCCCACGTGGTCGACCAGCTATTGAAGCTGGGTTACTTGGTCCGCGGCACGGTTCGCGAGCCCAAGCCATGGTTGACCGATTTCTTCGACCAGAAATATGGCAAAGGGAAATTTGAAGCATTCATCCTTCCGGATGTGACTAGCGAGATTGGCTGCGAGAGGGCAGTCGAGGGGATTTCCGGAGTCATTCATATGGTGTGTGCTATTTTCGTGGAGAGATTGTATAACACAAAACTAACGTGGAATTTCATAGGCGGCTGACGTCTCGATGAACCCTAACCCAAGCGTGGTAATCCCAAATACCGTCAAGGCAACGCTCAATATCTTGAAAGCCGCTTCAAAGCGGCCTACGGTCAAGCAGGTGGTGCTCACCTCCTCATCAACTGCAGCCTATACGCCGAATGCCAATGGGGAAAGAACAACGATCACTCAAGGTGCGCCCATCGTAGAACATCTCTTTCATTCACCACTCTGACTGGTTTCTAGGCACCTGGAACGATGCCGCTGTTGAAGCAGCTTGGGATGAGAATGCTCCTCCTCACTCTAAGGGGTATTTCGTATACGTAGCGTCCAAAACAGAGACCGAGAGGGAGGCGTTCAAATGGGTTGAAGAGACGAAGCCTCATTTCATATTCAATACGGTCTTGCCTGCGCTCACAGTAAATTAATTGTCTTTCCTTATGGCGATGGAAATTTTGCTGACATGGTTCTCAGTTTGGCAAGATCCTTGCTCCAGGAGTTGGGGGTTCAACCCAGTCATTTGTTCGCAACCTCCTCAAAGGTGATGGGTCAGCAATGGCCTTTCTCCAGCCGCGTAAGTGCGAAAAGACCCTGTATAGTAAACAGAAGAGCTGACAATTCCTGAAAGAGTGGTTTGTTAATGTTGCAGATGTTGCAAGATTGCACGTTGCTGCTCTCCTTTCCCCATCAGTCAAGTTTGAGCGAATCTTTGCATTTGCTGCTCCGCAGAACTGGACTGAGATTATCAGAATTTTGCGAACCCTCCGTCCCGATAACTCGTCAATTCCCCAAGAGCCTGAAGCCGAGGGTCAAGATTTGAGGATTGTTGTGCCTTCAAAGCGAGCCGAGGAGATTCTGAAGAGCTTTTTTGATCGACCTGGTTGGGTCAGTTTGGAGGAGAGTATTGCCGAGGGAATTTCTGACTTATAGGAGGCCACTGCTGAACGACGTGAATCAGGTAACTAAGTATAGCCCTAGTCACCAGTCCAGAAGCCCTCCGGTTGAAAGCTTAGTATATGCCCAATTATGTACAAAATAGCGCCCGCAGAGGACGTGTTTATACCGGGCTCTAGAAGGCCTGTCGACCCGCCCCAAGCTCATACTCGGTAAACCCGCTACTTCATTCAAAATCTATCTCTTCAATATCCAGTTAGCCCCTAGTTTTATCGGCCTTTTTGTTTTCGTGTTTTCCACACAAAACCCAGCGCACCAACGATGCTCAAGCAACTCAGTGTAAGACCGAGCTTGAGCCGGACTTCAAGATACAGGAACTCATGGTAAGCGCCGGACGCATGTACCGGCTGGCAATCAAGAACTCGAGAAATCGAGGAAACCACCGCAGGCAATGGTTGTCAAAAATAAGTGCTGAATGATTAATCTCGGCACTCGGCGATAGTTAATAATGTCGGCGACTGCTATCTGCTTACATCAGTCCTTGAAATTTTACTAACAATGTCGGCGAAATGGTTCATCGGCCTTAAAACTAGCGCCGACACTCAGGTGCTTACAAAGGGGCGGCGATCGGCCTCCGAGATTGTAACTGACAAACCTTAACGTTAATAACCTTCTCGGTCGAGGATGATGTCATCGCCATTTCTGCGAAGTAACTATGTATTTAAAGGTTGTCACCAGACAATGTTGTACATTATTTGCAACGGCACAGATTCGAAAATATCTTTTCAGTTAAGATTTTTTCCCCTTTACAGCTCCCTTTACAGCACCAATCATGTCCAAGCTTGTCACCGTTTTCGGCGCGACCGGGCAACAGGGCGGCTCCGTGATCCGCACTATCCTGAACGATGAAACGTTATCGAAAGAGTTCAAGATCCGGGGGATTACTCGTGATACTTCGAAGCCAGAGGCTCAGGCCCTACTGAAGCAAGGCGTTGAGCTTGTCTCAGTAAGCCGATAACAAATTTCTTGTCGCCAAACACGAAAGATCAAGTACTAACAACGCCTAGGCCGACCTAGCTTCGAAAGACTCCCTGGTAAAAGCCATCCAAGGAAGTCATACAGTCTTCCTCGTCACGACTCCAGAATGGGGCGCAGCCGGGTCCGAAGCCGAACTCACGCACGGCAAAAATGTCGCCGACGTAGCCAAGCAGACGGGCGTGCAGCATCTCATTTTCTCGTCCCTGTTGGACGTCACCAAGGAAACGGGTGGCCGACTGAAGCATGTGCCCCATTTTGATCAGAAAGCGCACGTTGAGGAGTATATCCGGTCCATCGGTGTTCCGGCGACGTTTGTGCTGCCTGGGTATTTCATGAATAATTATACGCAATATGGGATGTTGAGGAAGGGGGAGGATGGTGTTTACACCTTGGTTTATCCTGTTGGCGAGGATGCGAAGTTCCCGCTTGTTGATATTGTGGCTGATATGGGTATGTGAAACCTCGATACTGCGTCTCTTGTTAGAGCTACGAAGTTAACAGACTATCCGTTTACCAGGTAAATACGTCGCTGCTGCCCTGAAGAACCGGTCCGAGGTGCTTGGTGCCCAAATCTTTGCTGCGGCGGATTACTACACTCCCACTCGGATTCTTGCCGAGTTCGAGGAGGTTACTGGGCAGAGGACTCGGTTTGTGCGGGTGGACTCTGAGACTTACAAGGGGTTTATTCCTGGGCCCATGGGTGAGGAGATGTTGGAGAATCATCTGTTCATCGAGAGTCCTGGTTACTATGCGGGTCGGAGTTTGAAGGGCAGTCTTGAGCTACTTGAAAAGGCTGGGTACAGACCCACCACCTGGAAGGAGTTCTTGGAGCAGAACAAAGCTTCGTTCTAGAGTTATGCAAGGTAGAGGTGTCCAAGGTTCATTGTCAATAGTGAACTCGCTCCCCGCTTGCGACAGATTGAGACCCGGGCCGGAGAATCGGGTGGTGTGACCTCAATAAAAAGATAAATAGAAGCAATCCCAATGTATTTACCGCAAAGGATGTTCATCCAGTAGGAAACTTCAAAGGCATTGCAGTAAGATGACCTGGTGTTGTAACATGGTATGACAAGTAAACAAAATCATAAGCAACCGCTAAAGCTACCTAAAAACCAAACGGCGAATATGGGGGGTATATAAACTCACTCCTCAAACTCAGCACATATCACAAATAGGCAAGAGGCAAGAGGCAAGAAAGAGAAAACCCCACTAGAAGAAGACAATTGACATCAACACGTACACGTAGACGTAGACGTAGACGTAGCACAGAATGGGGTAAATGGGGTAGTCGATATAGAGCGCGTAAGGGAGAAAAATCATAATCAAAATCAGAATCATATATGGGAAATATATGAAAGGGAACATGAAAAAGGTAGGTAAATAAGGGAAGAAGGATATACATCAACGCTGGCAAATGGCTTGCATCCATCATCAAGGCAACGCAAAGCAAAGCATCAATCACAGGAATCGAACTTGTCATCGCAGGTCATCAGAATCGTACAATCATATCACCGTAACGGAGGCGGCGGGTGTCAGATCTGCGCAGTAGGGTTCATGTCCATCATTCCGGTTGTTGCGGACACGGTCCAGTCTGATCCAGTCCAGTCCAGTTCCGCCCATCAGCTATCCAGCTACCCGTCCATCCAGATCCCCATCAAGATCCAAATCAAGATCAGATCCAAGGATAGACAGGCAATTGGTCAGCCAAGATGGTGCAGTCCGGCCGATCCGGTCCAGGCCCGTCCAGTCCATCCCAAACACATCCAACGGACAGTTCTCCCAACCACACATCTGACACTCCCACTCCCACGCAACAGATAGCAAACGTAAACGCAAACAAAATGAAACCAGAGAATCCACCCGGTCCGATCAGACGGGTTGGCGAGCCTCGAGATCTCGCCTTTTGTGCTTTCGGTTTGACCCGCGAGGGAAGCGAGAGCATCAACCCGAACGCTTTGCTCGAACCACTTTTTGTAGACCGTCCCGTGAAATATCATGAGTACCAAGGAAGAACAAAAACCAAGATATAGGGGAAAGAAAAAGAAAATGAAAATAAAAAAAAAAAAAAACAAACATAATCATAAGTGCCGATCCCAGTCCAAATCCGAAAATCCAAAATCCAAAATCCAACTTTTGACATAACCCTGACCAAGCGCTGCGAAGCGACCACCAGGAGACAGCGAGAGAACGTAATCTCATCATGAAACGATAAACCAGAGACGTAAAGACCCAGAGTATGGAAGTTGCGCGCTACAGCTCACACGATTTACCTCGCATACCGACGGTTACCGCCATAAGTCGATTGACTCGAGCGACGACTTGCACGTTCGGAACGAAGATCATCACGCGGGCGTCGCGGCGCCTCTTCCAGTTCTCGCCGGGCAGAACGACCCGTCTGATCGGAATACGAAGAGCCGCTCGCATGATACTGCTTGGGCGCGCGATCGCCAGCAATAGACAATTGCACGCGGCCAGTATCACCAGCACGAATACTAATGTTCTTGCCGGCGACGGACTCTTCCGTGAAACCGATGGTTAGTCCGTTTACCATGAGATTCATATTCTTGCCCTCGCCGTTGCCGCTGCCGCTACCACGGCTGCTGTTCGACCGGCTCTTTTGACTACCATTGTCACTGCCGGCACCGACGGCTTTCTTGGTGAGGAGCGCCTCGGCGGAGGCAGGCATGGTAGTCGTCCGGCCGGACTGTAGTGCTTGGTAGCGTTCGGCTTCGCCCAGGCGGTCGCGTTCGCGGTCTTCCAGGCCACCTGCCGTGCCGGTGCTGCCGAGGTCGTCGTCTTCGTCCTCGTCGTCGTCCTCGACGTCATAGTAATAATCAGTTGGACGGCAACGACGGGAGCTCTCGACGGCGACCTGGGCGCCGCGGCGGGGGTCGTGATAGGAATTCGACCGCTTGCTTTCGCGGAGGCTCCGGGTCCGGTCGGGCAGCCTGTCTTCGCGGGACACGCGTCGACCAAAATCTGGCAATGCAGCAGCTATGTCACTCATGTCCATCGACGCGCGGGATTGCCGACGCGGTGCTGGAACGGCTTGACTGGTATGGGCTTTGCGTGGTAGTTCGGGTCGTTCGGGTCGTTTCGTTTGATGAACCTGGGCCTTGGGCTTCTGAGGCTTTGGTAGAGGCGGTGGAGGCATCTTGTAAAAGTCCTCATCCCGAGGCGGCTTTGGAGCACGACCACGAGGTACCTCGTGCGGAACGTCCCGATGGTATTCACGAGGGACATCTCTCTCGCGATGATACTCACGCGGAGTTTCTCTTTCCCGGCGGTATGCGCGAGGCATCTCTCGATGAGCTTCTTCGGGCGCCCATTGATCATAGGGCTCCGGCTCGTCCATCCAGTCTGGGAAGACGTTGTGGTCCATGGGCGGTTGCCCACCATAAATGGAAGACGAGCGATGTGCCCGGGGTTGTTGAGATCGTTCCCGAGTTCGAGAGTGAGATCGATCCCGTGGATAGTCCGTTGGGGGACCATACTCCGAGCCACCATAGTAAGAACCACCGTATGGAGACGAGGCATACTGAGATACATAGGCCGACGCGGGTGGAGGGCCATGATCATAGTACTGTGGTTGCTGTTGATGATACATGTGTGGCGGTGGTGGAGCCATCATTCCACCGTGCATACTCATGGGACGTTCCTGGTGGTACATGGGGGCACGGAAGGAGTTTGAGCGGGTAGGCCGACTGGCCGGACGGTGGTATTCCTCAACGGCCCATGGATAGCGAGCCGTCTGCGGCGACGACGGCGGGTACTCGGCCATCGGCGGCCGGCTGAAGTGGTAAGGTGGGTATTCCATCGCGGAACGTTCGACGGGGGTAGAGGGTTGTAGGTGATAGGGGCGGGACCCCTCGTAGTAAAGGTCGGCTGCTGGTGGGTTGTAGTGTGGAATGTGGGCAGAGTCACGACGGCGAGGTTTAGACGACGACCGTTGCACGTGAGTGAGCTGGTGGGGATGAGTACCCATCTGCTTCTCAACGTGCTCTGGCCGGACGCGTTCTCGTTCCTTGTCCTTGCGTTCTCTGCGGCTGGAGTTTTTTCTGGCTAGATCGGTGCGTTGCTTGGGCATGTCCAGCTTAATAGGCACTGGGGGACTTCTCCCGCCCGACGGGCCAGATTGGGTGCTGTTGGCTGTGGCGGCGGTACGACTAGAATATCCTGAGTCACTGGCGCCGTCGATCAGCGGCTCCGCTGGGAATCTGTGATCCAACCTGGAGGAGATTTTGACAGCCGTGTTGGCCGTAGTATTGGCAGAGTGCCGACTATCGGGTACGACGCCATGTGCAACCTCGTCGAAGTCTTCGACATAGGCCGGCTGAGGATGAGCCCTGCCCGCAGGCATGGCTTGCTGCACGAACGGACGGCGAGGGAACTAGGCGCGGTGCAAATTGTTAGTCAAGTTGGGGGGGAAGGGGGAAAGGGAATGATGATGACACCAGTGCCTGGATCCCGATTTGGGAAACAGACGGTGCGGCGTTTGGCTTACCCACCGGGCAGCAAAAAGGACGGCGGAGAGAGGGACTTTGGGATGACCTACAGCAGAAGGACCCTCCTTCGACCAGACCGGTTCTCGATGCGCGAGGGATGATTCAGTAGGAGTGCTGGGGTTGGGCAGGTATTTTTGTCGGGTGTTCCTGGCCTGGTCCACTTGGTACGTATAATAATTCTTGTTTAATTCCCAGGGCCAAGCCGGTGATGGTTCGTGAGCGGTATATGCAACAACCTTAGATCGCACTGGCGTAGATTTCGGGTTTCAATGTTCCTTCGTATAGAATCCGTATCGCAATCCCTTTGTGACCTCTCTTGGGGTACTGATCTGACGTTGTGTACACCCCGTCTTCCCTCTTTCGCGCGCTCTCTCTCACACACTCACTCTTCTCTTTCTTGTCGCCCAACCCGGTTTCAGATAATCGCAACCACGGAAATCAGACCTGCCGATCGCAAGGGCGATGGCAGGCAGCTGGGCGTAATCCGGATCTGTCAGCGAGCGGAGCGTGCAAGGTGGTATCTTCCAGATCGCAATGTCTCCATCTGAAAAGGGTGGGAAATTAGGCGGATAGACGTGAGAACGGTCGGGCGGCGGAGCGTCGGGCGTGGGTCCGAGTCTCCAACGAGGGGGCAAAAGGAAGGGAAAAGTCTTCTCAGGTGGGCGATGAGTGGTGGGAAGAAGATGCAGCTGCAGGCCTAGGGGAAAGAGTTGGGCCCTTTGGGCCTTTGTGCCTGTTATAGAATCTGTCGCCGTGCCTGACTGGTACCCGGCGAGTGGGGGGGAAGGAGGTAAAAAGAAGGGAGAAGGCGGACTTTGGGTCGTAGTTTTGGGTAGTTCGGGGGTGGAGCAGATGGGCAGCGATAAAAAAAAGTTTCGATCGAAGGAGGGGGTAAACAAGTTGATAAGAGATCAACCACCCAAGTCTGACCAGAAGGGGAAAAAAGAACAGAGAAAGAAAAAGAGGCCACCAGCAAAGAATAAAGAGTGAGAGGGAAAAAAAATTAGGAAAGAGTCACCAGGGAGCCAAAAACACGTAAATAGAAAAGAGAACGTTTCACGAAGGGAGGAGGCTCGCGGGACAGTCGGTACCCAACAGAAGAAAAAAAAAGAAGAGAAGGAAGTGGGGGGGGGGGAACGGGCGTCATCATAAACAATACGGAGTCCCGTGTATTCAGTATAGTTCTATACTCCCATCCATACGGGGGAGGTCACGGAATCTACGGAGTCATGTACAGCCAAAGAGGGTGTTGCAACAAAGTATATTTCTTGTTCAAATGAGAAAATTAACCAGAAATCTCACGATGGGGGACAATAACAGTCGGGAAACACTTTAAATTCGGGACCCGCTGGAGGAAGGGGGGGGGTTCCCTGGTTCTGCTTGCCCGGATCCCTGGGTGGGAGGAGACCATTTGTTTACTCTGGAACTATACAAGAGATACGAATAATATACTTCGGATCTACCTTCGTCACTAGATTGTATCGACCAGACCATCCTAGTGTCCAAAGTAAAAGAGAACTTGGCCTTCCTCGGGATGCATGCACCGATGTATTGTATACATGGAATCTTAATCCCTGGACTGAACTATCCATCCAATGCCAGAACGGGTCTTGTCCGTACCTCCTAAATATACCAGATTACTGTATTGAAGGAATTCATTCTCTTGTCGGCCTGCTTGTTCCGAATCTTTCCTGTCCTGCTCTTGCTCTGCTCCAGTCGGCCTAGCGCCCAATCCTGAGCGTTGCGGCCCAATGATCGCCTCCACCACGAAGAGGGAACAACCCTGCACGGGAGATGAGCATCGACGATAGCACGGCAAGATAGTGGGAAGGGAGAAGGGAAAGAGGGAGAAAGCCAGAAAAGAATAATTACAGATCTCTCGGAAGGTCGTATTAATGTATACCTCCATCGGCTGGTGATAGCCGATGACTAGAATTCTTGTTTTTTTTTTTTTTTTTTTGGCTTTGCCAACCCCGGAGACAATGTCAATTGTACCTAGTACGGCGGGAAGCAAAGCAGTCGGTGGAGATGACATGCATCTGGGTCCTTGGTAGAGTATTCTATTTTTCTCATAATTATCCACTTTCTGAAGAGTTTTTTTTTCAATTCTATTCTCGCCACAGATGGCGTGAGTGGAGAGCGTGTGAGCGACGCTACCCGGTCCAGAACGAGAAGGACGGACGGTAAACATGCCTGTCCGACGTGCTGCACGACGACCGACCTGCGCGCCCTCGTGGCGGCTCTTCTATGGCGCTATCCATTTCTCTCCGCAGGTGAGTGACTCATGACGGACACTTCTTCGAGATGGATGGCTTGGTTTACCTGGCTACGTTCATGGCTCATCGCTCGTAAATTATCGCTTGGCGGGGCAGGCAAAGTGTTTGGATATGACTGCCTGTCTATCCCCTCCCCCGACTGTCCAAGTATAACCCAGTTTGATGGAGGCTCGCCCTTGACTCCATCGAGTCTTGCCCGGACAGTTGTCAGTCTCCATATGCTCGGCCCAGGAGAATTTTTCCCCCGATTCCTGCTTGATCAGACCTGGCTAGATCGGTATGACATGCAGCACGGACGGTTTATCATTTCCTCAACGGTCGCTCTATTCACCTCCTTGCGTCCTGGTCTTAAACGAGGTTCTCGAGAGCCTTTGGGGAGTGCTGGGGCGGCAGAACCCTCACACGTGTAGATTAATGCAATTGCAACGACGATAAGGATGCCATTGGATGGAAGGGGATCGTGCAAAGGGGGGTAGCCTGGTACGAGGTCAATGCTCTTTGTGTTTAACAGTCTTTACAACCCGGGTCAAGTGTTGAGGGTGAGAAGATTGGATTTCCACCCTGGCGGCAAAAAACTGAGGCAGCGAAGAGAAAAGTTAGATTGGAGGAGAAAGGCAGGGTATTGGACCAGAGGAGATGGAGGCTGGCTGGATGGGGAGGCCAGAGGCGAACGGATGCGGCTCTGAGGGTTTCCCCTCCCACTTCAGTCTGCCGATTGAAGTACATCCCCGCGATATACATCGGAGTACATGGAAGGTACATGGAAAGGGAAATGCGGTTAACTGTCTTTCCGTCGATGAGAGTTTCGCTTATAGATAATCAACCGAATCATCAACTATGAACCAATGACCACTACTAGCTAGCCAACAGGCAAACCCCATCCTTCATGTTGATGATTATAAGTTGATATACTTGTGCAGATATTCCATAGGCATTGCCATGGTTACCAGGCAGCTACTTTATCTCCTGTCAGTCACGATCTCAAGAAGATCGAACGATTAGGACACACCCACGTCCTAAAAAACGATGCCAAGTCCACCACAAGCCTAGCTGGTCCCATTGCTTTCTCCAGAGAATACAACCACTCAACAGCCGCCCACATGGTTCAGCTAATAAGCTTCACAAGCATGCCATACTGTCCATGCCAGCATGATACTTACCCTACTAGAGAATTGATTACCAATCGTTTCATGCAGTAACTAACCAACTAATTGACTAGCCTACCGTACCTCGATATTCACATCCTATCCCATTCCATCCAGATCTCCATACAATCTATCAACACTAACCCATTTCCCCTCCCCTTGCCCAAGCGTAGCCTTTATCATGGATAATCTCCATCGCTCCCCTCTATCGGACAAAAGGGTATCTTCCAAGACCTCAACGGACCACCCCCCTTGCTTCCCCTTCTCTGCAGGGTGTCATCAGTGACTCCCCCAGAGAACCAAGACACTCACCGCTCTTTTCGATCGTGCGTGCGATGGCGTCTTGGACGAGGAGAAGGAGGGTGGTTGGACGTTGGATTGGAGGTCCGATGCTGTCTTGTCCATCTCTATCGGATTCCGAGAAACATAGTCTTGCTGGAGATTGGCAGACGATCGTGTGAAATGACTCGCATGTTGCGGGCGGGATCAAATCGTTTGTGTCGATCGCTCGTTCTTGTGATCGTGAGTGGCGCTGAAGCCGGTACTCTGGCGTTGTATATTTGGTTGTGAATCTGTTTTTCACAAAAGCATACGTGTTCTTGTTGTGTATTCTACGAGAAGGACCTGGCGTGTGTTGGTAGCGGCCGGTTAGTTTATCATTTGTCGTACAGACAACTATATATTGTCGGAGGGGGGGTTACGCCAGCAGTGTATCAATGGTTGACGTGCTGCAGTACGCTACCTAGAACGCGGCAGAAGTAGTCGGAAGATTTCGAGGGAAGGGGCCAGTCAGATGAGATGCATGCTGACTTATCTCAGCGGGCTTTCTGGATGGAGAGCATTTAATGTCAGATCATTTACCGAGTCATGTTGGTCTGATAGCCGATTCTCTCAGTAGCAAGGCGACCGCGAAAATCGAGTGTTCACATAATGTTCTATCCAATATTTGCACCTATTTTGCCCTCTCTCCAAGATCCTCATTGTTGAATGAGTCAATCAAGTCCGACGCAGCTGGAGTGCAATCCATCCGAACAGCCGATAAACCGCAATAATGCCAATGAGAATTCCCACCCATTTGCCCGTCCGTCCAGTAGCATACCCATACTGTTGCAGTACCGCCGTGCCGCGGATCAGGCATTGATCTGCTAGATCCGAGTCGTACATACAGTGGCAGCCCTCTCCGCACGAGTAGTTCCGTTGCGAGAATTCGTTCACCATCATTCCCTGGAAGACGTATGACTAGGGGCACATCGTATTAGTACTTTCCCTGGTGAGGACGAGGATAAATATTTCTTACTTGATAATCAATATAGTGGAACACATATTTCCAGAAAGGATTCAGAATGGTTGGCGTCACAAGAAACCCACCCACGCTCATCCACAATCCATTCGCGAACGCGACTAATGCGAGCGAGATGACAAAGTTGGGGAATATCGATGTGACGAACACGACCAGACTTTCGGCCGCGACGAGGTCGAGGAATATCCACATAACCCAGATCATAAAGGCGGATCCGTCTGGTCGGAAGTTGGAGAGCCAGTATGAGACAATCGAAAAGAGCATTGAAATTAGGACTATAAATTCAAGAATGTTAGCAATGAAAGCCGTATTGGCTGTGACTGTTTAGAGATGCGAACGAGACGTACAGAGGAAAGGAAGACCGATGAGGAAATTCGAGACGATAAAGGGTGTTGCGCCGTAGAGCCCATTCGCGCGCTCCTTTGCAAATGTTGCCCTGTCTTCGAGGTAGGCGGGCACATAGGCCACGGCCATAAAGGACATGAAAGCTGATCCGAAAAACTAGGTTGGTGCTTATTAGCTGACTCATTCACTTCTCGTTTTGTCTGAAAGGGCGTGCTCACGATCGCATTGACGAAGGGTTGGATATAATCCTGAGCTGGGTGCAGGCGGAGCCATACTGTTCCCATCATAATGGCAAGACCTGCCTGGAATTAGCTCGTGTTGACAAGAGACAGTGGCAGATACTCACCAAGATACATCGCAATTCGGATTCCGTAAGCCACGACATCACGGTAACTCTTGATGAATGAGCGATGCAGCAGCGCAGCCGTGATGGTGACAGGCCCGGGACGAGCCATATCCTCGGCAGACAACACGCCCGCTGCTTTTTCAGACTCACGAGCCCGCTCGGAAACATGCCTTACAATGATATCAGACTCCTCAGAGGATGCCCAGGCATTCTGAATCTGCTGAACTCGTTCTTGAGCATTCCCCTTTGCGCCGCCAAAGTCCGAGCTGACGATATCAAGCAGGAACTCGGCTGGGTTGGTGTGCGCGGGAATCGGGTGGCCAATCTGTCCGAAGTAGCTTGAAACGTTGTTGATTGGGCCAAAATAACATGTCCGTCCACCGGATAGGAGGAGCAGCTTGTCAAATAGCTGGAAGGTGGTCGTCGAAGGTTGGTGGATACTCGCGATGATGATGATCTACGCAACGCGTGCTATTAGTATTCTGACTCACGAGTCGAGGGAACCCTAGATTAAACTCACATTATTGGCCCGTGCTATCTCTTTCGCGTAGGACATCACCTCGTAACTGGCGGTCGAGTCCAGACCGCTGGTCGGCTCATCCAGGAACAAGATTTTGGGACAGGTGATGAGTTGGCTGGCTACACTGACACGTCGTTTCTGCCCACCACTGATACCTTTCCGAATAGGAGTTCCGACCAGGGTATTTGCCTGGTTCTGGATACCAAAGGCCTCCAAAAGTGTCCGTATACGATCCATGCGCTGGCGCTTGGTGACCGAGCTATATCACGTGTGAAGATTAATACAGGCCGATCGACCAAAATTATTGGATCAAAAACATCGAAAAAGGCACTGCATACCTGGGCAGCGAGAGGTCCGCCGCGAACTTCAACGTTTCACGGACTGTCAATGACCCAATCAGAGCATCTTCCTGCTCGACATAGGATGTCATGCGACCGAATGATCCAATATCCACCTTGGCGCCATTAACATAGCTGTCACCCAGCACTTTGGCACCGGACGCAGCTGGCCGTCGAGCAAGCACATTGAGCAGGGTTGTCTTTCCACAGCCCGAGGGTCCCATCAACGCCACGAGCTCCCCTGTCGAGATCGATATATAGATTAGCATCAACCCGGTCCAGGTTGTCAAGCCAAGCACACGACTCAAGCTCGTCGGTAATCCACAGACATACCTTGCTGGACATCACCACTAATATCATGAATCAGATCCCTGGCCTTTTTTGTCTGGCGATCCTTGACCGTCACGGTGAAACCACTCCAAGAAATGTTCTTGACGGAATGATTCATCAAAAACCGACTGTCGCCATCCCACTCGACATCTAAGGTTGGCGTCGACGTTTCATTTTCGAGATTGCCATCAAAGGCAGAAGCAGGGTCACCCATGTTCGCAACTAGTCACGGTCACGACAGTCGTTAATGCTTCAGACTGCGATATAGTAGGTTGAATTCGCTTTTTTACAAACAATTTCGACCCATTTCTCGGGCCCCCTCCTAGTTAAATACATTTCCGATCGTCTCGGCCCGCTCTGCAGGGCTAGGGTGTCATCGGCGATCGATTCCAGGAGTGCAGGCTCAGCTAGCCCAGCGAGGAAGTAGAATGTGATGGGGACCATGGGATTGTCTCGAGCGGACATGCGGCTGACTGGGGGTTGCTCAGCTAGACTGGCCGATGTGGTCCCCGAAACGGGGCGAAGGAACAGCGTGATAACTGGATACCGTTAGAGTCGCGCCACAAACGCCGCTAGTGGTCGCCCTAAACTGGCTTCTTACATAAGATCATTTGGTCCCCGTGAACGCCGTTTGGCACGGGGAATCGGCCACGATGTCTATAGCGTACATGGAAAATCGTGGCTTGGTCATTAAGAATTGGCGTTCGAGACATTCGTGAATTTGTGTGGATGGATCTTCCTGTTTTAGTCACTTCGCTTAGCTTGTTCTAAGTTCTTGTAGGGCTGCCCGAAACCTCCTTTTTTTTTTCCCTTCCGTAATAACCAGCTCAGTAATGCCCGATCGCCGTAGTATTCGGGGGATGATATCCCCGCTGACTGCAGACACGTTGTGGCTGTACGGCTCTATGTCACCACTACGCAAATTAACCATTCCACACCAGCAATTGGATGGGGAAACGCCGAAGCTTTCTTATCTTCCCGGGGTCGGATAAGAAGAAATTTAGACCGACGCTACGTGGTTCATGACAAGAGAGCCGCGAATGGTTCGATCTGGAGATCCATGGCTCCCTGGTTTGTTCTTGTGCGCCAAAGTGAACATCATAATCATAGTTTATTGGACCCACTTTTAACGCCAGGGCGTGTAGCGGAGAAGTATGAGATATCATCAAGCTATGGGGAATTTTTAAATGGAGAGAGAAGAGTGTCGGGGAAAGTTTACATCCTAGAGGGTTAAAAAGTTAGCTCATTGGTACACCAAGGATTGTCCAAATTCGATGACTGACCGCTCCACGGGGTTGAGACCCAGAACCCGCATACCGTTGTTCAAGACCTGTCGGGCAGCAGCGTAAAGAGCCATACGAGCCTTCTTGAGCTCGGGCTCGCTACCAATGACCTTGAGAACATCGTAGCTAGAGCTCAACATGTGCGTCATGCGGAACAGGTAGCTCAGCACGGTAACTGGCTCCAGAGTCTTGGAGGTATTGACAAGAACGTCGGGCCACGAGGCAAGGAGACGGACTAGATCGACCGCGTGGCGCTCGGTAAGGAGGGAGAAGTCCGCGCTGCTCAGCTCGTCGATGTTGAGCTCCGATTTGCGGGCCATGGAGCAGAGACGAGCGTGGGCGTATTGCAGGTAGGGACCGGTGTCACCCTCGAACGAAGTCATAGCGTCGAGGTTGAAGTCGTAGCCATTGACACTGGGCAGAAGTTAGCATTGGAGTGCATGAGGGCAGCTGACAGTGGCTGAAAACTTACCGCTTGCCAGTCATATCCTGAACCATGACGGAGGTGATACCGAGGGTGTCGGCAGTCTCCTCGGGGTTCTCGACCTGTGAGTACTTGGTCTCGTTCTTCTTCATCACATCGTGCATCTTGTCACCAACATCCCGCAGAATGTCATCCAAGAACTTGACAGTGCCCTTGCGGGTGCTCATACCCTTGACCATACCAAAGTTGATGTGCTGGCAGCGGCTGGCAAGGTCCTTGTAACCCATCAGCTCGGTGACCTTGAAGAGCTGAGCCAAGTGGAGATCTTGTTGGGCAGCCACGACGTAAATCATCTTATCGAAGTGGTACTTCTCCTCACGCTCCAGGATGGCACCGATGTCACGGGTCAGGTACAGAGGGGTGCCGTCCTTGCGCACGATGATAGCCTTGCCCAGCTTCTTCGCGCCGTGCTTGGTGAAGTCGGCGATGATAGCACCCTCGGACTCCTCGGTAACACCGGCCTTCTCCATGGCCTTGTAGGCAGCGTCCATGCTCTCGGCCTTGACCTGGGATTCGCCAGAATAGACGTCAAAGTCAATGTTCAGGCGGGCGTAGGTCTGCTTGTACTTGGCAATACTGAGATCACGGAAGCGGGCCCAGAGAGCAAGGGCATTCGGGTCACCATCTTCCATGGACTTGAAGTACCGACGGGCCTTCTCGTCCTCGCTAGCATCCACGAGCTTGGCGAGCTCAGCCTCCTCAGAGGAGACATCCTCACCCTTCTCCTTCTTGGTCTTGATCTGCTCCTTCAGCTCCTTAATGGGGCCCTCCTGCTCACCAACAATGCGGTTGACTTTGACGTATACATCGAACAAGTGGTTGATGGGGTCCTTTGTGAGAGCCTCCTCGTCTCCGAAATACTTGAAGCCGTTGGCCAACAGACCGTACTGCTTGCCCCAATCACCAAGGTAGTTCATCTTGATCACATCCCATCCCATAACAGTGTACAGGTTGGCAAGGAAACCACCAATAATCGTTGACCGCAAATGTCCGGCGTGGAAGGGCTTGGCGATGTTGGGCGAGGAGAACTCAACGATGATCTTCTTTTGGCCCTTGGAAGGGTCGGAGGGGTCCTTAAGACCCATGTTGCCATTGGTACCGAAGGCGGCCTTTTCAGTGAGCACACGACCCAGGACGGTGTTGGACAGAGGGCCAGCCTTGCAGAAGAACTGCAGGTGAGGGCCGAATGCAGTAGGAGGGTGGATGAGGTCGGACTCGGGGAATTTGGAGGCCAGCTCCGCGGCGAGCTCGTCGGGCTTCTTCTTGATACGGAGGGCGGCGACCTACATTGACAGGCAATGTGAGTGATACAGTTCCTTCATAGTAGCAATAGCTAAAGATAAGTTGCGATTGAAGAGCGTACCGGCAGGGACAGGTCACCCTTGTCCAAAGTGCTGGTCCATGCAAGACGAGAGAAGATCAACTCGGGGTCGATACCAGCGGCCTTACCCAATTCCTCCGCAATGTGCTCACGGTAGATGTCCATCGGGTTCAGCGTCGGGAAACATCCTGCGAACTTGGAGGTCTTGGTAGTGGACTGCAGGGTCAAGGCCTGGACGGAGGCCGTCAGGGAATCGGCGGACGCCATGAATGCGGTGCGGGATAAGGAGCGCGACGGGATGGAGGGAATGCGAATGCGAATACTGGGCCGAGAAAAAAAGACGCCTGTGAATCGACTGGCCCCGCTTAGCAGAATCCGACCCATAAGGAGGGGAAACTTTCTCGGGGTCGCTTTTTTTCTGTGACTCAGGGCGGGCAGCTATCAGGCGGTACGTCACGTGGGCTTTGTATAGATCGGGTGGTGAGATGCCCCACTTGTTGCTTCTTTTTTTTTGGTAGTGGGGTTGACTGTATGGCCGAAAGTGTGATCGAAAGAATTTGATCTGTATTTTCGGTACTTGGTTGCTGTCTAGCATAGTGTGGTAGTTCACTAGTACGTGAGGAGCTCACAGCATTCTCTCGAATGTATATCGGTAGACCTTCATCCAGTACGACCCGGCAAGATAAGAACGGAATCTGGAATACATATTTTTGCACGATTCTCGCGTGGATAACTACCTTTTCCCTCTATCAAAATATTCAACCTTAGCAGTGTTCTAGACTTTCTCGTCTTGGATCAAGCTTGATACTTGACAGTCGCACGGTTAACATGCCAGCCACCAATCACTGTTCGAAGAATCAATATCTGACGTCACTGACTTCCATGTCCAAGCATCGCGTTGCAAAAAGCAAGGTTTAAAAGTAAAGTCCACGCCAAAGAGAAAAAGAAGCCTGACCCCGTTCCTAACTCATAGTTCATCCTTGCATAGAATCTTCACATCATGGGAAAAAGCCGTCGCCAGTCGGCGCTCACCAAGTCTATCCAGGCTGGGCTGCTACGTGACCCAGACCGTTTCAAGAAGACGGGCTGGGGGCATTTGATTGCATTCTTCACACTTTATCGAATCAAGCTCATACGTTTCGAAGACGACCTCTTTGCTAGGCTTCGGCAGGAAATTTGGAAGTTCAACGAAAATGAATACCAGGCCAGCTTTCGCACAACGAGTGGCCAGCCACCGCTGAAATCAATGGGTGATCTGGGGTATTCGGGCTCGGTAAGTCTTCCATGGAACAGATACAAGGTCTCTCGCCTTTAACACCTTATCCCAGACATTTTTCGGTACGTTGGATGGCCACTATGTCATCAAAAGCCTTCCACGCCACTTCGAATACACTTTCTTCCAAAGCGATCTGCTCCAACCATACTATGACTATATGCGCGAACACCCAGACTCTGTCCTTGTTTGGATAACCGACTACCTCATTTCCCCTTATGTAACCCTCGGCACGATATTCGGCTGCACCCCTGCGCATCATATCATCATGGAGAACATCCTCTGCGGCCAATTTGACGATCCTGCTGGCGAGCGCTGGGAAACTTACGACCTCAAACCAATCGACTACTTCTATCCCGAGCGCGACTTACTCCCCGCTCCACTTGTTAGCGAAGCGACATTAAGCAAACTAGCGGATACTTTCAATGACAAGTTACATCTGTGGAGGAAGGACTATCAAGAATTCATACAGGCTATAAAGGAGGATACAAAGTTTCTGGAAGATGCAAATGCCGTTGACTACTCCCTCTTCCTAGTGCGAATCCCGGCTAGCTCAAGCCCAGAGGTACTCGGAAGAAAAAGTCCCTGGCGAGCGGGCCTGCCCTCGGCGGACGGCAAGTGGAAATACCGGGCGGTGATACTCGATTTCTTCTGGGCTCGACATAAACTCCGTGCGCAGGCCTTGTCCGGAGTGGTGCAGACGTTCAATGTGGTGGGTCGGAAGGGGCACATGTCTATTACGACCACAGCACCAGATTATCGCCAGAAGTTTTTGGCGATGGTACAAGAGATGATTCAAGTCCATGAATAGTATGAATCCATTGCGTGTGCATTAGTAGTATTAGATATCAAGTGAATGCGATTGATGTCTTCATGTCCCCCCCATTAAAAAGCGCCCATTATTGCTTTATCTCTAACTATCTCCTCTCCATCAAGTCCCTCTCGTATTGCGAATAGGCCTCAACGTCGCTTATCGACCACTCTTGAATTTCTTGAATGACCGGGAAAAGTCGCCGCTACCCCGGACGGTCTGCACGAGAAACTTTTGCCCAAGAAGGTTAGCAACCGAATTATAGCCAAGTAGCCACAGAAGATGTACTTGATGGCTCTTGCAGTCGGGCCATGCCGCCGGCACTGCTCTCCCACATAGGCTGATAATTGGCTGACGAGCCCCCCATCGCCTGTTGAATATTGTGAATTGTGAGCGGTAGTTTGCAAGGGCCCAGGAAGTCGCGATATAAAACCACCTTCCCTGTCCGCGTTAAAAGAACTTCACTGTGAGGAACCATCCCAGAATCCAAGCAGTATGTCCATGTAAGTTATTTGGATCATTATCTCCAAGTCGTCAAGTGACACGTTTGCTTTGGTGATATACTCCTTTTGGTTGGTAACTTGGTACACGCCAACACAGGGAGCTAGTTGTGTTGAGTCGGACGCAAGCCAGGCAGACAAATACTTCAGAATTCTTTCAGCGCCGGCACAAGCTCGGGTGAGATTTCTGGGCCTGTATCTCTTCGTCCCTGGGAGAAGAGCTATGCTAGAGTTGAGCACCCCATGTACCCTGAACCTGGGGCTTGTTTTTAAGACCGATGCTGTATGGCACACACGTTTCAATGGTTTTGTTTTCCGCAACACGTATGAACCATTTCCTCGCAAGGTTCAAAGGTTTGTACATTCTAGACTACCACAAAGAATATTCGGATTTGACAATCACACTCATCTCTAATGCATTGTGGCTTTTAGAAACCATTGGTAGAAAGAAGACCGTTTTTCTGAATCATATTTGAACCCAGTTACTTCATCACTCTGGTCCACTGACAGTTGAGATAGTCTGGCGTCTTGGTAAAATCCCAACGTCCACCTGCAGTTTGATATCTCTCCTGTTGATTTAAGAGGACGAAACCCACTGGTAACTCAGGACGGGGATTTCAAAAACCGGGGCTGTGCAAGTGGCATTGAAATCGGCATCATGAGTGCAAGACAGAGCAAAGTCCACACTCCCAGAGTATGTAATTGAGCTACCGTTGTCACATTTGAGTGCATGCCCGGCACCAAGAGTATAGTCCATATGGCCCGTGGATGAGTCAAGATCCGAGGAGCCATAGAATGCAACGATTCTCCCCAGACCTCGATCAGCATATCCGCAGTTGCTCTCGCCGTGAGCAATATCGTGGATCCGATAGCCGATATACTCATCGTGACAAGTCAAGCCATCCGCAAACTTGATGTCAAGAGTTTGGGGTGGGCCGTAGCCCCATGGCTGGTAGTTGGGCATGCCAGTATAGCAGACATTCACCCAGCTACCATTGCATGTTGCCTGATTCGGTTCACACCAGCCTGACCCGCAAAGGCAGCCCTTGGTGTTAATGTCGACTTGGTTATGGATACAGTCCAAGCTGTGGGAGCCATTATACCAGTGAAAGTTGTTGACGGTCCAGGTAGGAATTGGACATCCTTCTGGCGGTGTGATTGAGCGGCGATGAATTGCGGTAGAGACAGCTGAAGAGGACAAGGCCAGTAGACCTGTCATGAGACTAGTGATGGAGACCATCTTTGAGAAAGGGGAATTGGAATTGTAGAGGAGAGCCTATGTTGAATTCGTTAATCTCTCGAGTCCCTTTTATACCCATTTATCGAGAGTAAGCGGATGCGGTACTCAAAAGAAGAGACCCATTTATAGTGAGACGCGATATGTCCGATTCGTGGTGTCTGTGATGTCCATGCAGATAAACACGCTAAAAGTTAGTCGCGGGATGGAGTCGCAACACATAACCAATTGATCTCAGAGATCGAAAGAGGGGCCCGAGACATACAGAAACGATGCCCTGTTTGATGCTGGCTATTGGCCTTCCCGATCTGCAGGGCCTTTGTTCCTGGGAAAGAAAATCTTAGTCACAGTGAGGTAAAGAATGACCAGTAACATACATGATTCTTGTCCAGAAAATACATTGCTCGGGCGTTGGGACCGGTCTCCGCTCAAAAGTGAAAACCCATGGCCGGTGGCCGTCGATACTCATGGCTCCAACTCCCATCATGAATCATGCGTGAGGAGGCTCCAATCTGCGCCTCATCATATCGAACCTTCATCCAGCCAACCTCAGCCAACGTACAGCCGTACACTGGCTCGTATCCATCGGCTGGCCCCCCTCCTGCAGTCAACTCTTCGGGGTCCCACTCTGGTGGCCACCTCCCATTGATCAGAATCACAAATCCAGCAGTATTATACGCTTCCAAGTCCTCGGTCGGTATTTCCAGCACAGACTGTAACGCCTCCTCGTCAACCATGATACACAGCCGATATCGGGCCAAGTACGCCGACTCTGCACGTTTATATGGCACACCTTGCTCAGTCTCGCAAGCCAGCCTCGCCCACTCCTTAAAAGCGTCCCGTATTTGATTAGGCGTGGCCCCGTCAAAGCGGCGCGCGTCTTCCACCACAACAGGCCGAAAGGAATCCAACATATCGAGCCCATCGTAGCTTTCTAGTTCTGTGCGGACACTGCCCATGAACCGATCGAGGAATTTCGCCCAGTCCGCGTCGCTCTTGTAGGTGGTTCGGTACATAGTGATACCCCAGTAACGGAATCCGTCCGTCTCCAAATTTCTCTCAATAAGGTCAGCCATATTTTCGCTCATTTGACGCCATGGGGTTCTCTTGGAGTCTTCGATGACCATGGTTGCTGATGTGGACGAAAATGCCCGAGGTAGCGATTCCCCTCTGACCCGGGGAAAACGATGAGTCCTTTGCTTAGTGCCCGGATATGGTATTTTCTCTGGCCGTGAGGCGAAGACGGCTTGTCCAGTGCAGCACATAGACGAAGATGCAATGCTAGAGAGTGTTCTCGTAGGGGTGCTGAACAGGTGTGTTGAGCTTCTGAGGAAAACTCGGGAAGAGAATGGGAACGACATTGAATCATCCGTAGCTTGCCGAGGAAATTAAAGAATTCAATTCAGATACAGAAACCAGGAAATCGCGATTCAGATCCACGCTTTGCGCTAGCCACTTAAGTACTGTGATACTTGACGCGTTTGATGTCCTGGCCTTGGAGCCTTACTGCCTGAGAGCCTTTTTGATCTGTAAGCAAACATGCGCATCTGAGCCAAAGACTGCGACTATACAAGCATCACGCGTGTAGTATGTATACTCTGCCGGTATTCAAATTCCTGGTTCCACTGACTCAGTTGACCTCGAAATTTCAAACGCCAGCGAAAATCACCCTCGACGTGGAGCACTTTTTCAAGTTGATCTTCCGTCTCTTCTCATGAGTAGCTAGCAGGTTCCTGCTAAACCTCGCCAAAGTCCTCACGATATTCTAGCAGGGCGTATCAATGTCTAAGATCTGATATTTTTATACCAGATTGAAAGAGTTGTGAACTTCAGCATGTGGATCATGAGATACCGAGGACTATCATTGAACGATTGAATCTCTCGAGGGCGCGGTACATCCCAAATCAAGTGAACGCGATATCAATTTCACAGTTGACAAGCGACAGCCTCGAACGACGCATTTGATCCGACACCTTTATAGTCAGTGCGCCAGATCTTGATCACCCTGAAGCCAGCCCTTTCCAGCAGATCAACCCACTTCTTCTCAGTCCGCTCCAAAGCAGCAAAAATATTCATCATGTTAATATCCAAGTTGATAGAAGACCAGTTGATAGAAGACCAGTTGATAGAAGACCAGTTGATAGAAGACCAGTTTAAGCCTATTTGGCGCCGCATAGGGACAAATACGGAAAGAGGCCTCCAAATTATTGACCCTTGAACCGAAATCAAGCCATGGATCGGACTGTTAGGCTTTTGGGTCGAAGAAACAACCTGAGTCGATGATGAACGTATCCCACAGCGCTAGTGATTACTATCATAGAGTGGGGATATTATGGTTTCGAAAAGCAGCGTCAAGCTTTGGAAGAGGTGCTAGCTAACTAACGCCACTGGTCTCCTGCTTGCTGGAAGGTAGGTCCGAGAGATCGACCGAGGATCGGCAAGCCGCTTACCAGTAGCTGCCCGGACGGGCATCAATACCAGCTTAAGAAGCCCCTGTGGCCGCTAAAGCAGCAGACGAGGACATAGAGAGAGCCCATGATTGAGTGATACTGAGTTTCCTCTGAAATCGTATGTGGTCGTACAAATTGAGTAGGAGATACTTGGCTGAGATGCAGACTTCGCTCAAAAGCCGTGATGTTAGGGCCGATCTGATAGAGGATTCAGACCCGCCAGCAAGCTTACTGAGAGGGCGGGGTCAAAATGTAGTAATCAAGTGGTAAACTCAACAGGATTCAAACGAAACAAAAAAAAACGCGAACAGCACTGAATTGCCCGCAGCGAATGATGACAGGGATCTGATGGACGATCATTTCCTCATCCGCGCCTTGAAAAGGGAGAGAATGGAGACGCTCGATGTAGACGCGGCTTGCACGAAGCCGCGCCATTGCCGAGGAGGGGATCATAAGGCTTATGGGCGACAGATCCTCAATCAATACGGAGTAGTGGGTAGACTACTGTTGACCAGGCCCTCTTGGCTTTTTTTCAGGGTGTTGCTCTTGTCTTCGAAAGGTGAATCTGCGGAATGCATGACTATTGAGGTGCTTTCCAAGGCATTCCCAGATGGTCAGGAATTGACCGGCGCAGCGAACCGGAAAGCTCCGCTGGGCTGCAGCAGACACGCGACCGGAGAATCCCTTCGCGATTCGGGTTCTTGTCACAGGCTAGACCTAAGAGAACTGGTTGCTGCGAGCTGCACGACGTACGATTCAGGGGGCATGCCTCCTGCTAATGCACTGACCCCACAGAACCGTGTAACAAGGTTGGCCAGTCGGAGTTGGCTAGAAAATCTATGCGAGGCTTCGATGGTTTCCGCAACTAGGAAGTTGGTGAGTTCTTGGACCAGGTTGTTGTTATTGGCTGCTACCAGCAGATCACAACGGAACTGATGGCCCGTGGCAGTTCGGGTCCAGGGGGTTTCGGCATGGCTGCGAATGCAATAGCAGAACAACAAGTCGTCACAACTCTTGCAAGACCGTAGCAATTGTTTGGACTGTCGCTCCAACTTTCAACCGACGTCAATGGACAGTGTCATCTCTCAGTGGGGAAATTTGCATCTGGCCAGAGAGAACCAATCGAGTCGACAACACCAACCGAGGGTTCGATAGTCGAAGTATGTTACTCCACCCGATCGACTGCGCTTGCACCCACCAAGTCTGTTAGTCCTGTTCGCACGCCCCTCCTCCCCCATGGAATTTGCAATTCGATCGTGCCACTTTGAGACGATCACCTCCGTTTCTCAGCCTGGATATTGATGCAGTGAGAGTATAAATCCGCAAGGCCACGCCCCCAGATTCTGATAAGACGATTCCCTCCCGTTTCAAAGAAATGGATCCTGTCGTTTTGGGATCTCCCTAGTCATTCTTTTGAATTATAAATCCTACAGAATGTCGCTTGAGGAAAGGTTTCCGGCCTATGGCGGCCGTGGGCCTGGCGATTTGCGCCTCGGCATTGCCTTGGCTATCATCGCCACCATCTTCATGGCCATGCGAGTCTATGTGCGGTTGTTTCTTAACAAGTTCGGAACCACCGCCTTGATGTGGTCACTCGCTGCTTGGGTATGGTCGAATCAATACGTTGGATGTAGAATGACTTGCTAACCTTGTAATAGTTGCTTACTACTATCACTCAAATCTTTGGAATCCTTTCTGTGCTCCATGGTCTCGGAAATCATATCACACTCATTATCAAAGTCGGCGAATTACACAACTTCCTTCTCTTCACATGGGTCACCGTCTTCTTCTTTAATCTCGCTATTCCAACCGGTAAAGTGGCCGTCGCTGCATTCCTGATTGAAATGAATGGACAAAGCAGTGAGTTTTCTGGATGTCCCGGTGCAAGTTCGACACACCGTGATGAGTACCATGAGAGATACTAATCATTCATTGCCATAGACCCCAAAATCAGGAAGAGCTTGATTGCCGTCGCGGTCCTAAACATCGTCCTCAATATCCCTCAGGTCTTGATGGTCTGGTTCCAATGCACTCCAGTTACCGCGCTCTGGGATCCTCTGCAACAGGATCAATGCGACCACCGTAAGAGCGTATACTACACATACTTCGTTGGTGCCATCGCCGCCCTTTCGGATATCTATCTCGCCGTTGTTCCCATTCATATGCTCCTACCTCTACGTATTGATCGAAGGCTCAAGTGGGGCCTGAGTTTCCTCATGGGCTGCGGGGTTTTTGCCGGTGTGGCCGCGGTCGTTCGCACATGGGCTGCCAAATTCATTTTGAGTGAAGACTCTTCTTGTGAGTTACCCCGACGATTATGTTCACTTCTACTGAATACACTGACTTATTATGATATAGACGGCGTTGGCATCCTATTCTGCTGGGGTGAAGTGGAAGAGTGGCTTGTCTTGATCACCATGTCCATTCCACCAGTCTGGCCTCTCTTTAGACCCTTCACCAATCGCTTCATCAAGTCGACTACCACGGGAAGCAGACGAAAGAGCTATATGTATAACTATAAGGCGCCATACAGCACGACAGCGGTTGGTGATCAATCACCAGCATTCCCACCTCCCATGCCGCCAGGATTCCCTCCCCCTATGGTCACCACCACTATCTCTATCTCGTCAGCAAAGGATGGAGCTACCACAATTGTACCATCAGAAACGGGCTCGCGACTATCGGACGAACTGATACCACATAGCATTCTACACCATAAGAATTCGTCCACAACTTGGGTCGAGTTGTCCCCAGTGAAAGACCCGAAAGACCCACGGCACTCAGCTTGAACAATCATTTTGGAAGTCGGGATATCATTTTATTTTTCTTTTTCTGCGCGCCTGATATTATTCACTCACTCTATCATTTTATATTTCATGACTGATGCCTCAATACCACTTTGTTTTTGTTTTGCGATACTCATGACCTGACTCTCGTGATGCGGATGAACCATCTCATTGCATATCACGTTGTATGGCTACTGCACGGCCAAGATACATTCCTGTATACGTCGGTCGCTCTATAATCCTGAAATTTGTGAGGAAAATTGGATTCAGCACAGAGGCTCACTTTCGATCCTGAAGGCTATCCCGAAGCGGATGTACCGTCGTCTGCGCCCAATTGTTAGATTCTAGCACTTTATGAGGTGGCATGCGCATTCCATGCTTCGTCGGAAAGATTACGATGTAGCCCGGAATTCCGTGTGTCAGCGTCTCTCATCTAAGTTTTTGATGTTCGAATGCGACAACAAGTCGAGACCAGGCCGTCTCAATTTCCATCGGAAGGTCAACATGGGAGATAAAGCCCCGCCCACGCGGTCCATAACCATTTTCATCGTCTCGTATCCTTGGTATCTCTCCGAGAATCAATTCAATAAAGCGCTGAAGGCTCCACAGCTCGCATGAAACTCCCAAAGGCATCCATTCCAGGACGTGGGTATGAGATAGTTGAACCTTTGGGACGAAGACCGGAAAGCTTAAGAATGAGACAGATGAAGGCATGTCATCGTAAACTTTCTGGAATGAGGCCTTTGTCCTTAACATCATCGTCGGGTCTTGGCTGATCACTAATCTTTTTGGGGCTGAGAGCCCGGCTTGTTCAAGTACACGACGGCTGAAAGAAGCATTTTGTCCACAATTGGTTGATTGATCCTCAATGAGAATTTGGCATCCTTGTGATGTAATGGCTATTCTATCAAAGAATCTGTCCAGAATTCTCTCCAGGATTCGTGCCTCTGGAAGACCGTCGATATCATGGGCAAGGACCGAGTAGTGAGGATGTTGTGCGATAGCACTGTAGAGAAGGTGGGTAGAGTGACCGATGCCACCACAAAGTACCAAGCATTTTGCAAGGGCAGGTCTTTCTTGGAGCGCTTTAAAGATGACCTCTGCACCGTGTAGAACCTGTGATGCGCAAAGAACTACATAGTCCACGGAGGGTATGTAGGATAGGACTTGGATTTCTGCGTCGCTTAGATATTCAGACAGTGTGTTGATATCGGCGGCAGTGTCTGAACTCAGAGTTCCCATGATTAATAATGAGATGTGGTGATATCAATGTTCAAGATGTGGTTGCACAAAGCCGAATTCAAGATTAAATAGAAACCAGTAGCGTAAGTTTGAATACGGTCTGATGCTTTGGCACGGTCTGGATCATGTGATATTTTGTACTATGCTGGATCGGGAAAACGATCCTCTCATGTTTCAGTCTTGAGTGCAATCATGATGGACTCTGTCCTGCGACACGAGCTCGTGATTATTGACCTCTCCATTGCATAGTCCCATCTCTTTATTTTTACATATCCGGTCTCCCGTTGGGTCCAGACCTAGGTTGAGGCCCTTGTGAGTGATGAATTTTTACTTGAGCTTGAGGAAGGAGAAATTTTCCCTATTGGTTAGGACGAGTTTACGCAGTGGGCAAATTGTCTGAATAGCAATATCGGGCATTATTTCATTGCCCTTCTATTACTACTAGATATCCCACATGTTGATCTGGTCAATATCAAGTTCTTCCCATCTCCCACAGGTTTTACTGCTTCGACAGGTAGTCCAGTCCAATTCGGTCTCAGTCCATCGCCCGACCGATGGCTATCACAAAATTTTGCAACCATGAATATTCTGCTCATAGTCTTTGGCCATGTTCTACACGTGTAAAATACGTAATGTCGAAGGGTCCTTGTCGGTGCTACAGTAGCTCCACCAGGGCCCAGGCTTGAGCCCGTTACTAGTTTGGACTTTGGATATCGCTATGCCCGGGCGCGATAAATCCCCACTGCGTATATTTTAAATAACGAAGTAGAACACTCCAAACCACCTCTTTTTTTCTTGCGAGTGAAAAATTCTCGGGCGTTTATTCCATCTGGTCATGAGATTCTAATCCAAGAGAACCAAGCGGCCAATCTGAGTTTGCCAAGCTCGCTTAACATGCCAAGGGGCGAGATTGATCTAATCAATCTTTTTTTCTTCCGGTCTCGGCTGAGAGCTTTGTCTTATCAATCTAGGACCACATTGATGGAGAGAATTTTTGACTTTTGCTGATTTCATCTAGGCAGCCACTGAGGGTTTCCGGACTCACCACATTTCCCCATATGTTGCCTTGGATTGGTGTTTTCAAGGCGTGTAGCGGGTTTGTTAACTTTCGTCCACTTTATCAAAGCAATCACCAGTTGTAGCGGAGCTACAATGACGGGGCGTTCCTGAATATACAGTACAGATTGTCCTAGCGCGCTACCAGAGCTCTTTTCCCCATCCGCCCCATAAGGGTCTATATTTACCTTCTTCCTATGCGCAAGAGGTATGCTAGATACAACCATTTCGTCTTAGGTCTACCAAGCCTTGTGATCCCCTTCTCGTCTGTCATTTCATGGGTATCAATCTTATCTCGGCCCGCGTGTCGCTTGGACATCCGACTTTCATGCAATTTTCCTTGTCGCCAAGAATGCCGAGACTGGCTAGCAGGACGGCCTCTGGACAAAACAAGGGAACTCGCACGTTCCCAAGCCCAATCAACCTAATTAATCGGAAATCCTCGGGTGGAGAGCAAGTCACTCGTCACTGCGCTACAACGTGGGGCACGAGTTTGGGGACAGAACACTCTTGCAAAAACGTAACGCTGCGAAAGCTTGCTGTGGGTATGCAAGTGAGACACCGACGGCTCCTTTGCATGCATGGCATTTTTCGCAATGCTGCACTCCTCCACGAGCATATAAGACAATCTTCTTCTACAACTGGCCCGTGCCTGATGCAGAGATAATATTCCATGAACAGAAACCGCGGTAGATACATGTAGATAGTTTTGTTTTCCGATCATCGGCCGATACCGACGGTGCGTCCTGGGCATGCCAAGAAGTGTGCGCATACCCAGTCTCCATCAGAAAGTGTATTCGAGATTTGAGTGGCCACTGCTCCAAAAGCAATAGCAAGAGGGAATTTTTATCAGATTTGAAAGTGGAGACACCACGCGATGACGGTAGTCAAGGGCCCGTTTGCTGGGCTTTATAAGTAAGTAATATCCCCGGAAGTTTTGACTAATCCGTGGGATAGTTTCTCTTTTTCAATTTTGGGCATTTTTGGGAGTCTCTTCGGTCGCCCCTGTCAACATGACCATGGATAAGGATGCCACTACCATGGGGGTTAATGAGGAACCATTGCCTGTGAACCCTGATTCCCCTCGGGTGGAAGGTGAGGACGAAGATCAGCAGGATGGTGTTCGAGTCGCAGAGGCAGTCACTTCTTCTTGGTCGAGGAAGTCTCTGATCATTGTATATGCCTCGTAAGCGATTTGAATTGTTTCTCATTGTGAAATTCTTGCTGACTTGTCCTGCAGGATGTGGTTGCTATACTTTGTCAACGGTCTGAACAGCAGTTTGACTGCCAATCTTTCGGCCTATATCACCAGTGATTTCTCGGAGCACTCGCTGCTTACGGTGATCAGCGTTGTGACCAGTGTGATGGGTGCGAAATCATGAATTCTCCTGAGCATGAAATTTTTTGTGCAGTTAAATGCTAACTACTCAACAGGTGCTGCGTGCGTGATGCCAATCGCAAAGGTCTTGAACTTGTGGGACCGAACTCTGGGAATCTGTATCATGGTGTTGATCGCCATCATGGGTCTTATTATGATGGCATGCTGCAACAACATCGCAACCTATTGCGCTGCGCAGGTAAGTTTCCACAAAAGCCCATAATACGTGTGTCAACACCCCCTAATTTGGAGACTTCCTAGGCATTCTACACGGTCGGATTCACCGGTACAATCTTTTCCATCGATGTTATTACCTCGGATACTTCCTCCCTCCGCGATCGTGGCTTGGCCTACGCTTTCACCTCGTCGCCCTATATGATCACCGCTTTTGCTGGTTCACCACTGTCCAACCAATTCCACGAGACCAACTGGCGTTGGGCGTATGGTACCATCTGCATTATCCTTCCGATCGTTGCGCTGCCGTTGGTCCTTACGTGGGAGTTGGCCAAGCGGAAGGCTGATAGGGAAGGTCGCCTGCAATACAAGCCCCGCAGCACTCGGACATGGAAGCAGAGCGTTTGGTTCTACATTATTGAATTTGATTGTGAGTACCCTTGTCTCGGTCAAGCTTTGCATAGCGTGCTCTAACATGATTGATCAACTACGCAGTCCCCGGTATTTTCCTCATGGTCGGCGGTTTGATCCTCTTCCTGACTTCCTTCAACATCGCTGGCAACACCGAGGGAGAATGGCAATCACCTAAGATCATCGCGATGATGGTCGTCGGTTTCTGCGTCCTGGTCGCCTTCGTCGTTTACGAGCGATGGGGTGCACCAAAGCCATTCATCCCGTTCTCGCTTCTCTGCAATCGTACCGTCATCGGCGCGTGCCTTTTGGATATCACATACCAGGTCTCCTATTACTGCTGGGCAAGCTACTTCACATCCTTCCTTCAGGTGGTGTTCAACACCAGCCTCACTCAAGCCGGTTACATCGCTGCGATCTTCGATTTCATGGACCCTGTCTGGCTTCTCGGTTGTGGTTACCTGATCCGAGTCACTGGCCGATTCAAGTGGCTTCTCATGTTTGCCGTTCCACTCTACCTTCTGGCTAGTGGACTGATGATTTACTTCCGTTCCCCGGGCCACAGCGTTGGATACATGTGCATGTGCCAGATCTTCTTGGCCGTCGGCGGTGGCACTATGATCTTGATTGAACAAGTTGCCGTGCTTGCCGCTGCCAAGCATGAAGACTATGCTGCCATGTTGGCACTGCTGAGCGTCTTTGGTAATGTCGGTGGTGCTGTTGGCAGCAGTGTGTCTGGTGCTATCTGGACCAACACGCTTCCCAAGAAACTGCAGGAGCTGCTGCCTGCGGATACTGTGGATCTGTGGGAGGAGATCTATGAGTCGTTAGATGTCCAACTAAGCTATCCTGTTGGATCGCCTACTCGCATTGCTATTCAGAACGCCTATGCGTTTAGCCAGCGGAACATGATGATTGCCGGAACCGCTGTTATGGCTTTGTCTATTGGCTGGGTGCTAATGATGCGGAACATCAAGGTGAAGAATAACAAGGACGTTGGGAAGGTTTTGTTCTAAAAGGGGCGGGATGGAATGAAAATAATGATGGGATTCGAGTATTACAGATCAGAATAGCGCTTCAACTATATAAGAAGACAAAATGCAGTGAACAAGTCGCAACGATCACGATGGGTGAACATCTCGACGCTACGAATTCTTTGTGTTGCAACCTTTAGACAAAGAACCATATCAATCACTTTGCATGCTCTACCGACAATCCAGATCCCACTTCGTTCCCTCTCGAATCAACTATAGCGTGGCGCTGATCAATAATGCGATCTATTAATAGCTTGAGAGTGTATCCAACAAATAAGCAGCATCCTTTGTCGTCGACAATCGATGGAAGAGGGTGTTACCTATGCTACCTCAGCTGTAGCTGCTTTGAAGCTAGTCATCGAGCTCTCCTATAGCTTTGAAGAGAGCTTGACCTAACACAGCTCTTGTCAGCAAACATTGTTATGCAACGATTGGTTACAACAAAGAAGCAATTGTGTGTGCTACATAGAGCTCGAGGAGCTTTGACGAGATCAGACAATGGGATATTGATGGGACGCATGCAATGAATAACTCGGAATCGGTCGAAATAGAAGTATATAAACCGCCAAGACCCTTTACTTTCTCAATCACAATTTCCAAATCTCCTGATTTCGAACTACCCATTCCATCTATTCAAATTCAAGCTTCCAGCATTTCATTAGCACACCGCAACCTGCTATTCATATCAACACGTACAGCAAAATGGCCCAATCACAAGTTATCAAAGCTTTCAGGAGCTCTAATATGGACAATTCCATCGACAACGAATTCCACGAGCTAGTTCTCGAGCAACACAACGTCGTATCTGACCAGTGGGAGACCGAATGGGAGGATTTCGAGCAAACCTGGTCACCCTATGATGATTCGGAAGGAGACGAAGAACCCGAAGAAGACGATGACTTCTATACTGAAGGTGACTCGGACTCTGGCATAGATTCGTGGCACGAAGCTGATGGCTATTACAGTGACGATGATGGGTGTATGCAAGATCATATCGAGTATGTACATTTTGGGAAGGGGATGGAGTTTAATGGGGAACAGTGGATTTGGGAGAATGATGATGACTTGTCGTCTGAGATGAGTGGGTGATTCTTTTTACAAAAAGTTGTGATTGACTTGATTTGAGATGGGTGTCAATGCATTGGGTCTATTGTACGCACAGACTTGGTCGTGAAATTGAACAGAGAATCGTCCTTTTCCACATATTCTTGCAGCCCGAGAGCAAGTCGAATATCTCAAAGCCAACCACCATACAAAGAAAAGAAGATATGCAATGTGTCAGATCAGAGGAAAGCCAGCCATAGGAATAATTCTATTGTAGACAACTCCCTAACGCTGCAAGCATCCAGCGACAAGTTCATTCGAGATATATAACGTGTAGAACCGGAACAAATAGTAACGTCGCTCATTCGCAGATTTTAGAATCATCTCGAACGCCCAGCTGCCAGTGTCTGTGGGATCTATGGACATGTCTAGCCTCGTTTCTCCCTATACAATGACCCCTTCACCATAAGCAGTACATGTGATGCTCTGAGATAAGCACACAGAGCTCCAAAAACGCTGCGAGAAGAAACTTTTTGACACACGAGCTCCTTGGTATACGCTTAGAAGCAGAAGACCTGGTCCTCGAGCTTGCTGACGGGGCGGGCCTTGGTGTAGCCAAGGGACTCGGTGGCCTTCTTCATGGCGCTGACCATGGGAGGAGGACCGCAGAGGAGGATCTTGACATCGGAGGCGGGGGCGGGGAGGCGCTCCTAGATTGACATGTTAGCATCAGAAGAATGGTATATGGTTGTCATCGGGTACGTACCTTGATCATGTCGGGGGTGACGAAGCCAACACCACCAGTCCAGCCTGTGGGGGGGTTGTTCAGAACGTAGTAGACGTTGAAGCCCTCGTCTTCCTTGGCCAGCTTCTCCAGCTTCTCCTTGAGCAAGATATCCTCGGGGTTGACATTGGCGAAGATCAGGTCGACCTTGGTAGTGTCGTTACCACCGTTACGGGGACGGTTGCGAATGATAGCTTCGATGACCTGCAGCATGGGGGTAATACCGGTACCACCAGCAATCATACCAATGTGGCGGCACATGTTGGGAGTGTAGACCATGGCACCCTTGGGGCCGCGGACCTTCATGGTCTGGCCAACCTTCAGCGTGGTCAGGTACTTGGAGATGTTACCCTGGGGGTAAGCCTTGACCAGCAGGTCGAAGTAGCCGGCCTCATTGTCGGAGGAGATGGGGGTGTACGAGCGAACGACTTCCTTGGGCTGGCCGTCAATGGTGGCAGCCAGGGAGATGTGCTGACCGATGGGCAGACCGAGGATATCAGTAGGACGAGGTAGGGCGAAGCGGTAGATGGCGACGTTGTGAGAGATCTCGGTCTTCTCCTTGAGGACAAAGTTCTGGAACTCGGTAGGGATCAGGACCTTGCGCGGCTCTGCAATGGGACGTAACACGAGGATGATTAGCGTTTAAACTTTTTGGACATATGAAACCAGGCGCGGTTGGAGTTCCGATTCGGGGGCAAGGTGGTGCAACATACTGCTACCGCCAGTGAAGAAGGCGACGGTGGTAATGATACCAGCAAGGGCGACAGCATAGGCGAGATACTCGGGCTTGACGGCGTAGACACCTGCGACCAGAAGGGCCGAGGGAATGAGAGCCGTGCCAACGTTGAGAGCGCTAAAGGGAGCTCGAAGTAAGCCATTGTTCAGTGACAAGTGGGAGCCAGCGTATATTCTAGCAGGGATAGACGGATCGATTGCGCGACTTACCTCATGATGGCAGGGATGGACGGTATAGGGGGAACGAGGAGGAGAGGGAGGAGGTGGAAAGAAGAGAAGAGAGGGTCGAAGTAGAGCGAGGGGAGATCGACATGTGGGAGAGTTCCGCCCGACGGAAGTTCGCACCTTTTTTGGGTCGCGGGACTTTTTTTCCCCGCCGATCGTTCTGTTGACAGGAATCTACTTGTCAAACGTATACGGCATATACAGAACCACTCGGACCATCAGAGTCCAGACACTTGACTTTCAGTGTATATCCTTCATTTTTATTTATTATCAGACTCAAATAAACTCCCAGGAATATCATTCCGCTGCCATGTCGCAACCACCAGCGTTCAACCTGACCCCGTTGGACCACCAGCTGTTGGCCATGACCGATGAGGAATTTATCGCCCATAGCTGGGATGACCTACGCGATATTATTGGTAGGTCAACGATTTCGAGATGTTTTCACCATATGTTTCCCCTCATCGAAACATTCTCCCCATCTTCGACCCCTCACCAAGCTAACTCCAAACCCACCCAGCGCGGAATGATCTCGGCGCCCTCAAGCGTAAACCTTCCGATTTACGCCGATATCTCGCCTGGTCGGCCGAAACCAAAGCCAAATATGGCTCTATGATGAACTATATCTGCCAGGAGCGGCTTCGCTGGGCTTCCCCGGTGCATCCAGCACCGGCAAATGGCGCCCCCAACGGAACCCCCAACGGCGCTTTACCCGCGGCTATTCCAAGTGGGCCTATTCCATTCACAAACCCGCGCCCATTTGCCGATCCCGAGGACTACAAGATCTTGCGCAACGACTGGCCCTACGGCTTGGACCCCGGCATTCATCATCTCGTCGTCTGGCTGCGGACTCCGATCCCTGTAAAGTCGGAAGAGGGTCATTTGACGGACGAGTCGCGGGCGCTGATTGAGGAATTCGTGCAGAAGACCTTTGTACAGCGGTTGGCTGAGGATGCTGGGAAGAGGTTCCCGGATCCCGGGGCTCAGGTGCTGTGGTTTAAGAATTGGGTTGGCTTGCAGAGTGTGCGAGCTTTGGAGCATGTGCATATTCTGGTCAGGGATGTTCCTGAAGAGATTCTGATCGAGTGGTCAGGTGAAAACCCCCAGTCATAGGAGACAATAGCCTCCTTGGGAGAGCGTGGCATCTAGACATGTATACTCTGCACGAAGAAGCGGGCATGGATCTGAGCGTGATATTTTCATTCCCCGATATTATCTCGACCTTTATAGATTTCTTATTCGAACGCGGATTCATGATTTACATAAGACGAGAAGATCGGAAGAAATGATAAATAGGTAATACTGTCGAAGAAAATCCGGTATCACAAACGCCATTCCACCGCCACACGCAGCAAAGAAGAAAAGAAGAAATTTACATCGGTCAAGCCTGGTTGCATACCTCCCCAATCACGCCTTCTGCCCTTCCACAAACTTCAACGCCTCCTCGCGCGATACCACGTCGATCGTACTGGCCTTCTGGCTGAAGCTCACGCCGTAGCACTTCTCTGCCACATGAAGCATCTCCGGTCGGAAGGTGGTGCAGATGAATTGTCCATTGGTCGAGTCCGAGATCGACTTGAGCATCTGCGCCACTGCCGTTCGGTACTGTGCATCAAGGTTGGCGTCGATCTCATCAAACAGGTAGAAAGGTGCCGGGTCACATGCTTGGATGGCGAAGACTAGCGCGAGGGCGCACAGACCTGATGATTGTTAGAATAGGGTATGGAACTACCTAAACACGAGGGTATGTGGGACATGAACTTACTCTTCTGGCCACCACTCAGCTGCTGAATACGCTGCTGATCGTCGTGCTTGCTATTGAAGCTGACACTGATGCCGACACCGACGTAATTCTCCACACTCTGTCGGGCCTGCTCGTCATCGGAGTCAAATTCATCATCGGCACGAGCGGTACGGTCAGTCTTGCGCTGAATCACTAAGCGGCCACGACCGGCGGGGACCAGCTTCTCAAAGACATTGGCGAACTCGCGGGACACCTGCTTGAAGGTTCGCTCAATCGCTTCGTCCTTACGCTGATCCAGAACTGAGATCAAGTCATCGATGGATTTCTGCGAAGCGTCCAGCTCCTCACGACGGGTGGTCAGGGTCTCGCGCTGCTTGGTAAAGCTGTTGTACTGCTCAAAGGCTTTCTTGTTGACATGAGAATACTTCTTCAGCGCCTCATTGGTCTTGTGGAGTTTCTTGACAACCGCATTGGAGTCGGTGTTCTTGTATTTAGTGAATGCCTCGTCGGGTAGGACACCAAGATCACGGATGTTGGCAGCACACTCTGCAGCCTGTTTCGCGAGGGCAGCCTTCTTCTGCATGCTCTTCTCCATACGTCTCTGATGTTTCTCGATGGACCGCGCCAGGTCTTCCATCTCTCGTCGAGTATCGGCATTACGCTGTTGCAAATCGGCCACCTTGGCAGTAGCCTCCTCGATGGAGGAGTCCACCTCCTTCAGGCGCCCATTGAGCTTCTCCAAGGCCTTGCTAAGACGCTTCTGTTCCCGCTGCGTCTCCTTCAGGTTGCCCTGAACTTCCTCTTCGGCCAAATCCACATCTCGGTTTTGTAGTTGATCGAGGCGAGGGTTCAGATTCTCTCGCAGCTCAACCTCCAACACGGACTTGCGGGCCTCTAACTCGCTTCGCTGGCTCGACAGTTCCTGGTACTTTCGTCGAAGTTCCTGGACCGTTCCACTCAACGTCTCCAAATGAGCCTCCTCATCGTTCGTCAAGGCTTTCTGGAAGGGCGACGACATTTCACCCTGGAAAGCGTTGACCTGGTCATTGAGGGCCGCCAGGTTGGACTCAACATTGCGAAGTGCACGACGCTTGGCGTCGAGGCTATCGGTCTTCTTCTGTAGAAGATCACGCTTGCTCCGGAGCTCTTGTCGCAAAGGACCGCTGCTGTTCTGCACTTGGTGCTTTTGCTGCTCCAGTTTCTGGAGCTCGCCGACTGCCTTTGTAATCAGCTGGTCGAGCTTCTCTAGCTCCTTGCGGATCTCAGTTCCACGGTTGCGCTTAGATTCGTATTCGTCTCTCCACTTGCCCACGTTCTTCACGGCATCCAGTCGTGACTGGCGTGAATCATGGTAACCACCTGTCAGAGCACCACGCTTGTCGGACCGATCACCCTCCGGAGTGATGGCATTGACACCGTGGCTTCGAGCGTACTGTGCAGCGACCTGAAGGTTGGGACAGATGATGGTCTTTCCAAATACATGCTGGAAAGCTCTTTCGTAGGCGGGGTCGAATTGAAGCTTATCCAGCATGGGGATCGTGTCACTGGCGCGAGGCATGTTCATAGGCTTAGACCGCAGACGGTTCAAGGGCATGAATGTCACACGACCTGCTTTCTCCTTTTGCAAAAGCTCCAATACCTTGGTCGCAGTCTCATCATTATCAACGACGTAGTGGAACAAGCTTTGTCCAGCAGTAACCTCGACAGCCGTACGATACCTGTCACTGACATCAAAAAGCTCAGCCAAGGTACCGTAGACACCTTCGAGGTTAAGCTGACGCTTGATTCGCCGAACAGCAGCTAGACCTCGGCTGGTATTGTTGTCCATCATCTGAGAAAGACTACGCTCCGCGCGGTCCATCTCTTGAGAAGCACTAGAAAGGACCGAGTCGAGTTTGGCTTCTTCTCTCCAGAGCTCTCTTCAAGAAGATATTAGTGTTCCATCGACAAGTTTTCAAGTAGCACAAACTTACTTTCTTTGATCCATCAGTCGGTCTCGTTCGTCCTTGGCGTTCTGTATTTCTTGGTCAACAGAGTGCATCGTATCGCCACGGCCGTCGATTTGTTTCCGTAGGCGCTCCGTCTCCGGCTCAAGCAGGGCGATTTCCTTTTCGAGCTCTTGGATATCTTCCTGGGTCTGAGTGACAACGCCTTGCACGTTGGCGATGGATCTGTGGGTCTCTCGAATCTCCATTTGCAGCCACTTGTCGCGCTCGGACTTGTTCTTGAAGCGCGAATTACGGCCTTGCTTGGCATACAAGCGCTGGCGGGACGTTTCTGCTTCGGTTAAACGGGCCTTGACATCATCTTCCTCGTCCTTGGAGGCATTGAAACGAGGGAGGAGAGCTTCGAGTTCCTCTTCGCGTTCCTGAATGGCAGTCTGCACGGCGTTGAGGTCGCTATCGTGTCGTGACTTGAGCGCCTGTGCAGCCGCCTGATTGTCTGAAAGAGCCTTCGCACGAAGCTCGATTTGCGCCAGGGACTTGGATGCCTCCCGGCGCTCATCCTCCAGCTGAGCCTTGTCCACTTTCAGAAACTCAACCTGTTGGCGATACTCGGCAATTTCCGCATCGATCTGAGCCATGGCCTTCTCGCCCTCAACAAACTGGTCCCGATTATTATCTGCGTCCTCAACTCCATTCTGCCGTTGTTCCTCAAGATTCTCGAGAACGTTCGCGATTTCGTGCTGCTCGCGGGAGTAGATCGTATATTCGAGGCATCGGCGTTCCTTGTCTTTCTCTTGGTAGTTGCGCAGTTCATCCTTCTCCTCTTCGAGCTCGGCCAAGCGCTCATTGATATAGTCTAGTAATTCGTCGATCTTCGCGCGCTTGCTGTTCGTTTCCTGCATGATCTTAAGGGATTCTGCGCGGCGCGCTTCGTAAACCTGGGTACCGGCTACTTCTTTCAAGAGCACTAGACGCTCTGAATCTTTCATATTTGTCAAGGCCGTCACTCGGCCCTGAGGAACGATGTAGTAAGGATTCGATCGCGAGAAGCCGGCGGACTCGAGGAGGTTCATGACGTCGTTCTTTGTCGCATTCTTGCGGTCCAGGGTATATTCGTCCTTTTTGATACCGATTGTACGGCGGAGAACAAGCTCCGGCTTGCCGGTGGGGAATCGATCGTCCGAGTTGTCGAAGATGATCTCAACGTAGGCCGACATCACGGCCGAACCTGAACCTTCCTGCGCCGGGTTAGTACAACAAAAATTACAAACATATGAAGTCGCAACATACGTGCAACAGAGCCTGGCGCTCCTCTCTGCCGAGGTGTGTGTATGCATCGCTGAGAACGAACCGAATGGCCGCAAAGAAGTTACTCTTGCCAGAACCATTGCGACCGACGATGACATTGTGCTTGGGCGAAAAGGGCTCGATGACCGTTTGGTCCTTGTAGCTATTGTCGCAAGAAGGTTATTCATGGTCGTCGACACAAAGTGTGGGTGAAGGTTGATTTTTAATTACCTCTTGAAGCCTTGGATGATGATCTGCTTCACATACATCTTGGGAGACACGCGGGACGCGATGATCAAAGACAACAGCGCATTACGGAACCAGCGTTGAAGTATGTAAAGTAGGGTCCTTGACTATTATCGAGTCCTCAAATCACTGTCGTCTTCTCGGTGAGAAGTAAATCACCGTGGGATTGGAGCAAGCTTTGTCGCGATGGGCAGGGGGACTACGCGAGGAGCGAAACCAGCGCGTCTCGTTTGGCGCGGGGTTCTGCCGGGCGGTGAGACGGGCATCCACAGAAAAAAGTAAATGCGGTATCACTTTTTACTTTTCTAGATCTAGAAAAAAAATCGACTCTTGAACACAAATCATGAGTTCTTCTCAGTCGCCCACAGAGGCCTCGGGCCCTGCTGATGGCATTCAACCATCCCACACTTATGTACCAAACCAGGGATACGTGCAACCCGATGGCGCAAATTCAGCCGTGGCGGGGCAGGAACCCACCGACCTGGAAGAGGGGGAGGAAGAAGACGACGAATACTACGACGACATTTTCGAGGAGGAAGAGATGGACCGGGAAGACTTCCAATCCTCCGATCCTGCCGATCTTACCAAGGCTTATAACCGCCAGCGAAAATTGAACGACCTCGCCTCGGATCCCAACGCACCGAGATGGACCTATCCGAAGACGAACACCCAGAAGCCCACGGTCAATACATACGCCTCTGTCGACGATCAAGTCAAATCCCTTACTCGTCATGCTGCCAAGATTAAGCTGGATAACCAACAGTCCGGGTTGTCTGGTGGTGGCGGTGGTGGACGTGGTGGAGATCGGGCGGACCGTGCTACATCGGAACAGGTGCTGGATCCCCGCACTCGAATGATTCTATTGCAAATGATCAACCGCGGACTCGTGTCAGAGATTCATGGTTGTTTGTCGACTGGTAAGGAGGCGAACGTCTACCATGCCATGTCATTCCCCGATGAGCATCAAGAGGCTACCCCGGTGCACCGTGCGATCAAGGTTTACAAGACCAGCATTTTGGTCTTCAAGGACCGTGACAAGTATGTGACCGGTGAATTCCGATTCCGTCAAGGATACAACAAGAGCAACAACCGCGCTATGGTGAAGGTCTGGGCCGAGAAGGAGATGCGCAACTTGCGGAGACTTTATGCCGCTGGCATTCCCTGCCCTGAACCCATCTACCTGCGTCTGCACGTTCTTGTCATGGGTTTCCTCGGTAGCTCCAAGGGTCTCCCCGCTCCCCGCCTGAAGGATGTTGAATTTGATATTAGCGAGCCCGAGACCCGTTGGCGGTCGCTGTACATGGAATTGTTGGGCTGCATGCGTGTCATGTACCAAACATGCCGTCTTGTCCACGCCGATTTGAGCGAGTACAACATTCTGTACCACAAGCAACGTCTATACATCATTGATGTCAGTCAAAGTGTTGAGCACGATCACCCTCGCAGCTTGGAGTTCCTTCGTATGGATATCAAGAACGTGAGCGATTTCTTCCGTCGCAAGGGTGTCGACACCTTACCCGAGCGCACCATTTTCCAGTTCATTCTTTCTCCTGAAGGCCCCACGGATGTGACCCAGGGTAACGAGGAGATGTTTGAAGCCATTGAGAAGCTCTTCGCCGCCCGCGCGGAAGGTGGTGACCAGGAGGCTGAGGAGGTCGACACTGCCGTGTTCCGTCAGCAATACATCCCCCAGACCCTCGATCAAGTGTACGATATCGAGCGTGATGCCGAGAAGATCCGTGATGGCGGAGGTGCCGATTTTGTCTACGGTGATCTGCTGGCCAGTGGCAAGGCCAAGCCCACTGAGGATGAGGTTGATGGAGAATCCGATGCCAGCGGTGGAGTCTCCGTCTCTGGTTCCGATTCCGAGGACGAGGAGGGCGGCGAGCACGATCCCTTCGCGAAGAAGCCTCCTCGTGGCAAGCGTTTTGAGGACAAAGATTCCAAGCGTGAGCACAAGGCCAAGGTCAAGGAAGAGAAGCGTGAGCAGCGTGCCAACAAGATGCCGAAACACCTGAAGAAACGCCTGGTCTCTACTTCTTCCCGCAAGAACAAATAGGCGTTTCCTTGGAACGTTCGACCTCTTTTCTTTTTCGCATGCATACATGATTATGGGCTTTACGATTTCTTCCCTTCGCCTCTTCACCGATGGATATTTCTGCCATGATTTGACGATAAAAATGCATATATGGGGCTGGAGCATTTGGATATAGATACCTGGGTATAAAAATAGGACTCAACTACAAAACACAGATTACTCTTGACATGTAACTATCTGAGGGAAAAAAAACGGTAAAATATTTTTTTTTAATTTCATATGGCGTGGACTAGAATTACCCATCAGAGCTCTCTTTGTGAATCATGCCTATCCATTGTCACAACCTGATGGTGCCAGCCTCGTCTTGTGGCAGTGCTTACATCCTACGCATAAGCGCTGGAGTATGCATCAACCCATGGAGAGCTTGGCAGGTCCATAGGAAGATCTTGAATGGGAAGTCAGACCGATTGGCTTTCATCATTCGGGTCAGCAACCAAACACACCGAGAAAAGAATATTGAATTCGACGCTATCATGAAAGACCTAGGCTGAAATCACATTCAATGTAAAAGGACTGGGAAGATAGTTAGATAAGAATCTAACAAATAAGCCGCGAGTTTGTCACCTGAACAACACGGTATCCATGAACTATTGAGTAATACTATCAGCAAAGAAGTGAGTAGGTAAATTGCAGCCGTCTGCATTGGATATGCAAGCCTTCAAGCAAAGGCCCGAGTTCGCGCTTGGAGGCGAGCGTATGCTTGATCAACGACGTCCTTCGGCAGGTTGGGAATAATTTCACCCTCCGCAGCCTCGTCGATGACTTCCCGGTTGGTGCTTTCAGCAGCCATTTGGGCTTGGCTATGCTGCTGCTCAGCGTCTCGTGCTTCATGGAGTACGCCTTCCAGCTGACCGCCAGCAATGCGATGGAACTGGACCTGCATGGGTGCACGACCAATGCCCGGCCAGATATCCGAGGGAAGGAAATCACCCTGTTCGACGCGGAACGCCTCTCGGGCGGTAACGTCTTCATCGTAAAGATGATTCAGTTTGTTCCGTGTATCACGGAGGACCTTCTCCACACGAGAGCGGATCTGGCTTCGACGGTTCACTTCAAGTATCAGGCTGTTGTAAGCATTGAGGAACCCGTCGTAGAGGGAGTGCAAGTCAGACAGCTCCCCTAGACCGGCGTTGATACGCTCGTTTTCCTCGTTCCAGACCCTAGTGAAGTTGTGTGCCTGGGAAATATAACGAGGGAGGCGGGTCGAAGCCAATGTTGACAAGTGCTGGTGAACCTCGAGCGTCGCATTGGAGATTGCAGTGAGTGCATCCCGCTGAGAATTCACCTGCTCATGAATAGACTCCATTTCGTTTATACGATCTTGAATCTCCATGACAACGTCCTCGGCTTCCAGGGCATCTTTCACCAGCACATTGACCATTTCCAAATACTCCGAGTCGCTTAACGGGTCCAAGGGAGCATTCAGATTCGCGTGGATCTCCTCACCGATATGCGGCATCGCGTCATGGTTGCCCTGGACCTCGGCTGGCATGTCTCCTGTGATGGATCTGGCAGCCGCGCCGCCGCCTTCAGTGTGCTTCACTGCAGTGACACAAAGATCAAAGTGGCGCACAAGGGATTCGAGGAGACCAGCCATCTCTTGGGCATGTCCTTCCAGCGATTGGAGCATAGTGGGCATCGTTGAGAGTGCGAGAAGATCGGAATCCGAGGTCGATGACGAGGATGAAGATGCAGAGGCTCGAGAAGAGGCCAGTCTAGTAGCCGACCGATAATGCCGAAGCGCTTGTTTAATGGATTGAAGCTCGTCGTCAAACTCACGATTTGAGGTATCGAGATCTGCCCGGGCTGCATTTGTTCTATCGATAGAGCTCTTCATGGCGGCATGCAGCTCCTCGACGCCACGCTCATCGACAAAGTCATGCAGAGACTTGGGTTCTTCGTCTTTAGGTCGGAACGAAGCGTGGACGATGGTATTCCGCAGAAGATCCAAGGTACTCCGAAGACGCGCATCTGCAGCATCAAGACTTTTCAATGCATCCGAGAAGTCCTGTCGCCCACGATGCGAGATAAGCTCTACCTCCGACCGGACATCGTAGAGCAGCCGAAGCTGATTATTCAGACCTCGACGGAGGAAGCCCGTTCTGGATGAAACGACGACGCTTTCTTCGAGGGCTGATCGCGCGGCAGTGACAATTTCATTGGCCCGCCAAACATGATTGATGGAAGAAAGGGAGCGTTTGGCGGCCACGAGATGCGAGATGAGAGTATCCAGCTGAGGCATGGTCTTGCGGTCGGAAAATGCATGGCCACCGCGAGTATTATTCGAGGCTAATGAGGATCGCGAGGACTCCATGGTGACACCAATTGTAAGTTTCGAAGATTGAGTAGACTGTATGACTATGATCTAGTGCGCTTGAAGGCCAAGATAGGTGTACTGCTAGCTTCGGTTAAGTTGATAAGTGGGTGATCAGTCTTCAGAGAATCGGTGGTAGTCCTGTGAGCCGCGAGCACCAAGTTAGTGTTGATCAAAAAACTTGGAGGGGGGACAAGTTGGGAAAGACGTGGAGCAAGCCCAGCTCGATCTGAGCTCAGGAGCTCCGCAAGGGCTCTGCTCAAAGACTAGATGCCGGTACCGGCAAAGACGAGAAAGAATGACGCTGGATCAAATATGGACAGATCAACTCACCATATATGTTATAAAATACTAGCTTGGGAATTTCCTAAGGAAAACCAAGCTCTACTGAGCTGATAGTTGTTGAGCACGAGTACTTGTGTTCCGCGGTTAACTCATCCACATCACCACGATAATGTGGATGGATCCTGTTCACACTGGAAGAATCGGACTGGATCTGTAATTTGACCGTGGGAGACCAGCTCACACCTCGGTAGGGACAGATTCGAACGTCACAAGAGCTGATTGCAGTTGAGGAGAGGTGATGAGCCGCGAGATAACGCTATCACGTGAAGTAGCTCAATCGGCGTGTCTTGGCATCAGCGCTCACCGCCGCCCGCAGATTCTGATTGGATTGAAGTATACGGAGTAGCCATCATCACTTTGGACGGCCCTGCTCACTATCCGGAATTTGTGCAGTCACGACACACAACAAAAATTCATAATGATAAACGATAGTTATTGATTGAGCGCTGACTCAGCATGTTCCGTAAAACCCTCTTCCCTTAGTATATAATGAAGAGATGGGCATTCGCGCCTAGGCCAAGCTAGGTTGAAGTGGCCGGAGTTGCATCTGTCAACCTATAATGTGATACGGAAGTCTGTTCAACTTTTCTCTTTCGCGTTTTACAGAATCCTAGACGTATGTGGATTTATTCATCAGAATCAGAATGGTTTTCACTATAAGCTGAACCGATCGTGATTCGGTCGTTGCAAGCGGAATATGGATGACCGGCAATCCAAAAACTAAAAGTGAGTTTCGGTCCAGCAATGCCGATACTATCTACAGTTCTGTGAACAGCCTCCATTGGCTCTACATGAATTTTAAACACGGTTTTAGTGGATCATCCTGGCTCTAACGTTATCTCATTCAAGTTGAGAAACGCCCAATGTCCATCCACACCATGCATCGAGCGCCTCGAGTGTCCCTACATCTTCAGGTAATAAACTCGCTAAACAGTCCAAACTGTATCTGTCATCTAAACCATGACCTAACTCAGTGGTTCAGCGTATAAATTGTTGATATCCACGATTCCGATTGTCCTAGATGGGGGCCCTAACGCCGAGGGCTCGGTGGGCATCATCCAAAAGCAGGAAATTTAGTAGGAGTATAAGGGAGTCCTATGCGCCACTTGTGCGAATAGCTCTGAGATTTGAAACTACAGATCTTGTCCTCTCACTCCGTTCCTTCTTCTAGATGCTCCCATGCAAAGTCAGTATCCATCTTAGCTAGGGCACATGAAGAATACGATCACCCAGCAGTTTTGTCCTCTTGGCAGTGACAAATTGCTTGAGCTCCCCGGTTCTAGCACATAGCTATAGATCTCGATCAGCCAGGAGTTATATTCCAGAGTCCAGAGATTCAAGTAGGAGATGACCCAGTTTGCGATCAAATGGGCAACCTGTATATCCAGTATTGGACTCTGCAAATTTGGATATTCTCGATCTGATCATGGTGAGGATCCGGGTATAGGCGTAGAAGTTATAAATTTTACATGAATTTCCTTGAAGACGGGCTATATGATGAGATGATAGAGCTCGCGATATGCCAGTCTACTTTTCAACTGTCGGTACTAAATATAGGGGAAGGGTTGGATGACCGACGATGTATTCTCCATGACTTTACCAAGGCCTTTGTTGTGAGCTGTGTTGATATCTTTTCTTGATCAGCTCTGTATCTTGAATGGCTCATTTCTCTCTCAAATCTCCATTCAGATAACCACAGCACACTTTCTGAGTGATAGCTTGCCATGACTGGACTAGTCGTCTCCCGTGCAAACCTCGCAGTTCCATTTTTGGATGCGGTGGTCTTTCTGGCCCATCCATGGTCCACCTCGAGGTTCAATTCTCTACATAGTAAATAGCTAGACCTATTTTGGGTGATTCTGAGTGAGCTAGTATCAAATTGGATCGAGACGTTCCAGGTAGACATAGGAATTGTCGAGTTAAATACCATCCCTAGACCTCGCTGCATCGGCTTTTTCCTGTTTCTTTTATCTACCCAACTTTATAAACACCCTTCTTCTTCCAGGCCTTTTGAAGAAATCTTTACCAGTCAAGTCAACAAGCACCAAATCATAATGGCGCTTCCTTATTATAATCCTTCCATTCCTGCTCCTGCCCGCGCCCACTTCTTCGGGGGCTACGACGAGGTCTACGGATACGGACCTCAACCTAGTAAGCTCCGCCCTCACTCTTATCATTGTTGGAAAGGAAGTTAACTGAAAGATACATCAGTCAACTGGGGGACAGTATTCCCACCCGACACTGGAGATGATCTCGCCAGTAAGACTCAGGTGCCGGTGAACAAGTCCCGGCCTTGGAAATGCTGGGACGCCGTGTGGGCCAAGCCCAAGCACTGGTGGTCCACCCGCAGCCCGACACAGAAAAAAACCTGGCTGTAGGTGCTCGCACTCATGATCTCTGGGACTTTCATCGCTCTCATGACTGCCACCGTCCATGTGGGCGTTTCATTTGGAGCTGCTGGCCGGTGGGGGGTGTCCGAGTATCACCACAAAAGGTCGGATGTCGTGATGCAGCATCGACAAGAAGTGACGGGACCTCGAGACATTTTCATCAGCGGAGCTGCCTGGCCAAACGAAACAAGAAATACTGGCATTTTGACGACACAAGCAGCAAGCGCCGCCATAGTCGCCGTGCCTTTCACCGCTTGAGCTAGGATCGGACCAGTGGATGGGTTGTTGGGATTTGGGTTGAATCGGGTCTCTTTCAATTTCACGTTACTTTGGTTTTTGGATGGTTGTTGATTGTGTTATATGGAGGTTTATATACATGATTTGTCGTGGATTTCCGTGTGATGTGACTTGAATGATAGGAGTTGCAGCCTTGCTAATAAATCACCATGTCGTCTGCTTCTCATGGTATTAATCGTGTGATATTGAAATACACAAACATTTCCTGGTCAACACAAGTGCCAATTTCCATCTATCTCTTCACTCCTCCCTTCAACCATCTGGCTTCCAACCTCGACGACTCTCGCGCTCTTCTCTCACTCAATTCATTAAACTTGATCAACACCACTTCCTCCTCCTCTTCCTCCCCCACCTCCACCACCACCATTCAGCATCATGGCATACTCCACTAACAGGCTCGAGAAGGCCCGACGGCTCTTCCCAGGCCACGCCCAAACAGTATTTGAATACGAAGACAGTTACCACTTGAGAAGCCGAAACAAGAGTACCACGTCTGCCGTGTCCTCTTGGATCGACAACGACAAGGACGACGATTACACCCCTGAGCGAAGGTCTCGCTCGAAGCGTCCGATGAACTCTGACAGGGAGGCTCGCTCACGGGCTAGACCTGCCAAACGAGCCAGAAGCCACTCACCTACCCCTACATCCTCACTTGATGCAGATAACGAAGAAGATGCACTCTGCTCGTCGGCTCCTGTCACTCCTGAAGTTATCTCTGGTCAGTCAAAGTGGGAAGATTTCTGGCAACCTCAGATCGAGCGCGATCCCAAGAAAGCCTACTTCTTTCGAGCACGAAAGGATGCCGCGGGTTTTCCAGGCAGTCCGGACATCGGCCATGACACCCAATCGGGCCTGTCCGAAGATATCAAGTCACCGGCAAAAGGATGTCTGGCTTGCCAGGAACTGAACCTGGATTGTTCGCTCGTTGATGATCCGTCTCACTATCCTTGTGGAAATTGTCGCGATGACCAGTGCGACTGCATTCCGGATCCACCGCCTATCTGGAAACGGCCGTGTGAACCGTGTAAGAGCAGACGTCGTTCAAAATGCTCGTATCTCTCTGGTGAATATGATCATAGCCAGCCTTGCTGGGAATGTCTTCAGCATGGTTTCCAGTGTGTTGCTGGTCCAGCCAAATGCCAGCCCTCAGGTAAACACCTTATCGAGAGCACGGAGACCGAGACTACGGATGAATACCATGATGATGAGTCCCCGGAGGAGTCCAGCAGTGGACCGGAGCTGAATTGGAAGGAAATGTCAGAGCTACAGGAGCCCGACGGCATCCTCCCAGCTACACCTACGGATATCACTCATTCCATTATCAATACAACCATATCGTCAACTCAGGACCCGTCGATTCAGGATCTCGATGCACCCACTGGCTCTCGGCTGCCGCCAGGCTCTATTCCTACATTTGATTACCTTTCGTCGAATCCCTACGGGACATCTTACCGAATTTGGACCTACTATCCACACCCTCTCACCATCATGAGTCCGAACACGGACTTATCTTGCCATTGGTGCTCCAACTTCGCATACGGGATTGTTGGACTTGGTGCTCGGAACACGGACATTCTAGACTTTGAGACAGGGCGGTTGATCGAGCTTAGCGATGGACACCGAGGGGAAGCAAAAGAACCGAGTCGAATGTGCTGGGATTGTGCCCGCGACAGACTGCAGATCATGCAATGTAGTCACGATGTTATTGCTCCTCTGTTGAACCACATGAGCCCACATATTCCGTACAATACCTCGGGAGCATATTATCACCTTGCTCGGGCTCGGGCTGCTCTGCAGGAACCATCATCTCAATTCTATGGCCAACCATTCCCAGAGGCTCCTCAACCATGGTGCAGTCTTTGCCAGGAGCCTGCTTTCTGGTCTTGCGACAGTGACCAGACTGTCCAAGTTAGCTTCCAAGGCTCTTTCCAGAATGTGACCCCTATTGACATTGGCTGCAGCCTGTTCCTCTGTGATTACTGCGCTCACTATGTCAAGCGGTTCCAGGGTGACCTTGATCGAGTTGTGTCACGGGGCAGGCACAATCCAGACAACAGAACCGAGTTCCGTACTGATGTGGATTATATCCTCAAGCACTCGAATGAGAACTACCTGCGTCGCCAGGTCTACAAGCATTAGATTCGCATGAGGTTCCCGCAAACCCGCTCTCAATGAAGGAAGCGCAGGTCAAAATCCATTGGGTTACCAAGAAGATGATCTATCTTTTTCAGACAATTTAATCAATACCAATGGATTTATTGACTACCTCAGATTATCCTGTGTAAATGTAAAATTTCTGAGTATGGTATACATCAAATATTCGGTTCTGATTGTGAGCTAGTGCTCTGCCTTGTGCAAACAAATCCAAGGCAGCGACCCAACAGCCACCTAATTCACACAAACTGAGTAGATTCAATAATTGAAAGCCTTGAACAAGGCAGCGCTACTCCAAAGAGCGCTGCCTACTTTAGTCACGGCTAACCAGCAGCTTCCTGGCTGCCCTTGATTTGGACTTCAGAGAGGCTTCCATCAGGTGTATATATCTCCCTTATTTTCCCACCTCAACCGTGTTCGCTCCTTTCCATCTTCACGATCTACACTCACTTCTCACACAGTCTTACACATCTCCTGCTTTCATCAATCATATTCATTTGCAGCTGGCCTGCAGCTTCCATTTCTCTTTCAACTCTCCGCTCTTTCGTCATTACGCCGGCCGTATTATCGATAGGGTTCGTTCCCGGAGCGGAAAAAAAAACTCCAATCGGCTCCGATTTTCTGCCAGCACAATTTTAATTTGCTGCCAATAATTTCTTTGGCCCCGACTTCTTCTCTTCAGTGCAAAGAAGAAGGCTGCGGGGAAGAAACACATTTGTCATTCTCTCCAAACTTTTCTTTCACTCCTTCCCCCAAGTTCTCCCCCGAGCTGCCACTCGACGTGCGCAGCTCACCGTCACGACGTCTCCCACAAAGCGTCGCAAAGTTTCCCCCGAGCCAGGTCGCAGCAGCCCAGGAGAGGCACGACGTCACGGCCGCTCCGAACCTCCGCAAGTGCCTCCATTGCCACCGAGAAGCTCCTCGTCGACCTCAAACTCACGGAGCAAAAGCTACTCCCCGTCACCTCCTCGCTACGTGCCCGCTCACCTCCAGTCCCTCGTCCCCGGGACCCGATCTCAGTCCGACGGTGTCCGCTCGCCCACCCCTGCGACTGCGACCGCCGGATTGACCCTCTCCAGTGAACATTCCGACATGCCCTGTGATCATCCAGCCGGTACCCCGCCGTCAAACGGCGATGGTCGCTCTCCTTCCCCGGGTGAGAAGCGCCCGGCTTCTGAGATCACCGACCCCGACCCCGAGGGAGGTGTGAGCACAACGGTTGACGTCCCGGCCACGGATTCCATCGATGACCAAATCGCCAAGGTGGTTGAGCTTACCAACCGACCGTTGAAGGATGGACAAAAGGGTTATGTGATTTCCTCGCGATGGGTGAAGACGCTCTATGCGCGAAGCACCTCGTACGCTGACAAAGCCGATAAAGAATCGATGGACAATGAGCTGGGCCCTGTGGATAATAGCGACATCGTGCTCGACACCGATCCAGTCAACAGCAACTTCAAGTACGAAAATGGCGAGCTCTATGTGCCTCTGCGCCCAAACGTGCAACTTGGTGAGGATTACGAGATTGTGCCCCAGGAGGCCTGGGACTTGATCATGAAAGAGTATGGACTCGCCAGCCAGTCGCCTACCATTGTCCGTTTTGCGCACAACACTAGCTTGGATGGCTCCGACAACATCATGTACGAGCTTAGCCCGCCGATTTTCACGATCTTCAAGCTCGCCAACCCCGCTGCGGGGACCACACCCCAGTCGCTGAAAGAGAAGACCCTCCCACCTGCGAAGATGCTGGCTGGTCGTCAGAGCGGTGTCCAGGCCTGGCTGAAACGGGCCAAGGAGCTCGCCGGGATCGACATGTCGACCAAGGTGCGAGTGTGGAAGATCATCGGACAACTCCCTAGCCTAAACCCTTCGACCGCTACGACTCCCGCCGTGTCCCGCGCCGTTTCGCCCGCTCCCCCCTCCGCTCTCATCTCGGCCTCGAGCAGAAACCTCTTGGTGGATCTGAACACCTTCCTTGACCTGAACGAGGGCACTCAACGGGAGCTTCTGGAGACGTTCAAGGACCAGACCAACAACGACAATTACAACGGCAAAATGTCGCTGAGCATTGCGGGTCTGATGGGGTCTGATGTCTTTGTTCTCGAGGAGCAGGTTGGAACAAAGAGTGGAGAGTGGGTGTCTGCAGTCTCGGCGGAGAAGCTGAAGCGCCTTGGCATCCCTATCAACAAACCCAAGAAAGAGACGACCTCCGTTACTTCCGCTGCCCCCACTGTACCTGCAGCCCCGAAAAGCCAGGCCAACAGTGGGCGGACCAGCCCGGTACAAGATGAATTCCCGTTCGCTAACAAACCCCACGGCCATAAGATGGGCCTGACGGGTCTTTCCAACTTGGGTAACACTTGCTACCAGAATGCGGCCACTCAGTGCGTTCGGGCCGTGGAAGAGTTGACGTACTACTTCCTTGGTATGTGCCTTGATTATTCGTGAATCTTGGTATCTTATTGCTTTGTTGATACTGACTATGGTACACAGCCAACCGCCACAAGAAGGATCTCAATCCCTCCAATCCCCTCGGATATTCCGGATCACTCGCAAAATCATATGCTGGATTGATTCAAGGCATCTACCGCGACCCGCCCCCCTCGTCATTTAATCCCCACAAGTTCCGAAACCAAATTGGCCGGAACAATCCTACCATGGCTGGCTGGGATCAGCAAGACAGCCAGGAGTTCCTGATGTTCCTTCTCGATGGTCTGTCCGAGGACCTTAACCGCATCCTGAAGAAGCCTTACATTGAGAAGCCTGACTCGACCGACGAGATGGTTCATGATCGTAAAGCTCTGGAAGACTTTGCTGTGCGATCCTGGGACATCTACAAAGCGCGCAACGACTCCGTCATTACCGATCTTTTTGCTGGCATGTACAAGTCGACCCTGGTCTGCCCTACTTGTGACAAAGTCAGCATCATCTTTGATCCCTTCAGCAGCTTGACCTTGCCTATCCCGCAGCAGAAGGTCGTGTACCGGAATGTCGTCTTCCAAGGAATTGACCAACCCCCAAAGAGCTTCGTGGTGGAAGTGGACAAGACGGGCACGTTCGGTGCTTGGAGGGAAACCGTGGCTACTAAGATGGGCCTCAAGCCGGACCAGCTTATCGGAGCAGATGTTTCTTCTGGTCACTTCTGGGATGTGTACACTCGCCAAAAGATGCCCTTTGAAGAATTGAACATGAAGGAAAAAGACGTCATGACCTTCATTCAATTGGATGCACCAGCGAACGATCGTATCCTTGTGCCGGTCTTCAGCAGATGCGAAACGAAGTACCGGAACCAGAGAGGCCAACCCAAACTTGACACATTTGCTCAGCCTACCATCCTTTCTTTCACCCGCGAGGAAGCCAAAGACATGGCCGCCATCTATCGCAAGATCATACGTCATGTCGCTACCATGACCACGCGCGATATACTGGGTGAGGCTGAAGCGAAGACTAAAGAGAAGGCGGGAGTCGACGAGGCCGAACAGGCTCTCGAGGACTCCGACACTGTTGTCATGAACGAAGAGGATGCCCAATCAGCAGACTCCCGAATCAAGACTGGCTCGGTTGAGGGTGATGACAGCATCGTTGATATCTCTATGCACGATGCTTCGCGAACCCCCAGTGCCTCTTCACCCCAAGGGATGGATACAAGTGATGACACTCCTGCCCACCCCCTGGCCGACATAATCCCTCCCGGTCTACTGAGTCTGTTTGACGTGCGGGTCATGAACGGCTTCGACAAGATCCCCCGGGGTCGCCAGATCCCCGGATACACCAAATTTGAGACCCTTCTGTCTCGTATTCCGACTTCGAAGAAGGTGATTTTCGATCTACTTTAACCAATGATGAGAATTCATTTGCTAACTACAACATAGGTTTCAAAGAAGTCTTCTAACGGATCGGATGACGAAAGCAACGAGGATTCCAGCTCGTCAGACGAGTCTGACCATGAGACGACCGAAATGGTCTCTGCGACACCTCTGCTCAAGCAGTCCGAAGCAATCCTACTGGACTGGAACGAGGATGCCAAGGATGCCCTCTTTGGCAAGGACGGACCCGGGGACAATCTGCGTGGCGCGGCCACTTGCGATCAGATTCCATTTGTCAAAGACCAGGCGCTCATCGACCGTCGGGCTCAGCGTGACGCGCAGGCAAGTCAAGGCGTCACCCTTGACCAGTGCCTTGACGAGTTTAGCCGCGAAGAGACGCTGTCGCAGGATGACGCATGGTACTGCCCACGCTGCAAGGAGCACCGCCAAGCTCGGAAGAAGTTCGAGCTGTGGTCGACCCCGGACATCCTGGTCATTCACCTCAAACGGTTTATGACCCACTCTCGTTTCTCACGTGGCAAGCTCAGCACGAATGTCGGTTTCCCGGTGGAGAATCTCGACTTGTCCAGTTGGGTCTCGGGCCCTGCGGGGGATAAGTCTCTGGTCTACGACCTGATCGGTGTGGACAACCACTCGGGCAGCATGGCGGGTGGCCATTATACCGCCTATGCCAAGAACTTCGTCACCGACGACTGGGGCAGCTTCAACGGTACGTTGTTCTCATCTCTCTCTTCGCTTTTTGATCTCATTCACTAACGCCTCACTTTAGATTCGTCGGCGACTATCCTTCGGGATTTAAGCAAAATGCAATCTCCCCAAGCGTACCTGCTGTTTTACCGCCGCCGCTCCAACCAGCCTTTGGGTGGTCCCGTCCTTCAGAACATTGTCAACAAGTTCAAGAATGGTGAGAAGGACAGCACGGCGGAGAACTCGCGGGCTGGGTCACCGTCGGGGGAAGGCAAGCGTCTCGGCGGCTCATTCCACAATGGGTCGTCGAGCGTCTCAGCCGGAGTCGGAGCAGCTCGCCAAGTGGGCGGTGGTGGTTCGGGGGCCGCGACTCCGGAGACGAAGTCGAGTGACGATGAGAACGAGGACTCGCACAATCCCCTGGACGACATGTTCTCTGCGCCCTCCTGGTCGTTCAATCAGGCTGACTCTTCCATTGGTCTCGGCGCGATGACCTCCATTCGCCCCGCCTCCCCCGATGATGACAATGACCTTTTCGGGGACAATGACAGCAATGTGGCGGTGGATGAGAACTCGGACGCTGAAGATCGTCTCCATGGCCTTGACAACTCACGGCCGGTCTCCGAGCACGGTGGCTCCTTCGAGGATGTCCCGCCCCTGCTGGACGATGGTTCGGATGAAGAATTGCCCGTTGTGGAGTTGCGCGTGGATCCTGACGAGAAGATGAACTCGGATGTCTGATCTAATGCATAGCACTCTGAGTTTCGTCTCAATATGTGATGCTGCTGATGCGGCATTCATACACAGTCTTCCTTTTGTCCCGTTTCCATAGTTGTTTTGTTGCGGAGGATACATGCATACATTTCTTGTTTCCTTCTTTGTTCATGATGGTGCACGGCGTTTTGCATGGGAAATACAAAAAGTGCTGGCCTTTTATCCTGTTCTAATGATCATGTGTCTCGCAGTTATGATCGTGAAGTTTCTTTCTCATTTTGTCGTTGGATGAGCTGGTCGTCGAGGTATCCTTTTCAGCTGTCTTCCCTTCTGGGAGTGATCGCGAGTTCCTGGATAGACAGGTTGGATGGTATGATTTGGATTTCTGAATCTTCGAATCTTCTACTTTTATTATTTTTTTTTACCTTTTCCTGCATCACTACTGGCCGCGGCAGAGATATTGCATTTGCATCCGGGGGAATATCAGGACTTACATAGAATGGCTAGAGCTCCACAGCCTAGAAGCAACGCAGTTCTTTCCTCTCAACCATCTTCCTTGATGAACTCTCGTAGTGTTGTCTTTGTGATTGTAATCTCTCGCTTCCCGTTCACACTATCATTTCTCAAAATGGGAAAGTGCAACCCCTCGAAGGGTCCACATCCCGCCTGTCTGGCCACCTTCCCAATTGGGAAGTCAGACTGCTTCATTTGCGATGATTCACGTCACGTGGAACGATCCCTCGTACTTACCTTCCCGAGTCCCTTTTCAATATGTTTCTTCGTTCGCAAGCGAGGGCACTTCGCCAGCAACGGGAGCAGCCTGCTGTGCCCGAGTCTGCGAATGCTCCCTCAGTCCAGCAAGATACCCCCACGATGGATGAAGGAATCGTCTCTGCGACCAATAATGATAAGACAGGCCGTTCCAAGTTCAAGACTGGACATGAAATGAGCCTGTCGGATGATTCGTCGGCCATTCCCACGGGCCCCGTCCAGCCTATCACTGGCTCTGCTGGCGCTGCCAATATCACTCCGTGCCGTCGTGCTTCTCGCATCTCTGCGGACTTATCGATCACCACACTGCATGATACACGGCCTGCCAAACTCTCCTCTCCTTCCAAACGTTTCAAAGAGAATGACAACCCTGATCAATCCGAGCTGACTCCGCGCCGCCGTTCCCTACGGATCGCGCAGGCCTTGCAAGATAATAATGGCCGCACCGTGGATAACGTCGAGAAAGATGATTCAACTACTGTACCGGTCTTCAACGAAGCAGAACATGCCCCTCAACCAAGTCACACCCGCCATCATCGTTCTCAGCGTAACGTGCATGCTTTGCAAGACAGCAATGGCCGTGCCTATCATGTCAACAAAAGCGCCTCGACAAGTGCGGAGCTGCTGCCAAAGGATTCCGAATCTGTTGTACCAGATGTCAACTTGGAAGCTCCCAGAGCTCGTCCCGCTCCTGTTCAAATCCCCTCTCGTGTAAATGTTGAGGAAGATGATATTCGTCCCGTATGGCGCAGCCACGCCCGCTTGCCTTCGACCACGGCACGCAATGAGAATTCGGATCCATTACTTGCTACGATGATGCAGTTCCTTTTGGGTCGCCCACCCATGGATTCTGGCAAAGGCACCTTCCAACCTGCTTCAAGTGCCCCAGCCAACTTAAGTCCAGTAGTCCAGCTTCAGCCCCATATTGAGCGAGGGGACTTCCATCCGGTCACCATTCCCGAGGAAGTGACCAACGCAACAGATCTCGACTTGCCCAGCAGCAGCAATTCTGGTAACCTCTTCGGACTCGGATACGGCTATGGCTATCATTTCCCGCAGGGAGATGAGGAAAGCTTCTTTGAGGCCGAGTTTGCCGCCTACCAGTACGCCCATGCCGGGGATATCGAGGATTCGGAGACCTACCATCTCGACGCACCGTCGGCAATTCACCCGCTCCCCCCTCTGCGCAATGAATCTCCCGTCGAGACTGGGGCCAAGGCCAATGTCGACTCTTGGAAGAAGGAGAAGAGCGTGAACGACTTTGTTGCGTCAATCATTAACCTGAGTGAGTTTGAGGACTGAATCTCAGATTGCGGGCGTGGCACCACAGTGTCAATATGTCTATCCCTCACGGAGCTTGTGTAGTTGTCGGGGTGGAGTCCAACAGAGTGGGTCCGCTCATAAGCTTAACTCTATTTAAGCGGCTCTGTTTCTGTACAATTAGGAAATAACATCAAACACAATTTTCAATCCAAATTATCATCCGAGTAGAGTCGAGTAGAGTAATCAGTACCTACCTGCTCTCGTGTAAGGTGATTTTTGGTCTTCTTCCTTGCCCATTGCGGACTCTGAGGAAATTTTTTGGATGCTCTTGCGTTGGCCATCTCGTCTTTTCATGATGATAATCTGCCCCAAGTACAATAGCCAACTCTCAGATATCGATATCCTTTGAAAACAGCTCAGTTGATACTTTTTACACAGTCAGACTATTCCGATACGATGCTAGGCTTTAAATGAGATTCCAACATGACAATCGGTAACGGTAATAATTGCAGTGAAAGCCAATAGTTCGACAACACCCTCATTTGGTCACTCTCATGGCAAAGGCAACTTAACACCAATTATGTGACTATCCGGGCTCTTTCTTTATAACAATAGATAATATTTTCGAAAGAAATGGTAGTTCTACTTCCGTATCCCCTTTTCGCTCAAAGATTTCCAACGTGTTTCCTGTGAATTTGGGCTCAATTTTAGTCTCTCACTGGGCCTGAGAAAATGGATGTTCTTCTTACAGAAATTTGACCTCGCAGGTTAATTTTCTTGAAGAACGGACTTGGATAGAAGAGCCTACTCTTCCCAGATAATGCTGCTCAATCCAGTGGAGGAATTAGTGGCTTGACCGATCTCTCCAACCCGCAAGCTAGCGACCAGGCCGCCAAGCTTTCCACTCTGCGGATCCCTCATAACGATAGCTACATTTGATGAAGCCTGGTCCCCAATGGCCACCAAATCGCCATCCTTGTTAATGGCAAAAGTGCGCGGAACGGTGCCGTATGAAGAAGTGATTTGGCCGAGCTTGACCGTGCCATTCGGGGACCGAGCCAAAGTCACTAGAGAATCATTCGGAGGGAATCCTTGATCGAACCGAATAGAGACATAAAGAGAATCTCCTACCATACGGAGTTCGGCTGGCGTAGCCCCAGCTGGTAGCTGTCCGCCTGGGTATGGTACGAAGGATTGAATCTGCTGGAATGCGAGACAGCCGGAAGATAGGTATGAGACGGAGAACGCGTTGAAATGACCGTCCAATTCGCTGACGGTGTATAACATAGTGATTGAAGCTTCTGCCAAGTGCGACGGTTTAGATCTCCAGAATAGTCCGTGTCGTGGTCCACTGCCGGCGGTGTAGTTGAGATCAGGGCACGCATTTAGACGTCCCGAGTGCTGGTCAATAGCGTATACCCGGACTTTATCCGCGCCTAAATCGGGAACAAGGATGCAACCACCGGTTGGATCGAGGATAACCTGATGTGGATGGGGCGCGTCCTGCTGCGGTTTGGGACCCGGTTGAGGCATTTGGTAGCGGAATACCCGCAAGGGCTCTTTATCGGAGCTGAGAGGCAGGCTGAAGGTTGAAAGGGCAGAGCCGCCGCTGATAACTGTTAGTTTATTTATTTTGCAAGTCCACCAGCATAGTTAGTTCGAAGAGATCGCAGAATGGCTTCTTACTAATGTGCAACTGCTAAATACTTTCTGTTGCGCTTGCTACCATAAATGGTACTGTGAACGGCCGCACCCACGTCCTGGGTCTTTACAAGCTCTACCAGTATCCCATTCCGATCGACAGAGTAGGAGGTCAACGAGCCATTGACCAATGCATTGCCTGAGTGGTCGGAGCAATAGAGGGTACGCGTTGATGTGTCAAACGTGAGCCAACTTGGGGCATCACCACATGTTTTGAAGGATGAAGTGATCGAGAGCGAGTTTCCGCTATCGAAAGAAAGTGTGTAGACATTTCCATCATAATGAGTGGCAAAGAGGTTGGTGGCAGCTGTGAGACAGATAAAGAACGGAAGGTAGCGGAACATGGTGGGGCTGGGGAGGATAGAATAGGGAGGTTGGGGGACACTGGTATCAACGAAGGAATATATGAATACATATATGGATGCGATCAACGCCGAGAAAGGCAGACTAGATGTGCCACTATCACCAAAGCAATCGCCGCGCCGGCACGGCTCAATAATTTGCAATGTCAACATGATAGCCCCATTCGATTGGTGCATTTATAGATGCCGACGGAAGTCAAGCCCCCGCAACTTATTCTGTAGCCTAGGCGTTGAGCTAAATTCGAGCGAAATACTACCGGGGTGTGAAAATAACTATCGAGTAGTCTAACTGGTGCTAATATACAGACTTCTGATGCCGGTGTGGATATCTTTAGTCGTGTCTGGTCTCATCAGGGGCCATTCATTCCATTTGACATTCGCATGCAGAGAGAGGTCTCTCCAAGTCTCCGCACAGACAGAAGAACCCTTCGAGGATAGTGTCATGGACACACTAGAGAGTACTTGCATCCCATGCTAAGTCCCCACCAAACCCACTCCCGCACTGTTCGCTTCCATGGCGGGCCATTGTGGGGGATAGCTCCATCGGCTGAAGAGCAGTCCTAGCACCCGCTGTCCTGGATCGTGCATGCCATACCTCTAAATGTGTACTGTCAACTAGGGTCCTTCCTCGCGGTCTTTGGATCTTGATGATGAAATCCTTATAACTCACAGCCCTTCATTCACCAACCGCGACTGACCAGGTCCTGAGTCTTGAGTCCTATCTGATTTAGGTGCCAGACCTGCTCCTGGTTTCATAGTTCAACAAATATGGTTTGCTAGACAACAAATCACCTAGATAGCCGATCCTCGGCTGCGTAAGAATGCTGTATCAATAACCGCTGCGGGGGAAGGAGGCAAACTGATTGCCGAAGTATGAGGCAATTGGTATAGATGCCGTCTCTAGAACCCCCGCAAAAGACCCTGAACCACTTCTCCGCAGGACTTGGCGTCTTGGCGACATGGAAGAATATCCCGGGGATCTATTTACTGACCAGTCAGTGCCTGATACAAACAGATGTCAATTGCCGATGTACTCTTTAGAAAAGTATAAGTATGCTCTATCAAAACAAGTTCTGATACCCAGATGAACAAACAATCTTGTTCTAGCAGCCATGAAGTTCCTCACGGGATTGTCCCTGCTTGCACTTGCTTCTCCGTCTTTATGTGGTCCTGCCGTCAAGCTTCGTCCACGCGATGGCTTGGCTCCAGCGGAACAGCCGTTGATTAAGCTCAAGCCACAAAGAACGGATACTCGCGAGCTCGTGAACCTGGATGGTCTGTGGAAATTCTCCCTCGCATCCGGCCCCAACGATACAGCTCAGCCATGGACTGCACCATTGCCCAAGGGCCTTGAATGTCCAGTCCCTGCCTCGTACAATGACATCTTTGTCAATCCTGAGATCCACAATCATGTTGGATGGGTGTATTATCAGCGTGATGTGATTGTTCCCAAGGGCTGGTCTCAGGAGACATACCTGTTGCGCGCTGAATCCGCTACGCACCACGGTCGAATTTATGTCAATGACCACCTTGTCGCCGAGCATGTTGGCGGCTACACACCTTTTGAAGCCGATATCACCAACGTTGTCGCCCCTGGGGAGAATTTCCGCTTAACGATTGCCGTCAACAATGAGCTGACCCATGAGACCATCCCGCCGGGGAAGATCACGATTGGGGAAGCTACCGGCAAGAGAATCCAGACATACCAGCATGACTTTTACAACTATGCCGGTCTCGCTCGGTCAATTTGGCTCTACTCTGTACCTCGCCAACACATTCAAGACATCACTGTTGTCACGGATGTTCAAGGAAAGAACGGCATAATTCACTACGACGTCAAAGTATCCAACCACACAAGCGGGCAGATCCAAATCACTGTCCTCAACGAGGATGGTGTCGCCGTTTCAGACGCAAGGGGAGCCAATGGGACTGTCACGATCAGCTCCGCCAAGCTGTGGCAGCCAGGTGCTGCCTATCTCTACCAGTTCCAAGCCAGCATTGTCGACTCCAACGGCAAGGTCGTCGATACCTACCGCGTGGCTACGGGCGTGCGTACGGTCAAAGTGAGCGGGAAGAAGTTCCTCATCAACGACAAGCCCTTTTACTTCACCGGGTTTGGAAAACACGAAGACACCACGATACGTGGCAAGGGCCATGACCAAGCATATATGGTTCACGATTTCCAACTGATGCACTGGCTTGGGGCAAACTCTTTCCGGACATCACACTACCCTTACGCCGAAGAAGTCATGGAGTTCGCCGACCGCAACGGCATTGTCGTTATCGATGAGACACCCGCTGTCGGCCTGAACCTTGGTCTGTCAATTTCTGGAGGAACGACAGTTCGTACTTGGTCCCAGGAAAACATAAACAACAACACCCGGGAGGCTCACAAGCAAGCCCTTCGCGAACTCGTGGCTCGGGACAAGAATCATGCCAGCGTTGTTATGTGGTCGATTGCCAACGAGCCTGCCTCTCACGAAGAAGGGGCGCGCGAGTATTTCGAGCCACTGACCAAGTTGGCTCGCGAGCTGGACTCCACGCGTCCCATCACATTCGCAAACGTGGGCGGTGCAACTTCGCAGCTCGACAAGATCGCCGACCTGTTCGATGTCACCTGCATCAACCGGTACTTCGGCTGGTACTCACAGACGGGCGACCTTGCCGAAGCAGAGGTAGCCCTGGAGAAGGAGCTGCGTGGATGGCAGGATAAGTTTGACAGGCCAATTATCATGACCGAGTACGGTGCTGATACCCTTGCGGGTCAGCACTCCGTCCTCGGTCTGCCCTGGAGTGAGGAGTTTCAGACTCAAATGCTGGATATGTACCACCGGGTGTTTGATCGCTTCGAGGCAATGGCTGGCGAGCATGTCTGGAATTTTGCGGACTTCCAGACCAGTGTCGGCATCTACCGGGTAGATGGTAACAAGAAGGGTGTCTTTACCCGTGATCGCAAGCCTAAGGCAGCTGCACACAGTCTGAGGGCAAGGTGGACTAACCTGAATAAGAGTAGTTGAAGGGTTGACGTTGACAAGGCTGCATGTCTAGAATCTAAGACTAGATAGATTCAAGTATCAGCAAGATATCAAGTTCTCTTTGTCCAGTTGTTTATAAACCGAGTTCATAATAAGGCACCTCTAGAATGTATTAGTCCACAGGGAAATTCCGAACGGAGAGATCTCAATGTTCTGTACGAGTTCTGAAAAGGCGATTTCCTTTTCCCCATCGTGTGGTTCAAGCACCTCCTCGATATCCATAGAGTTGACGGGCTCCCATGTAGGGTTGTTTTAGTAAACGTGATGATCCGCAACCCGCTCCAGCTTGGCATGACTGGACTTGGAGTGTAGCCAAATCTCATCCATGGGCTCTGCAGGTACAGTCCCTGGAATAGGGATAGCAATCTATAGCTCGACAGTTACTTTGGCTGAAGTGGTATATGCCACGCATCTGACTCCAACGCAACCGCGACATATCGGTATCGTTCTTTCACCGAGCAAAATAGTCTTTAACGACAAAGTTAGGCTTCGGTGGTCATCATAGCGAGACTGAAACAAAGGAGATTGAAAATCAAGCCTTGTGTCAAGGGATATGGTAGTATTTACACATCTCAAACTCTATGTATAACTGAAAGTAAAATATATACAAAATCCAAGACGAGACCAGGAAACACCTCTTGAGAATAAAGTAGAGAGCCCTGCAGAAATAAAGAAGACACCCGAATGAGCTAGATGCCAGGAAATGCAAGAGCGTATTTTGTTGCAATCGAGGCACCTAGACGTCAGAGTTTCGGTGTCGGGAATGAGATCGGGAGATCGCGAGACACAAAGACGTATTTCGGAAAAGTTCAATGAACAGTAAATTGAGATTGCATGTTCGGAAAGCAATCATGACATCCACACTGGTGTCGATATGATTGCGTCACGCTTTGGAGCGAAGATCAGGCCGCTTAAGCCTGCACGACAGGCCATCCATTGACGTACTTCAATGGATTAAAACCAAGTACAGCGTCCTGTTGCACAGTATTAGTTTAAACATCCAAATATCATGACGTTGCCAAAAGGGGGAATGAAGGAGGATCGGCGAGCGGGTCGGGTTATCTTGCTCGGTCCACAAGCGTGCCGCGAGAGATGAGATGAGAACGTACCGAAAATGCGAGGCCCACAGTTTTGTTTTCTGTTTTGCAAGGTCAGTGTGTTTTGGTCTTTGGTATACTGCGATGAAAAGGTTGGTTTTTGGTTGGCGTGGACTCACGATAATGGTAGTACAGGATATCAGTATCGCCGACTCGAATCACACCTTGCCCGCCAGGGGCATAGGTTTCGGCGTTGGATCCGTAGATCACGGTACCGCCACCGTCAACCAAGTTCTTTCCAGACTGGTCGATATAGGGACCGCGCGGATCTTTTGATCGTCCCACCCGAATACTGTATTCTGACCCAGCGGCGGGCAACGTTCCTCTATCTAGGTCGCAGCATCGGCCATGGCTGAACCAGAGATAGTAATATCCGTTGTGATATGAAGTAAAAGCGCCTTCAATGGCATGTGGACCAGTGGGATCCCCGCAGAGCGACTTTGCAATTCGGTTCGGGTCGCTGGCTCCATTCGGTTTGTAGGCGAGGTGTCGGGCATCTGGTTTGGTTGTGCTGACCGGGGAGATGAGGTCTTTGCCGAGAGGGACTTGATAGATACCAGTCCAGTAGCTTCCAAATGTTAAATAGGCGGATCCATCAGGTAACACTAGCGCGGCCGGGTCAATGGCGTTGGACATGGTATATGGTGACACATCTGATCCGTTGCCCGATCCTGTCTGAACAACCACGCCGTGGTCATGCCATTTGCCTGGGCCTGGTGATTTGGACGTAGCCACGCCCACGGCACTATCCCGGCATCCTGCCTTGCTCACGCTGTAGTAACAGTAGTAAGTTCCATCGACAGCAATGACCGTCGGAGCCCAGGGGACGGCACGGTCACCCTTCGGAATAATACTGTTGGCATCCAACACGCTTCCGACATGTCGCCATGGACCAGCCATGGATGGCGCGGTGTGAATGAAGATGTGCTCGCCGACATGGTAAAGGTAATAGGTATCGCCGACGCGGATAATGTTGGGATCGTGTGTATGCTGTCCAGTCTGGCGTGGTGGGGGGAAATGAACGACAGCATTATCGCTCTGGAGTCTCGCCTCGTCCTGCCAGTTCAGACTGCGGCTTAGGCCCACGGTAAAGAGACAAACCAATCCCAATAAAATAAACATCTTCGCCCAGCGTCGAAGCTTTGATGGATACACAAGAAACCGCAGAATCCACCCCTGGCGAAAGTCGTCTGTGGTGGTCGAGGGCGGCATCGCCGCCCCTGATAAGCGGCCGCTCCGGACGCTCATCCTGGCAGCGCTGAATCTAGGCACTCATTGTCAGGTCCAGACCTACGTCGGTTCACCTGCCCGTGGCCAACAACAGATACCACAGTGGGGGGTTGATTGGACGGGATAGCGATGCTGTTCGAGGGGTATGCCCTGGGGGAAGCAACGAGGTCCACCCGTTCGTCTCCCTCGAGATCGGATCCACTGGCGGGGAACCGAAAGGGGGTTAAGCTGCAAGGCACAGAATGCTCGGCAGATCAACGTGAAGCTCAATTGCATGGGAGGTTCAGCGGGACTGCATTGAATGGAGCGTTGTTGGAGTCTCTTTGCCTGGCATACCGCGGAAGACTAGCGTGTCTTGTCTTTGAGATGCGGGGCGATGTCGTGATTTCTTCTGTTCGTCCCTAGAGAGACCTTCGGCCTCAGCGAGGTCTCTAGGCTGTCTAGAGTAACGTACGTGTTCTCGAAATCCGCGGGCGTGTCATGCACAGATTGACATCAAGCAAGGGCGAGCTCCAGCGGTGCGCTTGCCTTGTTGAAGGTTGGCCCCGTTCAGTCGAGGTTCCTGTCGATCAGGGCCGCCCTGAAGACCCTCACGGACCAACGAGATCCACCCGTTCGCCACGAATCCACTCCGTTCCATGAATCCTTGGCCTCTGGCGCTCGTGGAATGTGCCCTTTGCCATTCCTGTCGCAGGGTTCGTCCTTCCGACTCCTTCAGCCAGCCCGGGCATTGGAGATGCTGTGGAGAGTTTATTTGAACCTGCGGAGGGAGGTTGTGCCCTTTCGCTGTGCCGTGCGGCTCGAGCCGAAGACAATAACTCAATATCCAGTTGCAAGGTAGTTGATACAGAGTTATCGGGGCTGCACCGAATCAAGTTCAATGGGATCAGCTTCGCCCCACTGCACTGTGTTGCGTTGTGTTCGTGTTCGGGCCGAGCCAAGACGAGCCAAGAGAAAATACCGAAGGGCAAGGGACTCACGCATCTGGGCCCAGGCTCAAGCCACAAAGCCTGGGTATACCAGATGACCCAGATGACCCAGCTACAATGGCTACATTGAGTTTGAATGTATGTAGAAGCCATCAAGGGCGTGGTTGTTCCAGCTATATCGGTAGTAGCGCCAGAAGAAACACAGAATACAAGAAAAAGGAGATACGACAAAAGTACTAGTCCCGGAATCCGAACGCCGTCAACACCACAGAATTGTGCACGCCAAGCAGGTAGAAAGTCACACGCTCCAGCTAGCTTGGCTGGTAATCTACCGCGCAACAATCTTATCCACCTCGTCTTTAGCTTCGGTCCACGTCTCGAGATTCTTCCGTGCCCAGTCCAAGTGACAACGCGCATATGCAACCTAAACGATAGAAGAACATTCGTTAGTGGAAAACGACTGCAGCAGGAAACGTGGGCCATGCATACCATGTAGCGTCGGAGATCGGCTTCCTTGTCCTTTTGGAAGCGTTGTAGATCCTGCAGGACACCTGCACTAGCGTCCTTGACGTCCTTTTCTGACACTTCAAGTGCTTGCTCGAGCTGCATGACACTATTAGCATGCTACACTCTTTACAAAAACTGCCCCACCAATCACAGCTCATGATCCACCTACCTGAATGAGACTCTCTTTAGTCTTTCCGATCTGATCGCGGCGAGTGCGTTCGGGATCGACATCGGCAAAGCCATGGATAGCATGGCTGATGCGACCGAAGATCTTGTTCGTCACAAAGTTGCCACTGGACGTCTTGCGGTGTGCCGGGGACGGAGTTGGAGAGGGCTCGGGTTTCTTGTATGCGGGGCTTTGGGACGGGGATGAGGGGCTACCGATGGACTCGCCATGCGTGGGTGGGAACTCGGAGTCGGTCGAGGGTTCGGCCAGGCTGCCGCCCTCGCTGCTGACGGCGGAGGAGGCAGATAGAGATCGTTGCGACCGGGTACCGCCGGTCTGAGGGGAGCTACGGTTGAGATATTGCTCGATTCGTTTGGCTTCGAGCTCACTGCGCTCGAGAGAGTCGAGAAGGGTCTTCTTCTTGGCCAACTCATCTCGAGTCATATCTTCTTGCACGCGCTTCAGCACCCGGTATCGTAGGACATTTCGTACGATACTGGCAAATTGGGCACTCTCCCGCATAGGCTCGGCAAAGCTAGCGCTCAGCGCAGTGGACAGCTCTTCCGTCTCGATGTAGGACGTATCTGCAGCTTGGCCAATCCGTTCAATGGCGGCGGCCACCGTCGGAGATTGTTCGGATAAAGAGAATCCATTATAGCGCGCACCCAGCTCCATCAAATCAGCAGAAAGAGAGGAGAGATGTGACAGTGTCCGGCGATTCACCCGCTCGATATTTCCTTGCAAAAGTAGCTCTAGTTCTCGGGTGGAGGCTTCAAAGTTGACAAAGTACGGGTCTAGCTCCTGTTCGCTCAATTTGCGCGATTCGGGTGGGAAACGGCCAAGAACGTCGGGGCCAGGGTTAGGCACCACGGGCCCCTCGTTCGTGTCACCGGGTGATGAAGGTGGTCCTCCAGTCGTAGAAGGCCCACCACTACCGTGCTTTAGCTTTGCGGACGAGGATGGAACGGGAAGCCAGGCGTGAGCTTGCGTCGGGTTTGCGGGGTCGAGAGGAGGAGCCTTGAGATTGTTTTTGGGGACGGAAGAGGCCGGGTGGGAGTGCAAAACCTCGTTCTGCGAATTGGATATTAGCGGTCGCATACTTGATTACGGAACGATGGACCGAGCTTACCCAGCTGACATTCGGATCCAGGAAACGCCACCACACTCCATCTTCTCGGATCTCTTTCATACGGCGACACCTGTTCAGGAACACAGCGAGCATGCGCTTTCGTAGCTCAATTATTGCCGTGTCTTCTTTAGCCTTGGTCGGTTTTGCGGCATAGTCGGCCATGCTATGCTTCTCGGGGATCGGAGGAACAACGAGGGTGGGATGCAGATTCACAAGCGTTTGGCGTAATGATGCGAACTCCGAATACCGACGACGAACTTCCAGATCCTGTAGTCTATACATTAGCTTTGCTTGAAACTTACTCCGCATGTCAACATACCGCAGTTCGAATAGTGTAGACGATAAAGCTTCCACCTCCTTCATGATTCTTGCCGGCATCCGTAATAAGAATCGGCATTTCCGGGTTCTCATAGAGGATCTGCTCGATGCGACTATCGTATACACTCTTCCGCGGGTACTGTTGGCTTGCGGCTCCATAATCGGCTTCCTCGGGATCACTCAAATCCTCCGGATGGGTGATATAATCAGGTGGATCCAGATTGGAGTCGTGGCTGGATGGGGGTGTGGAATCATGCTCGAAAGAAGCTATCCCGATGTCAGCGACATAGAGCATTCCGCTGTGGAGGGAGGATAGCTTACGGGGAGATAGGGCGGCCGAGTGCAATGAATCGGACAGGCGGGACTCATGGTGGTCGAATGCCCCATAGGGGTTGTTATCCTCGTCGTTCCACATGTTGTTGAGGATACCGAAGAGGTCAGGTGCCGAGACAACGGAGCCTTCGGGAGTTGGAAGTTGGGAACTCAAGGAAAGCTGTGCCTGGGGGGATCTGCGGGGGAGAACCAACGTCACCGAGTTCGGCGGGCGCGGAGAACCACTGACGAAGTGGCGCAGGCTACGATCGACATGGATGCCTGAGGAACCGTGGCTCTACTTGATTGTAGTATGAATGGTAAGATTTTTCTTGACTTTCATGTCCAACACGCTTCTAAGGATTCCTATTTTGGCATTTTTTTTTTTTTCCATGTTGGATCCCATGTCAATGACAGTTTCAAAGCGGTCGAGACCAGCCTACCTTAGCGACCGCTCTCGTCTATGTTGGTAACATATTCCAGCGTTCTCAGTACTCCATGGGTCGAGATTCTATGTCCACGCGTTCCTGGAGCTTCAACAAAAGAACATGTTTAAGAGCGTAAAAGGTCATTTGATTCATAATTTAATCCATCAAGTCCATCCAAAAGGTAATTATGAGTCTCGTCCTACTAAAATAGCACATGGATGTATCTCTATGTGATATCAATGGCTCAAAATAGATCAAGTCGCCATCCTCGTCCGGTTCGCCTTGAGCGAAGCTAAGAGCGCTCAAGAAGACAGATACAAAAGCTGAAACTGCCTCGCCAATCGGTACTGTCATCATCTGCAGTGTGGAATTTGGTCTGGAGGCTATCGCAATGCTCACTACCAATTTCCGTCTCCACCATTGTTCGTGTTGTTGCCTTGAGCATCCTGACCCCAGTCGTCATTATTTTGATTATTGCTCTGGCCACCTTGGACATGATGGTTGTCACTTTGATCATTCCACTCGGCTTGATTTCCCCAGTCCCCTCCGGGCTGTTGATCTTCTCGAGGCTGCTCAGAGTGAGCCTTGTTGCTGTCCATTTTCTTCGACTTCTGGTCATTCTCTTGGTTGGTTGGGTTGTTCCCTTGGCTTCCTTGGTTGTTCTCGTTCTCTTTTTTGTTTTTCTGGCTTTTGTTGTCTTGTTTCCCCTGATTTTGCTGCTTCCCTTGGTTGTTCTGTTGCCCGTTATCTTTCTGGTTTCTTTGATTGCGGTTCCGCTGTCTCTGTTTCTTTCCCTGTTTCTGCTGCTGATGTTGCTCCTGCTGAGGCTCTCGGGCCCCTTGAGGTGCTTGTTGCTGTTGGCTCCGTATAGGGGAGGCAGGATGTCGGGGCTCCACATATAATGGGGAGAGATGGCCCTGTCTGAACGAACGACCTCGATGATGACCTCCTTCGTCCGTCAACCGGCGGAGGACGACGTGATCTGGCTCCCTCGGTATGTCCTTGTCTCGTGGCTTTGGTCGCACCCATCCAAAGCGTGTATATTTGGGAAGTGGATAATCGGGGATATGGAGTCCTCGTTCCAAGTCGTAGTTGGCAAAACGTCGGTCTCGGTGAGTCCGAGCTCGTGTCTGGTGCAATATGACCCCCGTGTTGACATGTCGTCGATACCAGCAGAAGACGAGCCAGCCGATGGAAATGACGAGTAGCAGAATGCCGATGAGCAGGGCAATTAGCTCGTTCCCCTGCATTGTGAGGAAGTTCTGCCTTCCACTACCCACTTCCAAGCGACCCGGGGTGATGTTGTCAAGAGTCGACAGCAATTTCAAAGCCAAAGTGATTATGAAGTGATGGGACCCTCCAAGAGCTGAAATGGAAGCTAGCAGGGGATAATCACCACTTGACGTCCATTCAAGTTAATTAAGATGCGTTTGTGACATGAACGAAAGAAAGGTGAATCAGGATCAAGTGAGGGCATTTACTTTCCCGAAGGGGAAGTTCCGTGCCGAAGGAAACCAGAAATTAGCAGGAGCACGCGACGAGATCGCAATGAGATGAAAGCAAACGCGCTCGAACAGACAATCTTCGAGGCTGGAAATTGGTATTGACTATGCTAATACTCTTTACTTTTGTTGTCCTACCGACTCGCAACTGTTCGAAGCAATCATCCGCGATAGCCAGTCATAGTGGAGAGATGCCCTTTTGCCAGCATCAAACAGACCCTGTATTTGTCTCCGCAAAGCGACCTGCTCGACATCCAAAGACTCGGGCAAAACGAAGCTCTGTGATCCAAGAGATGCAGCAATGCTAATAACGCGCACTCCCAATGTGAATACCTCTGGCTTAGAAGTCCAACCCAATAATCCATCGGCGCCAGAATCCTGATTCACAAACGCGAGAAGGTGGTCCAAGCCTTCGGACACCCAGCTCGAGATCTGCCGTATCAAAGTCTCCGGATAGGCATTTCGCTTCAACTGCGAAAGCACACGAGACCAGACATCGACTTCGCGGACTTCGTCAATGAACAGATTTTGCTTCTCCTCCACGAACAGGACGGTGCTCTCCTGGCAAAGCTGAGCCAAAAGATCCGAGACTGGGACAAGGCTTGATTGATTGTCAGATCCACTGATGCGAGACTCTTGTCCAGTCAGATACCGGATGACCCGACGAGCGAAATACACAGAGTCCGAGTAATGATCAGTGATGAAAGTTGCAAGTAGCTCGCTTGCATTAAGAGGCCCAAGAGCAAGGGCGGAGGTGGGTGACACTGATGAATAAGAAAGCACCCATGATGCAGAGGAAGCGGCGATATCCCGTAGTTCCTCATCGTCGTCGTTGAGCATGTCGTAAAGAACTAAATAGACATCAAGCAGAGCAGCGTCTGTCCGTGCTGATTCACCCCGAGGTCGAAGAGCCTTAGAGAAGCTTTGAACAGATACCACGGCTGCGTAGCGAGTAGTGAATTCCTGACATATTGTTAATAATTGGCTCCCACGGGTTGGGAAATGGTACACACTGTTTCTTCGCTCAGGGCAGACCGCAGCTTGATGACCCAACGTTGGATATCGTGCTTCAAATCAGAAAGCGACTTATCCTGAGTCGAAAAGGCTCGAAGAGCAAGAAGACATCCCTGAAGACGAAGTTCTGCATCGGTAGCATATCGATTCCACTGTTTGATGTCTGAATCCGGCTTGAAGCTTTTCTCTAATTCGTCGCACGGAAGATTGAACTCGGAGATACCGTCCGCTGAGGACACCAGCACCTCCTCCAGTATAGTGGCGAGATTCGAGGCAGCCAGCGTCTTGGAGTCTGCTGGGTGAAAGCCCTGGATGATCGAAGAGTATAGGTCCACCAACGCCTTCCTGTATTTGCTCATTCCGGCCAGTTGTTCTGGCAATTTCTCTAAGATCCAACTGCCCGCATCAGCGTCAAATTGTGAAATGCCGTGGTAGAATGCAGGAATTTCTGTCCAGTTTTGTGAAATTAGCATTTTCAACATTGTACACCATGCAAGAGCCCTTCGAAGAAGGGCCGATGACCGAGTACGGCTAGCCAGGTTCCATCCGACTTGAGAAGCATCGAAAATATAGTTCAAAACTCCATGGAGATCATGCTTGTCGTAGATCTCATTGACGAAAGGTATAAATCGATCTAAGGAGATATTAGGTTGATGATTCAGGTCCATCCGATTGCAACGTACCTTCAGCCTGAGCTGCGATGCTTCGCTCGAGAGTATCGTTCAATATTTCGATAAGACAGGTCGCAACAGACGGAGACTTGGCAACGGAGAACAACGTCACCAATACATGGCGTAGAGTCGCGAGCAGATCATCGATGTGGCCTGTGACTTTTAGTGGAATTGCCTCTTGATCGAAAGGGTCGGTTATCTTACTCATCCAGAATGCATCGGTTGACGCTGCGAAACGGCGGAAAGAGTACCGAACGCATAGAGCTATGCCATGGACATAGTTCTCGGATACACCCGCCTGAAGAAGGCTAACCAAATACTCAACATCTCTGAGGATATTCGTCCTGGTCAGTAAAGACGAATAGACACGAGCAGCGTGCTCTCTGATGCCCCAGACTGGGCTTTGGAAGTGCGCTAGAACAAGGTTGCACAGCTTTGCGTCATAGTCGTCTCCGATAGTGGGAACCTTCTCTCCAATCAACTCCAGAGCGGGGAAGATCCGTTCAGTGACAATATCGGTGCCCTCCTGAGCAGTTGTGCCCTCGGTTGGTGCCAAGAGCTTGGACAGTAGCTCGAGTAGACCGGGGTACTTGGGGAATGAGATCTTCGATCCTGGTTCAGAGCCCGAGACACCACCGAATCCAGCTACAGCTCCTGGTACCATGCGGCACATTCTGGTCAGCAGAGCGCGGAACAGCATCAAGCCAGAATTGCGAAGGGCCCAACTAGAAGAGAAGGTTAATCAAAGACCATCAGATAGAAGAATTTTGGACGTACATAGGGGATCCAAGCCGCTCAGCAGACAGCGTTAGCGCAGGCATGATGAACGGCTCAGTAAATGGACCAAGCTTAGTGTTAGTGAAGATGTCTTTTAAGCAGTTCATGGCGTGGACTTGAGGAAGCTCTAGATACTGTTGCTCTTTGTTATATTCGACAGTCAGACGCGAGATGTCGTGAAGGTCATCCATGCCGTCCTTGAAGAAAGGTGTTCTGTGCAAGGAGCAGAAGATACCTGTAACCAGTGCAGGGAGACCAGCCGATCGTCGGGTCAGCTTTGAAGCCGACTCAAAGATTGTAGCTCTCGCTTCCTTGTACCATCCCTTGGGCAGTTCTTGGATTGATGCATCCTTCGAGCCACTGCATCGTTCACAACATGTGGCGAAGGTTTGTGAAACAGTAGAGAATGCACCACGGTGGCGCAGCTCAGCAAGTTGTGTGAAGCTAGCACGACCGACTTTCTCAAAGTCTGTACGCTGAAGTCCACCCGGACCGTCAGGTCCGTAGGTCGTGTTGAACATGGTAGCATGTAGCAACAAGCTAATTCTGTTAGAAATGACCACCTTTTTGATAGAAATCCAACGCATACCTGGACTCTCGAAGAGCTCGCCATGAGTAAGAGAGAATGTCCTTCGGACCCACTGCAAGATCTTCAATTGGATCGTCGGTATGACCCTCTGGGGAGTCAATACAGAGAACAGGTTTCACCTCTTCCCAAACCCGATCACAAATCGATACGATACGATCGTGGATGGACCTCCAGGCACCATCATCCGGTCCATTCAGTAAAAGGTCATGGAAATTGGGCATTAACACAATATATCTAAATCGTCCTCGCTTAGTCAAAAGCAATTAATCTCGGGACTGAGGGTTGACTTACCGTAGTCCAGACATGTACCCATGAAGAGGAGCTTCACGCAAAGATGAGTTGAATAGGCCCTTGGAAGATGAAAGTCGCTCCTCCAATTTAGTCAAAATTGTATGAACAACCGACGTCTTCGTTGACCACCAGTCTGAGCCGGCCGATGGAGCGGTGCTTGGGAGAGCTGCACAGAACAAAATATGATAGAGACGGGCTACCGTATCCGCATGATCAGCTCGGCTAGTGTTGCTGGCAGTGAGCTCAGCTCGCGCCAGCGCATCTGTTAGGCGCATGCATACAGCCGGGCAATCATTGGCTGTAGCTTCGAAACCGTCCATCAAGATCTTTTGAGGGAAAAAATTGATGATCAGCAGAGACGTCTGTCTTACTTCCTCGAATGGATCCAGTAGTAGATCCACTAGCAGCCGAAGAAGACGAGGCTCGAAAACATTCATGTGGTATTTCCAGCGCGTTTCAACTTCGGATTTTGCTGGGGGAATGTTCGTCCGTGGGTCGAGATTAGATTCCAGCAATAGTTTCAGTGCTTTCAGAGCACTGATATGGCGTGGATACGACGCAGTCACTACGAGATCACCCGCGATGAAGTTGATGTATTTTCTCAAGAAGGCCATCGTTTCATCATCACTCTTGACCAAGCCTGACGGCAAATTAGATGTCGCTTGCGCTGTTACACCCGAGTCTTGTTGCTTGAGAATGCCACTCTTGAGACGGACAATGAGCTTGCGGGTAAGACTCATGATTTCGCCTCTGCTGTAAGAATCAGAGTCGGCATGCATTGACGGAAGTCCGCGCAAGATTGAGTCGGTAGCAGCTGATGTGAATGGCTTGATAGTCGAAAAGGCAGTGACCAACAACGACAATGCCGCTATGCGAATGTTGGGTTCACGATGGAGCAGGAAATTGCCGAGTACCTCGCTCTTGAGTACCAACTTCTGCGGTGCCCCAGCCTTGGCCTCGCTTGGTTTCGAGCCATCATCTATTAAGGTCAGTCAGTGTAATTCTTGGAACTTCAATTTTGTTCATCTTACAATCTTCATGGACAAGGTTGGTCTTCTTGCCTATTTGCAAGGCTGCAAAAAGAAGAATGTACTCTTTATCCTCGGCATCGGTCATATCACCCGCAAGAAGACCCTTGAGTGGCAGGCTCTCCACAAAGGCCATAAAGCCTGAAGGGTCGGCAGAGAAAATTGGCTGGAGGATTTGGCTCGACATGGCTTCAAGGTTGTCCACGATATGAAGCATCATGTACCGAACAGGGGCAACCCAGATCGTGGATACTGACCACCCCGGAGATTCCAACTTCAATTTTATCAAAAGAGCACCCAGTACGTTTCCGCATGATCCCGACATGTCACGGCTGTTCGTCTGGGTAAGGAGGCCAAGTACAAAGACCTGTGCCGCTAGCTCTTTGGATGGCTCGCCAGAAAGGGTTTCGGGGCAATTAAGAGATAGTGCCTCCTGGGCGTTCTCAAAAACATGCACCCAGTTTTGCCGATGCTCACCAAGCCATCTCTGTAGCAAAGAGATAAATCCAGAGCCAGAGATAGCCCCTTTGCGAATGCACAGCTCGAAGCACACCAGCGAAGCCTTCAATCGAGATCGAGGCTCACCAAGCACGATACTAGGAATGATTGCATCCGTGACTGCCTTTTGAATCTCTTCTTTCTTGGACCCGTGGATAGACTTGGCCAGAATATTGACCAGTGAGCCCAAAAGCTGCTTGAGCGGCTTCGGCTTGGCATCTTCATATCTGCTGAGGAACACCTCGAAGACAGCTAGCCAGTTGTCTGATGAAAGAGCCAATTGTTTTGTGTCCTTGATTTTGGAAGTGGCAGCTGCATCCAGAAAAGCCGAAACTGCATTACAAGCAGCTGCGGTATGCTGATTGGACATAGATGGCGTTGAAACCGTCTGGATTAATGACTGCCAGACTCTGTTCACTTTCCTATTCAGGTGTAAGCTGTATGAACTGTTTACAGGATATTTCGACTTTAATAAAGACTTACTCGCCGTCATCGCAATTCAAGGCCAGTTTGACTAGTCCACCCTTGGCAATATCTTGCAGAGTCTTTTCTGACAAGAATTGTACGTTCTGCGCAATGTCATCCATGTTGGTAGCGGTAGCGCGCTGAGCGCCACGGGATCTTTCAGCATCCATCACCAATGCGTTGCAGCATTACCTGATTAATCGACAATCACACTTTACCCCAAATTCACAGAAATATTGAATTTGCCCGAAGCTCCCCGCGGTGCCTCAGGCTTCCAACATGGCCATTTTTTGGATGTGGGTTACCCAAGCGGGACTAGTGTCGGGATAACCATGTTCCGCCACTCCCCAGTCACGGGACGGAAGTTTTTGCTGGTCGCCGACGCTCGGTGGAGCTACGATCAAGGGCCATCGTCCTCCTTCTCTGTTCGCCGTCCGTGTATTCTAATAATCTTATCTCCCTACCTCCTCCTCCATCATGCCTATCTGGGATAACCTCGGCGGCCGCAAGGAGACCGCGGCGCCTTCTCCTTACGACTCTCCCAACGCGCAAGATGCTACTTCCTTCCTCTCCGAAGTCGCCATTCCCGATCCCTCCAAACTCCATCCCCTGGCCGGCCTGAATCAGGACACTCTCGACTACCTGACCCTTGAAGATTCTGCTCTTGACTCCCTGCCCGGTTCCCGGTCCGTTTTGCCTTCCCGCGGCTGGTCCGACGACCTTTGCTATGGTGCCGGCACCACGTACTTGGCCGCTCTGACCATCGGTGGCGCCTGGGGTCTCGCAGAAGGACTGAGCAAGACACCAGCAAATGCTCCTCCTAAGATTCGTCTTAACGGAGTACTCAACTCGATTACCCGCCGTGGTCCGTTCCTCGGTAACTCTGCTGGTGTTGTCGCGATGGTTTACAATGGCTTCAACTCGGCTATCGGATATGCGCGCGGCAAGCACGATTCTGCCAACAGCGTGGCGGCCGGTGCTCTGAGTGGCATGCTTTTCAAGAGCACGCGCGGTCTTAAGCCCATGATGATCTCAGGAGGCATCGTGGCTTCAATCGCCGGTGCTTGGGCCGTACGTTTCCGAAGATGACGCATCCACTCCTGTACGAACTTGGCTAACATGATTATTTGCATAGGTGACGCGAAAGGCCTTCTTTTAAAATAATACTGGCATACCCAGTCTCTGTCCTACTCTCATCCTCCTGGATGGCCCGAACAACCATACCCTTCCTGCCCTACCATCCACGACCCAGGCGGTAAACGATCACCGCCAGCTTCTTTCTCCACCTGCAATGTATTACAACGGCTTTTCATACTCTTTTCCCTTGCAGATCTCTTCACTCCGGCGCTTAAAGAATCCATGTTTCGCATTTCTGCGTGGGTTGGGAATGGGGTGTGTTTCTGGGTTTGTACTTTTTATTGCTTTTTGTCTGTGTACATAGAAAAGTCTCTTGCATGTCTGGGCTTATCGACTACGACGCTTGTTTTTTTAGTGTCTCGTCCTGTATCCTTAATTCTGCGAGGGCTTCCAATAGAGAATCATTACGCATTTACTCTTTCAAGGATTTGGGTCAACATGATATTCAATATGCACTGAATTTTGAAGGAAAGTGCTCACGGAAGGGTATTTGAACCCCATTCCGTAACCCCGAAACAAGCAAGAATGATAACAACAATGGAAGCATTGGAAGAGTCAATCGTGACTCTGAGTTTCCTTATGGCCGAATCTCGAATCCCGAACTATCCGAAACCCCCGACGCAAGGTACATGCGAATCTGCCAACTTCCGTTTCACCAACGAACGACTTTCTAGCGACTCTAGATGAGATAATCCGCTGCCAAACCGGCTAACAAAAGACCGATCATCCCGATGGCAGATTTGGTGAAAGGGCGAGGCACGACAGCCCCAGCACCATTAGCAGTCGAGCTCGCAGTAGCACCGCTTGAGGTCGCCGAGCCTGTGGTCTCAGTACCAGAGCTCGTTGCACTGAGAGTGACGACCCCAGTGCCTGTGGCAGTGGCAGTCGCCGTCGCGGTGGCGTTGGCATTGGTGTTGCACCAAACTTGACCGGGCTCAGATGCCTTGACGAGGCATTCGGCCAGTGTACCAACAGTCTGGCCTTGAGCCAAGCAGTAGTAATCGCACCCGTCGTACTCGATGACAGAAGCCGAGGAGCAACAGCTGCTCATGATTTCCGAGTAGTTGCCCTTCATTGGCATCGCGCAAGCGGCATCGTGCGTGGGGATGTCGTACAATTTCGCGTGGCAGCTGGAGGTTGCCGAAGCGGAGGTGGTGGTCGAGGTAGTAGTGACTGACATGGCGTGTGCTGTATATGGTCGATTGAGCGAATGGAAGTAGTTGCGAGTGAGTGAACAGAGAAGAAGGACTTTCGAAAAGAGTGAAATGAGACCGAAAGAAGTTGCTTGGCTATGCTGACGGCAAATTAGGAACTCGGAATCATCTTATTTATACATCGAGGCCAGTTACCGACAGAATGATATCTCATCGATGTTCTTTCCCTGTTCTCACCCAGCATCAAATCTTATTCGGCCTTTAGGGGGCTGAAGTTCCCTAAGTGACCAACCGGATTGCCATGCTGGGCTTGGTGGATATAGTTCTACTTGATTGCTGCGATCATGGAAGAGTTGGGACTTGAGAGACCATCCTAGCTGACGAAATGTCTCAAGCTCAGGGCACACGCTGATGAAGAAGTGGATCAAGTTGCCTTAGAGAAATAATTGTGGCATGAGGGTCCTCGCTGCCCCATTCCGCATTGCCAAGAAGGGCCAAGTGACGCGTCTGATGTGGGCTCCATAATGGGTCACAGATTTATGTATTCATGATGGAATCAATCTACAGTACTCAGGTCATCCATTTCTTATCTAACCCCAATTACCTGAAATCTAGTAGCATACATGTTGGAAGCGCGGGTAAATCTATAGCACTACTACCAACAGCTTCCGGGCAGAGGTGGCACCGTACCCGCTATCGATGGGCCTTGATTGACCAGCCTATATTTAGCACTGATTCGGCATCGGTATAGCTTGTCGGACATTACTTCCAGTTTGTTCCATGAAGCGTGATCACGTTTATACACTAGATTGTTTCTAATTCCGTTCATCCTTTGCAATCGTGATGTTATACCTAAAAATAACCCTTTCTGGTCAAGAGCCCTACCTTCATACGTTGTCGGATCATATCAAACTGCTCCAATTAAACATACAGGTGGGACTGTGGCTTTTCAGGGATCGCCGTGCTGATTGCGCAGTGACTCTCCGTACAGCCTTGCCGTTCCCAATTATAGGCTTCGGTCCAGGTCAAGTCTTCCACAATGGCTCGCTATAGGAACCTTGGGGCGGAGTCCCTCTTTAATCTCGGTAAATTCCTGGAATGTGTAATGTGTTCGGAGTATAGTTACATGACTCGTCAATAGTTGCCTGGCAGATGCAATCGGCCAGTCTGTGCTCAACATGCCTGTGGGACTGGCCCACCGGAGTAGTATATAACAGCACCACCAGCACATTGCTTGCCAGAACAACAAAACTACCTACGTTTTTCGCATATAATTCCCATCAGTATATTCCGCCATATATCCCAAAGCCCCTTCAGAGACCACTTCATCCGGGGATCTGGCTCTTGCCACGCTTTGACAAGCTTCACATAGTGACTAATTCAGTACAGCAACACTACCGGATATTCGTCGGAAATTGGAGCGTCTCGTAGGGACTGAAGACTCTCCTCATCGATAATAATGAAAGTTCGGTAACTAGGAAACCTATCGGTCGAATATTGCAAGGAAAGTGACTTCGGATCATGGGGTGTAGGCTGTGCGGTAAATTATGAAACCCCAGGTTGATCCTGTCGACTTGAGCCATCCATAGAGAGCGTGTAGCTAGGATGATAGCCAAGGATATAAGACGGGTGGCACCTAAAATCTCTGGGGTAAGGATCAAGCCGAATAAAATCGGAGATAATCAACACAACCCCCAATCCCCGAATAAGGGCGCATTTGGGGTCCAGTTGTGGAAATTACTACACTCATGCACTGAGCTCCGAGCCCAGTCCCAGCCAAGCACGCCAACCCGACGCCCACCAAAGCTTGTCTCAAGGAAAGGACCGACCCTTGCCCATTCTGGGAATCGGTTTTCTCCAGTTTCTAGTTTTCACGAGAAAGGTTCGCTTGAATCAGACTGTGACCCGTTCCGTAGTCGGGGTGCTGACTGCTAGGTAGGCTCGGAGTAAGAAATTGGCGGCGCTTGCTCGGGACCCTGACAGCCAGGGTGGAAGAAGGAAGAGACGAGATCCATGTTCATTCTTTCTTTTCGCTAACTGTGTACGGGGTACTAGTTTGCTAGTCCCCTCTTGGTAAATAGATCCACCTAAAGGATTCCAATACAAAGCAATAGCCCAACCACAATGTAGAGCAGCTGCTTCCCACTTGAGTGTTCCATGCTTCAAACTGGGCCAAAGTAATACCCGCCGCTCAATGGCCTGACAGCCGTCCCCGCTAGCTGCCTTTAATTTTTCTATCCTTTTTTATAGGGTGACATTAACGACACGACAGAATATTTCATGGCACGACGAGGCTAGTCCTAATAAAATGAATGCTTTATTCGAGTTGTACAAAATACCAGTAGAGTTCTTATGTATGCATAAGCCTATTACTTAGAAAAGACCTTGGAAAAGACCTTGGAAAAGACCATTAGAAAGACCATTAAAAAGACCATCGAAAAGACCATCGAAAAGACCATCGAAAAGACCATCGAAAAGACTATCGAAAAGACCATCGAAAAGACCATCGAAAAGGCCATCGAAAAGGCCATCGAAAAGACCATCGACAAGACAAGTAGAATTTGCGTGATTTATGCGGTATTTAGAACACACTACCTCTCTGTACTTAAGACTTATACACCTACATACCTCATCTTACTACATATATCTAATCTCCACGAACACTGTGACTTAAACAATAGCTACCAACAGCCTTATTACTATTGAATGCATTTCTCATCGTTCCATAACCCTTTCTCTCCACCGTCTGTTAAAGCTTCTGAGACGGTCAATGTCCGTTCCTGCCCGCTATATAGGAAGTATGCCTCCCCTCACACATCGCACCTTCCCGTTGTAGACCTCCTGCCTCTTGCAGCATGGAAACAACACAAAAGAGAGAGAAAGCGATCCCTCACCTCACCTCTCATTTTCTCTTCTTCAACTCTCACACCATGAATCCCGAGTGAGTACTTCACCCTCATACTATTGTCTTTCATCTCCAAACCATCTTCAATCACCACTTCACACCTCACTCATCTCATTGTTATCTCCTTTCCCTCGTATCTTACACCTTTTTCTCTCATCCCTCATCATCAACCTCATCTCCCCAACCTCCAACCTCGTCCCTCATCATCAACCTTATCAACCTCATTTTCCCACCCCCAACCCGGTCCCTCGTTGCCCAGCTACCGCATATTCATCTGAAGCGTGGCTGGTTAATACTGACGTGATGAATTAGCATTGGTGAAAGAAGACCGGGCGATGAGGCCCCCCCTCCCCCCCGCCGTCCTCGACTGCCTTGTTGCCCTGGCTGTGGAAATCGCCACCAGGGCGAGTGCCGGCCGGCCTGTGCAAGGTGCGACAAGCGCCACTTAGGCGCATGCCGAGCGTTCTGTCGTGGTTGTCACCGGAGAGGCCACTCCCTGGCGCACTGCTCGGGACGAACTGGCCGTGGAGGAAGAAACTCCGGCGACGCAATTACTTTTAGTGTGCCGGCAGGGGTTGCGTTCTCCATCTCCGCCTCCCGCCGTCCCCGCCTTGCCCGCTGCCCTGGCTCCGGCCTTGGTTGCTTCGCCTGCGGTCCCTGTCTTGCCCGCCCCCGCCCCCGCCCCCGCTCCCACTGATGCGGTTTCTGCCCCGGTTGTTGCGCCGGTCGCCCCGGCCCTGGCGCTTGTCCCTGCTGCTGCGGTGCCTGCTCCGGTTGCTGCACCGCCTGATCTTGCGGTCCTTTATCAGGATCCGGCATTTCAGGCAGATTGTCGTGCATGGCTGGCAAGCCGAGGGACGTCTCTTCCTTTCCGCCCGCGGGAAGACTCTTCCAAGCCTGCCCCGGAATGATGGCCGGACGGCTTGATTCTTATTCTCTTCATTATCCGCCAATCCCCCTTCTAGTGCGGTCGTCATCCCGTACTGCCTCTTCATTATCCGCTGATCCCCCTTCTGGTACGGCCGTCCTCCCGTACCTTCGGCTGCCCTGGATCCGGCCAGGATGCCTGTGTTGTGTATGATCAATGTCTTCTGCTGCGCTCATGCTGGGTTCTGTCCAGACGCGATGTCGCGATGTCAATGGCAGTAGACCATTTCAGAGCTTGCATGATCCTGCTCTGCTTACTCTACTCTCAAATCAATATATTCTCTCACACGTCTTGGAGACTTCCTCTTTTCTTGAAACTTCCTTTCTTAAAACCTGGTCAACATGCGTCCATCCATCTCCCGGCTATACATCTAGTCACCCTTGGATCTGCGATCGAGGGATACATCTTTTGCCAACAAATCATCCATTCTCGCGCTTCTTTGCTAGTATAATACAAGCTGATCCCCATAACAGTGGGATAGAGTTGAGATTGTAGGTCGTTCACTTGCAAGACGAGAGGAGAAATCTCCTCCCCGAAGTCGTTTGTGTGCAAGTGAGTGGAAAATCAGAAAATCGGTCTCGTGAGAGAGAGATATTCCCTCCCGGTGGATATGTGTAACACTTTTAATGTGAGCCTTGTGCAGGAAATTATCTTGCATAGAATTAAGGTCCTCCAGGAGGCTAGGTATGTAATTGCATATAATCACGAGCTGGGCCTCTACACTTGAATAACATGCCCGAAGCAAAGTCTAACATCGCAATCAGGAAGTCAACAATGGTTTCATCATCCAATGTCGAGGGATTATTGGGCTCTCATTTCGCGAACACTGGTGCAGAGGATGGAAGTTAACAAACCACCCCTTTATTACATAACAAGAAGTGCGGCACTCAAAATATTTCAGAGTAATGGGATGTATCTTGACAGCCTCGTAAGCGATATTGTACCAGTTGGCCACTCCTCAGGGATTCAGAGGGTCCCTAAGCCTCTGCGTGGGATTGTCAGACTGTGAACGACCAGGAGCAGACTGTAAACAGGCCGACTGGCGCGATTGAAGGCAGCGACTCGGGGTTTCCAGGTGTTGCATTCTGTACTTTGAAAACGCCAAAGGGCCCGAGGGATAGTTGGAAATCCCCCGACAGAACCGAGTTCTCGCATTCTTCATCGATCTGGGATAGCAGTTGAAAGTTTTTGTGCAGTCCTTACTTTGAATCTTCCATTTTCCCCTCTAGGAGCCAAGCTATCCCGAGCGATTCTACCTAGATCCCTGTACGGGCATTGTCTCAAAGCAACAGGGATCAAGCCTAGGATGAGAGTTTAGAATTGAATTGTATCCAGTTGGCCTCGCTTCCTCCGGGGCAGCTTCCATTTATATAAAGATTGATACGAATCTGGGGAATCGATAGCTACGCCTCGATACCAGTAAGAAAGAGCGCCACGCCGTCTGCCTCGCGACAAGTTCTTTATCAGACGATGCTATTCTTTTTCCACCAAGTTTGCCTCGATGTAATTACAAGCCAATTGGATCCGTCTTGCGAGAGCATCCCGAAAGCGAACCTCCAAACGATCCTTAATGACCGAGATCATACCGAATCCGACAGTCGTCGCCGACTTCAATCTACGGCTCGGATCTTCTGAAAGGGCAGCACTTCGAGAAAAATTTGGCCGTTGGCACCAAATGTCCAAGAATCTGCTGAAGCGGGATGCACGGTCTCAGTGGAAGCCCAACCAGGCCGACCAGAAACCGTACATTATCCTCACTTCATTACTGCTCCTGTAGCATAGTATGACAAATTAATTGAGATGTCTTCCGCCGGACGATGCTTGTTATGCGACACTACCACGTCGAGGAGGAGATCGCTGCAGCTATTGCACTGTATCTGGATATTCTGAATCTCTTCCTTTCGATTCTGCGCATCTTGAACGTGCCCTTCAAGATTTTATAGTTAGGCATTATCATATATCTTCAATAATAAAAACTTTGCTTAATCTATAAAACCATATCTGTACTTTGTCTGAATATTCTGAATATTAACTTAGGCAGTTAAAGCCCACCATATTATAACTGGATGACAATTATAGTAGGCGGTAGAGTTTAAAAGCGAGCGGTGTAAGTGTGGGTCCCGGACATTATCAAAACTTTTGCGGAGTTACTTTTTATCCCTTAACGTTATATAATATATTGCCGGTCGGAAAACCTCATCGGTACTGGCTGGCGTGGTTCTCTACTACATGTTTGGATAGCCGGTATATTGAGGTTCAAGGGTGTGTTCAAAACTTAGGCGTGGTCACTTTAAGGGTTTAGCAAGTAATCAGGCAGCCAGGAATCTAATGGTTGTGTCTGAGATCATAATTCTGTAGTACCAAAACTATTAAGGAACGTAAAATTACCCGCTCATGATAAGCCGACTTTGCGAATGAAAATCAAAAAGGGTTAGTAATTGATTGAAACGTATTAATGGTTAGCCGTTTCCTTGGAATGGGCATGTCGGAGCTCTTCTAGGGTCAGTTTGTTTGGGTGTCGGCCTAGGCTTTTTCCCACCCACTTCATTATCCCATCCCATTGATTCTCACAACAATCTCCCTCGCCTTTCGACCACCGCTCCTGATATTTCTACCAGAGCTGATCCGCTTATTACCGCACTCACTCTTGGACAAATGGAGAGCCAACAACCCTCATATTGCCACGAGATTCGTCGGCTCTATCGGCTGATCGAAAGTACCTCCCTGGAGTACCTCTCCGTTGACCACCTTCGTGAGCTGGGCATTGAAGCCACGCAAGTTTATCTGGCCGATGGCAAGCTCCAATTTGACCCTTGCTTCTTCCAGCCTCAGCAGCACAGTCTTCATGAAAGATACCCCCTCCTTGACAAAACCCAGAAACTCAGGAAGCTGACGTTTCAACGAAGCTGGGATAACTGTATCCGTGAGGCCGCTGACGGAGGAGTCGAATTAGTTCTTACTGGATATTGGTCTGCTGAGGACTTCAAGTGTCGTGAAGACAGATTCTTTCGGGATGCAAAATATCGATACCTGTCGAGCCTACGACACGAACGCGAAGCTGATGTAGGCGATCGTTCACAGCAAACTCTCCTCTACATGCAGCAATTGCTTGGAGCCGAAAGGGTGAACCCAGACCTCCCTCCACCAGACCTTCTCCCATTTTGCTTGAGCGACTTGTCTCCGTTGACTGAAGGATGGAGGTATGTAGTTGGAGTGAGTGAAGAAGATGACCGAATCAATCTAACAATAGCCAGGACAAAAGAAAGAAAAGGCGACCCTCAATTAGCCAACCTCTTTTATCCTCACAAAGTCCGCTGGAGGATTGAAGATATACTGGAAGACTTTGACTTCAAAGATCCTAAGCCCCACGCAGTTGTTTGGAACTGGGTGGAGTTTGCAGCAGGACCTGCTCCAGAGAGCTTGACTATCCATGAGGTTCAGTCAATCGTGAGATGGTTTATGATACGGGCTAAGCGCAGTACTTGGAGGCAACACCGCATCCAGCCAGTAAGCCACTTTATATTATGCTTTGATTACGTTGATAATCTGACAAGGCACACAGATGTTGCTCGTTTCTTATACCGGTTCGCAGGACGGCAGGATCGTTCAAGCGCATTATGATGGGAAGAAATTGAACCTGCAATTTTCGGCGCTGTTCCAAATGAAAGATGAGAAGACCGCGCCGATAGACCTCTTCCTGCGTTACACTGTCAGTACTCCTGTGGGGCATACTCGAGTCGACAAGTCGAGTTAGGGCGTTTTTCTTTTTGCTTCTCGGACAATTGTCGAAACATTCGCGCAAGTACAAGTTGGTATTTGGCCGCGAGTGAGGTGCATTCTTGACTAGCTGTTAAATGATAGCTCTTTGCTCATCGGTGCCCAGGTCTGCGGCTCTTACTACTTCCCCGTGAGCCAGGAATATTAATTTTCTTGTTACAAATTAGTCTGTCTAGGAAGCGCAAAGTAAAAAGCCCATGATCATGTTCGTTTCTATACCAAGTAAGAGGAGCTGTAATAACGATCCTGGAAATTCCCAGGTAGGTTTCACTGCCCATTCGCAGGTGGTTTCACTGCCCATTCGCAGGTGGTTTGGAGTGGGCATAATTATGCCTACTCAATAATGAGTACTCTCTCAAGTCAGTGGCTCAGTCTGTGATTTGATACTGTTAATGTGATCTGTGACGGCTTGACAATAGGCATATATGATATTCGCCAGTTTCTCCATCTGGTCTCCGGAGCGAATGTGGAATGGGCCATATTCTTGGATACTTAAGAAACTGTCAGTCGAGTCATCTCCTTCTTTGAGGAACTCTATATAGCCCTCGTCGTACTCCGCGACACAGAGATAGATTTCATCATGGTCCTGGGCAATCAAAAGGCGCCTGCTTGACCATTAGCGTGATCCGCAAACCAGAATGGAGGCTTTCTCACATTGGCCATTCGACGACTCGCTTATTCTTCAGATCATGATTGATCCAAGCCACAAACTCAGCGGACTCCTGCCAGAGAATTTTGGGACTGCTTTTGCGCCTCCGGTATCTTGGTTTGACTTCGAAAATGGCGAAGATGTCGGGAATTTCGCGACCCAGCAATACACCGTCGACGCGTGCTTCCATGGAGACATTTCCAATACTTACAAACTTCTCAAAGGGCCCTCGGTAGTCAAGGAACTCGCAAGCTGGGTCGGCGGTTACCTCGCAAATCGCAGCTAAGAGCTGTATTGCGGCGTTGTTGACAATGCTTTCGCCGATGGTTTCCTTTTTCTTGCCAGGCATGTCTTCCGCACACTCATACATCGAACCCTGCATACTGGGGGAGTAATTTAACGTCGGAGAAATTTCCATTCGCTCTGTATCGCCAGACTTTGTGGATACGGTCTCTTCTTTGTAGAGGCCAGGCTGTGGACGCTCTCGTGGTTCCGGTTCGTCTGGCATTTCGGTGTCTCCCTCTTCGTCGGTCGTATCCTTGACCCTGCGAATCGTCTCTAGCTGATGTCTTCGGGGGCTTGCAAACACACCCAGTTCTAGTCTGTCAGCTGAATCACCACGGTGTTGGATTCTTGTATGATAGCCCTTGATATGTTTGATGAAGTTTTGAAACACCTCAAAATGCCCTAGTATTTGTGCAGCCATTGAGACATCAGCATCCAATGCATGGTGAAATACAAAGTCCTCTCGCTTTCTTCTCGTTGGCCATATAACTCTGAGCCCGAGGAATTGCTTCTCAGTGATCTCGGAAGCGGATCGCAGGTTCTCCCACTGGTGTAGGGGTTTTGGCGCAAGTTGCTTGTGTCTTGCTTTCCACTCAGACTTCGTCTCTGGGATTCTGTCAGGTCTTTCTATAGCCATGATTAGCAGATTTCACGATTCTTGGTGTTTTGGGTTATGGGAGAGTCCCTTTACGCCGCAGATCTCCAAAGTAAACAGCGCGGTGCGGGATCCGGTGCTCCTTCCCTCTGTATAGTTCCTCGAGCCAGTGACATCGCAGTTACGGCAGCAGTAAAATAGTACAGTACGACCGATTCCACAATAAGGGATAATACAGTGTGTAGTACTATCGGTCGGCAAGTGTTCTTTCAAGAAGCATTGTTAGTGTTACAGTAATTTGCGATGGGATTGAGACCTTTGCAGTCGCTGATATCTGACTTTCGGCCAAAAAATAACTAGAACCCATTTCATTTAGAGATTGAATGAGATGCTCAACTTCCAGAATCATGGGAATTTAATGCTCAATTCCTTCTCAACCGGTACGTGTAAAATCTGAATAGTTTCGGCAAATCAACATGAACATCTTCAGCAATACCCATGACCATGTGGCCCAAACGATTATTAGAAGTGGATGGACATTGACGATAAGTGAGATTTTTGCGAATCTTTATGATAATAATTCTCGAAGATATTACCAGAGCCAGAGGGTAAAAAGATGGAGGGAAATGGATGTAGGAATTTGTGATACTTGGGTTAGCTTCTGGAATCCTTGCTCTGGCGACGTTCGCATTTCAAAGCAGCGTCTTACATTATGAGACAGTGAACAGCTTCCGTTCGCATCCAAAGTGAGTGTGCGACCTTGTCAGCGAGCTGAAAGCCTTGAGCGTCGTCTCAACTCCCCTTGTCGACCTGATTAAATCGAGCTCTGACGCGGGCCTCTCCGTTTTGGAGCTGCCGCTATTGCGATGCGGGGATGGCTGCAAAGAGTTCCAGCAGGAGCTAAGCCGATGCGTGTCCCGATCAAACAGTGACCGGATAAACTTCCGTGGCTGGGCTAGGATGACACGTACATGGGTGATGGTATTGACGATTTCCGCGATTTGCTTCGAGATCGTCTGTCGAGCCGGTCCGCTCAAATCGCGTACCGAGGCTGTTTGCAAGGGTTTTTATCAAGTCATTACAATACTAAAGCATAACGACGTACTCACAACTCGGTGAAGCCCTCCAAGATCGTGAATATATGCGTTAATTGGTGGAACAAATGTGGAATGGACATCCTTTTTCTCTGAACTCAAGCAGAGCCTCGACCAAGGTCAGGACCAGAAGATTCAAGGACGATCTTATCAGCGATTCTAAATGATTAGCCAACATAGAAAACGTGCCAGGTATTGTGAAGTCCGAGAAGGATGCCCACCTCCTAGTTCTCCCGATTGGACCTTAGGACTACTATTCTTCAAGGTATGCTTTCTCCAGCCGGATTATTTCCGTTATTCTGGGCAGCCTGAGTTTTATATTACCAATGATTGTGATGGTCATTATAAGTCACAGATGGATACGGCTCGTGAATGCTGCGGTATAGACCACTAGATTTGCCTTTGTCGTGGTATGGAACCCCTCTTATTTGCATCCGAATTTGTGTAGTGCACAGCAGCGTATGCTGCCAGACTAGTAGGTACCTGATTCTTTTGTGTCTAACCAAAGTGTGAAGAGTAATCCGTTTCAACATATTGCACACATGTACACTCCCGGTGTCAAAGCTATCATTCTCAGATGATCCGATCCGCAGCTCACAGTGTATGACATGTAATTAATCTATATGAGGTCGAGGCAGCTGTTAAGGGTGACATCGTCTTCGAACTGAGAGAAATTCCATCATCGACTATATGCTCCAGCATACCATCCATTGACATCCTGCCCCTCCACCACAATTTAACGACCCTGGATCAACCATGTCCCCTCATCTGTTCTCTGGAAGACATCCTATCAGTATCCCCAATGATCAATGGTGAATGACCTGATCATCGCGATGAAGAGAGCCTTCGTATTCTCTTCCCTTTCGCTGGTGAACTTAATATCCACGCTTATAAGGTGGTCACGAATAAAAGCTGGCGGTTTGGCTTGTATGACGGTTCCCATATTCTCTGGAGGGACTTCCATTCTATTCGGTAGGCGGACAATGCCGTCGGAGTGGAAAAGATTGGCCATTTCCGAGAAAAGTACATCCTCCCGGGCCATTATGCAGTATTTATTGATAATGCGTTCGATCTCTGTAATGGCGAGGGTTCGTTCAAGGGAGCCGGACTAATTTAGCTAAACCATGGTGAGATGAGAAGTAATGTATTGCGTCAAAAAGTATATGTGGAATGCTGAGCTAAAAGCGTAGGAAGCATCGAGAAGATAGAAATGGCATGTTGGCGCCACGAAGTAGGGAGCCGAAAAGGATGGCATGGGGTAATGTCCTGTCGGGTTCCGCTCGGATGTTGAGATTGATGGTATAATTAGCGTTCTTGTCTGACTGAGAGAATATAAAGAATGGGGGAGAATATCGACAAAGAAGCACCCAAAAGAGTAAGCCAGTGGATACACTTAGAATTGGCGAGGAGCATGATCGAGTACACCTTTCCGGATGGGGATGATGCCACAGTTAACAGGTACAACTAGTGGACAGGCAAACCTAGGCTGCCCAAGTAATTTAAGCACCCAGCAGTTGATCCGAAAGTGCTCAGTGACTACCTGAACGGGACACATTCGATCCGTTATTCAGTGCGCCGTGGCATTTCCCCCTTTGTAGACACCTTTCACTTTGTTGGAATCCGCATATATGGAACCCGTGACATGATGATGGTAAGATGGGTGATGGTGAGAGGCAGATTAGGCGTGAGATAAGTATCGACTAGATGTAGATTAGCTACAAGGTTTCTGCCTATAATATAGGGACCTTTTGTCGCAATATAGACGCGGCACGATACCGCTATACCAAGAATGCTGTATGGGCTACATCCTTAGTCTATACGGGCTTCGATTGTTTTCACGCCTTTTTCTGCCCCCAAGGCCTCATTTTGACCCAGGCGCATATCAGCGCCCGGACTGACACACCAAGAACACTGCGGGGTTTCACGATGAACGCCGCCCTCCCTCCACATATGAGACAGTGATTGGGTTGATAGGGGCGATAAGGAAGGGGCCATGAGCGCGAGTCAATCCGATCCACGCCTCCGAACCTCTGAAGCTCCGCAAACTCCGCAACTCCGCCGGCCCCCACGAAGAGAGCCGCAAAGCACCCAATAATCTCGCGACATTAACTCCAGGATATGCGGACCTGAAGGTGGTTGTCTTCATATTATGAGAATAACAGCAAAGATTATATAGCGAAAGTCCGCAATTCAATCCGAATTTTCTCCGTCAATCAATTTATCTCTGTCAAATTGATGACCTCATCACTGAGACTATAACTATATAAGGGCAGAATAAATCTTGCGAACCACCTTGTAACTCCTTAACTATTAGTCAAAGCCGCATTCATACCGCAAAATGGCCGTTATTGAACTTATCTTTCCCAAGTTTAAGCCCGATCAGGGTACAATCGACGAGATGGAGCGAGACTGGCCTATCATCTTTGACAAATTGACCAACCCGAACCCGGGACTGCTGTGTGTCTTTCGAGGCTGGATTCTCACGGAGAATGGACGTAACGTGAGAGAGGAGAATAGAGCATTTCTGCTCTTTGGTAAGTCCACGGTCCTAGAAGGTTGCCGATATGCTCAACGTGAAAATCTAACTTGAATATGTCACAATATGTAGAATGGAACAAAGTAGAGTCGTTCCATTCCTTCGTTGCCTCGGACCAATTTGCCGGTTTCGCTGCGTTGATTAGGCATCTAGTAACTGGACCATCAACGCTACAACTTTGTGAAACAAACCTCAGCCCCAAGGATGCGGCAACTGCATCTAGTATTGAGGTCATACGCGTGACCGTGCCAAGTGCTGAAAATGCCAAAGCGGCTCTGGAAATCTGGGAGAAAATCTCTCTCAAGGCCAAAGCGAGATTCGGAGATAAAGTTGCTATCACATACGGCAAGAGTCAGAATCTTGACGAAGAGGTTATTGCGGGCATTATTGGATGGTCCAGACCGGAGGTAAGACAGAGATTCATGTCACAATTTTCCACGACGTCTAATTTCTTTTAGGACTGTGTTCAAGCCACCGAAGCGGGTGTGCTGGCAGATTCTTTCCAGTCATTGAAGGAGTTGGGTGATCTATCACATATCACTGTTGAACTTGGAGCGATGGAGCTTCCACCTATGTAACGGGTGTCTTCTGGAATTGCTCGCTAAGTAATATATGAATTACTTGGGTCAGGAATGGCCTATATAGCTGGAAATATAGTGAAAGATTAGTGAGCACACCAATCAGAATCACCGAGCGCTCACTGGACCTCACTCATCACGTGATGGCCTCGAGCAGAGCGACTCTCCATTAAAGCGGTGGGAGCCAAGATACAGTGCGAATACTGAATCTATTCTGACCATTGTTTCCCCAGACATTGTCGAATGAACTCGATCAAGTTATGTAAAGATCGAGAGCGTCGCTAGAAATGCTTGAAGTGCCAATCGTCCGTGAAACGCAGATCGAATAACCTTGTGCAAATAGCGAATGTAAAAACAATTCAGAACAGTTGATAACTAGTTAGGAAAGGCCAACCGTAATTATCATCGGAGATCCCGAGCACCCTCGCCTATTGGTAGCGTTGATCCAGGGGTTAAGCCTTGGTAGATCGAGACCGGCGGGTGCCGATGCGGGGAGGCAAAATTGGAAGATTTAATTTGGCCCTCGCCGACGTCCCGAACATCCACCAAATCTTCACTCACACCGAGTTCTTGGGGATGCCGGATAGCTCACAAGCCCCGAATGTGAAGACTCCCAAACTGCGCACAAAGACTTTCACGGGTTGCTGGACTTGCCGGACCCGCAGGGTCAAGTGCGATGACGAGCGGCCCCATTGCCGTCGCTGTCGCCGAAGCGGCTGGCACTGTCAGGGGTATGGCCTGCGCCTAGGATGGTCCCAAACACCGGGGACTCGATCTCAACGGCGGCAGATATGGTTGTCTGCTCCACAATCAACGCTCGACTTGTCCTCGGCGGCCGTGACGGCCCTTTTAGCAGAACTGGATGAATGGTCCGACGATGGCTCGTCTCGACAAAGAGGGCCTTTCACGGTATTCTCCACCTCTAGCCCTACATCGGTTGATCCCAAACCTACGGAGACTACGGAGAGAAATCGTTCGAACTCATCGCCGTCGCATACTCCGGAGGATGCAGACGTTGCTATTGATCGATGCATTTCAATCCCCGTCCTGCCGAGTCGGTCGACTAGTAGCAGTGAATCCAGCACTGAGCTGTGGGGAGAACCAGAGGTTCCGACTTCTACAAGGACTCTTTCATCAAAATCCAGCTCTGAGAAATGGTCTTCGCCCATGCCTTCCGAGTCTCCCAGTTCAAGTGACAATGGTCGGCCCAATGTGGTCTCGCTAGCTGATCGCCAAAATCCTCACATGGACTATCCTCCTGATGAGAGTCAGCACAAAGACCTCATATCGATACCATCACTAGCAAGAAACATACCTCCTTCGATGGCCTTCAATCCCATAAAGCTTCCAAGACCGGAGACAGAACTGGTTCACCACTGGGTAGTCTTTCTGAGCGGCAGCATGTTGCTGATCGACACCCCCGATAATCCCTGCAGAACGATCTTCATGCCAATGGCTCTCAAAGGTCTTGATGCGGCACCAAACGGGTCCAACATTCATCTCTCTATATTCCATGCTATATGTGCCTCCTCAGCCTTCAGCCTTTTTCACCTGCGCCGAGATCCACGGTATCAATCCGTGGCCATGTATCATGACCATCTGGCTCTGCGTCATTTGCGCCAAAATCTGCAACAAGCTAAGCGATTGGATGAGCCCACACTAGCTGCTGTGCTTACCTGCATCACCGCCGAAGCAATGTCCGGACGGAGAAGCCGATGGAGAACTCATGTTGCCGGTGGACTCGGTCTATTAGAAAACGAGGTCCATGGAGGCTGGGTCCCGGGACCGATAGCTTCGCGTCTCCTACAAAGCTATCTGTCACTTTCTTCGCTCTGCAGTCTACCCCTCTCGTCACAGCTGATGTCCTTATTGAACGGGTCATCAGATCTACGGCACTACTTAGAACGGTCGCACGGTATTACTGCACCTCTGGTCCAGTTCCTGGCACACATTACCTCCCTCGCAGAATCACCTCATAAAATATCAATGGATAAACTGGATCATCTCGAGTTGCAACTCTATCTCAACTTCCCGTCCTTGTCGACACCCGATGCGCCCGGGTCGACCATCATCCAACACGCGCTCAATTCTTTCTACTATGCCACTATCATCTATTTCCGTCGAACACTACGTCATGCGCCACTCTGTGAGATTCAAGATCTCGTCGAGAAAGCCATTCACGAGCTGGAGGCCGTGGACTCAATAAGTGACGACAAAGGGGGCTGTGCCTATAATTGGGCCAGTTTTGTGGTCGCTGCCGAGTGCCAAAGGGAGGATCTCCGAGCTCGCATGCTGGCTTCATTCGACCGGAAAATCCGTCATGGCATTCAAAATATCAACATCCTTGGTGAGATTGTTCGAGAGCTCTGGCAGAGACGTGCGAAGACCCCGGATAGGGATATTCACTGGCAAGAGATTGCGAAAGAGGCAGACTTTGACATTATGCTCGTATAGATGCCGGCTATCTACGCGGGTGGACTGTATGAGAGCCTTCTTGTATATATCAACGATATTCGTTTGTATCAATATTTTGACATGAAAACTCTCTTTTGGGTATCATTCTGGGTCTAGACAGTAAATCCTCCATCCACCACCAGCGCTGCACCGCACATATAGCTGCTCATGGGGCAGGACAAGAAAAGTATCGCATCCGAAATCTCCTCCACTTGCGCCGGCCGTCCAAGGGGCGTCATCTCGAACGCTGGGTTCATCGACCCAGATTCAATCTGCTGTTTGATGATGGGAGTGTCGACAAATCTGTAAGTCCTTATGAGAAACCACTCGTCTTATGGCAACTTGATTGGCGTCTGAGACTTACCCGGGACAGATAGCATTGATGCGAATTCCTTGTCGCGAGTACGCTTTCGCGTCCTGTCTTGTTTTAGCTATCTCGCTAAAGCCACAAAACTGTTATGGAGATATCTTACCATCTTGGTTAACCCCACCACCGCTGCTCATGTTAATCATGTGGATCGAGTTAAAGGGAAAGGCCTGGCTCACCATGCTTCGCCGCTGTGTAGTGGGGAATGTCGAATGGCCCAGGGGGACCACTCACGCCAAACATCGACGAGACGTTCACAATGACGCCTCGTCCTTCACGGCTACCCCGCGACCTACTTTCAAGTCAGAGGGCTGGATGCCAGATCCAGATTCACAAGGGTATCACGTACTCCTGCCGCAGCATCTGCCGAATCAAAGCCCTCTGACATAGCCATACTCCGGTCTGATTGACATCGATAACTTTCTGCCACTCCGCCAGCGTCATCCGATCAGTCGGTGTGGGCATGCCACTAATTCCGGCGCAGTTAATACCAATATCGATACTGCCGAAGCACTCGATTGTCTTGCGCACTGCATCCTCGACGGATGCCTCGTCGGCAACATTTGCCTGGAGAGCCTCCACGTTGATAGCCGGGAACTGGGCGAGGAGCTCATCGCGGGTCTTTTCGAGGAGAGGTATGTTCAAGTCGACTAAGGCGATGGATTGGATGCCATTTTCTGCGAAGGCTTGAGCAGTGGCCTTGCCGATTCCTGAACCGCCACCGGTGATGAATGCCGTTCCTTTGACTTGACACGGCATACTTGCTGTTAGTATCAGTTAAAGGATCGTCGAACCTTGTTGCTCAAGGTGGTATTCAAGTCTGGGGTTTCGAGATGGGGACGGAAAATTCCAGAGTAGAGGAGCAAGGACGAAGATTCGCGTTCAAAAGAAAACGCCGGTACATAATGGCCCGTGCGATCTGGAGCACTTAAAGTCTATGTCTTACTAGTAATTACCATGGCAGGCAAATATCGGGCATTCCAGTACGAGGCCAACCCGCATAGAACCAAGTCAGTCTCGGTTTAATGACCGATTCCATCCTATGCCCCCCGCTCTCGGTGCCACAGACCCTGACATCCGTCACAGAGCGTATCGCCAATTCTGGAACGGATGCGGACCTTTTAGATTCCGAGTAAAATACCATCTTGGAAATACCCTCCGCGGATCATCCCATGCACTGTCGTCCATGCGCTACGCTTGTGGCGTTGCGGGGGGCCCAAGTGGGCCGAAGTGGTAAACCTTCTCGTGGTCGGTTTCCTTTTTTGGTTGCTAGATCTAGATGACTACTACTACGGACATACAACTATAATGACCATCCAACAAAATAACGTGCAAATTGGAAGTCAACGGCTTCGGGTATCACGTCTCCGACTCACATTCGGCGGCTGAATGACTTCCGTGCTGGCTTTTTTGTTCACAATGGATGAAAAGGTGCTTTTGCCCAGTTTCCGGGCTCAACATTTTTGCATATCGGTGAAATCTCCTCTTTCCTTTCTTTGCGTCTTCAGGTTACGACAAGATGACACGAAGTGGTCCTCACATCGAAACCGATGCCATTGTTATTGGTGGTGGTTTTGGAGGGTGTAATTCCCTCTACAAGCTCCGCAACCTCGGTCTCTCCGTCAAGCTGATCGAAGCTGGCAGTGCCTTTGGCGGAGTTTGGCATTGGAATAGATACCCGGGTGCGCGTGTCGACTCCGAGACGCCATCTTATCAATTCAACATTCCTGCCGTCTGGAAAGGGTGGAACTTCTCAGAGCGATTCCCGGGAGATGACGAACTGCGCCGATACTTCCAACACGTGGACAATGTGTTGGGTCTGAGGAAAGATACATTCTTCAATACTATCGTCACCAGGACGGAGTATAATCCTGTCTCACGTCGATGGACCTTGCAGACCAACACGGGGTTGACGGCTACTTGCAAGTATGTCATCGCTGCAACTGGCTCTTCGTACAAGAAACACTACCCGCAGTTCAAGGGTTTGGAGACGTACAAGGGAACACTAGTCCACGCAGCAGATTATCCAGACTCTCTGGATGTGACGGGCAAGCGAGTCGGCGTTGTCGGAAATGGTGCCTCGGGCCTACAAATCGTACAGAACTTGGCCAAGGAAAACTGCCATCTCAATGTCTTTATTCGCACACCCTGCTTCACTATTCCAATGCAACAGCGCTCTATTTCACCCGAGGAAGCCGAAATGATGAAGGGGTACTACGAGGGTATTTTCGATCGCTGCTATAAATCTGCGTCCGGATTCCCCCACAACACCCGCTATCAATCAGCCCATCAGGCTACGCCCGAAGAGCGGAAAGAGCTCTTCGACGAGCTCTGGGCGCGAGGTGGATACAGCTTCTTGGTCTCGAATTACTATGACTTCCTGCTTGACGAGAGGACAAATGGCTTCTTCTATGACTACTGGGTCCAGAAGGTGCACCAGCGCATGACGAATACTGAGAAGATGGATCTCGTGGCCCCGTTGAAACAGCATATGTTCGTGGGGACCAAGAGACCGAGTCTGGAGCAGGATTATTATGAGATGATCGATCGTCCCAACGTGACTCTCCACAATCTCAAAACGTCGCCTATCATCGAGCTTGATGCGACTGGAGTTGTGACCGGCAACGAAGACGGCATCCAGCACCATGATCTGGACGTGGTCATATTTGCGACCGGATACGATGCTGTCACCGGCAGTCTTCTAGACCTGGGCATCACGGACAAAAACCAGAAGCCCCTTACTGAAAAGTGGAAGGTCGGGGTTCTCACTCATTTAGGCCTCATGGTCCCCGATACACCAAACCTGTTTATGGTGTACGGTCCGCAGGCCCCAACTTCTCTTGCGAATGGCCCACCATTCATCGAGTTGGAGGTGGACTGGATCTGCAAGGCTATCGAGAAGATGCAGAAGGAAGGCATTTCTTCCATTGAGCCTACGCAGCAGGCTGCCGAGCACTGGCGCGACCAAGTCTTCCAAGCCAGTCAACGTACCCTTTATCCCAAGACGGACTCGTGGTACATGGGTGCGAATATTCCGGGGAAGCGCCGGGAACCTCTTGTTTGGCTTGGTGGGATGCCGAGCTGGTGGAAGTGCTGTGCGGACGCGTTGGAGGAGTGGGAGGGATTTCATATATCGTCATGATAGGAGATGTGGTGGTGGTCGTGTGGAATATTCAAAGTTCTAGATTTTTAAGTGTTCTCAATCATCTTAGTCTTTATCGAAGTTCAGCCTCGGTAGAATCAAGAGAAGAATATAAAGCTAAGAAAAAATCAATCTAGTCCTAATAGAAAGAGTACTTACTTTATTTAGCATATAAACCCGCCAATTTTAGGGCTTAGACACTGGTATCCCCAAGACTAAAGATGAGCGCTACTTATATCGGTCCCGGGCATGCTAGAACAAGCGTTCTAGTGTATTTGGTCTTTTTCAGCCTGTTCAACTAGTGCGCCCAGGCACCAGGTTTACACAGTATTAATACCTTGCCTCAACAAGTAAATTCAGCTCAAAGATGCCTATGTCTTTCGTCTCACGTTGAATTCAAAGTAGTTCCATCGGATTCGATATTGTAAGGATAGGGTGACCTGGAGAACTTCACATTCAAAAAGGTTCGGTGTCTTTACTGACGATACAAAACGATAGACAATTTTGGGATGAAGAACACAAATTTAGAAGAAAATGTCTTGATTAATGCTTAATTTTATTCATGTATACATTCGTCAGATGTGCTTAGAAACACATAAAAGCTAAGGAAACAACAGAGTAGACCACAACAGCCACAAATGCAGTTCCAATAGCGTACCAGAGAATCTAATGTATGGCCTTACGTAAACCTAGGGCAATTGTGGCGCCGATACTCACTACTCGGGAACATTCGATATAGTTGGGACATCGTGTCCGCTACCATAGACGACCAGAGGAAACGGGGGCTCCGGAGACTAATGACATTACTAGAGCTAAAATGTAAGTTAGATATAATCCGTAATCTAATACTAACACCTCTTACGGCCTAACGTCTTGACCTGATTTTATTAATTATTATAATTGTAACTATGATAGAGGGATAGTTTCCTAGATAGTTTCCTAGATAGTTTCCTAGATAGTTTCCTAGATAGTTTCCTAGATAGTTTCCTAGATAGTTTCCTAGATAGTTTCCTAGATAGTTTCCTAGATAGTTTCCTAGATAGTTTCCTAGATAGTTTCCTAGATAGTTTCCTAGATAGTTTCCTAGATAGTTTCCTAGATAGTTTCCTAGACATTTTCCTGAACGGTTTTTTAGACCGGTTTTTAGACTATTTCCTAGTTAATGTCTATATTAATATCCTAGTAATGTAGCAAGCATGAAACGTATTTAGGGTGGAAGAAAACCGGTGAATAGTCTTTGAAGAAATCCAGGGTTATAGCCTCTCCCCCCTATAGTCCGTCGTAGTGCGGGTGTATAGTTTCACCTCGCTGTCAACTACCTAAATGGTCGTTACCCCTCAGAAGTGGAGCCGTGGAGATGTGGAACCATATATTATATCGGGGTCGGAAAGCAATGGTTCCGATGTATTGGGGAATACCAAACTGCTCGGATCGCGGAGGAAATGGTCAGATGGAAATTGAAACAGTACACTCTTGCGGAAAATGAAGAGTAGTGATTTCGGATGTCGCTAGGACAGAGCGGATGCGGAGATTCAGAGGCCGAGTGTGAGATTGTTGGGATAAATTGCGCAGTTTAGGTGAAATCGACAGAAATGCTTGATACATGTTTCCCTCTAGATCCCGCTTTCTCTACTGCGTTTACAATGGCTTTACGTTATCATCCCGAGTTTCTCAAAGAAGCTGGCCCCGTGCTACAACAACTCGCACGGGTCCCGAAACCGCCACTCCACGATGTTACAACCCGACGAGCCCTGCTGGCGTCCATGACGAACGATATACCTCCACTGCCGGAAGATATCGAGAAGCTAGTTCACCATGTTGCGACCGCAGATGGTCACCAAGTGGTGATATATCATTTCCGCCAGCGGAGCACCGCTCACGATGGTTCAAAGCCGGCTGTTGTGCACATCCACGGAGGCGGATATATCTCCTTAACCGCAGAGCAATGTTCTGTACCACATTTGGCATCTGTCTCACGTACGGGTGTCCAGATCTTGACGATCGACTATCGACTTGCTCCAGAACACCCATATCCAGTTCCCCTGGATGACTGCTGGGCTGCTCTTCAGTGGATACACGACAATGCTGCTTCACTATCCATCGACACTGCGCGCATCGCGTTGATGGGTGAAAGTGCAGGCGGCGGTCTGGCTGCGGCTTTAACCCTCAAAGCTCGCGATACAGGTCTATCGCCACCAATCGCGAAGCAAATCCTCATCTATCCCATGCTGGATGACCGAACAACCACCAACCATGCGGGGGAACTCGCGTTCTGGAACGAGATTGACAATATCACCGGGTGGACAGCATATGTCGGTTCAGATGCAGGAACGGACAAGATTGATGCGTACGCTGCACCGGCACGGGTAGAAAATGTTATAGGTCTTCCACCGCTGTATCTAGATTGTCCACAGTTGGATATCTTCGTTCATGAGGGACTCGAGTATGTGCGGAAATTTGTCGAGGCTAATGTCCCTACTGAGTGCCATATCTACCCCGGTCTTCCACATGGATTCGAGGCCTTTGCACCGTTGGCTGGTGTAACACAGCATGCTATTGAGAATCGGGATAGGGCTATGAGTAGCTTTTAAATGGGCCTTGGAGAGCATGTGCATGTAGAAACCAACCCATCCAATGAGATTGACCGTTTGAACGAATAATCAAGTAGATGATGACTGCATGCACGAGTTTTCAGACATGATAAACCAACCATTCGGCCTCGCTTCCGGCTAAAGACCTAAGCATCAGCAAGGAGTCTAAGGCGGAAAGCGGATAGACCGAGTTCCGTGCGGGCCTAGGCACCATTTCCAATGCATAAAAGACCGTGATAAACCACTCTGCATACCGACCTAGTTCATCTATCGTGTCATTTCAACTCGTTCCTAGATCTCCAGCTTCTCCACAATGACAACCATCCCCAGACCTGACGGCGAAACCGTCCACAATCTCCTGAAAACCCGCGTAGCGATCGTCACTGGCGCAGCTCGCGGCATTGGCTTTGCAACTGCATCTCTTCTCGCACATCATGGGGCTCGTGTAGTCCTGGTAGACTTGCACGCGGATGCCCTGAAGACGGCGTGTGCAACGATCGGCCACGGCGCGACGTACCAAGCTTGCGACGTGAGCGATTGGAATCAGCAAATAGCCCTTTTCAACCATGTCACAAATACTCTTGGTGAAGTCTATTTGCTGGTGTGCAATGCGGCTATCAACCCTGAGATTGCGCTATTGCAGACATCCGATACGGAAAAACGGGCGCAGATGGCTTCGCAGGTTCGGTATAATTATCTCGCCGATGAGGTGGACGGTCAGGACGATAGTGAACAACCTTCACTGCAACGCCCGTCGACACAACTTTTCGATGTCAATGTTAATTCCGTGGTCTTTGGCCTGAAACTGGGGATTCAGTACATGAGAAAGGCCGGTGGAGGGCGAATCGTCGTTGTCGGATCTGCAGGATCATACGTTCCTATCGCATCGCAGCCACTCTATAGCGCTACCAAGCATGCCGTTCTCGGACTTGCCCGTAGTACGGCGCATATTGGCGAGGTCATTGAGGCGGGCGTGTCTATCTCGTGGATTGCTCCGTGGTTAACATTGACCCCCATGACTGAGGGTCTCCAGGAGACGACTCATCCCGACACTCTGAAAAGCTCGCCGGAAGACGCAGCTTGGGCGATTATCGTGGCTGCTACTGCGGAGAATGGGAATGGAAAGGGATACTGGATTCAGGGACGGATGATTAGTGAAGTCGAGGGTGCGTATGGGCAGTTGGCGGGGCAGTTGATGGTTCCGGAGAATCGATTTTAGTGGGGAACTGCATGCTGTGAGGGGCAAGGGAGATGAATTGGCAATGGAACTACATATTCCACTAAGTTTTATTTTCTCTTGTTTCTTCTTTGTTCAATTCATGAATACTCGCCATTCATTGAAGAGCCAATTTGACGGACCAATAACCGAGTTGGAGGCTGAATGCAAGGCTCGAATAATTCGGTCTCGAAGGGGTCCAAGTAAACAATCTAGGCCTAGAGTCACCATAGGATACTGTATGAAGGGCAATATATCCGTAAGGAATATGAGGCACTCTTCCTTGGCCAAAAGAGTGACAAACTTAGAGCCATCCCCTCCCAGCCACCTCTATTCTGGAGGGGCCAATAAAGGCCCCCCAACCGTCGCACCCCTACGTAATGTTTGGGATGCGCTCCATTGTTCTGCGATCGGATACCTTGATGATTGGCCCAATGGACTCGGTAAATCCCGCAACGAAGGAACCGGTTCATACAGCTAAGCTCTGGTGGATATCTCACGATCCCTGCTTGATGTCATTATACAGGGTTGTGGTTAGTGTCTATCGTTGATGGTACTTCCATTGCCCCGTACGTGGTAGAACGAGTCAAATGAAATCAGAACTGTTCGTAGAATCCCGGCTACTGCGTAGAATGCATCTTGTGAGCCACTGACGAGGCTCGAATTCCTTGGCGCACACCTCGTCGTCAGCGTTTACATTCACGGCATCGTGGCGCATCCAACTTGGCCCTTGCGTAGGGCGGACTGTAAACTGTGGAACGAGGGGAAAGACCCATCTTTTTTTTTTTTGGCTCTGGGCTTGTCTTGGCAAAGAATGGCTGGTGACTGCATTTTTTGGTCTAAGACTCCAAAGCTAGAAATAATGTAAGCTCGTATTGATATCTGCTTGAGCTATTTCAGGATTTCGGTGGCAGTGCGGAGGAAGGCTGATCATTGTTTGTATGCGGACGGGTTCCTCCGGAGGACGAGGTCACCCAAATTGGAGTTCCGACCAAAGGTTGTTTGCCCTACATCGTGTACTCCGTAGAAGTTGAGGATAAAGCAATCAGTAAGCGAGGGATTGAGAGAGCTGGAAGGATCTCTGAATAGTGCATGGTTTCTACAGTAATAATCACCAACTTCGGCATAGAGGTATATAGTCGGTTACGATGTAATTAAATAACCCGATCAGGTGCTTCCGAATGCGGGGAACTACCCCGTCAGCTGACCTTCCGGTTTTCCTCTTCGATCGTCATCAGTTCAATTTGCTCGGCCGCGTTTATCCCTCGTGGAAATTATTCGTTGAGCTCTCTTCTCGCGCTGCTCATTCCTTCGCGTCTGCCTGTTTAATTCCCTTCTCGCCGTCTTCCTTTCCATTTTCTCTCCCTCCTTTCCCTCTTACATGCTCGCTCGCAAAACGTTAGACCGTTGACCCTCAACGGGTCTGCTCCCCACGCTAAGGCCCCTTTAGGTCTGGAGGCTGAGACACCTTATCTGCGGTTGCTCTCTATAAGTCTCCATTCGCCCTTCATTTTTTCCCTTTCCGTAAGACCCGTTTCCGTTTTCGCGCCCTCGCGTCCATGGTGACCCCCGAGTCCGGACCGACCGCGAGGTCAGGCCTGGCGATTGTTTGCCCTCAGACCCTACCAGCCTCGTCCGAGGCCGTTTCCAGCAGTGATGGGGGCGATGCTTCACAACTTCCGCAACGGTCCTCGGCTTCTGCACCTGTAGACGTGCCTTCCGTATTCAACTCGGGCATACCAGGCCTGCCATCTCTGCAGATTCGCACCGATCTACCCAACATTCGTCCTACCAGCTCGCATCGTGACTCCGATTTTTTGGCGTCAACCAGTCTCTCCAGCAGCCTCCTGCAGCGCACCCCGAGTTTGCGCGCCCTCGCGGCGCCTCCTATGTCGAGCGCCGGTTCTCTATCCCCAGCCTCGATCATTTCATCTCCCCAACTCAACGCGATGGGCGACATTACCCCATTGCCATCGCCTATCGGCGGGGCAGCACCTTGGCGGCGCGGGGACTTGCCGTCCTTATCTCGCACGTCCTCCACCGCGTCGCGCAGCGCTTCTAGTATACGACTGAGTGACTCATCACAAATGCTAGGTCCTCCGGTCTTGTCGTCATCGCGATCCCGAAATAATAATAAAGCATACAATGGATTGGAGCACCCGGGGCAAGAATCACCGTCCGATCGCGTCCGTCGAGACTCACACCCGAAGCACCATTCGCGCAATCGCAGTCTCAGTGACTATGCGCCCCCGGGCCGCGTGTCCGTGCCTCGCCCAATTGCGGTCTCGGGCGCCGGTCCAAGCATTGCTCCCTCTTCGAGTACCGATTCAAAATCCACGGGATTGCACCGGGAACAGTATTTAGCCGTCCATCGTGGCATCGCCTTGCCAGCTGTGCGCCCTCCCAGCCCTCCCCGCAGCAGTGGAAGTGGCTACGATGATAGCGACACGGAGCTTATCATCCATCATCCTACACCACTGTCCAAATCGGAGGAAATCTACTCGGTGAAGTCGATTCGCACCCAGCAAGCCCGGCTGTATCGCAAGATCCGAGTGTTGGGTCAAGGCACGTTCAGCCAGGTCAGTCTGGCTGCTCGAGTCGAGCAATTGCCCGAAGCCCCTCTATCTCCAGATACCGATGGTGCTGCTGAAGTCACGCCCATCGCGACCACTCAGAAGTTGGTGGCAGTGAAGATCATCGAGCATGGCCCGGCAGGGGGAGCCGATGAGGAGCGCCTAGAGGTCTCTTTGAAACGCGAAGTTGAGATTTTGAAATCATTGAACCATCCGTCCTTGGTTCAATTAAAGGCATTCGGCAGTGATGACAAGCGCGCCCTGCTGGTGCTGGACTATTGTCCCGGTGGGGATCTCTTTGAATTCGCGACTTCGGGCCACCGACCCATGTCACCAGGCCTGATTCGTCGCATCTTCGCCGAGTTGGTCGGCGCAGTGCGTTATCTGCATTCCAATTATATTGTTCATCGGGACATCAAACTCGAGAGTTGGTCCATACCAAGAATCTTAAATCTGAGCTCTACTAACCCCCTGTTTTAGATGTCCTCCTGACCATGCCAATCCCCGCCATGGATTCTGTCACGGACTGGACCACGTATGATCGCGCCGTGGTTACTCTCAGTGACCTTGGATTGTCTCGACGTATTCCCGAGCCACCAGAGAGCCCACTCTTGCAGACTCGGTGCGGTAGCGAGGATTATGCCGCGCCTGAGATTCTGATGGGCCAGCCCTATGACGGCCGTGCAACCGATGCATGGGCTCTCGGGGTGCTGCTCTATGCCATCATGGAGAATCGTCTGCCATTTGATGTACTCCCCGGTACTCGTGGCGACCCGGCCAAGCTCCGCGCGCGTACTCCCCATCGAATTGCCCGGTGTGAGTGGAGCTGGTACCGATACGCCAACGAGGATGAGGAGTGGGATCCCGAGAAAGCCGAAGGTCTCGACGGGGCCCAGCATTGCGTCGAGGGTCTTCTGAAGCGCAACACCAAGCGGAAGACGCTCGATGAGATTGCAGCCATTCCGTGGGTGCGAGATGCCATTGATGTCCCTGCCGGACTGAAACGAGGCGACAGAGAGGTGCCATAGAGCTGGTCTCCTTCCCTTCTTTGTTAGTTTCAATATTTTCTTCATCCTATTCTCCCTTTCGCTTCTTTTTCCTTCTCTTCTTCCTCTTCTTCTTACCTTTTGTTTCAACACCGACCTTTTCTCCACTTTGCATATAATTTCCCTTCTTTCCACCTCTTTTGCTGGCTTTTCCTTTTTTTTCTATTTTATTTTTGGTTTCCATTTTATTGTTACGAGGCATATTGACATGACCGATGAGGTCGACCGAGATCTTGGAATTTTCTTTACACTGTTACTGTTATGCCGTGGCTAGACCAGCTGTTATACCCATATTACTACATAAACACACACACACCTTGCCATTCAAGGTAGATTTGAGAGAGCGAGAGAGATAAATGCGAGAAATGGAGGATCTTTCTGTACAACATACTGGTACTTGCTAGAGATACTCGAAACCATGCTACCTGAAGAGTGGAGCTCCCCAATGACTCAAGGGCCAAACGGAGCCTCGTGTAGTTCGGTGATCTTTCCGAGAAGAAAGCCGCATCCAATGCGTCCGTTGATGTTATGCACTGATGATCGGCATAGCCAATGGACAATTAAATTTATCCTTGATGTAGTGCAACCTGATCTAAACATGAAGACATATCCTCGAGGATTATGGATGACAATCGCGGGGCCGAGATTGGATGGGACCAACCCAGTTGATCAAAGTGGAGCCGGGGAGAAAGACGCCAACTCCGAGTTCCAGAGCTTCCGCCCATTTTTGCTTTCTTGGTGACCCCGGCATTTCTCCTCCCCCACCGTCCTCTTCTTGACTCAAGCATATCAGTGTCGTGGTTCCTCGGGTTGTTCTTCCTCCACAACCCTCCTCCATCACAATGCTGCCTCAAACTCGGGCGCGCGTGCCCGCTGCTCTGCGGAGCTTGACCCGGTCCTCAGCGACTGTGTACGTTCCCCCAGACCACTCTCGTCCTGTGCAATTGCGCGGTAGCTGTGCTTTCCTAGCTAACCATTGACACTTCCTCCCTCCATAGTCGCACTCTCTCTACCACCCTTGCCCGCTTCCAAAATGAGGACAAGGCCCTCAACAAGACCTCTCGCACCATCACCCAGCCCAAGTCCCAGGGTGCCTCGCAGGCCATGCTATACGCCGTCGGTCTCAAGGAGGAGGACATGAACAAGGCCCAGGTCGGCATTTCGTCCGTCTGGTTCAATGGTAACCCTTGCAACATGCACTTGCTCGACCTGAACAACAAGGTGCGCCAGGGTGTCCAGGACCAGGGCCTCATTGGCTTCCAATTCAACACCGTCGGTGTCAGTGACGGCATGAGCATGGGTACCCCCGGTATGCGCTACTCCCTGCAGAGTCGTGATCTGATTGCCGACTCTGTGGAGACCGTGATGGGTGGTCAGTGGTACGATGCCAACATCAGTATTCCTGGCTGTGACAAGAACATGCCCGGTGTCCTGATGGCGATGGGTCGTGTCAACCGTCCCAGTCTGATGGTCTACGGTGGTACCATCAAGCCCGGTTGCGCCGTGACTCAGAACAATGCCGATATCGATATCGTTTCGGCTTTCCAGGCGTACGGTCAGTTCATCGCCAAGGAGATCACCGAGCCCCAGCGTTTCGACGTGATTCGTCACGCTTGCCCCGGTGAGGGTGCCTGCGGTGGCATGTACACTGCCAACACCATGGCTACCGCCATCGAGACCATGGGTATGACCCTGCCCGGTTCTTCCTCCAACCCGGCCAACTCCCAGGCCAAGTACCTGGAGTGTCTGGCTGCCGGTGGTGCCATCAAGAAGCTACTCGCCGAGGACATCCGTCCCCGTGATATCCTGACCCGCCAGGCCTTTGAGAACGCCATGGTCGTCGTCAACATCACTGGTGGATCCACCAATGCCGTTCTGCACTTGATCGCCATTGCCGACTCCGTCGGTATTAAGCTCACCATCGACGACTTCCAGGCCGTCTCGGACCGTATTCCCTTCCTGGCCGATCTCAAGCCGTCCGGCAAGTACGTCATGGCCGACATGTTCGCTATTGGCGGTACCCCGGCTCTGCTGAAGATGCTCCTCAAGGAGGGTCTCATTGACGGCTCCGGTATGACCGTCACTGGTGAGACTCTGGCCAAGAACTTGGAGAAGGCTCCCGACTTCCCCGAGGACCAAAAGATTATCCGTCCCTTCTCCAACCCTATCAAGTCCACTGGTCACATTCAGATCCTGCGTGGTTCTCTCGCCCCCGGTGGTAGTGTTGGTAAGATCACCGGTAAGGAGGGTACCGTCTTCACTGGTAAGGCCCGTGTGTTCGATGCCGAGGACGACTTTGTCGCTGCGCTGGAACGCAACGAGATTAAGAAGGATGAGAAGACCGTCGTTGTCATCCGCTACTGCGGTCCTAAGGGTGGCCCCGGCATGCCTGGTACGTTTTCCCCCCCTTTCTATCTCTCATTCTCCTGTTCTCTGCTAACCCCTTCTCTCCAGAAATGCTCAAGCCCTCCTCCGCCCTGATGGGCTACGGTCTCGGCTCTTCCTGTGCCCTGATCACCGACGGCCGCTTCTCTGGCGGTTCCCACGGCTTCCTGATCGGTCACATCGTCCCTGAAGCTGCCACCGGCGGACCTATCGGTCTCGTCAACGACGGTGACGTGATCACCATCGACGCCGATAACCGCGTCCTCGACTTGGATGTCCCCGAGAGCGAGCTCGCCGAGCGTCGCAAGGACTGGGAGGCTCGCAAGGCTGCTGGCAAGTTGCCCGAGACTGGTCTGACCATGCGTGGTACCCTGGGCAAGTATGCTCGGAATGTCAAGGATGCCAGCCAGGGCTGCATCACTGATGCTCTAGAGTAAGTCGGTTGAGGTTGATTGTTTTCTTTGGTCCGGGTGGCGGTCCTACCCGAGTATAAAAGCGGTTGTATATTGTATGGGCTTGTGCTATAATATCATTTCAATACAATGTTATATTTGTTCATCTAACAAAGTTTCTCATTTCATCATATTGGCTTCTATATAAAACGGCAACGATTCATCGGTACGACAACCAATTTCTCTTTTTCATAATCCTAACATCGATCTGGCTCTATATGAGAATGCAATGATCAGTAGAACAACCAATTTCTCTTTAGCATAATCCTAACATCGATCTGGTATACATTCAACCAAATCTACCCAAAAAAGGACCTCCACCCACTCTCCCCCTTCCCTCCACCATTCCCCTTCTCATTCTCCCTCTCTCTTTCTCTCTCCTTCTCCATCTCAATCATCCCCTCCCGAACAGCCTCCTCCTCTCTCCTCCGAAACACCCTCCCCATCTCCCCCCTCAACGCCCCCGCACAATCCGAACAAATCCCATCCTTCTCTTCACGCCTGTCCTCAGGGATCCGGTACTGACTTCTACTCCAAAACACGCACTCCGCTGCAATCCTGGTCCCAGTCCCGGTTCCGGTTCCGTTGGGACATTCGGGGGTGAGTCTAGGACGCGGTTTGCAGGTTTGTCGGTATTTGGTGGGGAGGCCGGCTTCTGCGCAGAGCGTTTTGTAGGATGGGTAGGTGTGCGTGCAGGTTTTGTATGTGATGTAATTTTGGGTGCACATTGGAGGGGTGATTTAATCTGGGCTGGGCCGGTATGGTTTGGGGATTTGGCAGTATGGATTTTATGTCTGGTTTGCTGGGGATTTGGGCGATTTATATAGATCAAGCTTCAGTCTAGTGTAGGCTTGTGGATGGCAATATTAGGATCAAAGACATTGTGTTGTACGCTCTTTCATGACTTGCTTTGTTGTTAGTCTTGTATATGAATCTGGCATGGCCGATGCACTCAGATGGATAAGAGTGATATTTCAAATGTGTACTGCCCAATGGTGTCCTTTGGGAAAAACGCCTTCATTTCTATTACACAAGAAATCTGTAAGGATATAACAAGTAAAATGCATGTCCGTGAGCAATACAACACTCTATATAATATGACCCGAAGAAAGACATTCAGCCGTAAACAAAAGAAAGTGCGAATTCTATTACCAGCTACGCCGCGTCTTACTCCACATCCGCACGAACTCCTGCTTCTCTTCCACGCCAAGTCCAACACGTTTCACCCGGCCGAGACGGGCTAAAGACTCGCCAACCTGGTCAAGAAGCGCCTTCTCACTGGCAGTGACATCGCCAGTCGCGGTGTCCTCGTCCAGCGTGTCGAGGTAGTTGGTGTTAAAGGTGGACTTCCGGGTTGACCGAGCGGGAGGCGCATCGAATGCACTGCGTCCAATCATGATGCATTCGGCGATGCGCACTCGAATGCAATGCGTGGGCCGACTCAGTAGCGTCCACAGGAAACTGAAGTAGCTACCGGGGAGCGGGGTGACCACATCGACGGGAGTGTACCTGAGACTGACGGGGAAGATCTTTGTCTTTGAAGGGACGCCCAGTAGGGAGTGGCTCAGGGGTAAGATACCCCGGCTATTAGTGGTGGTGCATTCTGGAAAGATAACGATGGGTCGGTTGGGGTATTTCTCCACCAATGTGGACACGTCGACTAGCTTTGTACTGGGCTCGGGTTCGGCCAAGGGCTGCGCAAAAGCGCGGAAGATAGCTTGGAGCAGGGAGATGTGCTCGACTTGACGAGTGTTTGGGAAAGATGCCGTGAAGACTGGATCGAAGATGGCAGCCAAGTAAACAGCGTCAATCGGGGAAGTGAATGAGGACGCGATGACCGAGCCTGGCTGTGGTAGACGGGCTTGTTGTTGCTTGGAGAGGGATCTGTAGAAGGGAGGTCAGTATCTCTAGCTTTTGCCAGAACACAATTAACTACACTCACCCTTTCCTCACTCCGTCCACCTGTAGGTCAATCCACCAGATACTGGGAACACCCAAGATACACCACAAGGCCGCTTTCTTGCCCAAGGATCCAATTGGAAGCCATTGCAGGAACAAAAAGTAGGAGACAGTGACAAAGATGAAGATCGGGAGTCGAAAGCAGAACAAGAAGAGCCGGAGGGGTGCTTGAATACCGAGTGGCTCGGCTGGAATGGGGAGGAAGGGCGCGATGCCCGAGCCTGTGGGGATACTTAGTTAGTTTACGGATGATATTCTCAGTCAACGGGGGGATTTGACTTGCCTCGATCCCGAAATTGGGAGAACTTCTCCATTGTAACGTCCGCGGTGGGCTGTAGGGGGAGGTGGTTATTTTGTTGAGCTTCTGGGGCTTTGGCATGTGAGATGCACGTGACTAGTCAGCTCGACTCTTTGAGTCGGGAAGCAACTATGGTGGTAACCCGGACTTAAATCAACAATAAAGTAGTCATTTTTAAAAGAACTTAGACGCTCTCTATCTATTGGGGTTCCGCTTGAATGACAAGTACTATAGAGAATATTTTTAATTCAGAAAATGCAAAAATGATGCTGATTGACACCGGAACGCCGCTAAATGGTCGGACTCTATACTATACAAACTCGATGCAAAACTATGCAAAGCCTTCCCCCTCATCAAACTCCCCAACCACAAACTCCGGCGTCTGTGGTGTGGGTGGCAGCCGGAAGAACCATATCGCGGCTGCCACCATGCAAAATAACGAACTAGTCATCATCCACGCCAAACCAATCCAGAATCCTCCAAGGCGCAAACCAAGCTGAAAGACCGTCGTAATGGATAGACTGGCCACGACGTTGCCAAATGATTGAATAATCTCGATGACCGTGTATAGCCGGGCGGTTTCGTCGCGCTCGACGAGGGTGGTGATGATTGAGCGGGTGAGGAATACGAAGCCTGATCCGGAGGTTTGGATGATCATGCTGGGTATTAGGGTAGCCACGGAGGGGGAGAGGCCGATTCCCAATGTGCCGATGGTGAGGCATAGGATGCTCGCGCGGGATAGCCAGAGATCTTTCTCGGTGGTGGTGCGGCGTGGATTCAGGGCGTATTTCTTGAGGTAGGGCAGGCCCCAGAGGAACACGGGGATGGAGACCGTTGGTCGGGAGGCCACAAGCATGTTGGCCTGTGCAAGTGTCCAATGGTATCGTGTTGAGATATACTGTGTCAAAAACCAGGATGAGCCTCGACTAAGACGGTATACCAAAAAAGCTGTCAAAAGCAGAAGCACTGGCTTTCGGTTTAAGATAAAAAGGTAGGGTTTCATGTAGAATCGGTAATTGGCACGGCATTTGGCCCATAATGACTGAGGTTGCTGCGTGGGATAGCTCCACGTCAGGTGCGCTTCGTGGTCGTTCTCCAAGTCCATATCAGTGCCATCGTGGTATATTCCAGCCTCCTCAGGCTTCTGGTAGGTGTGCTTGGGGTCGGATTCCTCTGCGAGATCGGAAAGCTCCACATGGGGTTGCTCCATGTCTTGAGATGGAAGTGCGTGCTTCGTCTCGGGAAGTACGAATATAAATAGCAGCCCACCGGTCACGATAGCGTATCCGATTAATAACGGAGCCCAGGGATCCATGGTCATAAGCCAGGAAGCGAGGGCGCTAGAGACAAAATCGGCTCCCATGGAGACAATAGCGAATTGGAAGAAGAGACCGGCCCTGTTTGAAAACCATCTGATAAGTTCTGTGCATGCGTCCGGATGGGACATTTGAATCATTTACCTTTCCGCTTCGCTGGTCACATCAGCCATCATCGTCCAGATAATGGCAAACGCCACGACCGGTCCACCACCAATCAACCATGCCAGAGAAGATAGCCAAACCGCCCGCAGTGGCAGTATATCCGAGAACCACAAGACGACGATCGTGATAACCGAGTTTAGAAAGAATCCGGGAACACCGAGGCTGAGGGTTGATTTGCGGCCACGACGGTCTGCCAGCAGACCATAGGGGAATGCCATGAGCGCGCCTTGATGAAGGGAGAGAAAGAAGTCAGCACGAGTCTCGGATGTTTTCCCCACCACTGCACCCCGGGTTAAAAATGCATACTTAATAACCCATCAAAGAACATATGGTATCCTTTAACGGCCGCCAGTTCGGCCTGAATCTCGGCCAATTTGCACAGCTCCTCCGGGACCTGGCCATTCGCACCAATCTTAGTCGGATCCGCCTCGGTGTAATATTGTCGACAGGCGATCGATTCCATGATTCGGACCATCGGACCTTCGAGGAATGCAAAGCCGACCTCCACCGCCAGCACCATAGCGAAGAGAATGAGTTTCAGCCGGAATGTAATCTTGCTGGCGGAGTTTGTGGCAGAGGCAGTTGCGGGGACTGGGTACGTGGGCTTTGTATAGCCGTTGTGGTCGTTATCGTGGGCGTGGGCGCCATCGCTGGACGCATTGGACTCGGAGGCCAGAAACGGCGCATCCTCGCGGTCCTCGCGGTACAAGTCAGGTTCCGCGGGCATGGCGGCCGGGCATGCCGTGGGTATATAGTGGCTGGAATTGGGGGAGGGGAAAGAGGGGAAAGAGAGATTATAAGGAATGAAAAAGGATTGGAGAAAATTGGTTAATGTGGCATAATTGAGGAGAGAGAGAGAAAGAGAGGGAGAATGATGAAACCAAGCGTAACGAGTGTATGGTGGATTAAATCGGAGTTCAAAAGGAGGCCCAATCGTCGCAAGCGTTACGGTCACGCCCCCTTTGACTTCCCTTGGCAGCTCCGGCAGTCGGGGCCCCACTCGGTTCAGGGGAAAATCAAAGGGTTTATTCAAGAATCATTGATTAAATAATATTGGATGATCATCATAACATAAATCGTGCTTGAATGAGATATCAGGATACTATATTTTCATCACTTTGGCGGCAGGAGGTGTTGCTCCTTGACAACGAACAATGGAAAGGTCTATCAGTTTAACCTCCAGGATCCCGTTCTAGAAATAGATCGAGTCTCTTTTGTACCAGGGCCGGAGTCCGTTTCGTGTGTCTGATCGAGATTATCCCCTAGCCACTGGATTACTAGCTACGTAGACATTCTGGATTGATGGTCACTATCACCCTATCACGCACCAAGTAAATGACTGCTTGCTCAGCCCATTAAACAACGAAGCCCAAGGTCTTCAAAGGTAAGCATTCATCTCAAGATAACTAACGTCAGCTTAGTCGATGCTAGGCCTCTCGAAACACAAGCGCGTGGCTTAGACGCTGACATGGGTACATTTCTATATTACACACACACACAATAGGGGCCGGATTCATTCAACCTCCAAACTTACTGTTTCACGAAGGACTCACTATAATCAACATCCCCATATCCCTAAATCTTCCCCCAGTCAACAATGATCGCACTCTAGGGAATCCAGTCTAACGCCCTCCGGCTGTGTTGACTAAGGTTATGTGGATCACGACTTTACAAGGCTGCCCCGCACTAACCCAATCCATACTATAATCAACTCGATGCCCTGTCAACTGTGCAGCAACATAAAGCACGCGAGTCATGATCACAGGGCAACACGGTCAGAAAAATCAGAATAACATCGCTAGTTGGAGTCAAATGATATGTGTTTCTATAAGAATATACATCGGTGAAAGATACTAATTACACATATCCCGCTTCTTCGAAGAGACTCCCACGGGCTTGCACCACCGCCGAGAGTTCCAGTAGGAACTCGTAAAGAATCACAACATTTGTAAGGACGTGGCCCAACGTTGCCACTGGGGGTCCTTCGGCTTCCGCATCCTCCGTGGTAGCGGTCTCATCCGTCGACTCCCTGGTTTGGGGCTGTGTAGCGACGGTAGGGAAAGGCGTAGCCAGTCGTTGGCGGAGCGCCTCCATCGCGGCGATGCGAGATGTAGATGAGCCCCGTGATTCCAAAGGGCGGACGGTGGATTCACCTCTCATCAAGGTAGGTGCCATGGGTGGGGAGTTGATGGGCTGTGGTGACCGACCGCGGGATGCTGGGGCAGAAGGATCGGGGGATCCTGGATATGACAAACGGGAACGGTCACCCGACGCCGGAACTGGAGGTTCGGATGGTTCCCGTGAGCGATCGGGCGTTTGTGGGCGATCTTCTTGGTGAAGTAGTTCCCGTCGGGCCGCGACCAGGACCTCAAAGTCTGGCAGTTCTCGTTGCCACTGACGGACCTGGGTGACCAGCTTCTCTAATGCCGCAGTCAAGGTTGGGGCTGCACTAGCAGGCCAGGTGGGCGTTTGATAAGCTCGGTGGATATCATTCGCCTCCTCGGAGGAGTGCTCTTGAGAAGGGGGGTCGTATTGAAGAGGGTCGACCAAGACCCAGCCGTCCAGTGAGAACAGATGAGAAGAGGCCAGACTCATGAGTACACCAGTCAGGGCAAGGTTGACGATGACACTGTTGGTAAAAAAATTCTCAACACACCCAAGAAGAGCTTGGATAATGGGGTCGTCCTGCTGAAGCTGTAGTGGGAAAGGGATTGCATCCTCGCTCTCGTCCAGAGAAACTGGAAGACATAGCCGAGACTCGAGTACCCATGTTGCATCTGCAACGTAATTCTCGTATGATTCGTTCAGAGTAGGCTCGGCAACGAGTGACGCGCTGAGGCCGAGGAGATGTTCCAGTTCAGCATTGAACGCGCCGACGGAGCGCTGCCGTGCCGGCTGACTAGGAATTGTATGGATGAGAGCACGAGCAAAGGGATGATGACGCTGTAAGACGACATTCAACAGGCGCAGTGTGGCCAGCACAGTCTGTCGGTTTGAAGAATGAAGTCCAAGGAGCGCTAGATCACGCAAGTTGAATAGGGAAGGGGACGGCTGGGCTGCTTCCGATGCCAACGCAGCCAGTACGTCGAGTGATTTCCGACGACTAGCCGACATGGACATTTGTTCCTCCGGTGGAGGAGAGGAAGCCAGTAAGAAACGCAAAATCCGGTGAACTAGTTCGCCTTGATCGATCGAGCCCAGGATTCGGCAGAGATAGGTTAAGACGGCGGCAGTGGATCCGCCTGCCACATCCGAGGATTCTAGTAAGGAAGGGTATCTGAGGGAGTCAGTATGATGTAACTTGCACGGTAAAGGGGTGGCTCAATTACAAAAGCTGCTCAAGGAACAGCACCTGGAAATGATCCAAGAGCGTATCGTTGACTTCGGCGGACTTGCAATGATCAATGGTATCTTGCCAAAACAGCAGATAAGACATGAAAGCATCCATGGCCTCGCTCAAGGCAGGGTGTAATGCCGTCTCTTCTTTGGCATGATCCGAGAGTGCGATGATGCGAGGCACGTTCTCGTCAGTAGGCGTAAATGTCAAGCTACACCTAGTTAGATTTCACCACCACTAGGTCGTAAGCAATGAGAGACTTACCCGCCTAACTGGCTATACAGCGCACCCAGACCCGTGGCCATTAGCGTTGCCAAGTCACTCTCAATCAACCATTTCTCCAAGTTCTTCGATCGCGACGCGGTCTCGATAAGATACAACAGCCCAGTCCGAGCAAAATCACCCACGCGTCCTTCATTATGGACATATTCCACCAGTAGATAGAACAGCGGGAACTCGTCCTTGCGTGTCGCACCGGCAAACTCCGTGGTACTCGGAGCTGGCGACTCGCTATCCCGACCGGTAGGCGTAGCACGGGGCACAAACCACGCGGGCAGGATGGCAGGCTGTAGGCGGATATTGTTGGCGATACCAAACAGCAATTCCACCAATCGACCCTCAATTTCTCCCGATGACTTGTCCGCGCGACGAACTAGATCGACCAGCGCGCGAGCAAAGAGTCGGTTATCCACCACGCCGTCAACCTCGGCATCGATGAGCGTGTTGAAGAAGACCGTAGCGGATCGCAGCACGTTCTCGTCGTAGTATGATAAAGCGAGTTTTGTGACCGTCACGAATATCTGAGAGGATGCCGCATAAGCGACACAGGGGTGCGGCGCTGGACCGCGGGACTCGTCGCTAAGGATGGAGTTGAGTCGTTCGATGTAGGTGCGCGCGTGGGCGGTAGACTGCTCGGCGGAGGGGGTATTGGTAGAGCGCCATATTTGCTAGGGTTTCAGTTAGTTAGGGCAGCGCGCATCGCCAGCAAATAACCTACCTGGAGGGCATTGCAGGAACGTTTGAAAGCCGTCAGTCGTTCAGTGGGCGATGTGGCCCGAGAGGGCTTGGACGGCGCGCGTGAGCCGCCGATGAGACGAGACCACTGGAGCTGGTTAGCACTGCCTGTTATGAAAGTTGAATCGCTAGAGGTCCAGTCACTTACAAAGTCCATTCTGTGGCAGCATGGTCTCACGACCAGAGGGTGAGGAGGAGGTGACGGGGTCAAGGTCAAGTGGAGCCGGTGGACACTGCGTGTATCGCGCGTCGATCGCCAGCATCCACACGAGACGAAGTACGGAGTGCATATGCCAGGGTTAAGTCATAGGACCCTGTTACTGTAAATGTAAAGATTGAGGATAGAAATTGTTTAGGTTTCGTCTACGCCTGGAAAATGCAATTGTTTGAATCTCATCGCGGCCCAATTTTTCCATTGTTTTGGGGATGGACGCGAGTTTCCTAAGCGCAGGACTACACCGAACCTATTCACAGAAACAAAAAGATGCGCTACCCCTCTGCCCAGTAAGAGGAGAAATAACATAAAAAAAAGTCCCAACCCACCCAGAACGCCCTCCCAGAAATACAATGGCAAGGGAGAGGAAACAAAAAAAAAAGGTCTTCCAGATCATCAATGCGCCGGGTGCCGGTCCCATTTCTAGCACGTCGTCAATCGTGTCCAAATAGCGCAGTGCTCTTCATCAATCGCTCTCCTCCTTGGGTCGCCGTCCACCCCGCTTCCGACGACCCTCATTTTGATCACTGCCGTCATCTTCGTGTTTGCGGCCAGCGGGAGCATCGGGAACCTTGGCAATGATGTCGGCCAGGAAATCGAGTACTTCGTCTTTGGCGACCGCGTGTTTCAGGTGAGTGGCGGTGACGCGCTTGGAATTGCGCTCCTTGGCTTCTTGGGCGGCTTTGGTGACGAGGGAGATCATGAAGAGCTCGAGTGCTTTGGCTATAAGATGGGAAAGTTAGGTCATATCTGACTATGATGGCTGGCGATGAACACGACGACACGGACGCGACGGGGGGAAGAAGCAGAGGAGGAAGAGCTTTGGTTACTTACAGACAGCGATGGGAGTGACTTGGGCAACCTTGCCAACGTCTTCATCGGCTTGCATAATGCGTTTGATGCGCGCGACGGGGAATTTAGTTTTCACTTCAATGGCAGCTCCAGGGCGAGGCTGGAGGGCCTCATCTTGCAAGGGGGCGATGGCGGGCATTGTCTCGGGAGCAGCGGCGACGGGGACGGGCGCGTCCGCGGGCTGCAAACGCGATGAGCGACGGGCCATCTCGTCGAAGCCGTGGAAAGGAGGCACGTACTGTTGGGGAACGCGACTCGAAGAAGTGGGGCGTTGATAAGTCGAGGAGAAAAAGGGAGAGGCGTCGTAAGAGGCGCGCTGGTTGACGGGGCTCTGCGGCGCGTACGGAGTGGGGTTGTACGTGAAGTTGGAGTCGGAGTTGATGCTGGCGTTGGAGTTGGGGTGAGAGGGAGAGGAGAAGTCGGGCGATCGTGGACGATAATTCTCTTCGGTCATGCTGTGGGGGGGCAATATTTCTGGAAATAGTAAAAAAAAAAGGAACCAGAGTGGGGTTGAATCAAAACATCAGGCCTCGAGACGGGGATTCAAAAGAAGTTGGAGTCGATCACGTTCGAAAATCGAAGAGATCGAGTTTGGGTAGGGATGGCCCAAGCTCCTACAAGACAGGGCCAACTATAACGTGCAGCGTATGTATACCCGCGTCCTCTCTGTCCTCTGGTACGGTCGGAGACTCGCTGTATGGTCGACTCTCGATCGACGGGCGGTCGCGTCCTTTTTAAATTCCGCTCGGGTGGAGCTGCTGATCCTTTTTTTCCCTCCCTTCCTCTTTTCTGCTGCTTAATTTTCTCCTGACCCTTTTCCACCTCGTCGTCATTCACTGATATTCGATTCTCACCCCTAGGCTGATTCTCTTCATCTCAACCTTTCTTCCTTCTTCCCTTACACCCTTCCATGGCAGCCTAAATTCCTGCCTATGTACATACTAACTGGTATAGCTCAATATGGATCTGCCTGACATGGCCTTTATTTTCATCTCTCTTTCATGGCTTTTTTTTTTTTTTTTTTTTTTTTTTTTTTTTTTTTTTTTTTTTTTTTTTGCTTTTGCTTTTGCTTTTATCTGATTCGCTCTCCCATGGTGTTGCTGCTGGAATGCCCCGCCGATGACGATAAAAGGCTGTCCGGAGGCGGACAGAAGACACCACTCGATGGTATCGCTGCTCCCCGGTGATGGACCCAAAAATTACTTGATCTAATCTGACGGCGGGCAAAGCAACGAGAACACCTTCAACTTAAGTAGTTATACCTCAGATCTTCCATCCGATCTTATTCATACGTAATGATCTTAATCTCCATTCTTCCATCCTAAACACAAAGTATGCGAAAGTTTGGAAACCCGCGTCTAGACGTTAGGAGTACTTCGGCGAAATGTTTCTCCGAACAAATTCATGAAGGCCAGCGCTGATGCTCAAACTTCTTGCACTTCGACAACGTCTTCTGCACCGGTCCCGTAACCTTGAATCTCTTCTTGATCCGGCCATGGCTGCGGCGGATGCGCCGGCAGGTCTCATGGACATCGCCAGGTAAGCCCTCGTGCCCGGTCCCCTCAAAGTTTCTTCTTGCTAATTTAGTTGGCGACATTCAGTACTCTCTCCCAGGATGAAATTCCGTTCAAGCTGCGATGTGCCATTTGCAACAAGTTGGCGGTGAACGCTTTTCGCCTTCCTTGCTGTGACCAGTCCATCTGCGAGACCTGTAAGCTGCGATGTCCAGGCAATGCTTTTCTTGAGTCGAGTTCCGGCTGACATGGTTTTTTTGCCGTACCTCTCTAGGCCAAACATCTCTCCCCGATACCTGCTCCGTATGCGCGCACACACCAGTTTCGCCAGAACTGTGTAAACCAAATAAGGCCCTGCGAACCACCCTCAAGGTCTTTTTGCGAACGGAAGAGAAGAAACGGGAGAAGGAAAGACAGTCGGCTGCGGTCACACCCGTGATTCCCACCCCGGCAGAAAACGACGCAATTCCCACAGAGACTGTTGCGGAGCAGAAGCAACTCGACGGAGCCCCGGTGGAGGTGCCTAAAAGCTCTGCACCTGCCGAGGCGAAGCCCGTTGAAGCTACGAAAGAGGAACCTACCGTAGATGCGGCGGCTGACACGGATGCGCCTGTATCGACCGAGTCGGTAACTGAGGTATGTCGACCCGACTGTATCTTCCACAATATCAACCGACTAATTTCTTCAGCCTGAAACCAATGGCCATGCCGAAACAAATGGTGACGAGGCTGCGGACGCTACAAACGACCCTGCTACCGAGGCAGATGCCCAGCCTATTACTAATGGCCACGCCTCGGTCGATGATGAATCTGCCGCAACGGATCCATCTCCACAAACCGATGCCAACATGGCGAACGCGGGCCCCGGAGGCTTCGCTGGCATGGGTGGTTGGAATGGAAATAGCAACTTCAACGGAATGAACCCTTACATGGCCAATCCCATGTTCAATTTCCCCAACGGTATGGGTATGTTGGCTCGTCTACGGTTGACTGTCTTTTGTACAATTTGCTAATGCTGCCACCTCACCTAGGAATGCCTATGACAATGGACCCAATGGCTGCAAATCAGGGGATGTTCGGAGAATACGGAATGAACATGACTGGTATGGGCATGAACATGGGAATGAACTTCAACGGACAGGGCATGTATGGATCCTTAGGATGGGACGGCTCTCAGCAAAACATGTGGCAGCAGGGCGGCCAAGATAAATTCAATCCAAATGCTTTCGCAAATGGCACGGGCCCTCCCTATGGAGGTGCATTTGGCGGGTCTAATATGTCTTACCCTTCTAACTCGGACTACCAGTCTGGTTACTACGGGCCGGGATATGGCCGTGGAGGTGGGTATCGTGGTCGTGGCCGTGGCTATTATCAAGGTGGTCCCGGTCGAGGTGGATATGGAGGCTCTGGACAAGGTCATTTCCTTCCTAATGGTAACTCTGGATTTTCTAACGGCCAGCCTGGTCCCGCTGGTGCCTCGGCCCAACCCAATGGAACTCCTGGCCATCCTGAAGAGGCTTCTCAAATGAATGAGACTGCTGGTACAGACCCCGTATCCAATGGACACACACAAACTGCAGATGGTGCCGCAGACCCGGCGACCGAGCCTAGTGCTCAAGATAACCAAGGCCAACAATTACAAGGCATCCCCACTATTGATAGCTTGGATCAAGCCTCTGGGCCCATGCAGCATAACGGCTATCAAAATCACATGGCCCAGGGGTATGGACGAGGTGGGTACATGCGAGGTGGTTTCTCTGGAGGTCGCGGAGGTGGATACTGGGGTGGAATGCCTGGTTCGTATCAGCCTCAGATGGAGCCTCGAAATCCTGGTGTTGAGGGCGCACCCGCCGCACCGCGTGCAATGCGTCAGGGTCTCCCGAATACGAGTGTGCTCCGCCAGCGCGCATTCCACGTTCATGGGAAGGCATCAATTGGCAGTAATACCCCGGCCACGTCCCAAAGGTAAGCCGAGACTGGCAGTCATTCAGCAAATACTCGACATGTCGTACTGACTCTTATGCAGGGCAAACTCTGAAGCTCCACAGGACGCTGCGCGCACTCGATCACCCTCGAGAGCTCCTTCTCAAACTCAGGGACCAGGATCACGATCTCGCTCGCCATCTCAAAGCCGAGCTTCCCGAGCTCACTCAACTATTGACGATAATCGGGACAGCCACCGCGAGACAGACACAAAACGACCAGATGTCGTGCAAGAACTCAAGCAAGCTGACCGTCGTTCGCGCTCTCCGTCACGGATGTCATCTCGTCGATCATCACGACGCAGAGATCGTGACGAGGATCGAGACCGAAGAAGTGGGCACCGTTCACACCGGTCTCGTCGCCATCATAGCCGAAGCGTCAGTCGCAGTCGCAGCCCCACGCGGAATGGAGACGCACGCTACCCTGATCGTCTAAAGCAGATTGCCGAGGGAAATGAACCCAACGGTCACGGCAAGGCAGCTACTGAGACTAACGATCGTGGGGATCTGGCCAGTCGTATCAGTAACGGCCACCGATCTGGCAGGGATGGACCCAGTCGACGTGAGGACAATCGGGATCGGGATCGGGATCGGGAACGGGAACGGGACCGGGCTCGAGATGGTCGTCGTCGTGAAAGAGACCGAGACCAGGATAGGCGCGATCGGGATCGCGATCGGGATTCAGAGCGAGAGCGCCGTCAAAATCGAGATCGGGACAGAGACAGAGACAGAGAGCGGGACCGTGGTCGTGACCGCGGTGCTGATCGCGAGAAAGAGCGCAAGCGTCGTCGTGGTCGCTCCGAATCCCCCAACGGCAACGATCGCACCTCTCAGCCTCAAGCTCGCCGCGTGAAAACCAACGGCGAGGACCGGAATCGCGAGCAACCACGAGCTCAGGCAGCAAAGTCTGAATCTGAAAAAGATCCTTACACTCTGGAACGGGAAGCCCGCAATCGCGAACGTCTCCTACGTGAACAACAGAATCGGGGTAGCGCCAAAACGAGCACCTCCAAGTCCAGTCACCGCCGCGATAGCCGTCAGGAACGTCTAGTAGGTGGTCGGCGCATCAATTACAAATACGAGGATGAGCTTTAGCTGCAGCTCTCTCCAGTCTTGGGTCTGGTCCAGACCAGACTTGACTTGACTTGGCGAGATCCAACACGACAGACATTTCACGGCGTATCATTTGATGAAACACAAAAGGCTCCATCGCACGGGAATGGCGTCCGGGATATCCCTTATTCTTCTTTTGCTGATTCCTCCTTGGGTTTTCTTACCCCTTTATCATTCCCATTTACACTCTTCTTGGATGTCTTTTATTCTTTTTTTTTTTTTTTGATATCCCCCCAGTAGATCTGGGTGGGGATGGGCATCGCATTTGCGGCCCCGTAGATATGAAATGGGTGAGAGGCACAGCGTCCTCGGTAGATAGCTTACTCTGAAAGAATCAAGGGTATTCACTTATTTGCTTCTGCTCGTCTATTCACAAACGTACCCCCTATGGACTCTACTAATTATACACTGTGAACCTCACACACATCCCCCGCTCTCCTCACTCTCGACCCTAGACTCTAGCCCTGGTAGCATGCTGAGTAATATCGAAGCTGTGCGAGGGCTTCATATCGTCCGCAACGGGATAGTAATCAGCACCCTTCATCTGCATATCACGAGCATAGTACTCGAAATGCAGCGCATTGTAGCTAATATCCAGAGTGACGAAACCGTTAGCCGCCTGCTGCTCATTAGCACCGAGCCACTTGGTGAAAGGACCCATGGGAACACCGTAGTTGCAATCACCAGCCTCGGCGTAACCGGCACCACCGGTGAGAACGAAGGTGGTTCCGTTGAACTCGTAGTGGGCCATGCAGTGGTCGTGGCCGTTGATCACGACGGCGTTGTTCTCGCGGACAATGTCCATCAAGGGTGCGAGCTCGGTGTAGTTGGTGGACGAGGAGATGAAACCGTGGTGGATCTGCAGGATCTTCCAGGTTGCGGTGGACTCGGCGAAGGCCTTGCGGAGGAAGTCGACTTGAGTCTGCGTCTGCTTGTGGCATTCGATGACGTAGTCGGTGTTGTAGACCGAGGTGCTCTGCTGGTACTTGTTGATGAAGCAGTCCGAGTCGACGACGGCAAAGGTCGCGGTCCAGTTGGACCCCTTCAGGTCGTAGGTGTAGTAGGGCAGGTTGTCGTTGCCAAAGTACCACCGGTCTTCCATGAGGGGCGCGATGCGCGTCTGGAAGTCGACTCCGGCTTTGCCAGCGACGATGTCGTGGTTGCCTAGGGCTTGGTACCAGGGCTTGCCGTCGAAGGCTTTGCCGACGTACATGTTCGCCCAGCCCTCGTAGAAGCGCTGGATACCTTCGGAAGTGAAGTCCACGCCACTGTCGTAGAAGTTGTCGCCGACAGACATGAAGGCGGAGCAGTTCTTGTGGAGGCAGACCTTTTCGATGTACTGAGCAGTGCGGGCTGTAAGGCGATGTTTAGTATTCATGTATTCCCCTTGATAGCCATCGTTCGAAGCGGGCTACTTACTCTCCTCGATGGTGGCATTGGCGATATCGGCACGGTCACCGGGGTCACAATCATTCTGGAGGTCGCGAGGAATAGTCACACCATCAGCCTGGAGCTTAGGCAAAGCGGTGTTGCAAAAGTCCAGAGGAAGAGGCTGCCAGCCAGTCCAACCATAGTCTGTAACAAATGTCAATCAAGTTAGTCGTTGATCGTTTTTACAACAACCATGGATATCGCCAAGAGTATGATCATGGATCAACCTACCTCCCAGAAGACCGACAGTAAGCTTTTCAGCCCCAGTGGGCGCAACGATTGAGTTCTTGGCGGCAGAAGCACCCAGAGCCAGTCCCAGGCTCAGGGCAATGCGAGTCATGGCAGGCATTTTGACGTAAGAGAAGACAGGAAGAATCGAACGACAACCAAACTTTCGACTCTCGTGAGATCATCAAGATTGCATGACCCTTCATATATATAGTCAAGGATTGACCGCAACCTCGCAGAGAATGTCGCCGCAAAGCCGTGACTGGAGGTCTTCGCGAAACCGCGCCATCCTCGTGCCATGCTCAATACCTCTGGTAAATCCGGTTTGCTGTGCATGCAAACGAGCACGACAGAAAAAGCTTATTCGGCCTTCTAGAAAAGCTTAGCTCTCGTGCTGGAGCTAATCAGATGTCGCGCCGAGCCCTTGTGTCAAGGAAGCTCCGCCGTTGTCGCCAGTGTTGAGGTGTGCGCTCGGACGCCGCAATCTCCACGTTCTTCCACCGTCTCCGCTGGACCCTGAAGACCCAGCTGGCGGGCCGAATACCAATAAGATCGGCTCGTACATCCCACGTGGGGGAGTCATTGGATTTGTAGTTTTTTGTGAGATACTGGCTTTGCGTGGAAGGTGACGTGCGACGATTTGGGGAAATGCAGGAATATAAACATTCTAGCTTGTCGTATTTGGAGATTTGAAGGAGTAAACAGAATCAATTCTAGGCACGACATTTCCAGCTTCGATAGCCGTGGCCCACGTGCAACCTATTAAGCACCGGAGAGACCCTGACTCGCAAGCATCGATTGATATACGGGTTTCCTGATTCGCCAGTTTGCGGGAGTACCGGTTCCTGGCTGACTAGCGAAAGATTGGAGATAGGGGCGTGGGAAAGCCCTAGAGAAAGAAGGGTGCCATGGCCGGATATTATCTTGTGTCAAAAATCCCACTTCAAAGGATTCAGCTATAGACAGGATCCACCATTGATTTGACCTGGCACATATCCGCCGGCAGTCTAACTGCAACAACTTTTCTCACACTGATGCTGGAGAGTGGTTCCAAGCCACAAAGTTGGAACGAGGGTGCGCAGTCCATCAATAAACTCACCAGATCGTCCGCTCTAGTGGTGAGTTGGGAATGCGACATGATAAACCAGTTTAAGTATCCTATATGCCTACTAGGTCAGACAACAATGAAACTATGTGCTTGAAGATTCTGTTCGACTCCTCCTAGCCAAATTGGAGATATACCGGCTGTAGAACGAGGACGAGTAATTGGAGGTTGGCTGTTCCATCCTGCATCTCGATTACCATATCTCGGGCGGTACTTAACTAGGTACTTGCTAGATCCCTTTGTGATAGTATAATCGTTAACTCCATTGACAAATCGGCAGACAACTCAGCAAGGGCTTAGTGGTGACGCTCCACTCATGCAGGGTCGAACTGAGGTTGTAGAACTGCCTGGGGCTGGATCTATGACAAAGGATGTCGCTAGATCTGGGTGGATGCTATGATACGTGGACCGTGTCTCACATAGTAACCATGCTGTTGTAATATCAAGTCAAGTCGTGGTGTTTCCCTCGCTGAGACTGCATCGAGAACCTTTCTGTAGATCCGTGTGTCTTTTAAGTTGATCTGCTAGACAACGGGCGAACTTGACTACCGATCAATGATGCACACAATACATACTACTGCACCTCGAGTCCTTTCATAACCAGTTTCGTCTTTCTAGACAGGTCTAAATTTGTACTATCTACAATCTACCTTGATCTAGAGACCAGAGATGTCCCACTACCCCGAGTCGGTAGGTCGCCGAGTGTCCCCACATCGTTCGGGGACTCCCTTTCGGGGCTCCATTTTGGTCAACGCCACCGATCTCCCGCTGGTCCCCGAATGACTCGATAGTGGTAATAACTTTCTTTTTCCTGGATACTTCTCGAACCCACACTGGTCAAAGTACAGCCATTGAATATCAGCGCTATTGTCGACATCCAGGTTGATCCCCCGCTTTTATATAACTTCCTTTGTCATATCTTCCACTGATTGCGCCCTCATTGAGGGTCTGGCCTGATGCCAACTCCACCATCTCCCTCCAATTCCACTTCAAAGTCCAAACCGCGCCCATCATCCCTAGCATGCATCGAATGTCGCAAACATCATATCAAGTGTGATGCCAGGAGGCCGACCTGCTCGCGATGCGCGGCGGCACGGATCAATTGCGTCTTTCTCCCATCGCGTCGAGGTGGCCGGCGGAAGCTCGACCAGATCCCGCCCGCGGTGCCCGTCGCGAATATGGGCGGCACTCCCAAAAGTCCATATCTGCCAGCAACTATGACGATAGATCAGTCACCGATGCGAGGTGTCATCAGCTATGCACCTGGCACGAATCTTTCAGAGAGGCTTGTGATTCAAAACACGCCCGATGCCATTGTTGTCCCCGAGGCTCGGCTAGTGCGTCTCTTTTATGAGAATTTCCATGCTGCACACCCGATCCTCGTGCCGGCGCCACTGTATGAGCGGTGGGAGTATCCGTCGTATCTGCAGCAGGTGGTCAAGTTCATTGGAAGCCACTACTCTGTGGTTCTGGACAATGATATACTGCACGAATCGACCTTTCTCACTCTCAATGGCACCGCGGAACGAACGCCACATATGGTGCAGGCGCTACTATTATACTCTATTATCATGCGCGCCCGCAACGAGAATGCGCAGGCCGAGTCATCTCTGACGCAAGCAATCGACATTGCGTTGGAATTGGGGATGCATCGAGAGGAATTCGTGATCACAGCCGGAGCTGGCAGAGAACATGAAGCGGAAAGCTTGCGACGCACCTGGTGGAGTCTGTTTATTTGGGAGGTCTATGTGGGCACCCTGCATGAAAAGATCCAGTTACGATGTAGCGACGTGTTTTCAGACGTTCAACTGCCCTGTGAAGAGTCGACATATTCCTCCCTCGAAACGATACCCCCGCCGCAGTCTCTCGCTGCCTTTCGATCGCGAATCTTCACGGAGGATGAGGATGTTAGCCACTACTCTTCATTCGCGTATTGCATTGAAGCAGCTCGCATTCTTGCCCGGGTGGTCGTTCTCAATGGACTTCCCGAGACACATCACGATCACTTGCAAGCCGTGGCAAACACGCTCGTGAGTTGGATACATCATCTTCCACCGCAAAAGATTGAGATAGTGGATATGTACGGGACGATCGATGAGATGATTTTCCAGGCCCATTGCACAATCCAATACGCTGCCATGCTCCTCCATTTGCCTCGGAGTAATATCCGACCTCGATTTCCCGACTCGATGTTTTCTATCTGTCCGGTCACCCCATTCCGTCTGTCTCCTTCTTTAACCCGTCATGTCCACGATGTCAAAGCCATGGAAGCTTCCAAGAAATTATCCAATTTACTATCCGTCCGCTCGGATGCCCGCGGATACAGTCCCAGTATCGTTTTTGTCGCGATGCTGTGTGGTCTGGTCCAATTAGCAGCCACGGAGATCCACGGAGCCGTGTGCGCAGATCACCATCAAAATCGGATCGTGCTCGTGCTGGGATGTCTCAAACTGCTGCGGGCAAAGTGGTCTCTGGCAGAAACGGCTCATGCTCATTTGAGGAGTGCAGCTGCACAAGTGGTCACTTCTTCGTCGGAATATTCGCTGTCCGAGAGGAAGCCAACACATCCACAGGGAGATACTCGACCACATACGAGGATCGAGGAGAGTGCAATGTATCTTCCGATTGACGACGAGTCCATTAATGATCAGTTTTGCTCGGGGTTGCTGTCGGAGTTTATTGACCCAACTTGCGGTGTTTCATTTTTGTGATGTCACGTTTTCATCTGAAGAGGTCTAAAGATTGTAAGATCATTGATCTGATCGGAGATAAGGTTGGGCTCGTCCCTTGTAAGTTAGAGAAGCCTGTATCGATATTTATGTAGGAATCAGTTAGCATTTAAGATCGCGTTCCCCGGAGCTCGAAGTGGCATTGGGCTCATGGCGCGATCTATGGAACGCTGGAGTGCGGCGTTCATTCGTGATTCAACGCCGAGACTGGGCCATATGGTCTGATCATATTGTGCCTGGAATATAACCAGTCGTAAAGACTTAATTAATACAAGAAGATGTGCTATTCCACGGTCAATCCGATATGCCTCGGCGACCAAGTGGGTCCCCTATGAGAGTCTCCGTTCAAACGACGAGATCCCGAGCCAAATCGCGTCTCTTCTTTCCGCGGGTCCCACAAATAAACGTCGGAACTATTACGATAGAATTACCATCGATCTCGCCCCATTAGTATACATGATCTACACGTTCTGAGATTCCACCATGAGTTCTTCGACCCCGTTTTCGTCGCTCTTTGTCTCGCCAGCGGAATTGCATAATGCCTTGCGCGACTCTTCGAGTGCGTTTCGGGTGATTCCTCTCACCGCGGGGAGGAATTCATCCATGCAATCCTTTGAATCGAAACATATACCAGGCTCCGTGTAAGACCACACAATTCCAATCTATGATAACTCGCTTCTAACAAATTCCCTAGGTTCTTCAACATGGATATAATCAGAGACACTACTTCCCAGTATCCAATGATGCTGCCCACACCAGCCCAGTTCGCCAAGTACATGTCAGAGCTGCATATCACCCCCGACGATGTCCTGGTCATCTATGACCCGATGGATCCGGGATTCTACTCTTCCCCACGAGTGGCATGGACGTGTCAGTATTTCGGCCACAGAGCCGTTCACGTCCTGAACACTTTCCCCCATTATGTCGAAGAGGGGTTCCCCGTCGTCACTGGAAAGGTATCAATTCCCGTCAGTGCCATCACGGAGGTGACATACCCGGAGCAGCCCGTGTCTGAGTCGAGGAACGTCATTTCTTTCGACGAAGTGTGCGATATCATCGCGGATCCGGTTCAGACGGGACAGGTTCAAATCATTGATTCAAGGCCTAGTGCACGCTTCTCTGGTCCTCCCGATACTGAGCCATCGGCCTTGCCGGTGGGCCATATCCCGTCTGCGATCAATGTGCCCTTCTCGTCGTTATTGGGGGCGGATAAAAAGGTGTTAGCACCAGCAGAGCTCACGGAACTGTTTAATCAAGCCGGGGTGGAACAGGGTGTGCCGACGGTGTTGTATTGCAATACGGGAGTTACTGCGGCGGGGTTGGATTTGGCATTGAGTGCGAGTGATTTGAATATCAGGACGCGGCTTTATGATGGGAGTTGGACTGAGTGGAGTAAGAGGGCTGACAAGGAGGGTATGATGGTTACTGAGTGATGATTTACCTGAGGCTTTAGAGTGGAATATTATTCGTCGAAGGGATGGGAATTAGAATTGTATAGATCAAAGTAATGGGTTAAGCCTCGAGCTTTTGGACTTGAATGTTCTTCACGAGCTAGTTATGCTTTTTGAAATAAATTGTTCACGTGAATCGAAATGCGGTGGCGTACAAGATATCGAAGACAATGCATTGATTTCCAATTTCTGGATCTGCTACAAAACTCCTGGTTTGGTCTACTAGTACTGCAACTTAAAACCGAGGAATTTGAAAGGGCACCTGAAGAAACGTCCTTTGACTCCCATCCGAACTCTTCGGCAACCGACCCCCTCGAATATTGACTTGCAATGCCTGGTGCAAAAGTCGCGGTTCATTCAAAGTCGCATCGCGCTTTCGTCGCCAGTCGATAAAATCGTCTTCTTTGGTTCCTTTCTTCACGTGCTTGTTGCTTTCTAGTTGCTCTGCAACGGTCACGAATGGAAGGGGCGCGCGGCCCGAGTCTGCGGGGGGATAGTCGTGACCCGTGTATAACTTGTAGTGGGAGGGGAGCCCTAGTAATTTCTGCATAGAGTGGTACAAGGCCTTTGCATCGCCATTGGGGAAATCGCATCGCGCGCTGCCCACGTCGGGGTTGAAGATGGAGTCGCCCGTGAAGACATTGCTGCCGATCTTGTACCCGCTGTGATCGGGCGTATGGCCGGGCAAGTGCAGAACTTGGGCGGTGATATCTCCGACGTTGAACGTCTCGTCGTCATCGAAGAGGTGATCAAATGCTTGCTCTAGTTCCGCGTTGGGAACGGCGTACTTGGGAGCGAATGTCTCTTGAACTTGTCGGATGCGCCGCCCCGTGCTGATGGGGGGTTTGTTTTGATTTTTGGCCAGTAGGCTTTGTTGAAGGTAGAATGCGGCTGTGAGGTGGTCCGCATGGACGTGTGTCTCGAGAAGCCGTGTTATGGTGTAGTTGTTGGCTGCTGCGACGGCTAGGAGCTCGTCGGCGGATGTCGTTGTGATCTTGAACTCGGACAGACTCAAGTTGAGTACCGGGTCGATGATGACCGCTTGACGAGTATTCGGGCAGGCCACGATGTATTGCCACGTTCCCGTCTGTTTCTCGAAGATTGGGTGTATGATAGGCTCCATATTCGTAATGGGTGGCGAGGAATGGCTAGAGAAATAACTGTATGTCTCCCAAAGGTCTTTCCCAGAAGCTCATGGACAAAACATCAGGTTTATACTTCTGGAGCGGCTATTCAAGGGATCTGTAAGACATCATATGGCGATCCAGACCTTGAATCGCCTTCTCATTCTGCACATGCTCCGCGGGTGTACATATCCCTCTCGCCATCGGGCTCCATCGTCACGAGTTCAAGTGAACCTAAACTTAGGTTGTAGGGACCAGAGTCTGGTAGAGTGCCCGAGTAGAATGCGATGGTCCCCGCGGTGCCCGGCTTGAGTCGCCGACCCAAGGACCAGCATGAGAACGTGAAGTTTAGAGGATAAAATGTTCCAGGGCATCTAAATAAAGTACTTGTTATTAATCATACATCAAGTTCAACCTTGGAATAATCATGAATAATTTAGCCTCCAGAGTCTAGACCTCCCCAGAACGTGGCCTGTGGGATGATATAAGTCACGTGAACCTCGCTCGGTGGTTGTGGTCGGGCACTGACAGATGTTTACTGGGTCTTTTGAAGCTTCAAGTCCAAGCAACTGCGCCATGTAGAATTGAAGAGTCATCCTCGTTGAACTGATTTAACTGCCTAGGTCCTGTAACCGGGGATTGGATCGATTTGGCAGGCGACGGATGCCCAAACATATATCCAGCCTTGTCGAGCGACTGCTGAAATAAACTCCAGCTGGAGGGGTTCAGTTGCCCGGAGGTATATCTAGGGAGCAACGTGAATGGTTAAACTAGATTCCCATATGCGTAAAATCTCAAGAATACTAGTATCCCGAGAAAATCTGTTTTGGGCAACCAATGTATTGACAAATCCGCTAAAAAACAAGACTACCTATCCACAGGCCGTAGCGCATCCATCCATCATCCATCATCCACATCTTCCCCAAGACACCGGGCATGTATGTACCCATGCATGTATATTCACCAGTGCCCACAATGACTCCGATGTCCAAAGCACCACATGGACACCACAACCTTCCTTTTTCCCTTTTGCGCATATTTCGTCACAATTCACAATTCTGCCAACTCAGTTCAGTTTGCTCTTGAGTCCTTCGATCTCCAAAGTCAGCTTCTGCATTTGCGAGGTCTGGTCTGCGATGACCCTGGCTTGCTGAGCAAGCATGTCCTTGAGATCTTCAATTTCCTTGTAAACGGCGCTGATCGGGACGTTGGACTCGCTAACAGGCGAGGAGGGGGCGGCGGTCTGTAAGATAAGGACGGTCAATACTCAAGGTGAAAAGTTACGGAGGGAAAGCTTCACTTACAGCAACGGGAGACTGCGGCTTGACTTCGGGCTCGGGTTCCTTTGGTCGCGGCGGGCTGCTGACTCGAGGAGGAGAAGACTCGGCCGCAGCCGAGCGAGCGGGGCGCTCGGTGGGCTTGGGGACCTCCTCAAAGCTGGAGTCATCATCCACAGGTTCCTCGACCTCCTCGTCATCGGCAAACTTGGACACCATGGCAGCCATCGAGGCACCCTGTTCCTTCATGGATGGAGCAGGTCGAGCCACGGGGGCAGGTGCAGGCGTGGGCGTGGGCTCCGCGGCAGCCACGGGAGCAGCCTTGGGGACAACGGGTTCAGGCTCGGCCGGCTTAGGAGCAGGGGCATCGATAGTACCGGTGGGCTTCTCCTGGGCCGGGGACACCTCCTTCAGGCCCTCGCCGTCGAAAAGGCTGGCCATGGAAATCTTAGGAGGAATTGCCTCCTTGCCCGCAAACCACTCGGACGGGCTCATAGCGGGAGTCAAACCGAAGGTGGGAGGGTAGATATCATCCTGGAAGTTCTCGGAGCGACGAGGGACGATGAAAGAAACGGGCTCGATATAGCCGTCGTTGACGGTCTTGAAGGCACGGGTCACTTCGTTCTCGTGCATGTTGACACCGCGCTTAGGCATGAAAGCAACACCACGCTGGGGGTCGGCGGACTTGTACTCGGACAGGAACTCGAACTTATCGTTTTCCAGTTCGAAGTAACGAATGTTTCCGTCGCTGCAGGAAGGAGTTAGCAAAATGGACGGCACGCAGAGCCGAATGTACTTACCCTCGTCCAGCCAGGTAAAGGCAGCTGGTACCATCATCCCAGAAGGGCATGCAGACACCAGAGATCGAGTCCAAGGTCTTGAAGCCATTGATGGGTTCCCGGACGGCACGGATATCCCAGAGAGCAAGCTGGCGGTCGCTCATCTTGGAGAAACCGGTGGTCGCGATCCGATCGCGTTCGCCCAGCCAGACGGTACGACTGTTCTTGGCTCCCGAGTGTCCATTGGTCTCATGCGCGGGCCGTTCCTGACGGACATCCCAAATGCGCAGCTTCTTGTCACGGGAGGTGGTCACCAGCAGTGAGCCATTGGCGCTCCACGACTGGGACTGGACAATGTCACCAACATTCAGGGTGAGCTTCGCAGCACCCGCCTCAATATCCCAAATTTTCACAGTGTAGTCACCCGAGGCCGTTGCCAGCACGTTTTCCGCCGCGGGATTGAAGAGCACGTGGCCGATCTTCCTGCAGGGGGGTAAAAATAAGGTGTTAGTATACCCTAGTGTCGCAGGACGTGTGGAGATTTCGTACTTGGGGTGACCCGCGAGCTTTCCCACAGGGGCGATGTCTTGAATATCATCGGCATCGACATCGGGACGGACGGTGAAGTTCTCCGGAACCCGCCAGAGGAAGACCTAGCACTGGGTCAGCTGTAAATCCCAGATACTGTGGTGAGACAAAGTAACCTTTCCGTCGTCGGAACCAGAGGCAATCAGATCATCGTCGAAAGGATTCCTACCGGGGAAAAGCAGTCAGTTTCTGTGAGCTCGATTCCTCGAAACGTATCCCTTACCAATCGGTGTCGAGGACTACTGCGGTGTGGCCACGGAACAGAGGGATGCGGTCTGGAAGCTTGCCTCGTTCTTCGAGAGGGACAACGGCGAAAGCACCGCCACCACCAGCTTCCCAATTGACTGCGAGGTGCTTCGGGTTAACCTAGATCGTAATATGTCAGATCTAGGGCTGTTGCAGCGCAATGTTAGGGGCGGTGGCATCAGACGACAAGCGACGCACCTTGACTAAATTGGTGTCCCAGGCATTTCGCGAGATTCGAAGATTATCGTAGCATTGTTCCTGCTCCGAGTGTCAGTAGGACGGTCATTGCCGAGTCGGAAGGGGTTTAAAAGGAGTACCTTTCTCGTCGAACGCCCGAAGACGTGGCCTTGTCAGGTTTCCCAACGGTCAGCGGGGAAGCTATGAGGATGCAGATCACAGTATACTCACGATACTTTGAGGAACGCACAAACCGGCCGGACATGATCGATGCCGAGGGCCGTTAGGGAGTGAAAAGGAGTACAAAGAACTAGGGAGTGAAGGTTGCGAGGGAAGACCCAGCCAGTTTGCCCGCGAACAACCAGGAATGCGGGAAATGGGGCCTTGGGGGTGTGTCGAGCGGGCCGAGTGGAGTCCGCGCTTGCGATGCTTCAAATTGGCTCACAACAATATGATGTCGTCACTTCTGACACTTTCTATTTTCGAGAAATTGTATGAAATGGAGTGAGAAGTTGCGATTGAGAAGATTGAGACCTCTAGTAGATATTTCTTCTGGAACAGCGCATCAGGCCTCTTTCATCCCAATTGGCTCACGTGCGGGTATCTATGCCTGTAATACCAAGACTCACGTGACACACTCCTCTAGGGCTAGTCCCAAAATAGACAAGACAGGTCAGCTGACTCAGCCTTTGTTTACCAGTCGTCTCTACAGAAACCGGAGCTCCCATACTCTCCGCTGGCATGCTCACCTTTCACACCACCTTCTAAAACCACCGAATCGTCAATTGACAGCAAGGACCGTGGCTGGACGAGAGTTCTCCCTTCTCGCCCGGATACTATACTCGCCGGTAACCTGGCGAGCGACTAACCCGACGATGGACGACGAGAACATGGTAAACCACCCCGCCCACATCTCGTCGCAACTCTGTTTACTCACACGCAATCGAGACTCAGCCCCGAGCGTCGACTCGGTCGCGCATCCCCCAGGCCGGCCTTCGAGAGATGAATCCCGCGACAACGAATGCTCGGTCCGGCATGTCTGGCATCCTGCCGCCGGGAACGATCGCAAACAAAGCCGTTTCCCGTACGGCCCAATCTGCGCTGTCCAAGATCGTCGATGCGTGGTACACTAACATTGCTATTTAGCCACCCGAACGAAGCCAACCAGTACCGTCGAAATGAAGCGACAGCCACCCCTGACCCGCTCAATGGTCGGCGCACCCAAGGCGCACGCGCGCGGGAACTCCTACGCCTCGTCCACGATGTCGCGACCCGGTTCGACCACCTCCCGACCGAACAACGGCACCCTCTCGAACACGATGGGATACGGCTCGCGCCCTGCGTCCGCTATGTCTCGCCCACAAACATCCCTCGGCACTCGCAAAATCCACGGTTCCTCGATCTCGATGGCGCGGCCCGCGACTTCTTTAGATCACCATGCCGATGAAAATGCAGGAAGTGTGCTTGGAAAACGCAAGGGTATGCAACTGTCAATCCCCTCCCCTACTCGCAGTAATTCCTGCCCCATTGGATCTTCGGACTCGCGCATGCATATATCCAACCTTGAAGGGCCTCGACCAGTGCCAGCGTTGGCAATGAACAATAATCCCTCGGCGCTGGAGGCCCCGAGTATGGATATGCATGGCGCTGATGCTGGTCCCAAGCCATCTACCCCAGCGAGGCTGGGCCAGCGATCCGAAGTCCCCACCTTTACCCCATCTAAGCCCGATCCCCCGGCTTCGATCTCCCCCAAGCGGAGGTCCAAAAGGCCTCCCATTCCATTGTTTCTTTCCAAAGAATCGACAGTAACAGATTTTGACCGTCCTTTAGATTCCGTGTGGGACCAAGATTTGAAAGAAAAGGACATGGAGGAAATCATGGCTCGTGTCTTCTCGCGCGTCAATCAGTCCGGGCAGGAAAGCCAAGGCCTGAAAGAGGCCGTGGAGGTGTACAAAGCCAGGAGTGAGTAGGCCCAGATATTCCCTGTGGAACTCCCAGTTCTAACAACAAGCTGTAGTCGCTGAGCTTGAGGCTTCTCGAGACGGGCTCAACGAAACAAACATGAAGCTGCGGGTTGAAATGGAATCATTGAACCACCAATTAAGCGCTGCAGAGGACGCATTGAAAGAGGCCCTGCGGGATCAAGAAATCGCTATGGACGACCTGGACCGACGCCAACGAATAGAGATGGAATCAATCCGACAAGAGAGCCAGAAGGATGTCGAAGCGTTGAATACTCGTCACCAGGATGAGATTCGCAGTCTGAAACGGAAATTTGAAAGCGAACTGGCGGATGAAAAAGCCGCGCGAATTCGAGAACTCGGCCAGCTGACCTCGAAATCGGCCTTGGACATTCAGAGATCAGAGATCGAGATGGATAACAAAACTCGTGAGATAAATGCTGCAAAGGCCCAAATTCAGGCCATCAAAGCCGATTTGGAACGCGAACGAAAGATGACCAATGATCTCCGACATAACTTGGATACCGCCACTACCAACAGCGTTACATTGGAGTCGACCATTCGAGCCTTGAAGGCCCGCATCGAGTTCTTGGAGGGTGGGCGTGAAGAGCAATCCCAGGCCTTTGAGCAATGCAATCAGAGAATGATGGATGCTCTCGCCGAGACCGAGGCAACCAAGGAGAAATTGCGCCGAGAAGAGACCCTCCGACGAAAACTCCACAATCAAGTTCAGGAGCTCAAAGGCAACATTCGTGTCTTCTGTCGCGTTCGGCCACCTCTCAACAGTGAACCGCCCACTGCCATTGCTCTGATGCAGTACCCTGACGAGTCGGAAGATGCCAAGGAGATTAACATCATGGGCCCCGAGGAAAGGAGTAGCTTGGGCACTGTCTCTCGCAAAAACAACAGTTTCGCCTTTGATCGGGTGTTTGGCCCCTCAACGCAAAATAACGAGGTCTTCGATGAGATCAGTCAACTGGTCCAAAGTGCATTAGATGGCTATAATGTGTGCATCTTCTGTTATGGCCAAACGGGTAGTGGTAAGACCCATACCATGTCCTCACAGGACGGTATGATTCCTCTTGCTGTGCACCAAATCTACGAGACAGCCCAAAGTCTGGAAGAGAAGGGCTGGCGATACACGATGGAGGGTAACTTTGTTGAGGTTTACAATGAGAACCTCAACGACCTGCTCGGTCACCCCGATGAACTCGACAAGAAGAAGCATGAGATTCGCCATGACATGCAACGGGGTAAGACCTTCATCACCGACATCACTACTGTACGCCTGGACTCACCCCAGATGGTCGAATCTATTCTGAAGAGTGCGGCAGCGAACCGCTCAGTTGCTGCCACCAAGGCTAACGAGCGCTCCTCACGGTCCCACTCCGTGTTCATTTTGAAGCTCATTGGTGAAAACCACATCACCGGAGAGCGTAGTGAAGGCACCCTCAACTTGGTTGATTTGGCTGGAAGTGAACGTCTGAGCCACAGTGGTGCAACGGGAGAACGCCTCAAGGAGACTCAAAACATCAATCGCAGTTTGAGCTCGCTCGGTGACGTGATTGCTGCCCTCGGCCAGGGCAAAGATGGTGGACATATCCCATACCGCAACAGCAAGGTTCGTTTCACCAGAATCTAACAAGACGCCACCTTCATGAACTGCGAATGCTGACTCCTTCATAGCTGACTTATCTCCTCCAATTCTCCCTCGGCGGTAACTCCAAGACGCTTATGTTTGTCATGGTTAGCCCGCTGAAGGCGCACCTTTCGGAGACCCTGACAAGCTTGAAGTTTGCCACGAAGGTGCACAATACCCACATCGGCACAGCCAAGCGCCAGGCACGTGTCCGTGACTCTTGAATATAATGATACCTGTTTGTTCCTCTGCATATACCTGTTTGCGAGTCTCCTTTTGTTAAGTGGAGGCAGAGGTCTTTAACGATCCTGTCCTCTGTCTGCCTCGGCGTTTGGGTCTATGATGATTTTCTTTTTTTTTCCCTTTCTTACAGGTTTCATTTGTCATGTTGGAGGTTGCGGGGCTTGATACTAGGCCGTTAGCCCTACGTTTGGCGTGTCATTTACTTGTGTTTTTTGTATGGACATGATGAATCTGATTATTCAATGCACAGTAATGGATAGTCTTGCTGCCGATTTCCACATGTACAGGTGTGCCCTCCTTCGCTTACATGAAGTCAAGCCCTTCTCTTTTGCCTTCTCAGATTTCGGAACCTTCGATGAATTGCCGGACATCCTTCATGAAACTTTCCTTCTGCTCCACCCACGGAAAGTGTCCACACTCCTTGTAGGTAATCAACTTCGCACCGGGGATGTTTTCCTTCGTACGTCAAGCGACCTTCAGCCCGATGATCATGTCGTCCTCTCCGAAGATGACTAGCGTCGGGGCCCGGATATATTTCAGGCCATCAATCATCTGCGTCGGGTTGGGGAGATTTTCATCACAGTGTGCTTGGTATCGATATGTGAACACGGAAAACTTCTGATCCCCGACGGCGTACAAAAATTCGTCAATGTACCTTGCCGGATCGTAGAAGTACAGAGGCCAAAGCGCATTGACCGACTCGGTGAGTCCTTCGTCCGTATCGGCATATCGACCCGCGAGGTTATTCAGCGCTCTGCCGTACCGCGGGTCCTGTCTCCTTGCCTCGATTTTGTCGTTTTGATGGTCTCCCATGCCGATGATCTGGTTCTGCACGAGAATCAGTTTCTGGACTCGGTCTGGGTACAGCTCGGCGTAGCCGAGAGCGATGGCGCCGCCGTTGGAGTGGCCGAGTAGGACGGGAATCTTTTCCACTCGCAGGTGTACGCGGAGATCTTCGAGATCTGAGCACATGTCTGGCATTGTGCTCAAGCCGTGACTCCATGTGACTGGACCGGAGGCTCCCGTGCCGCGGGGATGGAGGAAGACGACCGTGTACACGGCGGGCGAGGTGTTGTTTGAGTCTGTCGGAGCTGGAGCCCAGAGGTCGGAGAGGCCGTGTTGGAGATAGGGGGAGCCCACACCCCAGCCGGGGCACTGAACCACAATGAGGTTGCGGTGTAAATTGTCGGTGTCCTCTCCAACGGGGTGGTAGACGATGTACTCGAGTGTCAGGCGGGTCATGGGTGATACGAACCGATGCATCCCCAGAGCGAAGGGGTCGTATGGTAGAATGGAAAACATGTCTGGACTGTTGACTGTTGATTGACGATGCAGATGAGAGATGCGGAGGAGGAGAGGAGAGAGGAAAGGAAGATATCGTTTGTTTACCAGGCATTTGGCCGAATGGGATGTCGGAACTGGGTGCGTTTTGCTGATTATCAAACACACGCAATCTGGAAAGTGCGGAGTGAGACAGCCACTTGTTCTTGTGTTTTCTCAATTGCCTTTTCTAGAAAGAGTCAAAGTAGTTGTCTGCCTTCTCTTTCACTTCGAGGGCTTTTTTGCGTATCTCAGGCGCACCCAGAGCTCCCTCCTCGGTGATGAAACCATCAATCATGTTCGCATCTACCCACTCAAAGTAGACATTCTTCACTTCCACCACACAGTTAGAGGCCTCCGTCTTGTTGCCTCCAATAGCTTCCTGCAGTTTGTTCACAGCCTTGACTCCGCTATCCACCCACGGACTGATGACCTCCATTGGATCGTTCTCCTCTGGCTCATGATCCTCTTCAGCACCAGGCTCTGCCACTTTCTCCAGTCCACTAAAGACTAGAACCCGTGCCTCTGGGCTTATGTGTTTGGCAGAGAGAACGGCGGGAAGAGATCCGATCTTATTACTGACAGATCCTGAACTGGAAATGCGATCTGCACCTAACAGCACAAAGTCCACATCCTTAGCAGCAAGCGCGGCTGAAGCATCAGTATAGATGCTGATATGTAGACGCTGGCCCGATGAAACGGGGAAAATCAATTCGAATTCTGACAGTAACGAAGAAGCCATGCTTGCACCTTCGAAGAGAGGCCTTGATTCGAGTATTCGAAGATCCAAGTGTGACGTGGGCAACGATTTGAAGGCATCCAAGATGCTGTCTCGGATCGTTGAGCTTGCCGATAGGGTGAGGATGGTGATTTCTTTCTTCTCCCGAGACTGGATATTGGGTAGGAAGCTCGAGTGCAAGTATGCATTGAATGCTTCCTTGATATGTGAAGCCGTCTTACGACGACGCTCCAAGTGGTGATCCAAGACGGCGAGTATACGATCCCATTGATTCTCGGAATCCTGCGCCTTGATAGCGTCGATATCAGCCAGGACCCCGAGGAATGCATTCAGGGTAGCTGATCCCATGCTCTCGCGCCCATTCTTCCAGAGATGCCACGCAGCCATGCGTGCAGTCTTCCACCAATCTGGCTCATTTTTGAGATGTACGAGGACATCTCGGAAGGCCTTGAGGGCAATTGTCGTCAACTCATGAGATCCGCTCGAATGGTCGGTTTTGAGTTGCTCGAGACCCGATCGCAATGCACCGCTGGGTTTCTCGTTCATGTCCAATTCGAAGAAGACACGCCGCAAACTCTCTGCGAGACGAGGTACACCCCCAAAGGTCTCCTCATTCATTACCTCCTTTGGGTTATACCAGTGCCATTCCTCATGTTCCCAGTCGATTTTGATGGCGGCGTGACCTCTCCCACCTTCGTCGCGGCTTTTCAGTCGGAATGCGAATGGGTAGATGGTCCATTGACGTCCAATTGATGGGTCACTGAAGCTAAACGGTTTTCCTTGGCGCCATAGTTCGATGTCTTGCTTTGTTAGACTTGTTTCTTCTCCGATCTCGCGCCAAGCCGCCGAGATGGGAGATTCGGGTTGCTCTATACTTCCCGAGATGGGGGCGAGGTGATGCCTTGGCCAGTCAGTTGATCTTCTAAAGAATGACCATACTGGACTGTCATGAATGGTACGAGTACATACTGATAAGTGCTGACTTTATCGCTGCGCTTGAACAAAGCAATCTGGGGGCTTTCATTTGTAAAGGAGAAGATAAACGAAGAGACAACTAATCTATGCTGCAGCTCTCTGTGACTCCCTGGCTGCTGGTTCGACATGACTGTGAGATTCGAAGCTGGAAATTTAGCGATTGCGCTAAAATTGAGGTTGGTGATCTTCAATCTAGGGGGAGACAGAGTTTGAGGCGAATGCCGTGTCATAATCGCATCACCGCGGGGTAGCGGCGAACCTCTGATGCGTGGTTGGTCGTGTACTTGAAGATCCCCACAGTGACTCTTTTGATCAAATTCTACCGAGTAACTCTGCTCAGTAGTAGATCTCCCAAGTTTATCAGATTTTCTTGTGCAGAGACAATACTTTGATGAACATTCAGTCTCCCGAGTTGCTGGACCCTACACCACGACAAGGCCTCAGCAGTTCGGAGTAGGATTTGTCACAAACCATTCTGAAGTGCGACTGCCAGCTTCTGTCATTCTTAATCCTGTTTTGATTGAACTGTGATCTACTAGTTCCAGTCGTTTTGCCTGTCCCCAGAGCCAGAAAGTCCAAATGACGTCATATATTCTCGACCGGATTGACAAGATCTATATGTTCTTGCGTTGACACCTCTGGTGTATTGGATGAATTCAAAATCTTCTACAGCTAGCGCATCAAAATCAAATTCAGTATGCCAGTCTACACAGGCTCGTGTTTCTGCCGCAAAATCGAATACGAGTTGAGACTGGGGTCCGCAGACGATGCACGCACAACCCTCTGCCACTGCCGGAACTGCAAGGTACGTCTTCTTTCCCAAGAGAGAACCTCATGAATCAATAACGTTTGCTGATGGCTATCTCTGTAAATGAATAGAAAGCATTTGGAACAAACTATGGTCTTACGGCCAAGGTACCCAAAGATTCATTCCACCTAACCAAGGGTCAGCCCAAGGAACACGCAGGAGACAACGGGTCTGGGGCCACCATCTATCGATATTTCTGTGATACCTGTGGTAGTTTTATTCTGGAGTTTGGGGCAAGTTGTAGTCCACGGGTTAGGATGAGATGCTTGGCTGACAGAAGAGACAGGAGAATGCGAAGGACCATTTCCGGTATATATGCGTGGGATCTCTCGATGACCCAGAGGCGTTGCCACCCAAGGGGGAGTTCTTCTGCAAGGCTCGAGCGAGCTGGATGCCAGAAATTCCCGGTGAGTACTTTCAACACCCTTACCTCGTTTGACTGGAAGCCGGTCTGATCGATCTAGATGTATTCCATAAACAAGAAATTCAAAAGTGAAAAGCAAGTGGGCTTGTAACAAATCCCAGATATTCATAATTCATCAGCCTCCTATCCTCTGGGGCACCAATCTGATATAACGTTATACCATGACTTCGTCCACCACCTGCACCCATTCCATGAGGTACTACATATTAACACTAACACTCTTGACCACCAAATCCGGTCCTATCAACTTCTCCCGAATTGAAACCCCGTTTAAATAATCATTAGTATCAACCCTCCGATACCCATCCTCCAACGTCTTCTCAATGCCAGCAAGAACGTGTCTCTTGGCCGTCCGCTCCCGCGCTTCTTCCAAATCCGTATCAACGAAGACTCGATAATCTACCAAATCGGCAAGATCGCGCCATCCAGGCTCGTCGAGGAGGAGATAATTGCCCTCGACGATGATGATATTTGCGTCTGGCGTGATGGATATCCCGTTTTCGACGGGGTCTTTGGCTTCGTGGTCGAAGGCGGGTGCTTGGATGATTTCTGTGGAGGACCAGGGTCCGGACGAGGGCGTTGCGAGTGGTGTTTTGTCGGACCAGCGGCGGAGATCTTGCACGAACGTTACGAAGCGGGGGATGTCGAAGGTCCAGGGTGCGCCGCGGCGGATGTGGGCTTCTTTGGCGTTGGGGAGTTGGTCGAGTACGGACCGGGGAAGGTGAAAGCCGTCCATCGACAGGAGGGCTGCGTGAATTGTTCGGTCTTTGTTTAGTTGCTGGACCACTGCTTGGGCCGTGGTGGTTTTGCCAGAGCCCGGTATGCCGGCGATGGCGACGAGGTAGCGGGGCTTTGAATGCTGCTGGGCTTGTTGGCGGATGGTGTCTGCCAGTCGGATATATTCAGAGTCCATCTGTATGAAAGTTAGAGTCTATTCCAAATTGAAAGAACTGTCACGCTGAACAGATTTATCTACCTTGATTAATTGAATGTATGTCGTGAGTTCGTTAGATACGTAATCCAGATATAGATCTCCGTTCTGGGATCAAGAAAGATAAAAGGCTCAATGCAACGCGCTCAATGTTCAATAGAGGGCTATAGCGAATAAGGAATTCCATATGCGATTTCAGGCTTGATAGAGGAAGAATTATATCTGATCTTATCCTCCTCCCCGAGGCATCGGGGTCGCGATGTACAGCGCAGTGGAGCGGATTCGGGTCACAGTGCTCCGATTTTCTTAGATTTGCGGAGGTGTTGCATCGGATTTCATCCGGGTCGGCTGCCCGAGTCTGAAGACGAAGACGATCAATTGCCAGTTCTTCATGGTCGTTCACCTCGTAGTGCGGAGGACTCTGTCCGGCGGTGTGCGGAGAACGCGATTTTTGGCTAACCGCCGCCGTTGGCTCTTCCGCGCCGAGGACGACCCTGCTCCGAGACCCTCATACGATTTATCTGGTGAGCGGAGATGACTTTGTCTGTTTAATGTGAGAAGTGCCGCTTCAAATGTAATTAATTCATGGTGTTTCCAACGCCGGATATGATTTATGCACTCATTCCTTTCGTATACCTTCCCCCAACGGACAACTGCTCTCCGGCACGTGAGTTGTTTCTCATGATGCCAGCGAGGTACGAGAAGATTTTCCAGACTTTCTCGTCCGTTGTGGTCCAGAAAGACTGGATCTTTTATTCATTTCCAACCCCGAACCACCCACATTGAATAGTTATGTATATTCAAACCGGCGTCGCTGCTGACACATCAGTGATGGATCGCGCACGCTCCTCCGACATGGCCGCCATTTCCCCAACTATATTCTCCCCATGCCGCCTCGCCTTGCGCCTAGGCTTCTGGCCGGGATTGACATAGAAGCAGAGAATCTGCTGCTCATAGCAGTGTTCACACTGCGGCCGGGCATGGTCGCAGACCACATTCCACTCGCGACAGGCCTTGCAGTCGAGTGAGGCGCTTGCGTCGGGCTGGATGTGTAGCTGCGGGCGCGATGCTGATTGCTGGGAAGTCGTTCCAGCGCCAACGGAGCCAGGGCCTGTGGGTTGGGGCTGGCACGCCGGTCCCCACCCGCCAGGCCTCAGCCACTGAGCGATGCGGGCGCAGATTCCCCGCGAGATCGCAGGCGGCTGGGCCGTCGTTAGCTCCCTCGTAGCTCCGTCCCTCCTGGATTGGGGTCGTCGTTGGGCGGTGGGTGTATTCTGGGAGGTTGATGACTGGCGACCGGGCGAGTCGTCCTGGGGTCCCGTGGGGTTTCTGTGGGAGGACGGAAAATGCCCTCCGGTTAGTGCTGGAGCTTTGGGAGCTGCACTAGCGATGGTGATTCTAGGTCACGTACCCTAGCGATGAGCTGGTCATGGTGCCGGTAGGAGGATATAGTGGTGAGACCGCAACGCTGGCGAAGTTGGGCCCATGAGGGACGGGGGCAGGACAAGCGAGGAGAAAAGGCAACAGAAGGAAGAGAAATGAAAACTGAGGAAAAAGAAGATCACGGTTTTGGTTTTGATCAAACCGGACCCCTCAAAAAAAGTCCAAGCAAACAACGATCCTTTTGACAGTCCAGTCCACACGCCAACACGTCCCCAAGCCCAGGGCTCTCAGACCCCCCACACACACATCGAAAAGCGACCAATCCTTTAAATCGCTCGCTCGACATTCCTGGTGGTCCCTTTGTCCACTTGTCAAATATGGGTCATCGCCTAGTCTCGTGTCCAGTCGGTTGTTTGTACGTGGTGGTGAAGGGCCCCCCGCCTTGAAGGTATACTCGGACTCTCTCAGATTCTCCTCGCGGGATCATCCGACTCCACCAGATGACCTCGTCTCAGGCACTGTTGCTGTTGCACCGGAAATCGCTTCCTCGGAGAATTCTCTGCTGCACGGAACCCAGGGTGTATGCACGTCATGGTCACTTCACAGCTGCCATCAGAAATTTTAGTAGAGAAAGGCCTTAACGGAGGCGGGTGGACATGTAGAAAGAAAATAATACCAGGACGAGAAAATATATCCCTTCACCACCGCCTTGTCAGATGACTTTCGACTCTTTTTGCAAGTTCCACGATGAATCGCCTCACCGATGTCATCAGGGCCGACCATCGCGAGTTACAGGCCTCCTATGATTGCCTAGTCAGTAGCGATGACCCCGACGAGCAGACTCGATTCCAGAATCAGTTGACGTGGGGTCTCGCCAGGCATATCGTGGGTGAGGAGCTCGTCCTCTTCCCCGCGCTTGACAAATATTTGGGGGCCGGGGAAGCGACCCAGGATCGACGCCAGAATCAGATTGTAAGTCTGGCCTCTCTTTTGTGAGTCGGGTCACTGCGATATCAAAATTAAACCGGCCCTCTCCTCTTTAGATCAAAGAAAAACTTCAGGTCTTCCAAGATCTCAAGGCTTCCGACCCTCGATTCATTCCCACGCTAACGATACTGATGGACGATCTGGCTTCCCATGCCGAAGCCGAAGAAGACAAAGACCTCGTCAAGTTGGAAGGCGCCATCACGGCCGAAGAGAGCAGGCGACTCGCCAAGTCATTTGAACGTACGAAATGGTTCGCGCCGACTCGGGCCCATCCCGACCTTCCGGATTCTCCACACCGAACGATCGTAGAATTGACGACCGCTCCGGTGGATTACTTGCAGGATTTGTTTCGTAAATGGCCGGACCCTGAAGATCTTCCGCACCTGGATTAGACAGTGTGGGTCGCTGAGGGGATACAGAATAAACGGGGGCGGATTCGTGTTACTGTCGGGAATATTTTCACCCTGACGACACGCTTTATCGATCACCTTATATTCCAACCGTGATCTAGTAATACTGGCTGGACAGAGTGGAGAAAGACCAAATCCATACTATCTGATTCAGAAACATAACACATTGTAGAGTCTACAGATTTTGCTTTAAGACTCTCATGCTAAGTAAGCTTGGGTAACTGGCACAGCCATACACCATCACTATACCCTCACGGCATCGCGAAAGATAGGATGGCGCAATTAAAGTTCGAAGCTCACAACAATCGGCTTGTCCCTCAATCTGACACAGCTGTACTCGAGATATTGCATCTATACAAGTCTATCTTTGCCCTGGGCGCTTTGCATGTTACCGGTGTACGGAGTGGCGCTCCGGCTTCTAGCTTGGGAGTACATCATGATTCCGTAAGATAGTCTGAAATCGCTCTCCAGTGGCAAGCTATACCCATGAGTAAATGAGATTCCCAATACTATTCAATAAATAAGCACGGTACATAGGGAACCATAACCCTGGTTCGCAGTTTAATCAGGTCCACTTTAGTGGATCAGGTCAGCAGGGTTTAGATGCTTATTCTCACAACATCAGCACTTTTTCTACAAGTCTGTCTGTGGTCGTAATGGAGTTTGACGTGTCGTTCATATAATGCGTCGCATTTTCAAAAAGAGCCATAAGAGCTCGAGTGCTTGTGGATGGCCACGCACTGGCTTTATCATGCAACGGAGCCAATCACTCAGGATGCACCCCCCACAATTGATGTCAGCCTCGCCTTCGGTGGCCATCCCTAAGCACTGGGGCCCAGGAGTATAAATACTCCCATGCCGGCGCACCATCCCGCGCGACTGGTTTCCGGCAACTCATCATCGCATCACATCAACACCGTCTTCCCAGGCCTCGCAGGTCTTGCGATATTTCCGAGACTATCGGAGTTTTGAGCCGCTCAGGAATCAGCGTCATGAAGACACCCGGTGTGACGGAGGTGGAAATCATCTACGACCGCGAGAGCGAGTCGCCTCTTCCAAAGAGTGCCATTGATTTGACGTTTACGAAATATGGGAAGAAGGATCGCAAGAGGCCCGAAGTTCCCGTGTTAGGGGACGGTCTCGATCTTGAGGATCCCATGGTCTCGCACTTTGCTGATGCTGGGGGTCGACTTGGTATGTTTCGCAGTGGATCTTTAATGCTGTATATATTTTCGTTAGTAAGCTAATTACATTTCTGTGCAGCCCAGGATGAGAAAGCAGCATTGGAACCTTCGAATATCTTGAATGGAGTGGATCGGTTGCGGCACAAACCGTTGACGCCAGAGATATGCGATGATGGAGGGCGCAACGAAGATGATTTACCAAGTGATGTCGGGGATGGTGTCTCGGGGGATTTTGCATTACAGTTGGCACAGGGGAGATAAGCTAGGATACGGACAACGATAATATGTATGGATATACTCTGCGTATAGTGTACTAGGCATAGTACATAAATAGGGTAAACAATTTACTGAACATAGAATATGAGCAATTCAGCCAATTTGTACATTTTCTTGGAGATAGACTACTTTGGAGGCTGATTTGATTAAGTGTGATTCTATAACTACGGCGGGAGACCTGGCCGAGAGACATTGTGTGCATGATCGGAAACAACTGACTCAAAAGGACGATTACGACAGAGCTATTTTTAAATATAGGATATAGGCACAGCTCCTTGTCACTCGAGTCTGTATCATACTTTCTTCGTTGTCTGTACTACTGAGAAGAGTATTTCCAGGCCAAGCCCGTTCCGCGGGAGCTCCCCCTCGGCTGATTCGCCTTCCTTTTAGTTTTGGTTCCTTTCTTTCTCCTTCCAATCACCATCAAGTACTTCGACCCGGTTTCTCTTAGCTTCTTTTACGGAGTACTTGGCCCTCTGAGAATGAGGCCTCGAAAGTTCGTCCAGGCAGCATGACTCGCTCATCTCCGGATCAACGGCTCGGTCGCACTACGCAACCATCAACCCGACGACGGAGGACAAGAATGAGGAATGTGAGATGAGGTCATGCCTTCCACGCAAATACAGTATCTCCAATTGAGAAAAAGAATTCAGAGACATCCTCTCAAATCACAAAAGTGCGACCGTCATGTTCGGACGCCAGTTCCCCTTTCAACGCTCATGGCTGGACTAAGGAGGGGTCTTCTGTTTCGCCGGTCGTTTGAAGTGCATCCGTGCCGAGCAAGTCTTGTTTCATGTTGAACCCCAGCCCACCACTTAGCCGCCATCCCTGGAGCCAGTCACCGCGCGGCCTGTTGATTTCTTGGTGATCGCTGGGATCCACCCACGGTGAAGAATGGGTAGATCGCGCACCTCGGTGGGTTCATCTCCCCCTGGGCGACTCTGCTTCTCGATGCCCGTTGGACCATCCGTGGCGAGTCTAGACAACGAACTTCCCCGTCACTTCCAAGTGCTATCGGTCAGGGGGATATCCTGACTCGTTCGAGCCGATGACTGGTTGAAACAAAGGCAAGTGCTTAAAAAAGTCCTTGCAAGTGGAGAGTGTCTGCCTCCTGGCAAAGCAATCAAGCGAAGAGGAAAGATATGGAAGAAATTCCAGACACTCGGAGACTCTAAATACCTGGGGATGGCGCTGCCTCGCGCTCCCCTCCTCTTCCTCCACCTCCACGCACTCATCGCACATTCCTTTCTTCATTCTTTTCGTTGACAATCTGGGATTGTCTGCCTTTCTTTTATCCTTTTTTGGATTACATCCTTCGTTACTTTTCTATTTCTATATCCCTCTCCTCCCTCCCTTTCACTCTTTCTACACAGCTTGCTGTTGTGCCATTCGATAGTGTGTTTATCGAACAAGCTTCTCGCTTGGGCATTTACGTACCTTTTTTTTTTTCTCCTCAACTTTGCTTCTCTTCATTACATTCGACGGAAGATATGCTTTCCTCGTCGCTTTCCCTCAGCGCTGGTTCGCTGTTCCTTGCTTTGCTCGCCTCGCCAGTCGCAGCAGCGTCCGAGACGTATCAACTGGTTGAGAACTGGCACGGCGAGAGTTTCTTGGACTACTTCAACTTCCACACCGGCTCCGACCCCACCAATGGCTTCGTCACATATCTTGACAAGACTAGCGCCGAGAGCGCAGGTCTTGTAAAGGTCAACGACGGTGGCAGTGTTTATATCGGCGTCGACCACAACACGACGCTTTCAACAACTGGCAAGGGCCGTGACTCTGTTCGTATTGGCAGCAAGAAGTACTATGACCACTCCCTGGTGATTGCCGATATTGCCCACATGCCGGGAAGCATTTGTGGTAGCTGGCCTGCCTTTTGGTCCGTGGGTAAGAACTGGCCTTCGGATGGCGAAATCGATATCATCGAGGGTGTCAATCTGCAGGATCACAACGAAATTGTCATGCACACCGCCGGTACTTGCAGTATCACCGACACGGGTATGACCGGTTCTGTCAATGCCACTGGGTGTGGTGAGGACCTGGGCACTGTTGGCTGCGTTATCGAGGGTCAGACGGGGAGCTACGGTACTTCGTTCAACAAACAGGGCGGCGGTATTTACGCTATGCAGTGGACCGAGCAATTTGTCAAGATCTGGTTCTTCCCCCGTGCTTCCATCCCGACTTCTATCACCAACGGTGCGCCCGACGTCTCCCAGTTCGGCACTCCCATGGCCCTCGTGGAGGATAGCTGTGATGTTGCTTCCAGTTTCAAGGCCCAATCGTTCGTGTTTGACGTGACTTTCTGCGGTGACTGGGCCGGTGGTGTTTACGGCCAATCCGGTTGCCCAATGTCTGGCTCCGATTCGTCGTCAAGCTGCATCAACTACGTGGCCAAGAACCCCGCCGCATTCGAGCAGACCTACTGGGAAATCAACTCTGTCAAGATTTACCAGACTGGAGTCGCTGCCACGACGGCCGTCTCTACCTCGCACTCCACGACCGCTGTCCATGCTACTATTGCCCAGGCCGTGACTCACACCACTGCCCAGACCTCCGCCGCCGCGGTGGAGACCGCTGCATCTGCCTCCACTGAATCAAGGACTGCTGCCGTCGTTGCCACTGCTGGTACTGTTGGCGAGCTGGGTAGTGATGTCTCCTCCGCCACCGAGCAGACTGTGAAGAGCTCCACAACCCGATACGTCACCAAGTTTGTCACTTCCACCACCACTCTCTGCCCAGTCGCCGAAGCATCCTCTTCTGCTGCAGCTGCAGAGAGTAAGGCTCTCGCGGCTTCGTCTGCTACAAATTCTGTCAAGGAGGTCCAAACTCAGCCTGCAGTCGAGACCACTGCCGCTTCGACTCCCGTTGCCGCTACTATCTTGCTGGCTGTGAGTAGCCAGACATCCAGCCGACCGACCGGTGCCGATGCTGCATCGAGCAGTGCTCCCGCAAGCGTTACCTCAACGGACGGCCCACTGCCTACAATCATCATGGCCCCTGGAATCACCGCTGTATCAGCCAGCGGCCGGGCCACTTCCAAGCCTTACCAAAGCAACTCCGCCATCGCTGTCGCTACTGGCGCCTCTGCCGCCTCAGGCAGCACTTTCCAGGGAAGCACCAGCAGTGCTGTGAGCCCTGTCTTTACCGGTGCTGCCGAAAAGACTTCTGTGAAGTTCTCGACAATTATTGCAGCATTCCTGGTCGCCCTGATGGCTTAAAAGACTGCGTTTTGTTTGATAGTTTGACCCTTTGCTCTCTCATATCCGGGTCGATTTTGGGAGGATATCACCTGCTTGCTTTCGTTGCCATGTACAATAGGCCCTTATTCCCGTCCATAGATGCCGTGCAGCCTTTGGAGTATTATTAGATTATTAGAATTTGAAATGATAGTCAACAATTCCTATGAATAATTGAAACAAAAGATAGCGTCAGTCATCACGTCTCAATACACAATGCGAGTCTCCTTTAAAGAATATTCTATCAGTATCAACAGTCGCAGACTAGACATTATTTACTAATCAAGACAGGTTCAAGAAGTCATCCATCGAGTCAACCAATCACGAGCATAGCAACTCAGAATTCCATCCTCGATAACGTCCAACCGCCCATCCCGCAGAGTCTCGCTGTGTCTCACGGCCCGATCGGTGTGGAATTTCTTAGAGCTCAACAACGACTTCTTGCCGTACATCGCCTCGTAATGTCCAATCAACTTCACCGCTGGATTGACATGCTCTTCACCCCGTGCCTCACTCTCTCGTAGCATGTTTATCCATTTTTCAAAAGACACCGTCTCAAATTGGAAACCGCTCTTACTTAACGACGCCAGCAATGCGGACCATGAAAACTCTCTCGAGTTGCACACGTTGTAGATCGAGTCGTCTATCAACTTCGCATCGGCACTGGTGTCACTGTCCCTGTCGCCCTCCCCTTGCTTTTGCTCCTGACCAGCGGCCATGGGCGATGGTGGAGACGACAAGCATGCCCGGCCAATCTCGACTATCGTTGCCGCAAGTTTATCCACCGGTAACCAGGAGCACATCAAGTCCAGATCGGGCAGTGCTTTGAGCGTCAATGCAGACCGTATTATCAACGGGAGTGCCTCGCTGTCGTTCCACAGTCCCCTTTTGGAATGTCCCGAGACTTGGCCGATGCGGAGGGAATAGCACCGCGCGCCGGTGCGCCGGGCTCCGCTAACGATGTGCTCGCCGACGAGCTTGGACCGTCCGTACCCCATGTAGGCGTCGGACAGGGTCATTGATTCTTCGGAGATGGTGGTGGAGTGCGAGGCTAGCGCGGTGGAGACGGAGGAGCAGAAGAGCATGACAGCTGGTTCGGGGCGGTGCACTGAGAGGGAGAATTGGAGGAGGTTGTGGACGCCTTGGATGTGTGGCGTGAATTGGGTGAGAGGGAGGTTGAAGTTGACAGGCCATGCGGCATGGATGATCTGGGTTACCGTGTCTTGCATGCATTCGAGGGTATTTTCGTCGAGGCCCAGGTTGGGTTCGTCGATTGTGCTGACTAGGGCGATGATTTTGGATGCTTGTATGGGGGTGATGAGTAGGTTTCGAGAGACTAGGCTGCGCAGGACAGATTCCAATGGTGGGCTTTGGCGGGTGAGACAGTATATACTTGAAATGGAGTCATCTTGGAGTAGTTCATGGAGGACATGAGCACCAATGGATCCCGTGGCGCCCGTGAGAATCTACTTTGAGGTTAGTATTGCGGGACAAAGATCTGGGTTAAGGCTGTTTGGTTTTTACTTACCACTCCCTTGCTGTTTGGGGCAATTGGTGGCCGTGAGACGTGCTTCCTGAATGTAGAGTATTCCTGGATTAAATCCGTCATAAGAGCGTTATCACTTTCGATTGCGGTGTCACTTTGTCCGCGCTGCAAGGAACAAATATGCTCTGCCAAAGTTGCGACGTTGCCCGCCTCGTATACGACATTCCGGCTCAGGGCACCTTTGTCGAGTTTCAGATGTTGCAGCAATAATCGACGTAGTTGAATGGCCTTCAAACTGTCCATACCCTCCGCAAAGAAGTCGGTCTGGACAGATGGAAGCGTGATGCGCAGTTCATCCTGGCAGAGTCGTATGAGAAGAGATTGAGTCTCGGCGAGTCCAAGCTGAAGAACTCCTTTTGTCTCTTCTGATCTTGAATATAGATCATCAATCAAATTGGCATATTGTAGATAAACTTGAGCCCGGATCATAGACCCTTTGTCCGTGCGCGGAAACTTGGCCGTGTAAGGCAGAATGGCAATAAGATCGTGTGAGATCTGAGAGAAACGCTCTGCATCTGAGTTGGCAGCCTGTATCGTGGGCCAAATCGCTTCTAAATATTCCTCGGCCTCGACTCCCGCGTCCTCGACATCCTGTGTTTGGAAAATCAGCATTCCAGGTGCAGCTCTGCCGAGCCCCACCACCACTGCCTCGTGAATCAGAGGATCTTGCTTGACGAATCCTTCGATGGGGAGTGGGAGCACTTTCTCGCCATTGACGAGTGTAATGCGGTCATCAAGTCTGGAAACATACTTCCATCTGTCTGGGATGGCGGGGTGTGGTGTAAAGACGTCTTTGGAGTGGAACGAGCCTGGGGGCTCGCTCGAGTTGGAGGTTGTCAAGGCAGGATGCCCTTTTAAATAAACACACTCATACAGAGAGTCCCCAATGGGCTTCATCCAGATATATGGTCTGATATTGTCGAAAAACCGCAGATAGTTCCAGTACGGGTCGCCTCTGGGACGGGAAATTGACTCTGCGACTAAACCAGCCTCCGTCCTAGAAATCAATTAGATTGAGCTGCGTCGGAGCAAAGATTGGAGTGACTTACAACCCAAATGAACCACTAAAAGGTACCCCTTCGCTAACCAGACGGTCACCCAGCTCATCAGGGCATGGTGCACCCCCGTATGTCACCAGCTTGCATGCCCGAAGTGCGGCAATGCCTCTCGGGCTATCCACCAACAGCTGAAGCATATATGGTACAGCCGCCACGGATTGAGGGCGAGTAGCTTCTAATACGGACACCACGGATTTGGCCGTCAGTGGAAGCGCTGCGTTCCACATAAAGGCTGTTCTCCTCATCCACATGGCCTGCAATGCAGTAGAAAGACCGTGAAGATGATACCAAGGGAGAGGATTGAACGATGTCAATCCAGGACCCCGAAGAGGATGCGTCATCAGCGCCTTGTGGGTGAGTAACAGGGGCTTTGGGGTACCGGTAGAACCCGACGAGTGAAGAATCAAGGCAATTTTGTTCCGTTGCGCCTCAGAGTTGCGATGCAGGTGCAGAAGTAGGGGTGTAGTTTCTGTTGCACCAGTGCTCGATGCGCTTGGCATCGGCCGGCAGTTCACTAGCTTTCGCTGCAGAATCTCCCCCATTACGGTCTGGATGCTCCCAGTATTGCCGTATATGACAGTGTCACAGTTTACCTTGTCCAGTAACGACACACATGCTTCGCCGGATAATCGTGGTGATAGCATCATCACCGTATAGCCCAGTCGGCTCAGGGCAAAAAAGACAATCACCATATCCAAATCGGATAGCGTGAGAAGAGCCACAATACTTCCATCCCGTTTAGGCTGTAAATTGTGAGTCATGATGCTTATATCAAGGGAAATTGCATAAATTTTTAGTCTTACCAGGGGAAGGCCAGACTCCACGAGCACGGTAACCACTTGGTCGATCATTCCATCCAAGTCTCGGCCAGTATAGTATTTGTATGAAGCAGCATCCTTATTGGAGCTTGGATACGCGAGAATGGGATGTTGGACATAATCTGCGGCACGAAGACGTATCAAGTCGTCCAAGACGTGGAGCTGTCCGAACTCCTCAATGAGGGGATCCGTCGTGGTTGACGAGCCTGCTAGCGCTGATTGATCTCCTCTTTGAATACCCATGATGTGTGATAGACTGAGCTTCTGAAAAGACAATGACGAAGACAAACTCTCAGCTGCAGCACTTCGCTGGTGATCTGGGAGTATTAAAGACCCCGAATATAATGTATGGTCTTTTTTTGTCGGAACTTGTCTCGCATCGATTGCCGACTGCTTTCGGGATACTCGGAGGGGACTGAGTTTCCGCTTCGGGGGTTGTTTGCGACACCAGAAAGACTTGGCCAGTAAGCTGAATGGTCATCTCTCCAGCATCATCCCATGAATTGATGGATCATCGTAGAGTGGCAAGTGACGAATCAGACCGCTAGTGTGATCTGTACAAGATATCCAGGTTGACTAGTCCATGACGGATGCTACAAACAAGCCACAAGTATAATGGCGTCGCCTAGTCGTCGCCGAATGGGACAAAGTCACTGCATAATACTGCTATATATGTGAAGAAAATTGATTCTGTCCAATAGAGTTATTTCCAGGTGTGATATCCCGCATTATCAGGTGGTGACCAAAGTTTGGAGATTTAAGCTGCCGGCCTCACCAACGACGACGAGGCGTTCGTTCCGACCCATGCAGGGCGGGCTGTGATTCAAATCCTATCCTACAATTTTTCATCGCAACCGGCGTTACTAGTCACACGGCAGTAGTGCCTGAACGGTCGGCCCTGGTTGTTATTGAAATATTGTTAAGCTGTGGCGAGTCAGCTCAGCCTAGTACTTCAGCCCCGAACAGTCTCTCAGGCGGAGACTTGTGGCTACGGGATTCCCGACCCAATGGTAATACAATATATTGATCTTCCGGTCGCACGGACTGAGCTAGCAGATGATATGGATTGCAGGATCTACCAGTGATCGAGCTACCGTGGGAGGTGGCTGGCGGGATATCCGAAAGCAACAACTAGGGACTGGCACCAAATGGAAGGAAGACGGGACATGAATGCGTCGGTTCCACCCAAACGAGAAAATTACCGTCTTACTTGGCCGTTAGTACTTCCTGATACATTCTAGAGAAAAAAAAATAGAATAATGAGACAATTCAAAGGCACCCATACTGGTCTAGAACAACGGGGTTCGACCAAAGGCCTTTGGACGTGTCTCGGTGCTTTACCCTCGGCTACCGACTCGATGGAAAGCTGAGAGCGCCGTGGCAACTCATCTATAAGCGACCAAGTTCAAATGACCTCTTGCCATGGAATGACACATTGACCCTATATGAACCGACCTGGTAGGGGGAGAGGCTCGCGAACTTTCAGCTCAAATTGAGCGATCTGTGATATCCAACGCGGCCCACATTCTGACAACCAAGGGCTAACAGCAAAAGTACTCTCCAGATCTAGATCCACATCGTTCCAGAATGTAAGTTCTTTCCCGGAACTCGGGACAAGGCGGGAACTTTGGGAACAGATCGAAAGAATTGCAGAGACCACATCTGGTCCATCTCAGGCCAACGGTCGCTGGAAACGGCTCGATCGAATTCCACTGTGGAGCTATTTCTTCACGGCTCGCCCCTCCCGCTTGCCGCGAGGAATGCTAACCGTCCGATCGGGTTCTAGCATACCGATAACTGGGCTTTGAAACCTTGTTTCTTTGTCTATGGTGGAAGGGAGAGCTGTCTCGGCTGGCCCTTGAACGTATCCCTGCCCTGCGGAAGTACACAGAATCGACCCGATGCACCTCGAGGAAAAGGGAATGCGGTAGAACGGCCTGGGTAAGAATATGATTTAGACTCTGCATTGAGAAAACGGCTTTCTAGAAGGCTTGTCAACCAGTAGATGTGTCTAGACATTCTTGAAGTCCAAGACATGGATTGTCTCGGAACATGCAACCGGCGAGGCATGCATATGCCTCATCCACGACTCAAAGGGTTATTTGATTGTCGTGGATTACTTTACGGCATGTTTGATAAGAATAGATGGATGGGAGAGACCTTCATTAGCAAGGAACAAGAAAGGGACACAACTTCTGGATGGATGGGGATACACAGACTAACTAGGAACTAAATCAAAGAAAGCCCAGTAAGATAGCAAGTCGGGTATATTTTCTTGCGACAATTCAACGTCCTTGAAAATTCTACCTAGAATTGTGGAATCTACTTTGCACGCTTCACTAACACCAAATTAGGCGTATCTATCAAAGATTGTGTAATTTCTCATCTTTCTTATCCAGCTGTTGCAAGATCCGCTGCCATGATCGCGCCGCTCGTGCGGCATGTTCATCTGGCACCGATGGTCTAGACTCCCCAGTACTTCGGGAGAATACTTCCATACTGACCCATCCGGTGTAGCCCAGCCCATTGAGACAAGCATCGGCCACCTCACAAATAGGCAAATAGCCACCTCGTTCTTCTTCACACGGAAACAGACGCGCATTCCGTGACCATGAGAGTAATTTGGGCATACCTGGTGTGTGGAGGAACGGTGATCGTGGGTCGACCCGCTCTCCATCCGCCAGCTGTACCATCATGACCCGGCTAGGATCGACCTCTTGCACGAGTCGTTGCATCGATGCCTGCAAATCAATGTCTGCGTGAGCTGAGAGACGTCCCGTCGGGCTGGCCGGATCGGCCCACAGCCGTGCTGCGATGTTGAACGTGTCCAAGCAGATGCCCAGATTCGGCCGGTTTGCCCGTCGAACGATGTCCCAGCTGTCCTCCCAGGTATTGATGTACGTGCCCCAAGCCAATGCCTCGTAAGCGATACGGATAGGGAATGCCACATCCGCGGCTTGCCTGAGATCGGCCACCAGTCGGTCTCGGTCGTCGGTGATTTGCGAGGGGTCGAGGAAGGAAGAAGGAATGAGGATGAAGAGGTCGTCGCCGAGGATCTTGGATAATTCCACCCAATGCTTCAGCTCATCGATGCGCTGGGCATGCTGATTCGGATCCAATAGGCCTTCGTAGTGTCTAAAGGGTTGTAGAGCTAACACTTGGAGGCCCCGCTTTGTGCATAGATCGCGAATGGCGTGCGCGGCGTCGATCTCATACTCGCGGTCGGTGCGATCCGCCGATGCGTGACGTGCATGACGGCGCAGCGACTGGGCGAACTGCGCGAGATCATCGTGGAAGAGTTCCAGACCCCGTTGGCCATTCTGAGCAGCGGAGTCGATTTTTGCCGGGAGCGAGTGCAGATGGGCCGCGCCCAAGCTGACGGTGGCAATGGCGGGCATCCATCGCGTGTCCAGCTCAGATGGCGGCGTCGGCGGAAAGTGCATAGATATTTCCCGGCGCTAAAGAGGATATGCAACGGTCAATTGGCACGATTTCAATAGTCAATTGGGCGGGGATCCGGTGCTGAGGAAACGAAGCGGGCCCCGTTCGAACTATGTCGAGTCTATTCGTGTTCTGTCGATGGTGATGATTCCTTCCCTCGACGACGAGGCAGATATATGCAGCAAACATCGCCCCTAGAAGTGTTTTCTCTCGTTCGAGCTGCTTCCGTGTCGATCGGGAAGACTCAGGGGGTGAGCAAATGCGTCCACGAAGTGGGCCAGAATCCAATCGCTTCCCGAGAGGACACAGGATTCAGGACTCAGCTCCACCTACTCAATGCAGGACATGGGCGATGTTCACCGAACGGAGATTTCCATATTGTTCCGAATGATACAATCCTTTGTCTTCTGAATGTAGAGCGAGGTGCGCCATGGCTAGCCTCCCGTAAGCCGTCCCTCGTTTTCGGACATTCTCAACCAAGTCATCGGTGGAGGTAAAGCTGAAAATGGGCCGGGAATTTTGGGATGTTCCCAACTCCCCCGAATTGGCCGCATCCGAATGGAAGGGTAAGCCTGTGTGAGCCTGCATGATCGAGAGGGCAAGTGCAGGCAGCAGGAAAGGTGTCACTATTTACAGGATGGGCTCCCCTCCCCCGTGATACCTCAACTTCTTGATCCAACATCCCAAGTTCCAGCTCCCGAAACTCTTTCGTGTACCGCCGCCATGACAGTGACTACACCTCTGTATGCGATACTCAATCGCCTTGGACAACTCGCATTGCAAGATGGCGCAAAGCCATCACCACAAACCCACTTTGAGCTCCTTCAGATGATCGACCAACTTAAATTGGCCATCGAAACGCCGACGGAGACCGTGCTGCGGCTGATCTATCAGGTAAACGAGCGTGGCACTTGTTTGTTTGATCGGACACTTTGGTTCTGACGGTGTATAGCCTCCCCAAAATGCCGCCTTGCGCTGCGTCATTGACATGGGAATCTTCCCTCTGTTGATAGAGAATCAACATCTCGAGGGGGGAGTATCGGCCACTCAACTAGCGGAGTACACGGGCGCCGAGCAAGACTTGATCGGTAAGGAATCCCTTTCATTGCCCAATAAGCTTAGCACATCGTTCGTGTGTGACAATGGTGCCGGGTGGCCCCGCTGTGCCGAGCTAATTTCTCTCGTTAGTCCGCTTGATGCGAGTCATGGCCTCCCTAGGGCTATGCAGCACCCCGGCGTCGGGGGTGTATCGGGCCAACGATAAAACGGTGGCGTTGACGCAACCAATTGGCCGAGATGGAATACCCTGCATGTAAGCTGAGTTTTGCTTATTCGATTCCACTGTGTTCCGCTGACAAGCGCCTGACTCGTTCCAGATATGACCTGACGGTTCCCACATTGGGCAAACTGCCCGAATATCTGCGCGCTCACGACTATGCCAATCCACAGGAGTATGCTCGCTCACCCATGCATTGGGCAGTAGGTCAGAGCCAGTTCGAGTGGCTGGCGAGTAACAAAGATCAACAGACCTTGTTCAACTCGTACATGGCGAGTCGCAGACAAGGCAAGCCCATGTGGTTTGACGTCTACCCTGTGGAGAGGCTGTTAGGACATGCAGTTCCCTGCGAGGACACGGTCTTCTTGGTGGATGTTGGTGGCAATCAAGGCCACGACCTGAGCAAGTTTCGTCAGCGATACCCCCATCTCCCTGGTAAGCTGGTATTGCAGGATTTACCCAAAGTGGTCAAGGGCGTGTCCGGTCGTGAAGCACGCATCGACGTCATGGCATACAGCTTCCTAGATGCCCAGCCCATTCGTGGCGCTCGGGTATATTATTTCCGTTCGATTTTCCACGACTGGCCCGACCATATTTGCCAGCAGATCTTGCGTAATACCATGTCAGCCATGGCGGCGGACTACTCGCGCATTCTCATCGTGGATTTTGTGTTGTCGGACACGAATGCCCCCTTACTACAGGCTTCTTTGGACATTCAGATGATGAGCATCGGTGCTGGTGTGGAACGATCAAAGACTCAATGGAGAGACTTGCTTCATAGTGTAGGTCTGGAGATTTCTGGAATTTGGAATCAAAGCCCTGGCATGGAGTCCGTGATCGAGGCGATTCCCATGCCTAGGAAGTGCGATTAACGGCGAGGGAATTCATGGACGGGCAAACTGTAACCACCAACACATGAGACTTTTCTGTAAATATCTTGCACTTCGCGAGCTATTCAAGGATATTCGATTATTGGATTACTTGTATCAAAATGTATCGGCTGCCGTCCTGGGTCAACTTCACTTCACTCATTTTTCTTCAACAAGGACTTCGCCCCAGCCGTAGCAACGTCGTCCACCACGCGAATTCGCGAAAATTGAAGTCCTCTCTGGTTCAGTTGCTCTCTCAAAGTACGCTGATATCCCTCATTCCTCATCAACCCACCAGCGAGTATCAACTCGGTCTCTTGGGCTGCTGCATATCCGCTGCTCCTCGAGTCCACCAGACGTCCCACCGTCTTGGTGACCAGGTGTGATATTTGACTCTTTACGATTGCCTCGGCGGTCTTGTCGTGCAATGCCAGTTCCACCACGGTCTCTGCCAGCTGGGAAATGCGAGTCTTGACGGTTTCTTGGTGATGCCCGGACAAAATGTGGCTGAGAACATCGATCCGACCGTCCATCGATGTCGCGCAGCCCAGCTTTCTGATCACTGCTTCCTCTAATGCGTCCAGTCGTGGAGGCCGAAGGTCCAGAGTCTGCTCTTCTAGGACAAGAAGCGTATGCTTGATGGCTTCCAATCCAATCGAATACCCGCCGCCCTCGTCTCCTAGCATGTGGCCCCAACCGCCCGAACGAGCCACGCGGACATATCCTCGACCCTCCTTCCAGGCATACCGCATGGCAACGCTACCAGTCCCCGCGATGAGGACAAGTATAGAGCAAGGATGATGGTCTACAGAGACTGATGCTGGGAGCAGATCCACGTCACTCGTCAGCCGGAAGTCAGCCGTGGTATGGTCGAGACCGAACATCTCCGCCAAAATCGGAGTCAATGTTTTATGCACTCCAGCACGGTCTAGGCCTGCAAGCCCAACCCAAACCGAACGGAAGCAGGATCTCAGATATTGCTTCCACTCTGCATCACTGGGTTCCGTGCCATTTGGAAGATGTCCCTTGAGTGCATTCTTGGTCGCGTCAACCAACGTAGCAACTACTCCCGGCACATTGCCAATACCGTCAGTCCTGGAGATGTGGTTAGTTCATCTTTGTGCTCTCATCACGGGGGGGGGGGGGTTAAATATGCATACAGGTTACAAGGACCAGCATAGCCATGGCTCATGTTGCCAGCGATATCGGCAATTGCCGCGGCACATTTGGTACCGCCGCCGTCGATACATAATGCAAATCGCTTGGAATAGTTGTCGTTGGGTGAAACAGTCTGGGTGGACGGGCATGCTTCGTCCAACGCCGCAGCCAACACGCCTCCAGCCGAATCCAGGTGCCGCTGGCAGATCTCTATCGTTTGCCCGGTCTCGGCAACAAGCATTGCAAGCTTGACACTGCGCTTGGACTGTGCAAGAAGTGCATCTAGCTCCGAATCGGACATGGAGTTGCACTTGGGGCTGAGTCGACGCAGCATGTTACGTGACCGCTGTTCTAGCTTGAGGTTTGATGCCACCATGTCGACCATCTAGATCGAGGTCAGTAAACTGTCGCTCATAGGATCTCACGATGAGTGTCATACCATATTACCGTAGGTCTTGCCCACACGGATCATCGTGCCCGTACTGAGCATGTTCAAGACCAACTTTGTTGCTGTACCGGATTTGAGTCTCGTGCTGCCCGTTACAACCTCTGGCCCAGGGAGCGGAGCAATAAGAAAGTCCACATCACCGGAGCGGCTCATCGCCGAAGGCGATGCACATGCAACACCAATCGTGACGCAACCTCGCCGTTTGGCATAGGCAAGACATCCTAAAACGTACGGCGTCCGGCCTGAACTAGCGATTCCGATGACACTATCAAGCTCCGGGTCCAGGTTGAGGCGCTCCAGGTCATCTTCGCCGGCTTGAGCGTTATCCTCGGCGCCCTCTTGCGCTTGTCGGATAGCTGCATCCCCGCCCGCAATTATCCCGATGAACTGGGAGTGCGGAGCGGCAAAAGTGGGTGGGATCTCTGAAGCATCCAGGATACCCAGTCTAAACGTTTTTCGCCGTTGGCCATCACTCTCTTTTATCGGTGAAGAAGTACTCACCTTCCACTAGTTCCCGCGCCTACATACACGACGCGGCCTCCTTGACGTACACGCGGTGCCAGGGCGTCAATCGCTCTGGCGATTTCAGCTAGACATTCCTTGACGCTCTCGGCTACTCTGTGGTCATCAGAGTTGATGACCGTACACATCTCCAATGTCGACATGCGGTCAATGTGTATCGTCCGGGGGTTAACCCCCTCCGTCTGCAGTTGGGCTAAGCTGGTCAAATCCATGGTGTGGGCACTCGATGAATGCGAGTACGTATCGAACGGTTCCCAATAATTTGAACACGGGCTTGAAGCACAAAGGTGAACAAGAGTCGTTCCCAGTGGCACAAGTGCTGACTACCAGTTTCGCGATTCTTCAGGCAAACACGACACTAGCCAGGGCCCAAGCGCAGCGTTGCCGACTATCGTTGGCCGACTTGGCCTCTTCATCGTTCCTGGGCCCGCTTCGGAGACTCGGGTCACTGCCGTTACGCTGCAGGAAGCCGTCTACCAGTGGTTCGTGCACAAGCGAGTGTTCCCTCGGCTCTCGCTCAGCGACATGCGGGTGGGGGCGTCAAAGCCCAAGTCGCAACGAGGGTCCGTGGTGGTGTTTTGAGTGCCCCCTGGCCGCTGTCAACCGCGGGTGGGCCCCCTAAAGTTCACACACGCGACCTGTGGAGCTTCTTTCCTCAAGAAACTTGCCCGATGTGGAGTGATTCTGCGGTCCTCCCCGCTCGACGGCGACGAGTCGATGGAAAGTCGAGCGGCATTTGCGAGCAACTGATAAGTCATGGCGTTGCTTTGATTGGCCCGCTCCCCCGTTCTGGGGAACTTGCGATGCTTCCAACGCAACGGTAGAATTCAGGAGGGATCGGCAAGCTGGCCGAGGTAGCGTTGCAAATACAACACAAATAGCCTTCGTATTTGAGGAGGGGCCCAGAGTTTGTATTTATTCCTCTCGGCAGGTTCTGGAACTGAAAGAAACAGACAGTCCTTGGAGGCATCTGTTGTTGCTGGCTGGCTCTAATCTTATACTTGCTCGACGCGATGGAGAACGGCACAAGATCTGGAGATGCCGCTGGCTCGGGGGTGCATGAGAACGAAGCTGGCAAGCGTTCGGTCTTCTACCAAATCTACACTCACTGTTGGTTTCAGATTATCCTTATCAGCTTCATCTGTTTCTGTTGTCCTGGAGTGTGTCGCTCGAGATCCTTATACTGCTTGATCACTACTAACGCTCTGCTGCAGATGTACAATGCCCTCGCCGGTCTAGGAGGCTCCGGTCAAGTCGACCAGACAGTGGCCGCCAATGCCACCGTTGCTCTCCTCGCTGCGACGGCTGCGACTGCGCTGTTTGTGGTGGGACCTATCTTTGACCGTGTCGGTCCTCGAGTATGTCTCCTGCTCGGCGGATGGACCTATCCCTTGTACTCGGGCAGTTTGCTGTGCTTTAACGGTATGGCTGATGATCTATTCATGAGACTTCCAGGCTCCATGCTAATATCAGGTTTTTTTCAATCCAGCTACCCAGAACGGTGCCTTTGTGATCGCCTCCGGCGCGATTCTTGGTGTGGGGGCCTCGTTCCTGTGGGTTACACAGGGCGCTATCATGACCACGTATGTGAAGGAATCGCACAAAGGACGAGCCATTGCCGCGTTCTGGGTCATCTTCAACCTTGGTGGTGGTGTGGGCTCACTCGCGAGCTTCGGCCTCAATTATCATTCGAAGAGTGGCACTGTTTCGGACGGGACTTATATCGCTCTACTCATCATCATGGCCATTGGATGGCTGTTGGGTGTCTTCATCTGCCCACCGACGAGCGTGCGTGTCTCCCAACTGCAAGCCACACCGCAATCTGAGAAGAACTGGCGTCAGACGGCACGACAGGCACTTCGTACGATGACCGACTGGCGTGTGCTGTGCATGCTGCCGTTGTTCTTTTCGGCCAATGTCTTCTACTCTTACCAGCAGAATGTGGTCAACGGTATGACTTTCAACATTCGGACACGCTCGCTCAACGGTGCGCTCTACTGGATTGCGCAGATGCTGGGTGGGTTGATCATGGGTCTCGTCCTGGACATGCCAGGCTTCAATCGGCCTATGCGGGCTCGTATTGGCTGGGCTTTCCTGTTTGTGACGGGCATGGCCATCTGGGGAGGTGGATATGCTTTCCAGAGATGGTCGGATCGTCGAATCGCCGCGGGCTTCAAGCAGGACATTGATTACAATCAAGGGAGTATTTCCGTCGGTCCGATCTTCCTCTACATCTTCTACGGTGCCTACGATGCCTTCTGGCAATCTTTCTGCTACTGGCTCATGGGTGCCCGTTCCAACTCCCCCGCCGAGGCTGCAATCACGGTGGGCGCGTACAAAACATTCCAGGCGACTGGCGGTGCCATGGCCTGGCGCATCAATGCCTTGAAGAAGCCCGCCATGACGCAATTTGCGATGGACTGGGGTCTATGTATGGGCTCGCTCGTCATTGCCATTCCGGCGGTCCTTGCAGTCACTCTCACCAGTGACCTAGATTCGGTGGCTATCGAAGGCAGGGATACAGCTGACTTCAAAGACAAATCTCAGCTGGAAGGTAAGGCATGAGAGAATCCGCAATGACCTTGCTAGTCTGGAATGCACACAATCACCTTTGTATGGACAAGACTTGATATGTCCTTCAGTTGCGCCCTCTCCAGGGGGCATGCTCGTTTGTTCGTAGACCATTAAGAGAAGCGTATATACACGGATTATCCCGAACAAGACGTGCAGTCAATCCTGAATTTCCCTACCGAACGCAATTCTTCAGGATAGCAGTCTCCATCCACAGCTTGGTGTACTGTTGGTGCAACCACACCACGACGGGACCCATGGGAGCTCCCTCGGCCTTGCCTAGGCCCTGGTAGAAGCAGCTCTTGAGGGTGAACACAGCCTCTCCCTTGTCCTGGTCCACCACCGCGCCCATCTCAAACAGACCGTCGGAGGGGCGGACGCCTTGCTCGCGAGGGGAGGCACCACAGCGGACGACAATCTTCTCATCAGTCTTTTCGACCACCTCGAAGTGGTCAGTAATGATGGTGCCGACCTCGTAGTTGCTTGCGAGGAGGTCCTTGCGCTCCCAAAGATTATGGGCGGTCTCGGGGCCCTTGTACTTGTTGGCTAGGATTGCGCGCTGGGGAATGTATCCTACAGGGGGCGAAGAAAATACGTTAGAGAACGTGGAAGGACAGAATAGCGTTTTCCCTCGAGCACGACGAAAGGTACGTGAGCTTACCCATGCCACCCCAGACACCCGCGCAGAAAGCCTCGACCAGCTTTCCCTTCTTCTCCAGTAACGAGGGATTGATCTTGTCCAATGGGACACGACGAACGCAGAGGTCGTGTAGCGTCGGGTTGCGCTCAGGGTTGAATTTTTGGAAGAACGGCGAGGAGAAAATGGGATCGTTGGCGTCCATGGGCTCAAAGACGTCATTGCGCGTGGCTCCGAAGAAGATACCGACCGAGGCGACGGTGCCGGCGGCAGTCACCTTGAGGACGCGGCTGATGAGGCCCATTTTGGCGTGGTGAGAATGACTAAAGGGAGACGGGGAGGAGGAGGAGGAGAGGTGGAAGAGGGTGGGAGGATATGGGAGGATAGAGAGAAAGCAGCTCTCCGGAAGTGGTGAGGTGGTGGAGGAGAAAACTGCGGAGAAGACCCGACCGAAAGTTGGCCCCGTCACGAGGGCTCGGCCAAGACGCCGAGTAGATAAAGTACTTGAAAGTACAATTGCTTCTAGACTCGGGCAATCAATTGATGTAGTCTTGGAAGGAAAGACTACCTATAATGGACAGTAGGAAAGAAAAGAAAATTCATGGCCTTGCGTGATGCCTTGTCAGTCACGGACTTATACTGGTCACCTTAGATACCTCCGCCAAGATATATTCTTCTGCGGCTCTATCTCGAGATTCTTCCAAGGTTCCTCAGCTTTGTCTCCCCACAAACCCCCACGACACCCTGAAAGAGGAGAGGACGGCTTTCAAGTGTGCATAGATCATGCGCCTTAAGGTTGGGGTCGACTTTCTCGGTGAACTTGAATGGCATTTGCTTGGAAAGCCCCGCAGAAAGCCAGCACATTACTGTACGTTGGAGGAGCTTTGGAAAGCTCCCATTCTCGAGAGCGAATCCCGATGAACACTTGAGGCTCAAGGAAAGAGTGCTGGAAGAGTCCTTCCTGGGCCCCAAGCGAGGATTGCGCGATAGTCGACAATCGTTCCTAGGCTGAATCGCGAGGCCAAGCAGATCTCAACAATCGGAAATGCCCAACACCTCTTCTCTGCGAAGTGACAACTCACTGGGAGGGACTACCCTTCCCCCCGGAAAGGACTGAGATCAAACCAGCTGCTCACCAGTCATGGCTCCTCCGTACTTGAAATGTGGAGAGGGTTCACCGGAATTCATTGTCTGGGAACTATCACAAGACCCATTCTCGCGGTCAGATTAGTAGAAATCAATTCATTCCAGCCTTTATATTTTTCGTTGAAGGGAACCAATACACGAGAATGGGCCCCGGCGAGTTAATGAGAAAGAAGGCCACGAAGAAAATTACGAAGATATCGGCTAGGATGCGTCAGGTCTTGAAAACCCCAATAATAGTTATAACCAGTACAATTTGCGTGATGAGATCTATAACATTCTGATGAGAGGCTTGCCGGCTCGGAGAGATACCTCTTTCACCGGCCCCCATGATCCTCTAGCAAGTCCAAAAATCAATAAAAAAATGACGATAGAAGTCCAATGTAGCCTCCACGTGTGCAGAGCCTAAATGAACGTGAACGATCGGAAATTCAGTAAAGTGTGCAGATGCTCCCATCTTCAAGTACTCCCTGGAGAAAGTCTCTGTCGATCTCTAGGCGATATGGAAATCCAGAATGGGGAAGCCGGAAGAGACAGACGAAGGAAGTTCAGACGAAACTCCCGAAGACGGACGAAGGGCTGGAACCCGTGGGAGTAGCACTAGGGATGCCACTAGACGAGACAGTAGGGGTAGGCCGAGCCTTCGAAGTGAAGCCACGCTTTTGGACACCACTGGAAGCCAAAGCAGCAATCGACTCAATGTCAGAAACCAGGGAAGGTAGATCGGTGGGAATAGTGAGAGAACCATCACGCTTCTGGGCACCGCCAGAGGCAAGGGCAGCGAGTGCGGACTGAGCATCGGAGACCAAAGAGGGCAAGTCTGTGGGCAGGGCAGCGGATTCAGCACGCTTGTGCTTCTGGGCTCTACTGGATGCGAGAGCTGCGGCAACAGACTCGACATCGGAAATAAGGGAAGGGAGATCGGTCGGGATTGTCAACGATCCGTCGCGTTTCTGGGCTCCGGCTGAGGCAAGCGCCCCTAGAGCCGACTCGGCATCCGAGATCAACGAGGGCAGATCCGTTGGGAGAGCGGGCAGGCCGCTACGCTTAGGCAGGATGGATGCCGGCTCTGATCCAAACACGGGAAGAAAGGAGGATGCAGAGAGCCCAGTGCTCGAGGGAGTAGAAATGGTTGAAGAAGTGGAATTCACATTGGTTCCATTGGAGTAGAATGGAGCGGCAGCGGCAGAGCTCGAGAGAGCAAGAATCATGCTGAAAACGGAAGCCTTCATTGTGGAAGATGATATTGAGATGAAAATCTGATGAGAATGACTTGCCAAGTTGAGAGATTCTCAGGATGTCGAAGTACCGAGACAGATGGTCTTGATTCTGTTTGATAATGGGGATTTGAAGAGGGACTCGGAGGGGTTTTTATATCTTGTTCATCCCTGGCTATTTCGTCAGAACCAACAACTTGCGGAAGTCGCGGAGCAGCCGAAGTAAAGCCTCGAGGCGAGAGTGAGCCGATACATCCTCCATATTGCTGCTGCATTTAGGCAAGTGGTGGGGTCAGTATTGTTCGGGCCCGGATGGAATTCTGGATGGGCATATTCGTGATTGATCGGCACTCGTCCAGCTCGGCAAAGTTCGACCGTGAGGACATTGCAGACGATGGGTGCCCCGAGAAGTAGATGATAATGAACTAAAAGTAGATCGATGATCCACTCTTAGGAGGTTGGCCCTGGATGTCAAGTCTGGCTCATTGATACACGGTTGATATGAAACAAGCGATAATCTGCACCTATTGGCCGTGAATATCTCTGGGTACATTTAAAGTTCAGCATTTCAGGGAAAAGGGTCCACTTACACAGGAACGATCCAGGCCCTTAGGCCAGCGCCTGGAGATCGTCTGGGCAGGATCGGACAAGATGATGTGGAGATGATTTATCAGCGCGAAATCTTTCATTCTCTTGATAAGAACGCGTTTGGCATGAAAGCCGACATAAGGATGATGCTGACTCTGGATCTGATTGGAACAAGATGGAGAATCTCCATTGTTCAGTCTTAAATTTAAGACTTGTAGGATTCAGGGACTGCGATCGGCCCTTGACGATCCCCGTTGTGGCGCCGTTTCTGGCGATTGGGCCGAACCTTTTCCACTCGTCCCATTCGCAGTGGAAGTTCGGTCCGCCTCTCAGCGCCATTCCTCGTGGGGTTCTCCGTCGTTGAACCACAATTGGTAATCGGCTAAACTCGACACGCGGATAAGTGATTGATCTTCACAGCTATGAAAGAGAAGTGATCAGCAAAATATCGGATCTCAACTGCCGAAGTTCGCATTTGATATATTAGAATAGTGCATGATGACTGACGCGACCATAACCCCCAATAGCATCTCGATCACGCCATGCAAAGAGACCATGGAACCTAGATCATCCGCGAGGAAGAAGAGAAACTGGTGTACGGTCCAGTGGATGTTGTGTACGATGACGGAAATGTTGGAGCACTCGCTCGAAGGTCGAAAGATCGGAGGTGGATTGCGTGACAATTGGGTTTTCGGCTAATCATGCCGGTCTGTCTTATGATGATTTAATTTGTAAGTGTAATGGGTGTAAAGCTTGGAATCTTGGATTGACACGAGCTCACCATCTTGTCAATGACTTGAAGACGAATGGCAGACGCATCAAGAAATGTCGGAAATTCCCCGGCTATTTGCCCAATACGAATCTAAGATGGGTGACTGGAAATATTTCCTGACCACAGAGAGCACCGATGTCAGAAAGAGATGGATTTTCCACTCTGACAAATTTCAATCCTTGAGTAGGCATTTGGAAAAGATTCAATAGGTTCAAAGATATGATTAATTATGTTCTTTTGTGTACCGTTTAAGCATCATAAGCGGCGTTAAGGGTCATGCTCATAATCCGCGCTCTGGCATCAACGTCTCATAGCCCCCCAACCGTACGGCTCTAGGGCTGAATATACGTCCGGTGGCCTCCGTGTATGCGCACCATGACGAGCCACTCAGTTCCGCTTCTGGATCTTTTCCCATTGCGGCTCGAGGTTACGGCCAATCGCGCGGGTTGCCTCCTTCTCCAACTCACGCTGACTTAGACCAACACGCTTGGAGATCTTGGACGCAGAGTCCTCGCGAGACATTTGCACTAGAAAGGCATGTTAGCGGATGGTCAGAAAAAGAAGTTTACATGGGATGAAATCATACCATGAAGATAGACGGCGGCCTTCTTGCCAGTAAACATGGCATGGGGCACGTTAGTGCTGCCGTCGCTATTAGCATCGCCAACGGCATAGACGCCCGTGACGTTCGTGCGCATGCCACTGGCATCGACATTGATCTTCTCTTTTGTGACATTCAGGTGCATCTGGTATGGCAACGAAGAGCGCTGTACTGCTGCAAAGTTGGTAATGAAGGCGTTGCGCTCAACGGGCTCGCCGGTAGTAAAGTGCACCAAGAACTTGTCAAACTGCATATCGGTGGTCTTGTTCTGGTGGGTCTCGCCATCCTGAAGGCGCTCGATCGAAGCAATGGTACGGTTCTCAATCTTGATGTTCCAAGCCTTGAGCTGCTCTCTCCAGTCTTCGTGCGATGCAGTGGCCTGGGCCTCTCCCGCTGGGGTCTGGGTGCCATTGACAAAAGCGACGATGTCGGAGAACTGAGTGTTCACTTCCAATACACTGCCAAGCACATCAGAAAGATTACCGAGGATACCAAATGACTGGTCTCGGTGCTCGTAGCCATCACACCAGGGGCACCAAAAGATACCCTTGCCCCAGGCTTCCTGCAGACCGGGGGTATCGGGTAGCACATCACGCATGCCAGTGCCGAGGACGATCTTGCGCGCAGTGTAGTTCTTGCCTGATGCATCAACAACGGAGAATACAGAGACCTCGTTCGTGCCAATGGGGGTGATCGACTTGACGGTGGCGTTCTTAATATGAGCCGTGGGATACTTGAGGATCTGCTCGCGAGCCAGGGCACGAAACTCGGCGGGCGGAGTGCCTGGGACTTTTTGTTAGCCTGAGAGGTAGAGAATGATAAATTGATCGCATATTAGGGTTATTACCATCATTGCCAATGACATCGTGCATGTTACGGGTAGGACCATTGCGGTACTCCTGATTGTCGAAGAGCAGCGCGGTTCGTCGCACGCGAGAGACGCCACTCAGGGCACTGAGACCCGCAGGACCACCGCCGACAACGATGACATCGTAGTCTGTCTTGGGGATGGACTCAGCAGCTACGAGAGACCATAGTGACAGAAAGATGGACAGATACGTCGCGATTCTCGGAGCCATGGTGACGGACCCGAAACAGAGGCAGGAATCTTATAAGCACGGTAGGAAACCACGAGCAATCACGGACTGTAGGGGAGCTACCTCTCGGCTTTTATAAGCTTCCAGACCTGCCAGCTCTTGAAATCGTTGCGCATTATTTCTGCTCATAATGGCTCAGATCGACTCGAAGCGTCACACCCAAGCCCACTTTCGTGTGCCAATCAAGATCGGGACTGGATCACGGTGGAGGACGTAGCAGGATTTACGAACTTCCATTTTGTCCCCAGCTGAGTGAGCTGCAGAGATCGTCGAGATCAGCATCCCTTGCAGAAGTCTAGCGTGGTAGCTGCTTGGATTTACTCGGATGCCGCGGATTGACAAAGTGGAGGCGATGCCACTCGAGGTGCTTGGCCAGCGCAAGGACAGGGCTAGGCCATTGATAGACTGAATTCCGTAATGAGAGGTTGAATAGTGAATTGCCCCAACTTCTGCCAATTCTCAGAGGATCATCTTGTGGGGGCACTGTATGTACTGGACCCCAAGTGCGGGCTGGTCCCTCGAAAAAAAAAAAGTAAACATTGGCTCGGCCTCGGGAGGAGAGCGATGAGAAGAGGCACTGCAAGATTCAGATCTTCCGGCTGAAAACTGGGGCAGGCCGCTCCAAAGTGGAGTCTGGTTGGCCCTGGGGGCACTAGCCCAGGAAGTTGAGCCAGTTGAGAAGCTGGACCTGGCTGCGATGGGCCCTTCACGTCACACGGGCTAGAGAAGACCGTGCATGACTGTGTGAGTCCGCAGAACAGCAGAAAGCAGTCGGGGTACAGTTCTGATGTCAAACTCCATGTTGTTGACCTGTCGTCTCACTCTGTAAATTGCATTTTATGGTCTAGGAGCCCAGACCACGATGCGAATCACTGACTTCTGCATGTCTGCTCCTTCTGCTGTCAACAATAATGATGTTCCTCACGAGGGTTCAGCTCAGCCCCAAACGATAGTCGGTGGGTTCTGCAGCCCACAGTGGGTCAACCTTCTTAGCTGCCAATCGTGGTTCCTCGGGCCATCAGCCCACATCTGCATCGTGAGATCATGGGAAGATCAAGATTTTCGGAGTCGGGGATCGAAAAAAAAAAAAAAAAACCAGAATACTGAGAGGTGATCGCGCTGAGGTGGATGGTGAACAGGAAGACAAGAAATCCGAGTTTGTCGTCAAAACTGCATGTCCCGTGACATTGGATATCTCACCACAAAGTACATCCATCGAAAATGAACACAATGTTACTCATTCAACCTTTCTAAAACTTCGACTCTCATTCTCACAGACTAAAGATTACCGTCCCATCCACCCGCCATCCACTGTGTGAATTTCACCACTCACATACGCACTCGCCCGGCTGGCCAGATACACCACCGGTCCCTTAAAATCACCTGGATTTCCCCATCGCCCAACAGGAATCCGTGCTAGAATACTCGCCGCCCGCTGTTCATCCTGAATCAACGCCGTGTTCATGTCCGTCGCAACGTACCCGGGCGCAATGGCGTTCACATTGATTCCCTTGGACGCCCACTCGTTGGAGAGAGCCTTGGTTAGCTGTGCGATGCCTCCCTTGGCTGCGGCATAGGCGGGTACGGTGAGACCACCTTGGAAGGAGACCAGTGAGGCGATGTTGATGATACTGCCACGTTGACCCGAGGCGTTTGGAGTGCGGGTGAGCATGTATGCCCCGACGTCGCGGCAGAGAGTGAAAACAGTGGTGAGATTGACTTGGAGCACCTACGACCGCAGTTGTTGTGAGCAGTGGTTGCATATTGGAATGAGATAAAAGTTGTCGCACGCAAGAAAAACTAACCTCGTCCCAGTCTTCGTCGGGGAAGATATGACTAGGGTGGCGCCGTTGAATTCCGGCACAGTTCAGCAGAATGTCGATATCGTGTCCATCGCCGATCACCGTCGATACCAGTTTAGAAACTGATGATTGCAAAGCCAGGTCGGCCGTATAGATGCTGGCTTTGCGGCCTAATTGCTCAATCTGCTCCTTGGTGCCGAGGTTACTGGTATCTCGCTAGCATATCGGTATCAGCTACCTCGTTCTTCATTAAGCGTCGAGGCCAAGGGCACGTACCTGAACTAATACAATGTCGGCTCCTGCCTCTGCGAGCGCGATTGCCATGGCTTGCCCGATACCGCGGGTGCCTCCAGTCACGAGGGCAGTTCGACCTTGTAGAGAAAACAGATCCATTGGTGAATTTAACGAGCGATGTACTTCGTTGCTGTATGGATCCGATCTTATCAGCACTGCGGGGAAACAAGCCCCCTTATATTGGGCTTGTGCCTGATGACTTGTACCCCCACGCCTTCCCCGCGCTGAGCGTGGAGATTGTCTAGACGGATCACGCTATTCGCAACGAATGCGAGGCTGTCGGGTTAACTCAGCCCGGGCGAGATGTGCCTAGCGGTATTCATGAGCTCTTGAATAATGAGAATCCCGCTTTGGAGAGCCCAGCTAGATACAGTGAGGCATTCAACAACCGAAGCTTAAGGGATATGTAATCAAGTTCTTAACATGACGAATTCAAATACAGTCTATAATATTAATCTACCACTCCCGAATAGACCCATCAGGTCCAAAGAACTCCTTAGGCTGCCAGGGTTCTGTTTCCTGGCTGATTTTGCGCACCAATTCCTCATCAATCTCAATACCCAGACCGGGCTTGGTAAGGGCGGCGACATATCCCTCCTTGATATCAAAGACGGATTTGTCGACGAGGTAGCTATTCAGGTCGATATCACCCGCCTCAAGATTATAGTGCATCCCCAGGGACATCTCTTGAATCACAAAATTGGGGGTGGATAGGGCGATCTGCATTGATGCCGCAAGGGCAATAGGGCCCAGCGGGCAGTGCGGCGCGATTGCCACGTCGTAGGTCTCTGCCATGGTGGCAATGCGCTTGGTCTCGGAAATCCCGCCCGCATGGGCAATATCGGGCTGGAGTACATCCACGGAGCTGTCTTCCAAAAATCGCTTGACGTCCCATCGTGTGTAAAGGCGCTCGCCGAATGCAATGGGAATGGTAGTACTGTTGGACAGCTGTTTGATGGCCTCGGGGTGTTCGCAGAGAAGGGGCTCTTCGATGAAGAGAGGGTTATGAGGCTCCAAGGCCTTTGCTAGCTGCTTAGCCATGGGACGATGTAGGCGACCGTGGAAGTCAAGACCGGCATCTAGACCCAGGGCCTTGACTTGTTTGAGACGCTCGACGCAGGATTGGAGGGCGGCGGGGGAGTCGAGCCAGTTGAGATCCTCAGTGGCATTCATCTTGACGCACTTGAGACCTTGGGCGATTCGGGCCTTGCTGTAATCAAGCCCCCGTTAGATACGGTCTCGCGCAATTCTATCACGACATTCGGGTTATACGTACGCCATGGCCTCGACATCGGCCGGCCGATCACCACCAATCCAGCAGTAGACCTGCACCTTGTTGCGTACCTTGCCGCCCAGCAATTGGAATACTGGAACTCCCAATCGACGGCCCTTGAGATCCCAAAGTGCAATGTCAACGCCGGAGAGGGCGGACATGAAGACCGGGCCTCCTCGGTAGAATCCAAGTCGCCACACAAATTGCCAAATGTGTTCGATGTCGCTGTCCACCGGATCAGTACTGTCAGAGAAATACGGATATGCATGTCCTGAGCGTGATACTTACTCGGCTTCAAAGCCAACAATGCGCGCGATAATCTCGTCTAGCGCTCCTTCTACAGCCAGGGAATGGCCCTCGAGGGTTCCCTCGCCCCAGCCGAAGTTGCCGTCTTCATCGGTAATCTTGACGAACAGCCAACGGGGCTTGACCCGAAAGTACTCGATCGACTTGATTTTAGCCATTTTGCCGGAGGGAAGTGGAAAGGAAGAAGTGACGATGCTCAAACAGAACGGAGGCAATTCCAAGTGGTGGAGCGGATCCCCGGCGTCATATACGAAGTCGCGCGTCGCGTGAAGAAGAATTTCCCCTCCTCTGGCCTACCCCTCCCCTTCACGATGACCTGTCGGATGATCCCATTTCACCCCCAATACTCCACACATCTGAATTGCACCCCACGCGGGGGTCAATGGGGACAGAAAGAGACTCGGGAGAAGTCCGGGAGAAGTCTGGGGGTGGAGACGCGATCGCGCCACAAATTGTGCCCCCACGTTACTGCGGGAAGCCATTATTGGTGGAGGAACTCGCGGAACTGGGTCAGGTAAAGGTATGGAAGATGAGGGGAAGCGGGTGGATAACTGGCATGTTGACGAGTGCCGCAGTGTCGTTTCGGCTGTCGCTAATAAGACCAAAGTAGCGAGTAGCCGACCAGCACTGAATGATCGGACAGATACTAGAGCTTACTGCCGTGCCAACTGTTTACTCGTACACTCGTGTTCTACAGTGACCACCGAAGTACTAAAATCAATCATTGAGCATACTAAACCACCGAAATCCTCCACAGCCCCTAGTAGAGGTAGCGGAAGTTGAGGTTCTCCTTGTCAGTCAAATCACTAAACGCAGTCCGATCAAGCTCTAACTGCCGCTCGTAGTCCGTCTGGCTACCGCAGATTACACCTTGCACCCGGTCGCGGCGTCGATTCTCCCATGCGAGCGCGAATCCTAGAATGATAATCAAAGCAATTTCCACCACGTTGGCCACGATCATCGACCAAATGCCCAACTCGTAACTGGGGGCCTGCTCGGACTTATAGAAGAAAGGTCCGGCAATGTTCCCGACGCAGACGCCCAGAAAGATCATCGCGTTGGTGACCACTTTCTTGGTATGACCGGCAATGTTGCCCGTCAAGATGGACAGAATGATCACGAAAGAGGCATTATACGAGCCGGTCAGATAGTAGCAGATTAATCGGCCCACCTGATTAGTTTCGGGCACGTAGTGTAAACCAAAGGAGCCGGCCAGGTTGGGAAGGAGAAACGCCACCGCGACGATGCAGCGATTGCCTTGTGGGAGGCGATCGTTGACAAATACTGCGGTCAGGATCATAAAGGCAATAAACGCTCCATAGGGAATCTGCATGAGCGTTGTGACCACTATGTTTACCATTTAGCTGTCAGGTATCCGATTACGGGAAGTTTGGGGGAGCATACAAGTAGAGAAACCAAAGCCCTGGATGATCAAGGTACCAAAGTTGGAAATGCCTCCATTGGGAATATTACCGGAGAAGCCGAGCAAGAAGAAGACCCAGACTTTCCAGTCCAAAAATGCTTCCACAATCTGTTTGGGCTTCATGGTCCGATTCTCCACGCCCGTTTGGTTGTCTCGCAGGCGCTCAACGGCCAGTCGCTTTTCGCGGTCCGAGAGTTGAGGCGCCGTGACTGGGGAGTCTGGAAGGAAGATGACCATGACGATACCCCAGATACAGCACAGGGCCCCAATAATGAGGAACTCATACTTCCAAGAGGGAAGACTTCCCTTGATCTGTCCGATGCCGTATCCAAACAGCCCACCGATGGCGATGCCGAAGCCGTTGGCCGTATACCACAGGCCGATTCGAATGGGCTGTTGACGACGGGTATACCACATACTTGTGATGAGCATGAATGCGGGGTCACTCGAAAAGAATCAGTAATTTTCCGATGGATATGAGTGAAAATGACTTCGATGCGACCAACCTGCATGCTTCGGCGGCGCCCGATATGACTCGTAGCACGGCAAGTTGGGTAAAATTCTTCGCGGCCGCTGTCCTGACGTTAGTCGAGCCTTTTTTGCCCCGATTTATAGCATGGCACATACCCTGCAGCATCAAGAAAAAGCCCCAGAGAAAGATGTTGACACCCAGATACTTGCCAACCGGGAATCTCTGCATCAGCAGGTTGGTGGGAAACGACCACACCAAGAAGCCAAAGTAGAAGACACTCGAGAGCCATGAGTATTCTTTGCCGGAGAGATTCAGGTCATCCCGAATCCCAAAGATGGCAGCATACGACAAAGTTGTTTTGTCAATCTAAACTCGGTATGATCACGAGTTAGGATGTTGTTCTGTAGTCTTTGTTCTCGTCCGAATGGCGGCAATGCAACTTACATAGTAGAATGCATAACAGACTGCTAAGAATGGCAATATCATCAGGTCAATTTTTCGAACGAGCTTTTTCTCTTCCCCGACCTCGAAACCCTCGTGCATGTCCTCGAGGTTGTCGAATAAAGCCAATGCGGCGTCACCATTGTGAATCTTGGCAGTGTCGGTGGGGATATGCGAGCCTTCGACATGTCTGGTCGCCGGCTTTGGCCCACTCAAGTCTTGCATCGTGCTCTGGGCCATGTTTGAATGACTCTGTCAAAATCTCTTTCACCTCGAGATACATTACAAATCGCACAACAGGAAGTAAACGGCAGATGGGACATCTGTTATACCCAGGTCGCGGCAGCGATGCGAATGTTTCTCGGTCATCCCTCACACCCCAGATTCTCCACCAAACAAAATTGTAGTATCATGGAGGATCGGCACGCGGGGAAAACAGTGTTGACAATGTTTTCCGCCCTAAACATGCGATAGTTTCTATCAGGATTGAGTTGTCATCATCTCCCGCTGGGTGTGAACCCCCACGCAGCATTCGGTGGGGGAGTCCGGAAACCCCGCTGGGATCGTCAAGTCGGCGTCTAGATTCGTTGGCCTGGACTCTGGGAAGTTGCCTTTTGTACGTTAGCCTTCCCCGGCAAATGCAAGGTGCATCCTGGTAGTGACCGGCGAACACGCAGGAGATTCTAACGATGACTCTCACTCGGGAAGAAATCCAACAACATAGCACTCGGCAGTCATGCTGGGTTGCCATCCACGGGGCTGTCTACGATGTCACTGGTAGGTCGAATTTGAGAAATCATCAATAAAGGGAAGGAGATGCGCTGATCGCTCAGATTTTCTTGATTCACATCCAGGGGGTGCGGCGGCAATTCTCCGCTGTGCTGGAAAAGATGCTACCGAGGACTATGACTCGGTACATTCAGCAGACCTCGTGAAGGAGGCGCTGCCCGACTCTGCCCTACGAGGATACATTGATCCAGCAGAATTGGCGGTCGTCGAGGCGACTTCTAACAAAGTCGAACCATCATCAGATTCAAATCTCCAGAGCCCTCCGCCCCTCAAGACGTTGATCAACCTAGACGATTTTGAAGAAGTGGCCAAGCAATACCTACCTGCTAATGCTTGGGCATACTATTCTTCGGGTGCGGATGATGAGATTAGCAAGCGCAACAACCGACGCGCATATCAAAAGGTGGCTCTGCGTCCTCGCATTTTGAAGAACGTCTCCAGTGTGGATACGACCACCTCGATTTTGGGTCATTCGGTGTCTCTTCCGGTCTACATGTCCGCCTCGGGTATTGCCAAGCTTGCGCATCCCGATGGCGAGTGTGCCCTGGCTCGAGCAGCTGGGAAAGAAGGGCTGGCCCAGGTCCTTGCCAACAGCTCCAGTATGTCAGTGGAGCAAGTCAGGGCAGCGCGGACCTCTGAGGATCAACCTCTCTTCCTCCAGCTGTATGTCAACAAAGACATTCGGAAGTCGGTGGAACTTGTCAAACGTGCTATTCAGGCGGGTGTCCGCGGCATTTGGATTACCGTGGACTCACCGGTGGTAGGAAAGAGAGAAAGCGATGAGCGACTTAATTTGGCCGTCACGGTAAGTCTTTCTTCTTTTTCGATATCCCCAAGGAAAGACTGATATCCGTGTAGGCCCTTGATAGCGACGCTCAGGGACAAGGCATGGCCAAGGTGACGGCAGGCTCCATTTCTCCTTCTATTGACTGGGATATTCTCTCCTGGATCCGGGAACTCACTGACCTACCGGTGGTCATCAAGGGCATTCAGTGTGTCGAAGACGCCGTGCTTGCATACGAGCATGGTGTTCAGGGCATTGTATTGTCGAACCATGGTGGTCGATCTCAAGACACGTAAGTCCTATCATATGGGTTTGAAAGAGCCTCTTACTGATATTCATTTTCTGCTCAGCGCCCAGTCCCCGCTCTTGACTCTTTTGGAGATTCGCAAGTTTGCACCCCATTTACTGGATGGCAAGATGCAGATCTTCATTGACGGTGGGATTCGCCGTGGAACCGACGTGCTCAAAGCTCTTGCTCTAGGTGCCGCTGCTGTTGGTCTCGGTAGGCCATTCTTGTTCAGCCTGTCCGGGGGCTATGGAGAAGCTGGGGTTCGTCGGATGTTGGAAATTTTGCGACAAGAGATCGAGATGAACATGACGTTCCTGGGAGCTACGAGTTTGAAAGAGTTGCGTCCAGAAATGGTGAATGCAAGTCGCTTGGAGAGAGATATGATTGGAAGTGTGAAGTTGTAGATTTCAGCAATGTTGTATCAAAGCATGTTAAGAAATATTACTGATGTAACAGTGATCATTTCTAAATTTCGAGAAAAAGAATATCTCCATCGCATATTGCCGATCCATTCAGTCCTCCTGAATACCCTCATACTCGAGTACCCCTTACTGTTTCACGGTTCCACCCTGGGACAAGCTTGATACTAGTATGGACTAGCGCACAAGACACCCACAACCCCCACGCCGGAATATGGCCGACCCCACTATGGAGGTGCGGGGAGAGAAGTTCGCCGCAAATACCGACGGGGATGACATTTATCTTTGTTCCCTCAATCACACGGCCAAAGAATCGCTGTACAGCCCATCGACCTACCATGTCAGACCAAATTGACATTCTTCTCTACGGCCTAGGCGCGTAAGTAGGGTGATATTCCTTCGAGGCGGAGTCGTCGCTTACATGGTTAATCTAGCATTGGCTCTTTCTATGCCTTCATCCTAAATCGTTCCGACCGTGTACGGTTAACGGTGGTTGCGAGGTCAAATTACGATGCAGTGCTCGCAAATGTATGCTCATCACTCTGATATCTACGTGGGTGATACTGACTTTAGCCGTTCAAGGGAATCACCATCAACAGCGAAAACCATGGCCAGCATAACTTCCGTCCCTACAAAGGCAAGAACGAGATGGTCAAAATGGCTCAGCGCAAGTTGCTAATACCTTGGCTTCTAGTTGTCAGATCTCCCGAAGAGGCATCTGCCATGGACTACGTCGTTTGCGCGCACAAAGCCATCGATCAAGACGAGGTAGTGGCCCAGTTGAACCCCGTCGTAGACCCTAGCCGAACCACGATCGTGGTAATCCAGAACGGCGTTGGCAATGAGGAGCCATTCCGGAAGCAGTTTCCCCAAAATTCGATTCTTACCTGCGTGGTCAGTGTTTCACAGACAATCAATCACCGTTTTGATGTGCCCATACAGGACTAACTGCTAACTGCTGCAGACCTGGGTGGGAGCTATACAAAGCAGTCCCGGCGTCGTGAAACACACCAAATCCGAGGATATGCAGATTGGCCTCTTCCCCAATGCCCAGCTCGACAGCTCCATCGAGAAGCAACGCCTCGATACCTTTGCCGACCTCCTCCGACACGGTCGGACCCGCTTCAAAGTCCTCGAAAACATGCAGCAACAACGATGGGAGAAGGTTGTGTGGAACGCGGCGTGGAACTCGTTAACCACGCTGACGATGGTCGATACGCAAACCTGGCTACACTCGTCGCCCGATGCGGAGCCTTTTACTCGCTCGCTGATGCGAGAAGTCATTACCATCGCGCGTGCTTGTGGTGTGCCATTGGAGGACGAGTTGGTTGATCAGCTGATGGATAAGATCAATGCGATGCCTGGCATTGGGAGTAGTATGCAGACGGATTGCAAGTCTGGCAGGCCAATGGAGATTGACGTGATCCTGGGCTTTCCCGTACGCAAGGCCAGAGAGCTGGGTATCTCCGCGCCATATCTAGAGGCCATCTATGTCATTTTGCGAGCTGTGGATGGTCGACTGCGTGCTGCACTGTAAGCGGTAGCGCATAGATTTCGAAAGGCATTATTCTTATTGAAAGCACTGTATTTCTATGAATCATCCAAGTCAAGGTTCTGAGCCTTTCAATACCACATCCATTGGCCCTCACGAACGCCTCTCCCATATCGTAGGTAAAGTACGCCTTCAATATGCTGTCCATATGCTCCATGTTAGGTAGTGGCACATCATAAAACGTACCCTACGCCTGATGGGGGCACCTGGAGATGGTCTTTGTTCTTTGATTGACTTGTAAGATGTTGGGTGCAAAACCCTATCCCATTGGGCTCAACCCAAATCATATATTCAAGGGTAAATATCGACTCAATCATGCACGAAGAAATCCAAAGGACGCTAGACATGCTATCGTATAAAGTGTCGGAAATCCACATCCACATCCCGGTGTCCAAACCTGGGATTCCAACTCCTTCCGCGCCATCCAGACGCATCCTCCATGCAAGCGCCGAGGCATTAGAGAACAGTCAGAACCAGCTGACAAGTCCGAGCCATCTATGCATCCAAGCGCCAGGTCCATGATCAAAATAGATAGAATGAGTCTAAACGCCAATTGCCCAGAAAATATATACAGGTCATGGCATCCAAAACAAAAAAAAGAAAACAAAGGTCGTCGCATACGTAAGGTCGGTGATTAGTTTCGCGCCCGTGACTGCGGGTTGGATAACTCTTGCAGTTGGATAGACGTGGTTTTACCGGCTTCTGACTCGGGCTCGTTTTGAGAACTATCAGATGCCGGGGTTTCAAGTGGGGGTGATTCCGGTGGTGGCTTGATATCGGGCGGCTCCTCGTCTACAGCAAAGCGCCAACGACCATCCGGACCCATGAATTGTCTGAAAGCGTATCTTTTGTCCAGCGTGGAAAGGTGGTCACGTCGCTGAGCATTGGACCACGTGCAAGTATCGCGAAAGTCGCCTAACATGCGGCTATGTGCGATCCAGGGGATGATTGCACCAATGGACCGGGGCATTCGGGGACCTCGGAATCGGCCGTGGCGAGTGCCGAAGACTACCAAAACAACCAGCGTATCGAAGGCAATGATGATCAGAGCAATGGCAAGGGACGGCACCGAGGGCACCATACCCCACGTGCTTCGGATCACGGTGGCATTTGCCGCAGTGAGTGGGTTTTCCAGTGGCTGGAGGTAGATCTCATGCCACAGGGAAAAGTACGTGGCATAGACCCACTGGTAGACGACCTGAGTGAGACCGGTGAAACGCTCAACATCAAGAGAATCGAAATCCGGGTCATCCCGCTGATACAAGCGTGCCACGAGGAAGCCAGCCCAATCGTAGGAAGAAATATTATACGTTCCATTCTGGACGGTGGTGTTGCCCACGTAGCTCTCAGGAATGGCGACAAAAACTTTATTGAACTGTCCCAAACTCACAGTCGCATTCTCATACATTTCGCCAGTGGCGATGGATGTATTCGCAATCGGATCGTGGTCCTGGATCTGCCCCTTTTGGTCGAACGTAATTGTATAGTTCTGCAGCTGAACATGTGGCTCGCAGTGTAGAGCGATCGTGTTGTCGTCGGTGACTGCCGTGTCGGCCATGTAGTTCCAGCGGCCAACAACGATGACGCTCGAGGTTTGACAGACGTTGGAGTCATTACTATCACTGGCAGAGAGGAATTGAATGGACAGAGCAATTCCCGCATTCTTGTTCTTCAGGGTTGGCATGGGAGCGACACAATGCTGTGACGAGTTGTCGAACATGGTATACCGCCAAGATTGATGACCAGAGGTTGTGTTGTACTCCAGGCTAACGTCTGGAGATAGTGGCGAGCACTGTAATTGCGACCCAACAGCAAGGGTAGTAGCACCGTACATCACGTCTGGGCTGCGGTTGTGAATATGAAGAGGGATGAACGACTGATTTGTGCTTGTCCAGGGTAACATGGGAACCCCACTGGTAATGCTTGTCTGTATCAAGTCATACTCCGTGAACTCTGCCGCAAAGTCCGTTCGCCAGAAGACGGATTGACTGTAGTTTGTGGTCAAATCTTGGGTCGAGAGAACCGAGGATGTCAGTTCCTGGGTGAACAATCCACCCGCCACGACCGTCAGAGCCAAATTAACAATACAAGCCAGGGAGACCAAGCCGAGCAAGACATGGCGGTCACGAATCGACTTGAACAGGATTGCGAACGGACTCTGGGACGAGTAGTTCAGTGTTAGAGAGATGTTCGCAGCCGCCTTTCCTCGCTGAAGATGGACCCAAGGCTCGAGGACACTGAGGTTGCGGTGAATGGAAGTGCATAGTGAGCCCACAGAAGAGGCCACAACAGAAGGCAGGAATGAAAAAATGACTTGGAACGATGTGGAATCGTTCTGTGTCAGATGTCGGAATTTGCCATCACGGGCAAGCGAAGACACCACGAGCGCCATCAGGATAATTACCGCGGCCAAAGCCAAAAACTCGACAATAAAGAAGGGGATGAGCAAGAAATGAGGCATTGGGTCGGCATGAACCCGTAAATCTTCTTCGAGTTGCACCGGTGAACCTATACGAGGCAAAAGATAGTCAGTCAGCCGGCGAATGGAAGGGCGGGTAGAGTTGCGATTAATCAACATCGGCGTACCATCTTCAGCGAGAATCTCCAGTCTATTGCCGGACAGATCGGAACGCCAATAGCAGCGGGCTTTCTTGAATATTTTGCGCATCTGGCGGGTGGAGAATTGATGGAACTCGACATGGGGCTGTGCGAGAACGTTGGAGGGATGGAAGATATCTGCAGCGATACTGCACATGGCTCCGATTGACCCAGGGTCGCTCTGAAGAAAGGTTTCGCGGAATCGGTATAAGAACAGGAGATAGACGGCCGTGAGAGAGGCTAATACCAGGATAAGCTCGGACCAGAGTGCGGCGAATTCGACGACGGCGATCGCAACTTGGTTGACGGACCGAGTCGCGGAAACCACGGTGGGGGGAACATCGGGATCGAACAGTCGGCCAAGGGTCAGGACAAAGGTTTGTTCCACATCGCGCGTGATCTTGGATGCGAATTCGCTTTCGGTCATCAAGGTAGACGTGTCAAGGACGAGAAGCGGTTGCAGTTCGCCGAGTTCCTGGCTGATCACGGGCAGTTCCGTCACGGTGCGGCCACCGGTGGTATCATTGTCGCGAATGAAGAGCATATCGCTGGTGTACGGTGCCCGTTCGGAAAGCAGGGCTTGGAAGTGGTCGATGTTGAACTCGGTGCTGGTCAAGGTTTGACTGGTCGCAGATTTTACGTGGAGGCTTTCAATGGAGCTGTTGGAGTGCATCGACACCCGAGCTTGAGCCTTGTGGTATGTGATGTCGCAGGCAAAGGCGACCCCGGACGCTGCGTAGGTGGAATCGTTGGACGCTTCGGACTCGGACTCGGTTGCATTCACGGCGATCAGCATCCCGTATATATCGTACGGGTCACATCCGGTGAGATTGAACGCCCGTGAGTGATTTCGATCCTGGGATTCGGCGGCGGTGCTGATCACGGGTTCCCAATAGCGAACCTGAAGATAATCGGTGCCGGGAAAGAAAACGCTGTCATAAGAGAAATCCAGCTTACACGAGGTGGCCTGGCCATAGGCATCGTTGAGGTCGACGCCGGAGGCGTTCCATGAAACCGTTGACAAGCCTTGATCCGAGGTGCTGATCGTAACGGACAACTTGTTCTCAAGGGACATGTTCTCACATGCGACTTGAGCCCAGTAGACTTCCTGATCCAGTTTCCACAGGGTGTCTTCGGCCTCGTCGGCAGTGATGGGAATCTCCACTGGTGCGATGGCATATTCCATCGACCGCGACCGGCGGGATTGCTCTTCCGATGACAGAACCGAATCCACGGTGTTGTTGGCCTGGGTGGCCATCCAAGTTGCTTGCGTTTCAAGAGATACCAGGTCGGGCCAACTTTTCATTGGGACTTGGTTCTGCACGGTCACTTGCCGAAGTTCGAACACGGTACTTTGCAAGGCAGGGAGAATCATGCGCATCGACAGGGTCAGCAGTGAGACCCACAAGACGGTCCAGTGTCGACGGCGGGCCGCATTGATGGGAGTGAGGATGGTTTGACCGAAGTTGTAATTGATGAAGAGGACCGTGGCCGGCGCGCCATCGGGCAAGGAGAGTTGAAAATACGGTTCGAGACGTAGCACATCAAAGTCGGTCACCGTCCAGACCATTACCATCAACAGGGCGACCATGATGGGCACATAATTATACGCGAATGACTGCAACGCAGTGACCTCGTCGGTATCGCTGAAGAAGGCCAACCCGCCATGACGACGGCTGTATTGTCGTAGAACCTCGAGAGCCAACAGCATGAAAAGCAGAAGCGATATAAGAGAGAGGAGGTAAGGTGGGCGCAAAGCTAGGGGACGCCAGCCTCGCCGTTGAGGCGCAACGATGGGTGTGCGGAAGGGTGCGATGAACGCTAGAATGAGAGTATTGTTAGGCCCATCCAAGCAGCTGGTCTCGGATCGGACGGGTTGGGAGGTTGGGACGATATCAAATATCACACTCACCGGCCAATTGAGCCCGCAACCCCCGCGCCTCGGGTCCATCGACGGACATGGTGGATGGACGGAGCCCGACAGGGTTGGAGGCGAGCGCGGGAGAATGCCGACCATCTCCGGGGAGGCAGGAGGACTAGTCGCAGGAGGAGGGAGAGGATGGAGGGCGGGTCATGGTCATGGTCGAGAAGGGACGGAGGATCGCATCGAAGATCGAAGGAGAGTAGATCTCAAGGAAGGACAAGGCCGGGGGAGTTCAAGAAAAAGCCAAGAAAAGACTCGACGTGACGGACTGGGGCGGCACCGAGACATGACGTGCCGGAAAATCCTCAGGCCTCCTCGGGACAAGATTTGGCTTTTGAGGGGGAACCGGTCGAATTGAGAATCGATTCCGTTTGAGCTCCTCGGGGGCCTCTGGAATGGCTAGACTATTGTCGACTGGCTTGTTCGATCCCCGATCTCGTTCCCAAGGGACCTTTCGTGAAGCCCTAATGGAAGCAAATCCTTTGGGTTTGGCCGCGCGGTCGCGTGGGGCGCTGGATCAGCCACATTGGCCCTCCAGAACTACAACTACCTTTTCCAGAACTCTCGATTTGAATACGGAGTGTACGCAATACGGAGTCCGGAGTATTCTCTCTGTGCTACTCGTCCTTGGCGGGCTTCTCTCCATTCTGTACGAGCACTTTGGCCTTCGGTTTCTCCGTGAGTGCCGTGGCTGAACTTTACCCCCTTGCGTGGCGCAACTCTCCCACCGTTCGCCTGCCACGGAGTACGAAGCATGACCCAGGAATCCAATTCGTCTCCTCTCGGATGCCGGAAATCCTCCGAACTCGTACGGTCACAGTGTTCGAGATGACTATGGTCGAGTCGGTCGACTCGACTTGTATGGTTTGGCATTCGAGGGTCCGGACCAGGGGACAGGGACGTGATCGTCAGCACTGGCCGATCCAGGAATTATGTATACTTGGTCATACTAGTACCATTTCCATCTCTGGATCGCAAGTACCAAGACTTTTCTTGGCGAGATGATCATTGAAATCCGGATTGTTCGCTTGGGAAGAGCGGGTGCTCCAACTCTTGGCATGGGCCAATGGGCCTACTCCCACTCCTATTGGCGTTCTCCGCTGACATACACCCGTCACTGTCCAACATAACTATGTTGTACTCCGTACGTCCAACTACGATTCAGCTATCCGTTCTCCCTACTCACTCATACACGACCGTCGCCTTCTGGTTGAGTGCGTTTGCCGCCACGGCCCGACGGCCCGTGGCCTCTTGGCAGTGCCCCTGGTGAGTGATCACTGGGGGGGGTCTTTTAGGCCGATGCGCGTGGGCTGAGGCGAGGGCGAGTGCTGGGAGAATGATTGGAAATGGCATACTGGTGGAATGGCAAACATCCTTGCCTTGATTGGTTGGGAATGGCCAGATGCGTAGCTGTCGGGTCCGAGTCTGCTATCTTATGCGGTGAATGCTTACTGTATATCCAAATTCCAAGAACTGCCCAGGGAGTATGATGATGCTACAAATCCTACCATACATTATATTATGTGCTCTCCCTACTCGGCAGATCCACTCCATTATTAGTTACCTACTCGAGAGCCTATCCCCGACGCGGCCCCTGGCCACAACGGAGTGGTCTTCACCTGAGCAGTGACTGTCGGTCTCTCTGCACCTAACGACCTTGAAATGGTCGAATGCTATCGTTCAAAAACAGCTGAAGGCAGAATTATATGGTTCCTTCGTAGAGAGTTTGACCGACAATGAACCCGGCAACAAATTTATGGTGAAGCGCTGCTCCTTCGTCAGAAAGCCGGTCAACACGACCGAAATATATCACGGCAAGATGGAAATTCTCCACCACGGGTTGCCTTGTTATATACCTCCCATTCCGTACGCATTGTAACCAACAAATATTCATAGCAGGATAGAAAGCAAGGCGGTAATTATGTCCTAGGTGTAAATGTGGATTCTGGACTGTTCCCAATGCAACATCTACATACTAGGATCGATGGCAGTTTCACCCCAACGGTAGATCCGCTTTACCAGCGTGATTCGCACCAATTCCCAAGGATCTCAATCAGGGCACGGCCGTCAGAAAGCTCTATTGTGCAGCTTGATACCTACTTGGCATATCATTCGCAAGTTTCCTTGATCCAAATTCACATCGAGGTCCCGTGATGCCTCTCCCAGGTCCAACACACGAGCCTGAGGTCTCGTACCAGGATCCCGAGGAATACTACGGCCGGCGGTCTTCCATCTGAAGGATCTCCAGGCAAAGACACAAGACTGGAAAAAGCCACGAGTCTATGATTTGTGCCGATAACGATGATCGACATTAGTACCACTCGGATGCGGCTTTTCCTCTGTGTGGATTGGCGCGAGGTGAAAGAGAAGCTTCAAGGGGAAGGGCTCGTCGCCGCAAAGACGGATGGTCAAGTACAATTCCCGATGATGAAAGGACTCAAGATACCGGAGTTGGGATGGGAAAAAAATCCAGGAATATATTTAGATTAGTTCTGAACGAACTGATTCCAGTCTTGCGGGGACTCAAATACCCACGTTGAAGCCACCGCCCGCACAAACCGGAGCAACTGAGCTGTGCCATCTTGTTTGTCATCACGTCGGATCAATCAAAGCTTCTGAAACGGGCACTTCGATTTGACATCTCATCCAGTTGAGAGTGGAACAGAACCCCAAGGCCTCTCAAGCACCACCGTCATGAAACCGAGCATAGCCGAGGTACAAACGTGACCGGAGGTAGCACAACCCCTCAGAGCGACGACACGACGTTCGATGGTCGCAAACCACGACAAGACACGGCTCAATCGCTCGTCAATATACTACAAAAGACCGGGAATTTTGTCCTGGTACTCGAAAAACGAAGCAAACAAAATGCAAGCGGTTGTCTTCAAGGGTCCGTTGCAGGTCGCCCTGGAGCAGCGACCCCGACCACAAATCAAAGAATCAACTGATGCGATTTTGAAGGTGCGATACACTGCATTATGTGGAAGGTACACCCCCTAGATGAAACACAGACAAAGGGCACGATATATTCTGATTGATTATCAGTGAACTCCACGTCTTCCGAGGCCACCAACCCTCCGGAACGGGATTTATTATGGGCCACGAATTCACTGGTGAGGTGGTGGAGGTCGGAGCCGACGTTCGCTCTTTCAAACAAGGTGACCGCGTTGTATCGCCATTCACCGTCAGCTGCGGCGAGTGCTTCTACTGTTCCAGTGGGTTTTCCTCGCGTTGTGCACGAGGGCAACTCTATGGAAGTGCAGGGTTGGACGGCGGACAGGCTGAGTACGTCCGAGTGCCGTTGGCGGAATCAACCCTTTTCCACGCGCCCGCTGCAATCGATGAAAAGAAGCTGGTCCTGATGGCAGACATCTTCCCGACCGGTTATTTTGCCGCAAGCAATGCATTCCGTGGACTGGAGCCCCGGACAGTCCAGAATAGCACCGTATTGTTGTTTGGATGTGGGCCCGTCGGCATCTGTGCCCTGGTCAGCGCCTTGGAGCATCGTCCCAAGCATTTGATTGCGATCGATAGCGTTCCATCGCGACTGCAGCTCGCGCAAAGTTTCGGAGCAGAGTCATGGAACTTCCAAGAGAATGAAACTGGTCTTCGCGAAAGAGTCAAGGAACTGACCGACGGTCGCGGAGCCGATGTCGTTATCGAGGTCGTGGGCCATAGTAGCGCGCTCCGGATGGGATTCGAGATGCTTCGTCCGTGGGGTGTGCTTTCCAGTGTCGGTGTCCACAATGGCGAGATTCCATGGACCGGCAATGAGGCATATGGGAAGAACCTGCGCCTGCAAATGGGACGATGCCCCGTTCGCAGTAAGAACGGCTCCGTAATTGCCTGTGCTGAATTGCCAACATGCTAACTCTTCTAGGTATTTTTGGAGAGGCAATGGAGTTGTTGGCTAAGAAGCAGGATGTGCTGAAGTAAGTATTTGGCAGGAGATAGCCTGGTACAAGACTGACCCGGAGCAGTTTTATGTCCGAAGACATTCGTCCGCTGTCTCAAGCCGTGCAAGCGTAAGTAGTGTCATTCCTGCTGATAGCAGAGGTCCAAGCTCACCATGTTCGCAGGTATGAGGATTTCAACCAAATGAAATCCCAGAAAGTGATCTTCGAGGCCGATAAGTAGGTTGCTCTCGTCGTTAATGGAAACTTGTAGCTACTTTTCATAACTTTGAGGGTAGTCACATTCAGTTCATCGAGGATCTCAAGAACGAGGGTCTTGGATTATCCGGCCCTGACTCTATGCAACTTAACTAAATCCATATGTTCACGGATATCAATTGTCATCCCTGCGGTAAAGACACATACAAGATCTTGTTAATCAGGGAATTTGCAGTACGACGAATCCCTGGTGTGGCCGGTACTTTGTTTTCAATTAGCTTTCCCTTGTCTGCAGTAGATCCTGTGGAGCGATGGCCCATTTATAGGGTCAATCGCCGTGGGGGGGGGAATAGCTTGATTCTGGCTAGTGACCAAATTTCCTTGAACGCCTTTACGATCACTGCTGAGCCTTTAGCATCAGCTACAGATGCCTCAATACCTACGAAGACCACATCAGCCAGCTCGGGATCCATTTGTAACCCCACGCCGGCCCCGCAAAAATCGATTCCATCCTCATCGTCATCTTTAGGTGTTACTAACCCACAAGAGTTCCGGTGGTCTTCCTGAGATGACTACGAATCCAATAGTCGTGTTGAGCGGGACGGCCGGAGTTTTGACAGCTGCTACCTTGTCTGCAGAGCAAGAATGGAATCATTAATTGGGTCAAGTTCTTGACCGTGTCATATTGGCCCGAATGGTGCGCAGGGTCCTGGAATTCAGGGGCATGGCGAGGATTTCGCCAATAACATTTATGCTGAGAGTTCCTGGTTAGTATTTTAATCTATGTGTTATCTACGCGCCAAGGACATGATCTTGAATATGCTTGAATTTTGACTAGTTTCAATTGGGCCAAGGGGGGCATTCAGTTCTAGAACATTTATGCAACGTAGCAAACCACAGACAAATGTGCATTGTCCAACAAAGAAAAAATCGAGAGAAGCAGTGGGTAGAAGCAGAAAATATACGAAGAAAGAAACAGAACAACGAGGACCTGAATGTCATGTCGTGACACAACTAGAACGATGCTTTCTAGGTTGAGCAGATCGTGATGACTGAGTGGAGAGACGCCTCACCCCTTCTGACACGTCTCGGACCTGGCCGGCCAAAAGCCGTTCTTGCTCGGTAGGAGCTCGTTTGGCTCCTCGTTTGACTCCTCGCTTGGCTACTTTTGGAGATGGCGGACTTTGTTTATCCGGCGACGAGCTCGTATTGATACGCCGCTTCTTGCGAGGAGAGTCCTGACTGTTACTCGAAGATGAGTCGGTAGGGCGTCTACGGTACTCGGTGAAACGGCGACGGCGTTTACGGGACGCACGGATCTCATCATCGGAAGTCCGAGGAATAGGAACAGGCCTGGTAGGCTCGGGGGGTGTCGTTTGGGGGAGAGGAGCAGAGACGGGCCCTGAAGGCTGCTCAGGATCTCCAGTCAAAGTCAATCGTTCAGTCCCTTGATCAATTTCGGCCGTGAAGCGGCGACTGGCGATGGCTTCTTGGACCATTGGGGGCATGCGGTTCTCCCTGATACCTAGCCATGACTCACCCACCTGTTCGAATATATCTGTACCCGTACTAGGTATTACCCGACTGGTGACCTCTGCGATAGGCGGAATGAATGCAGGTACCATTGAAGGCTGTTGGAGGGCTTCCACCTGCAATCCGCCAACCGAGGATGACCGCGGGATATTTCTCGCATCTCGGGGAATTCTGTGACTCCCGATCTGCCGTCTTCGCGTGCCAAACGCTTGATCTCGCAGCCTAGGAGCTCCAGTCGCAAGGGGACGGGGAGGCGATCGGGCTGCACTAGGTTGTTGAGGCACGCTGAGAGCTCGACCGAGTCGTTGTGTTTCTCCCAAGCCTTCAGTAGCTGGCAATGCAGATGCATCGAAAGTCATGCTTATAGTGGTGGCATCATTTGATGGATCACGTTGCGCAGTGGCTTCATTAGAGTGTCTGCGTCTTTGAGCGGGACGGGTAAGAGGCTCCTCGTCGGGAGCTCTACGACGTTTTTCACCAGTATTTTCTGCTGATTGAGTGATTGGCTGAGCGGTCGACTGCCTAGCAAGCTGGGTTGCTTCTGGGGAAGAGTTTCGTCTAGGAACTATACTCAAGCCTTGGTATTCAAACAACCCAGAGCCTGGCCCTGGGGCGTTCAAAGCATCGATAGCAGATTGCGGAACAGTAAAATCAAACGGCCCATCATCTACCGAGGCCACTCTGGGTTGTCTTGGTGGAGCTGGCGTTGGGGTAGGAGGAGCTTGCGGAGATGGGGTTTCCGTGGTGGCCGAAGCTTGCACAGGTTGCTGTCGAGCATGTCGCTGAGGGGCGGGTGCTTCATCAATCGTCGGTCGAACGCTCGGTGGTTGGATTTGGGCTCCTAGAGGGTTTCTAGAAGTGGCAGGATCAGTAGTGACAGATCCTCGCGGAATAAAATCAGGACGTACCAGTTCTGGTTGTTGCGGAACTAAGGCACCTCCAGTAACTGTGCGAGGCCGGGTGATGATGGTAAAATTGGGTCGCCGAAGCGGTGATTGGGTAGTCCCGTCTTGATTCTCGGGACATGGTTGTTGATGAGACGGATAATACATCCCCATCGCTCGTCTAACCGTTGATGCTAAATTCATCGACGTCAGGCGGGTTTCGCCATCTTGAGGAGTGCCAAGCTGTGCAGGGTCAATAGTATCGAGAGCGTGAGGACTCCACCAGAGCGTTGCGCCCTCCACCATGTAACCTTCGTTGATAAGAGTCTGTCTCAAAGCATCGAGGCGAATGGCAGACGCATTGACCCAGTCTCCATCCTGACTTCTGTTCGTGGGATCATTTGCATCGGGCAGAAGGTCGCTAAGTCTAATCGGAACTGGCTGACCAGGGTTATCATGGGCGATGATCTGTACATCAGCATCGGGCACGACTGATGGGCCAAAATGGTCAAACCTACCACGAGGTGGCTCATGAACTTGAGACTCGGTTGGAGGCTTCCGTGAAGACTTGGCTGCTGGTCGTTTATTCCACAGCGCTTGAAGGAGTTTGAACAAGTTATAAAGCTTATTCACAATTTCGTCTCGGGGCGCGAAGTGGTTTTGGATCGCAGCGGGCATGCTCTCCATGCGATCCCGAATCCCTCGCCGAACTCTGTTTCTGTGAATGCTCGACCGGAGATCTCCGGGACCTGCATCGTATACCTGTCGGAGGAGGTCACTGACCGTACGCTGGGCCGCCGCATCTGAAATGCCGAGTGTTGTAAAGAGCCGAGTCTGGGAGGTACGGTTCTCGCGATCCTACTGGCGGCTTGAAGCCGTATCTTTCTGTGTATGCCGCTTGCTCATCTTGTTGACTGGCAAAGGGATCGTCTCTGTCAATTCTGTTATGCAGCCCTCGGACCAAAATGGGGCTTTAAAGTCAAGGCTGAGAGAACGATGGGCGTATATCAAGCCTTTAAGGTCTCGAACTTCTTCCATTATTGGGTGTGACAATAGACGAGGGAACATAATGAAAGGATAAAGAGCATAGGATAGGATAATGCATGGTTAGTACAAACAACAAAGAGAAATTCATTCATCCATGAATAGGCAGCACGATCTAAAAAAAGATGAATATTTTGGATATACACAAAACAAAGAAAAAGACCAGGTACAAGAGGTTCCAGTTCATGAATTTGTATCTCCCGATTATGACTGGACCTTTCAAATGTCGTCGGCAATAGCGGGACTTTTGTTCAAACCAAACTGCATCTCGTGGAGGGTAATAGCAATCGCATAACACAAGCAGGGAAGAACTGCGAAAGATGGAACATAATCAAGCCATTTAGCACCGAGATATTGACATATGAAAGCAAAAAGATCCTTGAGTAGCCACTTGTAGTAGTCGAATGGTTTAAACTTAATGGGTGCGGTCTGACATTCCCAGGGTCGAATGCGGGGCTCATTGGCTCTGCCCGGTGGAATTGCGGCTATGAATTCCGACCAGGTCTTGACAAGACGATGAGTAATAGCTCACATCAACCAGGCGATAAAGCTACTCAACAAAGAAAAGACGTGTTGCATTGTTGTTGCTAAAAATCCCAAGTATGACTACGAAAAGAGGATTGAGCAGGAAGCTCTATGTGGACAGGTTACCAAATTCATATTTGTATCGATATCAATTTCCCGTTCGATTTCAGGTGCCTGCAGCTCAATCACTCCGCACTAGACGTCTCTAGACCAACCACAGTTCAAACCAACCCTCCCATCAATCATGCAGTGGTACAGGCTGTCGGAGGGCAGTATCCATGGTCACAAGCAAAGCTACATAGTCCTAAATACGAGTTACCTTCTCCAGGAAGAGGAACCCCGCGAACTCCCGTAGATGGCGGAGGTGGGACAGCTGGACCGTGCCGATTACAGGTACAAGGCCCTGGGGGACAATATCCAAATTGACAGCAGAAGACGCATAGCCCAATGTAGTTTCCCGGCCCTGTTCCACCCGTACAGACGTCTTTTCCACTACCTCTCGCTGTAGAGCTTGTGGCCGAAAGCGTTACGGTCTGAGTCTGCGTCGTCGTTTGGATGATTGTGGCAGTGAATGTGCGCGTTGTTGTAGAAGTGTAGCCTTGGCAAGAGGTTGTTTGCGGAATACCTGAGGAAGTGGTGGTAGAGGTGGTAGGAGGGGTCGAGGTAGTGATTGTGCTCGTCGTGGCAGACGTGGTAGATATGGTGGAGGTAGAAAGCGTCGTAGTTGAGGTGATACTTGCGGTAGGAGGCACCGTGCCCAGCGATGGTGATGCTTCGCAAGTCTCCACATGCAGGCCCTGGCGGAATGCTGCAAGGCCATCGGGACGAAGGGGATCGCTAAATCCGGCGGGTAAGGTCCCAACTATTGGAGACTTGATAAGAACAGTGCTTGATGGTTGGGATGAATAGACATAGCGCCACAACTTACCGTATGCGTTGAAGTTGTATAGGCCGCACACGCATCCATCAATGATAGGCTTCAAACTTGTTCCTGATAGGATATTTGCCCCATTGCGAGTGACGGAGAAGCTTTGGACACCGACATTCATAGGGACAGCTTGTGCGGAGGCTCCACTTGGAGCATCGTAAGTGTAAACTGTACCTCCACTGTTGACGTGAATAGAAGCGGGAGCTGTCATCAAAGAGACCACAAAGACCGAATCTTCCATAGAGTCCCAGCCGTTGGGTCGACCAAGAAAATAGTTCCCACTGGCATTGTTTGCTGGAACCATACAAGTGTCCGTCGAGTCACAATTGACATTTCGTGGAGCCGGGCGATACCAATAGATGAGCTCATCAGATCTGATATAGCTGTTTACCGAAGACGCACCGTCTTTGAACGCAGCAATAAAAGGCTTGGAAATATCAAGCCATCCATCATGGGGCCTGCCGGTGCCATTAAATTCTTTAGCATATATCAATGGAAAACTTACATGACTTTGGGAATAGAAAAGAAAGGCCGAAGGGTGCATCTCACATGTCATTAACCCATTTAGAGGCACCGTCGTCGGTGTGCTGAGACTGAAGAGGCCCGATGTAGTGAGATTCGCCATAGTCATTCCACGTCACGATTTCAACGAAGCGAGGTCCTAGAGTCAGAATTTCATTCCATCGATCATACCATAAGAGGTCAGATGGAAAAGCCCAATTCTTGCTATAAGATACTTCGGGACCAAAATGAGTGAAGAACCAAGGCGATGCGGCTATCATACTCGATCAGACATCTAGAATAGTAAGTGCTTGGAAGGTCTCAAACAGTAATACTGACGTGCAACATATGCTTTTCCACCCAGTGCATTGACATATTCCCGGTCGCCATCTGCGACAGATATATTGTGACTGGAAGTAGGAGCTTTATTCTGGCCATTGTTCGGCCATGCCATCCAGTTCAGAAGACCGTCCACGGCAGATACGTTTGTCCCGTATGATGGGTGGAAATTGGGTGCGAAGAATATTGGCTTGCCAACTGAAGCTCGAAGAGCAGCAACATCCAAGTCATCTCCGGAAAATGTGGAGACAAAAATCTTGTTGTCTACCATCAATTGAGCTGGTAAGCTGGCGTATTGAGTTATCTTTTGACCAATCTCATTCACTTGCGACGTGTGCCACCAATTGAAGTCAAAGGACAGAAATACTTTTATAGAATTCCGAGCGGCAGACGCGTACGCGAGTTGTAACTGTTGATCAGTGTAGGGATCGACGCCAATATTCAAGGCAAATGCATCGATTCCGAGCGAGCTGGCTCGCTTCATATCATCATCGTAGTCAAAAGCACTGCTTCTATCACTCGTGATTCCAATCTAAAATCTATCTCAGACTTCTTGTCTCATCCATATCAGGTGTCGGCGGTAACTCAGTTGGGTGAACTCACCATAAAGTGCGCGAACACAAGACGGTCGACGGACTGTTCCTGGTTCCCGATCTCATCGGCACCCCTACCGGGCAGCGAGCTGACCACCACTATCAAGGTGGATATGAGAATCATGAAATTTGCCTTTGTGATCATTTTGAGACAAGTGATAATTCGTATAACTTGAAAAGAAATTGGTTTCCTTGATGCTCCGGTGATGAATTTCAAAGAATAACACTCAATTTTATAAGGTCGCATAAGACTCGGAAAATGATATGTTTTTAGCGCAGCTGATCTCCAGAGTGTAACTCCATGGAGGCAAAAGCTCAATCTAGAGAGCTTTGCATATGCAAATGCATCACTCTAGCCCGTTTTCAGACTAGCAGGTATAGATATTTCCTCTAGAATCGCATCGGACGCATGTAAGGTCCTGGCAGCCCTGCAGCCCTTCTCCCCTTGGGCTTTTGATGATAGCCACGGGCAAGTGACTAGGAGGCATTTCTATAAATTCAATTGAACTATATCATATTAAGACAAAATATCCGCACTTCAAAAGCACGGGTCATAATGATTGCATCGCTTAGAGATTGGAGTCTATGTTTCGGCCTATTCCACTCTAGCAACCAAACCCTATGCCTTTTTAAAATGGGGTATTGTAATGTGATTGTGTTACCCTATCTACCTCCCCGCGCAGGACCCTGAGAATTTGCTAGTCAGCCGTTGACGGGGTAGCATTCCGAATGTAACCCAGACATGCATTTACCCCACGTGAGAAGGGATGTGATGCTGATTGTACTTGACTCGTGTGAGTCTTCGCAGGCCGTATGTATCTCAAAGACCTAAAAAGGTGTACTCGGGCTCATAAGGGAAGTATAATGGTGTTAAATGTGCTCAAAGAGACGACTCGAGGTGCTGACTGTGACTAACCATTTCTGGAACTATATGCAGATATTGTAACTAAAGACCTGTATGTGAGCTAAAAGAAAATATAGTACATGAATCCCAATATCCTGCACCGTCACTGAGCAAGTTCGAGTGAATTTTAAATCGAAAGGGAACGGTATCAGGATGAATTAGAGGACAAAGCTCTTAGATATGACCTAAGATTGCTACTGTCAGGAGCCAGTTCCAACTTTTGTTGATCGAATTAAGTCCAGCGAGTAGGAAACTTACGTCCAAGCGGCTTCGCTCTCTTGGAAATGGACCTCGCTTGGTCCTGCTTGATTTTCGCCAGTCGCGCCCTATTTGAAGAGTAAAGTGGGTTAGAAAGAGCCCATGATGATGTTATTATTGTGATACTCACTCTTCAGCGGCTTCACGCTCAAGATGCTTCACATGGTCCCTTGCCTCCTTGACGGCTCTCCTCGAGGCAATGAGTGCCTTGTCGGCTTCTCTTTCGGCGGTCTCTGCACGAAGTACCTGCTCTCGAGCGGCCATGATAGACGGGTCCTCGTGCGTCCTGTGAAGAAGGCCGTGGCGGCGAGAGTTGCTCGCAGAGGAACCAGAGCCGGACGATATGGAAGAGTGGGTAGAGTGAGATGACCGACTCCCAAATAGTCCTGAATGAGTCTTTGTTTGATACGAATCATCAATGCTTCTCCCCGAGGAGGAGCTAGCGGTGGAGTCACGGTGAAAGATAGGCATGTCTTTGGTAACGAGTCCGGCAAATAGTCAGTGATGGTGGTCTCTACGGGACAGAGATATGGGCAGATTCTTGACTGCAATTTCGATTTGGGACGATTGAGAGCAAGCTAGATTATAGTCTGATAATTGAAGTTACTGGAGGTGCTACTTATATCTCGAGTTTCAACTCAATGGATCTGACGTCATGGGTTGTGTTGATCACCCTGAGTTGAGTAAATATCTCCCACTGTCATCACCAGCATCAGTCGTTCCATCGCTTTCAAGCAAGAGTGACGTCAAACACCCAAATTCATCCATAGACATAGTAGCTCTCGAGATTGTTTACTACTTGTGACTTTCCACTAGCGGACCAGCTTGGTCAGGACTGTTAAGATAAGCCAGCGGAAAATGTACCCAACGTACACTGTGCATCGCGTTGCGTCACTACGCAAAGGTGTGACCATCCAGATAAGTTGAATGCCCAATAAGCGGGCAAGCTAGCAAATCCAAAATGCCATAAGCCCATGATCATTTCCCCATCAGACGAAAACTTTAGCCCAAGTCGGGACTGGACGTGTAGATCACCATTGACAGGTAGCCCGGGCCGCCTGTGGTGGCTGTGATTGTAAGATCACCTCGTGCGTCATATAACGAGGTCCATGCCCTCTCCGAACATCTCTGGAGAGAAACGAGGATTTTTACGCGTTTAAGCTTTGGAAGCAAGCTTCTATATGTAGCTTATGATTTGTGACAGCCGTGATATTTAAGATTTAGTTACTTCTAGAGCCTACTCCACCACTCCACATGCCACCTTCATAGAGTAGCATAGAAGATCCACTCAACAGATCGTGAGCCACGAATCACAAATCCAAAGGAAGTAGATCTAAATTTTATATCATCTGGAATCTTGAATTTAGTCTCCTGGGTCTATCCCCTTCCACGCGGTTGATATGCCTCATAGATGTCTGTGGTCAAGGGAGGAACCGACCGTTGCTAGTCATCGACTCCAGATTAGAGACGATGGGCGGGCTGGTTGTATGACAAATTATTCGGTCAACTCAGCAGTACACGATCATCTACCAATTCCTTTACTTTAAAATACTATGCATCGACAAAGGCAATGTTTACTCCATATCCGTCATTTTCGTTATGAGAAAATCGCTCCGTACTCTTAGCACACTGAGTCAATTTCTGTCGTCTAGGTCGGGGCCCTCGAAACATTCTTATAAACTATGTCTTCTGGGTAAAAACAAGCCGTCACTGCACATTCGGTTAACGCGTAATATGCTGAAGATATACGCCATTCAACAGTGCTAGACATGTCTCGGTCGGGATCTCACCGACCGCCGACCGACATTCTTGGCACAAGTCGCGGTCTGTGGCTGGGCTTAGCCCCCAGCCACTGCCACTACAGTTGATAGCGTCTACGAATAACATCTATTCGGAATGCAAAAGTGTCCTCTAGCCCTATTATTTATAGTAGATATAGATCCATATCTTAGAGTACTATACTCGTTGATAAACCTCCCAGGAAAGTCCAGCTAGATCCTTCATTCCTTGCCCGAGGTAAGACTCACGTACCGGGGAGTAAGGAGCGTAGTAGTATGAGTTACGAGGTCTAGGCCAGCGGTAAAGGATTTGCGAGAACACAGAGTGACTACGATGCGGTCTCGTGCAATGCATAGTGCTCACCCTCCGCTCGACACGCCCGTTCGAGCTTGACTAGAGCATACTGTAAATAGTACAGTAGAATTTGGCGGATGGGTTCCTACGGGTATAAATTTAGGCGAAATTGCGCTATCAAGACCAGAGATAAGGAAATCAGGGCAAAGTGGAGAACACGATCGAAATGTTTCTTGCTCGACACCAAGTTCGCGCCGAGCGTGACACATGCAATATGAATGGAATTCAATCCTTTTTTTTTTTTTTTTCAGGAGCTGCAGCTAGCTAATCCTTTACACATGGTGTCTAGGCCATGCCTTCTACCATTTGGAAAAAATCGAGAATGAAACCGAGTTCCAGTAGCGCACCTCCGATTTGGTGGGGCGCTGCCGCGCGGCATGTGCGTGTGCTATTGAACCACAGTTTCCACTCCACCAGATCATCAATGGCTTTCTCAAGATCGAATGATGCAAAAATAGTCCAATCCATGATGTGAATGACCAAGCTAGACGTGCTAGTCGCAACGCACTGTGGAAGCCCGAGAACCCAACCAATGAGAGCCTCGGGCAGCGTCAGAACCATACGTCAATTAACTCGCAGCCCGGGTTGGGCGAGCATTTGCTGCTTTTACTTAAGGGCTCGTGGTTTGATTTTCAAGATGTAGAGCTTTCCTTGTCTGGCTCTACTTGTTACATTGGCCATACTCAAGATGCTCAACCGAAAAACTGCGGTCCTGCTACTGGCGTCGCATTTGGTGTTGACAGCATGCCAACCGTATGGATCCTCCACGGCCTCTTCACTCGAATCATTCCAGGATGAGCATTCAGCGGCCAGTTCCGATGGAGGTTTGAATTACCTTGGTGTGAGAGATGATATTGATCGGGTCATCATTGTCGCCCGTGATACATCCACAACCTCCGAATCAACAACATCGACCACCGAGACTACGACTTCAGAAACATCAACGAGCACGACCTCTTCAGAGACGACAACCACATCGACGACATCCTCAACCTCAACTACCACTTCATCCACGTCATCTACTTCAACCACCTCAACCACCTCAACTACAAGCTCAACCTCGTCCACCTCTACACAGTCTACAACCACCTCAACATCGACAACATCCAGCAGCTCAACAACGACGACAAGCTCTTCTACAACCACCTCGACCGCCTCTGCTACAAGCACAGCAAGTGCCGAACTTGCTGAGTGGAATCGCAAAGGAAACATCGCAGCCATCATCTTCTCGTGTTGTCTCATCTCACTATTTTCCGGTGTCAGCATTCTCCACTGCGCCAAAGACCGAGCCAAATCCAAGCGAATTGCCGCACGGGAGCTCATGAAAGCCCAATCTGTCCCTGCAGAGCCGCTTATGAGATCGAGAGGAGACTCCACAGCTGAACTCATTTCTGCCCGTTCATCCATGATGTTTAAAGACAATCCTTTTGGTGACCAGCGTCCACAGACTGCATACAGTGCAGGTGGATCAGCCAGTCATGGTTGGGCAACTACTCCGCCGGTACAGGAACACGTCTCAATGGAGAGCTCGACGTTGGTCAATGGGGCTTCGAATGGGGATCATCCGCGTGGGACATTGGTTTGAACATTTAGTATTGAATCATGAAAGCGCGTGACCTACAGTTCTAAGGTTCAGGGGCGAATATTTCGAAAGTGTCCTTGGCTGCATTCAGATTACGATCTGGTGGTGCGTGAGGCTTGGCCTTATGTGGTAAAATTTTGAAAACCTCATTCCACAACGGCAAAGTATTTTTATATGAAGACATCTGAACTAGTCCTGGTACTATTTTTTGTGATTTGGCCTAATATTTCAGGCGTACAAAGAGATACTGTTGTTTCCCCCTTGCTTTCCACCTTGGGCTCTCCTAGGTTGCAGCCTTAAGTCTAGTATGCCGTAGCCTTGGTTATCAAAATCACGGGTGTGGTTCTCTATGGGAAGCGCTGTGTGATCCAATTGCTTAGATTGTCTATTTTTGGAAACGTTGTTCCGGAGGGAGCTTGGATGAAAATATATTCACTTGACACCTAACAACATTAACAACACTCAAATAGATCCGCCTTCCAGGAGTTCAGTCAAGACCGTATATGCTATCAATTAATTAAACACCTTGGTCTACACCGGAGAAAAGTATAATAAAAATAGCAACAGTGGGGAGAGAAGGAATGTAGAAAACCCTTGAAAAAGTAGCGAAGGACGGAGTCGCGCAATTCAGGCGGAAGTTATGACATTGGCATCTTTGATCGGCTCCTTGCAAGTGACTTCGAATATATTTCAGAGAGGACGATCAAGTGTTCACCATGCCATTTTTGCGAATGACCCTGTGGGCCAGCGGCGAACTGCTGCTTTCCTAGCTTCATCCAGGCAGAGTAGCCCAAGGCCTAGTGCTGCAGGGAGGAAGAAATGCTCCACAGGAATCCCAGATGTGCTGAGAACAGTCTGCAGAGTTGGAATGTAGAGCCAAATGACAGCGATACCCAACGAGAATGCAATCGCGGGGAATAGATACAGATTTTGGGTATCTTTATTGAATGCAGGCGGATGCTGAAAGATTGAAAGATGGCGAGTGCGCACGGCCATGAGATTGAACCATTGCCTAGAAACCAGTTAATCAATATGGAAAAGCTTTGGTGTAAGAGAAAAACCAACATGATAACCAGGTTGATGAAGTAGACCGAGCTAGCTTCATTGACGCGTGCATTATAGAAGTCTTCGTCGATTCCCGCGGGAATTTCGCCAAACTTGAACCACAGATCGGAAAATGGAATACCATTCCTCTGGAGATACCAAAAAGCCATGGTAAAAGAGCAAATGGTTTCTATCATCCCAATAATAGCGTAGGAGTGGAAAATAAGTTTCCAATCAACGAGCCGGGTCTTGGTGGGATGGCGCGGTGGCCGGAATAGCACATCTGCTTCGGGTGCTTCATACGCAAGAGCAACAGCAGCGGCACAGTCCGTAAAGCAACTGGAATTATGTAAGAAGATTGAACCGCCAGGAAGATGCCTGCAGAGTGTTCTTACCAAATGATAATCATCAAGAATGATGACAATATTTGCGGGATTCCGAAAATCAGGTTGGTAAAGACAGGCCAGAACTCGGACCAGGACCCGGCCGGAAGGAGATAAGCAACTGTCTTCTTCAGATTGTCAAAGACAACTCTTCCATATCGGACAGCCTCCACGATGGCTGCGAACGAGTCTAGTAGGACCATATCGGCCGCTTCGATCGCGATATCAGAGCCGCTGGCAAGACTGATGCCGATATCGGCGGCCTTGAGCGCCGGAGCGTCGTTGACCCCGTCTCCTGTCATGGCAACCGTCTCATTCCTTGACTGCAATTCCCGCACAATTCGCAACTTCTGGTGAGGAGTGGTACGTGCGAACACTATCTCGCGATACTGGCAAAGCTGTTGCCATTGAAACTCATTAAATCCCATTAGATCACTCCCACTGATGAGTAAAGCAGATCGAGAGAAATCAACTTCTTTTTCGTCGAAGGTTGGATCTCGAGGAAGAGCAGATGCATCGTGGACAAAGTTTGAGGTAACGGTCCCACATTGACGTGCAATCGCCAGGGCTGTCTGACCGAAGTCACCCGTGACCTATAACGTTGTCAGAGTGTGGGAAACCGGTTAGAAAAGAGAGCGGCGTACCATGAAAACCCGGATCTGAGCCTGCCGTAAAATTCTGATGACCTCGGGAATTTCTGATCGAGGTGAGTCAATTAGTCCCAAAAGGCCAACCAGAGTAAGGCCAGAATTTGCTTCAAAAAGCATCTGGGTCTCGCATTCCGATGATAGCGGATCCGGACAGCATTTCTCTTGAGTCAAGAGTTTACGAGCCAAAAGAATGACCCGCTTCCCATCAGATGACCACTCTTCTATTCTCTGCTCAACTTTGCGCCGGACATCTTCACTCAATGACCGAACCTCTCCATCGGGTCCTAATATGTGCGTACAGCGTTTGATCAAGATATCGGGAGCTCCTTTGATAGTTAAAAGCCTTGGGAATGGGTTAGTTTCCGCCAAGCGCAAACCGATAGGTCATTTGAACATACATGCCCTGAGGCTGAAAATTCGAAGCTTCAGCGGGTGATAGTGACAAATTAGCGCTTTCAACCATGGATGTGGTAAAGGTCTTGATCATGAATTTATTCTTGCTGTCAAAAGCCAGGGTGAAAAATGATTTCCAGCCTTGTTTCAGTTCCGAGGTAGAGCCCAACCCTTCCGAGAATCTGAGGATCGCCTGATCTGTGGCATCGCCGAAAATCGCCCTTTCACTGAGAGGAAGGTTTTCTGACTTGCTATCAAACTCAGCAGCATTGCAAAGACCCGCGATGGAACGAAGCTGTTGAAGTGCTGATCGATTCAATTTGGATTGGGAATTTGCACCGGTTGCGTCCAAGATTGAGCTGGCTGTGTGCACAGCATAGTCTGTGACTGACATTCGATTCTGAAGGACCTGGTCAGCATTGTATTTGACGGACCTCTTGAAACCCGCCTGACATACCCGTGTCAAAGTGCCAGTCTTGTCAGTACATATTACAGAGACAGCGCCCAAAGTCTCGACCGTCTTGAGTGATTTGCATAGGACCTTGTTCTTTTTTAACAGATTGGCTGTGATTGTCAAGCTTGCGGTCACAGCAATTGGCAGACCTTCCGGAATATAGGCTATAGCAACGCTGACACAATCGACGATAAGTGTAGGTACGTTGATATAGTTCGGATGCACCATATGCAGCCACCCACCCCTATTGTATGGTAAGCCTAAGCTTGAGTGGATTGCATAAATCCTGGGTCTCCGGTGGGGTAACATACCACACTGCAGCAAGTATCACAATCCAAGTGACCATGATGATGAAAATCAAGAGTACAAATCGTAAGACCTCTTTTTCAATTGTCGTCAGACCAGTTTTCGGCTCACCCGCAAGCTTGGCGATCCGGCCAAAGACAGTCGAGTCGCCCGTTGCTACAACGATTGCCGTCGCCGTGCCGGAAACGCAGTGCGTACCCTGAAGGCCAATGCATCGTGTTTCTAGGTAATTTTCGGATGTAGAATCAATTGTAGCCTTGATTGGGTTTGACTCGCCTGCAAATATTTAGCAAAGGGCCCGTGATGACAAAAATGGAATATGTGCACCAACCTGTCACGATGGAACGATCAATCGTTAGGTCGTGAGAAGCTTCAATGAACCGGAGATCGGCGGGAATCTTGGTGCCTGGTTTAATGAAGACAGTGTCGCCTAGGACGATTTCAGTAGATACCAATTCACATCGACTCCCATCTCGAAGAATCAAACACGATTCCGGCAGCATTGCGGTAATTGATGCCATCACACGCGAGGAGGACCAGTCCTGCCAGGCATTGAACGCGGCCTGAATGACAAAGACGGCGATAAGAACGATGCCTAGGGCGAGGTTGGCTACAGCTGGGGGTTGACCCAGTGGCTTCCATGAAATGAAGACCAGGATACCACCAACGAGCAGAATCGAACCAAAGCCTTTGAAAAAATATCCGAGTATCTTCCAGACCCAAGGGTTTGGAAGGGGGGAAATCTTGTTCGGGCCGTATTTCCTCAGACGTTCAGAAGCCTTCTCTGTGGACAATCCGGTGATCACATCGGCGTCCAGTTGTTTTTGTACCTCTTCCACGGATAAAGTGTGCCAGTCCGTACTCTGCCATTCTGTCGCCGTTGTTAACATGGGACTTCAGTTCACTGAGACGCTTGAGCGTCAGGGGGGCCCGCTACCTTCCGCTACCTTATCTCTCCGATCTTGGCGCTTGAACTGCCGCTGCCTTTGCGCATCGTCCTCGATCTCGAATGAACTTCAATCTCTACATTAGCGTCCATAGGCCGTTTCAAAGGATGGTGGGGACTGACAGGCTTCTATATTCAATCGGAATTGCAGCTGCAGGATCGATCGACCGTTGACTGCCTCGCCTCTGAATGCCGACGCTCTTGTTGCTCTTCGACCGCGGCTGCACATAAGTATTGCTGCCGCGATTGGCCGACTCCTCATCCGCCGCATTCCAGCGTACAGACGGCATCGATTGTGGCATTTCGATGGAGCAAATGGGAAATTATCACCAAATCGAGAAGCCAACTGAAATGAACTGGATACGGGTAAACCTGATACGTGGGACAAGGTCTTTATAGACCTCTGCGAACCGGGCTCAATGCGGCAGTCGTCTTGAGGGATTTCCTCATGTCTATGTCCAGTGCGTCTTCCATGATCGCGTTCGAGGTGAGATGAGTCTTCTTGCTTTTTCTCCCAAGCGAGATGCGAGACATATCGTGTACCCAATCATTGCGAGAGCTCGCAAAGTGATAGTGGTTTGTTTCTGAGGGGTTTGAGATCGCAGCCCGGCTTAGCTGTCAGCACTTGAGCCGGACCCACGGCCTCCACGTGGAGACGCCCTATGGCGTCCCATGCGGAGCAAGTGATACCGTTGGAGAGAACAAGTCACTCATTCTGCTAATGGGTAGCGTAGGTCTTCCGCCACAAACACCAATGAATAATGCCGCATGAGTGGAGTCATCTCATGCTTGACGTGGAGACAAATTGACCTCCAGCACCAGCTTGGAACCCGGTTCCTGTCTCGTCTCGTAGTAGACAGGAAGAATGAAATAGAAGTGGGCAGTGGGCACTGTGGCTGGGCGCCGTTGCTACTCATCTAGCTTTCCGAGGTGTTCACTGGTTCCTCAAATCGCTCATGTCTGGTCTTTCGAATCTCAGCACTGCGACTGCGGGGGAAAATTCTAGTGTACTGACCTTTTCTGCTGTCGAGATGTGGTATAGCGATATCATTTGTCATAAATCAAGTCTCATCTCGCAACTTACCCCAAGTGGATTGAAAAAGAGTCAATTTTCATCCCTAGGGTTGGCAGGATTGATGATTCCGTTGATTGGTACGAATAATACAGAAACACATAACAATATATGGGCGTCAGTTTACGCGCGTATTGACTGTCATGTGCTCTCGATGCATATTCTGCCGGGCGGTGTGGCGCTTGGCGCCTCCCTTCTCTGAGCCGCCCTTCGTATTTTGCAATTTCTCGTGTTTTCCTCTCGTTAATTATTCCCCTGACTGATTGACCGATATGAATACCGGGGTTGATGGAGAGAAGAACTGGATTATTGGTCCTCTCGGCATCGAGACGGTCATGAAATCACTCTAAAAATCCACTACGGACTGACTAACCTTGAGGATCAACTATCATGGTCGGGGTCCCCCGCAGCCGGGGATGTTCTCAGTGTATCTGCCGCAGGATTAAGGTGAGTTCCGAGATTGAGGCTCTATCTAGCGTTGTATCCTGGAATCATCTGTCAAAGGGGAAAACCAAGGCTTGGCCAAGAACTAAGATGGTTCACAGTGCGACGAGACGCGTCCACACTGCCTGCGGTGTATCAAGCGCGGGTCAAATTGCCCTGGCTATGACCGTGCTCACACATTTAAGGATCAGACTCAGCATATTATCCAAAAACATGGCCAATCATCAATGGATGAAAAGCTTGCCCCGAACCTGGCCTTTGAGGCAATCGGCATCCAGACCAGAGAATCGTTCGATGGTTGGCTGAATTATTATTTTCCCAGTGTCAGCGCCTGCATTCAATCGCGTGTGAAGGTGAGCTGGATGGCATTTTTACGCAGCCGATGGTCTACCTTTCCCCCAGCCCTTGTATGGGCTATCCGCGCCCTGACGGCTCTACTTATGGGGGCCTCGCAAGGGAACAAGCAAGCAATCCTTTGCGCTCGTCACATGTATACTCGTGGAATCCGGCATTTGGCGTCTCTCTTACAAACCGATGAAGCTCTTACAGACGAAACTTTGGCAGCAGCTATCCTACTTGGCGGATATGAGGTCCTAGACGGCAGCAGTGACCGTGCATGGATAGTTCATGCGCGCGGTATCAATCAGTTGATGCTCGCCCGCGGACCGTCTGCACATAAACATGGCATGGGTAGGACGCTGCTCATGTGTTGGCGACCTTACATAGTCGCAGGTGCTTTCATTCATGGAACGCCATGCTTCCTAGGTGAAGCGGAATGGACACGCAACTCGATGACTGGAGACATTGCCCGAACGGAAGATGAGCAAGGAATAGGGAGCTTGGTAGGTCAAACAGTGGACTATGCATTCAACGAAGTTGCCAAATGTCCTGGGTATTTAGCAATGACGAAAGAAACTGTCGCCAGAAGCCCGCTTGGCCGTGTAATTGACATAAAACCATTGATGTTCGATATTCTTCATTCAAAAGAAAACCTCGCTCGGCTGGATCGCACGTTGTACGCTACAGAGCCATCAGCCAACTTCATTGGAGTGATTCCATCGAGGCATGTCACGACTTTGGTACGGGCGTCCCATGACTGTATTAAATTCGCTATCGTGTTACTTGACCATCTAGAGAATACGCTCCAGTCCATCTCGATGTGCTCTACCGAGGCAAGCTCAACGGCTCGCCGGGGCGGCTTGCACAACGATCAGGTATGGCGCCTTTCTAGAGAGAGAAGCATCCCTGCAAGTCAAACAACTCCACAGTCGGGCAGTTCCCGTGGCCTAGGAGACACATATGCCGGAACATACGCTATTGGTGATCGACTGGATCACTTTTCATTGACCATGGGACTGGGAAGCCTATCGCTAGATGCTCGTGGTATCCCCCAGCTCTCCGCCAATGATGCAATTCCAGGCTATTTCTCAGGGATTTTCCCATGTCAAAGGCCCTGATTTTTCTTTGTTTCATACCTGTACAATTTTACCACTAGCGTCATCGCCCATTGCAAAGATTTCCCAGAAAAAGACCACATATGACACGAATTCAGTGATAAATGCAGTTATGGAGCTAACGAATCCCAATAGCTCTGTATAAAATCCCAGACCAGTAGTTCCGGCCGAGGTGTTAGTCTCCTCCCCGCAGATTTCATCAAAGATGGCACTTCATTCTCATTATAGTACCGTTTATTTCTACCACCACGTGCTGCCTTCATGTTTGGGTTTCCTATCCTCTCTAGGGAAACCTTCAAAAGTTCTCATCGCCATGACCCGTCCTCCTCTTCGTATTCTTCCGCATTATCATGATGTGTTCGAAACAAGGTTCCCGTCAACATCTTTCTGAATATATCCTGCTGTATGTCACACCACCATGCGTACCGCCCATTCCGCTCGTAAGGCGTAAAATCCATCGGCCGGTAGGCACGGCCGTGCTGATCAAGAAAGTCCTTATTTCGCTGCCGCCGAATCTTTTGCTGCAATAAGCGATGAGCTGCGGGGTTGTGCTGCAAAACTCGCTGGACTTTAGGATCTTGAATCTTCCAAGGATCAAAGACACACAGGAAGTCTGCCAGTAAACAACTTTGCTCGAGATTCATGCTTCCGATAATCTTCTGCTGCTGAGCGTCATCAAGCAGCATCAAGCCCCAGAGCTTATAATGGGCCATGATGAAACGGGTTTCTTCCGAAACTGATAGAGCTCTAGAGACCTGCGGGTCCCAGTGAGCGTTTACTCTTACGCGGTCATGGAACGAAGTGACTAGCTCGTCGGCATTGTTGGATGTTGTTACAAGCCGACCAACGTCAGAGACATTGAGAACCTGCGCACCCATCGCCAAATGTCCCTGGTTGTCTAGAAGAACTCGTAAATCTTCATAACACGGAATAGTAGTAGGTGCAACTTGATTGAAGATATATGAAATGTGCTCCTTCCAGATCTTGTTCAAAAGTTTGCAGGTTCCAGCCAGGTTCGCAACATGACTGAGCGAAGAGGAGTGACTAAAGATTGCCACGAGAAGCTCGGTCGGGAGAGCCAACAGAAGTGAGTGCATCTTCACTGAAGATATGACCTCCATGCTATGACGGAATTGTAAAAAGTATGAGAATTAGGATAAGGAAGAGAAGCGAAACAACGAGCACTACCGTTCTTTGAAATCATGGATGAACTGTTGAAGGTACTCAATAGGAATTGTTTTCCCAAAAGGTAACTGATCAGATGAAGCGATGGAAGAAAAAATAATTGTAAAAATCGGTATAAATATTAGGATTCGTAAATGTGTAGTCGTAAGTCGGAGCCTAATCAATTGTGGTGCTGCCTAATCCACACATATCACCTGACTTAGGTATGGGGGCTAATAGAGTCCAGGGCAGCAAAAATTGTGGGTCCTGCCTGCCGCTCAGCCTTCCGCCTACTAGATTAGGCTATCCCGATTCAGCCAATGAGAGGCCTCGCAGGACATCTTCTTACACCCTCTACAGATCCTCCAATCCTACGAGTTTTATCATGCATCCTCTCTTAAATCTCTTCGAATCCTGCGGAATCTTCTAATCCTACTATACTAATATACCCCGACCGACTATTAATTTAGGGTAATGCTGTTGGCACCACCTAGGGCCTGAATTAGGCACCAATTTCGGCCTGGTTGCCTAATTTCTACTAAGGGTGTTATGGTTGTTAATTACTATTTTAACCACCCCGTCTACTAAGCGATCACATAACCCACCAACTAGCCCTTTCAAACCAACGATAATCTCTTTGCCTTACGACCGCGAGACCTACGCCCTTAGCGAAGTTACTTCTCCTACTTTAATGGCTAACTCGACTACTTTAGAATTAATACACTTAGCTAATCAGAAGCTTAGAATCAGAATCAAATAATTAACTTAGAGAGATTCGATTTGATGGGTAATAGGCAATTTGATAGGCAATTTGATAGGCAATTTGATAGGCAATCTGATTTTCGCTAAGTCAAATCTAGCCTCATAAGTTAGGTATCTACTCAATAAGACGGGCAGAATATTTGGACCCACAGTTATTGCCTCCCTAGACTCTATAAGCCCCCATACTTAGGCAGGCAGTCACTCTATTTTCAGTCACTAACTGCGAATTGCTATACATCTCCCGAGGCTCCAGAAGAGATATATTAGGTATAGAGCGCTCATCTCGGGATAGCCAGCATTTCATGGCCTGAGTTGAAGCACAAAGAATATCTTTGAAGAGTGGACAGTCCGAAGTATTTCCAATACGAGGTAAGTCTGGCGTCCCATTTCGATGGAAATGCGGCATCATGAACAGTAAGGTCGGACCCAAATCTCTTATACTGGTTTTTTCGCAGCGACCTGGAATATTCCAGGCTATATCAGAGCCCGATCCCTAGCTCCGAGATGTAACTTTGCCAAACTTTAAATCTCTCAACCTATCGCCAATTGGTGAAGCCCGTTCGGGAGGGGGCGGCTAGATAAGCCGCCTCTCCATGCTAACCGCCATCTAAGCCATTATCATCGATTCTCATAACATTGGTCCTTTACATCGTCTCTGAAACATGCATTTTAGGACCACCTCTTGAGTACTCTTCTATTGGTTATCCACGCGCCGCCCAGAGAGCCCCCTTAGAAACGGTATACTCCAGGGCCAAATTCAAGAATTGCAAAAGGAAACCCGTTTTGCTCATTATATTAGATCCAGAATGGAGGCCTATCAATGTCCAAGACCGGGAGTTTAAGTTACGACACAATGAACCGCATTCTTTGTCTTCCTTTCAATAAGAACCTTAAGGTGATTAAGGATTACTGGTCGCGTTATAGCTTATCAAGGAGGCAAAGCGGTTAGATAAGGCATTTGATCTTGCCTATTATTTGCCCAGTGGTTTGGGGGTACGCATTAGTTAAGTTATCGCTTGAATATGTTCTGACTAAACAAACCATCAAATGAGTTTGCTAACTATATAATGGCTGCTTTACTTCCCGACAAAACTCTGGCGAAACACAGAGTCGAGAAAATCTTACTTGATCCTTGGAAATGCACCACGCTATTTCCCAAACATCAGCAGAATGTCATCAAACAACAAGAAAAAGCCCGATCTAAAATTGACTCCCCGAGTAAGGGAGCTTTTGGATCTGGAAACTCAATTTACAGTCGGCGGCTTCGAACCTATGCCATATTTCTTCGAAAAAGCTCAAGGATCTTTGCTATGGTGAGTGTAAAGGATACGTATGGAAACCGCAAGTCATATATGTTGCTCATGATCGCAGGATGTCAATGGAAATAGATATATCGATTTTATCGGTATGTTCAGTGCTGTTAATACGGGACACTGCCATCCCGATATCCAGGAGGCTGTGATCGAACAATTAAAGAAAGGTATACTCAGGTAGCCCGGAATCCTGTGAGCTGCTATTTGACTGAAAAATGATGCTTAAGTCACATTGGTCAATCTATCTTGCCATACTTCCACCTTCGGCATTTTCGCCAGGAGGCTTTGCACACGATTTGGCTACGACAAAATAGTCGCTATGACGTCAGGCACAGAAGCAGTAGACACTGCCTGTAAGATCGCCAGACGGTGGGGAATTAATCAAAAGGGAATTTCCCCACAAGAATGCATGATCCTTGGCGTTGGGGGCTGCTATCACGGACTCGCCTCAGGTGTCTGGAGTTTGATGAACGGACACTCACTGAAGGTCAAAAGTAAGCGCCTGAGGTGAATATATGTACACGACGTGCTGATGATCTCCCGTGAAAGGGTATGGCCTTGACAGCAGAATTCAGATGAATACAAACCCACGCACGGGTGAAGTGCTGGAGTATCTCAACCTGGACAAGATGAGAGCTTGTCTGGAGGAGTATAAAGATCGCGTGGCGGCTGTTATCATGGAGTGCATTCACGGACATAGTCGGTAGGCTCTGATCACTCTGGACTGCGTCAAATTTCAAATACATGCTGATTCTCGATGTAGGGATGTGAATGAGGAGATTAGCTACGCCCGAGGTGTTTATGATCTCTGCAAATCCATGAATATCCTTTTCATTGCGGACGAGGTGCGGCAAAGCGTTGGAAAAACGGGAAAGTTTTTCAGTTTCCAACACTTAGGTCCCAATGTGAAACCAGGCATTGTGACAATGGGAAAATCTATTACTGGCGGTTTTTACCCCCAATCGTTTATTATGGGCGTGGCCACAGTGATGGCATCTGTCGGGCCATGCGAGATGGCCAGCACCTATGGCTTCACTCCATTAGGAATCGCGGCCGCAAACGCGACCATCGACGTTATCGACAGAGAAAATCTGATCGAACGAGCCGTCTCTTTAGGAGATCTGTGGAGGAAAACCGTCCAATCTTGGAACCATCCTCTTGTAGACTATGTTGCACAGGTCGGCGCCGACTCTAACTTGATCCTTCGGGAAGTGCAACCCTCCCGGGTAGTAGCCTTGTGTATGCATCGAGGCTTATTCGTGTATCCTAAGCCAGACGGGATACGATTGAGCTTCGCTATGACCATGTCGAATGAACTGCTGCTGGAAGGGGCAGAGATTCTCAAAAGCTGTCTGGATGATGTAGGCAAATATGGACTAATTGAGGGGGAGTGATCCCTTGTGGGGGAGGGCGAAAGACCTTTCTCTCTCAGTAGTTAAAGATGGAAGAGGCTCCCTGCTCTTTGTCTCGCTGATTTATATTTAAAGCCGGATCTTGATGGCACGACGCAACAGAGGGTGTCGCGCTAATGTTTTTTCTCCACCATTGTCTCATACACACTAGTCTCTTTAAAATGTTTGTCTATGACCCGTTGGGAGTTTACCGATGATCCTATGCTAGTATCATCAAGTCTCAGCCGCCAGCCACGGGTATCTTCCGCCATAGCGTATGCGCATCACCACGGTTTTGAATCCCAATAAGCTCCCTGAAGGCTCTCGACGATTTCCGATTGTCACACAGACGCTGTCAGATGATTTAGTTTCACCCGGTGCCCTGGATACCAGCCTAGAATCATGCGAAGTGGCACCCACCGACAGCGACGAGCCTCTACTGCTGTAGCCGTTGGGTTATTTATAGACTAGATTAGAAAGAGCAGCGTTGTCATTGAGCAGGATAAGTGAATGACGCACCTTCTTCGTTGTCATTTTGTCCAGCACTGCCCAGAGGCTAAATCTAGGCGTCCCGTGAATCCCCAACGCCTATATAACCTTGATCGATGTGACAACGCAAGCGGCTCCCATGTCGCCCATATTTCAAGCGTTCCTGCGCAGGGGGTCTAAGTAGGTTCAGTCCGGAATACAAATAAAAAACCGTATCATGGCTTACGCAAATCGCTGATCAATCGGTTCTTGTCCATTGTACCGATGGCATTCGCTGTATCCGCTGGCTTCCAGTATCGCGATACATTTGGACTGGCAGGTGCGACGGTCGGGAACTGCGCGTAAAGCTCGCTGGACTCGTATGGTTGTCAGCGAGCTTCTGGCCACGGTGAGCTCTCAAGCCAGCTCGTAGGGAGGACAAATCGGTTGCCTGACCCAATCCATCAATAGTCCAGAGGTATGCTTCAAGTCAGTCAGCATTCAAAACAACCCAGTTAGAGCATATATACGTCTTGGCGGCGGCTTTACAAATTAGAGGTTCTCAGCCTTAAACCTCATGCAGCCATACCATTTAAGATACGACGAAAATTTTACTGACAAAAGATAGAAACGCAACTTACGAAATTGTGATTGTCAATTAGCTTCAAGCCACTTGTATCTATAATAGGTCATCCGTCGTATTTTCAAGTACAGGGGAAGAGAACATGAAGAGGGAAAACAGAGGAGAGAGAATAGGAGACGGGAAAACGCCGAAGAAGTTACTAATGCCAATGCGTCACGAAAAGCCAAAGCCGGGCTGCGGGGGTATTTCCATATTCTTTAACGCTTCGCCTATTGCCCGAAATGTGGCAATCTGGCGCTCCTGCTCTTCCTGGGGCAAGGCAGCAAAAGCAGCCGTTTCCTCGTCCCATTTCCTCACGCAGTCCATGTTCCAATTGCACTTCTCAACCTCTCCAAAGATTGGGTGGTAGTATCGTGGGTGACTCTTCGGCCACTCTGATGCATGGTAATGATGCTTGACTAACGCATTGCGCGAGTTATGGCTGCCCGAGTCGGAATGACCTTGTCCTGCGGCGAAGGCTTCCACCGTGAGGACCAAAAATCCGCCAACAACTTTTGACTCCGGTATATCGTGGAAAGCGTTCCATGTGACTGTCCTGCCAGTCGTACGGCTCATTTCAGACAGAATGGCTCCTGTAAATGCAGATGGCCCGGTACCGGTGATCACGTCATCGAAGTCCAGCTGAAGCTCTGAGATGGGCTTCCTTTGCTTGATGGTGAGGTCGTTGAGCCAGTGAAGAATGTTCTCGACTAGCCGCATCATCACGGGCTGTCGGGGCTTGCACATGAAGGTCCATTGGCAGAAGGATTGTGATTTCTGACCGAGTATAGGATGGTCGCTGAAGTGTGGCTCATCGATTTCGACGCCAATAACCATGCCAATTTCTGTCTCGTCTTGTGTGCTTGGGATGAATCGCTCGACGGGTCTCAATGCTTCCACGTCGATATCCGCATAGACACCTCCTTCTATATACATCACTAGGTACCGTAGTAGATCGGCCTTGATAATTGGAGCGGTTAATAATCGATAGGTTTCAACGATATCTGGTCGATTCTCCCCATCGGGACCGAACTTCGTTTCGACATATTCGAGGTCATTTTGGTCGGTCAGAACTTCATAGCGATAGCCCGGGTTTTTCACAGTCCAGCTGCGCGCAACCTCGATATCGCGTTCGGCAAAATCCAATGGATTGACTTTCCAAATCTGCCAGATCTTTCTAGGAAATCTCTCGCCATTGTCGGCCGTCACCGGAGTAGCGTACGACCGAGTCTCACGAACGTCGTGTGATGTCCTAGTGACACAGAAGTAGATGAATAAAAAGAATGCCACCAGGCCGCCATGTGTGAATCTACGTGCCCTCTTTGGAACAAGACTGATCGGCACGAATTTCTTCTCCACCATGACCGTACCTGTGATGTGGTTCTCTTCACTGGCGTCTTATCAGGGGAAAGCATAGAAGTCGAAAAGAGGAAAAGGATCGTGAATGTAGGAAGGAAGGCCCTTATTTCACCGTTGTCTAAATTACATACATTACATAGCATTGTATTTAACATGTGGCCTTCACTTAGTCTGTAAGGCTTTGCCTCGGGCTACATTAGTCCCTGATACTTTCGATGGCTTGTATCTCATTTGCTAGAACGTCTTTTTCGTAAACCAGAATCGCATTAGTAGCGACTGGTTCGAGAATGGGTAAAATTTCAAGATCCACTGTATTAATTTGTGGGACCTGGACGGATTCAGTTATTCGGCCGGTCCAATAGCTGAAACTGGGTGGGGACTGTCAAGCATGGTATTCAAGTGGGAAACACCGTTTAGATTTCCACATATTGCATCCGCATGACATGGAACCCACTCAAATGCAACCGCAAACCTTGTCAAATTGCGGGGGGGTAAGATCGTGCCTGCACTGCTTCAGCCACTCGGGCCTATTCCCCAGGCGGGCAGTGTTCGGACCCCGACTTGTGGGGGTGGGAACAAGGGTCCGTGAAGACCTGGCCCAATCTAGAACGAAACGCAATCTAGCGGCTGCCTCGGCACCAGTGGGCAGTCGCACTAGAAGTGTGGCACTGGCAACTAGGGCCTGCCCGCTAACGAACGCTAGTCACAGCATGAGTCTACACATTTCACGTGCTTGTCGAGTCGGCAAGTGCTGTGTATCTCTCAAGCAGCGGAACTTGAGGTTTAATTGATCGTCTTCATCGAGCTTTTAGAGGACGCTGGCACTGGCAACTCTTATCCCGATGCCCATGCTACACACTTCAATCGAGGGCTTCTCACCTCAGTTGAACTTAAGCTCAGAGGGAGTCGTCGAAGAGGGGCAGTGGAAACCATATTCAACACAAACGACACGCTCTCGCCATGGAAAGTCACTCCTGTCATGGATGGCCCTTTTGGTGCCGACATTCTTTACCGTACGGACAAACAGCGAGACAAAAGCGAATGAAAGGCAACGACAACGTACAAGGCCGACCGCATACCTCGATGGATTGAGGGGGTTTGCGGCTTTCCTAGTCTACTGGGGACATCATCAACTCTGGGCCCACGATGAAACAAAGTTGGGCAAGGCCTTCGAGTTGGCCTACGGTTACGACAACAAGTACTATTTTGCATGCCTGCCTGGTGTTCGAACATTGTTCGGGGGTGGTCATTTTGCCGTCAGTGTCTTCTTCGTGCTTTCTGGGTATGTTCTCTCAACGAAACCATTGGGAAGCATCCAGGATGGTGACTACGCTGAGCTAGGTAAAAGTCTTTCCTCAGCGGTATTCCGACGATGGTTTCGTCTCTATATTCCTGTCATTTGCACCACATTTTGCTACATGACATTTTTACATTTGTTCGGAATTCGTACTGTTCCAGAGCTTCAAGGTAGCTACCTCTCTGAGCTATGGAATTGGTACGCCGAATTCAAGAACTTCAGCTTCGTTCTGCGAACGGGCGGCGAGCCCTGGTTCGGGTACAATTTTCACGTTTGGTCCATTCCCGTGGAATATCGAGGCTCGCTAGCTGTTTACACCACCGCTCTCGCCCTCGCAAGATTTCGCCGCAATGCCCGGTTGATCGGTGAAGTGGCGTTGGTGGTGTACTTTTTGTACATTGCGGATGGAGCACACTTTGCTATGTTTATTGCCGGCATGCTTTTAAGAGATCTTGACCTCCTCGCCATGCGCAATGACTTGCCCGGCTTCTTCCGCAGACTGGAGCCCTTCAAGTCAGCCATCTTGACTTTTCTCTTCTACGTCAGCCTCTATCTTGGCGGGGTCCCATCACATACGGACAATTTACAACAGTTACGTGACTCGCCAGGTTGGTACCTCTTGTCATTCCTCAAGCCGCAGGCGGTTTTTGACTACAAATGGTTCTACCTGTTCTGGGCCGCTGTTCTCCTCGTTGTGTGCACATCTCACCTTCAGTGGCTCAAGACCTTTTTTGCGGCCCCGTTCAATCTATACTTGGGCCGTATTTCGTTCGCCTTCTATCTAGTTCACGGACCCGTTCTCTGGACTCTGGGAGACAGGCTCTACGCCGCAGTGGGATTAATGCGCGATTCGCATGCTCGGAATTGTCCCTGGTGGATTAATCGACTCCCCTTGCCTAATGTTGGCCCCTTTGGCCTTGAGATCAACTTCCTCGCTCCGCAGCTGATCCTATTACCCTTGACCCTGTGGCTGGCAGAGGTAACGACTCGATTTGTCGACGAGCCGGCTGTGAGGCTGTCTCAGCAGATGTATCAAGAGGCGCTAAACGACAAGCCCTGAAAATCCCTACTTTGTTTACGAGATAGCTCACCTGATCGTTGCTCGGCTCCTATTGTAACACGTCCTTCCAAATGATGAAACGCTGTATGATAAAGACCTAACGATCTGACTTAATCTTTCAAGATTACTTTCCAACATAAGCATAATTTGCCGAATCGCAAAGTGCATGTTGGAAGGATTTACCCCTTAGCTTCCTAGACCTAATATCCAGGCAGTAGCACACGTTTCAAGATGGCATGCTTTTCTCTCAGCTGTACGTCAAAATTGACGCAGGATGCGCTGCTTTTCCAAAGTTTGTATACTGTGACATAATGTAGTCAATGCTCGGACGAATACGCCGATTACGATACAGGGAAATTACCAGTTGGGGATGTGGATGTGGTCGCGCTACCCCGCAACCACGAGGAGTCGCAAACTATCTCCCCTCCATTCAGCGACCACCCCATGTGGATCAGGGCCCCCTTTCCAAGTCCAATGACCAATCTCCGCAATCCGTTCTCTGAAATATAGCTTAACACCTCTTAGGCTCTTACTGTCACATCCCGATGCTCTCCTCAACACTCGCGAGTCGCCAGACTGGATATGCCCAAAAAATCAGCCACGCGCCTGATCCTTATCGCAGGGCTGTTGTCTGCAGTGATCCTCGTCGCTAAATTTCAATCTAAATATCTCGACTTGCAAACAAGTTTTCTGCCCACACACCACTTCAAGGATGGTCCATATGGGCAAGCACCCATTAATGCTGGGGAATCCGAGACAACTTGTGCCCCGGGCAGCGAAGCCTGGTCTCACTGCCGAGATGGACAACCTGCAGACGAGGACGGAGGCCGTCCCGGTTTCGACGAAAAAACGTCACAAACGCACCACATCATATACTCGACATCGAATCCCGACCGAGAATATTTCAGGGTGGATTTTGGAACAAGATCTGTGATGAACCCTAGTATCATACCCCATCCTGAATTGATCGACACCTGGATCATCTCTGCGCAACTTCAAAAGCCACCATCGGCTCGAATGGCATCGGTATGGTTTGCTGAGCTCGTATGCAATGCCGTGTTTTCAGAAGACAAGCGAGTTTTGCGCTGTCTAGAACCACCACTGCAATTGCCCATCCCAGCCACGTTTGGTGATTCCAGCAAGTGTGTCGGCGACCTTTCCTACTTCAGTCTCAGTGTTGGGCCTCATGATGCGAGGGTATTCTACGGGCCCGAAATTCCGTACACCATCTACGGCTCTAATTCGTTCTTTACGTGTTTTGGACAATGGATCTCTGACTTTCGAATTTTGGTGGATTGGGGGATAGACACGATACATGAACACGAGTTTCGCCAGCCTCGTGAGCTCCAGCGTCCAATGCCATGGAATGCCGTTGAGAAAAATTGGTTCATTTTTTGGGATGACTTTGGACAAATGTTCATCCACCATGATATTACACCAGTGCGGGTATTTTCGAAACTCGAGGTCGATGGCACCATTGGGCCAAACTTGGCTCTGGTGACCGCGAGTTCCGACCAAGCATGTCTCAATAAATTCTTGCCTCAGAGCACAAGCCCAACGGAGAGGATTCATCAGGCGACAAATTCGCTAGCCATCACGCTATGTGCACGATCTGACCAATCTTGCCAACCTGACGCGACCAATACTTTTGTGCTCTTCATCATCCAACAAAAGAGGATGCAAGGTCTTCACCCCGTATACGAACCATACGTTGTGCTTACGCGACGTTCTATGCCATATGAGATCCATGCGGTCTCATCAAAACCGATTTGGATCTTTGGTCGCAAGATTAGAGCGGACAAGTCTGATGCTTCGTCTTCAAAATCGCTCTCAGAAGACTCCGAGATGCTCTACGTCACTAGTATCAGCTGGAAAACCCATGGACAGAAGTATCATGGCTACATTGACGATGCACTGTTTTTGGCATTTGGTAGGGAGGACTCAGCCGCTGGCGGTATTGACGTCACTGGGAGCGACCTTCTGGTGGAACTGGGTATTTGTGCAGGAATTTAATTGAATTCGGTACAATGGGGCTCTTCCGGTGAATATCCTTGTCATGATATATAGTACGCACTCGGTATGCAGAAACGAATTTAGCGCCTTTGTAACAATCCACTGTCGAAACACGGAAATTACAGAACGAACAAAAGTCTGAAGAGAAGCAAAGTCCTTCAGAATCCAATCTCCGTGGCGTCCCGAACATTCTTCTCGGTGAGTCTTCCTCATTTTGTACCGCCTGTCTATCTTCTCGTGTGCGTACAACTCGGCTGAGTGGCGCGCTGTGTACAGCGGAGCCGCAAAAGTCTGTAACCCCCTGGCAGACCGCATTTTTCAGCCCGGAAATTTGCCACCTGGAAACATCCAAAAACCATACTAAATTGCTAATACACATGAAAGGCTAGGCACTGGCAAATCACTTTAACCAAGTTGAGGTTAGTCGACAATTAAGGTACTAATTACAAAGCAATGCACGTCTCCACGTTTAAAAGGCTGAGTAAGCTATGGTAGCAAGGTGGTATTGCTGGCGGTCACAGACTTTTTTGCGGCGCCGCTGTAGCGCAGTTTTCCGCAGGATTAGTCTGGCATTCTGACGAGAGAACCGTGGCCCTACTGCCAAGTGTTTTGGGAACTTTCACATGATTCTTACCACTGTTTTTTTCTAAGACATTGATCGACCGAGGTGAGTCCCCCATACTATAAGCCAATCCACCGTTAACTTTGAGCATGTGCCAGAGTCTGTGAGCAGTCTAGTGCCTGCGTGATGTGGGGCGTGGCGCTCGACTTTCCAAACTAAGAACCCTGATCTCCCGCGTTGGGCGTGAGCATCTATTGGTCGAAGGGAATTATGAATATTACTGCCAGAACCTCGCTCCGGACGTCAGTTTCGATTCGGATAGAAATCCGTTCTATGGCTGCGTTAGTCGCACCCTGGTCACCTTAGTTCTCCTCGGGGAATCGGGGGAAGTATGACAAGGATTGATCGATGCGGGTGATATCATGCACAACTACGGCATTCTGGATCAGGGTCATACGTGGTTTGCCGGCTGCCCCGCAACAGAATTAGGCGAAAGGCGAAATCTTGCTGAAATTAGTTTTCACCAGGGAAATGAGATTCGATCTAGGCGCACCGCAGTACCAAGGTGTAAGGGGTTCATGGTCTGGCAATAGGCAGACCTGACAATCTTCAGACAAACTGTCTTCGCTCTCCTTGGCTTGAGCATATTTATGTTGCGCATTTTTCTTCCTGCTTTCTGTGGTTCTGTAGCTTACAAAGTCGGAGTGGAGCTCAGTCAGAAGTCCTTTGACCGTACACGATATGGCACGAACGATAAGAATCTGGAGACGTCGAACCAAGGAATATTAAATTTTCCTTTTTTGGCTCGTTCTCCGTTGCCAATGTTACATCCATTATTGCAATCTTACCTCTAGGGTGTCTCAGATTACCCTGTCTTTGGGTGGGTTTTTGTTTTCTACATACCCAGCTAGAGGAGGTCCGCGTCGATGGATAGGCTGTGTTGCTTGAAAGGGCCTTGCTGGCTATTTTCCGGAGGCTTCGTGTGTTTATATCCCTGTGAATAGGTCAGTTCAAAGGCTTCAGTCGGAATAGCTTTATTGGGCGCTATGGGGCTCTGCTCATTTTATACATTTGGCCTGCTCCTAATCTTCCTGTGGAGAAGAACACCTAATCTGCAAAGGGTGGACGGATCAGGTCCTAGCATATAACTATGCAAGTAATGCATCTTAGAGTCAGAAATCATACCGTTATGAATTGAATTATACATTCTAGAATAGGAAGATATATTAAATTATTTAGCTTAAGATAGCTTGGTAGCAAGAATCTACCAGCATCGAATTATGTATATCAGATAACAGCCAAAAGCACATCCGACTCCTTCTTCACACCCCCATTCACAAAAGGAACATCATGCTGGCACACAGGAAAGCAGTACCGGCCACATAAGCAATCCCGGATCCAATACCAGCGGCCCCGTTGAACTGGGAGGTTGCCGAAGGCGACGCGGTGGCGACCTTGGTAGAAGTCGTGGAACCCACGGTCGAAGTCACGGAGGCCGTAGAAGAAGTCTGAGGGCTTCCGCCCAAGCCACTGACGGAAGTAGAATTGGAGCTACTCGATGTGATCGGAACACGTCCCGTGGCAGTCGACGTAGGACCCGTTGACTCTACTGGGGGAACAGAGACCGGGTGACCGGCACCAGAGCATAAAGATACGACGATGTTGGAAACGGCTGTGAGAGATGGTCAGATTGAAATCATGCTGAGAGAAAGGCGGCTTTTCATACCTTGCTGGTCTGCAACATCGCAGGCTTGTTGGACGCAGGGCACAACCTGTGCCACAAGGCCCGTCTTTTGGCAATGGCACGCGAAATCCGTCAGCTCCGAGCAGCCGTCTGCACCTAGAGCAGTAGTGAGACAGTTAAGCTGTGAGGGGAAAAGGAGAAGGGGGGACAAGTCAGTTTGAAACGTCTAGTTGGGACTTCCAGCAGAGCTAGGACATACAGAGCATTGTGGGATGCTGGATAGTTGAGCGCTAACTATGGCAACAGCACCGAGAGCGGCGGCAGCCGTAGCAGAGAGACGCATTTTGGCTGTGATTCAAAAATGAATGGATGGATAGCCTGGAGATTGTCTGGCGTGAAGGGCTCTCAACGCAACAAGCATGATAAAATTTGAATGGATGCACAAGACTGGTCTTATATGATCCGGCACTCCCGGCCTATCTCTGGCTAGCGGAAGAGACCGCTTATTAGAAAATCCCACAGCCCGTCATTGGCCACATGGAGTTATCTCGATTTCCTTTTCTTCTGAGTCAGTCCGCTCGGGTCTCGTCAACCCTGGTCTGCTAGTATTGGCTTGGGTAATTTTGTTACAATTATACAATAGCATCCGTAATAATATGAACGAATGAGATTAAGAATTGAACGAGGCGCAGGCCTAAATTGAGCAAAGGTTGTTTGCTGTGGATCTTTGCCTCTGTTGATGGGGTGTATATAACCTGAGATGACCATATACATGGCGTAACCCGGACATGTCTTTAATTAAACGAAGTGGAGCAAGGCTGGGGGTGCGTGCGGGGTAACGAGAAAACCAAGGGACCCTGTCCTCACATGCTAAACACAAGGCAGAGAACACGAGGTACGCTCTGGTCCTTCGAGTGAAATAGCGGCGGGGGTCTGAAAAATCAAAAAGCGGAGAAAGCCAACATATCTCCAAGAGATCCGTGGATTGGCTCCTGCTCTAATGATGCTAGCTTTGAGGGATGAGGTGATTCCAGCCAAGGCAAGCGTTCTTTCAGCTTAGGGCGACTTGGCTGTTATCTAGCTTTGGCTATTGCCTAGCTAAACCTTTCCCGCCATATCGGACGGTCAACCAACACCTCTCTCGGCAGCGGTGTGGGACGGCAACGCTGCATGTAGGCCATGTTCTCAGCTTACAAAATGTGTTGATTCTTGTTGATTATTATTGTTCTTCCTTTTGCATGAAGGGTGCTGCATTTCAACTCACGGTTGAGTAGTAGTTTTGATACTCCTCAAGAAACAGTCTCTGTCACAATTGGACTCAGCTGGTTGAGAGGCCTCCTATCTCACGGGTAGATATATATTTACATTATTGAAGAAAATAGAATCTGCATTATGTTCCGATTCAAGCGGTAGTTGAGACCACCTTCGCAAGACCCCCTTCGCTAGCGACCCTGCGTCTCCGAGTCGGCTCGCCCTCTTAGCGCAATCTATCCGGTATGAGACACAAACTTTGCACAGTCTCACCATACCGCTCGTCCGACGGGTTTTCCCAAGGGTCATCTTCGGGAGGGCCCAGCCAACGTGAGCAGTACCCTTTCGTCAAAATCGCGATGACCTGGAGAGGCATTGCTTTTGCTGACTCTACAATGAAGGCCAAGATCGTTATTCTTATAATAGTGGAAGATGGCTTAATTGGGACGAGCTCGAATGAACCTCTCGCCATATTCAGTTCGACTTCATCGCGCTCAGTGATAGGGCTACTAGCATAAGTCCAGGAGCAACCAAGGTCGTTGGGTATAAGAAGCGAGAAGGTGGTCTCAACCGAGTCTTATTTTAACAATGGACAATGGTTCTCGTATTTTGGCACGGCTGCCGACCAGTATTGCTGGGCCACCAAAGTTAACAACGAACTCGGAAGTCACAATGATAACATATAGTAAGCTTGATCCACATATCCTGCCCCTTGACGATTCAGCTCCAACAATCACTGATTGTTATTTCATACAGTACAAACCAAGCTCTCGCTTTCTATACCGAAAACCCTGGACTGGAATGACGATCAGTCAAATCCAATGGGCGCAGAGTAGATCATGGAGGAGCATGTCACGGGTGTCCGGATTCAGTGAGAATCGCATCACCACTATTGACCGCAGCGGTCTGCACAGTGGGAGCGCTCCACTCGCCGTCCCTTGGCCACTTTTTTGATACCTGCTATACGCGATCAGGACGCTGGTACTCAAACTCTGCCTCACCCCGATTTTCCCACGAGGAGTATCTTTGTGCCAGCCGAGGAACCAACTCTCATTACTGGTCTGTTAAAAAGCTTTAAGCTTCATTTTACGCCAACGAGACACGTGATTTCGCTGCACTTGTAGAGGAATCGCGGGGAGACACGTTCGAGAGCGGACACTCCACAAAAAAGTCTCCTGGCTGGAAGGAACGAGACTGGAAAGACGCATCAATCTTTTATCAGACATACGATGTGTGCATGAAGGGATTTGCACCCAATTTACGCCCTGCAAGACTACTTGACCTGTCTTTGTTTGGACTCTTCCAATACTGTCACGCAACACGGAGGGACATGTCGCAGCACTCTATCGAGAGTCAACTGACCTTTCATCTCGCTGGACAGAACTGGGGCTATAGGGAGCTTTCCCGGCCTCTCCCGCTGAAAAGGATGTGACAGAGCATGCTCGAGACTATGAAGATTTTGAGACCTTCCAAAAATTTAAATTATGGCTACAACGTTCTCTGCATACAAACTTCGAGTGGTGGGTTCCAAGTGATAAATGGGACGTGGCGAGAGATGCCCATCGCGCAGCGTATGACCAATGGATGCAGACGGCCAGAGACACTAAGTCTCGTGGCTAGGGTCTGGCAGTAGCTACACGGACAAATTGTGACCAATTGGTGCCTAGGAAGAAACGTGTGAGGATACAGAATGTTAGGACATGATTTGTGTTTGGTTTTCACACACAACCCTGAATATCCAGCCTTGAAGTGCTCTAAGGAGATCATCTAAAGGGCAATTAATAATGAAAAGGATATGAGGGGGAAAGGAGATCTCTTTTTGAGGATGACTAGTGTGTTATTAGCTAGTTTGGTTGGTCAATCCCATGATTTATTCAAAAAATCTACAAAGATCGTGCGGTTATAGACGACGTGTGGCGCACCCATTCGCTTCCGCTTATGGGTGGATCGCAGCGTAGTGGAGGGGGCACGTCGAGGCGGACTAGTGTCCGCTAGCTCATAGAAGTGTGAATGAAAGTAATCTGGAAGGTGAACCAAAGAAAAGGAAGGGGGGAGTGAATTGATAGGTTAGTTTTCTTCTTTTGAATCCAAACTCGATGACTAGGTTTTCCCTCGTGTACATATACAAATTTGTTCCCCGGAATTTTTCCATTCTCTTCAGCACGAAATTTCGCTAATCTGCACTCAGCGACAATGCCTTTCGACAATATTCATTGCTTGGTTTAGTGTGGATTGCATCGATTACGGAGACACCAGTTAAATATGTCCTAGTCGCCAGAGGCTGTTTACGAAGGTAACTTCCGCATCATGGCAGCAGCCCACTCATCTACAAACTTACATTGCCAGCGTACATCTCCGCCTGACAGAATGAGAGTTCTGTTAGATTTCAAAAATTTCATCGATTGATTCCTCGTCGCTTCAGTCAATTTCTTTTGCAAAAGGGACATGGAGACAATCCCAGCACCAAAAGACATCAAGAGGGAAGCAATCTCTAGGGCGTTCCAAGTCGGTCAGGAAATTGTCGGGGATTTTCGCTGAGCTCAACCAACACGGATAGGATGGTCGCGTTCCGACCACATGCTCCCTACACAAACCTTACCACTGCGCCTGGAAAGAGACTCATGGATTCTACCGTCTAGTCGACTTGCCCTGGACGAACATCGACTCGGTCGCTTTCCTCCTTGGTTCCCCGGAGGAGGTTTGCACGAGGCCTGCGCTGACAAGACTGCGAGCCGTGCCAAGATCGCCCGATGCCCGATGCCCGATGCTACATTGAGCCCTGCATTGGCCCGTTCAACACCCTCACTCGGGGAATCTGGGTCCAACCCCCAGCACGCACAAAAAGCGGGAAAGACCCCGACATCAACACACCCATCTTCGACAAGGCGGTCCCCCGGTCCCCCAACGTGAACGACAACCATCCTTGACTCGGAGGCATGTTAATCACATATCGATGAGTTCGCTGATTGGAGGGTCAAGATAAAGCAATGCTCGCTCGGCTGTGGAACTTTAGATCTACAGATCTACTCCATTTTAGCTGGTCTTCATTGTGAAAGGTAGGCGCAATAATGTTCGCTCCAGTTCTAGAATCACAAATGTGGAAAGATCAGCCGACGAAATGTCCCGTTCGGCACTAGCGGCTTTCGGAAAGGCCCTTAAGGGGGAAAAGTGGCATTGCTCGGCTAAGGACTGTATTATCGTACACTGAACTCGGTCTCTCACGTCAGTCGAAGGAATATCAAGCTCAATAGGTGGTTGACTTGGGAACCCTTTGAAGATTCACAGAATTATATATTAGATATTCACGCCAGACAACTAATCACGCGGACCGGTCCATCACGCAGAACTCTGTCTTTGCCTACCCGTGATCTCTATCTCCCCAGATTCAATTTCCGGGATGAAGATGGCGCTGCGTGCCTGCGAACCCTGTCGTCAGCGGAAGAGGAAATGCGATCGGGTCGTCCCCAGTTGCAGCTTGTGCACGAGGTACACCCTTACTCCCTCCCCCACTCCCTGCTAGCTGATGTCATGGGTCTCTGCTCACCGGAAACGACGTTTAACAAGAAACTTCCGTCAATGTTCCTATTCCGTGGGCGCTCTGATTGAATTTGACGAATATGCGAATTACCTGTCTCGGGATTCCAGGCCATGTGAAGCCACAGCCAGTCGGCTATACACTACATGGGCTATCGAGTCGCCTGACATCCCAGATTTCTATCCCATCGAATTCCGATGGTATATGCCTCAGTTGATTCGGTGCTGTGCGTTTTTCCGATTGTTTCTTTTCCTCTCCCCATTCTTTCTTTGTTCCCTCTTTTTGCTCTCCATGGTCGATTCTCGGCTAATTATCGCGACAAGCGCAGTTTTTGAAAATGTAGGTGTGTCCGGAATTCCAGTTGACAACGCCAGCTCCGCCTACCTGATGCAAACTACTTGGATGAAAGGCGCCCTGAATGATCCCTGCCTATTCCATGCCACCCTCTTTGCGGGTTCTTCTTGTTTTGATCTCCTCCGCACCGCGAAGCAAAGCCCGATCACGCTGTTTCACCAGAATGAGGCTATCAGAATTATTAACCAGCGCCTATCCAACCCGACCTGGGCATTGGAGGACAGCACCATCCTTGCCATAACTCCGCTCGCTCTATTTTCAGTAAGCCTCGAATCTGTTTTCAAAGATGAGTAGATGGGTGATTGACGGCCGTTAGGCGCTGAATGCCGACCAGACAGCTGCCAATGTTCATCGAATGGGGTTAGAGAGGCTGGCCCAGCTTAGGGGCGGCCTCGACAAGTTGGGCCTTGACGGACTTACGTCAACTCTCATCAATAGGTTGATATCATAGCTCCCATACCGGTAGCATCATGGACTGACCCGCAGAAGGAACACGATGATATATCACATAGCATTCGACACTGACCGCAGAAATGACATATCAGTACCGCCAATTGGTCTCGAGTCGCGAATCCTGGATCCCACGACTAAAGGCAACACCATACCGCCATACCTATCTATATCATTGGTCAAACAGCTCTTTCAAGAGATTCATAATTTTAAACTCGACTGGATTTCCAAGATTTCAGCAACCGGTCTACGCCACCCGTTTGTCGACCGTAGCGGGCCAGATTTCAGGTTTAATGCAAACCTACCGGCCACGCAGGACCCTATTTACCATTGCTGCTTCCTCGCCACACAGATCTTCTGGGCAATGGTCGATGGTAGGAAGCAGGTTCTTGATGCACTGGTCGCCAATTTGAAAGCATTCCTGTCCTTCACAGATGAAAAGCTTTGGCTCTGCTATCTCCCTGTCGAGTATTCCTGGGTATGTTTCACTGGAGCAGCCGCATCCAGGGATGCGGAATTACGCCTCTGGTTCTATTTCAGGCAGTCATCGTCCGTAAGGCTAGTCAGGGTATCCGAGGAGCCTGGGTACCTAGGTGACTTATGGTCACATCTTCAGTGGCTCAGAATGATCGGGCTGTAATTTGAGCCACTCAATTTCACCACACTTGAATATAGTATTGCATTTCATTGAAGATAAATGAACTTCAGAGATCTGATACGCTAGTGCATTTAGACCGTAATCCAGGGGGAGTGTAAATTAGTAGATGTTTCGCTGTTTCCTGGGTGGTGCTAACCCGTCCCATCATATTATGAGTATTGTCTGTGACTGTAAGCCACAGAGGGGCCTTCAAAGTAGGCTTGGGGATACTGACAAGAGCAGCTGGTACAATGTAGCCGAGCAAAGAGCTTATCACCCGACAAGATCTCTATGATGTCGAGCAGCATTTTCTTATCTTCTTATCAATTGGTCAAGACTAAGTGGTAATATCCAATCTTCATGCTTAGTATAGACACTGTCGGATATCAAAGCCTAGGGTCGAGCATCCGGAAGAAATCTTAGGTTCACAGGAAACATCTTCATAATCTAGCCTTTACCACGGACAGCTTCCAAATTCTCTGTTTACCCACGTCAATGTAGCAAGTGACTTTCTGATAGCAAGTAAGACTAGTCGCCAACATTGTGTCTGGCCCAAATCATGTTCAGGTTTCGGGCCGCACCATGCGAATTAGACGGCAAAATGGTGATAATTTGCTCTGCGTGTACCTAATGCAGCCACCTTCAACAACTGCCAGGGAATCACTCTAGATTGGTGTTAGACCGAATACTGCCGGTTTCCGTGTAAGACTAAATTTACACCAACCTATCCAGCGTCCACCTGTTACTACACAGCTAAATATTAAATATCCATTGCTCGGTGCCCCAGGAAAGAACTCCACCAATAAATTCAGGCTGTTTCTCTCTAGGCAAATGGCAGCTCTTTGGGGTACCCCTTGAAATCACAGCCAGCGAATCTCCACCAACGCTGATTTTTGTTCATATCCATCCATCGGAGGACCAATTCGAACACATACGGAATTGGAGGGAAACTCCTCCACACGCCATCTCCGAACGACTTATCGTGTGAGATGATGCTTAACGGGAAAATGTTTATCTAAAATACATGCCATTAGTTGTCACATGATTCCTCCCCTATTGTCTGTACAGCGAAAAATTTACCCGGTATCCATATTGGCCCATCATCTCCTTTATCATTTTGCCCACCTCCTTCTTGAACCAAGCATCCCAGTCGACCTTATCGTATTTTTCCAAATTAACTAGTGTGTCAATCTCGTTCTCAAGGTGGGTGTGAAGTTCCGGCATGAAGAAATCGATTAGTCTCTTCACCTTTTCGCCATGGAGCTTCTCCCTGCCTCGTATAACCTCTCAAATATTCTGCATATACTGTGATCCTATCGTGAAATCCGGCGTGCTCGTTGGTATTGACGTCCATCAGATCTGGCACCCCAGCGATCTCGCCCATTAATAGGAACAGCTTGCTATCCTCACTTCTTTCTGGTCTCTTCTGGAGGCTATGGAACTAAGGACATCCAAAGGGCTGCTTCAGGCATGGCAATGTCGAACCACCTAAATTCTTTACCGAAGGGATAGCTCTATTTTTTCTCGATCTTGTCTTCCTTCTAATGAGTTTCACTTCTTACAAAAAGGGTTTTTGTGCTTATTATATGTGGGGAATCGCCATCAGATTTGTATTTATCTCATCAGGTGCTCAATTATAAAGCTTTTCATATATCGTCAAGACCGCTTTCAGTGCCATCGCCCCTGATTAATTCGTTCAGTAGCTTACCACCTAACCATCTATATAGTGTCAGCAAATCTAAGTGTTCGTTTACTGTGGTCACTAATTCTTCAATAGCTCCTGATCAAAAGGTCCCATCTCTGCCACTACTGTACTGCCTTTCTAAGATTTCTTAATCGTTAACCTAGGACACTGCTCGTTATCAATAGCTAGGAAGAACGGGAAAATCTATATATATATATTTAGCCTCTGTCTTCTTAGAGAGTTAACTCAGCGTAAAATCCGTAAGATGATTGATCAAGGGCCAGGATTCAGGCCAGGATTCAGGCCCGTTCCCGGAAGGGGTGGAAGGTTGAGTATTTGTGTTCCCCCCCTTTTGGTAGGTTAGATATTAAGATTTTTTGATCCGGGGCTTGAAATTTTATAAGACCCATCTGAATTGTCATCCTGTCCGTTAAATTAAATTTTAGGATTTTCATAGAAGGGGTGAGCCACATAGCTTGACGACATTTGGAAATACGTGATTCTATTTCGTTACGACACATGCCCAGGCGCACTAGCTAAACAATCCAAAAAGACTAAATGTGCTAGAACACTATGTTCTAGCATGCCTGGGACCGATATAAGTAGCGCGTCTACGTGAGGCTTAGGGGGACTAGTGCCTAAGTCCTGATATATTATTGTACCATATACCTAGTGTATAACCATTACTAGATTGCCTAAGTGAATTAAATCAAGTTTCTTATCTCTCTTTGATATAGAAAATGGTGGGGCTTAGGCATTGGTCCTCCTAAGCGTAACGATGAGAGCTCCTTGTATCATTCCCGGGCGTGCTGGAACACCGTCCTAGCATATTTGGTCTTTTCAGCCTGTTTCACTAGTGCGCCCAGGCACGTGTCGTAACAAGAAATCTCTCCCGTAGACTTACTATACTCTTTTTGTCTAATAAGCCGTTTTCTTCTGTACATATCGTACTCAGCAGGAACTAACTCACCATATCGTAAATGGCCAAGGTGGCAAAGTGTAGTGAGCTATCTGCGACTGATATCCGTAAGAACCTACGGCTGTTCGGTAGTGCTAAATTTCACCAGATTTCAGTCAGTCGATAAATAAGCATCACTCCTGTGATGTTTAATGCCCCTCTGCAACTACCTCGCCGAGAAGTCTGGATATGTGGAAGAGAGGCTATCTTTCTGTGGGATAAATTTAACATATTGCTATCGACATCCAGCATTAAACGGACTGGTTACTCACCCCCTAGTGTGACCCTAGTGTAGGTATCTATATATTATCGTGGCCAACGCTACCAAATACTGCTGGCATATGCTCAAGATGGGTGTCTCGTATTTTCAAAGGCTTACCTGATAATACTTTCTTCGAATTATTTATTGAGTAGCTTGTGTAGCATTGCGGGAGCTGGCCGGAACCGAATTGTGTGCTATTTAGTAATAGGATGGTTATCGTATCTAGAGGCTGGTCTACAGAGACTACTCAGAAGAGTGCAGGTAAAGAGAAGAAATGCTGGTAATCATAGGAGATAGAGTAATTAATCCCTTAGCGTTATTGAGCTGGCTTTGTCGGATGGCGGCGGAGCTAGTCCTTGCTATGATTTAAACTTTCACACTTCGATTTTGATTCGTTACTAGTATTCTATAAAGGCTGGTATTGTGGGGAGGCTGACATAGACAAAGCGGGGGTATCGGCAATAACGGCTTTTCTGGCTAATATGACGCACTAACACCGGACAACATTATATCGAAAATCACCGTTCTCGCGGTTACTTAATTAAGGTCTTGTTCCTTCACTGAAACAACTGTTTCTTCGTATACATTATCGGTCGCGCATCCTTCATTCTCTGACCCCAGCATCAAGGTCTCAATATGTCAGCCCCTGTTTGGTTCATCACGGGTGTCTCTGGAGGTCTTGGTGAGATCCTAGCTCGTCGTGCGTTGAGCGAGGGTCACCTTGTCATTGGTACCTGCCGCGATAAACAAAGATCGTCTTTGGTCATAGAACCTTTGCGAGACAGAGGCATGGTTGTTATAGAGTTGGATGTTACTGGTACACAGCAATATATCACCACAAAGATACAGGAGGCTATCTCTATCTATGGTCATATTGATATTCTCGTGAATAATGCTGGTTACGGAGCCCTTGGCCCTCTTGAGCGCTTTACGTATATATTCCCCTATACCCTCCTCCGGCTCTGCATTTGCTCCGTTACTAAAATCATTCCACGTATAGGGAAGCCGATCTCATGAAGCAGATGAAGACCAATACCTTTGGTCCTCTATATATTGCGCAGGCAACTCTACCAAGCATGCGAGCTAGGAGAGGTGGGATGATTGTGAATGTGAGCAGCTATATTGGTATTCGTGGCGATGCAGCCAACGGTGTCTATGCTATCAGCAAGTTTGGACTCGAAGCTTGGTCGGAGTCCCTCTCAAAAGAGGTGGAAGAATTCGGGGTTTCAGTTCTGGTTCCGGAATTTGGGGCATTCCGGACAAAATTTTTGGATCATAATGTGTTCAACCAACCATCGAAAGGCGTTGTTCCCGGATACGAAGGGAGCTTCGCAGAATTGTCGTTCGACGGTATTAAGCGGGCGGGCCAAAAGCAGCCTGGTGATCCTGCTAAAGGCGTCGAGCATCTCTTCGAGATCATCTTGAAGGGTGGAAAGCTGCACGGACAGAAATTATTCCGAATTCCTATCGGAGCAGATGCTATCCGGGTAGTGGAGGACAAAGTTGCAAGGGTGAAAGCTGATCTAGAAATTGCGAAAGCGTTGGAGGAGTCTGATAGTACGCTTCTTTAACCGAATCAACCGAACTATAGAGATAAAGCACTGCACTAATAGTATATTTAGAAAGAGTAAATAATCGGATATAGTTCTCATATGCGGCTTCAAAAGGCACAGCTCATAATTCTAGCTATGCTGCATATAGCTGTATCCGAATCCGAGTTCCGTATTTGAATAGCTTATAAAAATCATAGCTTTTAAGGGAGAATTCTACTAGTGCCATAGTACTAAGCCTAGGCCTCTGCATGGTGCGGTCTTGGTCCTCAGGTCGAGGACCGCGGACCGGACCGCACGGTCTTGCGGTCTCGAATTCGGGGGTTGAGACCGCACTATAGTGAACCGCGGTCCCTTGCGGTCTTCACCACGGTGAACCGCAATTGCATAATTCTACCAAGACCTTCCCTTTTCGGCTACATAAATTAATGATCTATCCTATTTAATTACTATTATTTAACACTGTTTTAGTCTCTTCATAAACACTTGCTATATTTCAGCATCAGCCACTATAAAAACATATGAAATATACTCGTATATAGAAAATCTACTATTTAAAATACCTAGACCTACTAGTACTAGTATATTTCTAAGTTCTAATAGGGAGGTTTAGTAATAATTATTACTAGCTAGGTGTTTAAGGTAAGAAATATATATTTCGATATTAGTATCTGTCAGCATATATGGTAGATACATACTGAATTGAAATGCATCTGAATGGCAAATGCGGGGCTTTCCCTTTGTGCGGTCGAGATGCGACCAAGGACCTACTTTTCTTACCCCTTATTGGATGACTTGACCTCCTCGTCGGACGACGAGATCGATCAGATTGATCCTTAACGATCTTATATATAATTGCATACACTTATATATAATGGCCTACCTAGGCAGGAGACTACTTAACACTCTAAGGATGTTCCTTCTATTTTATTTATCATTCTGCCGTGTACCCCGCGATATAAGTATCACTATGTTTTCTAACTAAATTGAATTAAGTTTGATATCTCTTTATGATATAAGAACTACTCTCGAGTATACTTAATATAACCCTTCTTCTTTGTTAATTAAGCTGACTACGTGCCTTCTTATGAACCGTCTCTCTTTAATCCTATTTTTTGTATACCTCTTTATTATATATATGTATTAGACCTTTCTACCTATTTTCTGCCGAAGACCCTTTCTATCGGGAAATACCACTTCTAAAGAAAACCTACCTCCTATTCCTAATAGTTATAAGCCCGAGCCTCTAACTACTCACTTATTTTATCTAATCTATCACTTTACTCTTATAAGCGATAGATTCGACCGAACTGCGAGCTATATAGCTATACTACCTACTTAAAAGCCACGTATACTAGATACCCTAGATCACTACTATTAAGGACTATATAGTAGCTAATAGTATATAGAAATATATAGATCCCGACCGGGAGACTCCTACGGCTACGCTACCG